GAGGAGTTGCCAATGTGCTTGGCGATGAGTCAATTTCTGCACTGTTTGGAAGTAGAGCAAATTCTTGTGATCTGTAAAGACAACAACCAGGTGGGGGTTTCCTTCAAGGTAATGACGCCATTCAGTGAGAGCACGGATAACAGTGAGCAATTTTCGATCAAAGATTTGATAATTTCTTTTGGCTGGGTTCAAAGTCTGAGAGAGGTATCCACACAGATGGTAGACTCCATTTTCATCAGTCTGTAGCAAAACTGCTCTGGTAGCAACAAGCAAGGCGTCAGTGGTGACAGCGAACTGCTGACTAGGATCAGGGTTTCATAATATGGGCTTCTTCAGGAAGCATTCCTTAAGTGTGGTAAATGTGGAGGTACATGGGTCAGACCAATGGAATACCGTGTCTTTCTTTGTGAGGTCAATCAGAGGTCTGGCGATGTCAGAGTAATGGGGGACAAAATTGCAATAGAAGTTGCAGAACCCAAGGAATGATCAAACTTCTTTCACCGTAGTAGGGACTGGCCAATCACAAATACCATCAGTTTTTGCAATGTCCATGGTGACGCAACCAGGACAGATAATCATTCCCAGATATTCAACTTCTTGTGCATCAAAGGTACACTTCTCTGGTTTCAAGAATAGTTGTTCAGTGTGAATTCTTTCTAGGACACGACAAGTTCAAACATGGTGGGAGGGGAGGTCATTTGAAAAGATAAGGATGTTGTCCATGTAAATGACCAACCATCCTTCATTTATTTCTTGCTGGAAGGTCTGATTCATGTATGCTTGAAAGGTAGTGGGCAAGTTGCAAAGACCAAAAAACATGATGTTAGGTTCAAAGAGGCCATACTCTGTGGTAAACACCGCTTTCCAACAATCATCAGGGTGAATTCGGATATTATTATATCCTGAATGGATGTCCATCTTTGTGAAGTATTTAGCACCATGTAACTGAGTGACCAAGGACAATGGGAGCAGGAGAGGGCAAGCATTTTTTACTGTCCAGTCATTGATATACTGATAATCCTGACAAGGACATAGATTGCTGCTTTTCTTTCCAACAAAGAAGAATCCGCTAGCTTGCGGTGACTTCAATTCAGAGACAAATCCTTTCTGTACATTTTCATTGATGAATGCTTTGATGGCAGTTCGCTCTGTTTCAGACAATGGGTAGACCTTGGACGTTTTCAGGACAAAACCAGGTTTAGTGTCAATGCAGTGGTCAATTCCAGGGTGTTCCAGGGGTAACTGATTCAATCTGTTTTTTTAGCAAAGATGTTGGCAAATTCATGGAGGTAAGAAGGGACAAGTTCTTCAAATGATTTCTTCTTTTGTTCAAGTCCAGCTGCTAATGCAAACTGCTGGGCTTTGTTACTGGTTTTAATGTATTCAGTGGACCATGACAAGGGTGTGACTGTGGGTTTCTGTTCTATGGCACTAGTACCATCTTTGGTTAATGGGGTGTCCATAGAAATGTTGGTGATGACCTGGAGCTTGGTAGTGTCGGCGGGGTATTCAACCAAAAATTCATCGTTGTCAAGATGATATGTAGTGAGTTCACGTACAGGTGGTGTGTAGTCTGAAGTCCATACATCATCTTTGGTGTCAAAAGAGTCATCATTGTCATCAGGGATGGGGTCAAGGTTGGGTAAAACTGGGGGTGTTTCTTCATCAGGGATTTCTTCAATTGTTGCTTGGGGGAGTGTTCCTATGATTGTGGGTTGCACAGGAGGCGCCTTTGGCAGCACTACAACTGGTGTTTCTTCTTTCTTCAAATGGGAGTTCTTCCATGTCTTGTTGATCAGGGTTTTGACAGTTTTCTGAAAGAGAGGAGGAAGACCGTTCTTCCTTCATTCGGTGTCAACATCTTCTTCTATTAGATTACTCTTCTCGGTTTGAGAGAGTTCTAGGGTTTTGGCTTTCCACTGAATGACTGGATCCATGGCACACAGCCAAGGGATTCCTAGCAAAATCTGGTCACAATGGCTAAGTTTTGTGATATTGAACTTTCCAAGCATGGATCATTCATCAATTTTCATGATGAAGACACAGTAACAGGTGATTGTGCCTCCTTTCACATAACTTCCATCTGCTGTGGTAACTCAGAATGGTTTCATAAGTTTATGCATTTGAATTTTGTGAAGCTTAACAAAATCTTCAGAGATGAAGGTTCCAGCAGCTCCAGAGTCAATGACAGCAGTCGTTTTGACAGTTTTCAGACAGGTTTTGGAGATAAGAGAAATGGGAACATGAAGTTCCTTTCTGATTCCTACACCTTGAACAAGTCTAATAGGTACATTGGAAGATACTGATGTCAATCCAGTCTTCCACATCAAAAATCCTCGTTGATACAATGGACCTCTTCTTCATCTTCTTCGGCTGGCTCAGTGTGATGCACTGGAGCTTTGCTGTTCTTCTTAGGGCAGTTACAGGAGACGTGGCCCTTCTGGTGACAGTTGAAACACTTGCCATTTTGGTAGTGTTCAGTCTTCTCTTCCTCAGTGAGGTGGTCAACCTCCATAGCGTTGGGGTCGCAGTGATCAATGGAGGGTCTGGGGACATAGCATTGGCTGGTAGGCTTTGTGGTTGTGTGATTATTGTTATGGAATATCGCACCACATTGCCAGTTACTGTCAAGTCTAATTGCAGCTTGAACATACTTGTCAAAGTCTGTAGGGATGGTTTCCATCTGGTAAATGGCATTGCCAATTCCCTTCTTTAGTCTGTCATTGAAGAACATAATCAGGACAGTGTCTTGCTTTATGGAGGCTTGTGTGGCAAGGGTCCTGAAACTAGCAATATAGGAAGTGAGGTTGCCCATCTGCTTCAAGGTTTGGAGCTTATTCATAGCAGTACCAATGGCATCTGCTGGCACAAATGCTTCTTTGAACTTTGCTTCAAAGTTCGTGAAGGTCCTGTAGGATTTTGTAGCAGAGTTGTCTACTTCGGTGTAAAATGTTAATGCCCAGCCCATGGCACTATCTTTAGTCATATATGCAAACATGGTAATAACTTTTCTCTTGTTGGTGTTGTAAACTGATGCATTAACAGTGAAGTATGCTTTCACTGAAAACAACCATCTCAACACCTGGTCAGGGCTCCATCATAGTTGTTGGGTGTTCCAGCTTTGAGCTCAGATGCAGATGTAGGAGCAGACATTCTGATACTGGGATGTGCGGAAAGGTTTCAGGATGGCTGTTCTTCTGGGAATTTGTCTACTGATGTAGTTGAATGATGATCGGGTTCTGTGGTTACAGGGGACGGTGTTCATCTCTCTCTGTCTTCTGTGATATCCAGACCTGCAGCCTCATGATACTCTTCTTCTGGTTCTGTTGGTTCTGTGGGAACATCATTTGGATTGCTCTCCCACCAATACTTTCTAACCCAAGGGGTCATCTTGCTTTGAGCTACTGGGGCCTCCCTGGATGGAGAGGTTTGATAAGGACTTTAATCTTTTGTTATGAACTGGGATAGTTCTAACAACAGATGACTCAATAAGAGTCAGGACCTCTGCTGAGATTCTACATGAGACGATAAATCAAGTGTTTGGTATAAGCTAAGACAGAAGGAGTGCTTCTATCTTAAAGTACAGTTCAGATGACAAGAGATTGGAGGTCTCAAGCAAAGGATGGTAAAACCCAGTAAGATTAAAGTGCAGAACTAAAGTGTACAAGAGAACTATTTATAGTGAACTACAAGTGCTTAGGGCAGGTGTGAGAATGGATATGAGTCAGAGATAAAGGACGCATAAGCAATAGCAAGAATAGGTCATCTAGCAACAGCAACAGCAGTTATGATGTAATACAAGGTATGAGTCAAAGATAAGTCTAGCAGCGGCATCATGTGGCTCATGATGTAATACACAGTAAGAGAGAGAGAAAATGAATAGGGGCATACATGGTTGTAACAGATGTGTGGTCGCAGCAAGACTATCACTGCTGTCAAGGCACCCACACCTGCACCAGCTCATAAGTCACCCCAGTTTTGTTTCATCACCGTCTGACCTTAATTTTCCCTTGTAGCACTTCTGTCTTCAAGTTTGGCAGTCCCTGCTCCAGCACCCAGTCCGGCAGTCCCTGCTCCAGCACTTGACCTGCCCATGCCAGATCTCCATGCCATGGCAATTGTGATTTGGGATGGTGCAGCTCACATTGCCATTCTTGAGGCTTGTGTGGCAGAGCAGGATGGTAAGATTGATACCCTGCAATGCCTCCATGAAGGCCTTAGGCATGAAATTGTCAACTGGCACCCCACATTCCCAATTCCTGAACCTCCAGCCAATGCAACATCCTTGTTACTTGATCAATCCATCCCCTTGTCCATGTCACCATCTGCATCTGCACTCCCCCCTGTTACAAACTAGGATAGTTCTAATGACAGATGACTTGATAAGAGTCAGGACCTCTGCCGAGATTCTATGTGAGACAATAAGTCAAGTGTTCAGTATAAGCTAAGTTAGAAGGAGTGCTTCTAACTTAAAGTACAGTTCAGACAACAAGAGATTAGATGTCTCAAGTGAAGGATGTTTCAGGTAAAAACCTAGTAAGATTAAAGTAAAGGACTAAAGCATACAAGAGGACTATTTATAGTGAGCTACAAGTGCTTTAGGGCAGATGTGAGAATGTATGTGAGTCAGAGATAAGAGATATGTAAGTGATAGCAAGAATAGGTCATCTAGCAATGGCAATGGTGATTGTGATGTAATACAAGATAAGTCTAGCGGTGGCATCATGCAGCTCATGACATAATATACAGTAAGAGATAAAATGAATAGGGGCATACATGGTTGTAACACCCCCTCTCATTGATCTCTCAATTGGAGAGATGACACCTGCACCCCCAAAATTTGAGGATGCCTCTGCCATTGAGGGCCTCCTGTTTGAGTACAACTGGGTTGTTCAACCAGAGGTTCCAGATATGTCTGGCGAAATTGTGGACCTGGGTGATCCAGGCAACCTGGTCCCAGAATATGATTCTTCCAATGACATGGATGTTGAGGTAAATGTTGAAGTGTCTTCTGAGGAGGTTGACATGGCTACATAATTGCATAGTAATAGACATATGTACAAGTTTTTCAATGAATGTTACCTCTGCCAGTCCATTTATTCAATCACCAAGTCTCAAGTACTGAGTAGCGAAACCCGAAAGTTAGAAACAAACATCAAAACTCAAAACCCAACAGTCTTAACAATGTATGAGTTTCAAGTTTTGAGCCTTGAATCACTGAGTCCCAAAACCCAAACATTGAACTCCTTATATCAAACCCCAAAATCCGAAACTCAAAACTTGTCAAAATGTATCAGTTTTGAGTTTTGATGAGTTCCAAGTTTTGGATTTCAGGGTTTGATATAAGGGGTTTGATGTTCGGGTTTTGGGACTTGGTGATTCAAGACTCAAAACTTGAAACTCATACATTGTTATGACTGTTGGGTTTTGAGTCCCAAGTCCCGAACATCGAAACCCGACACCTGAAACTTGCAGGTTGTACCAATATCTGAATTTTGAGTTTTGAGTTTTGAGACTTGAATCACTGAGTCCCGAAACCCAAGTCCCGAACATTGAAACCTGACACCTGAAACTGGAAAGTTGTACCAATATCTGAATTTCAAGTATCAAATTTTGAGACTTGAAGAGTCCTGAAACCTGAAGCCTGACACCCAAAACTCAAAAGTTGTAAAAATGTATGAGTTTCGAGTCTTGATTTTCAAACTCAAAACTTGAAACTCATACATTTTTACAACTTTTGAGTTTTGGGTGTCAGGCTTCGGGTTTCAGGACTCGGTGATTCAAGTCTTGAAATTCAACACTTGAAATTCAGATATTGGTACAACTTTCCAGTTTCGGGTGTCAGGTTTCAATGTTCAGGACTTGGGTTTTGGGACTCAGTGATTCAAGTCTCAAAACTCACAACTCAAAACTCAAAACTCAAAATTCAGATATTGGTACAACCTGCAAGTTTCAGGTGTCAGGTTTTGATGTTCAGGACTCAGGTTTTGGGACTCGGTGATTCAAGTCTTGAAACTTGAAACTCAAAATTCAGATATCAGTACAACTTTCAAGTTTCAGGTGTCAGGTTTCAATGTTCAGGACTCAGGACTTGGTGATTCGAGTCTTGAAACTCGAAATTCAGATATTGGTATGACTTTCAAGTATCAAATCACTGAGTCCCAAAGTCTGACTACTGACACAACTTCAGGTGTTGGCATTTGGTATGCAGGACTCAGTGATTCAAGACTGGAAACTCGACAGTCATACAAATGTTTGAGTTTTGAGTTTTGAGTTTTGATGTTGTTGTTTTGAAGTTTTGGGTTTTGGGTTTTGATGGTCAGGGTTTGATGTTTGGGTTTCAGGACTCAGTACTCACTGTGTTGACTTTGATCAACATTGACAGGATCTGAGTCTGAATGTCATTGATGACTTGGATCAAAACTAGTGCAACAGCATTGCTCATATGTCCATATAGTATACCAATACCTCAGCCCATATGTCTAAATGATATGTATCTGGGCCCACTCGTTTATATGACATCCCCCTCCGTCAGCCCACCTGTCTATCAAATATACCCTACATCAGCCCACCCATCTATCTAATATACCCCCACCTTGGCCCACCTGTCTACAAAATAATACTAATATGTTGGCCCACCCATCTATCTAATATACCCTACATCAGCCCACCTGTATATATAATACATATTTCCCGCCCCATTGGCCCACCCATTTATATGACATCCCCCTCCGTCAGCCCACCTGTATATATAATACATATTTCCCTGCCCCATCAGCCCACCCATCTATATAATAATATCTACCATACATCTCTCTTCAGCCCAGCTGTCTATAATATATGTCTATCCTACTCTACATATTGCCCAGATGGGCCCACCCATCTCCATCAGTAATAATATTTCTTCTGGCCCATCCGCCATTGTCGAGGATATTTATAACATTGGCATAGATGGGCCCACCTGTCCCCATTGGAAATAATATCCCTCCCAGCCCATCCATCAACATTGAGGATATACATAACATCAGCCCATAGTCCACTGGCCTGTCTTATATGGGATATTATGTAGGTTGGGTGACCCATATAATACAGAGTTTGTCACTGAAGGGGCTCATCCCCAGATCTCCAGACCTCCAGATATTAACTGTTACTATCTCTGGACCTATTCCCACCCTCCATCTGAGATCCTGTACCTATCCCCATTTAGGCATCTCCACCTTTCTGGTTCTTGGTTATCTCTGTTTCTGTCTTGCTGATTGATCCTTGTACTAGTTTCATCTCTGAGTTCATTTACTTATGTTCTGTCTCACTTACTAATGTGTTTCCACATGCTTGTACATAGCCTTACTCCTTTGCTTACTGATCCTCTCGGATAGCCTCTAGTATATAACCCCTGTACAACTCCAGTAGAGTCCTCAGTCTGAATATCATCTTAGATCCTGTTCTCTCAACCTTCTCTTGGACTTTGGTCCACCTAAGTCTATCCTATCCATCAGGCCTAGGGATTGATTCCCTAGGCTGGAGCTTTGCCTTTCTGGCACTTACCCTCTTTCTGGACTTAGGTCCAATCCCTGTCTCTCCAACTCTACCTTAGGGTAGTCTACCTCTGTTTGTTTCTACATTGGATGAAGTCCATTGTAGCCCCTATTCCTTCTGGACCTCCAGACCTCCTGTCTTCTGTACCTCCAGACATCCTGTCCTCCTGTCCTCTGGACCTCCTATCCTTCCATCCCATTTCCCATAGAGATATTACCTTGGGGTCTCTCCACTTCCTGTGCAGTGGGAACTCCTCTGAGTATTTCCTGTACTCCTCCGGAACTCTCCTGCACTCCACCAGAGTAGCCAGCCTCCAGAAGTCCTTCAGACTTCATCTGAAATGAAGGGCACATACTCAGGTAAGGGGCACAGCATATGAGCTAAGGCCAAGCCCCTCTGAGTCAGTCCCCCCCCCTTGAGCATGGTTCTTAACACAAGGATTGGCTGATACACTTAGAATATTGACCTGAGATGAATGATAAGCAGGATTAGGCGCATATATTGCATGACTGTGTCTGATAGACTCTTTGTCAAGGGCCAATTGGTGCCAAGACATAAATGGATAGCCCTTGCTAGGGCTTGTGAAGATGATATCAACATGATAGGCAGATGAGTGAAAAATGTGAATAAAGGCAAAATATGCGAAATTGAAGACAATGATAATTGTGATGGGCACATGAATATGTGCAAGGCGAGTGCGTAAGTCACACATAGGCATCAGATTAAGGTGGGACTGATATGAAGTCCAAGAAAAGTGACTTGGAAATGATGAAGTGGTAAAAATGCGATAGCAGGAAGACTCTTCTGCAATTATAGCACAGGAATATAGGCACGTGGCATGCAAATGCAGCACATGAATGATGAAATAATGGCAAACTGATGTGAAGATGAAGGTGAAATATTTGTGACAGGTGAATGGCTCCTTGAGAGCATAAGACATGAAAGTGATGAAAAAGGCAATGGTAGGTGAAGATGAATATACAGTGCCTCTAAGCGCGTGACCTGTGCAACCTCAGGTGCAATACAGCACTCTGAAGGCACCTCAGGGTCGCCTGAGACATACTCTACTTGATGGATAGGCAATGCAATGCACGGATGTTTCACCGCCAGACAATAGTCACTGTATGCTGAAAACACGACAGGTGCGGAATTGTCAGTGACAAGCAGGGTTACCAGAGACATACTCTGGTTGGAAAGCATCACATAATGAGTCTCTGCCACTGCAGGAGACTCTGGGATTGGTGTGGTAATGTGCAATAGATGTTTAGAGTCATCCCTGACTAGTGGCAATGAGTTACTGTGTGCGAAATTGTCAGCAACTAATGGGGTGTCCAGAATCATACTCTGGTTGACTAGTGGTGTGTGATGAGCTTCTAATGTGATAGAGAGCTCCAGAATGGGCGCGTGAATGTGCAATAGATGTTTAGAGTCATCCCTGACTATTGGTGACGAGATCTCTTCTAGAGGTGCTTCTGGAAGGCTTGGGGTGATGATAGGCTTACATATTTAGAGCTGGGACAGAGTGACTTTGGCTACTGGATATTCTGCTGCAGATATGGGCTCTGTGGGTGTGTGCATAATGGGCACTTTAATAGAAACTGGTAATGACACAATTTTGTCAAAGGGCACTTTTTGGATGACTGGGATGAGGATGGCATTGCATGTTTCACTTGGAGGCATAATAGGCACAGTATAGGGGCACACTGGAGTGCATTCTGATTCCTGAGGTGCACATATGATGGGCACTTTGACTTGGGCTGGTGGTGGGGCAAGTTTGATGACTGGTGCTCCTGGGGTGACTGGAATGCAGTTAGCAATACTTGGGGCACATTGAGGCGCTATAGGCACAACCTCTGGTTGCTCTAAGGTGCACTCTGGTTCCTGAGGAGCACATACAGTGGGCGCTTCAATGGCAGGTCTCATGTATGTGTTTACTCCAGTTTCTGGATACATAGACATAATCTCATAAGCAAAATCTTCAAAGTTACCTTGTCTATATTCAGGCAATCCCTGCCACAGCTCTCTGGAGTCTGCATCATGAGTATACTTGAGAACATACTTAATGTGCTGGGTGCCTGATAAGTTGTTTATCTGGCCAAGTCAATCTACATGCTGTAAATGTGTGAGGACTGCAAATGGGTCTCCTGTAAAACATGGCACATTTGGGTACCTGGGCAAGGGCATTCCATCTCTGTTGACCAGGTCACTCATGGCACAAGAGTGTGCAAGAGAAGCATGGGATAGTGCAAAAAAGCACAGAAAGGCAAAAAGGCAAAAAAGTGTGGATCAAGTGTTGAAAGCATGAATAGGTGGAATAGAGTTGAAAGGGTGTGTGGATAAGCTGACTGATCCCCTCATGGTGGGCTCCAGTTGAAGGTTCAACAACTCTGCTGGCTTGCAGAGCAGAAGAAAGAAAGAGGGCTCTCACTCTGGGGTAAGAGAAAAGCCTACTAACTCTCTAAATGTTGGTTGAAGTGCGCCAGGTGATATGTTTGACCCTTAGGGGAAGCAAAGAAAGCAAGGATCCACAAAGTGACACCAGGTCAACTCTGGTGAAGTGCACTGAAGGTGTGCGAAGCATGGGAATAATGCACCAGTTGTGTGTGAACGTGTAAAGACTGGTGAATGGTGTAAAGATGTAAACTGAGAGTGCTGAGAGGAGGCTGATGCTGATGGACTGATGCTGAAGACTAGGGCAATGACTCTGATAGATGCTAAGTGACATGATGGTGGTTGATTGTATATCAAAAAACTTCCCTGGCAACAGGTAAGCTGTGCCTAGGCACACTCCCAGGGCTTGGAAGCAAATAGGGAGCACTCTATGTATGTAAGTGGGGTAAAGTAAGGGTCCATGATGAAATAAAGTATTGTACAATGCCAGAAATGGTCTGATAATGAGAATAAATGAGAAAGGACACACCAGGGAACTGGTTGGATGATGGTTGAAGGCTCCAGGACACTGCACAACAAAGGGTGACCAAGTGCAGGAAGAGTGCACTAAGCACATGCACAGGAATGTGTCACATAGTGCAGGAAAGTGTCGTGCCTCTGGCATGTTTTGCAGGAAAGTCATAGGGAGTGAGTCATGCACTATACCAATCATCATGAGTTGAAATATATGCAATATATGCCTGGAGGAATCTCATTCTCTACAGCATGCCAGAGGTCGTCCACCCAGATCTCTCCACAATTGTGTTGAGGATGTCTGGATTGCCTCAATCACCCCAGGTTCCCAAGAAGAAACCCTTTGGCCCTGCTACAGTAGGTCTAATTTATGCAGCTGGCACTTGGATCCATGCTCACAATTTATCAGGCAATTGCCAGCAGACATTTGGAGGTGATGGAGACCTTGCAATTGATGTTCAATACCCCAGTGGAGGCACCACCAGTCATTGATGCAGATGACATCCTCATACCTGGACCAGTGAGTACTTTGAATCAATGTAGTGTGTCCATGCACTAATGGAACCCACAGAACAACCCATGTCAGGCTTGCAACAAGCAAGGGTTGCCCTGCACCACTTGGTATGACCAGAGGAGTGGAAAGGGGTTTCTGTTGTGTGCCTTCTGCACAACAAAGAAGGTAAAATCTATCTCCACAACTCTTGGAACCCCACCAAAATGCTCTTGAGGTCAGTTGACCATGCAGAGGGTGAGGTTTAGGACACCATCAAAGCTCCTTCTACCACCCAATTGAAGGCCCAAATGTGCAGTCAATTGTGTGGCCCATCCAGCACTCCAAGTGTCTCTGGTGTGACAACACCACAGATGCAGACATGCAGTCACAGCAAGACAATCACTGCTGTCAAGGCACCTGCACCTGCACCAGCTCATAAGTCCCCTGAACTTTTTATGACCATCTCACCTTATTATTCTCTTGTAGCAATTGCATCTTCAAGCTCAGCAGTGCCTCCTGCAGCACTCAATGTGCCCATGCTGGACCTCCATGCCATATCAATGGCAATTCGGGGGGGTGCAGCTCAAATCACCACTCTTGAGGCTTGTGTGGTTGAGCAGGGTGGTATGATTGATACCCTGCAATGCCTCCATGAAAGCCTTTGATGTGAAATCATTGACCACCATCCATCATTTCCACTGCCTGACACTCCTGCCAATGCAATGTCATTGTTGCTTGATCAAGCCATCCCAGAGTCCATGTCACCCCCCGAATTAGCACTCCCTCCTCTCATTGATCTGTTGATGGCAGGGATGGAGCCCACACTCCAAAAATTCAGGGATTCCTCTGTCATTGAAGGTCTCGTGTTTGAGCTCAGCCAAGTTCAACACTACCAGACCTGTTGCCAACTCCTGAGGGTCCCCAGAGTTCTGGGGAAGTTGTGAGCCCAGCTGATCCACACAACCTTGTCCCAGAATATGATTCTGATGACAATATGGATGTTGAGGTGAGGGCTGAAGGTTCTTGTGAGGTTTATTTGGCCAAGGTTGACATGGCTACATAATTTTGTAGTGATAGATTTCTATAGATTTTGTTTAAATGAATTTTACCTCTGCCACAACTGTAAAATCAAATCACCAATCACCAAGTGCCAAAACCCAATCACCCAAAACCCAAAGCCCAAAACTGGAAACTCAAATCCCAAAACTCAAAAACTGAAACTCAAAAAAATGTATATAACATGTAACTTTTTCAAAAATATTACACAAGTCCATTGTTGAGTGCCAAGTGCCAAAGCCCAAAACTCAAAACTCAAAACTGAAACTCAAAACTTGAAACTCAAAAACCAAAAACTGATGAAGGTTCAACTACTCTGCTGGATTGCAGAGCAGAAGAAAGAAAGAAGGCTCTCACTCTGGAGTAAGAGAAAACCACTAACTCTCTAGGTGTTGGTTGAAGTGTGCTGAGTGATGTGTTTGACCCTTAGGGGAACCAAGGAAAGCAAGATCCACAAAGTGACACCAGGTCAACTCTGGTGAAGTGCGCTGAAAGTGCATGCACAGGAATGTGGAGCACATAGGAGTATGAAGCATGAGAATAAGGTGCATGTGGTGCACAGATGTATATGAAACTGGTGAAAGGTGTGAAGACATGAACTGAGGCTGCTGAGTGGACTGGTGATGATAATGGACTGCTGCTGAGGACTAGGGCAACAACTGATGCATACTGACTGAAGATGATAAATTCTGACTGCTAGAGAACTACTGACATGATGGTGGTGGTTTCTGTATAAAAACTTCCTAGGCAACAGGTAAGCTGTGCCTAGGCGCACTCCCAGGGCTCAGAAGGGAATAGGGAGCACTCTATGTATGTACAGTGGCTCAAAAAACTGTCTGCATGTTTTGACATTTTTCACTATCTATGATATTGTGTGAGAACAAACAAATGCCTCAAGGACATGCTTATACGACATTGTAGTATGGCTTCAGGGCTTTCATTTGAGCCCTACACCGTGGGAATCTGTGGAGATATGGTGGAGATACAAGGCTCACAAAATGGTGACTCATGCAGACAGTTTTTTGAGCACATATTAAAACTATATAAATCATCATTTATGACACCATAACAATCATGCCACCATTAAATAAATTATAAAGTGGTGTCATTATGTCATTTTAAAACCATATCTAACTATACAAACCAAAAATTTCCATATGTCATGGTTATATTCACCATGAAAGCCACCCCCCCTGCTCAAAGGGATAATATCCTCTCTCTTTCCTATTCTGGCCTCTCTGCTTGTCAAATTTCCTCTAGAACTGGAGTATGCAAGTCCACTGTGGCCAAGTTCATCAAAGAAAGTCACACAGACAAGGAAAACTTCTGTGAAGGGCGTCCATCCAAGCTCACCTCTACTGATAGGAGGGCTATTATTCAACATATCACTACAGGAAAGGCTGATAATGCTGTTCAGGTCACCTATTACATCAATTCCACCATCACATTCCCTGTCTCTTCACACACTGTGAGAAACATTCTCAAGACAGCTCATCTCAGGTCAGTAACAAGGAAGAAAAGGCTCTCCTCTCTATCACACATATGCAGAGAGGACTAGCACCCTTCTTTTTTCACATATATACCTTGCCATCTGACCCAATCCTATTTATTGTGGTCTTATATGATCATATAACATGCTTCCAGTCCATGTAATCCAATTCTGATGGGCCAAGGCAAAGGTTAGTCATCTCTGTTTATGTGTGATAGAGAGGAGAGCCTTTTCTTCCTTGTTACTGACCTGAGATGAGCTGTCTTGAGAATGTTTCTCACAGTGTGTGAAGAGACAGGGAATGTGATGGTGGAATTGATGTAATAGGTGACCTGAACAGCATTATCAGCCTTTCCTGTAGTGATATGTTGAATAATAGCCCTCCTATCAGTAGAGGTGAGCTTGGATGGACGCCCTTCACAGAAGTTTTCCTTGTCTGTGTGACTTTCTTTGATGAACTTGGCCACAGTGGACTTGCATACTCCAGTTCTAGAGGAAATTTGACAAGCAGAGAGGCCAGAATAGGAAAGAGAGAGGATATTATCCCTTTGAGCAGGGGGGGTGGCTTTCATGGTGAATATAACCATGACATATGGAAATTTTTGGTTTGTATAGTTAGATATGGTTTTAAAATGACATAATGACACCACTTTATAATTTATTTAATGGTGGCATGATTGTTATGGTGTCATAAATGATGATTTATATAGTTTTAATATGTGCTCAAAAAACTGTCTGCATGAGTCACCATTTTGTGAGCCTTGTATCTCCACCATATCTCCACAGATTCCCACGGTGTAGGGCTCAAATGAAAGCCCTGAAGCCATACTACAATGTCGTATAAGCATGTCCTTGAGGCATTTGTTTGTTCTCACACAATATCATAGATAGTGAAAAATGTCAAAACATGCAGACAGTTTTTTGAGCCACTGTAACATGCATGAAATCAACCACACTCAATAGAGCAGCTGGGCACAAGAGAGATAGTGCAAGAGAAGGACTGTGCTAAGTTACCAGTTGCAGGTTGAGTGTTCAAGAGCCTAAGTATAAGGTCCTAGCGGTACAGAACTTCAGAGCAGTTGAATTGCATGAGATTGTCAAGTATGGGCAAACAGATTGGATTGCACAAGGTCTACAAAAATAACACAAGAGTGACTCTCCTATAGGGCTGAGTCCAGGGGGAAGGGAACTACTCAATCATATGTACTGTGGTCATTTTATCATAGCACATGAAGGTCCAGAATGCATAGGTGGGAATTGTAGCATAGTAAGTGGACATGTGATGAGTCTATAGGTAATAAGACATCATGTGCTGCAGAATGTGAGTAACGTGTAATAAGACCTGTAGCTTGTTTAGCAATGACATTTGGGAAAATAACGCACCAGCAGAGATAGGTGGACATGGATAGGACATGGGAGGACAGATTCCTAGGACCAGACCGAAGTGCGGATGAGTCAATATATATGGATTAATGATCAGCACTTTATCTCCTTTCCTGGTAGTGAGAAGAACCATGCTGGTGATCATACGTGCCTAGTGCTGGTATGATTGTCACATGGAAGAGGCTAGGAGATGCCAAGCTGATGGTGGGGTGGGCATGCTCAATCATTAAGAACCATTCTCAAGGGAGGGAGAGACTGACTCAGAGGGGCTTGGCCTCAGCTTGGACACTGTGCCCCTTACCTGAGTATGTGCCCTTCATTTCAGATGAAGTCTGATGATGGTCCAAAGGACTTCCAGAGGCTGGCTACTCTTGGTAGAGTGCAAAAGGACTTCTGGAGGAGTGTGGTGAAGGAATCAACTACTAAGCTATGGCACAAAAAGGAATACCAAGTCAGAGTATATGTGTGGTCATCTCAGCTCTGCCTATGGCTGCTATACTTTGCAAAGGCAAGTGCATTTGACCCAAGGGGAAGCGAGTGCAACACATCCACAGGTCGCACGAAGCGTGGGAAAGTCATGCACGCGGAGGCAAAGGCATGCGCAGAGAGTGGTAGGATGTGCGAAGCGCAGGAAAGTCATGCGCTAATAGGTGAAAGTGCGCAAAGGGCTAGGAATGCAATGGGGACTAGAGGAAGATGATGACTGATACTGATGGGTGCAAGGACGACAAATGCGATGATGATAGAGTGTGATTGTCAAAAATGCTACTGACTATGGCTCAAAAATGCGTGCACTATGCTGAGGGATGCTAAGGGATACTAACTGGCAACTAAGTGGTAGCTAACTAAGTGATAAAAAATGCGAATGCTATCATGCAAAAGGCGACTAAGCGCGCTCCCACGATGCAGAGCCGATGTGAGTAAGGCGCAGGAACAAAGAAGGTATATGTAAGTAAGGGTCCATGATGGAATATGGTGTCATGATAAGAATAAATGCGAAAAATATACCAGTAGGACTTGCTGGACAATGGATGGATGCTCCTGGATGATAGGCAATGAAGCACGGGAAAGCACATGGGACGTGTGCAGGAATGTGTCGCAGGAGAGTAGTGCACGCATTGTGTGATGTGCGGGAAGATTGCACATGTATAGGCTGAGTGAAGGAATGATATAGGGAATGATGCTGCGAGTTCATGCTGTGAACTGCATGCAGATACATTGCAATATTGGGCTCTACAGGCATACAGAGGTGCGAGTCTCTACAGCGGGAAACATCTGGAGGAGCATGGGAGAGTTCTGGAGGAGTACAGGAAATACTCAGAGGAGTTCCCACTACACAGGAAGTGGAGAGACCCCAAGGTAATACCTCTAGAGGAAACAGGATGGAAGGATAGGAGGTACAGAGGACAGGGCGTCTGGAGGTACAGAAGTGTCCAGGGGGATGAAGGACAGGGTGTTTGGAGGTCCAGAAGGAATAGGGGCTACATTGGATGAAGTCTGATGTAGAAGCAAACAGAGGTAGACTATCCTTAGGTAGAGTTGGAGAGACAGGAAGTAGACCAAAGTCCAGAGAGAGGGTAAGTGCCAGAAAGGCAAGACTCCAGCCTAGGGAAGCAATCCCTAGACTTGGGGCAGAGACATAGGGGACAAATCTGAAGGTCCAGATTTCCAGCCCAGGGAATCCATCCCTGGGCCTTATGGAAAAGGATGAGACTCAGACAGACTGAAGTCCAGAAGATGTGGGAGACTGAGATATGTGAGGTGGTGGATGTAGTCTGGAATCTGAGAGGAGGTAAAGTCTGGATGTCTTGCTGGATGGAATGTGCATAGGGTGGACAGGATAGGGGTGTACAGATCAGGCTAGTAGTGAAGATCCAGAGCTATGGAGCTCAGGGGTAATTCCATAGCAGAGCTAACCTTGCTGAGGTGTGGAGTACACAGCAGAAAGGGATCTGGGAATGAGTCAGAGGTGAGGCCTGGATGTAGGTCCAGAAGGCATGGGAATATTATGGGATGTAGGTCTGGCATACAGGATATGACATTGATACAATCAGAAAATGGGTTCTCTGTCTCTGAAATCACTCTTGCTACATGTCAGTCAGAGCAAATGCTAATTGGCAATAACAAGCAGATGGGTGAGCAGTTTTTTTTCATTAGTAGTACTCATCTCACCTTTTCCATGGTTCATTTTGTTGCACAGTTGGACTGACAGTTGTATACAAGTTAAATATGTAGATTGAACTTGAACATATATTAGATTGCATTTTGTTGTCTTATTGCTGTATTATAATTAGTACTCATTTTTCATATCTAATAACAAAATTTCAACATGAAGGTCTATATTAAACTGGCATGAACTTTGTTATACTAGTACCAACTTAAACAATTAATAATAAAATGTGTCTGTTGGGCATCTGTGGTACCTTGGGAATTGGGGCCTGTGGTCCTGAAGTCTCTGTCGTCCTGGGAGTGTCCTGGGACTCTGTTGCCGAAAACGGTAGTTTGCTGATGTTACACACCGCCCTGCAAGCGTGTTAGGGAGCGTTGGTTCCCGCCTTGGGCTTTCATTATCAAACTAGGTTTATTTTGCGCCGTGCTTCAAGGACAGATGGCCGAGCGGTCCAAGGCGCCAGACTAAGGAGACCAGCTCATTTGATGAGCTTATCATCTGGTCTCTTCGGGGGCGTGAGTTCGAATCTCACTCTGTTCAAATTTTTTTTGTTCTCCCGATTCACTGGACGACAGGCAACCACGCATTCCACCTCAGCACCATATGACAAGTTGATTGTACATTTCATATTTGGTTCATGTGGGTATGATCTCGCGGTCAGATCAGGGCGAAGTGCACCTAATAATTGTCATTGACGGAGCTCTCCAGTACCGTCCGGGAGAGTCGAGCAGTTATAGTACTACTTTCCCATTCTCCTTGCGTTGCTCGCACTCAACGCAAGGGGAAAGTTCAGTCGTTGCATCATTAACTCAGATCCAGTTGTAATTTGATCACATAAACTTGAACACCTGGCTTCAGTTGCTACGATCTTCTTCTACTGACTCCCAGCTTCGTTTCCGTTGTCTTCATACTGAACATCCCACTGCATGGGGTACATGTGATGTCTAGATAGGGCTCAGCCCTGATAAATGGGATTGCGTTTAACAAGGGCCTCGTTTACGAACAGCTATATCAGTCCTACTCATCCGCTCTCCAACCTGGTCCAGCAGTGAGTTCCTGATCCTATTGTATGAGTGTGATTGGGGCCTCCAAGTCTGTTCATGGCTCTATCAAACTGAGCTTCCGTACAGACTCATCAACGACAGCCTTCCATGTCGTGTTCTCCGCTCTAAGCAGGGCCTCCAATTCGTCCTTGATGCGTCTACAAGTCCCTACACCATCATAGCCAAAGCCAGTGTACACCTGAATCAGTGAAGCACCCGCCCGAGCATAATCCAATGCATCAGCGCCCGTGCTAATTCCCCCGCAGCCGATCAGTGGAATACTTGCAGGGACGTGCGCGCGCAGCGTTTTCAAAACCTGTAATGCACGCGGCTTCAAGGGAGTACCCGAAAGACCGCCCATCTCAGATTTATTGGCTGTTCCAGATCATACTGATGAGTGATTAAATAAAACGACAATGTATTGACTCACGATCCGTAAGACTTGCAGGGCGACTGACAGTAGTGTTGCTGACGATGACGCCATCAATGCTGCTCTTGCGAATTAGATCTGCAATATCAAGAATTTGTGATTCCTCGAGGTCAGGTGCAATTTTCAGCACCAAGCGCGGTCGCCGTGCAGTTATTGGTGATGGCTCGAGTTCGTCTCGGGCTTTTGTGACACTCGCAAGTAAATCTTCCAACAGCTCTCGATTTTGGAGACCGCTGAAGAGTCATCAGATAACACCAGAATGATGGTAAAGATCTTACCGAAGTCCAGGTGTGTTCGGGCTAGAGACATTGACAACCAGAACATCGGCGTATGGGCCGAACGTCTTCACACCAGTGACAAAATCATCCGGAGACTCGACCGGAGAAGATTTATTTTTACCTAGGTTGATTGCAAGAACTGACCCAGGTTTGAGGGCAGCAGTTGTATCGTCTTTCGTCTCATGAAATTTGGGTATGCGAGCGCGAAGGCGGGAAACCATAGAGGCAGCGCCTTGTGAGGGAAATCCGTAACGGTTGATAAGTGCTGCGTCATCAGGAAGGTGAAATACGCGTGGCTTCGGGTTTCCAGGCTTGGACGCTGCTCAGACTTCGGTAAAGAACTACCAGACATTACACACCTACCTGAGGTTTTGGTGTGACACTTCCGATTTCGACCCAGCTAAAGCCGAGATTAAGGATACCTAATCCAATCACATCGATACAAGGTTAGAGATGAGTCAGAGGGAAGCGTACCATCAATAGCTTCGCCATCTTTGTCAAAACCAGCTGCCAAGCCAACGGGATTAGACAATTCACGCCCCAAAAACTAAGTCGAAAGACTGTGAGTAACTCAAGCCAACCTTCGAGTGAAATAGTTGTGCACCTCAGTCCGCAATCTTTCATCATCCTGCACAGGGTCCCGCGGGCCAAGTCCGCTACGAAGGACTTTGACAGCAATCTTGTGCCCAGTTTCTGCATCAAATGTACGACGCAGGACAGGTGTCAAAACATAACGGTGGATTGCGGAACGCGCATCATAGTAATAGACAGCAAACAGGCCAACAGACGCAGTGAATACCGTCGCGTAGACAGCAGTGCGGGCAGAAGACTGGGAAGATGAGGATGCCGTCGTTAGCCTCCGCGCAAAGACTGGTGAGCGGTGAGGAGCGTGTCTTCGTAGAACATGATGAAAACCAGTCGTGCGGAGGTGCATGGTAGTCATACTCGCTGCGCAGGAAACTACGTTCAAGTGAAATTGTGCAAACGTTGAACCGAACTGTTGTAGTAGCAATCCGAGAACAAGTTTGTTTATTTACCAAATTTGAATTCACGTCACAGTCAACATTTGTGCTGGCTGCCGTCTGTAGTTACCTACTAGGCTACAATAAACCCTCTGGGACCACATGTCGCGTCAATGCCACGTCACTAACGGACATTCAAGTTCTGGCTCGTACATAACGTTTACGCACTGACGAGTCCTACATCGTGTATCTGCAGCTGGTAGCGGGCCAGCGGTGACTACTAGTAGACGCTTCGATCCGATGAGGGATGGAAGGACACGTCCTGGAGCAAGGAGATTTTGTTCAATCGTTCTGACATCAGTTCGCGTTAAGTTCGTAGTCTCCCAAGCTAGCCAGTCGAAAGAAGATTTTAAGTTCACGAGTTTTAATCACGCCTTTCGACATCGACAAGCCTGAACATCATTATCCAACGCGTCTCTGGCTTATCTTGTGTCGAAGATGGCAATTTACACGTCCCTGGCAGTATCCACTGTCATTTTAAATCCTTCTGAGAGGTGCCTGCAATGGTCAGACGATGGCCAGGCTTGCATTACCACCAAGGCAGCCGTGCATATCATGGTAATAGAATTTTGTCAAACTTTGGGAGAAGGTACCTTATCTTTGCATTCAGACCCCAGACTCGGGGATTAACTTCAGCACACCACCCGATATCAAGGCACTTCGAGGAGATGAGCAAGGGGAGCAGCCGCTTGGGTGGTTTAGGACGATGATCGAACTGGCTCGTGGACCGACACATGTGTGGCCGAGTATATGTCAAGGTGAGCATATGCCTGAGGTTTCCCCTCCTCGTTATTGGTTTTGAGGCTTGGGGTGATGGTAAGATTGGGGTGCTATTACTCTCGGATCCCTCGATGTTTCCCTTCGTGAGGTTGCATGCTCCCCTGGTAATCTCACATCACGGGGAAGGTATGTCTCTCATAGTTTGTTTGACATGCAGCTGATATGTATCTTCGAGATGCGTGATAGCCATTCTTAACTCAAACGCTGAAGTATCACTCTGGGCGGCTGCTAAGAATCACTTGAAGGGAGAATGGACCAATGTAAGAGCTGTGACTCATGTTGCTTTATCCGAGTCTTGAATTTTGTGGAGATTCAAGACGTTACAGGTCTGCTACTCAGCACGGCCTCGTCTGAGGATGTCATTCGTAACACCCTTCGAGCGCAAGTGACCAGTCTGTTACTCTGTAGTGTGTAATGACACATTCTCTGACATCCTGGTCAAGGTCTTGCCTGGTCCAAACAGCCGGACCATAGAATCACACCCACTCCGATCCTCGATTCGTCGATGCTTGCCCTAGGAAACAGGGCGGGCTGTATTGAGTTTTCCAGGTGCGTAAATGCGGGTCTTTTTTTGGAACTAAATACATCTTATTGTGTGCAGGTTTAACAGAAACAGCAACTCAGAAGGTTCCCTCTCGTACATCCATACAGAACCATTGAGCGACCACTGGATCACACATTTGAGCTGGGCACCTTGGATTACTTACGCCGCCGGTCATTGTAAGCTTTCTCGTGCCTATCGCATGAATGGGATCTTTATTACGGCAAAGGCGAATCCCTCCTGGCCTTCTCCACTGATAATGGAAACGTGGGACTGGTCAAAGTCACACAAAATCTGCAGTCTACTTCGAACGTTGGTTTTGTGCCCGAGTACACGACCAGTGTTGTATTCAACGTTCAAGATTCAATATGCGAGGCTGATAAACGAAGCGTGACCGCATTAACATGGGTTCAGCCACCAGGAAGAAACGTACTTTTTGATCTTCTTTCTCCAGTTTTACCTGGCTCTGATCGTATTTTCCAGCCCATCCTCGTGTACACAAAACCCGGCCTTGTGTACCTGTGGTCATGGCTCGGTTCCGAACCAACTTGGTACGGCACCCGCGTACTCCCATTCCAAACCCAAAAAATGTCCGTCGGATCCTCTGCCATTAGCCCTGTCTCTGGAGTATCCTACGTGCTTCACCGCGACGCACTCGTCCTCTCGCTTTTCGATGGTTCCTTGCATGCCATCCATGGTATGACTACAGAACCTACTTGGAGTCCTCCGCTTGTAGGCGACATCCTCACCTCTGCAGAACTATCTCGGGCATCGCGAGCGTTGTTCGCAAAAGTTACTCCTGCGGGAATTTCATACTTGGATGTCAACAGGATTGGTGGAATGGCATCGTACGACTCGCAGTCGACCCTCATCTGGATATACGAGTAAGTGTCATCAACGATATCATTTACAATCAACCCACAGATGCGTTTATTTTTTTATAGATCCCTTCGACCTACGGATTTCGGTTACAAGCATGAAGCTCAGCATGAATGTATGCTGCTCACTGCACCATTTTGGCAGCTCGATGATGAAACCGTCTTGCACACTGCTTCAGAGGCTTTTGCTGATATCTCTTGTGGTGGGTCGACCACTCAACCTTTCACTAGTCATTTGACGTTTAGATGGTTAAGCCTCAGGAAGCGCCCCCATTCACCATTTGCGCGCATTAATGCTTCATCTACGCAGTAATGCGCGCTTCTCGGCGCTGTGCCCCCAGGTACTGGGGATTTTATCGCAAGTACCACCAGACCAAACAACGACCATAGTCTTGCCACCCTGGACGCACGGATTAAACGATGACTTGCGACCCCAGCTTCGGAAAAGTCTGACTACTCATTTGTTTGGCTGGCACAATCTCCTATCGCTTCGAATGAGGCTCTCCATAGCCGACCTGTGTTGGGTGCGTGAATCAAGATCGTCCAATCCGGTACACTTACAGTATTTTGTTCACAGAAACTATGCAAGGACCCGGAGATGCAGGCACAGTGCGGTCAAGTCGCACAAGGCCTGCTAGCCGCCATCTCACACTGCGTGCTGCGGATACTGGTTCGTCACTTGAGAGCCATCATCCCCGTCATCACTGGTGCGCCTGAGCTCGCTCTCTTTTCTTATTCTCTGAGCTCTTGGCACAGCGCCTGATATCCCATTCGTCCTCCGCGAGGTGGTACAGTCATTATTACCCGGCTCGCCGCAAGATCTAGCAGACGAAGCTCAGGCCTTATCGGACACTCTCACTACATCATTCTCCATTGATCCTGCAATTGCCGCGTTGCACGAACACTGTCCCGCTTGTCGCACCGAAGTTCCACTGCATGACATCACCCGTGCAACTTGTCCAAACGGTCATGCCTGGGGTACGCCTCCCTCTTTCGGCAAAGCGTATCTCATGTTTTCTCTCATATTAGCTCGCTGTTCGGTCACCTCGTTCATACTCTCGACGTCAAAGGTGCGCACATGCATCGGATGTAGTCGGAAGGCCTTGCTTCCGTTTGCAGCGTCAGATGAGAGCCAGTTGCCTGTTGCTGCTCTGAGTTGGATCGTGAGGGATTTGTTGGAGGCTGTACAGCGATGTTTGTTTTGTGGGAATAATTTCGTGGAGATCGTGTAGAAAATGATGAAATGTATGTGAGTTATGTATTCAAGATGCATCGTCGAGTTCCAAATTTATCCAGCCTTCATCCGGACACTTCTGGAAAAGGAGTCGAAGTTGAGCTCCAGGTAACTTTCCGGGTTCTTGTGTCGACACTTCAAGGTAGCTTATCGTTCCTTCGTGAGACAACGAAATCGATCAGTGGTATACTACGCGTGAAATGATAGTCATGCCAATACAGGTGCTCGTACAATCTATGCGGAACATCAAATGTCCAGTCGGAACCAAAGTGGTATCATCTTCCACATCCTTTCTCTCTCCCTCGTAGTCCACATCGCCAGCGCTCTCGCGCACGCCTCGCACTCAGATACTTCTGCGCTACGGCGAGGTTCCCCAAACCGTGTATCATCAGCACCCGAAGCCTGACCAAAATCATACAACGGTTGTCCAAGCTCCTCCGCAACATACAAAGGATCAGTGCAACCACGCTCGCGATCAAAGAGATAGTGCTGAGTAGCCAGCGCCACAAGTTCGGAGAAATCTCTCCTGCATGAGCGATGCGACTGTGCGTGATGCCCCAAAAGAAGCGGATGAGAATGCGATCCCATGGAGCGGATGAGAGTTGTGATCGCGTGCTGCGACGCCTCTTTCCCCAAAGCTAACCTTTGCAGGTCTGCATTTGATAGCGGCAGGTGTGCGATAGAAGGGCCACTCTCGTCGTCCTGCTCGAAGAGTTGGGTATAGTGGTATCGTGATAGGTCGTAGAATGCAGAAGGCAGGAGGCTTGGCGCATTGACTTCTCGTGCGAGAATAATAACATCCTGAATGCGGATGAGCCATGTCGTATCAAATGTCAAAAGAGGCAGCTTACTGCTGGAGAAGGGTATATATTGGATATTCCAGGACCACTTTGCATCTCGTCGGCACGAACAAGGTCTTCTCTAGCGTCCCATCCCTTGAGTGAAGTCGGCCAAGCCCCGCTTAAATGAACAAGGGCTTTAGTTCTCAACGAATCAACAAGGTACTTGGTTGCAAGTCGAAGTATCCCCGAAACCATACGAAAATCGGCAGGGTCATTTTTCCCAAAGTTTCTGTACAAAAGTCGTCACATGCAAACGCGGCGCACTGCATTAGACCTACGGGCCATCGTAAAGTGCCGTAAGGAGATTCTCAACGTCCTCAGCTGTGTCGTACAATCGCAGAACAGGACACCCTTCTATTTCATTGGATGTATCTATTTGTAGTGCGGGGTTTCTGTTGGCAACCACGGTCGGGGAAGAAGACGTCGTACTATCCGCACTGGGTTGTGGCAATGAGAAGAGATCGCGGAAGAATGGCGAGTGGCGAGCAAGTTGAGACTTGTGCACGCGAAACAAGGTGTCTTCTGCTCTCAAAACGATCTATTAAAGCCCAAATATGGCCCGAGGGTTGTCTCAGTCTGCGCTCGATCACAGGCGGTTCATGATACGCACCGAACCATCACAAAACCACAAATCCGTGTGTTTTGAAGGTTCAGCAAGTGCATTGTCTCCTATGGAGGCTGCAACTTGCGAGTGCCTGTCCACGGAGGATCTTGGTGAATGGGCCGACCTGCGCGATAATCCATTAGGCGGAGGACTTCTAGGTGGGTAATTCCCGCTCGCGGAGATCATAATTGGAGTTGGGTAGTAGCTCGTTTGCATCATCGATCGACGACAACGCAAGACAACGCCCGACGGCACTAGGTAGGCCAAATAGAAAGAAGATTGTCTTGTACCGTGTACCGCTTGCTAATCGTTCGCAGGTAACTGCATGCTGAGAGCAAGGGCGTGGAAGCATTGCCCCAAGTCACTTCAGCTTGGCTACTGTCTTGGCAGAAGCGAAATGGAGATAACGTTTATTCTTAGATTCTTACATACACGGGCGTGCCATGGTCGGTTTGACTATTTTACAACCTGATCGATATCCTTGATCAATGATTAATTCACAGGGTATCATGGGATCTCAAACTGCACAGCCGAACCCTGAAGCAACCTATTAGTAGCCACGCTCCGTCCCCGCGGCGCAGGTCAAAATTAGCATGTCAAAACAACACCAGAGTATTACCTGGTGAGACCAGCAGCATCACTGTTGAACAAATCAGCATCACCTGGGTCAGAGCTAGTGTCCGTGCGCATACCGCAAGAAAGAACTATCAGAGCCCAGAACATCGGTGGGTACCATAAAACTATTTGTCGTGTTGTAGATCCTACCGGCGGGCCGTAGCAGTCTAAGCGTCAGAAGGATTTTATCCAGGATACCATCGAGGACGCGGTATAGCCATAGCATTCGTTGTCGCTGGGATTGTCTATCTATAGATGAGCTCGTTGCAAGTACCAGGTAACATTGGCAACTCACGTTCGATATCGAGTGCACCAGGAGGAGTGATATCGTCAGCAGACCAGCCACCTGTATGGAGTTCAACTCAGACATTCATAGGGATACTACTCGCTGAACAAACATACCACCGTGAGCGAGAAAGTAATTAGCCTGGGTGGCACCACTGGACAAGTCAGGGTGAGCAAAGTGGTAACCACCACGGATGAGTCCAGCGTTAGTCACGCCAATGCACTGATTGCTGAATGAAGAAGAGGTATAACCTGCAAGGGAATTCTTTTAGGGAGTCCTGATGTCAGACGAAGGGAACCTTTACTTGTGCCTTCAGTAGGCTTGATATAGACAAAGGCTGATACCGTTGTTTTCAATGGTCGTCTGGTCGACGTTGACTGGTAGCTAGAAACGTAAATGCCTCGTGGTGTGGCGCGCTGGCCAGGGCAGTCAATGCAAGGAGAGTGAGGTATTTCATCTTGAGAATCATGAGTTCAGTCCAAGCAATACTGCTAAAGAACGCAAATGATAGCTTAAATATGACTTGACGAAGACATACCAATGCACACAGATCATCTATCAGATTGTCCTACTCATGATCAGAGCATGTGCAACAACTGGGCCACCGCAACATTGAACACAGTTCTTGAAGCTCGGAGATTGGCACCGCATTTGATACCGTAACCAGTGCCAAAATTTGGTAGGGTGGAATGTCAATAGATATGAAAATGAACCAGAGAATGACCTCAATCCGATTGATCGAGTCAGGGTTGCATACATCAAAATCGTTTGGGCTGTGGAGGTCAACAAATCAATTGATCATCCCAGGTTTGTGATGCAGTGCATGTGCATCAGAGCCTATCAGGATGTATCAGGGAACGATATCCATGTTTAGGACGCACATTCTGTGAGCCTGCAAAACTTTGCGAGATGAAAGACCAAGAACCGAGTGAGTACCGCATGCAGTACCTGTGCACGAGGGGGAGCGCATGACGCTGTACACAGCAACTCATGTCCTAGTGAGGCGTGAACGCATGAAAGGCCCATGTTCGCGATGCAAATCACCACCTTCCAGAGGTCACAGGGGCCCTAGTATGGTGTTCAATATCTCACTGGCATCATGAATTGAGCATCCAGACAAGGCGCGCAGGAAAAACCGATTCATGGAAATATTAACCCAATATATGAAGATCCGCGAGGAAGGCTGTGACCTGTCTCGCTTTGAACTGTAGCTGCAGTCAGATCTCGAAGAAGGAAGACAGTCGTTTCGGGGTTCCGGTACATGTGATCGTACATTATGATAATTGATACTTTTTAGATCAAACAGATCTCGTATCCTCTTTGCGATTCGGGACGAAGGTTGCTGGTGAATTGAGGGGGCGGAAAGAAGCGGAAGTCTCAGTGACTAAGTCGAGGGCAATAGTGGTGAGCCGTTGGGATGTGGAGACAGATGGAATTGGACTGCTATAGTCGTCATCTTCCGGATCGTCAGGTTCGCGTTTAAGCACCCGGTATACATAGGTCACAACCACCAGCAGGTTGCAGATTATCAGGGAAGACAATACCTAGACACATGAATTTAGATTATGGATGGATGGGATATAGGCAAGACTTCACCTCTAAATTCACTGCAACTGTCTCTACCCATGTAGAGACTAGAAAGTGGGCGATAGCATGGAACAGGGAGAACATCGACATGATAATGCTAGATGAAAATATCGCGAGAATCATTCGCCGCTGTCGAGAGGGCAGGTTGACGTTCCAGAGCAATCGGAAGGAAAAGACCACCAGAATAGTGTCGGCGATACACTTGGCTGATGGAATAACGAGGTGAGCATAGGATGAAGCAGAAGGTGATGTGATGCTTACCTGCGAGCTGGTACGCTGCCATCGAGTGGCCGACGCGGCAGGAAGGACAAGGAAGATGGTACCACTTACTGCTCGATTCGAAACTCCGCGCCTTTTCCACGATAAAACCTGCACATGTCAGGGAGAAGAGAGTCGCGAAACCCATGGACAAATAGAAAAGGCGCCGTGTGTGCCGCGCGATCCGTGCGATGGCAAACAGTATGCTCATGCGTGCAGACCTTCAAGTTTGTTTGTTTTCCTAGACCAAAGTTCGGGAGGAACAGGATCTCACCAATTAACACAGGTGGACATGAACGTCGTCGCCCAAAAAGAAACCACGCACGTGGTTCCTTCTATGTAAAGTCCATTCATATGAACAATACAGCGAGATCAACAAATGACAGGGTACGCACGGCAGAGCAGATGAATCCAAGAATTAATCAGATGCGCCATTCCACACAATCCAGCAACAGCAGCCCACGCGTCTTCCCACCAGAATCTCCTTATGTGTAGTCGGAATAAGACACGAAAAATTGTGAGGGCGATAGCCATCCCTTGCACAACGCTGGTCACCGCTGAGTTTGAGTAAGATAGGATCCTGATAGTGTAAGAGTAACAACGTTTTGGGCGATGTACCCACCCTTCATCTGTATCATTGAGGGCGACAGCATCATCTTTGCTGAGGATGATGATATTCTGAATCAACAGTTAGCATTAAGCGCAAAGGACCAGTCAATGTGTGGTCGTACTTTAATTGCACCATTTACTTGGAAGATTGTAATCTCGAAGTTAGCGGAAATTACTGCAGGGCCGAAGTCGAGTTGACAGAATTTGACAGATAGGCGCTTACCGACCTTCTCATGCACATTGATGAGAAGTCGTATTCTATGCCATGGATGGGAACCACATCATTCCGCCCGACGTTGCAATGACCGTGCCCGATGCATTCAAGATCAAGAAAGTAGGATACTGGGCCGTTGTTCCTCCAATGCAAGACAGCCAGGTCGGTCTTTTGTCAGTATACAAGTCCTGAACACCTTTGACAGAGTGGTTGTCATATATGCCAGGCTAGTCAGGAACGATGGCCTAATAATATTGGAAGTTTAAATTCACGTCAGGCATCTGCTTCTGCTGCCACTCCTGCGAACTTTGTGGCACACGACGCAGTGAACTCGGAGGTGGTTGGTGAGGAGGTCAGAATGGGAGCAAGCAATATCAATATTGTGGTGCCATGGGCCGAACACAGAGGGCCAACTGTGCAAACAAACGGGTGGAACGCTGGACGTAGTACAGGGTGGGGCAACGTGGCAAGTATGATGAGAAGTAACGCGTAAGCCAAGGGAGCCTAAGCTGAATCGCCCCTGGGTCTCTGTTGCCACGGGTTTACGGTCAGCATAGCTCGGGCTGCCTGGGTGCCAATAGTTCCAATCTGAAATGATAATACCGCATCATCGCCGCGCTCGCAGGGCCGGGTCAAGACATGGCAGACTCGGAAATGCTGTTTGTAGCTACGACGGGGATACAATAACCCGGTCTGGCAAACATGCAATCCGAACTTGTGAATTTAGACTATTCATTTGAATCTAACTTGATGTGGCAAGTTCCGTGATGCATCAACCGGTTAGCGCTCTGGAGTCTACTCGTCCATCTTTCACTCGACAAAAACCTTTCTTCTGCGGGAGACTTGCGGCCGGATGAGCCCAAAGAGTCTTTGTTCGTCGAGTCTCTTTGCGTGACGACCAGGGAATGAAAAAAGGTGCACGTGGCTACTTCGAGCGCACTCTTTTGTTCTCATTCCAGGTTTGGTACCAAGAACAACACAAATCTCCGGAGTGGTATAAAGCACATGATTTACTCTTCTAGCAACTGAGTCTCAACGTGATTCACTCTTCCTGTTCTCATCGTCTTCCTGGCTGCGGCGAGCTGTGCTTGCACCTTTCTATCGCTTTGCGAAAGCAGCGAAACTCTCTTTTTAACTTACTTCAAATCTGTACTGATTCTCAGTTGCTTGCTGTTAAAACCTGAACGGCTTTCTTCGACGAAAAAAAATTCTAACATCTTTGGTTACGATGCAATTCACTACTCTTGTTGCATTCGCTCTTGCCGCTACCGCCTCTGTGCACGGTACTCCAATCCATAAGCGTATTGCGCAGGTCATCTCTGACTCGACTACCAAGTGGGAGGCAGCATGTGTAAGTTCCTGCAGATGCCTCGGCTCATCGTATCTCATAATGTCATTCCAGGATACCGCTGGCGGGGGTGCCCAATGCAACCAAGTTGCTGTCGCGTCCTTTGGCACTCTTCTTGCCGCTCCTGGTCCATGCGAGCAGCAGGATGCCGCTGATAACATGGTTGACCTCGCAAAGACTCTCAGCAACAACGCAGACATGATCAAATTTGCTCAGATCTTCGCCCAGCAGCCCCGAAATTCTGTTCGTATTTTTTCAAGTCCATTTTTTCTATCAACACTTACAGAATTCTATGCACATAGCCTACATCACAGAGCGTGCTCTACTGCCAGTCAGCCCCGCGTAATGCTGAGCTCAATGGGCTCTTCCAGTGTCAGTTCCAGGGCGATAACCCAACGACCTTTGTCGGTGGCATTGCCGTTGGTGGTAACGGGACTATTCCTTTCGGTATGAGTGCACCTGTCAGCCCGGCTGGTTCTTGCCTTGCAAACCCCTCCGGTCCCATCGCTGATGGCTCACAACTCGTGGATCTCACCCAGAACCCTGGTGTTGGTGGCACAACTGCCTCCAGTGACACCACTGGTGGAAGCAATAGCACCTCGACAGTGACCACTCCTTCCGCCGCACCTTCGTCTGGTTCTTCGGATTCTGACTGCGAGGAGGATCCAACCGAGTCTACGCCTACCGCTTCGCCCACCATGGCAACTACTAGCGCCGCCGCGGCAAGTACTAGTGGAAATTTCAAGCTCACCAATGGTCAGAACGCTCAGAAGCTCAACGCGCAGTTTGCTACGCTAACTGCTACTTCTCTCTGCACTGGTAAGTCCGCCTTACTCAAGTAACATGCCATTTTCTAATATTTTATGCAGAGGGTACCAATGCATGCGTCAACAGCGCTTTTGCGCAGTGCGTAGGGGGCACGTACGTGACTCAGTCTTGTGGGTCGGGTCTCATTTGCGCTGCCCTTCCTCTCGTCAACTCTGCTGGAACTTCGATCACCTGCACCACAAATGCTGATGCTTTGGCTCGCATTGCTGCCACTGGCGCGCAGGGTGGCCTCACTGGATGAGGCTATCGTTGAATGCTGGCATAAAGTCAGTGATCAAGTCGCTAGTCGACATCGTATCATTTTTTCAGATTAATATGGTATAGCAACTGCTATTATGTAGTGTTATACTACTTACGATATTTGTATCAGTATCGGTGGTGCTAGTCGCTGCATATATTTTATCGTCTACTAAACCGCACGATTAATGCGAATCTCCCCTAGCCAGACCATATAGAAGAAAGACAGTTGTCCCTTCTTGATGTGAAATGAAAAGTGGATCGTTCTGCTCATGGATATTGTTCGGGGATTACTTCACGGTAAAATAGTCCTCGGACCATACTCATGAGCAGCACAAGTTGATAGGATCGAGATTCAGACATCCAAGGTTAAAAGACTGCTCTAGTTCGAATCGAGACTTCAAATGGTCGATGAGATCCATGGGAAGACTGAATGATGAGGATAGGGCTGTGGAAAAAAATCTGATGAGATCTGTGGCTGCACAATAGTCGAACCTTTGGGGACCTGAGATCGCCTGGCTTATTCTCAGTGACCAGACCAGTGGTGGCTGCCGAGCACCAATCAACTTGGACCTCGAACGATAACTTGAATGGAAGAGTTATGCACTGCGGGATCCCTTCTTGACTCTTATCGAGTTTTATCTCACGACAGTACGTGGCCCTTGATCTTTGGTCAGTAGTGGTTTATCAGCTATCGATACAGACACTCACAGATATGATCATCCTCTGATTCCGAACATATTCCATGTGCCCGTAGGCTGTAGCATCGGTCGTCTTAACGTGGTCGCTTTTACATGACCACCTACACAAGATGAGGGTGAAGTTAGGTGAGGCAACCCTTCTCGGCGCGGTGGTGGTGCTGACATAAACTGATTTTAAAGACACGTGACTATACGCGTCGCGATCGAGTCTGTTTATTCGTGGCAGTGCCAATTAACTGACATAAGATTTCGTCGCAGAGTATAAATACAACGTGCCCGCCCTAGATCATATTTCTCCCTCGATTTACGTGCATTTCTTTACAACTTATTCTTCACTCGCCAACTTCAACTCGTCTTACAATATGATTTCCGCTATCTTCGACGGTGCTGTCCATGTCACCGTCGCTGGGTGCCTCGGAGCATTCTTTTTCAAGGAAACTGTGGTGGATTGCACGTCCAAGGTCGTTAAAGAAGCGGAGAACGTTACCGCCGGCCTCGTCATATCCGAACTCTGCATTTCTGTTGCGGTCCTAGCTCTGGTTTCCCACAAGACCGCCCGCATACTCCTCAGTAAAGATGTCCCAATTCCCTCCGAAGCATACTTTGGCCAAACTCAACGTTCCTCTCATTTGCAACAAAACGTCCGATTTCTCTATTGCAACAGAATCAATCTCATCAAATCCAATCGCAACCGAACCTTGCAGTATTTCTTCATTCGCATCAATTTCACCGAATCTAATCGCAAACGACTCCTGCTGCACTTCACCATCTACATGTACACTATGCACCCCACTCCTGCCGACTTCGCCAATTTGGAACGCCAAGCGCCTCTCAATCGATTCCGACACTACCCTCGTCGACCACGATGACGATTTCGTGAAGGACTGCTCTGACGCAGGCCTTCAGGAAAGCATTTTCCCCGAGGTATGAAGTCGCACAGTCTACTCAACTTTATCGCTTAATATTTGAATCTCTAGGACGACAGCGACTGTTCCAGTGGCGACTTACTCAGGCTCCTAGGCACAAAAGCACTCACGATCGATGACTCGAGTGGACCCTCTCAGCGGACACAGCTCCAGCCAATCATCCTCAAGGACAGATACCGGACGACGTCTGCAGTCACCGACGTTCCGCCTCTCGTGGACGCCTCGCCTCTAACGACCACGAGGCTTTCTCTCGGCAGCATCCCACCTCAGATCGTCACCCCCCGGCTGAAACCCCCGGATACGAAACGGCATCACAGTTTCCGCCCGGGTAGACACAAGGTATGGACATTCTCATTGCGAACCAAGTGTCGCACTCATCGTCATTTGTTAGCACGAATCTAGATCCGCTCGCTTGGCTGCTGCCCGTGACAGCATGAAGCACGCTCGCGCCAAGCAACTAGAACACATCACTATGATCGGTGAGTGATTTCCGGTGACGTTCGCTCCGCTTGTTGATTTTCATATAGATCACCTTGAACAACTCCATGACGAGCTCCTCGCCGACCAAGCCGCTCTTGTTGACGGTTGGGCAGCTGCCATGGCGCAGCTTGGACTCACCTCTATGCTGTCACCTGGACCACCACTTCTGCACCAGACGATACCCAACCCAGGAACCTCGATCGGAATTATTCAAGACTGACCTTCACGCACAATGCTATTCCTGAGGCCCCTGCGACCAAATCCCGAAGACTTGCAACGGCCTCCCTCGCTGTCCCCTACGACCTGGAGCTTCACTGCCCACGAGGTTGAAGGCAACCGCTAGCCGCGCACAAACTATCTCTTCGCGCCGCCTAGCCTATCTCTACAGTCTTCGATGTCGGATGTCCCCTACGACCGAATCCCGACACAACCGCAAACGCAACGGCCTCCTTCCTGTCCTCTACGACTCGGAGTTGAAGGCCACCGCCCGCGGCTCGCATATGCGATGATCTATCACAAGTCCCTTCTCTTTTGTTCGCCATTTTGTAAACGTCTCTCGATTTGTTTCTTTTTCCTTTGTATTTCTCTTATCGGTATGTACATAGCAGACGATGGACTGCCTGTGACTTATGGACACATCTTCCTTTTATCGATAAGTACTTGGCAGACGTTGAGCTGCTCATTTTTTGTGACTTGTAGACGCGTTTCTTTTTACAGTATGGAATCATCTTATCCATGTATGATTCACCCTCCGACAATGTTCCATATTTTCGTATATGTACGATGACGAGTATTAGATATCAATAGTTTGTATCGTAGTATCTGAATCCGATTTTCTTTACACGATACACTCTTCGGAAAATACGCTTGAGGTTGATCGTGCGCGCAAGCGAAAAGAAACATCACCAACAAGGTGTGGCAAAAGAGATCAATTCAATATTGCAAAGTAGACGCATGAACCAAGTCAAAATCACGGAGGTTCATACCTTCCTCGCGGAAATTGTTATATATATGCACGAGTGTGCATGATTAGGATATAGGCAGGCGTGCAAAATTGCACTTCAAGCATCGCGCCGCCTTCTCGGGCTCACATATGGTTGCAACGTGTCAATGCAGAATGGATGACTCTGCCTTGCAATCCCGGTAACAGGAGTAGCTGCTTTTAAGAAGTGATCGCCTGCGGTTGAGAGATGGTGATGGCGATGGTGACCCGCAGTTACCCAATGTTGAATCCGCGCTTGATATGGAGCGCTATGTGGTACCTTTGTGAGCACGGTTGGTCAATGCTCGTGCATCCATTGAACAAATTCCGTCACCTCTGGAGGTGATAGGGTTCAGTGACATGCAAGATGAGTTTATCGCTGAGTACTGGATCTGCAGCTAACCATGACATGCGCACACATGCCGTATAACGTGGTGGAAACAAAACGCAGATAGATAATCGATGCAGGGCCCAGTGTAGTTCTGCTCATGGGTTCAACAGGCCAGCCTGGGGATTGTTCGGAAGAACCATCCTCGGTTCATAATAAGTACTTCATATCCACACCAGCTCGTTTTATAGCACCGATAGATTTGATCGAGGCGTATTTTGTTGAAGTCTCCCTGGGGTTTGATATGATCGACTCATAAGATCCCTGTGAAGACTGAACGATGAGTATAGGACTGTTTCGAGCCTCTGCATGAACTGTGGTCATCAATATCTCATTGAGTAGTCACGTTGGTAATATCGGCCTAAGACAACAATAGAAAAGTCAATGGGAACAGACTCGTGGCATGCACATCAGCATCAATGCCTGGATTGACTAGACCATGATCCGTGGCAAATTTTTCTGAACTCCGCCAAGTTTTTAGATTAGGGAATATTGGCGATCAGACACTCATCTGTCCCCCTACCTCTTCTTTATCCTCGTTCACGACTTTTAAAGATGGATGTACGTGCAGATCAATACCTGAATGCTTACTTTCGAGTCCGATCTGATTACTTTTTGCTCTATCGTCCGTTTTTAACAGCCGAATTTTGTGCAGGGGCTGCACAATCTATTACTGCAGTCTACTTCAAACGATACCAACCAGCTTAAAGCTGTAAGATCGCTCCATCAGACGCGTTATTGATCGTGTGTCCTGACTTGTCATGTGTATCAGGCAACGGCTCAGCTTAATACTGAATACTACAAAAATCCGGCATGCATATCTGCACTCGCACAAATACTCGCCAGTTCACCGGAAATCGCGGTAAGCAAACATCATATCGGCGTATCTTTGGTTATTCCTCATTTTTATTGACCATGTGCGCGTGAATGTTCGTCTGTCAGGTCCGCCAACTAGCTGCGGTCGAGATGCGGAAGCGTGTTGCTCAAAAGAGTGGTGATCTATGGATGCAGCTCCCGCAAGATGTCCGGTCGCAGATCAAAGACCAACTTCCAGTTTTGATACTTGCTGAACAAGAGTTTGTCTCTCTCTTTACTTCCAAAAGTATGCTCCTGATTTTTTTGATGCTGTAGTAAGCTCGTCCGACACTCTGCCGCACGTGTCATCGCCGCCGCTGCTAGCATTGAGCTCACAGCTGGAACATGGCCACAGCTCCTTCCGTGGTTACACCAGTCATGTACATCAGCGCAAGTCGCACATCGTGAGGTCGCCATCTTCATTTTATTCACTGTCCTCGAGAGCATCGTGGAAGGATTCCAAGAGCATTTGCAAAGCTTCTTCAAACTCTTTGAAGGTCTTCTCATTGATCCTGAGAGTATCGAAGTTCGTATTACGACTGTTCGGTGCGCCTGGCTCTTCGACTAACCGTAGGTGGTGAGCTAACTTGTCTCAAGGGCTTTGGGTGTTATCGCCCAGTATATCGACTCTGACGATAAGGCCGACATCGTGCGTGTAATTTTTTATTTCCAACCAAATTGTCTCACTGCGTGCTACAGAAATCTTTCCAAGGACTTCTCCCTGGTATGATCCGAATTCTCGGGCAATCCATCGAGTCTGGGGATGAGGCTGGTGCTCGTCAACTATTTGATGTATTCGAGACTCTTCTCATCCTTGTGCGTTTTTATTTTAGTTTTCGTTGACTTGGACTTATCTACAAGACGCCCTGCAGGAAGTACCAATTCTTGGCCCACACATTGCGGAGCTGGCATCCTTCCTCCTTCAAGCTGGTGGAAACCGCAATCTCGAGTCTGAAATTCGTATCTTAGCCCTCAACGCCCTTAACTGGACTGTGCAATAGTGAGTTTGTGTTTGAGTCGATTTCATGAACGTACTCATGTCGTCTTTCAAGCAAAAAATCTAAAATCCAGAGTCAGGCTCTTGCTGGAGCCATTTTGGAGGGTCTCATGCCTATTACCACCGAACCTGAACCCGCAGATTCCGACGATGACGCTCCTTGCCGTGTACGTAAATTTAACCACTAGCTGAATGTGACCCCTGATTATCGTTATCCCAGTCTGCTCTTCGTATCATCGATGGCCTCGCCACGAACCTTCCCCCCACCCAAGTCTTCCCTGCTCTCCGAACACTTATCTCTCAGTACTTCTCTTCTCCGGACGCGAACAATCGTCGTGGTGCAATGCTTGCGCTTGGTGTGGCCGTGGAAGGCTGCAGCGAGTTCATGACGCCTTTGATGAGCCACATTTGGCCTGTTATTGAGGCTGGTCTCCAGGACGGTGATAACTCGGTCAGGAAGGCGACCTGTATCGCTGTCAGCTGCTTGTGCGAGTGGCTGGAGGAAGAGTGCGTTGCGAAGCACGCTGTTCTTGTTCCTGTGAGCACGGAAATGTTGATCGCGACTTGATACCCATGCTAAGACATACGTGACGCTTTTTAGGTGATCATGGGGTTGGTGCACAATCCTGAGACTCAGCGTTCGGCTTGCACTGCTCTTGACGCACTGCTTGAGATCTCGCAGGATGTCATTGAACAATACCTTCAGCTTATCATGGAGCAACTTGCTGGTCTGCTCGACACTGCGCCTATCGCCGTCAAGACTGTAGTTACTGGAGCCCTTGGTAGTGCGGCACACGCATCAAAAGAAAAGTTCCTCCCCTACTTCCAGCCAACCATGAACAAGTTGCAGCACTTCCTTGTCCTCACTGGTGAAGGCGAGGAGACCGAGCTCCGCGGCATCACTATGGACGCTGTTGGAACGTTCGCAGAAGCTGTTGGCGTTGATGTCTTCCGCCCATACTTCGCGGACATGATGAAGCAGGCGTTCCAGGGTATTGAGATGGGCAGCGCACGTCTTCGGGAATGCAGTTTCCTATTCTTTGGCGTGATGGCTAGGGTATTTGGCGAGGAATTTGCACCATACCTACCCAGCGTCGTGCCTCCGTTGGTGCAGAGCTGCAAGCAAGCTGAGCATGGCGAGGATAATGTTTCTACGTGTACGCTTGTCGCTCCTTTTGAACGGGTGGTTTTCTGATGGATTACTTCTAGTTTCTAACACTGACGCTGCTGTTGCATTTGCATCCGGGTCCTCTCCTACAAACGCGATCTCTGTCACGGATGACATCGATGCCAATGGCAACCCCCAACTTGAGATCGAAGACGTTGATCTTGACAAGATGCTCGAAGTCAATAGCGCGATTGCAGTCGAAAAGGAGATTGCTGCAGACACAATTGGAACGCTCTTCTCTGCCACGCGCAACCACTTCTTCCCTTTCGTCGAGCCTTGTGCTCTCGAGCTCGTCAACTTGCTCACGCATTATTACGAGGGTATTCGCAAGTCCGCGACGGACTCTTTGTTGGAGATGGTCAGGACGTTCTATGAACTGAGCGGTGCGCCAGACTGGACCCCTGGGGCGACGGTGGTGAGTTGCGCTTACTATATCTGAGCATGATGCCAACGCAGTGTCTAGACTGTCCCTCTTGAGCAGAGCGTGAAAGAGCTCATAGGTCACAGCTTGAAGCCCTTGCTTGAGATGTATGAGACTGAGGATCACAAGTCAGTCAATTTATGTTCAGTCGTGTACTTTTACTCACCAATTTATCATAGGACCGTTGTGGCATCGTTATGTCTTGGTCTTGCCGAGACCATCAACAAGATCGGACCCGCATTTATTGAAGGCCGTGAGTCAGATCATCAGCACTTTTTTTGGTTGATGCTGACATGTGGTGCAGACCTCGATGTCATCTGCAGCATCGCGGTGCAGGTCCTTGAGCAAAAGGCACTTTGCCAACAGGATCCTGATCAAGATGAAACCGAGGAGGCACCCGAAGATCAAGCCGAATATGATTCAGTGCTCATTTCCTCTGCAGGCGACTTGGTATCTTCACTCGCCAATGCACTGGGCAATGACTTCGCGCAGGCATTCAGTACCTTCTTCCCTCTTATCTCGAAATACTACGTAAGTTCGAGTTCTTTCCAGCGTATGTTCAGGGACTGACTGCACTTCGCTTATAGAAGAAGAACCGGTCAATGAGCGATCGCTCATCCGCTATTGGTTGTCTCGCAGAGATCATTGCTGGCATGAAAGCCTCTGTCACGCCCTCGACAGAACCTCTGATGGATCTGTTCTATCGCGCGCTCAGCGACCCGGAACCGGAGGTCCAGAGCAATGCATGTTTTGCCATCGGTCTTCTCGTTGAACACTCTGAAATCGACCTTTCGCCGCAATATATGCATGTCCTCACTGCCCTCCGCCCCCTGTTCAACGTCACGCCCACTGATCCTTCAGCGAAATTCAATGCAAAGGACAATGCTGCCGGTGCTGTTTCCCGTCTCATCATCCGCAACACTGCTGCCGTCCCTCTGGACCAAGTTCTTCCTGTGTTGATGGGCAGCCTCCCGCTCAAGACCGACTACCTTGAGAACCGCCCAGTTTTCCGCGCTATCTTCCATCTATTCCGCACGAACCCCCAATCGCTCTTGCCGTTCATGGATCAGCTACTTGCTGTGTTTGCTCACGTTCTTGATCCCAGTGGACCTGAGCAAATTGGTGATGAGACGGGGGCTGAGCTGATTGCGTTGATTGGTATATTGAACGCAGAAGATCCAGGGAGAATCCAAGCAGCAGGGCTCAGTGCCTTCACAGGAGCATAATCCATTCATATTTCTTTCCCATCATGCACTTGTCTTCCTTTCATCACACCACAACGCTCGTCTTTTGGATTCCATGTTTCAGTCCCTCCCGCTTTCGTTGATTTAGATTACTTACAGAGTTACTTCACATGCTATCTTCAAAATGACTCATTTGTTCATAAGGGTAATACGGATTTGATAAATGTTCACATGACCTACTAGTCGCGACGCGTTGTTTTTGTGTATTTGTTCATTCTCTCTCTCAATCAATCATCTTTGGCCTTCCAACTGACCGATCGAATAATTCGAAATCTGAGCTCGCTGGCCGACTCATCTTCCAACGTGCGTCGTCGTCGCGCCTTACGACTCCCATCACTATGATCGTCACTCTTTTAACCCTCCTCGCTGCCGCGTCAGCGGGTCGCGCGACAGTCACTGTCGACAATCCGCTGGATGGCCAACTGCCGCTTATTGCTCGTGTTGGCGAAAATTACACTTGGTCCTTCAGCCAGTTCACGTTTTCAACAGACCTGGACCAGGCTCTTTCATACACCGCCTCAGGCCTACCGAGTTGGTGCTCGTTTGACAACACAACTCGAACGCTCTACGGCATGCCTTCTGCTGCGGATGAGGGCACGCCGCAGATCACCATGAACGCCTCAGACTCTGAGTCCTCGGCAACCTCATCGTTCTTTATCTGCGTCACGTCCTATCCTCCTCCAACGCTTGAAATTCCTCTACAAAAGCAGTTCTATGCAGGCAGTTCCGCGCTCTCATCGGTATTCTTTCTATCTCCCGGATCAGCTCTTGAAACGGACGAGTTTGTATTCAGGGTTCCATCTCAGTGGTCCTTCAGCATCGGTATCCTCAGTGACACGTTCTCGGCCCAAAATGACCTATACTATGCGGCCTTGCAAGCGGATGGAACACCTCTTCCTGAATGGCTTATATTCAACACAAATACTGTGACCTTTGACGGAGTAGCGCCATCTGAGGCTAATTTACCCACGCCTTACACCCTATCTATAGATGTCCATGCGTCTGATCAGGAAGGCTATAGCGCGGATACTGTTTCTTTTGACCTCGTCGTGGCTTCTCACGAGCTGTATGCACTATCGACTCTACCCACTGTCAATGTCACAGCCGATTCTCCTTTTAACTTCACGGTCATGGCTGCCGCCGATTTTACTGGTATACTGGTGGATGGACAGCCTCTAGAACCTACAAACGTCACCGGTTTGTTTATCGATGTGTCTGCGTACAAAAACTGGCTTCAGTACGATGAGGAAAGTAGGACGCTCTTTGGGATCCCGCCAACTGGACTTTCTGCAACGAGCGCTACAAACGGAGGACCTGTCCTGCCTGCCAGGCTCACCACTGACTTCAATCAAACCTTGGACACGACGATTTCTCTGGCAGTTGTGTCATCCTACTTTTCTGCCTCGGACCTTGGAGTCATCAATGCGGATCCAGGGCAGCAAGTCCGTTTCAATCTGGCTCAATTCTTCTCGAACAAGGCCGACACTGCCCAAAATCACAACGACGTCAATCTCAGTGTTACCTCTTTCCCCGATGCAAGCAATTATTTGAGCTTCGATCCAGTCTCTGTGGAACTGTCCGGACAGATCCCGAGCAACTCGCAAGTCCCAAAGATTGTAGTCACCTTCATTGCCTACTCCCATGTCACGCACTCCACTTCCCACGCAACGCTATCCGTGGTATCTCCACAGAAGGAAAATCAGAGCCAGGGACTGGGAACGGCGAACTCGGCGGGACGCCAAACAACGACTCTGATACTGTCTGTCGTTTTTGGTGTAATCGGAGGTCTGCTTTGCCTTGGCGCCGGTCTGGCCCTGTTCAGGCGTTGTGCAAGGGTTCGAGACTCGGCCTTGCTAGGCGAAGAAGGCGCATTCGCTTGGTCGGATGCGGAGAAGAGGTACTACGGGATGGCTCCCGTTGGAAATAGTAGTCTTCGTGAGGAAAATAAGGGTTACGGCTGGTCCAAGGAGGCAGACACGAGCGCGACCTCGGAGAAAGGCAGCCTTGAGCTCAGTCAGCGGCGAGGGAACCCGTTCGAGCCCATTGAAAATCCGCCGTCGAACGCGTACGAAAATCTTGGACTTGGCCTCCGGCGTGTTATTCCTCAAACGCCTTCGACTGTTCACGCTGATTGCAATGGTGTCATGAAGAAGGCGGAGTTCCTCGGGCGGATCAAGGAGACTGCAAGGAACGTGAGCGACAAATACAAGCGCAAGGTTGCTCCAACAAGGCCCGTCATCGGTAACCCTACGCCATTAACATCAAGACATGCACGTCAGGGCGTGGATGGGCTTCCTCTCGAAGGCGATTACATAGACATCAAGGCCACCCCAGCTTCACAAGATATACGCGAAAATCCCTTCAACGATCCGGAGTTGAAGGTGAAGCGCGTGAGTACGATGACTAGTTTCATTAGTTCTCCGTCGAACTCTACGGATGAGAGATCTATCCCACGAAGGCGAGCCGATTTTGCACCTCCAAGGTCGCCGCGGGGCCCGCGAGAGCCATCACCTGCTGCCGTCAAGGACTCTGTTCGCAGAAGGTACATTTTTCTTTTCGTTGTATCGATTTGATATTGACTGGAAGCATCTTTCAGCATTATCAGGGAAAGCCTACAGAGCACAAGCATCGTTTCCTATGAATCGCGTCCTGAGACTATCCAGACTATCCACACCGCCGAGGAGAAACCTCGTCTCAAACAGTTCACAAATTCTTCCCGAGTTCCTCCTCCGCGGTCTCCATCTAGTAACCAAGTAACGCTAGATGTATCCCCGGGAACCAGAAGAATCGCTAGCCAGACAGCAAAGGTCTACCAAGAAGGACGGGACACGCACCACACTAGTACTGATGAGCTTCGCATGGGCATGCATTATGTTCGCACACTCGGAGAAGGCTCATCGAACGTGCGCTCTGTATCCGACGAGTCATTCTCGTCGCTCGCGTCTTCTCAGCCTGCTCTAGGTACTGTCAGTGTGGGGACGGAAAACACCGTCTCTCGATTCATCGTACGGACTGGTGAGAAGTTCAAGTTCCGCATTCCCATGAAGTCCATCAATGGCACATATCGCAAGTTGGAGGCAAAATTGATGTCGGGGCAAGCTCTCCCACACTTCTTGCAATTGGAGCTGAAGGGGCACGCGGTAACGACAAGAGAGTGGTCGAGTTTTATGGGATTCCTACAGAGCAAGATCTTGGGGAGATACAAGTGGGCGTATTCAATGCAGAGGGTGGAGAATGTCTTGCAAAGGTGATCGTTGAGATAGTTGGAAGGAATAAAAGGTCTCCGCCATTGACAGGGTGAGCCGGCTCACATCGTGTCATACTCGATTTGTCCACGTTTCATGGCTTTCTAACGGACCAGTGGGCTTGGCATTATTTGTAATTCTATGTAACTTAGATTTGATTCTTTCCGCCGTGTGCATGCAAATATAACGCCGTTGTTGGACTCCTCTCACGAGATCCATCAGCCCGTCACGGACAGGGCCATGCTTTGCGATGATGGCATGTCATGAATCGTGTCACCACCATCAAATACCGGACATATCTAAAGACATGTGTGTATGTCTTGGCTCCCAGATATTGCGGACTAGGGACTCATCAGCCAGTGTTCGTTTCAAAGGGTGATCTTCCACGAAAGTAACGGTAATGAACAGTCTGTACACGAAAAGCGGAGACATTACAGGACGGTTGGTGTGCGAGGCAAATGCGGATCCAGTGAAATGTACAATACACGTGGTGAAAAGTGGTGAGGCGTGTCTGTCCGTACTAAAATCATTTTGGTTAAAGGAAGGGACACGCGATCGAGGGTAGGGGAACCCACATTGATCTATCCAACGTGAATCTACAGTTGTTTCATGACTTCCAGATGAGGATAGCAAGCGATCCGACGTAGAAATAGATAAAGTGCTTGGTTTCTGAAAAAAAATATAGCTCATATTAGATTCCTTCCCGCGAGGTACAGAAGCGTAAAAAAGTTGTAGGAGATCGATGAAAGTAAACAGGTCGCATAAACACCACGTCCAGCGATGGGCCAACATCACAGAGCACAAAGACATACCATGAGTTACGTAGCTGCCAAAGTTCTTTCCGACAACAACGTGCCACGTAGGGCCATGTCGTCTGTCGAACTCTTTTTTGATCTGTGCAGCGATGTCCTTCTCTATGTTATATTTCTCGAGAGCAGCAGATGCGATCTCAACGCTTTCTTGCTGCATCTCTTCAGTCATATCCACGTTCTTGATGATAGCCTTTGGCCCGCCGGCAGAATTGTGTTCTCTGGGACTGGAGCCAGTGTCGGTAGATGTTACTGCGTTGTCTGCCATGATGGTGAAGTATGGAAGAGGGTAATCTGGTATTTTTTTTTCAGCTTTGTATGGGTTTATATATGTCTTAGATAGGCCTGCCTTGAGTTTTTGGGCGTGCGGGTGGCAGTTGTGCGCTTGCGCGTGTGGTTAGAGGGAGAGATCGCGCTAGAAAGTGCTGTTGACTTTAATTTTTGCACGTGGCTAAAATGGGTTAACGCATCATCATGTTTATCTGTACCACATGCTCCAATTGAACGTGCTCCGCACGCTCCTTCAATATTTCAATAACTTATCAGGAATAACTAATCTCTAGATCTCATAAATGCCGTGAGCTGGTCCAGCAGTTCATCAGGTGACACTCCATGTTGCGCTCTCGCACCTTCATTTCATCCTTGCATGATGTGTTTTGGTCAGTATTCTATTGACTTCTAATCGATATAGGCTGTGTCCATTGCAGGGCGTGCACATGCAACAGAACCTTCATCACAATCAGCATGTGGATCCGAAGGACATCCCGTCCCTATCTCCGCAGGGCACACGCAAGTCCTATGTGTTCTTGTCGCTTCCCAGTGCCCACTGCTTCGTATTCCCCTCGGACCAGAGTTCTACTGACTAGACTATCAATCTGGAAACAAGTTCTTGCTAAGTGCCGCCGGCTTGGTTGATGGTAAATAAACAAGGTTTTGTTTTTTCCAACCGTTTGCATGGAACTACTTTGCCTTCAAATTTGGCTGTCTTATGAGGACAGCTTCTTGAGTGTCTAAGCACATCTCCCTTGCCCACAGAGGATGGCGACTGCAACGAGGCGAAACCACCAGCTCACACGCCAACCCTTGTTTCGCTAACCTTTATTTCCGTTGACCTGCATGCGCGCATCGCGCTTCATCGTGTCAATAAGTTGTACGTATACTGCACTGCATCCTGCATTTGATGTATCATATTCAAGTCTGATATTATTCCACGTCAAATCTCAGTCAGGCCTGGGGACACGCGGAAACCCAGTGTACACGCAACACCGACCAGGATCAAGGAATCATAGTAAATAGTCACACGAGAGACAGTTGATGCCTATCCAGTCTATTCTTCCCAACCCGGGGAGCCGCGCTTCTCCTGATCACAGGCGTCGAGACGGTACCTACTCGATTGGATATCAATGTCGCTAGCCCGGTGGGTGCCTAAAGACTGTGGAAAACATAGATGCTTAAATTAGATGAGTTCACGCAGGCTCAAAAAATGTGGGATAAATTAATTTTGCAAGGTAAAACACAAAGCGTCTGCACATATATTGAAATTCAGTTCTCGTACAGCAAGCAGGCCCGTGTTCAACATCCAATGCTGAACATCATGGCCAATGACCATGCACTTCCCGCTTGTCGTACTGATTCAAAGGAGCAGCACGACACTCACGGTTTAGGACCTGATATGGATTCCCTCCTTTTGATTTGTTATCAAACTATGTTCTATCCTATCTCAGCCTATGGGAAGCCATCTAATATCTAATATTATGCCGCAAGCTAACGAAGAACACATTCGATGCTTCAACCTAAGTTGGTCTACTTGACACTTTCAATCCGGTGAATGCCTTCTGAACCCAATGTGCTCGCCGTCGTATACCTTCTCAATCCTCCAGGTGTTTAGTGGCATGCCCAATTCGGAAGGTGTGGCACCCACAGTGTCACAGGGTAGAACCCATGTCTCTGTGGCTGGCCAATGGCACTATCAGTAACTACGTGCATGATTACCAATTCGCTCGGGCCGCCGTGACACTCTCATGTGACGTCATGTGCATTGGTACGCATACAGTGGGAACGCCCACCTTATCTTATGGTGCATGACTTTCTGACGGCGGGAAATTCGATTCTCTTCCTATCTTCATGGGCCAGACAGCACAGATAGAGCGAGAGCCTTTCGCTGACGAGACGGCACCTTCCACTGTCCAAAACATGCGCTGGAGAGCTAAAGCAGATCCAGAGCTTGTATGGCACGCAACTCAAACCTACAAGCGTCAACGCAGTGCTTTCCGATCGAAGATCCTTGATTTTGCATGTTTTTTGGGTCTTGCATTGTTTTTCCATCACTTCTGGCCATCTCTTACAACCTATGCCTTCCCCACTCACGAGAGCCAGAGGTTACTTGCTGTAGCGGATGAAATGTGTCCACAAGTCTCTGCTATCACACCTTCGAGCTACGCGTCGCTAGTCGACACTCTCGATGAGGAGTACGGAACCAAAGAGTTCAAACTAAAGGCATACGAGTCACTGGGAGGCGCCGTAAGGATTCCGTGAGTATTCTTGTCTCGGGGATCGTTTCTTTTTCATTCAAATTTATATAGGACCGTGTGCTATGACGATCTTGGCACTCCAGAGGAGGACCCGCGATGGAAGGTATTCGATGAATTCCATACCTACATCGAACAGCGTTTCTCAAAAGTGTAAGTAGCATATATCGATTATACTAAAGTATCACTAAGAGAAAAACAAGCCACACCGCTCTACAGCGCACCAAGGTTGCGACCTATGCACTTGTCTATCACTGGCAAGGAACGGACACGTCTTTGAAGCCACTTCTCTTGGCCGCACATATGGATGTGGTCCCCACAAACGCTGCAACTGAAGCTGACTGGATCAACCCCCCTTTCTCGGGTTATTATGATGGCGAGTGGATTTGGGGGAGAGGCAGCTGCGACGACAAGTCTGGAGTCATCGGCATCATGTGAGTAGTAAAGAATAGCATAAGCGTCATCGCGATGCTGAAGGTTAGGATAGGACAGCCATCGAGACTCTCCTTGAGCAAGGGTTCAAACCTACAAGAACTGTCGTTTTAGCTTATGGCATCGACGAGGAGCGTGGCGGCCCAACTGTAAGTGTGCTTTTGATTTGAGTGAAAATATTCCAATATTATCGTAGGGAGCTGCAGCAATTGGAGAGTATCTCGTAAAGACCTATGGAGAAGATTCCATCTCAATGATTGTCGATGAAGGAGGTAAGATGACTCTTTGATTGAGTTGCACCCGACTTCTCAAATCCATCAAGGAGGATACTCAGACTTGAGCGGCACTGTGTTTGCAACTCCTGCAGTTGCTGAGAAAGGGTACTTGGACGTTCGCGTGGATGTTCTCACACCTGGAGGGCACTCGAGCAGACCTCCGAGACATACCGTAAGTACACCACTGTACACACAAGTGACATGTCTCATGGTACGCAGGGCATTGGTATCCTCGCCAGCGTTGTCACTGAGCTGGAGGCGAACCCACACGTCCCGAAGCTTGCACGCGACCGAACTTACTATCAGGGTCTGCAGTGCAGGGCAAAGTATGATGCTGGGTTCCCATCTGATATGCGCAAACTTGTTATCGAATCACAGACTAGCGACGAGAAGTTGCATGAACTGGAGACAAAGCTTGATGATTTCGACCCAGCATACTCCGCTTCAGCAGGTACAACTCAAGCCATCGGTAAGTAGACAAGGACATCTCACGTTGGCGGCTTGAAGAAACAGTTGGTCAGACATCATCTACGGTGGCGTTAAGATCAACGCACTGCCTGAAGCCGTTTACGCCATTACAAACCACAGAATCGCAGATCACAGGTATGCGAAGGCGGATCACTATCCAGACCAATCCACTTACAATGAACCAGCTCTGTTTCTGAACTTCAAGACCGATTTGCGAGCATCGTCGCACCTGTTGCGGCAAAGTACAATATGTCGCTGGATGCATTTGGGAAGCAAATCGGCCTTGAGGCATCTACATGGGGTCTTGTAAAGGTTTCAGAGGCATTCGGCTCGGGATTAGAACCCGCACCTGTCACCCCAACTACCGGAAGCGGGCCATATGAACTGCTTTCGGGTACCGTCTTGTCCACGCTGAAGACCAACCTCCGTACGGACGACTTCCCTGAGTTTTCTGTCGTGTCACCTGGCCTTTCCCTAGGTAGACTAGCATTTTAATACTTCATATCGGTCGATGGCTAACGTGTTCATCCGATAATCGTAGGAAACACGGGTAGGTGGCGCTTATGACGAGAACACGGAGATCATCTGAACATGCGTTTTCCAGACACAAGGCACTACTGGAGCCTTACCAGACACATTTTCCGATATGGCCACCGTGGTGCCGCTGATGGCTACAATGGCGCGCATACCATTAATGAAGGTAAGCAGGCTGCTGCACTACCTGCTGTTTTACTCAATAATGCGGTGGTCTCGATCTCTAGCCATCAGAGCAGAGGGCTTTTTGGAACAAATTCGCTTCTTTACGAGGTTGATTCTGAACGCTGACGAAACTGATCTCCTGGAGTAAATCTAAGCGCAGCGATGGGAACGGAATCTAGAAATAGCCCCTATGTCGCTTGTTTTCAGATGACTTTTGAGTGACTTCGCTTGTATTTGCCGCAGTAGTGTGTGATCAAGGGATTTGAGAGTAGTTATAGTATCATGTAAGATAGGCAGTTGTATGTCGTATGGAACAAACGAATAAACAAGGTTCGCGAAAACTTTCGTTGGGGACTTGCATTGGGGAGTTACATAAACGTCGGTGTTCCCGTGCTCCTATAGTGAGTCTTGCGAAAAATAAGCGTTGAACGTTGAAAGCATATGGGATGGTGACTCTGACTGCGACGCTATCGCTGCCGTATTAATGGTGTGTTCTGAAACCAGTTTCAAGACAAGTGCTCTCGATAACCATTGACGCGGGATATAATTGGTTATTACGTAACAAAGTAGATACTTTTGGGGCTCAGTAAAGAAGTAATAAAATACTTGACAAGCCCCCCATCATATCTGTGTCCCGCTTACTTTCTCTTTCCTCCCATCATCATCTCCCATCTCTGGCAGTCCAGTCTGCCAGTGAATTCAGTTCATCCAATAATCAATAACTGGTGGTAACAATGTCAGCTCACGATCACTCAAAAGTAGCCCACTTCATAGGTACGTGTCCTATCACTGAATAATAAATAACGCGTTTTAGATGCTGATCTCATTTTCAGGTGGGAATTCGCTGGATAAGGCTCCCGCTGGCCGTGTTACGGACTTTGTAAAGGCTCATGGAGGTCATACAGTCATCACGAAGGTAAGTCTCTTCTCGGGTTCTTAAAACCATGTTTCATGTGCTTTCCCCAACCCCATTCATCCTCGAATGATTTTTAATATAATTCTGATCAATCCCTGTCTTTTATAGGTACTTATTGCAAATAACGGTACACATCATTGATACAGGGGATGCTGCAAAGGTTAACTCACGTTACACAGGCATCGCGGCGGTCAAGGAAATTAGATCCATTCGCCAATGGAGTTACGAAACGTTCGGAACAGAGCGAGCTGTCGAGTTTACAGTTATGGCAACTCCTGAGGACCTCAAGGTAAATGCTGAGTATATCCGCATGGCGGACCAGTACATCGAGGTTCCAGGAGGATCAAACAATAACAATTATGCCAACGTTGACCTTATCGTCGATGTTGCCGAACGTGCTGGCGTGCATGCTGTCTGGGCAGGATGGGGTCATGCGTCTGAAAACCCTCGACTACCTGAGAGTCTCGCTGCGTCGAAGAACCGTATAGTATTTATCGGCCCCCCAGGAAGTGCCATGAGGAGCTTGGGAGACAAGATATCAAGCACAATCGTCGCTCAGAGTGCGGATGTTCCCTGTATGGCTTGGTCGGGCTCTGGCATCTCGGACACCGTCTTATCAGAGCAGGGTTTCGTGACCGTTCCCGACAAGGCGTACAAGAACGCTTGTGTCACAAGTGTCGGGGAGGGTCTCGCCAAGGCTGAGATTATTGGATATCCAGTCATGATCAAGGCCAGTGAAGGTGGAGGAGGAAAGGGCATTCGTAAAGTCGATCATCCGGATGCGTTCAAGAATGCATTCCACGCCGTTGCAGGAGAAATTCCAGGTATGGTGATTTAATTCGACTTCAGCATCCCCTAACCTACCGTCGCCAGGATCGCCGATTTTCGTCATGAAGCTAGCTGGCCAAGCACGACACTTAGAGGTTCAGTTGCTCGCCGATCAGTATGGCAATGCTATCTCTTTATTCGGACGTGACTGTTCCGTTCAACGTCGCCACCAGAAGATCATTGAGGAAGCCCCCGTCACCATTGCAAAGGAGGATACATTTGAGCAAATGGAACGTGCAGCCGTCCGGTTGGCGAAGCTAGTCGGATATGTCAGCGCAGGAACGGTTGAATGTATGCGCATTATTTTTACGAGCTCTTTCAAATTCACTAACTTATTTCCCTCTAGATCTCTACAGTCACGGGGAGGATGTGTTCTTCTTCCTTGAGCTGAACCCCCGTTTGCAAGTCGAGCATCCGACGACTGAAATGGTTTCCGGTGTCAATTTACCTGCTGCCCAACTACAGGTAGCCATGGGAATCCCTCTTCACAGGATCCGTCATATCCGCACTCTTTACGGCGTGGCTCCTAATGCATCGTCCGAGATCGATTTCGACATGGATGAAACCCGAGTCGAATCAGCTTCAGCGCAAACCGCGTCCCAAGGGTCATGTCGTTGCAGTTCGTATCACTGCCGAGAACCCTGACGCTGGATTCAAACCTTCATCTGGATCTCTGCAAGAACTCAACTTCCGTTCCAGTACGAATGTGTGGGGTTACTTCTCCGTCAGCACTGCGGGTGGTTTGCATGAGTTCGCTGATTCCCAATTCGGTCATATTTTCGCTTATGGCGAGGATCGATCCGAGAGTAGGAAGAACATGATCGTTGCGTTGAAGGAGCTTAGCATTCGTGGTGACTTCCGAACTACTGTCGAGTACCTCATCAAGCTCCTTGAGCTCGAGGCGTTCACTGAGAACACCTTCACAACCGGATGGCTGGACACTCTTATCAGCAACAAACTCACCGCCGAGCGTCCTGACGCTACGCTTGCTGTCGTCTGTGGTGCCGTCACGAAGGCTCATCTTGCTGCTGACGCTTGCACCAGTGAGTACAAACGCATCCTTGACAAGGGTCAGGTTCCTGCTCGAGACCTGCTCAAAACCGTCTTCGGTGCTGATTTCATCTATGAGAATACGCGGTATAACTTTACTTGCGCACGCTCCTCCAAGAATATGTGGACGCTGTTCTTGAACGGTGGCCGGACCATGGTTGGTGCTCGTCCACTGGCTGATGGTGGATTGCTCGTCATGCTCGATGGCCGGAGTCATTCCGTGTATTGGAGAGAGGAAGTAGGCGCGCTGCGTCTCATGGTCGACGCGAAGACGTGTTTGATTGAGCAGGAGAATGATCCCACGCAACTCAGAAGCCCGAGCCCTGGCAAACTTATCAGGTTCCTTGTCGATAGTGGCGACCATATTAACGCTGGCGAGACGTACGCAGAAATCGAGGTAAGTCTTCTATAGTATAGACACGATGTTTCAGTGCCTGAGCTAGTTACCTCTAGGTCATGAAGATGTACATGCCACTCGTAGCTGCTGAGGACGGCGTAGTCCAGTTTGTCAAGCAGCCTGGTGTCAGCCTTGAGCCTGGTGACATTCTTGGCATCCTTACTCTGGACGACCCAGCTCGCGTCAAACACGCTAAACCCTTCGAAGGCCTCCTCCCTCCCATGGGTCTTCCTGGCATCATTGGCAACAAGACCTATCAGCGTTTTGTTCGCTGCATGGGTACACTCAATGACATTCTTGAGGGCTACGACAACCAGGCTATCATGGCCTCAACCTTCAAGGACCTCATCGAGGTGCTGCATGACCCTGAGCTTCCTTACTCTGAGGTTAACGCTATCTTATCTGCGCTTTCCGGCCGCATGCCTGCAAAACTTGAAGAGGGCATCCGTAGCGCAATCGAGACTGCAAAATCGAAGAGCGACGCTCACGAGTTCCCCGCAGTGCGCATCAAGAAGGTGCTCGAGCATTACGTCCAGGACTCCATCTTGCCCCATGACAGGGGCAATGTTCCGCATGCAGCTCACTGCTCTATCTGATGTCCTGGAGCGCTTTATGGGTGGTATGAAGGGTCACGAGGTGCACACAATCGCCAACCTTCTTTCCGCATATGAGCAGACTGAGAAACTCTTTGGCGGAAGCATTGAGGCCCGTGTCCTCAAGCTTCGAGAACAACACAAAGACGATCTCGACAATGTTGTTGCACTTGTACTCAGTCACACGAAAGCACAGAGCAAGTCGAAGCTAGTGTTGGCCATGCTTGACTACGTCAAGACAAGTGGTTTGCCTGTTTCGAACGCTGAAAGTCGACTTTACCAGGTCCTCAACGACCTTGCAGCTCTTGAATCCAAGTAGGGTCATGTGTTTTCTCTCGTTGTAATCACTCACCTAGGACCTTTAGATCCTCCACCTCCGTTTCTCTAAAGGCTCGCGAGGTTCTCATTCTCGGGCAGATGCCGTCGTACGAAGAGCGTCTCATTCAAATGGAGGCTATTTTGAAAGCGTCGGTCTCTTCGAGCGTTTATGGCGAATCTGGCGCTGCTAACAGGTAAAACCATCAATCTAATGTTGTAACTGTCGCTAATAACCTATTTAGGGCTCCATCTGCTGAAATTTTACGAGAGCTAAGCGACTCGCGTTATACCGTCTACGATGTCCTTCCTGCGTTCTTCTCGCACACCGACCCAGTTGTCACCATGGGTACGTCTTTAACTTGATGAAACGATGCAGTAATTTTGACTGGGACCGTCCATCAGCTGCCTTCGAGGTTTATATCCGACGTGCTTACCGCGCTTACTCACTTCTCTCTATCGACTACGAGGAGGGTGATGGTTCGGATGATGGCGAATTGCCGAGCGCTGCCACTTGGAGATTTAACCTTGGTCAATCTCACTCGCCACCATCAACTCCAAGCGTCACTGCACCGTGAGTTCACCGCACAGTAGCTTCTTCATTCAACTTACTCGCTTGATCCCAGCGACCCTCGCCGCCAGGGTTCAGTTAGCGATTTAACCTATCTCATAACTCGCAGCAAGTCTCAGCCTATTCGAAATGGTGTTATTTCATCATTCTCTGACCTTGCTGCCATGGCACGAGGCTTCGAAAAGGTTGCCGAACTCCTCCCTATATTTGACGTCGACGAATTCAGCCAACGTTATGGCAACAACCAGCCGCCTAACGTGATGAATTTGGCACTCCGTATCTTTGACAAGACCGATGTCGTTGCCGAAGAAACTTGGGCGGAGCAGTTGACAAAGTTCTTGAACGATCGCAATGGTGTCCTTGCAAAGCGTGGTGTCCGTCGCGTAACTATTCTCATCTGCCGTCGCGGGCAATACCCAATGTACTTCACCCTTCGTAACTCCGGTGGCTCCTGGGTCGAGGAGCAAGCCATCCGTAACATTGAACCGGCTCTTGCTTTCCAGCTGGAGCTCAGCCGCTTGTCCCACTACAAGCTCACACCCTGTTTCGTCGAGACCAAGCAGATTCACATTTACCATGCCGTTGCTCGGGAGAACCAACTGGACAACCGCTTCTTCATTCGCGCACTCGTCCGTCCCGGACGCCTACGTGGCTCGATGAGCACTGCAGAGTACCTTGTTTCTGAAACAGATCGTCTCGTTACAAGCGTTCTCGACGCACTAGAAGTTGTCAGTGCACAACATCGCAATGCTGATGTCAACCACATCTTCATGAACTTTGTCTACAACCTCGCCGTCTCATATGAAGATGTTTTGACGGCTATTGCTGGATTCATCGAGCGACATGGAAAACGGTTATGGCGTCTCCACGTCACTGGTTCTGAAATTCGCATTGCTCTGGAAGATAGCGAGGGGAATGTTACCCCTATTCGCTGCATTATAGAGAACGTATCCGGATTTGTAGTCAACTTCCATGGTTATCAGGAGATTACAACGGACAAAGGCACCACTATCCTGAAATCCATCGGAGAAAAGGGACCTCTCCACCTCCAGCCCGTTCACCAGCCGTACCCAACCAAAGAGTCGTTGCAACCCAAGCGATATCAGGCGCATCTTATCGGTACCACTTATGTCTATGACTTCCCCGAGCTCTTTTCCAAAGCCTTACACAACCTCTGGATTAAGGCTCGTACGACTGATTCTTCCTTGAGCTTGCCTAAGAACACTCTGGAGGCCAAGGAACTCGTGCTTGACGAGCACGATGAACTCGCGGAAGTTGATCGTGCTCCAGGAAATAACACCTTCGGTATGGTTGCTTGGGTGTTCACTCTAAGGACACCTGAGTATCCCAGCGGGCGCAAGGTAGTTGTGATTGCCAACGACATTACCTACAAAATTGGCTCGTTTGGTCCCATTGAAGATCAGTTCTTCTACACAGTCACCAAGTACGCTCGCGAACACGGCCTTCCTCGCGTTTACCTTTCTGCCAACTCTGGCGCTCGCATTGGGCTGGGAGAAGAAGTAATGAACCTCTTTTCGTGTTCCTGGAACGATGATGGGCACCCTGAGAAAGGCATCGATTATATTTACCTCACTCGGGAGAACTACCTGAAGGTTCAAGAGAAAGCTGCCGCATCTGTGCGCACAGTTGAGATGAAGGTTAATGGCGAGCTGCGCTACAAGATCACCGACATTATAGGTCTGCAGGACGGTCTCGGTGTTGAGAGTCTGAGGGGATCAGGTCTTATCGCTGGTGAAACATCACGGGCATACGACGACATCTTCACTATCACTTTGGTCACCGCTCGGTCAGTTGGAATCGGAGCTTATCTCGTACGTCTTGGAGAACGTGCAGTGCAAGTCGAGGGCCAGCCTATCATTCTCACTGGTGCTCCGGCCCTGAACAAGGTGCTCGGACGGGAGGTGTATACCTCCAACCTGCAGCTTGGAGGGACACAGATCATGTACAAGAACGGCGTATCGCATCTCACCGCTAGCAGTGATTTGGAGGGTGTCACTCACATCTTGCAGTGGTTATCATATATTCCAGAGTCGAAGGGCGACTCTCTGCCTATTCGCGAAACTTCAGACTCTGGGATCGCGATATCGCCTTCACACCTCCCAAGGGCCCGTATGATCCTCGTTGGTTCATTGAAGGCAAAGAAGATGAACACACGTCACAGTGGCTCACCGGCTTCTTCGACAAGGGGTCCTTCCAGGAGACACTCGGCGGGTGGGCTCAGACTGTCGTCGTTGGCCGTGCACGCCTTGGTGGTATTCCCATGGGTGTTATTGCTGTCGAGACCCGGACAATTGAGCGCATTGTTCCTGCAGACCCTGCTAATCCAGCGTCGTTTGAACAACGAGTCATGGAGGCAGGTCAAGTTTGGTACCCCAACTCTGCCTACAAAACCGCCCAGGCCATCTTCGATTTCAATCGTGAAGGACTCCCTCTCATCATCTTCGCTAATTGGCGTGGGTTCTCCGGTGGTCAGCAGGACATGTACGACGAGGTGCTCAAACAGGGCTCCAAAATCGTTGATGGGCTGTCCGCCTACAAGCAGCCTGTCTTTGTTTACATCGTCCCCAATGGTGAACTGCGCGGCGGTGCCTGGGTCGTTCTTGACCCCTCGATCAATCCGGAGAAGATGGAGATGTATGCAGACGTCGAGGCTCGTGCCGGTGTTCTTGAACCGGAAGGTATTGTTGAGATCAAGATGCGCCGAGACAAGATCTTGACATTGATGGAGCGTCTTGACTCGACGTACGCCGAGCTTAAGCAAGCCAGCAAGGATACCACCAAGACCGCTGAGGAGAGAGCCCAGGCAACGCAAGCACTAGCCAACAGGGAGACCTTTTTGCAGCCCACATATAAGCAGCTTGCTTTGCTTTACGCAGACCTCCATGAGTAGGTGTTCCCCCGACCTCACGAGATGATCTTTGTCTAATTTGTGTACAGTCGCGCTGGGCGAATGGAAGCCAAAGGTTGTGCGAAACCTGCCGTATGGAAAGATGCCCGGAGATACTTCTACTGGGCTCTTCGCGCTCGTATCGCACGCTCCGGCTTGCTCGAGCAGATTGAAAATGGCAACCCCGAAATGGAGTCCGAGGAGCGCGCCGCGTTGTTGGACTCACTTATCCCCGATAGTAGCTTGCCTGACAATCGTGCTTTGGCCAAAGTCCTTGAGCAGCTCGACATCACGCCGACCTTGTCGAAACTCAAGGCTGATCATTTACTTAGCCACTTTGCGGAGGTTGCAGAGGAAGACCGCAAGGCTTCTCTAGATGGTCTTGTTCGCATCATTGACAGTCTCTCGGATGTCGAGAAGATGGCCTTGCAATCCGCCATACAGAACACCGTGCGCTCAGTTGGTAAGCTTGGTCCGGTCATTCTGTTGAGTTAATTCTGACGCATATGGCTCCAGGACCTCCCTCGTACTCTAATTGAACAAGACCTGCTCTGACTATTTCTACTACGGTTACAATACTCTCATTGTTCACTTCGCTTAGAATACATACATAATACCTCACATGTCTACAATACACCAATCTGAAATGTTGTCAATCCGTTCGGCACACGATGCTGAGTTCAGCTAAACTCGAAACATCATAAGTCCGACGCAATGTCGAAGGACCTATTATTGCATTAGGATCTACACTGAGGCGTGGTAATAAAAACATAAGTAACTCAGTGCCTAATCATACAATAACATCATCATTCGACGTTGTTCAGAGGAACATCTGCAGTGGATGCCTGTCATATACATTTTGTCCTTCACTGAGCTCACCCAGGTCGGGATAGAAGGGAACCATAGCATCCGAAGCGCCCAGGTACAATGCGTTATAGACACGCCAGTAGACCTAGTAGCAAAGTAAATCAGATGTAGAATATGTACCTGGAAAGACGCACCTCGCGGACTTTGCGTGCAGGGTGGAATAAACCTTGAAGAACGTAGCTCAAGAGGACACCGGGGCCAAGACATACCCGCATCGCCTCAATTGCATCCATAACAGCGCCAATGACATGTGGCGACGTTTCAAAACAGTTAGGCCAGACAAGATTCATCAAGTGCATCATAGAGTCTTCGCAGCCCATGCCCGCGACACCAAGTGCTATGTGCTTCACGATGACGCTAGCAGTTTGACGATGAACAAGGTCACGATCTGTAAGAGCATCTTCAAGCATGGTGACTACAGAGTCACAGTAGTACGCCGACTGGGGACCAATATATTCGAAGACGAATGTGAGGGCTTTGAGACAACCGGTGCGCACGTTGAGCTCCGCTGTCCGATATTCGTTCAAGATGGCAGGGATACACGTGAAGGGACCGCAAGTTTCAGCAACAATGGCGATGGCGACAGTGCTGCAAACACGACTTTGACGTTCTTGTACGCGCAAGTTGGTAAGAAGAACCGAGAGAACATCCTGAGGACCCAAGGACTTCGCAATATATCCGAAGGAGTTGACAGCAGCACGTCGAATACCTTTCTTGTGCGCCTTCAATAAATCCAGTAGCTCGAAGCAAATGCGCATCCACTCTCGCGCCGGCACGAATTCTGCGCCACGATCGGCTGGTTGAAGAATAAGTTAGCGAATGGAATAGACACATCACATCGACACCCACCAATACGACCAATCAAGTTGATAGATGCCTCCTGCACCTTCTCATGACGATTACGGAGGATAGGCGTCATTCGAGGCACTGATGATACCATTAGCAATCAACATTACGACTTAGTAAAAGCAACTCACAAAGATCCTTGACTGGCGGATTCATCTGCGTCATACCAACAACATTAGCAATTGCTCCCTCTGCAGCAATGATACTACCGAGAGTGTCGGGATATTCTTCACCAAGCTGCTCGAACAGAACGAGGCCTAGCTTGCTGAGAAGTTGGTCTTCACCGCACTGCTTGATTACAACAGCCAGCCTCGTCGTGAGATCTGCAGCCTGTTGCCGGACCTTAGCGCTCTTGTTATTGAGCCGCCAGAGAACGGTAGAGACAATCTGCGTGAGATAGGGCTTAACACGAATGCCAAGGGCGTTGACCACCGTGCCGAAGCCATCCAGCATGACTTGATCTTCAGTAGTCTGCTCCTGGAAGGAGTAGATGATGCCGTCGACGAGACGGACCTCGAGTCGCTCATCAATATCTGAAGCACCGAGCATAGCGACAACTTTGGTGATTGTCTCCATGACCATCTTCCGGTAAGGTTCCGCTTCATCCTTCAACTCATTCACAACTCTGCCGACTATCTCGGACACCCCAGCCTTCTGCGCAAGCTCGACAGTCGTCTCCACAACCTGGCGGTAGTTTCGCCTATCAAGCGCCATGCGGCGAACCCAGAACGCTCTGAAGAAGTCAGGCAGGATGTCCTGCTTAATATATTGAGGCGTGACACCTTCAGTGGCTGCACATTGTTTGACCACCTTGAGGACGATCTTCTTCATCTCCTCGTCAGAGGTTTGAAATTCACGAATGAGGATGACTGTGACTTCCTTGGTGTAGTAGGATGCGTACTCGGGGTCCATGAGGGGAATAATGAAGCCGATGGCCTTCAAGAAGGCAGCAAGGCCCTTGCCACGATGCAGCCGAATACCGAGCCAGAGAGGCTTCAGCACCTCATCGAAGGACTCGATACCGTAGGGCGCAGCTGCTTCAGCAAGGGCAGCAAGTCCGAGTGCAGTCATGGTCCGCACTTTCTGCTGCTCATCCTGTAGACCGTGTGCAATGCAGGCCACGAGATTGCGAAGATGGGGCAAGACAGCACAGCCCATCATGATAGCGATCTGTTGCACGATACGAATACCGGTATGCCGCGCCTGCCACGATTTCTTACTGCGACATACGGCCTTGAGGAAAGGCAAGAGCGAGGGGATACCGAGTGCGGAGGCAACGACAGAGAATGCGCGAGCGGTGGTGTTACGGACATACTCGTCGGCATGGTCAATGTCAGGACGCATAGTGGATATCATGTGTGCGAGACCGGCAGCTTTGGATAAGTTGGATATAATCTCCCGACCCTCCACACGAGCATAGTAATCCTCGTCAATGAGGAGCGGCTCAATGACAACGAGAATTTTGTGAACGTACGGACGGACAAGATCGTCAAGCTTGTAGAGGACACGGTCAATGACCTTCACAAGTAGGTGGCGCTCCTGGTCCTCGAGAGTACGCTCCATGAGCAAGGGAAGGATCTTGTCAAAGAGAGGACCAGCACCAAACTCGCGAGCCTTATCAGTGATTTGACGGAGGGCAGTCTTTCGGACAGGGGGAGTACCATTCTTTATCTTCAAAAGTAAACGCATGATTTTGCGCTCCTTCATCTCATCCACCGATAGCTCTGTTTCATCTTCCTCCTTAAGAATCTTGGCGAAGTACTGAGCATCCTCGGCCTTGAAAAATGCAAGACTGCCGACACCAGGTATTTCGGTGGGAAGTTCAGGCGCGAGGCCGGCGGCAGCAGCTACTGCTGCAGCGTCTGAACCTTCCTGGATATGGAAGCCACCTACTTCTGTCACTGGTGCACCCATAAGCTTGCGGGGAGCTACCATCGGTGCATATCCAGGGGGAGGAGTAACAATAGCATACCCGGTAGCCGGCAAAATAGCATCCAACTCCTCGTCACTGAGATAACGGTTATGCTTATCCTCCTGCATGATACCCGGTGCATTCATTATGATCTGCGTCATAGGGGTTTCTGGAATGACAGCAGCTTGATCCCAGCGAGATTTCTTAGGTGTCTCACCGACAGCGGCGCCCTCCGCCGGAGTAGCGTCCCAACGAGAACGACGCTTTTTTGGCGCGGATGCCTCCAGGGCTTCTTTCGACCATTCATTCTTATCAGTCTTGTTAGGGTCAACGTTCTCATCTGCAGGCTCGGGAACGTCCCATCTCCGTTTGCGTTTGGTCCCAGAAGTAGCTTCGCGAGAGATCGCAAGCTCCTTTGCAGCAGCAAGCTCCATGGCGACATCCTCGAGTTCGGCACGAGGAGGGGTCTTGTCGAGGTCCATTTTTATTTTTCCCTCTTCTCTCTCCTGCCTCTCTTTCTCTTCAATCGCCCGCCTGACCCTTACTTCCTCCTGCTCCAACCTAGCCAATCTCATCGCCTCTTTGTATCCTCCTTCCACCTCCATACCATCTTCGACGGGTTTAAAGGCATCTGCGCTCTCCTGCGCGACACGACTGAAGCGACGGTTGTGGTAGTCGGACTGTCGTGCCGCAATCTGACGTTTTGAGGCTGTTTCTGCGAAGGGGTCGACATTTTCTTCTTCTGCAAGATCTGCAAACTCCTGTAATATTTCCTTTGGTGCGGTAAATGAGTCGACGAGTCTAGGAGAGTTGGGAGCCGACATGGTGGAGGGTGATGGTGGTGGTGCAGAACAAGGTCGTGAACATCGTGACCGACAGCGAGCTGAGTATGAATAATCCCAGTTGCAATCAAGACCAAATAAATATGTTTCCTTTTACGTGAACCAAACTCTATTTAGTTAGGGACTCGGACTCCCATCAGGACCCATATGCATAGATTGTTTCTTGTGCATGAGCTACTCATGATAATATGCGAACATCTGTATGACGAAGATGATATCCCAAATGCTTCCAAAAAAGCTCTGGCACGTCTTGCCAGGACCTGCAAGGCTTTTCATGCAGTGGCGTTGAATGCTCTATGGTCAGATCTCGACGGCGTTGCGCCTCTAATCCAATGCTTGCCTACAGAAGTTACTCGATTGTATTGGCGCCTTGTACGTCGTTTGTTGTTTACAGTAGTATTCAATTCATTGAGTGCTTATCATCTCGTCAGCCTCTAGGTACAGCAGTGGTTGGTATCGAACGGGCACCTCGAAAAGCAGAATGGGACATCATTCAAGGCTATGCTAATCGTGTCCAGCGTCTGCGTGTTTTAAACCCCCATCGCCCTGTGGAACCATCGGTTATCTTTACACTTTCCCGTCCGCCTACCACGTCCCCGCTGTTCCCGAATCTACGCTCGCTCGTCTGGAATGACAGCAGACCCCAAACGATGGGCTTCTTAAAAACTCTATGCGGACCCCTTCTGACATCCCTTACATTTGATTGTTCGAGTACTGGCACTGCTCGGTGGGGCGCGGCTGCATCTGCTATATTGACTGCTGTGCCCGTCATTTGCCCTGCTGTCAAAGTCATCGCCCTTCCCTCCAGTTCCCCCTGTCCCCCAATTCCGAACATGCTTCTCGCATGGAGTCACCTCGAGGAAGTCACATGTGGTGAAATCGATACAGTCATCTTTCACCATCTCGCCAAACAAACCTACTTACGCAAACTTGCATTTACATTGTCACAGACCATCTCTCAAAGTCTGACAGACCACCCTCCATCTCCGCAAACTTTTTCGCGCCTTCGTGAACTGGAAGTTCATGCACCTGAGCTACCTTCCTTGATCGAGTTCATTCAAAAACTAGAGATACATCCCACATCTATTCGCGGTCAAGTGGATGCTGGCCCAACTCCCTGCGACATGAGAGCATTTTGCCTTTATAGAGCATTATGTGGGCATCAAACCGCAGAATGTCTCATTGCAGAGTCTTCCTAGTATACGAATGCCCTCTGTGGCTCAACCTCCGTTGTTGCCACCTACTGGTAATCAATTTAACGGACGGTCATCCCACACTGGCATCCATGGCAGTAATTTCATGCCTCTCACCCAGTTTGAAAGCATTAACACCTTAATGATCGACGTGAACTGTAGTATACATCTTGCAGACGATGATCTGGCATCCTTGGCGTCTGCATGGCCTCACCTCCGGACCTTTAGTGTCAACAAAACACACGGTTGGATTGTAAAATCTGATATCAGCCAAACTGGCTTGCTCGATATGCTTCAATGTTGCCCCAGACTCCAGGCTCTTTGTATTGCAATCGATACCGACACATTCACAGAGGTGCCTTTAGATCGCCCAGGAGGAGGAGTCGAAAACATGCATATCCGGACAATTGCTTTTGCAGACTCGGTTATCCAGCCTCGCGCAATCACCGTAGTCGCCGCATTCCTGTCCGATGTTTTCCCCAGGCTCGATGAGGTTACAGCTTGGAAGACGGATCAAATGCGTGCCCGACGGGACGCAAACAGCTACGCCATTCGTTGGGAAGGCGTTTCTCAGCAAGTCAAGGGAATGATCAGAATTCGAAAGCAGGAAAGGAGGTGGCGCCGGAGCGAATAAGCCAGGCGCGTTTTTCGTTCGAGATCTTGATTCGATAGGTTTTGACGACTGACTCGGCTATTAATGACATCCTTAGCTAGATGGATGTTGCCTCAGTCCGTTCATGGAACGGTCGGCTACCAAGCCTCACTTATTCGAGGTACAGTGTAGAGTCGGACCAGGGCTCTAATATTTCGCTCGGTATGTATGAAGGTGCAAAAACAAGAAGTATGGTGGTTCCCAGGAAGGCTTATCATGTAATAAATCATTGAATGCTGGGTCGATTAACTACTTAGTATTCGACTGAGCCTCAGGTGGACTTACTTCTTCGAAATTCTTGCTTGTCACACTGTCACATCTTAATCGATCACATGATAGAAATATGACTCTCCAGAGCTGTAAGTAGTCTCCTCAGTCCTGCAGCAGGCCATGATTAGAAGACCGTCTTTCCTCCTTAACGGTGCTGCGAGATCAGCAGATTCTGCCATTGAATCTTACAGGCGCAAATGAATGTGAGAGTCAGTGTGACAGTGTATGATGCATATTATATATACATGAGAACCAAATAAACGTTGTTTAAACATCAATGTCCTTACCTTTAAATTCCTTACGCGAAGAAAGCACGAAACCCTTTTCCCTCCAAATCTACTACACTACTAGTTCCTGACGATCTTGCAAGGCCCATCTGTTGCCCGCGTCGTCAATATTGAATATTCAACACTCAGGCTGGCGCATGCCTGAGAGAGGAAATGGATTCAGAGGGAGCCGCTGGTACTTTTCAATGCGTGTCGCATTTGCCACCACAACACGCGCGAATGCACAGACTTTTCCTTATCCAAGAGCTTCTTTGTATCATATGTGAACATGTGCGGAATGACAACGCTGGCAGTATTGCCGCAGGAAGAACTCTTGCTTCTCTTGCTAGAACCTCCAAGGTCTTCCATCATGTGGCCACCAGTGCTCTATGGTCGCGACTGGACGGACTCACACCACTACTACGACCCTTGGCCTCTGACCTGATTTTCACCGCAGAAAATATGGTAAGCTCTTTGCCCTAGATTGATATGACAGGTGATCCGAACTTTGAGAACTTATGTAGGCAAGGCCACAACCCGTGTTAATGCTTCGGAGGCCACTCAAAATGGCAGAATGGGAGATACTTCGCAGCCTTGCACGTCGTGTTGAGCACCTATGCGTCCATGACCCTGCTCGGCCAGTAGATATCTCGACCGTTCTCTCTCTCTGCCATCCCCCAACCAACTCACCTCTATTTCCGAATTTGAAGTCGATCCTCTGGAATGATGAAAGAGCTGAGACTTTCGCGTTCATTCGCACGCTTTCAGGGCCCACAGTTACTTCCCTGGCGATAACCATTACAAATGATAGTCGTAAATGGCATATACCCGAGTTCGGCATATTGGCTTCGCTACCCTACGTTTGTCCTAACATCACAGAAGTGACACTGCCCACCAACGCTTTTGGAAACGATTTCCCCTCTCTATCGGAAACCCTCTGCGCGTGGAATAATCTCACAGAAATCAAATGTGGAGCAATTGAGGGTACTGCACTTGCACATCTTGCCAGACAACCAGCTCTTCGCAAGCTTTCATTCAATCTCAACAACGCGGGACTGAAACTGGACTCGTCTTTGCCTTCAGGGGCATTTTCATGTGTCCGCGATTTCCAGATTCACGCAGCGAATTTGTCTTTCCTAGACGCATTCATTAGCAAGCTTGGAGGATCGCCCACTTCTATGCGCGTACTAGTGGACACCAACCCGCCACCTACCAGTATCACTTCACTTGTTGCTACTCTCAGGAGGTTCTCGAGCACTCATTTACAAGATCTGAGTCTGCGATTAATGACGCCGCCAAGTCCCCGGGTCATGCCAGTACACCCACTACATCTACTCGCACATCCACAACCCCCAGCTAATGTCGGAACTTATATGGGCTATCCAATTATTTCGAGCTTCCAGCCCCCGCCTGCCCTGAATGGACCTCATATTGTGTCTTCGGGTAGCGTTTCGACTTCCGGATCACCTACTTGTCACACTCTCACTTTGGGTGACTTTATCCACCTTACCTGCTTTGAAAGCCTGGGCAGGATAGACATCAGTATCAATCACAGTATACACTTGGACGATGACGACCTCCGGTCGCTCGTCTCTGCATGGCCCCGCCTCTATTCCTTCTCCCTCAACGACACGGCTGGATGGCGCGTCAAGTCTGGCATCACTCAGACAGGCCTCATTGCGATGCTCGACTGTTGTCCTGATCTCCAGAAGCTTTGCATTGCTTTGAACACGGATGCGTTCATAGAGGTGCCATCAGACCGTGAAGGGATAGAAAACACAGCCGTGCGAACCCTAGGTCTCGCTGACTCCCTGATCGAGGCGCGCGCCACCGTAGCAGTGGCCGCCTTTCTCTCCGACATCTTCCCAAACCTCACCACCATCGTCGCATGGGACTCAGTGGTGATGAGTCGGCGCCTCAATGCAGGGATCTATGCTGAGCGGTGGATGCATGTTTCTGAGCAGGTGCACGGGATGAACAAGGTTCGGGCGCAGGAAAGGAAGTGGTGGTTGAGTGACGATGACGGTGAAAGTGAGGGGTGTACTATATCTCAGGTTTGACGCGTGGTATGTCAGAACGGATCGACTTGTGTCAGAGGATATGGTCCTTATGGGACTAATGGGTTGAGCAGCCATCGAGGCTAAAGCTCTCCATTGGCCTGGGAGATCTGATGGCTTCTATTAAGCGGCTTGATACTTGCCGCGAGACGTATTTGCAATCACAACACAAGTGCTTAGGTATCGCATGTGAAGAAGTCCAGACGCACGCAGGCTCGACACAATAATTTATTAGGAAATCAAAGACTGCGCGCGAATGGCGTGAATGGATACCCTGGTAGTAAGGATATAGGAATCGTGGTTATCATCTTGAATGGGAGTGGTAAGAATGCCGGAGTCAATAGATTTGTGCAGGTTAAGCATCAGTCGAGATACGAGAGTCACGGACATGCTGAGGAGCGATGTAAAAATATATTCGTTTTTACCGCACTAACCACTCACCAGCTGGTAAATGTGGCCAGACTGAATTTGTCGGTATCCTTGCCAATTATCAGGAAATGGTTACAAAATACGGGTGTATGCTCACTGAACCGCACTAAGCCAAGGTGTAAGCGTGCGACTCGATCAATATTTCATTTGTCAACTCACGTAGAACATCAGGATGTTCGGTATATTAGATAGTGTCATCGCTCTGAAGGAACATGGATCAAAATTACTACATAGAATCACAATTTCACTGGAAACCTCACCCGAAATACATCGCACCTGCGTTCGCTTAGATCAGTATTTCAGGTATAGATACAACGAGAAATGTACCATCTTGGAGTATGATGTCAATGATGTTTTTCCTGGACATTACTAGATATGGTGACCGCTGCGTTCCTCTAGTTCTGCAAATCCTGGACACCGTAAGGACAAAGATGAGTAATTCGTAGGCAAATAGGGCCACCCATGCCAGCCCAGGACCTGTAATCGGACAAAATCATGAAATCATATTTCATACAAATCTGACTCGGCATCCACTGACTGGCTGGTCTACAGCAATTTTTGAGCAAGTGCGCAGAATGGCGAATAAAATGGCGTACGTCACTGATACATCTGATTCATAGCAGTTAACTCCTGGCACGTCGATCACAGTGCTTGAAGAATGTCCAAATATTCCCCCCTTGAAACCATCAGTACAGAGTAGAACATTATGTGTGAACACGCACGGAAGCTACCCCTGCAAGAGCAATGACGGCCACTAACATCCAAATCAGCAGGCGCTTGCTACGGCTGTAGAGTGCATAAATCCGAAGAGTCAATATGGCTGGAAATTTCAGAATATGTAGTTCTTGCCATAGAAATAAACTCACAGCAAACAATGAATTGTTGAACAAAAATGAGGAGTTCTCTGGACAAGAAATATTTCGGACAGCTAGGTTCTGTTGAGCAAAACAACAATGATTCGAGAACCAAAGTTGAAACCTCTGCGGAAATAAGTTGTGAGCCTATCAGTTAGGTACATGTGCAATGAAATCATACAACCTCTTCTGGAACAGGCAGGAAATTGATCAATAAGGCATAGATATTGCCGAGCAGAGCGACATAGCGATTGAGCAGAAATAATATTGAAGACGGTGCTTTCGGACGATACCAGATGAAAGTGATTTCTTCTATGAGGGTCGCTATATGATCATACACCAGGATACCTAGAATATTGTGTCATCATCCTGAGAGCCCCAAAGATATAAAAAAAGCCTAATACTGTTTGCCACGAGAATGGCGTATGAGTGCGTGAAACTGGGGATGTTGAGTCACTATCAAGACACGTAGTAAATTTATGCATTACTCACACCAGCTGTGCTTCGCCATCGTCCATTGCAATGTAAAGCACAACCTGAGAGAAAGGGTCTCGACAAGAACGTTGGGACGAGTAGTACGTGCTACGTATGCAAGTATGCATGCAAAGCAAACACACACACGGTCGACGTCACGAAGTAGTTAGAGTTCAGAGCATATGATGCTATGCATGATTTTCCTTGGCACATTATTGTAACGCGGAGATCGGGACGATCCGCGATGCGTGATCTAGGCTATTCCTTCCAAGGAGCTAGCTTGAGCTTCGGAAGAACTGGAACGTTCCCAGATGCTGAAAGCGTTGACATGCCAAGCAAGACACAAGATCAGACTAATCTGATCTTTGTCATCAAGGTCGACCGTGTAATCTGACCGCCACACTTTGCTAAACTCCAGCCACTACAGATAAAGTTTATATTTAACCATGTTATCCTGAAGTTCCGTCAGACAGACGCTCCACTTAGCGTTACGGTAACAAATTGCAAGTAGCCTAACAATGCACAAATCCAAACGTCCTTAAGATCCCCCCGCAAGCAGACACCATGTTCTCGGTCGTACGAGTGAGCGCTGGTGTTATCTAACAGGATTGCAGGATGTGGCATGTGTAAACAATGAGAACCATTTTTCAGCTCAAAGCTACAGGATGAGGTTCAATTGTGGTAAACGCCATCAAATCCATATCCACTGGCGATTGCCGTTCTCCAAGGGACACCCTCATGTTAAGGTTTGCAAGGAGGATGCTGCGGTACAGAGTGGATTGGACATGTCAAATAGAATGTAGATAATCTTTTAGTGGCGAGCTACGAACTGATCGTCACGCGTCTGCCATCAGCTTAGTTGACTATAAGGGGAGCATTGAAGGCTTACCGTGATCAAATCACAAATAGCAAATGCCGTTGTCCAGCATGTTCAAGACAGCCAGGAGCGCGAGTTGCTGGATAACTTTCAACGTGCTGGAAACGAACACGTACAACGGTAGTAGAGGGCCCGGAATGCAAAGAGCACCTTCAGACCCTTGTTGGTCTGTTATGGCGACAGAATAGCTCAAGCAGAAACACCACAACTTGAATAGTTATGTCGGAGTGATTAATTATATCTCGTCGAATGCAACCTGACCTAATGCTAGAGATCACGTCCACATACTACTAGTAGGTCCACGTTTGCCTCGTTGGCAACAGGCTTCAAGGACATATCATTCATGAAGTGGGCGGCGCCTAATAAACTAGTGAACAAAAGAGCTCCCAGAGAAGGTACAAGCTTGAACCAGACTTACCTCCGCTTAAAACAAAGTTGTCAGAGCTGGGTAGAGCAGATTGAGAGTTTATTTACACGTACAACAAATAGTGTACAGGCCGTTGTACACAGCCCGGTGATCTCGGAAGTTGGCCCAAAAAATAAATTCCGAGGCGTTTCGGAATCCGGATAGCCAAGTTAGGGTTGGACGTCAACCTACTTGGACGGTATGAACAGTCATTTCCAATTGTCTACATAGTATGTACTATACAGTCTATACTTATTCGATATAGCCCTGACGCGGACGGGCCTCCCTGGACCTGCTATCCTTAGTCTCCAGAGTTTGTCGGCGGTTGCATGTCTCAAATTCTTCTGTTATACTTTCGCTGATAACTTCTTGCGGAATACTAACATACATGCATATTCTATACTTTCGCCTTAATATTTCTTGTGCGATCCTCACGGACCTGGGTAAGATGCAGAGAGACTGACGGCGTTCACGGGCACTAGGATTGGAAAAAAGGCAGGATGCTGTGCACAAAGACCGCGATAGGACCATGAAGACATAAAAAAAGATCCGTACTTTCTCCGACACAGTTTGTGCTGAAAGATAGCTAGAGCCGATTTATTTCGGAATGCCAACAGGTCACGCATCGCTCTAAGAGCAACGGCGCAGCTTGATGCGCCACGGAAATCAGACTCGTGACCAGTCAGGTAGGTTTCTTTTTACATGAACGTAGATGTATTCATATTCACTGGTGTTTCAGCCAGGATTCCACTGTTTACTGGATCTATGAATTGTGCACACAGCTGCAGAGAAAAACGAAAGATTGTATTTCTCCTCCACTAACGTGGGAGTCGGAGAACCTGAGTCAGTCAGCGTGTATAGAGACCAAGGTGAGCTTACCAGTAAGACAATCACTGTGCCGTCGCCCAATCACTCTTTTCATTTTCCATCAGTTTAAATTTATTTCAGTTCCGGGACCGGTCGTATAATACAAACCGAGGCGTAGTAAGATTGAGCCCCGATCAAGGAACGACTGTCTTCCTTCCATTGACAAGATCTGAATGCAGGATATTAAAAATAAGCAGCACTGCTCACTCTTTTCGTTTGTTTCAGGTCTGGAGCTGGCTATAATGCACAGACGGGGACCGAGGTTCAGTGAAATCATCAAACCTTGACGTAGAAGGAAATGTCTTCCTTCTGTCAAGGTCTGACTACGGGATACTAAAGATAAGCGGCCCCGCTCACCCTTTGATTGCAATGATCATCAGTAATTTTGGAGCTGGTATGTACATATGGTGCCTATAAAATCCGAATGTTCACCAACGTGATTACAACTGGAGAACAATATTGTTTCTTCATATCTGCCCCAAAAATGACGGAATTGACTGAACCTGAGGTCAAGCTTGAAGCTCTCTTAGGCATCATCAACTCCTCTGCACGCCAAGCAATCGCGGAATACAAGAAAACTGGACATGGGGTACCCAGTGCAGATGCAACTACCTTCCATCCCCTCGACATGGCGACAGATACGCTTGCCCTCAGAAAGGCCACTAGGCTGCTTGAGGGTGCATATCACCAACTGAGCGCAATACTGGCTCCTCCCCAACACACGGTGATGAATGTGAGTTCCGGTCGCAGATGATATTTACTCTGGTGCTCATTTCCTCAGTTCGTTTTTGATTACAATTGGGCATGTACGAACGTTGCCTTGCGAGCACGCATCGCGGATGTTCTGGAGCAACACCCGGAAGGTCTTAGCGTGGATAGGCTAGCTGAAGCAGTCAACCTTGACAAGAGCAAGACTGCACGCATCTTACGGGCTTTGTCCCTCATGGGTTGCTTTAAAGAAGGTGACATGCTGCTGTTGGTGGAGAATTATATATGAAGCCTTACGGTAATGTGTTTAACAGTCGAACGGGATGTCTTTACAAACACCCGACTATCCCTCATACTCAAGTCAGCAAACAACACTGGGTGTTATGCACATTTTCATTCCCGGGACGTCTCTAAATACGCAGGAGTTCTCTATGAGACTATGATCGACCAAGAATTTTCACGATCACATGAAGTCGAAAAGGCACCCCGTGTATTTGCCTGCAGGAAAGAGGGTATGGAGGAGAGCTTCTGGGAAATGATCAAGAAGGACGTGAGTTCTGCCACTATACTCCTGTCTTTCCCTACGTTAACACTTTTTCTAGGATGAAAGACGCGATGTATGTGCGGAGTCATCCATGAATGATTGACGGCTCACATACTCATGTATAGATATTTCACAGAGGCTTGCTTGGCCACAGTGAGATGATGGGCACTTCTGCATTTCTGCATCGTAAGCCAACATTATTTTCAATCATTAACACGGCTGTAAAGCAGGTCTATAAGAATACCATTGGGACAATGTGTCCTCTGTGGTTGATGTCGGATCCGGCATTGGAGCGTTTTCCATGCCTCTGGCGAAAATGTTCCCTCATCTCAGAATAACCAATCACGATCTTCCGGAAGTTATGGTACAGGCACAAAACGTGAGTACAGACATCCAGTAGCTATTATCATTCCAGCACAACGGGCACATCATTTATGTCTGATTAGGCCTGGGAGAAGGATGCTCCTGATGCACTACTCGATGGGCGTGTGAAGTTCGTGCCAAACAATTTTTTCGAGGACATACCTGTTGCTGGCAAGGATGTCTACTATGTAAGAGCTTATATTTGTTATCATTCATCGTCAGTAACTTGACCACTTATTATATAGCTGAGGCACATTATCCACAACTGGCCGGACGCTGAGGCAACGATGATCCTCCGCAACATTCGCAAGGCCATGGGACCGAACAGCGTAGTGCTAATTCGTGAGTCAATTGCAACTCAGTGTGTTGTGTCTTCAAGGGCCATGCCTTGTATTAGATGATTGCGTTCTCTTTCACACGTTCCAAGAACCTGGCGCAGGAACTACTGATGGGTTAAGCATCGTAAGTCTCGGAGTGCAGCCTGATATATTTCTAAATTCATGATTGCCAGGCCCCCGAACCTATGCTACCAAACTTTGGAACAGGCAGCCACAGAACATACCAAATAGACCTGACTATGTGGTTCCTTCTGAATTCCAAAGAACGAACCTTGGACGAGCTGAAGATTATCGCGCAAGTTCCTTATAATTCATCTTTGACACGTCGGTGACAATTGATTGGTGATAATTTACAGGGCTACGGCTGGTCTAGCACTCACCCAGGTTTATGATCTCGTAGATACAATGGTCATGGAGTTCAGGATTGCTCAGAGCTGATATCAAGAAGTTCTTTAAACACGTGGTGCATATTCATCGTACACTTTGAAAGCTTAATAGAACTCTGGGTAGTTGCTATCTTACTGTTTCAAATGCGTGATCTTATGCATACAGGCCCGTCTCTACAGAACCGGGCACACCCTGATATTGATTAACACTTTCTACTTCCAATAAGAATATTCGCATCTAGAAACATGACCTAATATCAACCTAGCGATCGAAAGAGGCAATTGCGGACTGTTCTACGTCGATCCTGGTGGTAAGGACGTAGTCACCGTTATCATTCCGGACGGGGGTGGTAAGGATGCCTGTGTCGACAGATTTGTGCAGGTTAAGCATCAGCCGAGAGACGAGAGCCACGGACACGCTAGAGTGCATAGTCAGAATCAATCCGTGTTTGCCGCGTTAGATACTCACCAGCTAGTTAATGTAGCCAGACTGCCTCTGGTGGTATTCTTGCCAGTCGCCAGCAATAGTTAGTCAATCTTATCATAAGACGCGGGTGTGTGCTCACTGGACCACACTAAACCGAGGAGTGAGCGTGCGACTCGACAGATATTTTATTAGTAAACTCACGTAGGACATCAGAATATTAGGTAGATTAACCAATGTCATCACCCTAAATGGAACGCGGATCAGATTTATTCAAATCACCGTTTCCCTAGCAAGCTCACGCGAAATACATTGCGCCTGCGTTTACTTAGATCAATGTTTACGGTATCAATACAGCGAAAATTACCATCTTGAAACATGATATCAAGTAGATTTCTCCTCGATGTTATCAGAGACAGTCCTCTAGTTTTGCATATCCTGTAAACTGTGAGGGCAAAGATGAGTAATTCGTAGAGAAGTAGTGTCGTCCATCCCAACCCAGGACCTGCAATCATAGCATTATGTTCCACGCAAATCCTACTGCGAATTCACTAACTGACGGCTCTGCAACATCTTTTGAGCAAGCACGCGGAAGGGTGAGGAAGATGGCGCACATCTTTTCTGAATATGACTCAAAGCAATTGAATCCTGGCACGAGAGTGCTTGAACGGAGTTGAAGCGTCGCCACCTATAAGCCATAAGTAGACTCTCAGAGTACAAAGGCTTATGCGAATACGTACAGTCACTCCCCCAAGAACAAGACCGATAATTACCATCCAAGCAAGGAGGCGTTTGCTACGGCAGTAGAGGGCATAAGTGCGAAGAGTCAGTATAACTGGAAATGTCAGTACATGTATATGGTTCTCGCCATAAAATTCTACTCACGGCCAACGAAGATTTGCTGGAACAAAAGGAGCAATTCTCTGTATATTAAATATGGCCGACAGCTAGGATTTTGTTGAGCAAAACAACACATGTTCAAGAACCAGAATTGAAACCTCTGTAGAAATAAGATATGAGCCTGCCAGCTGGGTACGCGCATAACAAAACTATAGCACCTGGTCTGAACTGGGCAGAACATACACAAATAACATATAGACATTGCCGAACAGAGCAAAATAGCGATTGGTGAGAAATAACATTGCAGATAGTGATTTCGAGCGACACCAGATGAAAGTGATTTCATCTGTGATTGTTACCATATGGTCGTATATCAGGATACCTAGAATGTTGTGTTATCATCCTGAGGCCAAGATAAAAAGTCATAGTACTGTCTGCCACGAGAACGGCGTATAACTTGAAGCTCATCGACCTGGGAATGCTCAAGATCAAGACACATTAAATCCGTACATTACTCACGTCTGCTGTAGTTCACCGCGATGAGACAGAGCACAACAAGGAAAGGTGTTGACGAGAGGGCATCTGACGATGTTATAATATCCACCCTCAGTTCAAGTTGGGCATACTAGGCACACACAGTCACACGCAGGTAACGTCACGGATTGGCGTGTTGAATACGTCTTGACATCGATTGACAGACTCCTTGGGAACATCACCCAGGGAAGCCCAGCCCAGGAAAGCCGCCCAGTCTAAGGTAAGGGATCTCCTGGCTATTCTGAATTGAAATAGAGCGTCTTGTTCGGAACTTTAGAAGCAACATACAAATGAAAGACAGTACGAGCGCATGCAACGAAAGCATCAGATGGACCAGATATGACTAGCACCGATGATGATCGTAAGTTCGTGGTCGTTGCGAACCCTTCAGGGATACGGCATGGTGAGCTCGTTCAGATCACAGTCTGAGTAGATTATGCATACATAGATCCTGAATGAAGGTGACATGGGTGTTATACCACGTAACGGCACTCGGTCGCGCCAATCCCCGACACATGTGCATCATGAGTTATATCTCTACAGTCTCTACCAGTAGTAAGTACAGGTGAAAACAGAACGGACATAACATCGTGTTTACTATCATTAAGCATCTTACGGGAACGCCAATCATAGCAGGCACACGGTGAGCATATCGGCTCGGCCTCGTTCCCCAGCCAGCCGACATGCTCACAGCGACAAGAAGCAGCCTAAGGGTCAGTACTGTACAACACTTGGCACACGAAAGTTGGATTTATACCACGCAGGTGACAGACAACAGGTGGGCGTTCAACAAGAAACATGGAGCATGCACTGTCTGCAGTAGATAAATAAAACATTTATTTACTACAGAACCCCCTCCCAATGACCATATACACAAGGGATCAGGCTAGCTGGCAACAGCGACAAGATCTTATTAAAAGTCAATTCAATCCGGATCACTTCAACAACATTGGGTATTGACCACTATTTGCCGATTACAATTATGCTTTTAACTACATACTACGCACATCAATACTTTATCCTGAAGCTTGAAGTTCCGTCAGACAGACGCTCCACTCGCTGGATCCAGCTTCACCAGACTGCAAGCAGCCCGATAATGCACAAACCCAAACGTCCTCGAGATCCCCGCAAGCGGAAACCGTGTTCTCTGTCGAACGAGTGAGCGCTGGTGTCATCCAGCGGAATTGAAGGATGTGGCATGTGTAAACATGCGAGACTCGAGTTAGTTTCTATAAAATAGATCCTAGCTGAGTATGTTCTGAAGAACCAGAAAAGTTCGAGGCCAGGTTTATATAGTTTTCTGTTGATGGTCTGTGCGTGGAAAATTCGCTGTAGTGTCACGCTTGTTTTGGAAGGCAACGGTAGCTTTCAGTCAGGCCGAGATGTACGCTCCAGCCTGAGATCCAGCGGCTAAGACCTGACCACAAACATGTATTCTGACACGAAAATGCCTTGTATTCTTATGATCTGCTTCAAGATTGGACAAATCCCAACTAAGGACGACTAGTCGTGCCACCGTTAGTCTGATATTCAAACCAGAATCATGCGCATGCCCTACACCTTCACTAACCATCCAGATAGCTGAACCTGCCAATTTTCTTGTGCAGGGTTTACATACTGGAGCAGTGCGTTTGGTGCGTGGGTCAATGATTCCACTTGAATTCCCTTTGCTACATTTTCTTCGGCACAGTCGTAGCAAAAGTGCCATACAGATGTTCTTTCGAGCAAGTTCACCATGCACAGAATGAAGGGGATGGCTGGTAGATCGACCAAGAGGTAGCAGTGATAATGGAAGAAACGATATGAGATCCGAAACGCCTACACGTGTTGGGTTAACAGACGCTACTCATCACCCCATACACAAAATCTACAACGCAGCGATATCACTTGAACGCACGCTCCTCGTCAACCTGAAACGCTACTGATCGTCTATCTCTGTATACTTCAACACGGGATGTCAGGGCGGCCTGATTCAGGCGCAGACAGCACCGGGGTCCAGCACCAACGTGGACGACGCAAGAACACACGACCGAATGGATGCGGTTAGGTTCTTCACAGACGGTCGACGGGTCGTTCTCCAGACGACAGCGAATTGTGGGCAATGGAGATGAGAACACAATGATTTTCTGGAACGTCAAGAGCAAACAGAAAATATTCAATCTGCTAGTGAAACATACAAAACAGGGTGCACCTGTCTACCTCTTGCCCGATGGCATGCCGGTGGGACAAAGGCTGGCGCTGCGCCTGCAATACTCGAGAGTCTGATGCTCGGGTGTATTCTGCCTCTAGAGGTGACATCCTTGCCAATCGTCAGCAAACAATCAATCTAATCATTAAGATGCGGTGTGCTCATAAACCAAGGTATGAGCGTAACCGATATTTCATCCGTAGAACATTAGGATGTTCAGTATATTAAACAATGTTCATCGCTCTGAAGCAATGTGGACCAGATTGACTCCAATCAAAAGTTCACTAGCACGATCGCACGCATGCATTCCGACACTTTGTATTCTTCTGGTTCAAGGCTGCAAGTACAAATCCCAGCCAACAGCAACCTTGGGCTGTTGCCCCGTTATTTATACGACTTGATACAATCACACCCCGTCGAGAAACTAACGACAGCGATGTGAACATACGTGCCCGCCGCCGCTGCCGTCGCGCAGGGTTTACAGACTGGAGTTTTACATTTGGTGCACGGACCGACGAGTTCCACGTATTTTTCCTTTGCTACATCCTCTGGGGCTTCTTCGGCACAGTCGTGGCAGAGGTTCGAGGCTCTACAGCCGCGACATCCCACAAGGTACGAGCATCCATCGCAAAATGGCCTGTTGCAGCGAAGACAACGTAAAAAGAAGCCGCCTTTTTCTGTGCAGAGGTCGCACGTCCAGGTTTCCTCGCATAGACAGGTTGTGCCGACGACGACACAATCGATACAGATGTCGCTGTACCAGCAGCGGTGTCCTGCAGCACATGGCCGCCAGCGCATGCAAGACAAAGGAAATGCAACGCAGTTGCGCGCAGGACACATAACTTTCAGACAAACCTTGCATTGGAGAAGGTCCGATCGACAAAGATCACATCGATGACTGTGTCGAGGGTCTGTGCTCTCGATAAGGCCTGTATTCATAAGAAGCTCGTGAAATTTCTGACAAGCCAATTATTTGCATTAAAACAAATGGGTCAATGGTGCGAATTAGCTCTCACCTGCATTTGAACTCGTTCCCACACCTGACCCGCAGGGTAGCTCTCTGGTTCGTCTATTCCGTATCCGGAATCTATGTCGTATTCTGGGTCATTTGGATCTGGGGTAAACTGAGACCTCACAACGGCGAAATCGCAGATGTCTGTCACGGTTGGCACAAGCTCAGGCGGGACGGGTATACGTGATCCTTGTATCAAGTCCTCGATTTGCATAGACGGTAATATGATAGCAAAGCGTGGAGAGGTCTGGTTGGATAGACCAAAATGGATGAAAAGGCTTGATAATACAGAAGATTCACTGGTTTCTTCTGAATCTTCATAACCAAATGTTGCGGTATGTTTTCCTTCATGGATCCCCGACGGTTCATTTTGCGGATCCAGAAGTCCGTAAACGGTCCTCATGATACGAAATAATTTCACAATCATTGGGTGACAATAATACTGATCAAGGTCTTCCATGGTTGGCGGGATGATGGTCCAGCTAGGCATAGTGAAGCGGAATTCGTGATTGCAAGTGGAAATGATAATAAGTCTAGTAGCAATGAGAGGTGCGTGAGATGCGTCGATGTATCTTGAGATTCACGACATAATAAAGTCTTTATAAGCTACAGAGGATGAAAAGATAGAGAGCTGAGAGGGTACTTACAAGATCGCGTATGTATCGTATGCGCCACTGTGCACACGTTCAGCAACTCGTGGTTGCGATCAGATATTTGATGATATTAGCCAGCTGCAGAGGATATGGACAGATCCAGAGTTCACGGCATCCACCACAAAGACGACAACTATCACGGCGAAGTCGGACTCGCAAGTACTTAAGCCTACGATCGTTACTAGGTGTGGTTAGGTAGAGGACACAATTAATGATCGATGGTCAATTGATCATCGATCATATCATCACCAAGATTATTTGGCTCTATTTGGGTCTTCCCCAACAAGCTTGCACTTACACCTTTGCTTTAGCATTTGGTTGGCTATATATCATGTCCTCGAATCTGCTGAAGCTCCCAGACTGCACCGAACCAGTGACCAATGCAGACGAGGAGGTCAGCTTAATCCACTTATATAATGATTCAAATCTATACCATCGCAGATCTTCCTCATATACACAGCTCTGAACCAAAAACCACTCGACCCAACAGGACCAGACGGGTTCCGCGGCCTAGGACACGTCGATTCTCGCAAGGATACTCTTTCCATCCGATTTGAACTCACCGCACCATCACAGCCAACACCCTCCTTGGGAGCCGCCGAATCTAAATCGGCGTCGAGATCACGAAAGGGCAAGTCCGCGAGGAAAACTTGTAGTGAAGAGACCCCACACGTCATCGAGATCGAGCTCGCGCAAGACAAAACTGCGCTACGCAGTCGAAAAGGAGATACTGGTAGTGTCTTGTGGCGAGCGAGGTAGGATCATGCTGCGTACTTTGTTCGCTTGGCAGATATCCACGAGGTGATGGTAGCATTGCGTTCGCCCAAGTTATCCTGCAGCAGCATCGCTTCCCTCCAAGCAGCCCGTTACTCGATAAGGATCTACTCCGGGAGAGCCATATACTTGAGTTAGGGTGAATTTCGACGTTCAATGTGGCTGCTGTTTTTATTCACCCTGATCGGTTGGACAGTGCAGGCACGGGTTTGCTTAGCGTCGCGCTTTCTGCATGTGCAAAGAGCTACACTGCAACGGACATCGCATCCCTTCTCCCACTTATCCAAAAAAATGTCGCCCTTAATTTCGCAGGTTGGACGCAAAATACAAGGCCTCCAGAGGGATCACCAGGATCGAATATCTCTGTGGAAGAGCTAGACTGGGAAACACTGCTGTCATTGCCGCCAACTGGTCGGTCACGCTATTACCCCACGCCACCTGAGCCCAACGCCAAGTGGGATCTCGTCCTGGTCGTTGATTGTATCTACCACCCTTCGCTTCTTCCCGCACTCGTTGAGACAATCGAGACTGTCTCAACTGCAGGGAAGACGTGGGCATTGGTGATCGTTGAACTGAGACAAGAAGATGTCGTGAGGGAGTTCCTTGAGAGATGGTTGACCAAGGGGACTTGGCGGTTGTTCAGGGTAGACGGGCTTTTGGATTTACCTTATGTGATTTGGGCTTGTCAGAAGTATGCTTAATTACCGGGCACGTTCGACATGTTGAGTGCAAATTTAACTCGTACTTGTCGGATCATTCAAATTGCCCCGGGATGGCCTGGGTGCCTTGCACAGATGAAGTCAACGATGTTGGCCTCCCTAGAGGCTGCGTTGCCCTATCATATTCTATCTGAAAATGGTAAAGGCTATGTATTATAGGAGATCAGTTGGTCTGGTGTGAAAGAACAAGAACAATGAGACCAAGCCGCTGACTAAAATGTCTTGGAAACCAGCCGCTATCGAATCATCGATCATCCGCAGTACCAAGACACTCTTTTGTGCCCGCTGTGCGAGCACGTTTTAAACACGTTCTTTCTTTTCCCTCGCTACTGCCTCGTTCAGTACTATATATCATCCATTAAGTTCCCGTTTTCATCGCTTTCAAGTCAGGTCACAGTATTCGCAATGTTTTCCTCGTTGGCACTCGCACTGTCTTGCCTCCTCATCATCTCACCGAATGCTTCTGCTGCCCCAAATTTAGTCCCGGCTGCTGGCCAGTCTATCTCCCTCGTCCGAAGAGCTCAGCCCGAACGAACCGTTGCTGATTGGGAAGTATGGGCTAAGAATGAGCGAGAGGTCCTCACTGCCAAGTATGGTGGAAACATGGAAAAAAGGAGTACTGGAACAAATTTGTGAGAACTGGCTTCTAGCATATCCATTTCACCATCCCTGATCACTCACTTCACAGGTTGACCAACCAGAATGCGGATTCAAGGTCGGTCAGGATTCTCTGCCGTTGATTAGCTCATCGAACGCTTTCATTTCAGTTATTTTGGAACTGTGGCCATAGGAACTCCACCGGTCGCCTTTAATGTCATCCTTGACACTGGCTCGTCGTGAGTCATTTACCCCTGACAAAAATTCTGGCGTCTGTGTTCAATATTGTCCACGAATTAGCGATCTCTGGGTTGCAGATCAAGCCTGTACCACCGGCTGTTCCAAAGTCCAGTTATTCAATGACCAAAGCTCATCTACTTTCCACAACCTTTCTGAGCCCTTCAACATCCAATACGGTTCTGGCGCTGCAACAGGTACATTAGGCCAAGACGTCGTACAGATGGCTGGGTTCTCTGTTCCAAACCAGATTTTCGGTGTTGTCACGCAGGCGACGTCGGGCCTTCTGAGCCCACCAGTGTCTGGCTTGTTGGGCTTGGGATGGCAGAGCATAGCTACTTCGAAAGCGGAACCGCTCTGGCAGACCTTGGCAAGCTCTGGGGCTTGGACAGATCCGCTCATGGCGTTTCAGCTCACGCGGTTTGTCAACGGTTCGAACGTCAACGATGTGGAACCTGGTGGATCGTTCACTATGGGTATGTCATCTTTGCTTAGAGTCTGTTTCCAAGTTGACGGACGATTGCTAGGCTTTGTCAACAGCAGTCTTTACACTGGCACCATCGATTACCAGGCCATTCCAACGACGCCATCTTATTGGATTCTACCGATGACATGTAAGTCACATCCGTCGTTCAGCTTTGCAGCGAATCCTGATATCGATTGCCTCCCAGCGTTAACCGTCCAAGGAAGCTCTATCTCCATCCCCTCTGGTTCTTCATCCTACTCCGCCATCGATACCGGGACCACCCTCGTCGGTGGGCCCTCTAGTGTCATCCAAAACATCTTTGCACAGATTCCAGGTTCGCAGCCCGGCACAGGCAGCTGGCAGGGATACTGGACCTACCCCTGCAATACCGCCGTCAACGTCGCCATCTCCTTCGGCGGACCCAGCTGGCCCATCTCCCCTGCCGACTTCCAACTCACAAAGATCAGCTCCTCCCAATGCGTTGGTGCCTTTTTCGAACTAAGCACAAGTGGCAGTGCGCCAAATTGGATCGTCGGCGATACTTTCCTCGTAAGCTTGTTTTCTTGCTGTATCAAATGGAGAATTTGCTCACTTGGAGCAATCGTAGAAAAATGTTTATTCGGTTTTCCGATACAGTCCGGCTTCTGTTGGTTTTGCTGCGCTCTCGAATACTGCGCTTGCTATGAACGGGGTTAATGCTGCTGCTCCTTCGCCTACTATTGGTTCGGTCTCGGCTAGTGCGACAGCGGGTACGGGGGGTGGAAGTAATAGTGCTTCTCACCGTTGGGGTATTCCATGGGTACCGCTTGTGGGTGGTATTTCTGTCGCTATTGGTGCTGTGTGGATGTGAGACGTCATGCATGATTTCGGATCAAATAGGAATGGATGGATGCGTGCTCGGCCAGGGACTCTTACTGATCATTTGTTTATTGACAACGGACTCCACAGGACAATGTCACTACACCATGGATTGTATATTTAGCATCAGTATGATATAGTTGTATCTCTTATTATTGCTTTGCGTTGATACATAACATCGAGTCAATCAGCGGTTTGACAATCTGCAGTGTGATAGAATGACGAGACCAAATGGCAAAGTGAGCTTCGTGACCCAGTCTTCTGATGAACTAATCCCAGTTTGAACCGCGTTGATTTGCATGACTATCAACAAGAGAATAGGTTGTACATCACTATCACAAGTCTCATTCCCGCCTATACATCACTTTGAACATTCATAGAAACAGGCTCCCCTCCATCATCGACCAGTGGATCGTCAAGGCCATCAAATACGTCGCTAAAACTACCAGATACGTCACCAAAGCTGTCGGATACGCTGCCGTCCATAGAAGGGCTGGAGAGGCCGGCGGTTACACCTTGAGGTATCGCGGCGAAGGGCGTGTCAAACGCAGACGAGTCGGACTGGGCTGGCTGCGTCTCGGATGGGTCCCTGTCATGGGACGATGCCGCGTCATTCTCTGGAGGGCTGATCGCAGCCGTGTTCCCAGAGGGTGGGCTTTCCGCCGCATCGGCGGGCGTACCGGTCGACGTGGGGCCAGCTGCACTTTCTGAAGGAGATGAAGTAGTAGTTGCAGGAGTCGTCGAAGGACTAACAGTGGAAGAACTAGCACTCTGATCTTGCTGATCACTGGACGCTGGAGTGCCTCCTGGAGTGGTTGTGTCAAGCATACTATCGCTCTCTGCTGGATCCTCGAGAGCGTCGGACAAGTAGCTGCCTTGTTGACGAGCGACGTGGCGGCTGGAAGATGAACGACCGCCGGATTCGTGACAGAAGAGTAGGAAGTCGGTGAAAGCGCGCTCAGAGAGTCCTGTGGGAGGGTGAAGTTCTTGTCTGTCAAGGAGGACGAGGGAGTGCCCAGGGTCTGGATAAGCGACGCCCGCGATGACACAGGAGGGTGACTAGTAGCAGGGCGGGCGAATAGAATCAGCAGGACACCTTGATGGATGATTAGGGACTCACATGTTGGTGATGGACGACAGATTTAAGAGGTGCTGCGAGCACGGCTGGGAGTAGGAGAGCGAGGGTTAAAAAGGAGCGCATTATGAATGAATGTGGGGTAGTATGTGGAAAGCAAAAGTTAAATCGAAGTTGGGGACAAAGGCGTGAAGGGGGGGAGAGCGCAAAGAGCGAGTTTTTGTATGCCCGGAGCTCGGTGGCTGACATGGACTGCTATTGGCTGACAGAATCCCTGGCGCCCAGAAATTGTCAGCATGAACATGCAGAATATAAACATTAGGTCAACGTTTCAACAGCAGGGCAAAACTTTCAGTACTTCGGAAAGTATTGTGGTGTGGAATTGGCTCGTCATTGCAGAATGCATGTCCAGTCGGTAGTAGGAAAAAATAGATGATACAATAGAATACAACAATAAATAAGAACCCTCTACGAACGCTCGCCACGAAGCCGCCGTGCAAGAGCAAGATCTTTTGGTTGAATAGTGACACGCTTGGCGTGAATAGCAGCCAAGTTGGTGTCCTCGAACAATGAGACGAGGTATGCTTCAGCGGCTTCTTGAAGAGCCATCACGGCAGATGATTGGAAGCGCAGGTCAGTCTGGCAAAAGCGATGAGAAGACTGTAGTTTATACGCAAGATAGAACTAACCTTGAAGTCCTGTGCGATTTCACGAACAAGTCGTTGGAAGGGGAGCTTGCGGATGAGCAGCTCTGTTGATTTCTGGTACCGACGGATCTCACGAAGAGCGACGGTACCGGGACGGAAACGATGGGGCTTCTTGACACCACCAGTGCTCTGAGCAAGTATTGTGAGCAAAGTCCAGTAGTTCAAAAGACAATACGTACTGCTTGTGCGGTCTTGCGGGCTGCAGACTTGGCTGCCAATTGCTTACGAGGGGCTTTGCCTGATAGCTAATGAGTTCGAGTCCCATGTTCTGGAACTAAAGAGTGACTTACCACCAGTAGACTTGCGAGCGGTTTGCTTGGTACGGGCCATTGTTAATCGAAAGGGTAGTTGGTGGTTCGGGACTGACACCGAATTGGGGTGACCTATATACAGACGCGTCGCGCTGTCACGTGAAAGGTCAATCAACAAACCGGATACGGTTATTCAGCACAGCCACCCGCTGATGCATATAAAAGCAGTCGTTGCTCATTCCGGCGCTGTATCTTCTCACTCAACAAGCTCACGCGCCTTATCACACTTTACTCTTAACTCAACACAATGTCTGGCCGTGGAAAAGGTGGCAAGGTAAGACCAGACCCATATGTTTTGATCCGAATCTTATTTTTCTTCAAGGGTCTTGGAAAGGGTGGTGCCAAGCGCCATCGTAAGATTCTTCGTGACAACATTCAGGGTAAGTCATTCCCCGATACTTCGGCTTGCCATTGATCTAACTGGCATGTCTAGGCATAACAAAGCCCGCTATTCGTCGTCTCGCCCGTCGTGGTGGTGTCAAGCGTATCTCCGGTCTCATCTACGAGGAGACTCGTGGTGTTCTCAAGATCTTCCTTGAAAATGTGCGTCAGTACATACACAGACCCATGTACCTACTCACGTTTCTCCCCAGGTCATCCGTGATTCAGTAACATACACTGAGCACGCAAAGCGGAAAACTGTTACTGCTCTTGACGTTGTCTACGCACTCAAGCGGTCAGGGCGTACTCTGTATGGTTTCGGCGCATAGACGTTTTTCGATTTTATACTATTATTTATACTGTATCAGTACTGTAATTTTAACTCTTCCTTTCGCCTAAGCCTATATGTTTGAAATTGAAGTCACCTGCACGTGGCCCGGATCATCCGTCACCGTCAGTCCAAACTTATCTCTTCCTTGGTCCTGCACTAACGATCAGTATGTCCGTGGTTTTACCGACTTTTGATGTATCTTTGGATCCCCGTTTCCCAACCAATGACCCTGACTACGACGTGCTATGAACCCAACCACCATGCCTGTTGAGCTGAATAGTGCACAGTCCTTAACTGTAGACTCGGCCTTATTCCTACCAAACGAGACTCTTGCTGCTATCTGCCGTGATCTTTCCCCTTCTGTCCTAACAGCTGTTGCCCGTGTATCACGCCAGTGGAGGGGAGTAGCAGAATGGCTGCTCTATTCAAACATCTTCATCTCAGAGACCTTCTCTGCCTCATCACCACTCCCATACAATACCCTTCGCTGCTGCCAGACCATTCGTCTGCATTCACATCTTGCCAGCGGACTTCACAAACTCCATATCCGATGGAAATCAGAGCACGGTGCATACCACGAACCTAACTTCAACATGATCCTTTCCAATCTCTCACAAGCAATAGGCCTCGCAACCAACCTCGAGTCCCTAGACCTACATCTCGGCCTGTCATCTCTCCCAGAACACCCAACTTCAACTTCTTTCACATTCCCTGCTACCGATGCGTGTTATCACTCCCTCCGACGCGTCTCTCTCAGCGGCATCGGCCCCTTTACCCACAACCGTCTCACTAATTTTCTCCACGTTCTCCCCGCTGCACGACATCTCCGTCTTCCCGACTATCACGATCCGATCACCCTTCTCCCTCAAGCCATCCCATCCCTCATATCATTCTCCGGCTCGCCACGCGTAGCCGCCGCAATCCTACCTGGAAGACCCGTACAATCTCTCGTACTCATAGGACAGGACTACATCCCAGACCTAGATCTGTCCCAGATGGCCCTAACAAGCGTCCCTCTCTGCCATCTGGATTTGTCATCCATGTTGGTTACACCGACATTACTACGAAATTTATCCAGAAATCTTAATACAGTCGAGTCGTTGAAAGTGAGGCTTGCCTTAAGGCATACTTTACATTTCGCAGGTATCGTGAGTTTATTTCTTATTGGGTTGTTGTTTTGCAGTCTCGATTTTCGAAGACATTTATTAATGATTGTGTTTTTCCGTCATAGGGCTTACTAGCAGCGCTTTCACACCTTCTCGGCGCGTTTCGTAATCTTTCTACGCTCGACCTCTCGCCTACGCATGTAGATCATACCGGGTTGAGTAATAGCGCCGAAGAACTCTCACTCTGTCGATCATGGCAGAACGCGTGTCCTTCACTCCGACGCGTCGTCTTTCCCTCCCAAACAGCGTGGACGTTCCATGAGGGCGATAACGCGTGGTTGCCTGTTATTGCAGGGGAGTCACGGACTCGGATGTGGGTAAGTGCATTTTTAGGCTTTTGTAATGTGTTAATGAGCGAATGGTGATTTCTTGTTATCCCTTCGTAGCCTGGGTTTTACTCGTTTAATAAGTTCCTTGGGAGTTGACCTGATATACGTGATCACGATATTCAATAGGGAAGCAACGAGGCGCGGTGCGCGAAGAATGCTACTATCATGCTTGTCAACACAAATTGAACCTGAGCATCAATGCAGGTGGATGTGAAGTAGGACGGAGAGGCAATGCCCGATGAAAATATGGTCTTCAACGTCTGCTCTGAAGGAAAGGTATCTGTGTATGCATATATATACATGCAGGATACAATATTAATGCGAGTATCGTCAAAGCATAAATGAATGGTCTCGAATTGGGACCGTTACTCCCACAAGCAAAGTGTTAAAACGGCTGGTTAGGATATTTGCCTTGGTCACCAGGACTCCGACTTCTCAACCTCTCCACGGAATGTAATCATCTGATCGCCCTAAACTTCGCCTCTACCGCCATCAAAGTCTTTATCCCACCCCAATGGGAGTCAAGCATCCCGTCGTTTCACGGGATGCATGTCAACAAGGCCTACCACGCCAGTGAGTTATTTGGTTAAATAAAGACTATGCATACTCACACAACGTTGCCCGACAGGACACTCTGTGCACTGTGAATGAGACCAGCAGATGAAAGGACAGGATTCAGTCTCAGCGTCAGCGGCAGATATCGACGCTGTCAAAGCAGCAACAACAGCGAGGACAAGGCAGAAACGCATTGTATGGGCTCAGGAAAATCTAAAAGGGAAAGTAGGCAGACACCTCTCTACGTGCTGAATGTGTAGGAGAACCAAGTCCTCCTGAAATCCTCTTTCGATCTGATATACCAGCCGATTGCCACCTAACATCTACCTTGTGGAGCAAGATGTGATCTTCCGAAGCGAGGTCGATTCCAAGCATACTGCCACCTGACAAGTGAAGCAATGTCACGGTCTACCGGTGATTTGGTGTGGAATAAAATATCACCTTGGGAAGCTAACTCGCAACAAGGACTGATAAGCTTGTTGTTTGGAGTAGGGACCGCATGTCCCCTCGTTTCAGAGTGCTATAAGCCTATGTGCCGTGGCACATCTGGGACTTGAAGGCGGGTGTTTATGTTGAAAGGGCATCAAAAGGAGGTGTCCACTTTCGTCATTGACGGTGTCACGTGATGAGCCAGCACTGATCGCGAGGGCGAGCTCACATCAAATTAATCAAAGACCACACCGGTTATGTGACATGTCTACTCCTTGCACTTTTCTCCTGATGGAACAATGCTTCATGATCCGAAACGAAACTCTGGAGTGCCATAAGGAGAAGGAGATCCAATGCCAACAATACTCAGGTGTACATGGGAGACTCGCAGTTGTGTCGATATCACTAATAGTACCTAGTCTGGAAGGGCGCACCTCGAAGGAGAGCCGAGAATAGAAAACGCGAGAATATAGAGCGGGTGAAGATGCAACATAGTTGCACGCTGTGGCCATATTACATTGGAGGCCGCGAGCTAGTGTGATGAGAACACAAGCCTGGTAAGTTTGAGGGGATGTACAAGAGACACATATTCTTACCTCTTATCACAGTCGGAAGTGAGGATGAAACAAATCTTACCACCGCTTGGTCAGTAGAAATGAAAAGATTTATGTAGCAAAAGTTTCGCATTTCCATCTCTCGTCTTAACGTTTAACAAACACGTACGCTTCCTCTATCTAATCATCATTCCCCTCTGAAACTCGACGCATGCCGCCGCCTTAGTCGCCAAGACTTCGACTTCTCAACCTCTCCAAAGAAAGTAAATATTAGGTTGCTACTGCATGATCACCCCAAATTTCACTTCTAAAATCCTTAACCCACCTCCAATGTCGAGCATCCTATCGCTTCACTAGTCGTATTACGGCGTGACGCATGACAGGAATCGCTACCACACTTGTGAGTTATTTGTTTAAATACAAACCACTCGTACTCACGCAGCTCGGCCCATCCTCGCAGTGTCTGCACTCCCAATGACTAAAGCAGAATAAAGGACAATCATTTTTCTGAGCGTCAACAGCAGATATTGACGCTGTCAAAATAACAGCGGTCGCGAGGAAAAGGCAGAAACGCATTGTTTGTGAGGATAGTATTGGCTTAGAAATATCTGAAGGGCAAAGTAGGAAGACACCTCTCTACCTTTGCGTGCTGAATTATGTTCTTTATATGGGAGAACTGAGTCCGCTTGAAATCCTCTTTCGAACTGATATACCAGCCTTGCTACCTAACATCTACCCCGTGAAGCAAGGTCTATTGGCGATTTGGCGTGGAACAAGATGTCACCTTCCGGAGCGAGGCCAAGTTCAAGCATACTGCCACCTGACAAGATCTATCTCGTGAAGCAACTACCGGCGATTTGGTGTGGAACAAAATATCACCTTGGGAAGCCAAGTTCAGCTTGTAGGGATCGCGTGTCCCTCGTTGAATGAAGCGAACCTATGTGATGTAGCAGCCTGAATCATGACGCGCCATTGATGCGGCACTGACGAGCCATGACGCAGCTACTGAAGTACTGACACGTGCGTCGTGCACAGTGCGAGCGTTCCTATATTTCTTATGTTCAAGTTTATACGACTATCAGATCAGATCATCAAGTTGCACGGGTTCGTAACCATTCTTCGTTATTTATTCATCCTAGGGACACATACTAATAGTTATATCAGCCAATGATTATATTCTTTTTCTTCTCTCTGGACCCTCCGCGAAGCACGTTGACGTTTCAGGGGCGGATTTTTTTTCTCAGCCGGCATTGGAGGCGGAGTGCGCGGTGACGCTAGTTCTACGTGTGACAGGATATTTTACTCCTTACTACGCCGTCGCAAAGAGCCACGGAAGCATCGCTTACTTAAAACATGTGAAGTTCTGAAGGCCGAGTGGACTGCACAGGGGCCGGAAGATAAGCTATTGTATTATCTATTGTATTATCTATTCTACTTGTCAAATTTGAGTTCTCAAAGAGCGCCAGTCGAATGGCGCACCTGAGCGGTCATAGCAAGGGATGATCGACGAGGTCCCAAACACACAGCGGTTAATCTACATGATTTCCGTTGCAACCCTCAGAAGTGACTTTATTACTGCCTATAGACGTATACGAGTCTACAGTGTGTTGCACATGAAACTGGAGTGCGAGTTTTTGAAAAAATCGACCTCGCTGCCTTTACCGGAACTTTTGCATTCAATTGACGCGGTCCTTGAAACTCCTGAAGGCAGGCCTTCATAGGGATTATCAGGGGTCCTGTTTTGTGTCCATGGAATTATGGACTGGCTTGACAAGATTTTTTTCACCCCCATAATTACCGAGTATGTGCGGTCTTTGGACTGCAAGTCTGCAATACACAGTCAATCCATCCATGATGTTTATAATTCTGGCGAGTCCGAAACAAACTCTCATATCAGAGCACCAACCTGACATTTAGGTTAAGCAAGGTTTCTGCCGACGCAGGTGGCAATTCTCGAGTTTCATGACTGCTAATCCCACGTGATTCTACTGTCAATGCAAGTAGATCTTGACCAGTCTTAGACTCTTAGTAACCAAGTGGTAAGCGTGACAGGACAGAGATCTGTTGCAGGTTCAAAATCCGCTAAACCCCCTTATCACACCTTGATATCTCTTGATGGGCAGTTTTTCGGAGGTTCATCTCAACTTGGGAAGCATCCTGGTCGTGGTTACTACAACAGAACCAAATCTGTTTCTCTTGGACTGTGCCGCGGCAGGTTCGAAACCTGCAGACAAGTTTTTTTTTCCAACGTACCTTGATATCCAATCATGCAGATGGTTTCGTCGGAGGTTCAAATGAATTTCCACAACAGAATCAAAATCTGTTTCTCTTGGAGTTGGTTCGAAACCTCCTGACAACATTGTTGCAATGTATAGATCCTTGGAGGTCCATCTTAAATAGGCCCAGTCATTGCGCCAAAACCTAGAACCTTTTTATATCCATGAAAAGGAATCCACCTTCACGCCTCGCGAGAGTCGTCCTAGAAGCATAAGACACCCCCGAGGTGTGTAGTACATGCCAACCTAGATTCCCGACATATTGACCAGTTTGAATCTGTCGAGATTCACCACCAAACAAAACATGTTAATGGGGCCGGATGCCAGAAGAATGCATGCAAGCTGGTATTTGCGTCCCATAACGATTCAGCGGTCGGCATACAAGGTATGGTTGTCAAGATTGCCGTCGATGTCACTCCGAGTCGTGTGAGAAGCTGTTAAGCGGTAGACAAGCCCCCCGGCCGCTATGTATGCATTAATGCGAACGGTCGTGTTGATGGCGAGGATCTATGACATGAGACATGCTCAGATTGCATTGTCACAATCAGTAATGGAATCATGCCTTTAAATCAGAGACTTCAACTACGGCAGATTCGGAGGCGAAGTCTGCTTGGACGTGTTGGAATGCAGGAAAGTTGTCTTGGACTATCTGCATGGTAGTGAAATCTGAATAGGGAGGTCATTTACAAGATGCAAATTCTAGTATCATGTCATTCAATCCGATCCACTGATCTCCCAAACTAATTATAAGTGATACACAGTACTTGAGGGCTGAGTACATACATATCATCACGGTCCGAACGAGTACGCATGGATAAATAGAATCACAACCCAACGATTATATCAAACGAGTGACTAGAAATCTGTCCCAAGGCTAAAGCCACAGCTAACCCAGTAGATGACCCTGGCCTGCGGCGGTTAACGGGTATCATGAGAGGTAAAGGAAAAACCACGGCAAGTTGCCTGCCCGAAGAGGGGCAGAACTTAAGCACCCACTTCAGCTTCATCGACGAAGATGTCGGAGTAGTGGTCTAAAATGGTCTCGATCGCCTGTAAGGTATAAATCAACGTAACGAGGCTGAGTCAAGAGTTATCAAGGCTTGATAATCACCTTGTTCTGAAAAGGAGCATCTGCTATGCCCCCGTTTCCGTGACCCGAAAAACTCCCGTTACCGGGTATTATTTGACCAAAGAGAGTTTGTCCGAAAACGATGGCAAGATTCTGGATAGACATAGAATTATCTGTCTCAAACTCAGCGATCCTACATTGCGGGACCAATTGATTGATCAGTGAAGATAAATGCCGACAAGGGTGAACACACTTGTGCAAGTGCCCCAAAAAATATTTGAGTGTAGCGTAGTTCGGGTCCGGTAAGTCATTGACTCGCTCGTGTAGACGTATATGCCGCAGGCGATCGTTCTCGATCTCTGGAACCACTGTAAGAAGTTGCCATATTTGCATAGCATAGATAGCTTACTAGCGGCTTCCACAAAGCCCTGATGCAGGGTTGATGTTAGTAGCGGATCAGGAAGCTCTCTGAACCACATCTTGAGGACGCTAGTCACATTGTTGATGTCAGATATCCACTCTTCCGAATCCAAGTTGACGGAGTCCATATCTACGGAATTACCCGTAAGACTCCACGGCCGAACAGAGCCGACGAATGCAAACCTTTGTCTAAACGCTCTTTCAGTGAAGCAACTTTCCGTGCCATACCACTGATTCGATAAATGCCTTGGGATCGAAGGCCATGTTTTTCGATAGCAACACAGCACTTTTCGAGGATCGCTGGAAGTTCAACATTGTCTCTCGCCATCTGCTCTGCAAGATCTACGCCAAATGTTGGCCGGCCCTTATCAGGTATTTGGGCGTTGTGACCATTCCCAATCGGAGTATTTGCATGAACAGCAGAATATGCGCCACCCCCGTGGGTCGGCAACGGTGGCAGCTGATAGTCGCGTTGGTGCTGATTCCAAAGAGAAAATGTGGATGACGTACAAAACCTTCTTCTGCTGGACCTTCACGTCGCGGTCCACGGGGAGCGGCTCCGCCACGCGCGTATGCATAGTTCTGCATGTAGATCTTGAAGTCTGCACGATTATCAATAGACTCGATCGTAGATTTTAGGCCAATGCCTATTTAATGTGTGATGAAGCTGTTAGTAGGTATTAATTCGTGGCTGATGGGATCTTACCGTCTTCTGGCCCTACTGGAACAAGGGTTGATCCGTCGCTTAGAACTATGCTCTCGAACAAAAATGCATATCTCGTCAAATGATATTGCGTCCCGAGGTCTATTTCGTCAGCACATTCTTTGAGAGCCTATAAAATTACATCAGCCCCATCACGACGTCATGGTTGATTTTACTCAACACGCAGTATCCGGGGGAGCTGGAAATTAAAGTATTCTTGTCTCATTGCTTGGGTATCAGTAAGTGCCTTGCGGTATGAGTCAGATGCATTCGATACACGTATGCGGATATCGTCTTCTTGTCTTTGTATCTGAAATAACGAGTGAGAGACTGTCATGAACAGCATAACAAATGCCAACATTTCCAGGATTCTTCCCTTTGAGCAGAAGCCCACCTTTGGCTACTGCTTTTCCAAGTGCTCGTTTACCTGCGACTCCTCCTTGGTTCTTGGCCTGCAAACCACCATCCTTCAGGGACTCCCCCTCCTTCTGAAGCAAGACTCGCTCAAGTTCCTCCGATGAGAGTTCCAGTCGATTTTTTGACTTTTCCATGTTCAACTCCGATTCTTGAAGGGCGCGTTCGTAGCGACTAGCCAGTTCCTTAGTCTACGTAACATCAAAAAATGACCTTCAAGTGGAACGATGAGGGGCACCTGTTTTCTGTTCTTGTCCACTTCCTTTGCGAGTGAGGCCAGCTCATCGCTCATCTCATTTAGCCGCTGGGCAAAACGAATCCTGTTCTCTGCCATAACTTCATGGATTTTCATGGATGACTGCCAAGCACCCACGAAAGACCTATGGATCGTAATTAGTGACATGCAAATAGCACTCGGTCCAAATTTACCCAGCCTTTCCGTCGTTCATAGAGTAGACCTCGGACGTAGTTCGTGCGAGCTTCTGCAAACTCTTCCCAAACTCTTCTTCCAAAACTGCTCTTTTCTTGAAGAAAACTGAAGCTTCCTACCAAAGAAACTTCGTATAATGCTTTTCTCAAACTCAACAAGTTGAAATAATACTCACGCGACACGAGACCATACTTTGTTTAATCCGATCCAGCAGCAAAGGTACACCGCACTAGGGCGGTGCCAAGACATGTCAATGGGCACGGCAGATATCACAAAGTTTGAACTACTTACGTCCAGCTCACATAATACTCTCAATACATTCTCATCAAAGCTGGTCTCCACAAGACTGATAGCGTCGCTTGGGATCATGGATAGCGTATCCTTGCGTTCAATCGTCACCGGCACACTATCTCGCCATCTCGAACTGGATGATCGACCCAGCGAGTCCGAGCTTGACCTGGGAGGAGGTGATGACGGTTTGACTGGTAAAGACGACAATGCAGGAGCAGTGGCGGATTCGTGAATAAGAGACGGGCTATTAGGCTGGAATAGGCCGTAATAAGGAGTCTGGCTAGCAGTAGGATCAGAATTATCAGTCGATTCCAAGCAGTCGATTCCCAAGCAGTCGAGGAGTAGCCTTCGTCGGCCATGGCTACATTCAGCGCGGGTTGTACAGGCACGGGAAGATGACGAGCAATTGCAAGGATCCTGTGAGCAAAGTCCTCTAATGTTCGGAACAACTATCGTGGATTATGTAACTTTCCAGAACAGGCATATGTCGTTCGGAGAGCGTTGGTGCGATTCCCCTGAACAAGGGCGTAAGAATAATTTACAGAACTGTTTCATTGTGTTGAATAAACTATCTCGTATACCTCTTCAACATGTACAAGTTTCAGATAGCTTGCGTAGACATGATTTAATGACTTGGTGACCGAGAAGAATACCGTATGCAGCACCACAAAACCAGACACACGAAGGCCAAACGAATGGTAAGCAATTGCAGGTATATAAATTGTTAGCCTCTTTAGTGACCGTTCATCACTCCCCCGCAACGCCGGCAAGGGTTACTGAATTGTTCCATGATCAATCCTTGGTCAGGAAGCATTCTGGTGGTCGTGAGTTCGCAATCAAAGCTGTCAAGCAAGATACTAACATTTGGGAGCAAGTAGATCCACAACTGTGTATCCCCATCTGATGCGATGGACTGAAGCGACAGTCTCTCTTGCGACAATCAACCTGCACGATGATTAGTTGTCTATGGAATATGCTGTAGTCAACACATACCACTTGCTGTCTAGTGACCGTTTGGTGGCTGCAGCTGTACTCTGCATATTGAATGATTTTGTAGCACATCCAAGGAGAGATTCGCAGTCGAATAATTTGCTTATCAGCATGGAGGGCTGGGTTATAAGTTACTTTGGGATCTATACATCACCAAATTAACATAAACTCACCTGACCACATAAACTAATGAATGTATTAATTGAGCTTCATCAGCTGTGCTCTTGGATCCACGAGTCAATGGAATCTAGGTTGTGATCGTAAAAAAAAATCGCTCCACTGAGCTGCTTTGGGTTCGGCTATTGCCACCCCCACCAGAGCCCCGGGTCGTGGCTCTCTCTAGAAAACAGATGCAATCTGCCGACGATCTAAGACAAGATCGTCTTCCGCTGCGGAGCGGATCATCGGTCACGATAAGTGGCAATACCACCACCACTTGTATCGACGCTGTATTCACTATTTTGGCAATCAGTAGATGAGCAGTAGGAAAAGCACGACCCCGGGATACTCACCAGCAGTATGCGTGCTGTCGATAAGGCCTGATCTAGGTTATATTGAACGGAATGGGGAGGCTCACAATACCGACTGGGGAGCGGTTAAGTGGGTTAGCCACGCCGCTTTCATGTTACTGAGTGACCAAGCGAGAACGCATTGGTATTACCCGTCGTGTCAACCGCATGCAAATTGACAGGCACGGGTCGAGACAAGATCTTCAAGGCTTCGCATGCTATAATCGACAATCGACAATTAGGCATCCCCATTGAAGACATACAATGTCCAACAAGAGCCAACAGGAACTCTGAATGAGACCTCCTTGATGGCCTCGGACTAAATGAGGTCCCACGAAGGTTCTCAAGGTTCTAGCGCTCTTCTACGATAATTTGCTCGGCACCAAAATTCAAATGTTCCATGACGATGGGAGGAACCCTACGCACTTTGGGTATAACAGGGAATAAAGAATCGAGTAAAATTCCAGTCGGGCCAAAAGTAAAAGATGAGGCTCAAGTTTTGCCTAGGTATAACACTCTCATCGAGCGCAGTTGGCTAGCGATACGAAAGTTCGCCTTTCGGACAGCACATGGGCTTTTTTGGTGCTGCATTAAAGTGGTACTAACTCATAATGTCAATCAATCACGATAACTGCAAAGACGCAAAAATCAGGTGTCACACCGCAGCGGTGAATTTGCGCTCCAAGATCTGTTTCCCCCCAGTGCCAATCATTGTGCACCTAGCAAAATACTTCGCCAGTGCCAGCCGTACGCCTTGGAGTGCATGGAGTGCCTCACTTGTCCCACCAGAACCGAGTTTTGAGATCAAGATACGGAGATATTCATCGCCGGATCCTTGATCAGTTCGCGCAATTACTTCTTCCAAATGCTGTAGCAGAATGCACGCGCTTGCATACGGAAAGAGCAATGTGGCATCTAGCAGAAAAGTTAGGCATCCGACATGCGTATACGGAGTTCTTTACGTACCATGCTGCAAAAGTTGTTGGGAATCGCACAGTAGAACCGCCCACCACGATTTCGGAGTAAGCCCGTCGTGGAACATTGATACAAGATCCCACGCAGCATCTTGCAGATCTTGATTACTTAGGCGCTGATGGAATTCAGCGTAACGAACAGCAAACATCAAGCGGTGGATGAAGATGCCCTGTGCACCGGACTGCATCTGAAGTGCCTGGAGTGACGGCGCAATGCCAGCCACGTAACGGGTGAATTGTTCCGGCCCTGATGATATTTCATTCAACACCAAGCAATAAGATTGAAGCTATTCATACCTGCAGTGATATATTCTTGTAAAACGCGATCAACCACGCGACCTAGTCCAGGCCAGTCTTCCGCTGAAGAAGAATATGAAAGTGCGAGTCCGTATTCCTTTTCTTGTACAAAGGTCTGAGCGGCTATCTGTATGAAAACATGATGAACACAATTGGTGTAAATTTAAGATGATGCATACGCGGCAAATAGTTCGTCGGACTTCCTCCCGCTGATATTCATAGCACGTCGCATTGATATCTTTTATCACACCCGCAAGATCTCCAGACTTTAAATTATCGGCACCGTTTTGCTCCCCTTGGCCATGAGTAATTGATCCGACGAAGCGCAACTTGAGCGGAACGTGCATTAAAACTTCATCGGCACTTCTGACGCCAATCTCCCCACAAGAGAACATGTACGCCACAGTAATTCTCCAAAGCGCAGGATCAGCATGAAGATACTGTGCATAACCAAGCACGTAAAAATCTCTGACATCGAGACCTGAGCTGCAGAACGCATAAGTACTGTTACCCCAATAAAAGACTTCGACGTACTCCTCATTTGCATCCCTTTCGATTAAAGATAACGCTTGCATCAAATCTGCCATATGCGCAGCAAGCCAGGGGTCGAGCTGCGCTGCATGGGACAGGGACTTTGGCAGGGTCACCGCTGAACAGCGCTGCATGTACCATATCCTCCAAATTCGTCGGATCTTGGGGCATGTCATCAAGGACCTGAGACACAACCTCACTTTTGAGGATGTCAGTATAAATTCGGTCTTGAAAGGGAGTAACATACGGTAAATCCTGTCTTCGTAATCTTGCATCGGCAAATACGCCCCATGAGACAGAAATTTCTCTCCAGTCCGCGCCAAGATCTTCGCAGACCCGACGAATGACTTCACTGCGTCCTTCCAGTATACCAACAATATCACTTAGACGATCCCACCAATTCTCAATTCCGTCATGCCGATCAGATTCAGACACACTGTCTAGTTCAATTCGCAGAGCTTTCACCTTATCCTTCCATCGGTGAGAAGCATATGCAAAATCGCGCTCCGCCTCAAAAGACTGAAGGTGAGGCTGAGATTGAAGTAATGGGGACAATCGCTGAGCAAGCCGGCGGAGGTTGTCGGACGGGTGGGTTGATAACGTTGCGAGGAAGAAGGTTGCGGCTTTTGAAAGACCTCTCAAAGTCACCCTGTACGATATTAGTTTGTTGAGAATTATGAAAATAGGATCCTACCTGACAAGATATGGCCAGAATGTCTCGTCTTCCCAAGGACGATCTAGACCTGATAGGTGATCGCCCTCCTCCGTGGAAGGTTCGATGAAGTGGACATTCAGCCACTCCATTAAATCGTCACCTACTGGTGCGTCTTCGTACCCGTACTCGGGTACGTATAAAACAGCAAATAGGGCAAGACACGTGTATAAGCTGCGATAGTGATCACCGGAAAATTGGGATGAACCCTGAGACTGAGCAGACGTTTGCTATCTCCCGATCAACATCTCATAGTTAGACAACATGCAGATACTCACTGAGGTGTGTATCCAGCATTCCCTGGTAAAATTAACATAATCCAGGGTTAGCTTTCTGATCACATCGTGAGTTTCTTGACTGTGTAACCTAATGTGGCACGGGATTAGCGTGTATGACAAATAAGTTATCAGTCAAAGACCAGCACCATTCCTGTCCTCGGCTTTGAGCCGTGTTAGTCAAGTTTTGTAACGCAGCAAATATTATGGATGTATCTCCAATGAACTATCCAAAAATGAACGCGTGCGATATAGTATAGATCATATGGACACACCAGTCGTCTTTCAGATGATGGCGAACTTTCATTGCTCGCAAAGAATATGGGCTGTTCTTCCACACCACTGGCTTTTATGCTCGGAACATCTTTCTAATACAAATTATGAATTGGCATTTCGTTGAAGCAATCTGACGGTGTGAAACCTACTCTGGCAGATGGAAATACAGCGTACGACTGGTTCAAAGGTGATTGAACAGATAGAAGCGTCTTTCCCGACTGGATGAACTGTTCAGCGTGTCCGACTTGAATGAGAGGAGGGAAGAGGTTGAGGTGATGATCAATGGAGCTCATCGGGTTTTAACGAGTGACACTTGCAAATAAGTATAAGAGTTCCCTGCTCTTCTGCGCTATCACGTGTGAATATAATGGAGCGAGTCCGGGACGGTCTACTTAGAAGTTTGAGGTGGTTGGTCTCAGTTGGTTGGTTGATGCATGTTGATTACATGAGCTTCCTCATTCGGATACTATGATATATTAACAAATAGTAGGTCAAATAAACGCAAATATCGATTATGATAGGGAAATATCTACCGGGAACAGCGGTGCTGCATTCGGCGCCGTAAACTTAGAAACAAAAGAGTGTTGAAGAAAGGGTTGATGCATTGATGCGTTGATCAGGTGCGATACCGATTCTGCCGACTGCTGATCACAACTTTCCAAAAACGATTTTATTTCTTAATCCCACTATGTGCATACATCCTGGATGTCCTGATTATTTCCAGCCTGAAGCTTAAGCTTAAACTTAAGGTTCACTGATATATATATGTAATGTAATATTGTTAGCATAAACTCGACTCACTACGTAATTAACTGCCAAAAAATTGCAGGCAGCGTCTTATTACGAACACTCAACGGTTTCGTCATTCAATGACAGTCTCGACCTCCCCGATGAGCTTACAGCTACCTATGCCCGGGCGCAATGGATAAGATCAGCACATATCATCCCCTAGTGCTAGTATATGGTAAATTGGTATGGTCCTGGCTGCATGACACATCGACGTTTATTAGGCATATCAAGCTAAAGCGTTTTGCAGGAGGGCGCGTTACGACGACCTAATGCAGATTGGGCCTTTTCAATCGGCGTTTATTCGAAGGTGCACCCACACCCTTGATGTCGTGCTCATTTCCGCGAATATCTACGGCCACCTTAATCCGAGCTCGGAATTTTTCCGTGGTGCTGGTCCACCTGACTTATCCTGGTTCTTGAAACCTTAGAATAAAAAGATAAGACCAAGAAAAGAAAATACAAAGGTGAGTATGGCTGTCAGATTCCTTTTGTTGAAAGAGATGAGAGTACATTTTGTGGACGGAGCGCAGTAGCTTTCAAGACTGCTACTGAGTGACTGCCGCATTCACGGTAGTTCAGCCTGGTGGTTGTCCTCCCGTTTGCAGAAAGGCCGCGATAAAACGTCATATATCTCAGGACCTAATTAGCGGGCTACGTGCCGTGGTGCCCAGAGCTTGAGAATCCTGTGCGATAGCACCGATGGTTGATGTTACTACATGGGGCAAAGGGCTCAATTTTTCCTTCAATCTCGATTGACCTAGTTTCAGCCCTCCAGCTCAGGAAGGCCAAGGTTTTGGCAAAGTGATGGTCCGTGAGAGTTGCCCTGCGGCCACCTCATGTAGATGACTGATTTGAAGACCCAATGCTATCTATCGAAGCTTCTCGATAGATCAGAACATTGAAGCATGTTCTTGCCTTCGTTTTCGGGCGTTCCATTTTAGCAGTTCCACGGTGATCGCAGATTGGCAAACTACGAACCGGTTTGCGTGACATCCAACCTGGTCATGGACTTCGTGATCAGCTTATAAGGCTCTCGCTGAATATCCAATCGTATCTGAATATTATTCATCGATATTTTTCTCCATGCATTATTCAGGGACCGTGGACGGTTTAAGAGAGAAGCTGAGAGGGTCATTTCAGTGGCCATCACAGCTCTTAAGTTCTAGACTTACTAGAACGAACCATACTTTTCTGTTCTTATTTGTGACAAGAGAGGCACGCACGTCACCTCAGGAGCGGAATTGACGGTCCATAAAATGTATAGATCATGAACTGATAGGGCTAAGTCGTCAGCGTGTTGAAGCCCGAGCTTGCAGTTCAGTGGCGTGAATGAGCATTTTGATCTCCGAGGTGGAGCCATTGGCGCAAAATCAGGTAACATTCCACTTGTTTTCACTGATCTGTTCTTCAAGTCCTGGACATGCCATCGTCCTATGGTAGTACACATAATTCAGTAGCGATTATTGGACAAACATTCGTTTTCATAGGTTTTGGCATGTCTGTCATTTTCGATTCCCTTCGCAACGAAAAATAATTTTAGCCTGAGGCAACGTGCACGTACCACTTTCGACCGGTCCATATTTTGCACGACTTAGCCATGGCCACACTGATATGACTTCGCCACGAGGAAAAAAATCTTCTAATCCAGAAAAAAAAAGGTCATAATACGACCTTGCCACAGAGAATAAAGAAATATCACAAGGACTATCGCTCCTCGCTCGCACGAAATGTACCTTTGTCGGCACCTGGAACGTTAGTCACATCACCGCACTGGCCACCGCTTGCGCTTGGAATGTCTTGGCACAATTGTCTGTCTCGCCTTCAACGTCAAGCCAGTTATACTTATTTCACAAGACGATGAGTTGTACTCAATACGGTTCGGTATGATGTTTAGGGAATGAAGAACAGGCCATCCTCGTCTGCTTGATGACCCTCAGATTGGTGAGCAGAATCTGATTGGCTTTGAAGTCTGTGATACCAAAAGATTATATCTAGCCAGTTGAGAGTAGGAACACACCAGCACGCCATCTGCGCGTCCGATTGTCGACATTCGTACTGAGATGCAGCCGGCATCAAATGCGCTCCAACCAGGGCACCGATTCCTTGGACATCGCTGCTCATGTTGCTCAGGTGTGCCGATCACAGAGAAGAAGGCATATTCTACACCTAAGGAATCGGTACATCATGTACGCAATGGCAAACTCTTACCTTCGGATGTACAGCGCTCATCTTCCTGGGGAATACAAGTCGAAGAAGTCGAAGTTGCTGGGCAAAGAGTGGTCTCGTTCCGCTGGTCGAAAAAAGCTATATTTCATTACTGGGTGCGGGTCGTAACAAGACTGTCCATCTCGACACAGGAAGGCACGTGAGGCATCGAGAGACTGGGAGGTTGCATTCCCAACGAGTCCAGCTGACAATCCTAAAGTGGGATAGTAAGCTTTGTTTGCAACTGCGTATCTGGACGCCTGGTAGGTCAATGATTGCATCTTCCACATTGCCGTTGTCATCTAAAATAAACTCCAGCCAAAAGTGACTTCACTGCAGTCAAATAACATCAAGTATTACACCCTCCGATACCTCGTGACACCACTCGATACACTGAAGCATCAAAGACGAACTTTCCAGTCTGCAGTGATGGAAAGTAACAGCGTCTCCTGCGAAACCGTATTTCATACCATGCAGCACCGTGGTTTCGCTGCTACATATGATTGTTATCTCACATTTATGATGTGTGTCATTTCCCTTCGCAACATCATATAGCTTGCTTCATGTGACGCGGCTTCCTGCGGTGGCATGCAAATCGGGTTTGGTCTTCCTGCTCTCGATGTCAGGGTAAATCAACACCACAGAGAAAACAACTCCAATGAAGCTTCGTTCAGCTCACCGTCAGCGTTTACCACGTTATCCGGTTTTATCTTCTATGAGCCGCCCTCTGTGTCGCCGCTTCGGGCACCCGCGTTGGCCAGTTGTGGACGGTCTCGAGAGTGCTCGGGTATTGGATCGAGGCACGTACTGGAAAGATGTCGCAGCGTATCATACACCATGGGCTTGGTGAAGCAAGCATCTCATTCATGACCTGAAATCGAGCTCCACCAGTCAGGAACCCCCGTTTCACTGGAGAAGATTGGCTTACTCCGATCCTGTGAAATTCTATCTCCGCGATCCAATGCGAGATGCTGGAAAATATTCTTCTACCAGATGCGTATCCCCAACTTGGCTGAAGTTCGTTTAGAGACCTTCAACGACGATCTACGGTTTTACGAAACATGTGAACCACATTCGGACACGACGTCAAGGTCTAGGTGCGTGAAAAAAAAAAATGACCGCTGGCTAACATGCCACAACATTCTTTTAATCATCTATGTGCCCTAACACTCCCACCGAAATCACATTCATGCATACGAATCAAGTTTCCTATCATTACTATCAAGGACACAGTTTAGGGACCTGGGACCTGTGACTGGCGAATTTTTGTCGCAGACCTCCAGCCTGTTCCAGTCATGGAGACCCAACGTAAGTTTCTGTCGATCAACTTCTTTATTTTTGTCGTTTTTGACTCCAATCTGTGACCATTAGGGCATTGTATACAACGTCGGACAGTACGATTTTTCTCTTACCATTGCGCTCCAATTCAAACATCCAATCCTCTAATTTTCCCTTAGCAACCCTTTCTTCAGCTCGGTCGAGGATCCTGGACCAATATTTAGTCTGGGTTCTTTGAGTAAATGATCATTTGCACAGGTGATTGGGAGTCGGCCTTAATTTCGTGCCGTCCTTCTCAGGAAAATCATGGAAATCCTATCTGTAGAAGTTCGTCGTCAGCTGCTGCGCCTCCAGAAACTGCACGACGTCAGCAAATTGAAGGAGTAGTTTGAGAGGATCATGGATTTCGGTCCAATCGGTAAGCCCACATTTCTCTCTCCATGCCTTATATGGCAGCGCTGCAGTAGCATCCAGATTAGCACGACAGCACTGGTGAGAGCAGATGGTTGGAACACGAAGGTTGTCCTAGTTCGCTTTCTTTTGTCTCACTCCTTCCCCAATCCGTCTGTGGAGCGAATTGATATTTATGCTAGGCATGACAAATGGCTTCCCTCATCGAGAATAAAATACACCAGCCGAATTGTGCCCAGAACCCTCTAGCCACTTGCTGAGTCACCGAAATCACTAGTGACGTACGACCAGTGACGACGCTCGAAGCTTATGGGAATGCAGACTAGTGGATAGGATGTGGCTTCAAAGTCAAAGTCCACTCGAGATGGAACAAAGGGGATTGCTATTACAACAGCGGAATCCCTTTGCCCTAGGTACCCTCCGACACCATGGATTACGATATACGGTGGTGCTGTCGACGAACATAACCAAGGTCCTGGATTGTGCTGTGTCTAGGTCAAAGTGCAGCTCTCGCTCCTACCGAGCGTACCACCTGCAAAGAGCTGAGTATCCGAAGCACTTTTGTGCTGAGCTACCGACAAGAAGAGGCTGCAACACGGCTCGGTGACGTATCCCCTACCCAACCCAAGTAGTGATTCTCACAGTCGACAGGGCGAACCAAGCACCAATTACATAGTTACCCTCTCCGGCGCAAGGCCACCCAGAAATAAGCCTTGTGCAAACGTGCATACACTCACCCCTTCACAGTTTCACGGCTCTGGACGATCCATACTAACCGAAGCACAAGCTATTTAACGTCACGCATGCACCAAACTTTACGTTCACCATGCCCAGCTTCTACTGCTGTATGTACCCATGTCTCCGGGTGTAAGTCACAAGGCGAGGGCAGCCCTTGGTATCGCTATTTTCGGATTTTTTTATAGCGCAGCGATTGAGTTATAATCAACGTGTTTGCCACGATGATGTGCTTTACTGGGCTGTTCTAATTTGCCAACTGGTATGACTGCGCAACAAGCTCGTCAACAATCAATTAAATTACTGATGTTTCGTTCAGGGTCAGACGTGATATGCGTACAAGAAGCATGCTTCTAATCATTTACGCCCCAATGAGTCTTGCCGAAAGCATTGAAACGACACGATGAATATATACGATATATACGACCATTACGCCGGGTGAGAAGGAGGCGCAATGTCAATCGCTTCCTTCCATGACGGTTCTCTTCGTAATGCATCATGGCGCTGTTAGTAATATCAGGTGTAAGTGCGTCACGATCGTAGGCTGCCAGAAGGCATCATTGCGCCTAGTACTTATTTTGATCAGCAGTACTTACACACTCCATATTTGGGTATCAACTTCGTTCAGGACGCTCACCGATTTCTAGCCCTATGCAGCGAATGCACGACTCGCAACAGGGCCTTTATAACTAAAAATTCGAGCCTATGCTTGAATCATCTCCTACCGATCACGTCGAGCGGTACCCTCAGGATGGCTGATCTGGAATCCGACGAGCACAGGGCTCATCTCGGGCTGCGCGGACATGCGAACACGGTTCTCCCAATGAAAAGTGAAAAGCTATCGTGTCTGTTATCGAGTCATCCTCATCATAACTCCAACGAACCGGTGACCAAGCTCCATTGGCCAAGTGGCTCGTACCGGAGTGAGCCTGGTATGCTCAACGCGGTGCATGGAATTGCACAGTACAAGCCACAGGTGGACGGCCACGTCCCAGAGATGATCTGGCTCCATCAAGTTGAAGAGACATCCACAGAAAAACTCAGAAGGGAGTTAGATATTGACGACCCTGTACGACGCAGTCGCATGTTGAACATCCACGTATCTTGGAAACTTCAGCCGATCACGAAGCTGAGCGAGAAAGAGTTTAGGCGCGCGTGGTGGGTAGTGATAATCTGTAGGTGCCGTTCCTCATCGCGTTCACCATTGTCCATTAACTGCAAAAACAGACCATCGTATCCTCTGGATCAGCGGTGTCCGTCAGTGTGACGTCAACCCCAGCAATCTCATGGTTTACCGGTCCATGAGCGGTTCAATGATGGGTGTTATCAACGACTGGGACTTGACATCGCCTGAAAATGGGTCCGGCAGCCACGAGCGCACAGGAATGATACCATTCATGGCGGTGGACCTTCTTACAAAGAAAGCCATCAAAGGCAAAGCGGAGCACATGTACCAGTACATCGCTGAATCGTTCATGTGGGTCCTCATCTGGGTCTGTCTTCAGTATGAGGACGGAAAGCTCCTGAGCAAGGACAGACCACTCGATTGCTGGCTCACAGGGGATGCTTTTAGTTGCCGGGAGATTAAACGCAGCTCCTTAAAGTTAGCAATGGAAAACAGAATAAGAGCCCCTCTGCCGCCCAAACCTTTTTTGGAACTCGATCTATTTCTCCTTACCTTGATCGCCTCGTTTTATGTGGAGGATCGTAACTTTTCCGTATTGGAAAGGGGATGTATGTTTCGGACATGGTTCGAGACGCAGTTACCATTGTCAATGCGGTCTATTACCCACTCGTCAACTAGTGTGAAATAGATATCCCCTTGACCGCACATCACTCGATTGTACACGCTACGCGGCACTACCCCATAACACTTTAAATTACAGTTTGCGTCGATCTGTTGGTATACCTAGCCTGTTGGTGTGGTTACCTTATTTTTGTGGTCTTGCTATATATTAGAGCAAAGACTGAATTATTGGTGGGCCAGAAGACCAAGAGAGGTTCTCTGCTTCTCGTACAGCAGATCACGCTGTATACTACGAGCCAGACACCAACATGAATGTCCTCTCCAGCTTGTCGCTTAGTAGGGCAGCTCAGAGCAAGTACTTGGGCCGTTGTTCGCTTTCACCGTTGTCGCGTGAGTGAAAAGAAATATTTCAGCTATTTTCATGCATATCGATAGATCGGGGTTTTTTTTTTCGTCTTGCCGTTTCTATTTACTTGTGGAGCTGGACAAACAAAAGGGTCCAGCTTATTATGATACCTTGGTCGGCGGAATACCCCTGAATGGCAAGGGCGCTCTGCCTGGACACTACCTGCACACCCCAGTAGCTGTCAAACAGCAATAGGTGTTGAAGTTCCTTTGTCGTCGTGAACCAATGAGCTCGTAGGTACAGGCGTTGTAGGTGCAGAACCTATCCGTGTATGGTAACACATCATGTGGACTACGCATATGGTGAGCAGCCGTGGGAAACGACGAGCAAACGATTCTATTCCAACAATATTTAGGCGTCTGCTCATATGTTAGATGTCACCCGTCACGGCTGAAGTCACCTTGCGGAGCAAGGTCATGTTTATATCTCCAACTCCCACGAAGTGTGGAGGAGGGTTCGGGTAGTCGTGAGTTCGCACAGCAATTTGGCGCTGGATGACAGTAGTGACGGAGAAGGTAGTGTCTAATGGGCAGGTCTTCAATGTCGGTTTGAACGGTTTGGGGTATCTAACGCAGGTTTGATCATCACAGCACAAACGAATATCGGTCAGAGATGTTTGACCCTAAAAGACAGTTAGAGTATTTCTACTGTACCCACGTCCATGTTATCAACGGAAGCAATGTCTTTGACTTGTGCAACGATGGGATGGTTCGACGCGATCCTCTTGTACTCTCCGACACGCTGCTGCGCCAGCAAAAATGCGTCAAAAGGCTGTCCGAGGCGAACCATCAACTGCAACGCTCGTGCGTGAGGCTCCTCTTCGACAGGCGAACCCCCCAGTAACTTGTCATAGTTGTCCATCAGCGAGTCATCTATCGGGGATCCGGGCTCGGTCCAATCTCCTATACTCTCAGTATCGTCTGTGAAGTCAAGCTGCTCTGCAAAGTCAGGTACCCCGAGGAGATACCGGTCCCATGGACAAACAAGTAAAAACGTCTGCCGAATGGGCTTTGCCCGCGAGAACTGAACTATGGTCTCTTCAGTGGTAATCAGCAGGTCGTGAAGCCCGTCTGCCTTGATTCCATACGTGGTGGGAGTCTCCTGGGCTAGACAGCGCCTCCGTCTGACTTCCGTGACACGGAATGAAATGCAAGGCAGATGAAGTCTGCAGTTTGCGAAGCGAGGAGCTCTCAGCTGTTCAAGCTGATCATAAAATTTCAATGCTAGATCTCTAGGCACGGTTTGTCGCAGCAAAGAGACCTGTGTGTGAATGTGATCTTCGGACAAAGATGGAATGGCGCGTGGAGGAGTGGTGTAGGACGTAATATGGGATGGAAGACAGCTATTGAACTCGGAAGGTTGTCCGATCCAGTTGAGGACAGTGACGTCGCCCGACCGAGCCACAATCTCCTGCAGGAGCCGCCCGAGCGCGTTCTGCTTCTTCTCGCCATATATTACAGGTAAGCTGACATCGAAGATACCAAACAACGAGTACGCGATGTCCTCCTGCAATGTAGTGACGCGTGGTGACGCCCATTGAAGTCTCCGTCGTGCGTCGGCCATCCCTGGACGGAAGGAGATCAGGGCCCGTGCATCTATGCCCGTCGCATCCTCCAACTCCCTCATGATTGCAGGGGACTCTTTGTGGTTAGGAGAGCGATCGCCGAGATATAACGACCAATCCTTCTGATAAAAGATAACAACCTTTGGAGCGACGAATTCTTGAAAGGTCCATCCTCGCTCGTTCCAAACACTCTTTGCCAGTGCACCGGACTGTGATAAAGGAGGGACATCGGATAGGTAGACGATGGTGAGCGCTGAGTGGCGATACCAGACGAACATGGAATTGACTGATTCTTGAAGCTCGGTATTGCTCTTCTTGTCGATGCAGCATGTGTCCATCCATGCCCAGGAATACCCAGCATTACGAGCGATCTTGCAGAACGACTGCAGTTTTGCAATGCCACCAAGTCCATTCAACTCGTACACAACTTTGTCCTGGACGTCGTGCAGCAGCACCTCGGTCTCTTCCCACCTGTGTGATAGCAGGACGCAGCGGAAGTACATCGCTACCACTCCCTTGATGCGCTCCAATTGGAGATCTGAATGCTTCGTTGTGAATGATAAAAGTTCCTTGTACTCTTGACTCGTTTTGAAGGAGTTTATCTGCGCTGCTCGATCGCACAAAAGGCCCGTGGAGGTGTTAAGCAGACGAAGTGGCGTGTTTTCAAGGGCAATCCAAACTGCTCTTTGAATAGCGTCTTCTGCTTCGGATGGACAGACATACTGCTGACGCAGATCTACAGAACGAGATAGGCATTTTGAGACGATGCAGGAGTGTTCCACGACTTACCTCGTATCTGCGCTTCGGAAGCATCGTCCAACTTGGACAACATGATTGTGAAGACTTGGATGGCTTTGTCGTACCGTTGCGCGCCACGCAGTGCTTTATGTGTCAACTGGTATCCAATGTAAGACGAAGGATTGAGTCCGGTGACCTATGCATCACCAAAGTCAACATGGGCTATGAAAACGTTGACGTCATCGCACCTTCTGTGCATCGACAAGTGCATCATCCCATAGCATTTTCCCCAACTTTGCCTTGCTGCGATTTGCAAAGACAACATCGGATGCAGAATCCAGGTCAATCACCACCGAGTACAAGTCAATAGCCCTGTCAAAATTGCTTGCAGCGAGGGCGGCATCTCCGTTGGTAAGACAGAGTGCGTTGCATTCCTCCGTGAAAGCTGAGTGAAGTGCAGGTGAGGATTGTAACCTGCGCAGCATTACAAACTCCAGACTTGCCATTTGACCAGTGAAGGCAGCTGGCCTTCATTGTTTCGTCGACGTTGTCCATCATAGATTTTCGTGATTCGAGGGCTTCATCAACTTTACCTGTGGAAAGGAAAGTCTGACACCGTTCTTTGTGTGCAGTCAACCACAGAGATTTGAGATCCCAGCCGAAGAGCTGTACAAGGGACTCAGTTATGAAAAGTATTTCGGATGTGTATTAACGTACCACCACTAAGTCCTCATACATAACATGAATGGGTGAGCTCGGTGATAAATTACTGAAGTTGAGAGCAGCGGTGAAATGATTAGCGGCTTCGTCGTGACGTGCGCCATCCAAGGCTTTCATTCCGAGTTGAACATGTAGATATGCCTGATATGCGAGTTGCAAGGTGAGTGTTGATGACTAATTATGGATAATACTCACTTGCACGACACGACACGCGAGAGTATCGGCATTCGGACAACCGGCAGCGAGTTCTTTGAGGAGAAGGTCTGTCTCGTCATGTTGATCTGCATTGAAGAGAGCGATGGCCTAAAACACGTGACGAAGCCGCTAAGCGGAGAGTATTAGGCAATTCTAACATACCTTGATCAAGAGCAGAAAATGAATGGTATCTGAATCTTGGTCCGTGTGCATGGATGCAACATCGAATGCTGCCCTCGCGTCTCGGACATGGCCTTTTCCACAGAGAGCGATTCCCTTGGAGATATAGCCTGTCAATGAGGGCTGAATCCTGATGGACTGTGCGATGTCACCATCGAGTTAGCCTTTCATAAGGGGGCCACGACCGGTCAGTGAATCTCACCTTGATTGCATCCTGAAGAGCGTTGTCCCAGTCGTGTTTTCGGGCCATCACGAATGAGCGATGGGCGTAGGAAGTATGGTCATTCGAATCGGTGTCGATATCTTGTGTAAGTAGTTTTTCGGCGGTAGATAAATCTCCGTCTATACATGCAATGCGAGCTGTCGTGATGGCTAGGATCTGCACGAAATATGCTCAATTTGTGGTACATAAGTCCAGGACGGAAACATGCCTTTGAGCGATGGGCGTAGGAAGTATGCTTTTTCGCATCAGTGTTGATGTCTTGTGTAAGTAGCCCTTCGGGGGCAGACGAGTTTCTATCTATGCGTGCATCACGGTCTGCTGTAATGGCTGGGACCTGCACGAAACATGCTCGATTTGTGGCATGTGAGTCAAGGACGGAAACATGCCTTTGAATTGATGTCGTCGGGTACTGCCCACTCTGAGATCATCTTATTGTCACCTCCGCTGAAGACGCCCTTGCCGTCCACGGAGAAAGTGACACATGTCGGAAAGAATGAGTGCTTGAAGGTGGCAACAGTTCGTCCGTCTGAGGGCTGCCAGAGACGGACGTGGTTATCATAAGATGCTGATGCGATGAGTGTGCCAGCAGGATTAACAGCAATGACATTGATGTATTTAGAGTGGCCCGTCCAAGGATCCCCGACCTGTTGCCAGGTTGTTGTATCCCATTCGCGTATGGTAGGATCAACATCATCACCGCCTGTGAGAAGGCGTGTGCCATCGGGCGTCCACGCGAGTGAGAAGTTCCGTCTTATGTGAGCCTTGAAGGACAAAATAGGTTCCCTCGTGTCTGGATTGTAAATTTGGACGTTACGGTCTGTAGCGATGGCAAGATGTTTTCCTGATGGTGAATACTGTATGCAGTTGACATCACTACACTTTATTGGATCTCCTCGTTGCTTCCAGGTTTTGGTGTTCCACAGCTTCATCGTTTTCTCCCATAAACCTGCAGTGCCCAGCACTGTTCCATCAGGAGAAAAATTTAACGAGGTGATCAAACTGGAGTGGGCTTTGACTCGGATGGGTTGAGTGAGCGATTCCCCAGTTCCTCCGTGCCAGACGATGACCTCTCCGTCAGCATCACCGCTTGCTATCAATTGCCCATCTCGTGATACTGCCAATCTCACCACCCTATCACGGTGCCCCTCCATCTTTTTCAATACAACACCTGTCTTCAAGTCCCACAGACGAAGTGTCTTGTCGTACGAGCCCGTAACCATCCGTCGTTCATCGGGGAACACTGCAACTGCTTTTACCCAGCTTTCATGACTTTTGAACTCTCGTAGGGGTGTAGTGATCGGAATGAGCTTCGACATTTTACTGGAGCTTGATGGCCTTGGGCAAGGTTAAGGTGGACTTAAGAGGGATTGTGGGTGTCTTTCTCTAAGCTGCAGGGGTGCGCATTTTGTGCGTTTGATGCTGTTTCACTGCGTCAACCTGCCTCATCTCGATAGACGCCCAGGCACGAGGCCTCCATATCTCCATCGCTGTTGCGGTAAGAATGCACCCTATTGTCATACCCGCCGTCCTCGACACCATACCCTCCTAGCGCTTCAGTGCATACATACATCCTCTTGTCTTCAAAGCTTCCAGAATGTATCCCATCGCATCCAATTGAGCAGTCTGTGCTTCCCAGCCCCTGAATCTGACCATTTATCCTCCATGAGTGCATGAGTGCATGAATATCATTGTTTTTCGTGTCGAGCAACTACTCCAGCACATCACCACGTCACTCCTTCGAACGCATGCATATAGCTTATTGAAATATCATCCCTTGATCCTGTCGACTCCAAAGACCTGCTTGTGCACCGGATGCAGCCAAGGTTCTTTCTTCTGGTGTCTCAAACTTGTCACCAATTCTGTGACTGAGCCCTTTGCTTCCAGCACTCTGGGCTCGCCTGCTCATGATTCATCTCTACTTTGACCATCCCCCACTCCCGGCCCAACTGGTTTCAGTTCCAAAAGCCTCTTAGCGCCCCCATACATATCTGTCTACAGCTCAGTTCTAACAATATTGCGAGGTGCCTACTTGTACCCGAGTCCTTGCGCCGTTCAGTCACGGTTTGGGGGTACCGCCTCGCTATAGTCATATGGGCCGCTCAGCGTGACTCAAACTTCAACATCAACGGTCGCCTCCATGTTTTCAGTGTTGCTTGCGGGGCAAATTCCTATGGACCTCAACTTTAGGCTATGTAGCGTGAGTGAGTATTTGATCCCATTCTACTTTGATGGTCTGTATGTAGCATGTTTTTGGCTAATAACATTGTAGGGAGAAACTGCGGGATCGCGAATCGTGCTATGATGAGCAATTTAACTGGCACTCGTGTTCCAACATCCAGTCCTATTTCTGAGCTCATGTCCATCTTCTCAGGTTATTCGCCACAACCGCGACTGAAATCATGTTGAAAAATTACTTCAAGCTCACTCGTACGGTTGTGATCGCGCTAGGTTTTGACGAGGAAATGAGTGCATTGCAGTCATTTTCTAAAATCACATTCTACATAGCTAAACGTTTGAAGAGTGCGTCTTCTATAAGATATCGGAATGATGGAAAAAATGGCTTTACCATGCTTGTCGATTCTTCACTATTACCACTCGCATCTAAACGACTAAAAACAACATCACACCTTTCTTGTCCTCCTACTCCCAAACTTGCGAACCTCCCCATATCGGGAGTCTGGACGAGTGCCTCTACAGCGATTACATCCAACCCAGGATGGAGGTCGCAAAAATCATGAATAACACAAGACGCATCTCAGCATCCACCACAGCCACACAGGTATATCTGTTGAATCACGGAGAGCACTGATAGTGGGGACGACTGACATATCTTCCAGCTCTAATAAGTCCTGCACAGCTATATGTGCTACTACTGATGGTTGATGTGACCACGGGCTAGTTTGTGTTATCTTGCAGCCCAGTCCTTGGACCGTTCGGTATGGGGTCTCGCCTTGCTAACGTCAATGTTTGGGTTGTTCACCAGTGAGTCAAACTTCAACATCGATGGTCTCCTCCATGTTTTCAGTCTGCGACGTGTAATTTGCGGAGTAAATTTCAACTTTATGCTATGCAGCGTGAGTGAGTCTGACCCTATTTTACTTTGATAGTCTGTACAGTGGTTCCACAATGCGTAGCATGTCTTTGACTGATAACACCACAGGGATGGTCGTGAATCTGCACAGCAATTTGGCGCGGGATGACGGTGCTAACGTCAAAGGTAGTGCCTGATGGATAGGTCTTCAATGTCGGCTTTGAAGGGTATGGGGTATTTATGCATGCAGCTACATGGTAACAACGCAGGTTTGATCATCAAAGCACGAATGAATACTGGCTTTAAAATACAGCTAGAGTATTTCTACGGTACTTACGTCTATATTATCAAAGGAAGTAATGTCTTCGACTTGTGCAACGATGTGATGATCCGACGCAATCCTCTTATATTCTCTAACACGCTGCTGCGCTAGCAAAATCGCGTTGAAAGGTTGTCCGAGGCGAACCATCAATCGCAACGCTCGTGAGCCAGGCTCCTCAACAGACGAACCGCCGGGTAGCTTGTCAGAGTCGTCTATCGGGGACCCGGGTTCGATCCAATCTCCCATGCTCTCTGTATCGTCTGTGAAGTCAGGCTGCTCTGCAAAGTCAGGTACCCCAAGGAGATACCAATCCCACGGACGGACAAGCAAAAACGTCTGCCGAACGGGCTTTGCCCGCGAGAACTGAACTAGGGTCTCTTCAGTAGTGATCAGCAGATCGCGAAGCCCGTCTGCCTTGATTCCATACGTCATGGGGGCCAGACCGCGCCTCCGTCTGACTTCCGTGACACGGAATGAAATGCAAGGCAAATGAAGTCTGCAGTTTGCAAAGCGAGGAGCTCGCAGCTGTTCAAGCCGGTCATAAAGTTTCAACGCCAGATCTGTAGGCACGGTTTGTCGCAGCGAAGAGACCTGTGAGTGGACATGATCTTCGGACAAAGATGGAAGGAAGTATGGAGGAGTGGTGTAAGAAGCAATATTGGCTGGAAGACAGCTATTGAATTCGGAAGATTGTCCGATCCAGTCGAGGACAGTGATGTCACCCGATCGGGCCACAATCTCCTGCAGGAGCCGCCCGAGCGCGTTCTGCTTCTTCTCGCCATATATTACAGGTAGGTGGACACCGAAGATACCAAACAATGAGTAAGCGATATCTTCCTGTAATGTAGTGACGCGTGATGACGCCCATTGAAGTCTTCGTCGTGCGTCGGCCATCCCTGGACGGAAGGAGATCAGGGCCCGTGCATCTATGCCCGTCGCATCCTCCAACTCCTTCATGATTGCAGGGGACTCTTTGTGGTTAGGAGAGCGATCGTCGAGATATAACGACCAATCCTTCTGATAAAAGATAACAACTTTCGGAGCGACGAATTCTTGAAAGGTCCACCCTCGCTGATTCCAAACACTCCCCGCCAGTGCACCAGACTCGGATGAAGGAGGGACATCGGATAGGTAGACGATGGTGAGCGCTGAGTGGCGGTACCAGACGAACATGGAGTTGACCGATTCTTGAAGCTCGGCATTGCTCTTTTTGTCGATGCAGCATGTGTCCATCCATGCCCAGGAATACCCAGCATTACGAGCGATTTTGCAGAAAGACTGCAGTTTCCCAATGCCGCCAATTTCATCCAACTCGTACACGACTTTGCCCTGGATGTCGTGCAGCAGTGCCTCCGTCTCTTCCCACCTGTGTGATAGCAAGACACAGCGGAAGTACGTCGCCACTACGTCTTTGATACGCTCTATTTGGAGGTCTGAATGCGTCGTTGTGAATGATAAAAGTTCCTTGTACTCTTGACTCATTTTGAAGGAGTTTATCTGCGCTGCTCGATCGCACAAAAGGCCCGTGGAGGTGTTAAGCAGACGAAGTGGCGTGTTTTCAAGGGCAATCCAAACTGCTCTTTGAATAGCGTCTTCTGCTTCGGATGGACAGACATACTGCTGACGCAGATCTACAGAACGAGATAGGCATTTTGAGACGATGCAGGAGTGTTCTATGGCTTACCTCGTATCTGCGCTTCGGAAGCATCGTCCAACTTGGATAACATGGTTGTGAAGGCTTGAATGGCTTCGTCATAATGTTGCGCGCCACGCAGTGCTTTATGTGTCAACTGGTATCCAACGTAAGACGAAGGATTGAGTTCGGTGACCTATGCATCACCAAAGTCAACACGGGATATGAAAACGTTGACGCCATCGCACCTTCTGTGCATCGACAAGTGCATCATCCCATAGCATTTTCCCCAACTTTGCCTTGCTGCGATTTGCAAAGACGACATCGGATGCAGAATCCAGGTCGATCGCTGCCGAGTATAGGTCAATAGCCCTGTCATACTCGCGCGCAGTGAGAGCGGCATCTCCGTTGACAGTGCAGAGTACGCTACATTCTTGCTTGAAATCTGAAAGAAATGCAGGTGAGGAATGTAACCTGCATGAAATTGCGGACTCTAGACTTACCGTTGGACCAGTCAAGGCAGTCGGCCTTGGTATTTTCGTCACTCGATACCATCATGTATTGGTATGATTTCACGGCATCTTGAAGTTTACCTGCCAAAAGGAGTGCATGACAACGTCTCTGGTGCGCAGTGAGCCACAGTGATTCGAGGTCCCAACCAAAGAGCTGGACAAGAGACTCAGTTATGAAAAGCATTTCGGATCTGCATAACATACCACCACCAAATCCTCGTAAATTTCATGAATGTCCGATGTCGGCGATAGATCACCGAAGTTGACAGCGGCGGTGAAATGGTCAGCGGCTTCGTCGTAACGCACGCCATTCAAGGCATTGATTCCGAGTTGAATACGTAGGTATGCCTAATGTGTGAGTTGCAAATATTAGTGTTGATGACCCAGCATCAATGCATGATACTTGCTTCAACGATATGACATGCGCGAGTATCGGCATTTGGACAACCGGTAGCAAGTTCTTTGAGGAGCAGGTTTGCCTCGTCATGTTGATCTGCATTGAAGAGCGCGATAGCCTGAAATACGTGATGAAGCGGAGAGTATGCGAGGCAAATGTAACATACCTTGATCAGGAGTAGAAAATGAATAGTTTCTGAATCTTGGTCCGTGTACATGGATGCAATGTCAAATGCTGCCCTCGCATCCCGGACGCGGCCTGTTCCGCAGAGGGTGATACCCTTAGAGATATAACCTGTCAATGAGGGCTGAATGCTGATGGACTGTGTGATGTCACCATCGAGTTAGCCTTTCATAAGAGGCAATGATGGATCAGCAGAATCTCACTTTAATGGCATCCTGAAGGGCGTGGACCCAGTCGTATTTACGGGCCCTAATGAACGAGCGATGGGCGTAGGAAGTATGGTTGTTTGCATCGATGTTGATATCTTGCGTGAGTAGTTCTTCTGCAGCAGACAAGTCTCCATTTATGCATGCAATGCGGGCCGTCGTGATGGCTAGGATCTGCACAAAATATGCTCGAATTGTGGTATAAGTCAAGAACGGAAACGCGCCTTCGGATGAATACCCTGAGGTGCCCACTCCGAAATCATATTATCGTCACCTCCACTGAGGATGCGTCTGCCGTCCACGGAGAAAGTGACACATTTTGGCGAGGATGCATGCTTGAAGATGGCAATGGTTCGTCGATCTGAGAGCTGCCAGAGACGGACATGATTGTCATGAGATGCGGAGGCTACGAGTGTGCCAGCAGGATTAACGGCAATGGCATTGATGTTGCTAGTGTGGCCCGGCGTCCAGGTATCACCGACCTGCTGCCAGGTCGATGTATCCCAGTCGCGTATGGTAGGATCGAGGTTAGTGCTGCCTGTGAGAAGGCGTGTGCCATCAGGCGTCCATGCAAGTGACAAGTTGTATGATGTGTGACCCTTGAAGGATGCGACGCGTTCCCTAGTGTCTGGATTGTAAATTTGGATATCGCTGTATGTTGCGATGGCAAGAAGTTCTCTAGACGGCGAATATCGAACACAGTTGATGGTGCTGCCGCACTCAATTGGACTTCCTTGCTGCTGCCAGGTTTTGGTGTTCCACAGTTTCGTCGTTCCGTCCTTTGAACCAGTGGCCAGTACTGTCCCATCTGGAGAAAAGTCAAGGGAGACGATCAAATTGGAGTGGGCTTTGATGGGTTGGGTGAGTGATTCTCCAGTTTCTCCGTGCCAGACGATGACCTCTCCGTTAAAATCACCGCTTGCTATCAATTGCCCATCTCGTGACACCGCCAATGCCAACACCCCGCTGCAATGCCCCTCCATCTTCATGAACACAACACCTGTCTTCAAGTCCCACAGCCGAAGTGTCTTGTCCCATGAGCCAGTAACCATCCGTCGTTTATCGGTGAAAACTGCGACTGCCAGTATGTATCCTTTATGACCTTGAAACTTCTGCAGTGGCGTGGTGCTGGTAATTACCTTGGTCATTTTACTGGAGGTTGGTGGTGTTGGATGCGGTCGAGGTGGACCGGTGAGGGGTTGTGGGTGTCTTTCTCTAAGCTGCAGAGGTGCGTGTTTTGTGCGTTTTGTGCTGCCTCGTTTCCATAAATGCCCAGTACACAAGGCTGTTTGCTCCATCACCGTTACGGCAAGAATGCACCCTATTCCGTCCTCCACAGTATACCCTCCCGGCACCTCTGCAGTGCATACATGTATCCGACTCTTGCTTCAAAGCTTCCAGCATACATCCCATCACATCCAATCGAGCAGTTGGTGCTTCTTGGCGCTCGAATCTATCTATCCTGCATAATATCCGAGTCGTTGTTTTTCGTATCGAGCAGCTACTCCAACACTCACCATGTCACTCCTTCAAATGCATGCATATAGCTTACTGCAATATCATCGCCTCATCCCGCCGACTCCCAAGACCTGCTTGTTCTCTCCTCTGGCATCTCAAACTCGTCACCAATTCTGTCACGGAAGAGTGCTTGGCTTCCAGCGCTTTGCTCATGATTCGTCTCTATTCAGAGCTTCGCCCGCTCCCGGCCCAACTGGTTTCAGTCCTCTCATTCGTCAATCCCCTCACAAGTCTATCATCATTAGAATACTGCACCACACCAGCATCAGTGCACCATGGTCGCTAACCTTGCGCTAACCCCAGCGAGCCTTCACCGCAGATGCTACCGAGCCATGCGTTCAAAAGACTGTCATCGCGGGTGTTTGGGAATGCTGTCTACCATGAAATCAATAATCCTTGTACTTACACCGCCAAGAGACCAAGTGAGGTTGATTCCAGTTCTTTTACCGAAGTTCTCATCCCAATTCTCATGTGCCAGGCGCTGAGTGATCGATCTTTGATCAACTCAATTATTCTCGAATGCCATGTATTATCTCCTTCCTGAATGAGAATTAGTGTATGCTAATGTAGATGAAACGACAGATAGTGTGGTTGCCGTTGTAGCGATGGATAATGAGACTGAGCGATGCTCTAGGAAGAGTAGCGAGCGCGGGAGTTGATGTTTGTTAGAACGATTTGAATATGGGGGAGAGAATTATCAACATCAGAGATGCGTCAGGTTGGACAGGCAAGAGACGGTCGGAAACCGAAGTGGGGAAAGGCAGCGCCGCAGTAGAGAGGGGAGTTGTGGAGATATGGCAAGTGTGCAAATGGAAATGCGGTGAGCAAGGAGTAAAAATATAAACTATATGGTATGCTTTATCCCCCCGGTAGATGGGTAGCGGAATATTTCAAACATCTTCCATACGACAAGGAAATACGATTATAATGATACATATACAATACAACAAGCTGCGACGAAATGCTCAAACATCTATGCCCCGAAACCGTACAGAGTACGCCCTGACCGCTTCAGAGCGTAAACCACATCAAGAGCGGTAACAGTTTTCCGCTTTGCGTGCTCAGTGTATGTTACCGAGTCACGGATGACCTACAAACCATGAGCATGCACACTTAAATTCAATGAGCACATGCACGCACGTTTTCAAGGAAGATCTTGAGGACACCACGGGTCTCCTCGTAGATAAGACCGGAGATACGCTTGACACCGCCACGACGGGCAAGACGACGGATAGCAGGCTTTGTTATGCCTAGGTACACCAGTTAAACACAAGATAAGAGCAGTCATTGCTGAATGACTCACCCTGAATGTTGTCACGAAGAATCTTGCGATGACGCTTGGCACCACCCTTTCCGAGACCCTTTAAGATATGTTAGACTGGAACCAGAACAACCCCGACTCCACAGCTTACCTTGCCACCCTTTCCACGGCCGGACATTGTATTGAGTTAAAAGTGAAGTGTTGTGAAGTGTGTGAGTTTAGTGTGTGTGAGTTTAGTGTGGTCGATACAGGAGTACCGCAATCAACTGTGAACTGGGTTATATACCGTGGCGTGTGGCTGTGCTGAATTACCACATCTGGAATGTTGATTGGAACACGGGCACCACGTGATGTGACGCGACGCGTCTGTATATAGGCCAAGGCATATGCTCTTTCTATACCAACATCCTCCTATCGACTATTATCTTTACTTTGTGCAATTATCCTTTTTGATTAAACAATGGCTCGCACTAAGCAAACCGCTCGCAAGTCCACTGGTGGTAAGTCGCAATTTGGGTTTAGAACATGGGACTCGAGCTCACTGGCTATTAGGCAAAGCCCCTCGTAAGCAATTGGCAGCCAAGTCTGCAGCTCGCAAGACCGCACAAGCAGTACGTATTGTGTTTGGACCACTGAGCTTTGCTCACAGTACTTGCTCAGAGCACTGGTGGTGTTAAGAAGCCCCATCGTTTCCGTCCCGGTACCGTCGCTCTTCGTGAGATCCGTCGGTACCAGAAATCAACAGAGCTGCTCATCCGCAAGCTCCCCTTCCAACGACTTGTTCGTGAAATCGCACAGGATTTCAAGGTAAGTCGCTTTTGTATCGTTGTAATTCTCGGGTCTGATTGCCCCTCAGACTGACTTACGCTTCCAATCATCTGCCGTAATGGCTCTTCAAGAAGCCGCTGAGGCATACCTTGTCTCACTGTTTGAGGACACTAACTTGGCTGCCATTCACGCCAAGCGTGTTACTATTCAACCTAAAGATCTTGCTCTTGCACGGCGGTTGCGCGGGGAGCGTTCATAGACCTGACATATCTTGTTATTCATATCTGTGGTGTACCTTATTGTATTTCTATCTATTTTACTTGACATCCCGATGCGATGTGTTTATTTGCAGCATGACTGGCAACATATTGGCCTTTGTGAATTTGAAGATTCTGGTAAGGTGTTGAACCGGAACAAGCATGTTGAATTGGATGCTTAAACTGTGTTTCGAACTGGATTCATAAGCATGTCAAAGGAATTGGCGAAGAAGTTCACACCTTTTGGACAATGGGAGACAGTCATGAATAAAAGTCATTGACACAAAACACAATGGCCCAGGGTGGACCTTGAACAAGACTCCGCACGTGACCACGCGGCGAGACTCTATAAATCAGTTCCATTTCAAAGACGTTGTGCCCAGGACCATAACCCAACCAAGCGTCTACAGGAGCCTGACCATCAACACTAAATCCTTTCTAGCAATGGCCCGCACTAAGCAAACTGCCCGCAAAAGCACAGGTGGTAAGTCACTGTAGCTTTTCCGGTCCGCTGCCACCGATGCTCATTCACAACCAGGTAAGGCTCCTCGAAAACAGCTCGCAGTGAAATCAGGACAAAAGGCTCCCATAATTGCGCATGCGGTATGTTGTGCCTTTCTTTCTGAACCCATTTAACCTCCTTCTCTCAGGCGACCGGAGGTGTCAAGAAGCCACATCGTTTCCGTCCTGGCACGGTAGCCCTTCGTGAAATTCGCCGGTACCAAAAGTCGACGGAGCTGCTCATCCGCAAGCTTCCATTCCAACGCCTCGTCCGCGAAATTGCACAAGACTTTAAGGTCAGAGGATTTACGTCAATAGAAGCCCATTGGATTCATTTAACATCCATGTCGCAGACCGACCTCCGATTCCAATCATCGGCCGTAATGGCATTGCAAGAAGCGGCTGAGGCGTACCTTGTATCGCTGTTTGAGGACACCAACTTGGCTGCTATCCATGCCAAACGTGTGACTATTCAACCGAAGGACCTTGCTCTTGCCAGGCGGCTGCGCGGCGAACGTTCGTAGAAGTGTTTATTCAATATGGACCATCAATGTTCTTTCCTGTGACTCATCGTCTCTTGCTATATCTGTTCGTTCTTGACTTCGCATTTGAGAGTTTGGCTTGGCGTTTGTCTTATTTCCTATATTGAATGAGCAGCAGAAATTAGACTTGTCTTCTTCTTGCTCGTTGTGACCCGGCTTAGATTGTGTAAGTTTTCCGGCCGTGCATTGCCCCATCCTTGGTCTTGCAGACAGCATATCACGTCACATCTATAATGTGGCAGTTAAGAATCCACCTCAAAGAAGTCGTGACCATCACGCACCACTGACAGCAGGCAAGTAATCAATATCAATGGCCCCAGCGAAAGCAAATTGCGCGCGAGTACCGGTGAGTAGTTCCAGGCAGAACACTTTTGACGTTGAATCAAGCTCGTGACCGGTCAGGCTCCATGCGCATCCAGTGTGTCCGAGTCCACCTTGTCAAATTGGTCCATATCAAAAGTCGGCCAGTGAGCTTCCCCTCTAATACCATGTTCGTCAGGAATTCAAGGCCGCATTTAAATTGGGGCCCACCGGATTCGCCTGACATTTCTGTCGCAGATGGCTACCACTGGCAGGCGACCTCCGGTTCCATTCTGACTTGACTGCGATCCATGTCAAGCGTGTGACCCAATATTCAACCGAATGACCTTGCTCCTGCACGACGACTGTGGTGAACGTTCGTAGAGGAATCTCACCTATATCCCATTTTGTATCTTTTGAGTTATAAGACTGAGACTTTGAGAAAGCTGTAATGACTCATGAGAGTGCACTGGCTGACTAAGTCACAAAGCTATCCTTCTCTTCCGAGTTCCGCTACAAGCACACTAACCCTCGTTCCCGACCTTTGTTGTAACTCGTGCGTGGTACATGACTTGCATATGAAACTCATGCTTCGCCCTGAATGGAGGCTCTGGCCGATTTCCACTTTCCTCGGTGTTACTGACCTCAAAACTGGCGTCACTATTGTCCTACTGTTCGCAGTAAGCATCGAAGTCTTTTCTTTCAACCAATATCGCGAAAATAACTTACCTCGCAGCTCCTCAACAAAGTAGCAGGCGTGTATGGCTTGATCGCCGTTATCACCGGTGCAGGTAGCAATTTTGCACAGCTCAGTCTGTACATATATTCAGTTCTCGGTCTCGTCGCGCTAAGCTGGGGACTGAAATCCGTCAAAGATGTTCGTCGCTTTAGCACAATACTCGATCGCCAGCTGATATCATCTTTGTTTGACAGGAGAACCCTCAGCACACACTCTATTTTGCATACTTCTTCTTCGTCGACCACATCTTCTCAACAACTTGGACGGTATTCTTCTCTATCATCTGGTGGACTTATACCTCGCATGATGGACAGCAAATTTCCAATTCACGTGCGCAGGAGGCAATACGACATGATGCGCCACCTATAAACTACAATATGACGGACGAGCAGCGGGCTGTAGAAGCAAATATATTGTGGCATGAAGAGAAGGGCACTGCCATGGGTGTCATCATCATCAGCTGGCTTGCAAAGGTACATAACCACCAATTCATGCACATCACTTCCTAAATTCTCAAATTACATAGATATATTTCGCACTATTACTCTACTCATACGCCGCACATCTCCGCAAGGGCTCGTACAACTCCATCCGACACTTCCGTTCATATTCAGCTACTCCCGCAGGCTACACCTCAGCACTGACCGAAGAGGATGATGAAGTTGACGATTTTTACCTACCCTCGATACGAAAGAACCAGCCCTCACACGCTTCAAATGACTCTATATCACACCTTCCAAACGGCTCTACACCGTATTTCCCCAACGGCTCTGCTTCATATGCCCCAAATGGCTCATCTTCCCATGTTTCCAATGGCTCGATATCGCATCTGCCCGATTTTGTGAGCGCTCCAGGAAGACACGGGAGGAAGGCGAGCAGGGGCTCGTCAGGGAAGGCTAATATACCCGGAAGGAGAAGTGAGGGGAACGGGGAGGTTATCTTTGAAGATACTGAGTCGTAGACTCGTACCTAATATACCATTTTCGTGCTGTGGCAATCTATTGACGAGCATAATATTTATCTTAAGATGGCTGGTAGCCCTTGACGTTGATTTCCATGAGCAAAGTGACGAGGGTATTTATCATATCTGCTAGCCAGTCACATATTGGTACTATCCTTAAAGGACTCTATCAAGCCTTTGTATCGAGCGCTAGATTCTCTAGCGGTTCGACGCTTCCCGGATAGCCAAAAATATACGTCTGAATATCACAAGCCTGGAATTTTATATAAGTAAAGTACATCAAGTTCGTGGTCTCCGCAACATCAACGTCCGTTTACTAGAAGCAAAGCAAGTCGAAGGATGTCGGTGTTACAATGTCAGCCTGTCCGAGTCCGTGACTTCTTTGCCTCTGGACCCTCCTTCGGGGCTCGATCTTGTATTGTACGAGATTCAGATCCCGCATTGCCTTCCAAGAATTTTTCCTCAATATCCCGCACCCATTTACCCCCCTCGGCTCCTTCAAACAACCATACGTGGCTAAATCAAGACTCGATCAAGCAACGCGCAGGGATTACTATATAATTTGACGACACACCTCTTTGCGACACGAACGGGCTCAGTCTTGCCCATCATTTCACCTGAGGTGCGCTTTGCTGGTCTCGCTAGTGACGGAACCTCGAGGCGCTTCCCCACTGGTGGTGGCAACTCCCATAAAAGCTGCTCGCAGAGGTGTTGAACAATGACATCTGCATTACCAAGAAGGACAATCTAATCGTTGCGAACAGGTGGTTAGTGCCATCGATATCCGAAGTGAGGTCTGTAAACGAACATCAGGATTGATATGCCGGACAGGAGTTTTGTTGATTAGAATCTACCACGGCACTTGGCTCAGATAACAAACAGCACACTGATAATAAGACACCGACCTGGGGAACAGAATGCGGGAGATGCGCTGCCAAAGATCAGCTGCTTGTCTTAGAATCTTATGCGTTTTCAACTTACACAGAATTTCGGATACAGGTGAGACCTTCAGTGAGGTTCCGATGACGATTAACAAGTCGATTTTATCTCGATCGTCCTCGAGAGCGTGTTCAAAGTCATCCGCGAGCTTCTCTCCAAAGAAAGTGATGTCCGGCTGCGCACTCACGTCATCGAGAACTCGCATAAACAGAACAACAGGAGAAAACCAACCTTCATCACGCCAACTGGTATTGCCTCTTCCTCTTCATCACTCCCCTCTTCCCATTCCTTCCTACCTCGCTTCTTGGCCTTTTTCCTGAAAGCAGCCTGGCGGACTTCCTCCGCTTCCTTCTTGGCCACTAAGCACACAGTACAGAACGGGACACGATGTTCCATGATATCTTTTTCAATTTCGGTCCCTGGTATACGCCGTCTGCACTGGATGCACGTAGCAGTCGCGAATGATCCATGACACTGCAATACGCGAGTAATTCCGGTGAGTGTTTCTAGTGTGTCAATGTTCTGGGTGTAGTTCTAGTGATGACCTCCGTCAACTTCGGGCGAGGAGAGGGAATAACAGGACTTACCCGGAGAAGCTGTTGATGACCTTCGTAAGGTTCATTAACCCTATGGAAAACATGCCACCTACCTTGCCTCTGTCTTCTATGGCTTTGATGAATCGGTGACAAGGAGAAGGTATAAAATTAGACGGATATATCTGGCTGTAATTGTCGCATCAGTTGAAGCATTATCTTTCAGGGTCGGAACAGCAACCTCGCAAATGAGCTTGATAGCTACAATATCAGCCTGCGGTCAGATATCACAGAACATCAATACTTACTAGAACACTGTGTAAAGCGAATCCGAGTTAACGACGCCTCACAGGAGATGAGATCTCTCACCGGCAGGGTTTTCTCTAAAATAGTGTATATCGAACCTAATAGGTGTCAGAATGAGAGTATGTATAACAGCTGATCATCTTACATCTGTTGAGGGTCATCAAGGTCATAGGTCCCCCGTTCCTTCAGCGTTGCGTACAAGCCATTATGCGACCCTAAAGAACCCTTGATGACAATGCGTTTAAAGTGCAAGAAGGAGAATCACACACTGAAGTCCGGAATACCGCATGAGACGCCTATACACAGATTCAGTGATGTAGTCCTAACCGAGGGAGTAAAAGACAGACTAATGCCAGCGCCAGTAAGCACAACCACACGCTTGGAGGCTTGTATCAGGGAAACTGCGTCCGCAAGTGTGTTATGCTGAGGTAGTTTTTCCCTGAGTTGAAGCCTTATGTGTGAGACATTCAAATCATCGTTAGCAATGCTCAAGAAGGGCTATGAAGTTTTACCCACTCTTTAGACATCGCGACCCGCAGAAAATAGAGCATTGTTTGGGGTTGCTTATTCCGCAATTCAGGGCACTACGGTCCAAGTTAACGGGTTCCATTGTATGTAGATGAAATGATGGGGCTACCAAGGAAATCCCGAAAGCGAAAAGAAGTTTCACTATTGGGATATTTTGAGTGATGACATATTCTCTGACGAAGGAACTCATTCCTGATGGAGTTGAGCCTATAACTTTCGTGTTTGTGAGGACGTGGGCTTACCGTGTTCTTTCAAGTGATGCATCATCTTTCGGGTTTCTTCTTTCGACCAAGCTCCATCTGCTAAGTTAGAAGTGATATCAGCTCAAGGACCCACTTCATTGATAAGAATTTACGTGGACTGCACTTTCATACTTCGACATTAAATAAAAAAACCGGTGACCTACCTTCTCGTTTCAGTCGTTCGATGACCTCGGTTTCCACTTCGAGATTGTCCAGGTAGCCACTCCCCTCTATAGCACTGTGCTTCTCATGCGCAGGGAGAACCAGACTTTCTGAGTCTAAGCCTTCATCAAAGTCGCTTTCTTGAATTTCCTCTTCTCCGTCTTCCAAACCTTCGAGTAGGTCCTCAATTGTATCTGGGTCCACGTCCACATCCTCCGCAGCATCTATGAAGGCTCTCAACTGAAGAGCATATAGTGCGCTATATGCCTTTGGTTTTCCATTATTTTCCGCAGCGGCTTCATGAACGTTGGGAACATCAGGTTGCCCATTCGATGTACGCATTTGTGAAAGAGGATGGAAGTGTATCTGTAAATGTTAACCCATTAGTTTTACTCTCCATTCTGTATAACTCAACTAATGAGTATATTTTGGGGTGTACTTATCTGGTCTTTCACGAATTACAACGCCTCCTGAGCCGGTTGCAAGGCTCAGCCGCGCGAGCCCTCGCCACTGTTCAAAGTCGAAACTGCAATTCATTATCATACATTTCACGTGATCACCAATTTAACCTGCACGTGACACCCCTGATATATGGCTCGCTTCGCTCCTTGAAGCTTCCTTCAAACAACGATGTCTTTAAGTTGTGGCACGACCTCGTCGGAGAGCTCCGACTTTGAAGACGACTTTGATGAGGATGATCTTGACTCACTGATTCCTAGCTCACCAAGTGCATATACCCATACTTTTACCTCGCCAGCTCCAGAGCAACGCGAGAGCCAGACCAAGAACATCCTTGCAGCAGATCAAAATACAATCACTCATATAAAGACACCTCAACTTCCGATAGAGGTCGTCGATTACATCGCTTCTTTCTTGTTCGACTCTTGCCCGTCTGGCTGCTTCTTCCATATCCGCTCGTTCTCTCTGGTTTGCTCTCAGTTTAGACATGTCGCTCTGCGTCATTATTTTTCTTCCATTCAGCATCTCGTCTGCAAAGCAACTTGCTGCATATACAAATTTGCACTTCTCATTGATTTCCTGCAATGCCCTGTGCGACCGTGTTGGATTCGACTATGTCAAGTCTGTTTGCTTCGTATATATGCTCTCTCACACTAACCGATAAACTTAACAGAACACTTATAGCACCATCGCACGCTCTTGAAGCAGCATCGTGGAACCCGTCTCTCTATAGGAACCTGAAACATCTGATGATCTCTTTCTCATCAGACGGAAGACAATCCCAGACAACCAGACTCAAGCGCATCTTCTCCCCACTAGCAATGCCCCTGACCCCGCGGTTTCCTCCTCAGCTGACGTCTCTCACAATGACAAAACTCTGGAGAATTGACGTACCTTTGCTGAAAACTATTGCATCTGTGTTCCCTTCTGTGAAGATTTTGCACCTCAGTTGCTCGGAACAGCTAGACGTCTCTTGCTGCTGGGCTTGCTTTGAAGAAAGCTCAACTGCAGTTGTGCACTCGCCAATTCCGAACTACTTCAATGACATCACGAAATTGACGGTATGATGAGCCGTGTCACTTCATTTTCAACAAAATCCGATGCTTGACAGGACAACTTCGCGGATTCATTGGAACCACTAACCCAGTTGACTGATCTTCACCTTGGCATCTTTCTTTCAGACGAGGAAATGGTGGAAAAGCACATCGAGCACTACGACACCCCATTGACCTTCGACCTATACGCTCCGAACAGCGTTCAGTCCCAAAGCTGCATCTCCACCCACCGGAAACATCCTCAGTCAACTGGAAACCGAGACTACCACTGGACTCATATCCTATTCAGTGGACCAACATGACAAAAAAGAAGAGACTCACTTCGGAGCTTGTACCGAAGATCTACCCTTTCCTCACGGCCCGGAGCTCTGCCGTACATGCAAGCTCATCGGATCCGCCTCCAAGGTACGCACACGAGAGCTGGAGGCAAGTCTCGCGCTCGCAAGGAAAATCAAGACATTACGCACGGTCGGTTGGAGTTCGTTCTTCACATCACAGGTTTTCGAGCCAGACGACAACAAGGTCGGCGATTGGGGTAGGAGGACTACGGCCTACATTCTACGCGCGAATGGGAGGGTGCGGGTGCGTAGGAGACCCTGGTGACGCATAATTTTGCAGTCGAATAAGCAAACGTTTCACACCCAAACCATGGAAACATTGTAGCATCATTTCGTCTATGAAATGTTCCCCCTGTTCTGCTACGATGTATTGCATGCAATTGATGCTGCCGTTTACGATCCCATCATTCAAAAGCTTTAAGTTGTGTGCTGAGCAACAAAAGGATAGCATCATCGAATAGAAAGAAGGCAATCAGAGGGGCTCGGAACAATGGGCTCATGGATTGTGCCACTCGGAGGTAGTTCATCACATGGAATGTAGTCAAGTCCACAGCTTAGATCGATTGTCAAATCACACAGAAACGTCCACAAATTAGACACACCCACTGTGACCATTTACTAACCGAGAAAATTATAAGGACTACACCTGACCCTCACGTTTCTCCCTTGTACCGCATTGCGCGAACAATTCCCAAGTGGCTCTGAAAGTATCACTCATTAAGTTTATACCCTCTCACCTATCGTTGACTAATACTCCATTATGACGACTGCTACTACAAAAAACAACTCAAAGGCAGCAGAATTTGCTCGGCTCTTCGAATTATTTGACCGAATTGCGACACGGCGCGCTAGGGGGTCGACGGAACTAGCGATCTCGATGGACGACATCCAATCAGTTCCTCCCGAATTCGCACCAGTCCTGAAGAATTTGTCTGCTGTTCTTTCGTTACGTGCTCAACGCGACCAAGAGCGTCTCCGCAAGCCAACGGGACGCCCCCGCCGCAATACTGTCGGTGTTGCACCCGCGACGCAGAATGGCATTGACGTAGCAAGGGATGTAGGGAGCCCTATATTTCCCCTTGAAGAGCATCATCCGTTTACATTCAAGCTTATGCTCCACAAATTATACAACGTCGACGAATGGGCCGAAAAGGTGAAGAGTGCTGTGGAAGCGTCAAAGGAACAATTTAAACCCCTAGCGGAGAGGATGCAGAAGGCGATGAAGGAGGGCACAGGGGCGGAAAGAGTTGTAGGAAGGAATGCCGCGCGGTCTAGGAGTCAGTCCGCGATAAACCCAAAGTCCAAGGGGAAAGCGATTTCCCGAGAACAAGTTCCCGCATCGCCAGCACGTGCGAATGACTTCAGCCGAGTGTTGAAGAAACGCTGCGTCGGGAGGCGCAAATCTATCAGTGGGCCACTCGCTGGGGGTGTATGGGTTTACGATGCAGCCATATCTGCTGTCGAGTTGGATGGCGGTCGCCCATCCCTGGAAATTACGATCTCAAAGTCTAAAGACATCTTGAATAATACCGGTGTTCGGTCCCGTCACCAGTCTCTCGCTGGACTGGAGGGTATTCAGGATCGGGACACGACTCGTAGGAAGGTCAGAATTGCAGTGCCCTTGGCGCGAGACGATGCACAGGGCACTTCAGCCTCGACAAACAGACACATCCACGTAGCGGCCAGCAAGGCAACATTAAAGGACAACCTTTACACAGGATCACTTCTGCACGCGGTCGGCGATTGTCAATAATAACTGACGCTGGATCGTCAAGTCACCACATGAAACGACCTCTTAACGCGCAGTAGTTTGGTTGGAAGTAGATGCCTCGTAGTCTGGATATTTACGATTCAGTCTGTATATCATACGGCTTCAAGTTAACTATCACTCACATCGACTGTTCCTTAGTACATACCGTCCACATACTTCCACTGTAGTGTATCATACTTATACTTTTCATCATCTCGATCACCATGACGGTTCAAAGAGGTCGAGATTCGAGTGCCAACAGATGCATTCAACCTTACCTTCACAAGACCAATGTGCAGAGTAATTATGATGACTAGGCCTGCCTGCGAGCGTCCGTTATGATCCCCATGTCCTCAATGGAGATTTCCATGATGGTTGGACGTTGAACGTCGATCCTCAATGAAAAAATATCCACTGGAATTCGTTCTATCTAGTCCTATGATCATCAAGTAGTAGGCTCCCAGAGCCCACCGAGTTGCCAAGTAGCCGAAGATAACCTAGAAAAAGGAAATCAGGCAAAGCACCAAAAATTGAGAGCACCCAAAGTCACGAAATTTTTGGCTTAATATAAAGTTATGCTGGCCAGCTGAACAGCAAAGACCGGGCACAGAGAATACTCAGAAATAAATAAAAGGCAGAAGGCAGCAGTCGGGTTGGGGCATGTTGGCCAGGAGCGTGAAGCGAGCACTGAGTGGTGTGAAGACAACCAACTCAGAGAGGCCGCGGCCCACGTGTCACAAAAGGACATAATTCTGACCGCACTTGGCACAGCGGCACGGAATCCATTTTCCTTCAAAATTTCATCGTGTTTTCACTACTAGGACATGTCGCATGTTGTGCAGAAAATTAAAAACAAGCGATGAAGTCAGGCCGATGAGAACACATCAACTGAGACCAAGATTTGAATTGTTGAATGATATACGCGCACATGACGCCGACGTGAATTGGTTCCACGGGATCAAACGCTCCGCTCTTACAATATGTAGATATGAAATTATTTATGACAAAGACAACTGTCCTTCTAAACGAATGTATGAGGATAATCCTGGTCTGTTGCGGAGACTACAAGTACGGGGATGCTGAGATATTAATACCCTATATAAAAAAGACGAATGAGAGGCTGTTTGCACCATCGTGCATTGAGATTGAGACCACGAGTAAGGAATGTGATATAGGCCATGAATCGGAAGCCAGAGATGAGTTCCCAGTTTAGCTGGGATTTAGGCAACTCAAGTTGTTCGAAATGCTCCGGGGAGGGGGTTAGGGCTCCCCATCCCGGCTCTCGATTTCAGGTTTTTCTTCAACCTGCATTAGTTGGCTGCACACTGTGCTGTATTTTCGAAGCGAAGGTCCGTAAAAGAAAAGAACCTTCCGTGGTGAGTTAGTAATGAAGTGCCAAGACGTATCAAAAAACTCACGAAAGGGACTGGAATCAGGATGACAGCGACGCCGCCGAAGATAGTGTTGGCCCATTTATATGTGAGCTTCTTGAACATCGTGTGAGAGAAGAGAGGGAATCCAAAGCTACCCAGGTTACCTATGGTTGCTCAGCATGTGTATACAGAATATGAGGGACAACGTACGAGCTAAGCCCTGACCCGCCAAAGCAGAAGACGCCATTGGACCATAGCTGCATGAGCAAATAATGTTAAACAAGAATTATGAGGGAGACGGTACGAGGTATTTACCAGTCTGCCAAATAAATGAAAACCACCTGATATGAAACAAATGAGCAAAACATGAAGATCTAGTTAAAGTGTCTAATGAGCGTTTCCGATCATCGTATACATAGAATGATAAACACGCCGATAAACCGACAACAGGCCACATCCAGAAGATGGTCGGTTCTGCTGTCCATGCATAGATGAATATCGAGGTAGGCAGCAAGAGTGCAACTAAACAAGCGATGTATAGCCTTGCTTCGGGGCCTCTCTGAGACACGTATTTCCTAAACAGATCGATCGAGTGAGGTGTATAACGTTATTGTTACAATTGACCTACCGGTAGAGCACATCCTGATAGAAATTGGCACAGAGTCCCAGTATACTTCCCACACTGCGATGACGAACTGCATGAAAGGGTCAAACCCTCGACATCAGGACACTTACATGACGGTAATGAACACCAGTCCACTCTGCCCGACGTTGAAGTGATACGTGTGCTTGAAAACCCCAGACACGGATCTGCTCACACTACTTAGCGGCAACTCTGGTTTTATGTGAATAACATATTTGCATACCCGATCTGGACGTAGAGCACACCGGACATAAAAAAGACCCAAATCTGTGGAGAGAACTTCAGAAACAACAAAGACAACGGGAAAGGATACTAACGCATATACTAGTCACGATAGGTTCAGTGAGAACAAACACTAACCACCATCAGCACCACCTTGCATAACAATAATCAAATGACGTACTGATGGGCCGAGTACATGATATTTTAATCATGGTACTCAATTTCGGCCGTGTCTCTTCTCCCCGGGCCCGGTACCGATCATCCCCAGTTTCCTTGCAGAGCTTCTTGGCGATGTGTCGGAGGATAATTTGCGATCGAGTCTCCTCCATTATAAGCAGGCTGAGAAGGAAGTAGGTCCCCTGAACACTGCGTTGATTGTCATTTGAGCGTATCACGATTCAGAGAAAGATATACATACATCGCTTGAATCCTCTGGATCCATCTCCATTGGAGATGAGGGTCGAGTTCCAGCCAGGCAGAGATGATAGACCCCAGACCAGTGGTAACCATGCTCACCATGGAGAAAACAGCCATAGGCAGGCCGCGCCTAGAATATGGGGCATAAAGTAAGCGCAAGGCTACGAGAAACACAATCACGTACTCATGAGGCTCCCATATATCGGCAATCGTCCCACCCACCAGTATCGCACCAGTCGAGGCAAAAGCACCCCCCAAGACACGTGCGACCATAATGGTTTGAATATTATTGGAGCTGTAGTTCGTTTATTGTTAATCCAGTCCACGGGAAGCCAGAGCAGCGGCACGCACAGAGCAGCAAGCACGTTGCACATAGCCCCGAGAAACGCTGATACCAAGTAAATTGGCCGCCTCCCAACTTCCTGCAGAAATTCATCAGTGCTGATCCTTGACCTTGCCATCATTTCATACCTCGCTTAGCGAAGACGTGAACAGAGGAACAATACCAAAGCCTAGAGAATACAGACAGTATGCAACAGTTGCTTGAAAACGCGTGCAGTTTAGATCCTGTATCATGGAACCGTAACCCATAGCAAATGACGGAGTCGCAGGAGCTGAGGATGTCGATCGGTCAGTGATATTTTGTAGGGATTGATAGACCTTACAAGTGATCCCATTGAATGCACAAACGACCAGGGTAATGCACCATTTTCGCAGCCATGAGTAGTTGATTGGATTCCTCGGGTCTCCGCGTTGAAATTCCACCTAACAGTGTTGATGTTAATGTAGTGAACGGATGTGGGCAGAAAGGTGGTAATACTGACATAGAACGAGTCTGTGGGAGAGACTACGGTCGACGCAGCAAAAAACGAGTCTGCAGGGGAGACTATGGTCGAGGCAGACTTGTGGGCGTCAGGAAGGGTCTCAAGGGATAGAGTCTTCACTGGACTGATGGGCACGTTGAGCAGCGTTGCAGTGGTGGAGGGTTCGCTGGGACGCATCAAGGTCATTTTTTCAGGGGCGTTCTCCGTGCCCATGACTGAAATTGGAGAAGAGTGTACCGCGCTGGCCATGCGGAGTGGGCTCTTGTTGCTCCTTGTCCGACGACCGTTGAGAACTTTGGCTTTTGAAGAGAAACAACACCGTCATCTTTGTCATATTCGAAGTGGTTGCTTCATTTGTGAGGTTCTGGCGGGTGGGGTGCCCGTTACGTATCCGGCAAATCTATTGAGATCGTAGGGCCATTGACACAACTGGATGCCGTGCTTGTTTGTTCGGTTTTGTAGTGTATACTCGGAGAAGATTTCACATAAATCCGGCTCTTGGAGGACTGTATAGCCGTGGCATCATTATGAGGCGCTAGCACACAATTTATGAGTCGACGGCGTCAACATCAATGTACGTTGGATGGTGATCGGAACATTGCCGTGAAGACAAACGCCCGGAAATGTAACTACTTACAGTTGTCACAGAACCCCGGCAATTTCGCCGTTCGCTTGAGTCACGAACCGCGTAGTATGAGGTCATGGATTGAATGAAAGTGTTATTGTTCCAATTATTAAATATAACATGACGAGGATCACGCCAGATATGGTATTAGCAGGAAGGATGTTGGTCCTCAGAAGAGGGGAGCATACTCAAGCTGTCAGCTAGAGCTGCAAAAGTGGTTTTGGGAGCAGACACACCGACTCGGAGTGCTCCATCTACTTTTTACCAGCTTCAATATCAACATATTCTACTACACCACTAGCATCCAAGGAGCCTCTTTGGACGCTTTCGCCGCGAGCATTAAGGAGGTCTTCAATATTTCTGAGTTTTCCATCCTCCGTGCTATCCTTGAACCAACCAAGATTATCCGCAATGAGATGCCTGAAGGGGAAAATATAGGTTGAGATTTGGCAGCGACGAGATCGATGAGCCCGCACCTATTTTTGCATCCGGGGCATTGGACGATGACAATACCACGTTTGTATGCACGCTTCGTAAAGGTGTGCGAAGAACGATGAGAGCACCCTTCCGCCGTACAGGTAAAAATGATGCCTAAGCGAGCCTCTTTGATCGGAGAATCGTCCTTAATCTGCTCCGAGGACGCAGACGAATGCGAAACCGAAGACTTCGCCCAAGGCTTGGACGGGTGCAAGGACGAATTTGACCGGATAGTTCCAAAGGAAAGACGAGGCATTTGTGAAACCCTTCTAAACTTAGTGCATGGTACAACATGGACACTGTAGGGCATAAGGATGGTGCTGATGTTACGAAGAAGCCTTGACGGTAACATCATGTTCTGAGACAACTCTCCGAGTACTCTGAGATTTGGTTGAGCAAGGATTTCAATCTCCGCGAATCAATCCCATGATTACATTACATAACAATTTAGAGTTTATTCTTAAGAATAACTCTCAGCGCTCTGCATTCGTTTTTCCAAAAACCCAAAACGCTGAGCGTCAAGGATGTACGAAAACTGAGAAGCATAGCACTGAAAATAAAATTCCAACTCCCTACAGATTGCAAGTTCTAGAACTTCGAGTTCGGCACCTGCAGTTACCTCAATGGAATTACTCACTCATAACGTGCTATCGTGGCGAATATGCCACGGGAATTTACTCATCGTCCGCTACATATTATGTGAAACCAAGAGGAGGTATTCTGTCAATGCAGAATCACATGCTTCATCCACTAGTGCTACGTTATGCTCTGACCCCGTCTGCACATTCTGGGCCAACAATATGGAAATTCTGTACGATATAATGCTGAAGCAGTATCTCGATCAGACAGCGGTTGCAACTCTAACTTGATGGGGTAGACCGGTCTCTGAGAGCTTGATGTACCCTCGCGGTTGTTTGGCAAGGGGCTTGACAGTGTGCTGGATGAGTCGTCACGAGCCTATTTTCTGCACGGTAACGAGCATTCAAGTTGACTATAGGCCCACCGCTGAAACAGTCCTGCCCGTGACCGGTCTTGAATCCTCTTGATTGTGGAGGACTGAGCTCCGAGGAAACTCGAAGGTACACAGTTCGAGTTATAAAAATGGTTGTAATTATTCATTTCGGTTTGTTTTACAGCATGCTGTTTGTAACTCAGTATAATATAGCCGCAGGGGTTTGTAAAAGGGTAAGAACTTGGAGGAAAAGTTTAAAAAAACTCATCTGGACCAGGACGTCAAGCCGAAAAAAGCACACGAATACTAACAGACACTCACTCGATTTCGGAGCCGAGATGGTCAAAGGTGTAAAGAACATGCCATCGGAAACTTGCGTATATGGCACAGATTTGCACTTAGCGCCATAAGTCTTAGCAGGTCATCGAATGTAGAGTGTAATAGGTGCAGGAATACAGCAACAAAGAGAGCTAAAAGACTCATGCACTACACGTCAGCGGAATGTAGCACATAAGCAGAAGCAACGTTAACCTTGAGTAATGTACATACATGAATAAGAGATTGGACTCGATCTCGGATCCCTGAAGTGCTGGTAAGCGTTACACTCCCGGATCAGATTAGAATGGAGAAGGCGCTGTGATCTTCCAATCGGTGATGGCGGAAACGATCAGCATCTGCGGACGGTTTCAGTCACATGTTCTAGCTGAAGCCGGACAAATTTGTATTGTAAATAGCTCACCAAAATAAGATGGATTAGAACACCAAGGGTCCTGTGCCAGTTCGAGAAGCTGCCTTTGGTAGGCTGGTGTGGTTATGAAGGGTATGTTGAAAAGATTTTTGAGTACAAGTGACGATAACTGTAAGGTAAGTAGCCTGACGAGGCATAAGTAGGTATAAGCTCAACGTCGCTGTTGGCCAGTTCCTCCGCATGAGCCGAAGTGCCATGTGGATGGTCGCTGTGATCTGCATAGTTGCCTATATAAATATGCTTTCCATACACAGTAAAAAATGAAAAGATACATTGGATGATGCCGTGGCATTCGAGGTAAAACCCACACGACCAACGATTAAGACAAAGATCGGTCTATCGACCAGCTACACATCGATGAATCTCTACAGCGAAGAGAAAAACCAAGAACGCCAGAACCGAGAGGAAACGCCACCAAAAATACACCTACAATACTACCGTGACATGAGAATTAGAGCAAATGCGATATGAAACGGGACTGACAGAATGCTGATAATGAGGACAATGCTGAGGTTGGTGGTGATCTTTATGATGGATCCTGGTGGAGGTTATGAACTGACAACTATACGATTTATCCGTTTCATGTCCACATCATGCCACCGAGGGCTGCCTTCTCTTCGTCGTCATGTCAAATCTGATTTAGAGGGTACAGCATATGAAACAAGCCACACAAAGGGTAGAATCGTTGGGTGCAATGTGCAGTACTAGTAAATGCATGAATGCAGAATGCCTGCTGTGGTAATCATTCAATAGGTGGGAAAGGACTCCGAAAACTCTTTAGTCTCAGTTACCAAGTTATCTTCCGCATTCGGCAGATTCTATTTGCATGCGCTGCATCACGCTCGCCAATGATACAGAGTCACCGGTAGGCTAATCGACTCGTGCCTTCGCTTTCTGAATCTGATCGGATATTATCGCTTTGATGATCTGCATACACTGATACTCATCCGCACCCAGCCTCATGTTGCTACCTTTTCAGACCACAGCTTGAGCCTTGAGTCGCTCAGAACAACCTGAAAAAGCTAAAGTTGACCGGCGCCAGTGGGAACATCAGACCTTCAGCTGGGGTATATGACTGGATTGTGTTGGCCACGCGGTAGTTTAAGGTCTGACGTGCGTACTATGTCGTTCACTGGCAGCTGACACACCGCAAATGGCTCATGATGTCTCCGGTCGAGGACAACAAACACCCTGTTTCTCAAGTTCGAGTTGTTCACCGCTATCTCACCACTAACCTGTCTGCTGCGACACAAAACCGTGGACACACTATTATGGACGTTGTCTCGCTCCTGCGTAGGAAAGGGATCAGTGCTTCGGTCTGGAAGTCCCTGGTCTCACCTACTTTCCTCGGAACTTCAGTCACTGAGACTTCCACTCTCAGTTCACTGTCACACTCGGTGGCCAAGCGATCGTGTTGTTCAGTCTTTTCCGATGCACCGCGATCTTATGTGAGTGCACTCGTAGTGGATCACAAGTCATGGCAAGGATTAGCAGCGACACACGAGCTGCCGTTCTTGCAAATTTCATCGGCGTCCTGCTCCGTAATGCTTTTGCCGCATGTACTCCTGAGGATAATGACACCACGATGGCCAGCACTCCCATCCTGAAGGTATGCTCGCCATTACAAATAATCTCAGGTGTGGCAACTCGCTGGTGCTGGAGCTGTGCTTCTGGGCTCAGATCTCCGTCGTGGCGTTTTGGCAATGCTCGAGATTGTAATAGCGGTGCAGATACATACTGATCACTCGCGTGGCGCATCTTCTTTGTGGTGCTTCCCGTATCACTCATCGTGGTTCACCCCGCTTGAAATGCCTATTGTTCTCCCTGTGGTCGTAATTGGATTTGGGCTTGGATTTGGGCTTGGGGTTGGTTGGGCATGGAGGATATCGCACCTTGGAATGCGTGGTTACAATCAGAGCGCATACACATTTGTTGTTGCTCATCCTCCATATAACATGGGCGATGCCGGGTGAATTGTTTTCTAGCCATAGAGTTCCGAAGATCCATGTGATATCACGCATTTCATTCATTCCAGTGGGAGAGACCTGATGCATCCTGAGTTACGAGTGGATGTCGACAAGATGAGTCATGGGTTTGGTATCTTGCCCACAGTGGCGTAGGCTCTTTGGTGGTAGAGTAAAGGTAACGTCCGTAATTTATCATTCTCGAATTGACCCTCTGGTTCTTGGACGTCCTCCACACGTAAAACACGTGCGATGAATAGCTCTGAAACCAACCCACTACCGCCTTCTACTTGCTGCACTTCCGTTTCCCACTCCTCCATGCTCGAATGCAACCACCGTGTATCACTCAAGGGCAACGACCGACCGACGACAGTGCAGGAGAGCGCGCCCAAAACACCTTTGATAACCGGGAGACCATCTACAGACTGCGTCCACTGCACCTCTGATTCCGAAAAGGGATGCAGATCTGGACTGGAGAACAATCGTGCGATATGAGGTTGCGCAGCAGAGAGGATATTGACGACCATATGGGACGACAATTGCATCTGGGGCTTTAATGCGTGTGCGTTCAGAGCCAGAGCCATCCGGGATGGGACTCGGAGAGAGAATGCGACGAGCGGATGCGGATCAAACGCGACGGACGTGAAGGATGATAATGTAGCGCCATGGAATATTGACAGTGCTTTTTTCTGGCTTTGCACGGACGAATCACTTCGTGGTGCGGTTTCATGGCCTGGTAGGGTTGACGTGACTACCGCCACAGGCTGGGCTGTCTCTCGGAGAAGCTCGCGCAGAGATTGTTTGACGAGCTCTGCTTGTACAGATGGCGCAGAGCTATAGCTTTGGAATAGGTTGTGGTTCAGACTATGCGTTGCACGTCTTACAGCACTCGTGCATGGCTGTAGCATGCCGGGCTATAGATGAGGTATCACTACTGGCAGTGGCAAAATATCATCAATGGTTGAGAGTTGCTGACTAATACGAAGGACTGATCAATGATGGTGCTCTTCGAAACTATATCTAGTACTAAGTAGTCTATGTCTATCGAGGGGTGGAGGAGGATTCAAATTACCGCTGTGCAAGTACAAACTTGTGTGACGGGATGTTAATAGGCTCATCACACTCGACAGGCTATGACTATGTGACTAGCCAGTGAATAGTGATTAATCACTTCGACATAGTTATTACAGTAACGTATTTCTGCTTGCAAGTTGAGCTATTCGTTACCGTAAAAAAACAGGGGTCTGAAGATGCTCTTTGCGTTCCCTCCATTAATGTTCTGCAATTACGTGTTCATTTTCCCAGCACATCGAAAGTTGACCAGCAACTTGTGCCCCTGGCTATCTTGAACATGTTCTGGATAACGACATTTGTCATCTGAGACTTGATCACGGTAAGCTTTGTCCTCCTTAAAATCAACCGAATTGACCGCAGATGCGTGATGAGGAGTCGTGGCTCTTCACTCAAAGATCATTTATATCCTCTTTGACATGCCCATTTGCTTTCCGCACTGCAACAGCCTCCTTGCAAACTTTAATATGAAGGCGTCCCTTGGAGAACGACAATCGGCGGTGGAGATGGATTTGATAACGTTGAACCTCATACTGTAGCTTTGACGTTGAAAAATGTCCCTGCGCCTCTACGCATAGTAGCTTGCGTCTGAGCTCGGAACTGACAGCACGATAGCGGACTGCGATATTCGTTTATTTGGTGCTTGTTTAGATTCTATGCCAATTTACGGACGATGGGTTACTGTAACATGGTCAGACTGCCGCCCGCATAACCGTTACACCAAAAGGTGAAATACTGAAAGCTTAGCTTTCAGCATCAGCGACAGTATATGTACTGATTATGGGAACTCAGGTAAGCCAGCGTGCTTACAGTTACAGAGATTGTGAGCACTCTTGGTAGAGGGGAACGCCAAGTCATCAGTATGACATGTCTATGCATGCGCAAATTGAAGAATAAGAGTAAGAATTCACAATATAGTTATTGACCCTGCCCAAGATCCAAGCGCCATTCTCCCCGTAGTGTCCGAGACAGCGCACACTGTGATGTCATCTTTTGGTCCAATGTCAGTCCTCGGCTGCGCAAACGGATCACATCAAGACCAACCTCGTAAGGGTATATCGTGAACCACTTGGCCGTTAATTAGCCTTGGCCTTTCCGAGTCGATGTTTGCCTGCAGTAAATCATTATTCCAGACACGGGTTTCTCCTAATGTATTGCTAACATCCGGAGGATTTGTGAATGCCACAACGGTGCGGATCATGTTGGTCCGCGACCTTGCTACCCAGATCCCACGTCTGCCGTAGTCTCCCAATGCCCAAGCTGATACAAATGTCCTCGTGTCCTGCACAATTCCAAACGGGACTGGAGGCGCCAGTGGTTGCGATAAATCTTCAGGCAATGGCGCCACGTCAAATTGTGGCGAAGCGACTGCCATGGGACGGACTCCCAAAGGCGAGACCGACAATGATGGCAAGGCACGCACTGCCAACTTCACATAAAAATGAAATATGCCATGGAATAGATCGTTTGCAAGCGCGGATAGCCCATAAATTTCGGATTCATCGTCTTTGATGCACGTAGTTTTCGTGAGAGATACACGGCGGTAGGTCATGGTGTGTGGGAATCTGAATGTGAGTTGGGGTAGAATATCAGAATGCTCTCCAACTCCAGAAGATATATGCGAGGGGAGAGGATACGCCTCGACGGTGTGCATTCTAAAAACCAGGATATACGGTCCACATATTCGCATGGCGGTGATGCCATTCCACTACGAACAGAATACAATTTTCAGCTGAATAGGTCATTTCATTTGACCAAACTCACTAAATCTCCAGGATCATTAGCACGAAGAGCTATTGTAGCTTGAGCTTTGGTTCTCCAGTTCACAACTTCGAATGATAAGGCAGTGTTAGACAGCAAAGCGAGCTCTAAGTCGGCATCAATCGCCCTGATGACTTGTGGTGGAAATATTGAAAATTCTCCTTGAGTGACTAGAAGTGGAGGACCTGAATCTGACAAACCACCGGTATCGAGAGAGATGGTTAAGACTCTCGCAGCAACGCTAGAAAATAACGTTCATTGAAGCTAGAGGCATATAAATAAACGGTAACTGACAGTTCAACATGCGTTAATGCAATAGCAAGTATGGAGCCAGCTGTGTTCATATGATATGCACAAGGATACCATGTTGAAGAAGCATAGGTGACATAAACCTCTGCAGCGAAAGGTGCGAAAACATCGTTGATTTTCCACAAGTTGATTTTTCCCCCAGAGCCCAAGGACAGCAAATAATGGTCGGAGACAAAAGCTAGGTATCGGACACGAGGGATTGAGTTTTCAATGTCATCTGAAACACATAGTTCCCGGACGAGAAAAGAGTCCCTTCTAGGCAGCAGCCACACCCGCTCGACGTGCATTGCAGTTTTGATCAGGCGTTCCAACTGCAAAGCCGATAGTGTAGCAGTCTCTGACTCAGGAAGCGGCCGTGGGAGGACATGGGACATCCGAGAAGTTAAACTGAGCCATAAGCTGCGGTCATGGGTGAATTGAGACAAGGATATGCACGTCTGTAATGCTTGGCTTTAGCTCACGCCTGTACCTACAAAGAAAAGGGGGGTGCCTTGCGCAGAGAAAGGATCGTCTCCACATCCAAGAAGCTGACAATTTGAAGCTGAAGCTCGACAGGGAGATTCTGCATCTATGCTGGGAGTAGAACTTAAGAAGTGAGAGTGGCTGTGCAACATATTGTGTATTCATCGTAATTTTCTCGACATAAATTAATATTTATTAATGTGACTATGAATGAATCGTACCGTAGACACCTAGGTAAGTTGAACACGCTGGTGATTGTGATTGTAAAAGTCCGGTAGTAAGTAATTACGGAAAACTAGTCCAATCAGTGATTGCAATGCACACCAAGGCATCGAACTTGTCGATGAAAATTAATAGTATTTAATACTATGTAGCCTTGCAAGGAATTGTCAGTGACGGTGTAATATTATTGTCGCTACAGCGATAATGATGACGACGACGAGGTTGGACTGAGTAGCCAATGATATATGTCCAAGGACGGTTGGACTGCTTGCGAGCCATCCGATTCCTCAGCTTCGGAAGCACCAGGTACGAAATTGTTACGCCACCCGTCCGACGTGGCACTGCAGAAGAAAGAGATACATTTTTAAACCGAGGACAAGTGAAGGGGAAGGGAAACGAGGAGCACCTTGTTGTCGATCTTGATCTAGCAACTTGGAGAGGAATCTTAATTGCAGTTGTAACTCCAGATATTCCTAGAGTAGGGTGCGGGCGTGGTACAGCTGGAACTTTCGACATATGTGGCCGCGGAGTAGATTCCCCGACAATATCGAGAACAGGTTTCAAAGGCGTATCACCGATATCCACGTCTGCATTGTCGCCTTTGAAATTCTTCGATCGCCCGGCACGAGTTTTCGTTTTCGACGACGATGCAGCCTCAGAGTGTTGGCTAATGTCATTGGCACTAGAAGTTGCGTGTCTGGTTGACCGTCTGACTCGCGGCTGTTCATTTTCGTCCACAATCTCTACGGTGCTGTCATCAGAAATCTGCATGTTTGAAGAATCAGACTTGGCAGAAGCGGTGCGGTACATCATCCTAGCGCCAGTCCTGGAACGCGTAGATCGCCGGCTCGTCGAACTATCCACAGACATGTTGTCGGTCTCGGAGTCCGTAGCTGTTCTTGACCCAGCCTTCGCAGTGCTCCTCAACGGCCTGCGTTGGGTTTCCGATTCGGTTGCTTCGCTAACTTCGCGGAAGGAATATCCTGCAAGCTCCTTCGATTTCTTCAGGTCCTCTGCCCGCTGGCGAGCTTTCTCTTTCCTCTCCATCTGTGCTATGCACCTACGTTTCGCTCGCTCCTCTTTCCACATCTGTTCCTCAAGCTTCTCCTCTTCCTCAAGCTCCAACCTCCTGGCTTTAGCACGTTCCATAACAATGCGATCCGCAACACCCTCGTCGTCATCATCACCGAGTGCTGTGCCCTTACCAGAACCGGTGTCAGGAAACATGGCAACGCCATACTGAGAGCTTTCACGGAGGGTCACAATCGCTTCATCCCTGTCGAGAAGAAGGTCTTGCATGATGAGACCTACCGCAGCTTCGGGGATCAGTACGAGCTGAATGAATTCCGCAGGTGTGAGAGGGGCTATCGAAGAAGGTTCAAATGATGAAAAGGGAAAGAGGTTGTAGAGCGTTTGATGTATGATCAAGAAGCCGAGTTCACCATAGCTAGGGCACTATTTAGTACAGAGATTTACGAGAATCGAATGCGCTTACTATCCAGGCTGAGTCTTTTCGAAGCTGGCAAACTGGCCCTTCACACCAGTAGCTGTTCGACTGCCTTGTTTCTTGATTTGTTTCTTGATTTCTCTCCAGAAGTCGCTTCGTGCTCGGGGACCCCTGGCGTCGTCCTCTACAGAATCCCTATTGTCACTGTGGATGTCAGTATCAGAAATTATAGCCTCAAGTGTGCCCTTCATCCCTTCAACCCTCTTGGGTACCTTCTTGAAGTCGATACTTTGCGGCCATCCTTTCTCCACAGCCTCAGGCAAGGAGTGCATTTCGAAGTGATGTCGCTGACAAGCTGAGATATAAATTCCTAGAGGAGCCTTGAGCCCGCGAGAATTTCGGGGGCGCGGGTCTGGGTATGACTTCCGTTTCGCAGTCGCCAGGAGATTCTTCAGTTGTGGAGTTGGATTGCGTGGCAGCGGTTCGTCACAGTACGGGCAAACTGTAGAAGGATCAACCACTCTGTCTATCTCAACTGCGCGTATAGGACGTTAAAGTGTTATGAAGAATGCCGGGTGAAACTTACATGAGTCTTCATCCAAGTGTTCATCTTCTCCCAGGATCAGCCTTATCAAGATTCAGCTATGAGACAGGAGGAGCAGCGATCATGAAGAGGATTCACCTTGAATTATTTTCCTTATGCCTCTTGGCTGAATGCCCGCGTTCTCCATCCCCACCGCCCGAAGCTCGTTTGGAACTCATGCTCTCTGAAGACGAGTGAGGGCTACGCTGATGTGCAGTCTTGATTTCACTTGAGCCCACAGAGAAGGGTCTAAGGGCGACATTGGTCCGTACCGTATCGCAATGGTTTATGGCAAGTTTACTGTCGTCGTCTTCGTCTTGATGTGGGGTCAGCGCACGACTCTTCCCCTTATCACGCGAGGGTGGTTGCACTGGGGAGGCCAACGGGGAAGGCGCAGGGAAGTTTCCGTGTGTCTCTGAGCGAGTCAGACCTGGCTTCGGAGTGTGCAAAGATAATGGGAAAGGGTTGGGTCCCGTTGGTTCAGGGAGTGGCTGCTTCGGAAGATTTGACTTTCCCAGAGGGTTCATAGGGAAAGGAACAGTGGGTTTACGTGACGGTGCGTTTGCCTTCTCCTTTTTTGCTGTGAGGGGTTCTCGAGCACTCTTCCGAGCAGAGGACGCGTCGGAAGCGCGTGAGCTCCCACCATATACCGAGGAATGACTACGCAAAGGGAATGGCCGAGGCTGCCTGCTGGCACGCGGAGTTGCTTCGGGACTCCGATCACGAACTATTGAGCCCTCAGCCTTTACAGCTCGTAGTTTAGGAACGCGTTCGGGATATTTTGGAAGTTCGTCTCCTGATGGAGTGACTGTCTTCCTGGACACGGAGCTCCTTCCTGGGCCCGGACGCGTAAAGGCTGTATGGCTCTCTTTCTTCGGCTTGGTTGCAGGTTTAAAGGGCTTCGTCTGAGACGCTAGGTCGTCAGATATTGGTCTGCATAGTTCTTGGGAGTCGTCTGCTTCGGGCAAAGATGACGATGGAGGCCGATCCGGAATACCACCCTCTACCTGCAGCTGCTTCTTAATCTTCTTGAATTTTGGGAGTTTTTCCTGAGGAGGAGGAAAACTTGGGTGATACAGATGACCGTTTGGAGCAAGATTGGCTTTCTGAGGAATCGACGTTATTGTCTTGCCGCGGACAGCGCGTTTGGGTATAGGTGACAAGCCCAACGGTTGAGCGCCTTCAGATAATAACAGCTCGTCATCACTGTCACTAAAAGAATCTTGTTCCAGACTGGTGATGACAGGACGCGACGTGGCCCCGGCAGGCTTGACTTTGCCAGACGCCTTGCCTTGCACTGGTTGGGATGGAGCAAACGAGGACCCGAGGTCTTCATGGCCTCGACCTTTGCCTGACTGAATAAAGAATGGACGCTCTGTCATTCTATGAGTCCTATCTGAGAAAATGTTAGTTTTCTTCCTTTCCAATTCGCTCTGAAGCCGCTCCATTCTCGGCTATCAGCCAGCCACTGCTGAGGTAATGTGGATGGCGACACGCTTCTTGTACATAACCGACGCGTTGTTTTGGTTAGTTGAATTCTAAAGCTTGTGCCAAACCTCAACAAATACAGCTGCTACTTTTGGCACCACTTCTTAATTACCGTGAGGAGCCATCAGCAAGGCCGCATTAATGGTCCAAGTGCGCCGGCCGTATTCACATATTCTTGGAGCTGGAACAGCTTGCTTATAACTTGATTCAGGATGCATGTTGATGGACGACGAGTCTTGTTCATGAATCCTAGTTGAGTTACTAATTGCCAGGTCAAACTTAATATGAGACTCCGAACCATTTGTTCCTGGGTCACCTCCGATAAACGTTTGTTCTTCTCTATAACTAACGAACATACAGGTGCGGCGTAGCCTACCGAAGGTCATTGAATTTCCCACTGCGCCTTTTTCTGACCAGGTGTTCTCCTGGCAGACATGGCGTTGATTTTCAGCCAACAGGGGTGGTGTGCGTGTCCGCGGATAACGAAGCCGAGTACCCATCGGACTCAGACGGTCATTAAGCAGGCGATCTCCTGAAATGGGCAAACTCAGCGGCCTGTAACGCCGGGTTCGAATTATCCCGCTAGATAGAGGTGGGTCACAGTTCATCCCCGGATCTACGAACTTAGTTGTTCATTGACCATAACTGGCTATCACCAGACACTTTGCGGCCCTATTTCGAACTGGTGCCCCTCAGTGCGCTCTCCACCAATGACAGTGCTTGCCTCAGTGCTGAAGACAACCTCGAGCGTAAACTTGAAGACAGGAGCCTCGCGGAATGTGACTCATCTTAGATTTTCAGAGTCCAGTCCGACTATAAATAAGCTTATTGAATACGTCTTGAATATCAACCGGCTTTGCCTCGTCTTCTTGCACAAGTGTGCAGTGGGCTCCCAATGACTTATCACGAAGGAGACCCAGCCTTTCGCGTACTAGCGATTAAATGCGAGCATCAAGTCCCAGAATCTGTCGATCCGCCTATTACGCCAGTACCACTGGTACATGAGGAAGTATACACAAATGCCCCGCGTCAGACCGAGGAAAGGGACGAAGAGACTTTAAAAACCATATCCCATACACCGACTATGGTAGAAAATGAGCTCTTTTATGTTAGTCTTTGCACAGTTTCTTATTTTTGTAACGTGATTACTGATAAGGACTAGGTTGATTTCGAGGACGGAGATAGACAGAATCCAGTCAACTTCTCTCCTGCAAGGAAGTGGGCAATCACGATAAATGCTTGTGCTTTTACGGGCATTGTAGGTAAATCTACAAGTCGGTGGAAGCACACAACTTTATGTTTATCATCTCTTGCTTTATCTAGCTGCCGCCGCGTCTTCGTATACCATGGGCTATTCGTCTATGATAGGAGACCTCGATTGTACATTATTCCAAGCAACTCTGGGATTCAGTGTGTTCACTTTAGGATTTGCATTCGCGCCTCTGGTCACTTCGTCGTTCAGCGAGGAATTCGGCCGCTTTCCTTTTTACATCGTCTCGTCCTTCATGTTTGTACTGTCTGAAGTGATGATGGCTTTGTGAGTTTTTGTCTCACTGGATCGTCTCTATAATTTTCTCAGATAAGGAATGCTCAGGGCACCGAATGTACAAGTCGTTATTATAGCTCGTGCCATTGGAGGGTGCTTTGGCTCGACGGGCGCAATACTCGTGGCTGGAACTATTGCAGACATATGGTTGCCTCATCAGTTAGGTTCACCGTCTTTCTGGGAAATCGAGATCTCATAATCCTGAAGACGGGGATTCCCGATTTCCCTCTATGCCTTAGCGGCTATTGCATCTTCTGGTTTAGGTCCAATGGTTGCGGGCTGGATCGAAGCCAACCCATCCCTGCAATGGCGGTGGATACAATGGATCCAGGCTATGTGTGGTGTTATTTGCTTCCATCTTGCTGGCTTGGTCCTCACTATTCTTTTTTTAGCGTCAGCGGGGTGTGTTCTATCTCCATGCTTTTAATCTTGAGAGAGACTCGCTCGACCGTCATTCTGGCTCGTATGGTCCGTCAAGTTCGAAAGGACACTGGAGATGGCCGATACTGTACAAGATCAGAAGCAAACAAGCCCTCCCTTATGTCTATGATTGCTACTTCATGCACTCGCCCATTAAGTAAGTGCATTCATCAGCACTAAAACATTTGCTGAATTAGTGCTAGGGCTCTTATTCACTGAGCCCATTGTTCAAAGCTTTAGTGTATGTCGTTTCTCGCCGATCTTCACCGCAGACCTGGCTCATGAGCCTTACAATTGATTCTATATCTAGCTCTGGATTGGTTTTGTGTGGGGAGTTCTCTTCTTTTTACTTGAGTAAGTGTCCCCTGAAAATCGGTGAGATATTGAGGGAAAATTTGCTGCAGCTCAGTATCGGGCGAATTCCAAAACATCTACGGATTTGGTGTCGGAGAGACTGGGAGCGTGTTCGCCACCATAGCGTAAGGCTGGTTTTCAACGTAATAAGCAGTGCGAGTGACTGTGAACGTCTCAGCATCGGAAGCCTTCTAGGTTACTTGGTTAATATCTACCAAGAAAGACTATACAAGTCAGTGATCGACTCTCTGAAGAGGAAGCCCAGACTGATCATAGATTTAGAAAACATGTCCATCGCAAGGGCCAAGAAGCTCGTCTTTACATTGCTTGCGTAGCATCTATAACTCTTCCCATCGGAATGCTCATCTTTGCATGGACTGCCCGACCAGATATCCCGTGGATAGTTCCCCTGACCGGCCTTACGGTCAGCATCTTTTAGCTATTCATCTTCCCTGCCACGGCTGATGAAGCTGTCAGCTTTTCATAACATCCGCTTTTGTCATATATCAAGTCGTATTCATCTACTTGGCAGATTGGTGAGCGCTACGTCCGCGTAACGACATGCTTTATTACCCCTGTTGACGAGCAGCGAGCTAGCTATGGGCCGTATGCATCTTCGGCGCTCGCAGGTCAGAGCTTGTGTCGTGAGTCCCTCCCGGGCTTCTCCATTCCTATATCAAGAACAGTATCCGACCAATGTGTCTCGCAGGAAACACACTTAGTACTATCTTCCCGCTCTTTACGAGCCGGATGATCGACCTCCTGACGTACAAATGGGCAGGTACTGTCTTTGCGCTCATCGCGGCCATCATGATCCCTATACCATATGTAGGTGTTTCGAACACTATTGTATGCATTTGTCCACGATCACACAGATTCTTTTCTTTTATGGGTCGAGAATACGAGTATGCAGCCCTATCTCCCAGAAGATCCTGGAGATCGAGGCTGAACAAAAGAATCCAGACTTGGAGAAGTCGTAAGATTATCTATTCGCTCGTTGTTTCATCTATGGCGAGAATGTTTACCGCAGTTAATTATGACACGTTGATCGCACGAGTTGGCACGCAGAATCTTGTAGCAATCAATTTTACCTAATATTAATGGCACCTCAAGTTATATGCTCGATATCGTTTGACATTGAATTTGCTTATATAACCTATATCTTGTACACAATTATGTGGACCATCCTCTACCGCACAAAGAAAATATCCTCCGGGTACGAGTCCCTGTCGGAAACACGTGTTGGTGTTTTTCCAGTGCTTCCTCTTGTTCAAGTTGTTTGATGTTGAAGAAGAAAGATTTAGTGAACTTTTGGCGACACCTGGACTAGGGTTAGGGTTACATCTTTCCAAGTTTAATAGAATGGTCCGAAGTTTTAACTTTTGAACCTATGTAACTTGGACCTTGGCCAAGACTGTCATCCGTTTAACTGTTACATACGCCAAGAGGCACTGGGCAGTGATACTGAAAGCTTGTGTTTCAGTATTACGGACAACATTCATGTGGATTATGGGAACTCTAGTAAATCACTGTGCTCACAACTTGCTTCACCACCTCCATCCGGCGCTAACGTTGTGACCTAAAGGTCGCACCCTATTCGAAAGCGGTATTCTGTCAAGATGATGGATTGGGTTGAAGCTTTGAAGGGAGAGATCACCATTGGACCAGCCACCGTCGTACCTCCCAAAGTCACCATCTTCACAATCACTGATCCCACTATAATTGGTTCGGGTAAGTTGGCATCAAAATGCGGCAAGTGATGTTGGTGACGAAACTTTGTATGAGATTGACTGCCGTCAACCATGTTCACTGGAACCTCTTTCACTATGAGTGTTGAACAGGCATTGAATGTCCCTCCATTGGCAACTTCAATACATAATCCACGCGTGCGTTGCGGCGTCCGCTTACTGTGCGACTATCGAACTACTGCGTCATGATTTATCGGTGCCGGTGCTACGTGTCTCGTTATACCTAATACTGACGAGACCCTAGATGACTACGTACGTGCACCCACTGGTGGATGCATCACTCCTGCACTCCCTGCCGCACCTCCTCAATGCAACTCCCTATACTATCCCTGTGCACCATGGTGTACTACCCCTCGCTTTCCCAAGGCCCGCAGCCCCCATCATCCTCCTGCGTGCCGCACCTCTGCTGCTGATTCGTGCGCGTGAATTGTGATCCGCTCTCTCACAGCGTGTACATCCACGCTTCCTCACCCGGGGCCCAGCATTCATTTCGCTGGCGACTGCATCCATCTGCCACCATGCGCTGAGTACACGATGTGCACCTCCCTATTCTCTCCTTAGGCTTCGCTCTTACTTCTTTCGCCACATAGTATTGTCTGCGTTCATTTTCATTTTATTTTCATACATACTTACATTGGGAATCAGGAACGCATCGAGGACTTCCCGAGATCATTGATGAAGAAAATGCCCCCCAGGAGATTGTATTCTACTCTAAAGTACAAACAACCCGAGGTTAGAAGGGCTCCTCAAGCCTCGTCAATCCATTGTGCTGGGTATAAAGTATGAATGTGGTCTTCATATCGATGGTATGAATGAAGGATACTCAGCAATGCACCGATGACACGCACCTCAGGGAGATCGGCTAGAGCTATGGGCCACGGGAACAGAGCAGCTGCGCAATTATCGGATTCCATCGGCTTTCCCACTGGGAACGAGGATATGAGATTTAGGCAATCCCCTATTGAAAAAACGTACAAACGCACCCGTCTGTTCTGCCATGGCGTAAGCTTGCACACATAGCTGTCCATTAAATGTGAATCTTTGATCCTTTCTACATGAGGTGTCGTCAGCGCAGTACTGAAAAGTAGCACAGGGACGGACGGGAGCCTGCCCAGATCAACGATGGGTAGACGTGTATCGTCGTGGTCGACTAAACATAGAGCAAGTCTGGTTTCCTCATATTCATTCTTGATCACCCAATCGTCAGATATAAATCGAGCCTGAGTTGGCTCAGCCTGCTGAATTCAACATATTAGAGGCAAGCATCAGTCATCCTACTTATCCTCGAAATCTGTTGAGGCACATACCCGTTCCACAGTGAGGCCACCATGGATGATATTTTTACCGTAAGATTGGGGTGCCGAGATCCATTGCAACCTGCCTTCCTGGTTAAACTTCAGTATAGTCTCTGTGCCTTCCTTCAGGAATCAAATGTCACAAGTTTGAAACTGGTAATCGGGTAACACAGATAACACCATACCGTAAGTATTTCACTGATCTGGGGGGTCAAAACAAAATTCTCCTTTTCCTTGACTGTGCTAACCGCGATCCTTCAAAACCTCATCAGTTACATGAAATGAGGAAATAATAATAAAACTTCACTTTGGGTGTATAGTAACCACACGACATGTATCGCCTGTAGTAGAGTTTCAACCACTCAAGTCGAGTTCGGAGCCAGTACTACTTCACTATTGGCTGGAAACGAAAGGATCTGGTACTATGTCACATACTCGTCTTTGCCCTGCTAAGTGGAGGCTGGTGGCTGCGTACCTTCCAAGGTATTGCATTGAGTTGACCCATCACGCTGTCCCCATCGATAGGAATTGGACCAAGTGTGATGACGACCTGTATGAAGATGTTCAGATTAATTAGATACCAAAGCCATGAAGACCAGGCGTACATCTGTGTTTTGCTTCAGCTTTTTATGGCGTTCCCATGTCAACGTACGGATACTGAAGGTTTTGCTCGTAGCCTTGGGTGCGGTCATCTGCGGTGCTACATACCGGGGTGGGAGCGAGGCTGATAAGTATAGGCAATCATACAAGCGCTCATCGAGTCAGCTGAGAGCTCGGGCGATATCCGAGTCGATATGAAATCACATAAACACCCCTGCAGGCGCCTGCAGACCTGAAGAAACTATGCCGTCCAAACTTCCGTCTTGAGACATTGTACGCAAGGAACGTCATTCTTTCACAAATTCATTGCATAATACAGGCACAGCTGGCTCCACGAATGACGGAATCGGAATGATAACACGATGCGTTTAACGATCATATCAACCAGTTCCAGCTAGTGCGACCGCGAACGAGTCTGTGCCAAATCCTCACCCCACCGCTTGACCTCCGGATGACGCAAATAAGGCAAGCTGGAATCAAAAAACGGCTGAAGATCCAGCCCATGCGCCGTTTCATACTCGCTTGCTACGCACGCACATGAATATATCATGAACTTAACACGATGACAACCCAACTACATACCTTGCAGTGCCATCTCCAGTCTATCAAGGTCTACAGACACGTCAACAATAAATCAAAGCACGGCAGTAGGAATAGCAAAAGACAAACCTTTGACGAACCTTGCTTCATTCGTTTCTCCCCTTCTCGTATTCCTGCGTAAAGCATCAGCCTTGAATTGAGCCATCTTGAGCGATGCAAGACTTGCGTTCCAGAGAGCTTCGATTCGTAGCGCTGCTAGGGAACCATGGAGCATATCATGCACAAAATTGTGCATCGCTTCCTATATGGTAAAAGGTATTTTTGAGTCAGAGGTACGACTTGGGGTGTTGTAAGGTATGAATGGCTGACCGCCTCTAAGCGCTGCTTTTCCTGTTTCGAAATTCCTTCTCGAGGCGTGATGTCACCCACTGCCATGTCATCAGTGCTGATCTTTGCAACACGAGAAAACATAATATATGTTATGGATTTACCTTGCGCTTCAGCAAGGTCGTGCACGACAGCCATCATAACGCATCTTGAGACATCGCCATAAACATGTCATTCCTTAACTCATCTACAATAGAAGCAACGCACTTGGAAATATCGAGCGCTGCTGTCAGACGTACACATAGCGAGTATAGCCATGCGGTACATGTGATCTGATATACTATCAGACACGCGAGTGAGTGAGTCATGCCATGCTATGCATCGCGAACCTCTCTGCATTTGGGATCTGCAAAATCGGGTGGTGTAAGTGATTCAGCTGCATCTTTGGAGGGTAGGAATATGTTCCTTGTTATCGACCCATCCTGTGCGCTTTTGAGTCTACTCGAAAGTGCATGAGTGCAGGGGTCCGTACATCGAGTAATGTAGATCTATACCTTTAATCTTTCTAGAACGTGGAAGAATGCCAGCCTGTCGATGGACGCGTCACCAGTCGATACATACAACGGTGGAAACACGCGTTTAGCAGGAAGAGCGACCTCAGACTCGTCCATGTGCACAAAGTGAAGATTAAAGAGCCCGCTTATGGGTAAACGGGAAGCTAAATAGATCTCCGACTTCCGACTTCCGATGATAAGATATGGTACAATTTCAAAATCAAAAAGAACACGAGGGTGCCTACGAGACCTTGCCAGAAGACACGGCCGCTGCTCTACGCCGTTTGCTGCCCCTCCGAATTTCCATCAAATCTGCCTCTATGTCCGCTTCTTTGCTGGGGCCTAGCATTGCTATACTCTTGCCTAGGCCGCCAACGCCGACCATGCTTGAGTGAAGCCCCGCGCCTTTGGTACGACGCCTGGAGCCATTGGCGCCGGAGTTACCACCGGCACCTGAAGACGGATTAGTGAGGGTGACGGCCGTGAGGGGGAAAGGGAAAGGCGAAGGTAGCTCGTCGACGGAGAGGGAGTGGGGGTTAGTGAAAGGGCCGGTTGTAATGGGCGTATTGCTTCCAAGCGAACCATTGACAAGGTTCTCTCCTCGAAGTGCGAGGGGTGTTGGAGGAGGGGAAGTGCCGACTTTATTGCGCAGTTTCCGAGTGATATGGGACCGAGACTGAGCATCTAGCGTTGCGTCTGATTGAAGCGGTGAATAAAAATTGGAGGATATCGAGTGAGAGTGAGTGACGTACCGTTTACGGTTCCCTCGCCTTCTTTTTCCTCTCTTGCACGCCGTCTGCGCTCTTCTATGCCTTCGAGGAGTCTTTCTCGTATACGATCACGACCTTTGCGCCATTCTTCTTCGACTCTTTCGCGTTCCTCCTCATAAGCGGTCTGTATTGATTCCAAACTATGCTTTTCTTCGAACGCGTGCTGGGCGAGTAAGGCGGAGCGTTCGAGAGAAATGGGATACAAGCGGAGGTTATAAAGAGGATGAGTTTCTGGACGAGAAGCGAGCTGCATTGCGGCGCTGTGGAGTGCAGAGATATTTTCAGTGAAGTGTCGTCCTCTAACACGAAGTTGAGCGGAGATGAGAAAAATGGTTGGGAGGGACATACTCGTCTCTACGGTCTAACATCTCTTTTCCTACTTTGCCTGATATATCCTTTCTCTTTTTCTCTCGTTTTGGATCGTCTTTGTTTGCATGCAGGTTAGTACGTATACTTGCGAAGGCAAGAAATAAAGACATACCCTGCACGCGGGATGGACCTGCAATTGGATGAGCATTATGATAATGAGGATTAGGACCCTGAGGGGGCTGCATATTCGAATAAGAAATTGACATGGGCATGTTGTCTGGTTGAATAATGTCTGTGCGCGCCTTGTGGGTTGATGCATATGGCAGGGCGAACATTCCTGGCTGTGGTGGCATCGTACCCGGATAGATTTTAACAAATCTTTGATTCTCAGTGTAAACCGAGAATCGTAAGGAAACAGCGAGCTCGACGAACTTTGTTCGACTGTGCGGGCCTGAAGCTCTCAGGCCGGGAGGAGGTTAGTTTTGGGTTGCTATAAAAAGAAATTCATTGTAACCGATCAATGCAGGTCACGCGGCGGCCCGAGCCACGACCGGTCTGGCCGTCATTGCAATCATGTTCGCTTTTCTTAGTACTTTATACTTTGCTTCTGGTACACACGAAACACGGAGCAGTCGGTTCGGCGTTACATATGATCTTGTACTAAGCACTCCCAAAGCGTTCTCACTGTGTCATACCAGCTTACTCTGGCATGAATGGAAATGGCATGTACACTAACACCAGCGATGTAAGACGCATCTCCGTACCATGCCGCTTGTGTTGCATGTTCTCGCCACTCGGGGATTGGTTGCTAAGAATATGTCAGCCATGTGCGTCATATGTTCCCTATCAGCTTGACATCGTGAAAACCTTCCGATTGGTGTGAGCCTTATATAATTCGATATCAGAAGAACATCCAAACACTCTCAAGCCCTCAAACCACATCCAAACATGAGTTTCTGCAAGCACTGCATCCAAGGTGTGTTTATATCCAATCGACCATCGTGAATGCTGATCACTGATTGAGATTACCAACAGGAGTACGCCACGAGGGTGAGCCTGTGGGTAAGGACTTTTCTAATTCACTATCTTGCACTTTCTCATCAGTCTCGTCACCAGGCAAACTTGAAACCATCGCTGGTGTCGCTTGCTACATCGCCACGCCCACTGTCGACTATCCTAAGGACAAAGTCGTCCTGTTCCTACCCGATGTTTTTGGTATCGAGCTCAGTAATGCCAAGGTATGCCTTTCGTACATCATTCCTCTCACTTAGACTGACGATTCCCACACCAGCTTCTCGCAGATGACTTTGCAAAAAATGGCTTCAAAGTTTGCATCCAAATCTCATAGCATGCACGGGTGTTGGACTGATGGCATCGTACAGGTCGTTGCAGTCGACTACTTAAACGGCGGTAGACTTGCTGCTGATGCCATGAACGTCAGTTGTGCCCGATTTCCTCTGCATTGCACACTCTGATCCCGTGCCCGCTCACAGTCTCCCTCGTTTGATTTCATGGGATGGCTCTCCAACCACGGCGCCGAGCAGACCCGCCCACCCCTCGATAAGGTCATCGCTGCACTCAAAGCGGAAGGTGTCACCAAGTTTGGCGCAACTGGCTATTGCTTCGGCGGTATGTTCCTTCACTCGCCTACTTCTTCCTCTACCTGACAATGCGTGTCAGGTCGTTACGTTTTTGATCTTGCATTCGACAATGCCATCCAGTGCGCCGTGGTCTCCCACCCCTCGCTCTTGAAGGTGCCCGAAGACCTCGAGGTAACGCATACTGTCCGGCATAGCGTTTTCCCCTCTGAACTCATTATTTCTAGACGTACTTTTCCAAATCGCGGGCACCTCTCCTGATCAACTCCTGTGAAGTCGATCAAATGTTCCCTGCCGCAGCCCAAGCAAAGGCTGATGAAATGTTTGGCGATGGGAAATTCGCCCCAGGGTACAAGCGCGAGTATTTCCCTGGTTGTACGCATGGGTTTGCTGTACGTGGGGATGTCTCAGACCCGCTGATCAAAGCCGGGAAGGAGGGCGCATTCAAGGCCGCTGTGGAGTTCTTCCTCGCGCACCTGTGAGCAGTCTGTCTGTTATAAGATTTGCGTGTGTGGTACGATTCAATTCAAATACAATTTCAATATGCAATTTCAAATACACAACTGAGATTGTTGCACGACATGTCCAGTCGTACCACGTCGCTGGTCGTGTAAGCATGCCAGCAATGGATCTCCATGCGAATGTCATGTGCTCACCGTGTCTATGGACGGTATATAAGAGATCATGTAGTGATTTCCTGCACCCGCAGAATTTAGAATCCTAGATATCATTTCAAATCTTATTTTGGGAGCTTCGATAGTACAACATCCAGAAATATGTTCCAACATACAGACCAAATATATCTAGATTCTAAACACATATTCTAAACCTAAACATGGACGATGATGTGGATCTGTATCAGTTATATCAAATGCTCGAGCTGGCAGAGGATGACGAAGATGAATTCCGGAGGGCCGGGAAGGCTTTGCAATCATTTGGGACACCACACCCATTCCTTGTGATGACACCCGGACCACTGTTGTTCCTCGAACTCATCATTGTTCGCCCGATTCCGCAGGGGCTTTGGGCCTTATCCTTCATTGTCTCAATTCCACCATGCGCGAAGTCAGTCTTTTGCGTAAATGAGACGTTATAAATGCGCGTACAACGATCTATGCAAGTGTCGATCACACTAATCGGCGATATGATCAATTTGGGGCTGGACCGTAACCGTATATAGTTACGGCCGTACAACGTACGGTAGCCATACGGTTACTACCGCCCGTATCGTACCGTATGTCATATGGTGTCCTCGATACCCTCGACTGTACGGTACAGAGCACTGTGCAGTCATACAGGAGATGAAAAATACAGTAGCTAGTGTGTAGTAATTATAAGTATCAATCAATCACTGTAATGGCACATACCAAAAGGAAGTAGTATCACGGCCACTGAGGCAGCGGATGCCAGGTCACAGAACGGAACAGTTGTCCTTTACTAGTAGCACACAGATAGTATAAGTGGATTTCCAGATTGCGAAAATGGAGTGCTACGAAGAGACAGATTCAAACTCGAAGGCGATTCAAAACAGTAATTCATGCGGGAGAACTCACATATCATGGAATATACCCCTAACACAACAGTAACGCGTAATCAGTTGAACGCGCCTGCAGGTTCTACCGAAATTTCTGCCACCTGACAGCAACAACAATTCTGCCAAATCGATCAGAATCGTGCCCATAAGTATATGCAGGATACTTATAAAAACTGGTCCAATAGTGTTCCCCCATTCTCAGATATCCCCATCAGAAAATTCCATATCACCTCACACAGAAATGCGTTTCTCCTTCCTCGCTGTTGTTGTTGCTTTGGTTAGCATCTATGTTTGTCAGTGCATGTCTGACCCAGTCACAAACTTGTGAAACATCTCAAGATTGCTGCAAAAACATGAACTTGCTTGGTATCTATAAAGCGAGTATGAGGAGGTCGCTGCGGAAACAGAATTCAACCATATGACTCACCTACGCGCCTTAGGATGGTCCGGGGGCCTCAAGTTTGACCTGCGAGTACATCCCCTCCGGCTCAAAGTATGGAGGGTTCTGTCGGATCCAAACGTACAAACACGCAACTTGAATCTGTTCGTCTATTAGATATGTTGGCCTCGAAGGGTAGCTCATGGAACTCTCTCGATGTGTGTAATAGAGCCAACGAGGCGTCACTTCATTTCTGATCGTGATTCGTGACAGACGTGATATTTTCTGCTGTGTAGTCAAAGCCCAAGATCATACAGGAGCGCGCGTTATGATGATGGAAGTGAAAAAGGGGGTGTCAAAGATAAAGATAAAGAGGATTAATATTATTGCCTGTGCGGTACTTTCCATCAAAGGGTACCGCTGGATCATTAGCGTGGGGAGCTCAAGAGTGATCGGGCGAGTGTTGGATAGGTGCGAGGGACACGGACACGGTTGACGAGGAAGAGGAACTTGGAAGAGTGTTGGTATCTTGATAGAAGTTTCGCCAACATTGTTCCTTGTCCCTGAGTGAAAGTGCGGCGGAATACAGTAGCCATGGATGGGCGTGCTCAGAGCGCTCAACTTTGGTCCCCGTCAACATCGAAAGAAGGTGCATCTGGCTGCCACACCAGGTTACACGGCACACAGCAAGGAGATCCCTCGTGGTACCAAAAGCTAAGTTGGGCATTCAATACTTCAGTTATCATTTTAGGCTACAGCACTCGAATGACCATACACCGTAACCGTCAATGAGAGCTCTAAAGTACTTCGATAGGGTGCGTCGGACCTTGCCGGAAGATCGCCGTCCAACCGTTCCCACCCTCCTCGAGACACGCGTTTACTCCCTATTCGATACCAGTAATATTGAACATAATCTACGATTTCCATCCCTCCAATCCACCAGTACTCACACGTAAACAAATTACTTCCGAAGCCAAATCCAAGAAGTGCGTTTGCCGCACGAGGATTTGCGCGAAGTGCTATACTATGATTGGATGCTCGAGCTTCGTCGACACACTGAAGTTTTAGTGGTACGTGCGTTACAAGCAGCCATCGAAGATGGTGATTCGCATCTTGTTGTGGATATCGTTGAGACTGGAGATGTAGTACCAGAGGTTTGCGACATCGTCGCGGTGTTTGAAGGCGATGTTTAAACATGATTTAAACCTAGAAGTCCCCCCCTTCTAGATATCAATCTAGAACTGGGTCAGTCAGACGTGCGGACTTGCAAAGACTGACATTTGACAGTGGCACGATAGCCTGAAACGTTTAGAACTAGAGCAGCGTTCTAAATGCTGCGGGAAGTTATCGATACATCCATTAAGGTGCCAGCAATACCTGTAGTTCCCACGTACATGATCTGATTAGATATAACAGTGAACTACAGGGTGGTACGATGACTCTCAACCCTCTCCTAACCAACCAACCAACCACACCCAAATATGAGTTTCTGCAAGGACTGTATTCAAGGTGCTGTCTTATATCCTCGCAATCGGTACTGAGTACTAATTGCAAACAGGTGTACGCCACGCGGGTGAGCCTCAAGGTAAGTAGTTTTTCAATTCGCCATGTCATATTGTTCATCAGTGTCTTCATTAGGAACGATCGATATCATTGACGGTGTCGCTTGCTACGTCGCCACCCCTACTGTTGACTATCCCAAGGACAAAGTCATCCTCTTCCTGCCGGATGTTTTCGGTATCGAGCTTATCAATACCAAGGTACGTCCGTTCGTGCTACCTTGGTCCCAACACGTTGACCAGGATGGACACAGCTCCTCGCTGATGACTTTGCGACCAACGGCTTCAAGGTTTGCACCCAAGCACGTAGGATACCCGGATGTGAGACTAATTGCATTCTGCAGGTCGTCGCGGTTGACTACTTCAACGGCGATAGTCTTCCCGCTGACATCATGAACGTTAGTTTTGATTGATTTCCTTTGCGTCTCAAGCTCTGACCCCATATTCACTCACAGTCTGCCTCGTTTAACCGCGAGGCATGGTTTGCTAAACATGGAAACGAGCAGACCCGCCCTTCCCTTGATAAGGTCATTGCCGTGCTCAAAGAGGAAGGTGTCACCAAGTTCGGAGCCACTGGCTACTGCTTCGGCGGTACATCTCCCCATTCAACTATTTGTTTCTCTACTTACTGATATATATCAGGTCGTTATACTTTTGACCTTGCATTCGACAATGCCATTCAGTGTGCCGTAGTCTCCCACCCCTCGCTCTTGAAGGTCCCCAATGACCTCGAGGTAATGCATATTGTCCGGCATAGTGTTTCCCCCTCTGAACTCATTATTTCTAGACGTACTTTTCTACATCACAGGCGCCTCTCCTTATCAACTCCTGTGAAATTGATCATATGTTCCCTGCCGCAGCCCAAGCCAAGGCCGATGAGATCTTTGGCGATGGGAAATTCGCCCCAGGGTACAAGCGCGAGTACTTCCCTGGATGCACGCACGGCTTTGCTGTACGTGGGGATATCAAAGATCCGCTGGTCAAAGCTGGGAAAGAGGGAGCGTTCAAGGCTACTGTGGAGTTCTTCCTGGAGCACTTGTAAGAAGTCTTGTCGTTGCAGCGTCATAGAGTCTCTGTGTATGGTACGATCAATCCAAAGCCAATATGCAATCTCAAATGCAAAACTAAGATCGTCGTATGACATGCCGCAGTTGTAGCCACGTCGTTAGCCATGCCAGCAATATCGGAGTGTATGTGCGCGTCATGCAGGTGAAATAGCGATGAAGTAAAGTAAGACTTTCAAAATCGCCCAGCTTGGGTGTCACCTTCCAATTCGATGACAAAGTTTGAATGCTCAGACGCTCTGTCATCAGTTGATTTTAACAACCTGGACAACTTTGCGATGAACTGCATATATGACGGAGCATCCCTCTAATCACTCTCAATCCTCCTCTAACCACTCCCAAGTATGAGTTTCTGCAAGGACTGCATCCAAGGTGCGTTGTATATCATCCCCGTCTACATCGAGCACTGATAGTGAACAGGCGTACGTCACGAGGGTGAACCTTCAGGTAAGCACTTTTCCAACTTGCCACGTCGCATTGTTCATCAGTGGCTTCGCTAGGAACACTCGAGACCATCGCTGGTGTCGCTTGCTACGTCGCCACCCCTGCTGCTGATTATGCCAAGGACAAAGTCGTCCTCTTCCTACCGGACGCCTTCGGTATCGAGCTCATCAATGCTCAGGTACCCCACCCTTGTGACATAGTACACCACATCTACTAAAAGAGGTACATACCCCACAACAGCTCCTGGCTGATGACTTTGCCAAAAACGGCTTCAAGGTTTGCACAAACCATAGTACGTACAAGTCCAGGATACGATATTGATGTTATGGATACAGGTCGTCGCGATCGACTATTTAAACGGCGATAGTATTCCTGCTGATAAGGCCTTGAACGTCAGTTTATTCTTGGCTGATACCTTCATTAATAAGTATCCCGAGCTCTGACCCATGTCCTCGTCCATGTCCACTTTCTAGGATAAATCATTCGATTTCTACGGATGGCTTGCTACACATAACGCCGAGGCCACTCGCCCCCCACTTGACAAGGTCATCGCTGCGCTCAAAGAGGAAGGCGTGACCAAGTTTGGAGCCACAGGTTACTGCTTCGGCGGTACGTCCCCTGTATTCCATCATTTCTTCCTCTTAACTTGATATGCACTGTAGGTCGTTACACCTTTGACCTCGCATTCGACAACGTTATCCAATGCGCTGTCGTCTCCCACCCCTCGCTTTTGAATCTCCCCGACGACCTCGAGGTAACCTACATCATCATCATAGCTGTATGGCACTCTCCTGCTGAATTCATTCTTTTAGACATACTTTTCCAAATCAGTAGCGCCTCTCCTGATTAACTCATGCGAGAACGATAGGCTGTTCTCCGCAGAAGCTCAGGCAAAGGCCGATGAGATTTTCGGCGATGGGAAGTTCGCTCCAGGATACAGGCGCGAATATTTTCCTGGATGCACGCATGGGTTTGCTGTCCGTGGTGATTTAAGCGACCCACTGATCAAGGCTGGAAAAGAGGGGTCGTTCCTGGCTAGCGTAGAGTTCCTCCTGGAGCACCTGTGAGCTGCATGTTCGTGGCGTTGCAGGAGGTACAATTCGACCTCAAATACAATGATAATGATATACAAGCACATTTTACCGTTGTTACATTTTTTACGGAAGCCCTCATCCTCAGTGGTGAAAGAGCCTGAGTGAGGTGTGTGCAAACACCATCTCATGCTCATCCGCGGCCTTGATGCACTCCTCGTCCATCACACTTCCGCTAGGCGCAGCGAGGTACCTTACTCCGCTCTTCCTAGCTCGGTGCACATTATCCGCAAATGGGAAAAATGCGTCACTCGAACACGCAACCCCATCCAACTTCACCGCCCACTCCTTCTTCTCCAACTCGCTGAGCGGCGCGGGCACCTCCTCAAATTGTCCCTCCCACTGGGCACGCTCGCCGCCCTCGAGTACCTCTCCGCTCACAAAGAGGTCGATCGCGTTCGCTTTCTCTGCGCGCTTAACACCCTTTTTGAATGGGAGCGCGAGGACACGCGGGTGGTGTCGTAACCACCAGTTGTCCGCTTTGGATCCTGCGAGCCGCGTGCAGTGGATGCGCGACTGCTGTCCGGCGCCCAGGCCGATGATAGCACCGTTCTTGGCGTACGAGACGCTGTTAGACTGCGTGTACTTGACCGCGAGGGTCGCAACGATGAGGTCTGTCAGCGCTTGCGTTGGGACCTATGGAATAGTTATGATTGTGTGTTACGGAGAGAGCAGGGATATACATCTTTGTTCTTGGTGACGAGATTTTCGAAGAGCTTGGCATCGATTTTGATGTCATTTCGGCGCTGCTGGAGGCTGACACCGTATACTTGGCGCGTCTCGATATCTGAGGGCTTGTATGACGGGTCCATCTTTTTGGTAGCGTTAGCAAACGCAATAAAGCTGTGTGATCGAGTGAACGTACCTCCAGGACACAGTACTTTCCTGCCTTTTTCTTTTTGAGAACTTCCAGTGCTTCGGGGCTGTAGCCTGGCGCAATGATGCCATCGGATACTTCCCTGGAGATGATGCGTGCTGTGGCAAGGTCACATGGCGCAGAGAGTGCAATGAAGTCTCCAAATGACGACATGCGGTCGGCACCTAAAACAAGATCTTTGTTGCATATGGAGTTCAAGTTCATCGCATGACATACCTCGAGCGCGAGCGTATGCGCATGCTAAAGGCGTCAGGGGCTCTTTGAGATCTTCAACGCCGTACACGTGCTTCTCAGTTTCGTCAAGTTCCAAACCTACAGCTGCACCAGCAGGAGAGACATGTTTGAAGGAAGCGGCAGCAGGGAGGTTTAATGCTTCTTGAAGCTCCTTTACGAGCGCATAAGAATTAAGGGCATCTAATAAATTGATGTAGCCTGGGGACCCGCTGAGAACTATACCATCCAAAGTCAACAAAACGTCTATCAGATAAAATAAGAGATCGCACCTTTGAATGGCAATTCGCCCTCAGCCACGAAAGTCTGCGCTGGTTTTTGGTGAGGGTTAGCGCCGTACCTAAGCACCATGCGCTGGACTGGTCCGCTCTCGGGCGTCGATGCATACTGCTCGCGGAAATACCCGCTAATCGCGTCATCATACTTTGCAGTCATCTCAAACGCCTTCAGAGCGAGCCTGTTGCGGAGCGTCTGCCCGACATCGCCCTGGCCCTGCTGGAACGCCTCCAGGAACGCGCGGTAGTCAGTAGGATCCGAGAGGACGGAGACACGCTCGTGGTTCTTGGCGGCTGCGCGAAGTAAGGTGACACCACCGATGTCGATGTCTTCGACAGCATCTGCGAGTGTGCAGCTCGGTTTAGAGATGGTTGATGTAAAAGGGATAGAGGTTGCAGATAACAATGGAGATGGGGGAGATATTTTGAGCCTTGAGGTCTTGCTCAGTCAGAAGGGATAGAACGTGCGAGTATGCCTTGTTGTACCACATCAGTCAAACGTTGCGCACTTGTGTATAAGGTAGATATCTTACCGCCATGAACGGCAGGATGAAGCGTCTTCACCCTACCTCCGAGGATCTCAGGTGCCTTGGTAATATCAAAAACATCCCTAGTGTGCTCTAGATCAGTAAAGTAAGTGAAGAAGCACGCAGAACTCACTCGATGGGTGTTCCAGCCTCCCTGATTGTCTTCGCGGTACCTCCCGAACCAAGGAGACGGACTCCAGCACTATGAAGTCCCTGTGCAAGATCGAGGAGATTAGTCTTGTCATAGACTGAAAACAGAGCTTTTGTAGGGTAGTCAAATAGGATCTAGGTGCGTGCAAGTTTGATCATACCAATAGGTTGGGACATCACGATGGTGGTATGAGACTAACTTTGATCCAGTCATCGATCATCGATTAGGAAATGAATATATATATATATTGGAGTTAGTACTGATATTAGCTTTCCCGACTCCTACATAAAATATTATTTGACTGTAAATATCTGCCGTGGATATGGCAGATATATATAGTGCTCACTTTTTTTCTGCGATGAATTTCGTCGGATTTCTGAGGAGTATTTTATTAGCTCGGGAACTTTAAATTGTTAGTTTGTCAATCTCTATCACCTCCTGTAATCTTACGTAACTTTATTTAAACCCCCCGAGTCTCACTAACCGCGTCATTCACCCTCTCGCTTGCCCACTCCTTCTATTGTACAAATATGTTTTAACACTTTTACTCTTCGGCAACCTTTCTTCGCTCCCTGCCGGTCCCCCGCCTCGTCAAAGTCGCCTCAGTAATGCTTTCGACCTATTTTTTGGTCACCGGCAGCCAAGATCCTTGTTATTGTGGCTATAACAACGTCTGCCCTGATTCTGTGACTGCACCCACATCGCATTGTCGCCAGAGCTCACCGCAATATGACTCTCACTAGCATGAGAACTCCGCACGTAGTCCCACTCTAGGACGATGTCGAGACAGTGACCGACATCTTGCAACTCCAAGTAACCCACTGGGTCAATCAGCTTGAACCAGATCTTTTCGTCTCACCTACAGGGCGGTTTCATAAAACACACATTCTCATTACGGCCATGCCCGTGGATGCTCCGGCACTTGGGTGCACGTTCTTTCGGGAACATCCATTGGTACACGTACCACCAAATTTTTGACTCACGAGATTGCAGGAATCACGTCGAACGCAGACGATGTCGCTGGAAACGTGTTAGAGGTCAGACACTAAGTACTCAAGTAACAATAACAGTCTCCAGATATCGAATCACTGATCATGATCAGTTAAAAATTCTGCGTTGGTGGTGTTTTATCTTGCACTCAAGGGCCAAGAATCGACATCTTGAAGGCGCTTTTGCATTAAATAGGTTCACCGATACCGACTCCCTCTCGAGAGGGAAAAATAGTCAACATGCCATCGCAGATGATGTTGATGTCAATGATGAAATCGCCACTTGAAACACGCATACTCCCATATAACATCGCAGACAATATTAGCGTCTAGTGATCGTTCTAGGCCTCGTTGATCTTGTGGCGAAGCGTTACAAATGATAATTTGCTGCGTACAAGATATATTTGGTTGCAGAATTGCCATGCATATTCACTGTACTGTGCACATGATGAAGGGTTATTGGTATATGACGGGCCTCTATGAAGAGGGGCTGATGGAAGAAGCAAATGAGATCCATGCCGCAGCAACGTGATAGGAAGTCAGCAAGAACCCTAGAAAAGCACTTAATGGGTTATGGGCAGAAATCCAACGCTACTCAACACACAAGATCCTAGCCAACGTACGCTCCACGTCAACTTCAAATCCTACTGACCCCTTATCTCTCTGTCTAGACCAACGCAAACATGTTAGGGGTGCTTGATGTCACACAAAATATGTGTCTTAATGTGAGAGGTCAACTGGGGCCAGCACAGACGATGCGAGGGCACAAGGACTCAATGAAGGCATTTGCGTTCTTCAAAGACGGCCGAAGGGTCATCACTGCTGCAAAAGACGGTACCCTGCGAATTTGGGATCTGCAGAATGGGGTATTGCTAGGAGGGCCATTCGGGTTCGAGGGACACCAGAGAAACGGCGTGTTTTCGGTCGCCATATCGCCAGATGAGAGGCGAATTGCCAGCGGAGGACATGAGACTGTCATCGTCTGGGACGTCGAAAGCAATTGGATGACATTCAGTCGGCTGGTGAAGCACATAAACTGGGTGTACTCGGTGTGCTTCTCCCCCGATGGCAAGAGACTCGCCGGTGGGTCCGGCAATAAAACAGTTATTGTATGGGATGTGGAGACTGGCACCGTCCTCGGAACACTCAAGGATCATCCTTCTGCAGTGTACAATTTGGCATTCAGCCCGGATGGGCTAAAATTAGTTTCCGGATCGTTGGATGCTATCTGGGTGTGGCGCACCGATAATACCGAGCTCCTTCTCCAGATCAACACCATCTCTTGGACTCAAAGCGTTGCGTGGTCACCTGATGGCCAACAGCTTGTCTCCGTTTCATCAGACAGCAAAACACTCAATTTTTGGAACTCGTTGAGTGGAGACCACATTGTTAAACTTCGCACTGGTCACACTCGCTCCGACTCGATGACCATATCTTATGATGGGTCCTCCATTACCACCTCCTCGGACGACAAGATCGTGCGGCTGTGGACTCGGACCACAAAGGGACAGGCGCTTGAACCCACCACAGGGGTTGAATCTGTTGTAATTTCTCCCGATGGAGAATTGCCTGCCAGTGGAGATGACCGAGGGAAGGTTTGGTTCCAGTCTATCAAAGACATACTCGAGCAAGGCGTGGAAGAAAAGATAGCGGAGGGTGAAGATGCACGGAGACAGCAACTCTTTTCTCGCAGCGACACACACGTACGCTCCAATCCATTATTATTTAGCCTCTCTATCAGTGAACGTGACCTTTCTCCATGCAGATCTTTGCTATAGACACGACGATCCGCAACGCATTCGTTGCTGGAGACCTGCATACCGTTGAGGACCTACTGTCCCAAGAGATCGACGCGAATGTTAACAATCACAACTCCTACGCCAACCGCTCCATTGGAAGGGCGCGAAACTCCGAGTGGGACAATGCACTTCAAGACGCAGTCAAGGTAAAACGCTCTGCTTACCATAACCCTAGTGGCGTTGACTCTACTTGGTGACATAGTCCATTGCAATTCGGCCCTCGTTATCAGGTTACATTTCTAAGAGTATTGCCCTCTGCGGCAAACAGCAACTTTGGAATGCCATGGAAGCTTTTGATCTCGCTTTCGTATTTTCGAATCGCGATCCAGTAATAATTGAACTTTTACTACTGATCAAGGTACTCTCGAAACTTTTTCTGTTCATCGGTTTGTCACGCTAAGACTCCTTTTTTTCATTTTCACAGGCTATCTCGCTTTTCAACGCGAACCACCACGATGAGGCAATACGGCGAGTTGAGGACCTCGCTCAACACTCAGATGCACTTTTATGCAGCATCATTAACGTGAGCTTTGTGGCAGCCCTCACGAGTTTCTCACTTTTGAACACATTGTCAGTCGTATCTACGCGTGGAGCTTGCAAAGATTGCTTTCGAAGACGAGCGGTACAGCGAAGCTGCTGATAGACTCAACGATAGTATTCCCACTATAACAGACCTATTCTCTAGCAAAGCACTTGTTGACCATGGATTGGAGATATTCACGGTGGTACGTTGCTACAAAGCCACAGTGTTGACTTCTACTGGCTGATAATGTACTGAACAGCTCTTCGGCTGGGACTTTGACTCCCTATGGCAAACTGCGAATAAAATACGGTGCAACGCATTCCTTCGCGCAGATCAGGTGGCCGAAGCCGTCGAATCTTACCAATATATGATGAGCAAGATTGACAGAGCTGCAGAAGACAGTTTCCTCGAATGGTCCACTGGTGAGTCCTTTAAAGTCTTAGACGAACTTGAACAAAGACTTACTCTGTGGTCGTCATTTAGCCTTCAAGAAAAACTATACTGCGCGCTGTGTTTCAAAGGGAGACGAGGCCGTTGCTGCAGGCAATTATGAGACAGCCGTTGAATCGTATTCATTAGGGATCAGGCTTGACTCGTCTTGCGAGTCCCTTTTTGTGCGCCGCAGCAAGGCAAATTTAGAACGAAACCTCTATGCTGAGGCCCTCCATGACGCGGAAAAGGTGCAGATGATAATTATAACTTACAATCATACTGATACTATTGATGCACAGGCCATTGAACTCAACCCATCGTCGTATCTTGGGTACGAACTGAAGCATGCAGCGCTTTACAACGTTCGACGCTATGATGAAGCAATTGAAGCCTTTAGCACCATGCTCTCCAAGTTAGATGATGCACCCGACCCGCAGATACGAAGTAAGCCCTATACTGCTCATGCGTCAACGTGAACACGATTAACCTTTTTTCCAGAGCTGCGCCAGAAGTATGTCAGTCCATCTGAGGTAGACAGCACTACTCGACAAGTCGTCCAAGCTCGGCTAGAAAGTGCCCCACTTCGTCTACTCGACACATCCACTGGTCATTTATGTAATCGAGAGGCACAAATCAATGCGTTCATGAAAAGCACAGAGTACAAGGAAATCTTATCATTCTCGATGACACATGTAGTACCCCTCCAGACGGGGCCTATCGAAGAAGTGGTCGCGAAGTACTTCAGCTGGGTCATGTTGTCGCATAGGTGGGAAAGCAAGGAGCCGCTGCTGCACGACATTCAGGACAAGGCCATATATGATTTGGATCCAGACGGGACCATGGTGAAGTTGCAGACATTCTGCAAAACAGTTCGTGATATGGGTCATCGTTGGGCATGGAGCGACACGTGCTGCATCGACCAGAATAATCATATTGAGGTTCAACGATCGGTCAACTCCATGTTTGTCTGGTATCGCCACTCAGCTCTTACCACCATCTACCTGTCAGACGTTCCACCTTCGTCGAAGTCTGGCGCACTCGCAAACAGCACTTGGAATACGCGGGGATGGACCGTTCAGGAGTTCCTCGCTCCCAATGTCGTTCTATTTTACCAAGCAGATTGGACGCTATATCTCGATGATCGTTCCCCCAACCACAAGGAGTCTGTCGCTATCATACAGGAATTGGAGGAGGCGACGGGCATAGACGCAGAGGCCCTCGTCGCCTTCCGTCCAGGCATGTCAGGTGCACAAGAGAAACTGCGCTGGGCATCGACACGTGTTACGACGTTGCAAGAAGACATCGCATACTCATTGTTTGGCATCTTCGGCGTCCACCTACCTGTAATATACGGCGAGACAAAGCAAAACGCTCTTGGCCGGCTCTTGCAAGAGATCGTCGCTCAATCAGGAGACATCACTGCCCTGAACTGGGTCGGAACATCATCCGAATTCAATAGCTGTCTGCCAGCCGACATTACATCGTACAAAGCCCCGCCATACACCCCACCATCTCTATCCGAAGATCAGATGCAGACATCAATCTCGTCGTTGCGAGATGCTATTCTTGTGAAGCTTGCTTCGACACTATATGCCCGGCTCGACAACCTGAGCACACCTCGTTTCGCGAGTCGCAGGCTACATCTGCCTTGCATCGCATTTCCTGTCACAGCAGTCAGACGGAGGCGTAGTCAAGACGGGGAGTCATGTCTCACATACGAAGTCAAGGCAGACGGTCTTCAAGACATGTTAATCACCACAGAAGATAAGCTGGTTCAGTTCTCGCGGGCAAGGTCCACTCGGCAGCCGTTCTTGCTCGTTCGTTCGTGGAATCGGTATGACCTTGAACTGTCTGACCTTTCAGACGAGGTGCAGAGCGCGGATGACGATTGGCCAGAGCCTGAGTCTCCATCAAACACATTACTCAGCGGGTCTCATGGAGAAGATGAGCCGGCTGATTTGGAGTTTCACTCGCGAGCGTTGAGGTTGATCGTTCGCCTTGGACAGCGTTTTGGCGCGCTTTTGTTAGCACAGCAGCGTGGTGGGGTGTACAAAAGAATTGCGTCAGATCACAATATTATTGCGCAAGTCAGGGACGTGGCTTCTATTCACGACATGATGGACGTTAGGACACTAGAGATATTGTAGTCGCAAGGATTTCACGTAGTTTCATTCATAATTTTGACAGCGTTTAAGTACATGGAAAGATTCTCCTAATGGTAACTTTCGTAAGGCACCTTGTCCACCATGATCGTATACATGACATTGATTAAATTCCAGATCCAGATGATCATTGATGAAAAATGTATCATAGACGTAGCACCTACTGTAGTCCGTCTTCTATAGATACTGCACAAACAATCCACAAAACCGCAATAGTACATCATTAGAAACACGAATAATAATAATACAAAAGTGCTACACTACCGTCCTGTTCCCTGTGTAGGCTTTACACCTGCCATCTGCATCTGCATCTGCATCTGCATTTGCATTTGCATCGGCATCTGCATCTGCTGTTGCATCCCCACCGCTGCCTGCCCATTCACCTGGGCCTGATTTGGCATCCCCCGTCCAACATTCCACTGGTAGCCTCGTCCTGCAGGTACGGCATAGCTCATATATGGATACATTGAGTACTGTGGCATTATCATTTGGTGCTGCTGCTGGTCCTGCCCGGCTGGCCTGTACTGCATTGGTGCAAAGTTGTACTGCTGCTGCGCCATGCCCGGGTGCTGTGCAGCTTGTGTAGGTTGGGGTGGGAGCGGGTTAGAATTGGGCATGGGCGACCCTCTGGCCTGGTTTTGGAGCATAGGAGAGCCTCTGGCTTGATTCTGGAGCATCGGGCTGTTTCGAGCTGTAGGATGTCCAGGCAAGGGGCTTCGCGATTGTGAATTCTGCGGTGTCATACGTTCGGCTTGCACGTGGGCTTGGGGCTGGGCTTGAGCCTGGGCCTGCACCTGCACCTGTGCGTGGTGAGCCTGAACTTGTGCGTGGTGAGCCTGAGCCTGAGCCTGGGCCTGGGCCTGAGCTTGGCCTGAGCCTGAGCCTGAGCCTGCACCTGTGCGTGGTGGGCTTGCTGAGCCTGTGCGTGTTGAGCTTGGGCCTGGGCCTGAGCTTGGGCCTGGGCCTGCTGGGCCTGAGCTTGGGCCTGCGCCTGCTGGGCCTGGGCCTGAGCCTGAGCCTGAGACTGAGACTGAGCCTGGTGCGCCTGAGCCTGCGCTTGCGCCTGAGCCTGAGCCTGCATCAATCGAGTTTGTGGGTGGTGCAGTTGCATCTGTTGAAGCTGATATATCTGCGCTTGAGTGTGACCTTGACCTTGAGCATGCTGCTGCATCAGATGTTGTCCAGGAGCCAGCTGCGCTGCGCCAGCCTGTTGCCCGGCTTGTGCAGGGGAAGGTGTCGACTGAGATAGATAAGCAACTTGGGGCGTAGCAGGCTTGGGTTGAGAACTTTGCGGTGAAGCAATTGGCAAGAATTGATGGGCGGCGGTTGGAGGGCGTTGTATTGTTGGGGGGAGTTGTGAACCAGCTGCGAGAGGTGAGGAGTGCGGCGCTTGCGATGATGGAGGGCGTGGTGATTGCGTGAACCTTTGCGCAGGTGACTGTACAGACGGGAGCGGCGAAGGCGCGCTTACACGGGGTGAGGGGGAGGTAGCGTGCCGCGGCTGTGATTGAAGCTGGTTCACCACAGGATGTGGGACAGGGGTGGCAGAAGAGCGTGACATCTCAGGAGTGATTTGGAAAGCCTGCATCGCATCGGCTTTCTTCTTTGTTGACTTGGGTTTCTGGTCAGCAACTGGCTGGGGAGCTGGTGTTGACGCCGGTGCGGGCGCAGCTGAGACGGGAGTAGGTTGTAATTGAGCGGCCTGGGGTTGCGGCGTAGGCGCTGGAGCTGGTATTTGACCTTGTGCTTGGTTCAGACCTTGGGAATCTGCTTGACCCTGAGCCTGAGTTTGTGCTTGAGCCTGGGCGGCAGCTTGTGCCAATTGGGCTTTGAGATAAGGCTGTGTTTCCAATCCAACCGCCATGCGAACTTCCTTGACACGACGAATCGTATCCAATATCCGATAACTAAGTGAAGGTGAGCAGGAAGAGGTTACTTTGGGACAATACGAAATACCTTGGAGCGTGAGACCGATTTTGTCTCTGGTTCATGAACTGCATGATCTTAGCCCGACGAGTCTTGTCAGACTCATCTTCCTCGGGTGTAATGGCGGCTGCTTTGCGTTTCAAGGAGATGGGTATACTTGGAGTAGAAACTCTGAGGGTATGATTTGCGATACGGGTTAAATGTGGGTCTGGGTCGAGACATAGGGGAGGTGATGTTTGTAGCTACAATAACAATGAAGATAAGATACAGCAGAAAAGGTCGCGAATATAACATACCAGTATCTGTGCTTCAAGTTCAAGTACTTCCGTATCTGTGAACTTATTACCTGAACGCTGGTTCATGAGACATAGATTCGCCCAGAGTGTCTCGTCATTCGGGTGCAGAGCAACACGGCTCCGTTCAGGTTTCTCGAGAGGCGGGTCCTTTACTTTCTTTGGGCGGTAGTCTAGTAGCTCTACAATCATGCAACCTAACGAAATCGTAAAGTGAGGACCTTGTACGGACGACCGGCCACTCACCATCATAGAATGGCACACGTGCGGAGTCGAAAAGCTCAAGGTAGTCGACCGGGATGCGGTGTGCTCGGACGTCATCAAGGATTGACTATTGACAAGTCAGCACAGTTCCTGTATCTTGAGTTCAGCAACGAACCGCGATAGGATTATTGTACAGGAATTTGGATCCGTTGTTGAGCGTCCAGTAGTCGGGATAGAGATGGACCGAGAAAGATGGTGCAGCGTCTTCATACGAGTCTAGTAGTTGTTCCGCCGAGCGCGTAATGTTGTAACAAGACATTGCAGACGTACTTACGCGCTCGCTAATGGCTTCAATGCCACCGTGACCGTCACAGTCTCTGATGACTTACAATAACCAGTCCAACTTCTGTTCAAGGACATTTACGTAATCGTCCACAATCTGTTAAGCACTCGTGGGAATTATAATAACGGATGTTGTACTTAAGTACAATGGAGGCACAACTCAAGGAGGTTCGTGTCTTTAGAGACAACTAAATCAAAAGGTTTTAACATGTTTAAAGCTCATCCCATTCTTAAGGGATAAAAATCCACAGGTCCGACAAATAGCCCTGTCAAATCTGCTCGGGCAAACGCCAGAAGGATCTCCACATAGAAGCATTTTTTATCATGGCCTCGGAGGGGCAGGCTTACAGAAACCTAAGGAAACGGATATTATCCGTGATCTCAAGCTTTTATGCCGGGATCAACTCGTATGTATACCCATTTCAATTGTGATCAAGCGATGATGGTCACAGGCCGTTGCGCACGATGCTTTCCGTGCATTGGTCAATCTTTCCGATTCACCACTGCTAGTGCCATTTTTGTCGGAACCAGCTTTTCTCACTTTCTTGGTGTCATACATCTTGGTTCGTGCTCTATATTACGTTTGTCTCGCAGCTCCTTACCATTTCGCAGAACGCAGATTCCATACTTGCAGATCTGGCATCCATGTTAATTTCCAATCTAACCGCTTCATCTTCACCATGCGCAGCCCTTTTAGCCTTAAAGGTACCCGTGCTAAAAACACCATCCTCACCAAGTCCTCTTTTCCCAACCCTGTCCCGCTCTGGAACCTGTTCTGCACCAGTACCCTATCCATCAGGAGAACCGCAGGATATCCTCGCCTTACCGCTCCTTATCGATGCGTTCGTAGAAGGCGTATCGATAGATCCTTCCGGAGATAGAGCTTCCCGAAAGCGGAAAGGAGAGCTGCACTTCCTCGCCAGTGTCTTTGCCAATATCAGCACAGTTAGTTTGTGTAGAATCAATTACATCTTGACACTAAAGCCACAACGACTAGTCTCCAGCTGGTCGCACATTCTTCGTCACTTCACGACCGACGGATCCTTTGAATCCCAATAGTACCAATGAGTATCCTCTCGCCAAGATACTCGCGTTCACGGAACATCAAGACACAATACGACGTGGTGGTGTTGCCTCGACCTTGAAGTAGGATATTTTCCTTGCTTTGACATTGAGTAAATCTAATGTCTCGATCACAGGAACTGCGCTTTTTCTTCACAAGTTCACCGAGCAATACTATCTCCTGACACCGAAGCTGTTGCCGTTCCTCCATCGACATTGTCTGCCCCGGGTATCGATGCACTGCCTTACATCTTGCTACCGCTAGCAGGCCCAGAGGAACTTGATCTAGAAGTACGATCGTGGTGGTAGACATCCCAAGCTTACTGATGTTTACCTTCCAGGACCAAGAAAAATTGCCATCCGCACTTCAGTTTCTTCCATCCACGAAAAAACGGGATCCAGATCCTGTCTTGCGCTTGACGCATGTTGAGACACTCCTGCTTCTATGCACCACGCGATGGGGCCGAGATTATCTCAGGGATCATGGGGTGTATGAGATTGTTAGAGGAGCACACATGGAGGAGACTGTCGACAAGGTCTGTTTTTGCTCACAATTCGTCCTTGGAGCCGAATCTCTCAGACCATTCAGGTATCTGAACACATCGAGCGCCTCGTCCAGCTTTTGAAAGGCGACGAAGGCGTAGAAACAGTCGATGGGTCTGATCTGGTGCGTGTTGGAGGTCAAGGAGATGACGACGACGGCGACGAAGATAACAGAATCGAAGAAGTATAAGTAGTCTCGAAAATTTTAATTCTCTGATTGAGATTTTGTCACAATTGGATGTTACGTGCGCGAGCTTTAGGTGGGACTACTATTTTCTGACATGTGACTGAAAAGTACTTACTGTACGTTGTTTCCTCTTGATTACGTTGATCATTGCACAGGAGCTTGCTAAGACAACTTCCGAATCTGGTTACTGAGTTGGAGGTTGGAAGATAATTTGAGGTCCGTGAACTGGGTGCTGCGGCTCGGCGATGGACAAATTTTGATTGCCGATGAGGTGAATTTGACATTCGTGCACAGTTCGGATCCACAGTCATGTACGTCTCTTGCCAACGGAGCCTTATGGAGCCCAATGGCAGGCCGCCGCCGCCTCCTCAGCGCATAACGAAGCCCTTTGTCCAGCCATACCGATTCCTGGGTCTTTTCATTCTCGGTACATTCTTTGCGATGACGCAAAGAGTTGAGGAGGCGTGTGCTTTTTGACTAGGGGTGAGGGGAATGATGCACAAAAACGTTGGGCATGGTTCGTGTAATTGGCTGTCGAAAGTGAGTGTTACTATATTATAATATGCATCAATGACACAGATATACACGCAAATTGTCACGCATTGATATCTAGACTCTAGTTCTGAACGCTGGTCGCCTTCTGCAAGCTGATGTTGAGGTTTGACACGCCTTCCTTTTGAACACCAGCATGCATCCTTGTTGACACCCTGCTTCGATTAGACTAAAGTCTATGACAGTTAGTATCCTAAAGAGCATCTCGCAATTATGCAAGGTCCTTTGCCTGCCAGGAACGCACCCATGATAAAGGAATGACAGAGGATGCGGTGTGCAAACCATGTATTCTCCCGAACATGCCCTTCAGCCAACTGCAAGAATCCTTGTATCGGCTGAGAGATGAGCACATTGATATCGTACGTATGGTGCCAGACCCTCACTCACGCAAGGGTCACGGCCCTGGTTGTGTAACATGGCTTCTCTGCCCGTAGGTTTTACATATTCATATTCAGTCGCTATGATTATCCGAACATTCTATATGGACCTTTCTCAATGAAAGTGGCAGTGGCTAAGTACGTACAAATGATTTTCAATTTGCAGACGCTCAGACTTATTTGCCAAGAATATTTTTAATCATTGCGAGTCATGAGTACTTCTCGTATTTACACATGATTTCCGTACACGTACTCACACAGGATGCAGAGGCAGGCTCTGCTATCCCGAAAATACCCAACTGTAATTCACATTGACTCCTCAGGGTTACTCCTCATAATATGATCGAAGTCAGCAATCACTCCCGGTGGTATCTCGATACCCGGCTTGAATCGCGCTCGTGAGTTGTGATCTCACATCACCCCTCGACGGATGCTAATCGCCTCGACCCTCCAGCGCTAACCGATTTGTGGCTGCATATACGGATCGATGACTGCTTGTTTTGGTCAATCTCGTTGATGCTGTCGGGAAACTTTCTCGCCGTCTTCACTGGTAATAACGATCCCCGTCCAGAATCTTCACCAAGATCCGGAGGTTTGAAATCGGGAGCCACATGATAACTCCACGAGGCAGTGCCAAGGCTGGGAGCTATTCTGCAGGGAGCCCTGGGGCTGCGCACGCATAGGACCCCAAAAGTTGAAAAGGATGAATTATTAATAGATGGATGGGCTCCTTCCTGCTCCTTCACCTAGCTTTAATGGCACTAATACTGTGTCTGAAAGGTATTGCTGCTCAAGGCTGGGACAGTATTTGAAGAGGTCCCTGGATTCGAACTGAGGGGAGATCGTGGGTCCTCGACTGGATTAGAAGGCTGGAACTCGTATAATATTCCATCAATGTTCTAGTCATTCACCAAACAGACTCCGCCACCGAACTTGGAGATCGGTGACAGGGCGCTGTCCCCTTCCGAATATGTTGAGTGTATGCACTGTGCTCCCAGCAAGCCGGTATGGAACACATTCTTTGATCAAGTTCCACATGTTCTATCACTAAACCCTCAGTTATATTATTTCGGTCTGTCGTTGGTCCCCTTCACCACTGTCCTCCTTCTGCGATGCGGACTTACGGCTACCCGCATTTTTAATCTGAGGGACGTCAGATGCATCCGAGAAAAGGGTGACAATCATCAATGATTATCACGCACGAATTCGGCATAGTTCTGCATAGCCCTTGTGCTGAAACCCAATGGAAGGCATCCTCGGACAACCCAACTGATCTGTCACCGTCCTCAGGGGACTCGACAAACTCCGCGACGCCCTCCTCAACGGCCTGTCCTCTGGGACATCCAAACACGTCCCCCGATATGATGCCTGTTATCGGGGCATGACACTATCGTCCTACGAAACAACTTGCTGCGTATACCTCTCAAACGAAACAGACTCGTGGGGCGCAACTACGCCGTCTAATGCTGCGGTTCTGACACCCTGACTAGACGGTACCATCACGGTATGGAAATAATGAAACACCGAGGAGTAGCATGGTGATGGGAGGCACTTCCTGTCACCGTGCCCACATCTCGCTTTACCCCTGTCAGTGTGGCTGTTTACGTTTAATGCTTACAATTATCACCAGATCGCGTGCAGTAGCCATCACAGTAGCCATTTGTGTTTTGATAATTATATCTACTGGTCGCCGATATTTTCCGCCGCAGCCCCCCTTGCATGTTTAACGCATTCATGTCATCAAATTTGCCAGCACAACCTTCCGCCACCAGGGCGGCAGCAAATCCATCGAGCCCCAGGTTACCACATGGACAGCGGTCATAGCGATGGTATGTCACGACAGCGAATAGCAGAGCGAAGTATCCTTACTGACATGAGAGAAAACAGTCCGCGTATCTAAAAAAACTTCTGGTGCAACCCTGCAATTATTCCATGTCCTGTAAGCGGTGTTATCGCTTGTGAAGCTCGTCGTCATATAATGACTTCCTGGCTAACAAGGTAATCTTGACCCAGCGCGTCAGTTAGGTGACGTCAAGCGAATATCGGCTTCACCGTACTATGGCCACGTTTTGTTCATTTATGCACGAGGCACTCATGACAAATAATTCTTCTGTTCCCCACTAAGTACCACTGACGGCATACTTGTTAGAAATAAAACAGTATGAATCTACTACTGGCCTGCGCCAAGACGGATCAGACAATGATAAACCGAAATATTGGAAGGTAAGATGTACAAGATTTGTAGAATGCCTTAATATTTGTCTGTGGACGTAATGCCACTAAATGAAAGTAAGATAAACAAGCCATCTGACATATTCTCGATGTCTTACGTGTGACGAGCCGGAAAAACAAGGTCGCAGCCTTGAAAGGTCAGTCAATTGATTCCCTGCGAACTGCAAGTTGCCACTCTGCCAAGTCGTTCCCACTGTGTGAGAGGTAAGGGTGGTGAAGTTTTTCCGGCTCGTGATCACCACTGGCATTCCAATGAAGGCCTAGCTAATTAAATATCCAAGAGGCATGACTCGCAGTCAAACGAGGCAGCAGAACATTGCCCTCTGAAGTCCACTTGTCCGTTGGAGAGGCACCGATAGGTACACAACGTGGACCAAAAACTGTGATGCAGTCGAAAGATAGATTCTTAGTTCCTTCGCTTCGACCGATTAACCTAACTAAACGCCGTGATGCGAATTACTAAGAGGTACGCTGAGAAATGAGATTGACGAATCTATAACCTTATCATCATAACAGCACTGCAAAGTGGAGCCATACCAACCCTGACGCGTACGGAAGGAGCCCCTCAAACCCGGGAAAAACTATTGTAATGTCATTGAAAGGTCCAGCCATTGATGAAAATAGGAAAGAAAGACAGGTGAGAAGCAGATCGGACAGGTTAGAGTATCACGGGTCCAACTTCACCCTCTCCGTATATGATCACCCAGGTCGCGATCTTGTGACCCATAAGAATCGTCATCGTCACTTCCGCCACTGGACGCAATCACAGAATCCTCCATTGCGTTGTGAGATCCTGGGTCCTTGCTATTGCCCCCGCGGGACCGTTCCCCTCGTGCCCGCTTTTTCAGCTGAAACAAAACATGATAAGAAGAATCAGAGGGTTTATGCTGACGTACAAGTTTAGCATACACGAGGCCACATGCGTTGCACAAGGTTCGAGGGCCTAAACCATAATATAAGCTCGAAGCATGCGGCGTACAAAATGAGCCCGCGCTAACCTAGGGGACCACGCCTCCACTCAGGGGTTGAGGTTGCATTGCAACCAAGGCAAGTCTGCCCTTCCTGAGCGTGTTCCTCGGCCTTCTGAGTACAGAAAAGGAAGCGTCAACATTTTAGCATATTCCTCATGACAGACGCTTCACCTGCCGCTTTATGGCCGGAGTATCCTTGTCACTGCCGCCAGTAGACGGCCTCGTGTCAGGGTTTGATTGCGCAACTGCTGATTGCAACATTTGTCTTCCGTAGTTCGCGGACTGGATCATGCGTTCCATGGTTTCAGGCGGTGGGAGCCGCGCAGGAACCCCCGCGGACGCCAGGGATTTGGTACCCTCGAGTATCATACCATAAGACTCTACCATCTGTTTACAAATCAGATATTGACCGCAAAGGGATGACTGCCGGGCGTGCCTTCCCAAAATCTAGACTAGGATTGATAATTGGACTTGGGGCCAGGACTGGTGACTCCTTGTCCCGCCTCTTGCTCTTTTGAACGGGCGATGCATGAGCTGACACAGGGGCAGGGGGATAGCGTTCCTCTGGGCGGCGATTCTCAAGTGGTGGATTGGATGGGCCAGCGGCATACGATCGTGCCTCTGCATGGGTGGTCTGAGAGACTGATTCCGGGCGGGCTGCATTTGGGGCATACGTCACGTCTGCCGTGATGGATGTAGGTGGGAAGGTCCCGAATTGAGAGGACCAGCTTTCAGGCTGCCATTGAGGCTGCGACTGAGGAAGAGTATATGATGGAGCGGGTGCATAGGACGCTTGTTGCGTATATGAAGACGATGCCGCAAAAGTTGACTGGTGGTGTTGTGAATGAAACTGAGTGATGGGGGAGCGTATCGGCCGGGGAGGGGCCTGAGGAGGTGGTGCCGACACGTAAGCTTGCGTAGGATATGTTTGATACTCATAAGAGGTTGTCGATCCTCCTTGTGGATTAGAATAAATATATCGTTGATGTTCTGCAGACATTCCAAAAGCTGTTGAAAGGGAGGAGGAATCGCCGATGTTCTTAAAGCTGGGCACTGGCAGAAGAGAATGCGAAAGAGGAAATTCTTCGACACTGTTGCGATTAGAGTGCGTGTCAGGAGCCTCGAGGCTATATCCCCGAAATGAAAGATAGATCGTCAGAAGTCAATCAATAACAAGTTGGAGCGAATGAATGCAGTGGGGGGGAGCGAAATCGCGGTACCGCACCAAATAAACAGTAAGGAGCGACAGGGAGATGCCATTCAGGACATACACTCGGACAATGATCATCGCGCGAAGCGATACATGGCTGCCCGCATCCGTTGCTCACTTACGGATAGGTCGAAAATGGCCTCACAAGTTTTGATCAGAAACGCACGTTTCGCCTGAGGTTTGTGGACAAAGCTTGTTCGTCAAGATGTGATGGATCTGGTTTACGTGAACAAACGTGATGATCAATCTCGCGAAAAGTGCCGCGGCCGTACTAACCTGTGTTAAGACTGAGTATTGACCGCGGTGACCTTTGTCAGGAATCTACTAGTTCCAGGACGAGCGCGACAGAAGAAGATGGCAAGTGCTAGGCAGACAGTGGAAGTACGAGAAAAAGTTGCATTTGAAACATACTCTCAGCTTCATGCTTTAAACGGTGACGCTTACACCGATCGGCGAGACTTCCATCAGGACGCCCTGCTGCACGCGGCTGCCCCGTGGAAGCCGTCTTGTCACCGGCCCAAATCACAGTCATGCATATGGTTCTCTCCAGGTAATCCAAATATTGAAATTGCCTCAAATGACCATATATTTGCCAACGCGACTGCTTACGACTGCCAATAAATTCCAAATGTCCGTCCATTAGATAAAGATGCGGCTTGTGATAACATGTCAGTAAGTAATGCGATGCCTTCCACAACTAGAGATGGCGTATGCAAAATGAGATGGAAAGAGCGGAAGTGGATCAGTAAATACGCTATCCAGTTTGTATGAAATCCTGCCCTCTAGACCTGCCTATATCCGGGCCTTCTTTCCAATCAGACTCCTTCACGATGACGGGGGATTGTGCAGGAGATGGCTCATAATCGTTGTCGTAATCGTCTTCTTCATCAGATGGCGCCAAATTTGCAGGTGTCTTGGGGGCGTTTAGTCCGCCTGCAACACGCTCCTGCGCACGTCTCCTTCTACGAAGAATATGTTTTCGGTTCTTCACTGCTTGACGGTACTCTGACCCTTCTCCATAGAAAAGGGAATACTCGCAACGTGGGCAGATCCATTCATCTGCAGGATTGACTATCTGCGCAGTGGGAGTAACCGTGTTTGCCTTCTTGCGTCTGCGAGGCGGTATTTGTGCCGAGAGGAAGCGAAGTGGAAGTGGCCCAAGCATGTTCTGAGCATTGGCATTCGCCTGAACCACATTAGCCTGCCCAGATGAAGGAAGCCTGGAAGGAACGTAATTTTTGCGGTGATGAGGATTTGATGCGATAGCGAGTGCATTTCGCTTTTTCTTTTTGCTTCCCTTGCCTTTTCCCCCTGGCATTTCCTGAAACTCCGCTGACTGATCACCACTTTCAGCTGCACCCTTAAGTGCCCGCTGCTGCGTTTTCTCTCCCCGCTTTGACTTAGCCCCTTTGCTTGCCGTAAGTGCCGCTTGTTTAGCATCGGCAGCTGCCTTGGTCACTTTAGCCGCCTGACGTGCGAGTTCATTTTCGAACCGATTTCTGAGTGCGAGCACCTCCTGTTTCGTCGCAACGAGGCGATCAGAAGCTTAAATTAAACCAGGTCTGATCAGGTTCTGACATCACTTTGATAACTGGACTGCGACTCACTTGCACTAGAAAACGTGAACACGAACTGAGCGGTTGGAAATGAAGGCTTCTTCTGAAGGGGTATTGAGGCTGCACTTGCATGTGCCTTTGCTGCGCGAGCAAGACGCGGACCAGGTCGACGCGAGAGCCGTACTTTCGGCGGATTAGAGCCAGATCTGATCATCGAACCCGCAAAGGGCAAATGCGTTGATAATGCTTGATCAAGGGCAAGTGTATCGCCAAGAGAAAGGGCTCCCAAGACGGCTGCAAGCTGGCGTTTTCGATGCTTGAGCAGCTCCTTGTGCTGGAGACCTGCCAGCGTTGATGGTGTGATCTTCCCCTTCCTGGGGGTTGGGATCACCGATGGTGGCAGGGCAGAAAGGTCAAGGCCATGGTTAGCCCGACCATTCAATAGAGCCAAGCCGTCCAAAATCTCATCCTCTGTACCCAACTGTGGCTCCGCTTCCCGCCCTTGCGCCGCGCCCGACATGTTAGCAGGCACCTTCCTCTTCTTCGTATTCCCAGGCTGCTGGAGATGATCCGTATAGTCACCCTCACTCTGGTCCTCCTCCGACCTTCCCATTTTCCCAAGCTGGTACGCCGCGTTCAGATCAAGGGTGTCTCCATTGTGGGTGCCACCGAACACAGAGGCATAGTAAGACTGCAGAGAGAAGGAGTCAGCATGAGTAATGAGTTCGTCTGCGAGAGATTCTGCGCCAAGAATGTTGGCCATGGGATGGACGAGGTCGTCTGCTGCTGGAATGGGCGCGTCTGAGGTGCGTCTACGTTTGGGTAACGGTTTAAGCCTCCTCAACGGCTGAAATTCCGGCTCATCGGATGCGGGCGACGATCCTCGATACATTTTGTGGCAGAATTTCAATGAAAGAAGATAATCGGAAAAAGTTGGCAAACTGTGGCGTCTGAAGCAAAAAGAGTGAAGGAGGGAACGTCTGAAATACGTACGGCTTCCGGCGCTGGCCCTTATGCTGACGTGGAGACCAACCAGTTTGCTAGCTATGAGTCGGTGGCTACGACAGCCGATCCATTTTCGCACCCTCCGGAGTCTCACCAGAGCTTCAGAGTAAAACAGCCTGCAATGGGAAGGCGTCTAGGAATTGATAGAATAACAGGAAAAACTACGGTACAGGATATGCGATGCTCTAACAGTAAAAATTGTCTCGTGAGGATATCAAATAATGTCCGACCGCGCGTCGCAATGCCAATAAATGAGTGGATATCGCGAAACGACGACTGACAAATGATGTATGCTGCTCATGTCTACGGCCTGCCGTTTAACGTCTATCTATAATGCGGAGAGGGGGTGGCGCTTGGGGGAGAGAATTAAGAGTAGACATACCGCACCGAGACAATAGAAACACAGACGACGAATGTAAGATAGGCCGTATAGTCTTCATAATGAGCAGGAGCAACGAGACAAACCAGGTTGGAAGAGCAGCGCAAGGAGTCCGTGCGTGAGAGGAAAAGAGAGCGAAACACACAGCGAGATGGATGTTTGAGTGCATATGGAAAGGAGTTTGTTACCAGGGGCATTTTCATGAGTGCGAAATCGAGGCGAATAGAGGAAATCCGAGAAAAGCTGCAGGCCGAGAAGAATTCGATACGATTGAGTAGGAGGCGGGTGGATTTGGGATATGGCGACAGTATATTTACCACCAGCCGGATCCACCACCGCTTGCTCCATTGTTATAACCTCCACTGGAACCATAACCTCCGCCGCCGCCGCCGCCATATGAAGGGGCATTGCCGTAGCTCATGTTGCCACGTCCGAAGCCCCCACCATAGTTGCTGGCGCCACCATAGCCAGACTGTCTGTAATCGCGGTTGCCACCACGACCACGACCTCCAGCACCGCCACTACTACCGCCACTTCCGCGGCCACGACCACCACGGAAACTTGATCCAAAGGTGGTCTCGTGTACCACACTCTCCAACCATGTAGGGATCTCCTGGTTAGCCTCGCGAAGAAGTTCGAGAAGATCGCGGACAATGTTCTTGTTCCCACGGTTAAAGAATGCAGTCGAGACACCGGTGTTTCCGGCACGACCAGTACGACCAATACGGTGGACATAGTCATCAATATCTGAAGGCAGGTCGTAGTTGATCACATGGGTGACGTTAGGAATGTCAAGACCACGGGCTGCGACAGCAGTAGCTACTAAAATTGGAGTACGTCCGGTGCGGAAGGTCTGCAAAGCCATCTCACGCTCACGCTGGGAGCGGTCGCCATGGATAGAAGTAGCAGGGAGGCGGTTTGACATGAGGAAATCAGACAACATGTCGGCCATGCGCTTGGTCTCCACGAAGACGAGGGTCAACCCACCAGGAGGATCAGACGCGAGAAGGTCAAGCAAAACAGAACGCTTGTCATTATCCTCGACGTACTCGATCTTTTGGGTGATGTTCTCAGAGGTTGAACCAACACGGCCGACAGAAAGGAAAATGTAGTCCTTCAGGAAGTCTCGTGCGAGCATTTGGATATCACGTGGGAATGTGGCACTAAACATAAGCGTCTGGCGATCCTCTACGCCAGGCATATCCTCGCCTTGGACGATCCTGCGAATCTGAGGCTCGAAACCCATGTCAAGCATGCGATCAGCCTCATCGAGGACAAGGTAACGAATGTTTGCTAAACTGATCCGACCACGCTCAATGAGGTCGACGAGCCGTCCGGGAGTAGCACTGAGAAGATCACAGCCACGCTCGATCAGACGCAGCTGCTGATTAATGTCGGCACCACCATACACCACTGCTGGGCGAACCCACGAGCGGTATGCAAATTTGCGCGCTTCTTCGTGAATTTGACTGACAAGCTCGCGGGTGGGAGCAAGAATGAGGGCAGTAGGGTAGGCTTTACGTGAGCGTGAGTACCCCATTGATGGGGTCTCAGGTGGTGGAGCACGAGGTCCAGAAGCGAAAGAGGCGGAGAAAATAGGGAAGAGGAAGCCTCCTGTCTTGCCGGAGCCAGTCTAGAGTACAACGTTAGCGTTTACAAATCACCCAAAGGGGGGCACACACCTGAGCACAAGCCATTAAATCTCTGTTAGCAGCGACGATGGGAATGGAGTACTTTTGAACGGGAGTCGGAGTAGTGTAACGAGCGAATGCGATGTTCTCCAAGAGAACAGGGTCTAGTGGGGGGTTCGTGAAAGCTGTAACGGGGTCTGGGACTCCAGCGCCTGTAGCCTCGACAGGAATATCATCATACTTCTCGAAGTTGATGCCAGTGTGTTGCTTGGATGGATCAGTCGGATCTCCGAAAAGCTCCTTCTCCATGCGCGGATTGCGAGGACCGACAACATGAAGACCATTGCGCCAGGCACCAAATCCGGAAGAATCACGCTGCTGGCTATCTCCACGGGGTTCTCTGACAGTCCATCCGTTGCTAGATGGGCGACCTGCCCAATCACTTGCACTACTACCTCCGCGGGAGGGACTACCGAATGCAATGCCGACAAAGGCGGTATCCTTGCTACCTTTGTCAGGAGGACCACCTCGAAGGGGTTCAAATCCACGGCGAGGAGAAGCTTGGGGCTCGTTCCAGCCGGTCCTAGGTACGAGCGCTTGATTATCACAAGATGCGGAATCGGAAGGAAATGACGTACCCGTTTGGTTGTGGCGGGGGTGGTGTAGCGCGCTGCGCATTTCTCATATGAGGAGGAACGTATGCAGATTTCGTTCCATTTATGCCGAGAGAAGCTGAAGGATATTGGTTTGGTGAGAAGGGTACGAAGATAATATACGAGTGAAGCGTACCAAACTGAGTCTCTAGACTTGCGTTGCCGTTTACAATTCCATTGGTCATATTAAGTCGAAATGTCAATGAACTTGACTGTTCTTTTTTCTGTCGTTGATGTTCTAGAGAAGGACCGATGTTGGTGGATGAAGAAAGAAAGCTGAGCAACCACAATTTTGATAAAAAATTCCGGACCTTCCAGATGCTGACTAATAAAACACCATGAATGGGTAATCGTTCTCACGCACTGCCACTTACCTTTTTGGTCAAGTCAACGTAGCCCTATAGATTGTTACTTGCGCCGAGCACAAAACTAAAATGTCTCAACAAGTTCAGCAAGCTCCAGCAGGTCAACATTCGCATGCTCACCCACACCCCCCGCAGCCTGCTCAACAGGTTATGCCTGCTCCACAGCCAGACCCAGTCATGCAGGCTCGCATCGATGCCGATTTTAAGCCTGTAGACATAGCAGTAGGGGGTCCGAGTACTGCATTCGCTTTCTGCAATACGCACAAGCTAGAAAAGTGCAAGCAGTGCAACGTAGACTTTACTGCTCTCAATCGCGTTTCGAAGATTCTTGTCACGAATCCCACCTTGCGCTGTCCCCCTCCTCCAAACGTTGTGCAGCAGAAACTATCGCAGGCAGTGACAAATATGAAGGATGAGGGCAATGTATGTCTTCTGACTTTATTTGTCCACATTCGGTTGACGGTTTGCACAGAACTTGTACAAACTCAACAAGACCAGAGAAGCGCTCTCGAAATACAATATGGCAGCGAGCATAGCCGTGCAGAGACCAGCTTGGGAAAATGCCGCAATACTACGAGAAGAGCTCTCAACTGTCGTATCCAACCGCTCAGCAGCTCTTCTTGAACTCGGTGACTACCTCGGTGCGCTCGTTGACGCTGAGACCGTCATTTCCGTTCGGAGACAATGGCCGAAAGGTCATTTCAGAAAAGCAAAAGCACTCGTTGCGCTAGGCCACATAGAAGAGGCCAAAGATGCTATCTCCCTCGGCCTTCAATTTGAGCCTAATAACATTGTAAGCCACTCCCATACCCAGGTTGACACGTGTCTCACATCTTACCTCAGGAGCTCAGCGGATATATGCTTGAGCTGGACAAGCAGTTGGCATCGCGCAATCAGCCAAATACGAAAGAAAAGTCCGTGTCTGTCACCTCCTCGTAGTCTATATACAGATTGTCCATATACCCATGGATCATTATTACCCGTACATGAAAGCTCGATGAATAAATTACAATCAGGCTATATCCCTATGTAGGTCTCCTAATCCTATCTTTCAGTGGCCCTAGAAGCCGCTCAGTCTCTATACACTCCTCTGGAAGCTTGAACACTCGCAGAACGACGTCAGACCCTATCATCAATTTCGCTTTGTTCACGCGGTTTTGCAGCTCGAAACGCTTCTTCTCCGCCTCCGTCATAGGTGGCGTAGTCTGACCAGTCGCCCGCCTGAAGTTGCGTAAAGACAAAGAGCTGGAACTCGATCCAATCGAGCTTAAGGAGTCCACTGACATCCTCGTTTTGCTTTTGGAATATGAATTTGCGGGAATATCAAATGAGGAAAATGATTGTGGGGGCAGGGTCAATTTGGGGGTGAGTCTCCTCTTCACGGATGGCCCCGGTTTTGCGGCATACGGCCCCAACTCTTTCAAAGCGTCCGGGTCAGACATCGAACGAAGGGGGTGTGGACGAGTAGCAGGGGGTTGTACTGGCAAGCTCGTCTTCTTGACCGGCTCGGGAGTCTTCGTGGACATGAGACTCGCCAAACTACCTGTAGCATCCTGCAAGCCCTGCATCGTGTACATCTCGGATGAACACGGCCAGAATCTGCCGGGGACGCTCCATGGCGAGGGATGCATACAACTCTAGATCTTGCTCGCCTGAATCCCCAATTAGGATGAACTTCGAGTCAGGAAAACCATCAAGGACATCGACCACATTTGCACGCTTGCGGGTGGCGGGATCAGAAAGAAGGGCATTGAAGAAGGATCTACCACTATAAGATTTAAGGGCAATAGATCCCTGCGGGAGGTCGGATATCTGCAAAAATTCTTTGATGACTGGGAGGAGTTCAAAGGGGGAATTAGACTGCGGGGGTTATGAACATGAGTACACCATAAAATGTGGCATGGCACTCACGACGTAATGGAAGCGAACGCCTCGTTCCCACATTGACTTGTACCACGTCCCCATCTCTGGAATAGTCGTCTCCTCGAGGTCTTTAACAAAAACGTTGCGGAAGACGGCACGAGCACCACTCGTGATATTTGAGAGCTTGATAGTATCGTCTATGTCTGTTATTACATGGATGGGGGAAAATGTGATTGGAACAACCAGCGAAATGTTCTTTGGAACATCTGTGTGAAACAGGTATGCGGGTGTGGGCGCAGGCTCAGGTAACAGCTTTGCAGAAACGAGTAGCTCATGTCCTATGTCCGATCCGTTGGATGGTCTGTGCCGTGCTATAGGATGCCTAGATAGATCCTGCCAGGGAATCTTGAAGGGGTTTGCGAAGGCGCCGTCTGGTCCAGTGACCACGTGTTCAGTGTACAGCGGACCATCCTCGAGAGTGTCACGTTTCGAATCGATGCTGCCTGAGGCAGTAGATACAGCAAAAATGGATATTTGGACAGTGCGGGATGATAACGCGGATGACCAAAATGGTCGCAAACGCGCCTCGAGGTTCTTGTGTTGTTTATGGAGTAGAGCGCTCGGAAACGGCGCTGACGTGTCACATAATGAAGGTGTCGGTTGAGGGTCAGGCTCAGACTCATATGGTTCTTCACTAAGTCGAGGCTTTTGTGGGTCCCTCATGTGTTCGAATTCCTTGTCTAGTTCCATCTCGAAATCATCTGCTATTTCGTCTGGACGGGGAGGTAGCCTGATGCCGTCTATTTCTATCATAGATGATCGCGACTGTTGACCCGGTAGTTTGGGTAGAGATGCATAACCTGATCATGACTTCAGCTTAACGTTACAGCATGATTTCGAATGAGCGTACTTCTAGCTAGTCTCAGAAACGCACGCTGAGAGCGGGTAAGAAATTCTGGCGACCGGCGTGTTGTCGCATAGCCCGAGACATAAACAAGTAAGTCATATGCATCTGCAAAAAGTGGGCCTTTGAGCCGAACGAAGCTAGCACAGCAAGAGCACTACTTACCCTCATCCTCATGCTCACTCACAAGCCACTGAGATACCCAGCCAGGAAATAGAGTCACTTCGTCCGTGGTTGTCACGTCTGATCCGCTCCATCTGATTTTCTGACCCGCCCACTGACTCCAGCTCTGCATCGTCGTCCGCCCATCAACGTAACCGTTCTCTCCTGGTTTGAGCGCTCGGCGAGCTGGTATAAACGTGCGAAGGTTCTGTTTGGAAATGAAGGATTTCAGGCAAGCCAGACGCGAAGACGGGCAAGGGTTACTTGCAGACATTGGTCTCTTCATAAAAGCTGTCTCCAGGTGGTTGCATCAAGGCGTTGAAGCTGAAATCACCATTTTGTTACTGGCACGAGGTTTACTTAGGTCCACTGCAGGCGCCTAACATGTAAGCCGGTAGGGCAGTTGGCATGCAGGCACGGCGAGTGACATATGCGTGACTTCATTTTGGATTCAAGTTTATTCACCGGACTGGCATCTGCTTGAATGCGGACCTTCACCATCTTCCCTCTGAACAGACAAATTTTATTGGTTAATAATTTAGTACAACGAACACAATCGTATCACAGGACACGATACATGGATATCACACAAGAGCTAAAACAGGCGGACAAGGGTGAAAAGAAGGGTCCATCTCCAAAGCTTAGGGGACACCCTCGTGATGATCCACGGGTACGTGTATCAAAGAGCCTGAGCTGGCTGCTGCGACATGGAGCAAAGAATGCAGGATTGGATATGAGAGATGACGGATATGCCAAAGTCTCGGATGTGGTGAGTTGTATGAAACTTGTTAACGTTTTGTAGCATTGACCACTTTGGATAGCTCTCGAATCCCATGTTCAGAGACGTCAATTTCTCTCAGTTGCAAGAGATCGTTAGAAAAGACCAAAAGCAGCGATTTCACCTTCTATTAGAGCCTCGGTCATCTGACTCACCGTCTGACATATGGTGGATCAGAGCAAATCAGGGGCATTCCTTGAAGGTATATAACTTATACTCAAACGAATGTTTGATTTAAATATCTTGATCGCAGACTGTCACGCTGGACATGCAGCCTATTACATCCGCATTAGATGTACCAATGGCTGTTCACGGCACAACACTTAATGCTTGGGAGTTCATAGGTGAATTCCCGTCTATGAGGTGGCTTGTCCTTCTAACATATATCTGTCAGCTACGCAAGGCCTATCCAAAATGAAGCGAAATCACATTCATCTTGCCCAAGGCATTCCAGGAGATAATGTCATGAGCGGTAGGTGAAATCTCATCTACACGCGTTCTCTGATTTACGCACTATAATAGGGATGCGCAACTCCTCGCAAATTTTGATTTTTGTTGATGTGCAGAAAGCCCTTGATGCTGGTGTTCGCTTCTACTTGTCCGCTAATGGCGTTGTCCTGACAGACGGCGACGAAGGGTTCCTATCACCAACCTATTTTCAGCGGGTGGAGTTTGCCAAGGGACGCTCGCCGGTACCAGGATGGGAAGGGGCAGGACCAGTTGTACCACGGGCATCACTCAATCAGTCCTCGCTACCCATCCAAGGTCTTCAAGTTGCACAGTCAGATTCAGGTACAAGTGAATCTACATAGTTTGCATTCAAAGCGCTGGCACGCTTTGCTTCAGGATTTTTCGATACTGGATGGCATATCATTCTCGCTCCTCCACAATGTCTAGTCACTTCTCCATGTTGTCTTGCAACTCTTCTTCCTCTAGAATTTTTCGTGACACCTTGCTTCGAGCACGAATCCTGGACCCATAAAAGAAAAGTACCTGGCCCCCAATTTAATAACGACCTGACAGGTAGCTAGTTTTGTCTTACCCATGGTATGGGCACTAGCGCAGCACCTACACATCCGAACAGGGTCAGACCCCACCTATACGTCAAGCGAGCAAACATCTGTGTCGTAAAAAGAGGAAAGATTGATGCGGCCAAATTTCCTGGCGATTCATGGTGTCAAAAAGTATTTGACAGTCGTGCAAAAGACGAACTCACGACATAGGCTTTGGCCTGCAATGGCTGACGACTGCATATGTCCCATAGCTATGATATTGATGAGTTTCATTCAATCGTGCAGGTCAAAATATTTTCACCAATCCGCAAGATACAAGAAGACCACCATGTAAATCACAAATCCGCCGGACATGAATATCTTGAGAAATGTCAGTCTCGCAACTGTGACGGAGATGCGTAGGACAAACAGTGAGACCGATTGCTGGCGCTATCCAATGTACTTCCGGTCTTGCTGTCCAAGCGTAGATGAATATCCCGATTGGTAGGAAGAATGCCGCAACACAAGGAAGATAAAGACGCGCTTCCTGACGTTTCCTGAGGATAATGTTTTCTAATTCGAGCAGGTCGATGATCCATAGATGTGCAATGTAGTCAGCACATGCTTACTGATATAACTTTTCCTGATAGGTGTTGGCCAAGTATCCAATGAAGCTCCCAACTCTAAGCCGGACAATAGTAAATTATCATCACGAGTTCCAAAATCTGTCGACTCACATGAGGGTGCTGAAAATAAATCCTGTGTCCTGTATGTTAAATCCGTAGACCGCCTGGAACTCAGCGGAGACAGACCTATACCTGGGTTAGACGGTAAGCACAACAATATGGAACGGCGTACTCTATAAGAGCAAAGACTACACCCCATGTAAAGCCAATCCACAACTGCGTGAAAGAAACACTCCTGTTTAGCTCTGTCTCTAAAAAGTAGCTGCAGAGCCTACACTGAAACCCTGGACGATAGGCTCCGTCAGCAAGAGGTCTGAAAAAAGAAAATGTCAGCTGGTATGTGTAGATCATTGGTGAAATTTGCTGACAAATTGGTCGTGTGCAGGAAATCTTGATCAAAGTGCTTAATTTTTGTTTTTCCATTTCTGCCTTCGCTTGGTATCTATCATCTCCTGTCTCTCTTCGCTTCTTTCTTGCTAGTCGGGTTAAAACTATGGTAGCGCGCGTTTCTTTCATGAGCAACACAACCGAGATGAAATAAGCCCCTGTAAACCTGCAGGAAAATCCAGTCAATGCAATATGCGTGATATGTTCCAAGGGACTAACATAACATGAATCCACTGAATCCATCTCCATCCAAGGCGAGGGTTTGCCTCTATTACACCAGCAATTACAGGCCCAAGGCCTGTTCCAACCACAGCAACAAGAGCGAAGAATGCCATAGGTTGTCCACGCCTGTGAAAATAGCTGTAGCGATCAAACAAGTAAAAATCTCAAAATGCCCAACTCGTGTTGTTTCCATACGTCGGCGACCGAACCACCCACCAAGGTTGCACCTGTTGAGCCGAATGCGCCCCCGAGCAGACGTCCAAGCATGACGGTCTGTATGTTCGGTGAGCTGTAATAGTCTGAATCAGCGTCACGTTCGTGAAAAATGAACTTACAGGGCAATCATAATTTCCGTAAGCATGAATCCAAATGACGAGACGATGTATATATTCAGGCGACCGAATTCTTCCGTGAAGGATGAAGTGATGAGAGGAACGGTGCCAAATCCGATTGACCACATGCTCAATCCGACAGTGGCCTGGAACTGAGTGCAGTTCAGGTCCTGCATCATCGACTGGTATCCCATCGAAAAAGAGGCCGACGCTGCGGCTAGAGACACAAAATTCTATCAATTCTCTGATCGCTCCATGGCGTAGATTAGATTACCGACTATCCCGGTAAAAGCACATGCCACCAGTGTGATCATCCACTTTGTTTTGTATGAAAAATTCATGGGATCCCGTGTGTCATTATCCTCGAAGGTTACCTGTTATTCGTTAATAATAACATTGATTGAGGCTGAAGGTGCCAAAACGAAAAGGTACTTGCGAGAAATTTATCATCGTCTTCGGACATACGAGTCATTGACGAAGGAGAGTTGATTATGTCATGTTTTTCTGATTCTTGTACGGTCGCCATGAGCTTGTGGTGAATGTCGCAGGGCAATGGGGGTACGAGTATGTATCCAATTGTATTTTCCAGCTATTTTAAAAGTCTAACATTATGGCGCGACTTCTCTCATGACTAGGAAAAGTCACGAGCCCACACTGGCACAGAGATAGGCCATTGGCCGAAGCCCTGTCTAAATGCATAGTTAGCTCAGGTTGATAATCTCAAGCTATCCTGAGCCCGAGAAAGTCGACCCTGTGTGTGAACGTCAATGTGAATTATAAATCGGATTATCGGACAGACACAAGACACAAGCCTAAGTTTACGTTGGCATTTGAGCTCATTCGAGGCATTCCTAAGTTTCCTGAGTGCGGACAGTGAAGACAGCGCTCTGACGGCCGTCAGGGACTCAGATACCGGCACGTTCGTCCGAAGGAGCAACATTTTGACTTTTTCGGATCAGTGGCCAGGAAAGCGCTTGTTTCGGCAAAGTGGCAAATAGATGTGCCCGTGATGATGCGCGGCAGCCAGCTCGAGGCTATATGAGCCTGCGAACGAAGATGGCTATCATGACGCTGGGTCGAATACGAAGGGCTGCTCCAAGATAAACTCTTGGAATGCATCCTACATGCTACTTACCTCGATTATATGTGTTCTCAGACAAGTCGTGCACAATGGCTTATAAGCAGTTCATGATCGAACGAGGGAGTGCAATCGCCAGCTGAGAGCGCGGGAGGCGCTCGGTGATAAGTTTCTGAGGTACCGATTTGGGAAATGTAAGTCTGACGGAACAATCATCCTGCTCAGGACTCGGCCGTGATATGCGACATATGACAGCACAAGCGTCTCTGTAAGAGGAATATTGTGATGCCCAGCTAGTCACCGCGTTCAAGTTCTGCAGTACTGAGTACATACAGGGAATATAAAATACAACTTGACAGACACAACAGAATTGTTTGCCAACGCCATACAAGACCAAATAGAAGAACAAATAAGCTATGTACTAGTACTTTTCCCTCAAGGACTGTAATCCATCGCGACGCAGATCATTGTCATGACCACTCGTAGACTTTAAATTTGTGCTCGCCTCATAGATTTTACTGGATCACAGTAGATTACTAGTAGATCTGCTCTCAAACACCGCATCACTCACTATTTGTTGAAATCCATTAGTAATATGTCTGAAGTTCGTATCTCTCTGGTGTCATGATAGAAAGCCATATCCTACTTACTGACAGTGAGGGCATTTCTTAATGGTGCTAAACTTGTGCCGAGCCGCAGCTCAGCAGGTCGGCACTATTCGGGGTTTGCCATCAATCCTGCAATCATATTCATATTTACAAGCATCCATCCAATCGATATATAAATTGGTCATGATTTTAACTTGTTCATCTACTAGCAGAACTGACCCCAGTCAACTGCAATTCCGTGGAGTTTGAATCAAATAGCCCTCTTCCCCTACTCCTACTTGTAAGTCGCATCTAAGTTGGTGATCTTTTTTGGGGTGCTCCCTGTTGCTGGGACCGCGACCTGTTCGCTACCTCTTATGTCACTGCATAGAATGTTACATGACAGCTTCCATTGATTGTAGTATGTATGGAACACGCGCAATCCAGCAGAACCCTGCAGGACCTTGGTTGTCGGGGAAGTCCGTTCGTTAATTGGGACAGAGCTTTGTTTATGTTATGTGATACGTAGCCCCTTTCTGCAGAAGTTCACTGACAACGTTGACGTCCTGCTGACGTTTTTCCCTTTTCTATGGGCCGCAGGGTATTCATTTTGCTTATCACAAACAGTCCTTTGAATACGAACTCCGGATCCGCAAAATCCCCACAATATGTCTACGAAATTCCGTAAGAATATCAATACCTGACTTCAGTGGTCGTAATGATTAGCGGCCCATAATCCCTGAAGCTGCTTATGTACATTCTTGTCTTTTCGAAGAAGTGCCACCTGCTTTTGTCCTGTTTATGACCTCAAATTTTCCGTGAGACATGATAACCGAATGGTATTGAAATATTCATGCTCACTCAAGCTTGCAATACAACGAACCATACACACAAACACCAACCAACTAACTGGAGAGCTATGTGTAGCCTCTCATTTACACGCAATTGGACGACATATCACGTACATCCGACATAACGATACAAGCGGTTGACAGAAAAAGATGGTAGAAACGAGTATAAACAGTAGAATGCTGTTCATCCCCCAGAAAAATGCTCTGCAAATATTGTATCGGTAATGCCGACCCCTACTTAGAATATGAACAAGAATAGAGCTGAAATACCCGGGACAACCACGAAACCCCTCTCGCAGCAGAAACACGTCCTGCCGCCTACATAGTCTCTGCCCTCTACCAAGCCGCGCTCTCACCACAAACAAAGCTATGTGAATACCGTGTTCGACTGGCTGTAATTGTGCCAGGTGCATAAAGGCAACTTAATATAAGAGAGACAACTTGCACGAAACTGGGATAGGGGTCGCTAAAGCATACAGGCTGATTTCCTATTTTAGTTGCCTCAGAGTTGAGCAATCCTCTAAGTGGTCTATCAGTTAAAAAACTTGAAGATGTATGGTTTGAATACATACCCGACGATAGTGATACTTCACTGTCTCCTCATCACCACGAGGATCAGGCGAAGCCTGTATCATGCCTAATTGCTTGCCCCGCTCATCTATATCCTTGGAGGGATATTCTTTACTACCTGTTTCGTCCCTGACCACGGAGAAGAACAGTAAGGTGAACCACAAACACTCGTACATTGGTGTGTACATGGGTGCGAATCTGGCGATGATCTCGATGAGCACAGCAAATTGTGCTGCTGACATGTGGGTGTCTTTGAGGGTGTTGAGAACTTTGTATGGTCCATACGCCTCTTCAGCTATGCGCTCAAGTCCACGCCATGTTCCAAGCACAGGCATCATGAGATTTTGTATGGCTGGGTGATAATATTCACGGCTCTTTCCCGTATCTTGCATGACGTTGCCGGAAGAGGGTGGGGACTTGAAGGGGAATTGGGATGGGCAGTGCTTAGATAGGTCCAGGTCCCGTGGAAATAGCGATCGTACAAGACCGGTTGGCTCTGCTAAATGGAAATCTAGTGTCAACCCCGTTTCGAAGCTTGTGCCGTCTATCTCTGTGATGAAGTGTGCAATGAGGAATTCATGAGCTTGTGATTGCAAAGTTTTGCAATGTTGAAGTTTTTGCAGGAACGTGGACTCTTTCGAGATGACAAGATGCAGACTAAGAACCTCGCCAGTCCAGAAAGTGGCGTTGGTTCGGTCATCAAAGGGAAAGGGAAAAAAGGTTCAGATTTTGGGAGGGAGCGGATCAGGCGGATCCTCCGACGTGCCCTTGAAGATTTGAAAGAAATTCTTGACCGCTGCAGAAGCTTGTTGTAGAATGTATTCAGTCATGGTTTCGTTGAGAGCTTAGTGTGATACTTAGGGGACTTTTAAGGGGTGGTGTGACCCGTGACGTTACTTTGAAGCCGCATACTATAATCTAGAGCTGGCTCCTTGAAAGCTGGACCCATCATTATATCAGAACGCGCAGCATATCACCCTCATATTACACTGGTCAGGACTTCTCGCAGTTCATTCAGCAATGTCCCTTTTAATAGGACACAGCTTCATAAACAGGTACCGCCATGGACCCTCTGAAGCAATAGTACACCGAGCTCAATGGGGTCCTTTCTCCGCGACAGAGCAGGAAGACCGTCCGCATCTTTTGAGATTGTGTCGGAAGGAATGTTTAGTGTTCTTGGGTGCTCTATGCCCAGCCCCGATCTGCTTTTGATCGACGTTTTGCAGGCAGGTGTATATCACGATGCAATGATTCTGCACGCTATTGCAAAGGTGGGAAGGCACGGAGCCGCTGCTGCACGACATCCAGGACAAGGCCGTGTACGAGCTGAAAGCAGCTGGTATTCTCATGAATTCTGCAAAGTTGTTTGTGATGTGTGCTATCACTGGGCGCGGGTTGATACGTATTGCATCGACCAGAATAACAACATCGAGGTCTAAAATTCACTCAACTCTATGTTTGTCTAGTCCTGGGCTCCTGGCACCTGGCACTTGGTTGGTAATTAGGGTCAGAGCATCAGAATGTGCAGTGAAACATTATTTGAATGTTGCGATACTCACCTGGTTTCTTGGAGAATTTGGACCACTGCATGATAGATGACGTTCCTGGATATCCCCAGTGACAAGTCGATAATCAAATGCAGTTTGACTGCGATGAGAGCCTGCAGAGTTAGTAGAACTGATGGAAGTGTTACACCGATACTTATGAGGTGCAGATTCCTATGAGATGGATGCGGGAGAGGGATTAATGAACGATAAAAACCGAAACAAGTCTGCCCAGAGTTTGCAAAGCTGGAAACTAAGATGAGCGACAGGCAGCGCGCTGGAAGGAACATTGGGAAACCTCTAAAAAAGGTTGAATACAAGTGTTTGGATTAAGCTGGAAAGTCAGAAACCAAGGCGGAAACTCGTCCGTCGCAGCACTAGTGCCACTGTTGGATTCGGCTGCATCCGATGCACACGTAACAGATCTCATCGACTGGATGAAAAAGGGATATTGCAGTAGGTTCATTTTCGATAGAGAAGGGACGATACACACAAACGGTGACCGTTCGGACAGGTTGCACGGAAACCTGCTGGATTAGTTGCTCGGCATGAGAAACAAGGTATTATTCATGCTACTGTCCAAGATAGATGACGTTCACGACACTAGTTATATTTGACGGACCTCAGGCACTATCAGCCGGATCGCTAGACTTCACAATTTGGATGCAATGGGATACGCGTTGGATGTGCAGAGGTGCAGGGGATGTTATGCTGTCCAGGGAGTATATACGATAGCAGTGAGTATTCTTGTTGCAACCTTAATGGAGGTGTAGAGGCGAACGGGGTTCGTATCCTAGGCGTCTATGGGAACACAAGGTAGGTCGATGGGGTGAAGTTACATAGAGACGCACCATGCACACACCTCTGTAGTCTAGGAAAATGACACCTACAGTCCTCCCAAAGTCCATCTCGATTGTGCTCTACACCATTGACATCCAGTAAGATGTCGAAGCTCATTCCAGAGCACCACATTCCTTTGAGTTTTTGAAGATTATGAGAGTAGTGTAACCGGAGCGGCAGTTTTTCCTGATAGACGACAAATAATAACGAAGTTGTATGACAAGACGGTTCGGTTGTGGGACTTGCAGACAAGTGTTATGCTGAAGAAGATTGAGGGGGCACCGCAGTGAGGTGCGGCCATTGGCGGTGTGGCGATGGTGAGGAGATTCTGAGCCTGTACCACGAAATTCAGTTGCATCTGTTGTACATAGGGATCTTGGGAATCCACGGGATGCATAGATGAAGAACTGATATAACGGTAAGCTATATGCACGCGTTCGAAGGAGTGACATGGTGGTGTGCTGGAGTAGCTGCTAGACACGAAACACAACAATATTCGTGCGGTCATCAGGATAGATAGTGAGATTGAAGCGCTGAGGAGCACCGACTGCTCGATTGGATACGACGTGATGAATTCTGGAAGCTTTAGAGTTGAACGCATGTATGCCCTGAGGCACTGGGAGGGTATACTGTGAAGGACGGCGGGTATGACAATAGGGAGCATCCCTGCCGTAACGGTGATGGAAGTGCGGAGGCGAACAGCTTCATGTCCTGGGCGTCTATGATACACGAAGCAGGTTGACGCAATGAAACAGCATAAAAGGCACAATACACGCACCTCTGCAGAAAGATACCCACAATCCTTACAGAGCCCACTTCGACCGCGCTCAACACCAATAACCTCCAGTAAAATGTCGAAGCTCATTCCAATCACCACACCCCTGCGAGTATTTAGAGGCCATGAAGATGACGTAGATGCAGTCGCAGTTTCCCCGACAAACGACGAATGGTTACTGGCTCATGGGACAACACACTTCGTCCGTGGGACTTGAAGACAGGTGTTGTATTGAGAAGATGGAAGGGCATCGCACTGGGGTGTCGAAACTGGTAGTATCACGAGATGGGCGATTGATAGCAAGCGGTGATGAGGATGGAGTGCTCATCGTCTGGCACGGAGAAACTGGCAAACTTCTCATCCAACACAATATTAAAGACACCTCATTGGATTTTTCTCCTGATGGGACAGTGCTGGCCACTGGTTCATGAGACGGAATGACGATACTGTGGAATACCCAAACCTGGGAGCAAGGAGATGTGGTAGTCATGTCGACTGCGTACAGTATTCACCGTTTGGAAAACATATTGCAGTCGCAACAGAAGCCGATATTCAAATTTATAATTCAGGCACGAGGGAACGCGTCGCATCCTTCAAGGGTCACAGCATCAGAGAACTTGTCACTTGCATGGACGCCTAATGGCACACGCCTTCTCACAAATGACGATGGTCACGATTCGGCCATATGCGAATGGGATACAGCAACCTGGCAGCAGGTTAGTGATCCCTGGACGGACCACTCCGACTCGATGTATACCTTTGCCGTTAATCCTGCTGGCACACTCGTCGCATCCCTATCTAGTTCCAACCATGTCCATCTCTGGCGGTTATCAGACCGACAACCATTGCTATCTTCAAGCACTCATGCTTTCCAACATGTGTCACTTTTTCCGTGGACGGCAAACATCCTCAGCGGAGGTGAAGATATGATGCCCGTATGGCATGCATAGATGAAGACTTATCTACGGCTGAAGAATTACTCACGCAAGATATCAATACCGATCCCAACAACCATACTTCCTACGCCCATCGCTCATTCGTGATGGCGCGAAAATACGACTGGAACCACGCGCTTTCAGATGTAATTGAGGTAACATATATTGATTGATCAGAGCCCCCCATGAAAGGCTAACTCGATAGTGACATAGTCCATCAGCATTCAGTCCTCCTTGACAGGCTATATTTCCAAGGGAATCGCCCTCTGGAAAAGGCCACGTTCGGGAAGCGAGGGCAGCATTTGATGTTGCATCCATGTACAGACTAAGATTCAGAAACCATTCATTTTCTGCTCTTGATCAGGGTATGTTACGTTTACTTCGCATACTCTCTGCTTCATTGCACATTTCAGGTCGTCTCCCTCTTTAATGCAGATCAACATGACGAGGCAATCCTGCTCCTCAAAGAGCTCACTACCGGTTGTCCGAATGCCGATACCCGAGCATGTCATATCGTGCAAGTAAGTATCATGCAGCCACGTTTGGTCATAAACGCTAATCTTTGCGATCTCGCATATTAGGCATATCTACGTGTTCAACTCGGAATCAAGGCCCTAGATGGTGCACGTCACGAGGAAGCTGCCGACTACTTCACTGCCACTATCGACTCCGGCGCTTTCTCATCGAAACCGGACATTCATGAAATATACGAGGACTTGGTCGTGGTGCGTTAAGATGATGCGTACATAATATCTTTCATTAGTAACTGAGTGTCTTTTCCAGCTCCTCGGCTGGGATCTCAAATTCTTGTGTTTCACTGCACACCAGAAACGGTGCCAGGCTTTCCTTTCCGCAGGCAAGCCCAATGATGCCCTCGAATCATACGAATCTATGGTGTACAACATTGATGAAACTACGGAGGCCAGCTGCCTCGACTGGTCCTACGACAAGTCTGGAGTTCGTAATGTCGTGCAGGCTACAATACTCACCCGCATTTCACTCAGCTTTCGAGCAAGAATGCAGCTCGCTCTGTCTTACCAACGGACATGCTGCCCTCACTGCAAGCAATTATGACAGGGCTGTTGACTTATACTCGGTGGTAATCGACCTGGATACATCCGATGCCGTCCTTGCTTTTTCAAATCGTAGTAACGCAAAGTTGGAGAAAAGCTGTGGATGGAAGCACTTCTCGATGCACAGAAGGTGCGATGGTACCTACCCGGGTCATTTCGTAACTAATAGCTGACTTTGGCAATACGTAGGTCATCCAACTTGACCCTTCGTCTCATGCTGGATACAAGTTGAAGCATGCGGTGTTTCATGACGCACAGCGCTATGATGAAGCTATGGTGGCTTTCCAAACGATGCTGTCAGGATTGGATAATGCTCCCGACACTTAGACATGAAGTAAGCCCCAATAAGTCAACGTGCTTTAACTTTCTGCAGAGTTGCGCCAGCAGTATCTCAGTCCATCCGAAGTGGATCGTGCTATCCAAAAGGTCATTGATGCTCAACTTGACGATGCTCCGCTGCGTGTACTGGACACCACCACCGGTCTCTCATGTGATCGAGAGGCCCAGATATGTATCTTTAAGTCGAGCATAGAGTATAGAGAGCTCGTATCATCGACATTCACGCATCGAGATATTCAAATGAAGGACGTCGAAAAAACAGTGATGTCATACTTCCGTCGAACGGATCGAGATTGGAAACATGGACACGAGAGTCCATGTAAGATAGATCAACGTAGTGATGGCAGACGCACCCTTCGACTGTCACTAAACACTGTGGATAGTGGTTCTAATGAAAATCACTGGAAAATGCTCTGATGCTGAATATTTCAGAGTAACATCCACTGAAATTGCATGCAGTTAATTTCATTGGAGCACTGATTCTGAATTTCAGTGGAAAAATCTACTGAATCAGAATTCAGCACCAATGAGTATGTATTCAAATAAGTACACTCCAATTCTACTAGCATGTAGTTCAGGAGATCGATCTAGTGTGGATCTGTTATCGGACATCAATGCCTCAGTCACCCAGCTGCAAGTCTCTTGTATATATTGGTGTAATTGTCTATACATACCAGAGGACTTGTGGCTTAGTGGTAAGAACACTGCGTACAATTGCATGAAGTCTTTCGTTCAATCCCTGCCAACTGCAAATTATCCTGTGTCACAGGCGGTCGTACTAAGGTGTATATGTAGTCTGGTTCAATAGTTTTGCCCCATTGTCATTCTAACATGAATTCAGCACATCATTTCAGAATAAAATTTCAAAGTAAAAAACAGCAATTTCAGCACCCTGATTTCAACACCTAATGCTCTGAGTTTCAAACCATTATCATATGATTTCATCCACTGAATTTCACTGGAACTACTATCCACAGTGTAAATGTTAGTTTTAGCGACTTACCAATAATTCACCACTTCCTCATCAAATCATGACGATCATACGAATCAGTTTAGAGCCACTCTTTTGTATGACTTCACTCACAAATCTACAACAAGCAGATTTCTTGGATATGAAAAGGACAAACAAGATCTCTAGACGCAAACCGTGATTTCTCAGGGATAGAATTATATGTCAGAATACTACCATTTAAACAGCATTTGTTATTGCACGATCTCCAATCCCAGTGTCCCTCCCCTGCAAAGATATCAGTTGGCAAAAACACGGTGCTCATCATGGAACTATTGTACAAAACATCAAGTACCCGAGGGATGTTGCTATTCGTCAACTAGATGTTCGCAACAAGGACCGCGTCCGCGGAACCTGGACAAACGTGAAGTTCTTCATATAGCAGATAACCACTTACGCTATATAGCTTAGAATTAAAGTCTACCCCGCAGGTTAACTCACTGTTGGACGGTCTAGATGACGTCAGCGAGATTCCCAGCTGGGTCTAATAAACTCTCGAGAAATACTAATCATAAAGTGATCTGTTTAGTACTCGTCTTACACCTCGAAGACCAACAAGCCAGGCCTCGAGAATTAAGCGCTCGTCAGGCACTGAAGCACTCGGAACCGCAAGGAGGATATTTCATTACAACTCATCCACTTCGACGTGGGGTTGAATAAGTGAGTCAACAGGAGCATGAACAGGGCCACCCCATTCGCTGCAGATTTGGTTAGAATACCCAAATCATCACGAGCACGACAGTCCACTCACAAGGCCCGTCGACATCATGGATGCGGGCGGTGAAATACTTTGGTATGGGCCACCGTCGTTCTACATTCACGATGTAGAAATTTCATGGATTGTTTCATCCTCGTCAACATGCATCAATTGTAATTCACGATGGAGATGGTACAGTGTGTTGAGAACAACTGACCGATAACGCAGAACCCAACACATGGTGATTGGGGTCAGAGTATTAGGTAGAGAAAGTTAATGTACCAAAAACGATCGCTTGGAAGCTATGATGCACACTTCACTGCATGATTGATAACGTTCCTGAACACCTGCAGTGACAGGTCAATCATTACATACAGGGTTCACATAGGCGAGAGTTCGCAGAGGGTAATGACAATGACGACCGTGTCGCATCACTAGTTGTATAGTGCAGAATTCCAATTCCAATGAATTCAGGAGCGAATTGGCGAGGCAGCAAATGAAACCAGTTGGCGGATCTGACGACTCGGATGAGCGACGAGCAGAGCGCTGGGAGTAGGGCTATGACACCTTTGGAAAACATCATGACACGGGTGGGACGCGCACGCGCAGATCTTGGGAATCGATGGGGTGTAGAGGTGGAATTGCCATATGCATGTGTTCAGACACGTTACATGGCAATATACTGGAGTAGCTGCAGGACACGAGAAAGAATGATATTCATGCGACCATCCAGGATAAATAGCATTCGAGCACCTGGAAGTAGTGACTGCACTGTCATAATTGAATGGGTAGGAGGGGATGCAGTTTCAGAAACTGTGAGGACAAGAACCGGATCCATGTGTGCGCTGCAGAGGCGCTGGGAGGGTATACTGTCGAGGAAGGTGGTGTGACAATGGTGAGTATTCTTCCTGTAGCAGTGATGGCCTCGTGTCCCGGGGCCTGGTCATCTATGAAAATGAAGCAGATTAACGTGATGAAGCAGCATAAAACGCACAATACATGCACCTCTGCAGCCGATTTAGAAAAAACAACCGTAATATTCCCTCCAAAGTCCACCTCAACCGTGTTTAGCATCATCAACCTCCAGTAAAATATCTAAGCTCGTTCCAAGTACCACAGTCCTTCGAGAGTTTGAAGGTCGTGAAGAACGCGTAAACGAAGTTGCAGTATCCCCCGATCAAAGACGAATGGTCACGGGCTCGAACGACAACACACTTCGTCTCTGGGACTTGAAGACAGGCGTTACGTTGAAGAAGATAGAAGAGCGAAGTAGTTGTGGTTTTGACATTGGCGGTATCACGGGATAGGCATAGACTGGTGACCAGCCCGTCCGTTAGGCAAGCCGTCGATAGACCTGGCAAATCATAGCAAGTGGTGATCTGATAGAAGAGGTCATTGTCTGGCGCGGAGAAACTGGAAAACTACTCACTGGCAACCCATCAAAAGTCAACTTCAGTCACTTCCAAACATCCTCGCTGGACTTTTCTTTGGATGGTACAGTGATTCAATGGTTGCCATTGTTTCCTGATAAACCGATGATACTGCAGTGCAAGCTAATTTAACCCGGGAAATCCGATCGAGTGCGGTCAACTGCCTTCGGTATTGGTTTCCTTCGTACGAAATATTATCAGGAGTCCCTGTTCCTCTGGCTAAACGTTAAGTTACCCGCGCGGTCTACGCCCACCGCTCAGTCTGTAAATTTCTCACGGTCGGTGCTAGCACATAGGCCCCCTGAAGCTCTTCCCTCAGGTTTGTCCTAACTTCAGATCTTACCTGCCATATCTCGAATTCGAAAACGGACTGATAGGTTCTTCTCCATTCTCCCCTGTGAGAATGGTCATCTGATATACTTGGTGGAGTTCAGCCTAGCTCAATCTGACGGTCACTAGTACTTGAATAGACTTGAATGCCAGTCTAACTAACCAAACAGGATGTCACTGACGCTCAGTGCTCAGGTGCACCCTCTCTATTAGCGCCGCGACTCGGAATGATGGTAGCGACAATCCGTTTAGATACCTACCGCGCACTTCAATATGCTGCAAGACTACGAGTCTTATAGCTATAACTTCCGTTGGGCATGAGTTTGTCAGTATAAAACAAGGATCCGATTCTTAAATACCAGTTGAAGGACCGTCCAGGTCCAAGAGAGGCTGCCCATTGCAAGTAATAAGTTGCGACCCTGAAACGGTAACTTTCAGTAGCTACATCATAGCGTTGCAAGTACTACAGCCTGGAACCAAATCATAGTGCTGCGTGCTGCATGTGTACAACATACGGAATCGAGTTTAGTGCGCCGTCGGCTTGAAGAACAGCAGTGCGATGAATGTCAGTGGTCACCATGTACGGGGTCGTTTCTAGTACAAAGCGTCGGTTTGTGATATATCGGGTTTGGGCGCGCTGAAAGGACGATGCGAACTTGGCACCCGTTAGTACAGTATTGATTACGTGATGACCTCCACCATTGCAGGAACGGTCAGAGCTGCCAAGCTTGATGACTTGGCTGTGTGATGTCAAAACCACGACCATCCTGGTGGTTACCCTTCCGTGACCGGCATATCAGTTTCATTCCAGTGCTTGCTAGTGAGTCTTGTTCAACTACTGCCATGTCAGAGCTAGTACTAACGGCTTCAAGCCACATAGAGGCTTTCCGAGTCAAACTTGAATGTCCGGATTGCTTCATTTGATATGCAGCATGTGCTTTGGTCCGCCGAAAGTGCGGGCAGAAAACCACCAAGGTTCAAATCTAGCACCATGATGTTCATTCCATTGGTCCTATGAGGCAGATCATCGCATGAACTTTCCAGGTCCCCTCAAACTGCAACTATCAGATCACGGTGCGTCACTTGTTGTCAAGCTTTGGACCGGAGAATTTGATTTAAAGCCACTGACCTGGGCCTATACGAAAGATTGGACACATGATATATTTTTCGCAACGTGCACTGCTTGTCTTTTCGTGCATCCAGAGTAGTTTGTGGCTGCTCTAGCAACCCAAACTTTAACTCCACTGTCCCTCTACTTAAAATGCCACCACAGGCTTGTTGCTCGATCCAAATATAAGAAGTCGGCATACGATTTGTCTATTCCGTTACCTTCGAGTTGACCTCTACGTCTGCTGTCAAGGTTCAGCAGCATACTCTATATCACCCTGCTCATAATGTTTCTCCATATTGTCCTCACTGGCTGTCTTCTTGCCTCGTCACATGCAGCGTCGATAACTTCAAGATCCAACTCTGAACTCTCGCAGCGTTCACCACCTAGCGCGCCCCCGTCCACAATCGGACCTGTCGCTGAACTTACTATCGTTAATAGAGTAATCGCGCCCGACGGCTTTGAACGGTCGTGAGTTAATGCCTACATGTTCTCCTGTATCTCTTTATCTTCTTCCTGTACAGGGCTACACTCGCAGGAGGGATTTTCCCTGGCCCTCTCATCAAGGCGCAAAAGGTTCGTGCGAGCATTTTTTTTATGTCTAAAGCTGAATATTTCGAAGCACGACAACTTTAGCATCAATGTTGTGAACCAATTACAGGACAAAAGCATGCCTTTATCGACGAGCGTAGTATGTACTTTACTCTTTCTACCACTGTAAGGTCTCTGAGACCCTTCAAGCACTGGCATGGTATTCATCAAGAGAAGACGAACTGGGCGGATGGTACCTCGTTCATCACTCAGTGTCCGATCCCTCCAAATGGTTCTTTCCTCCACCAATTTAGCGCACCCAACCAGACGGGAACTTATTGGTTCGTACTCCCCATTTTCTAAGGAGGAGCAATGCTAAAGCATGTCGTACGGCAGGTATCACTCGCATTTTTCCACCCAATATTGTAAGTGCCCCTGATTATCTTCACGACCTTTGCTACACAGCTTTACGTCCAGGTGATGGTCTTAGAGGACCACTTGTCATATATGACCCTGATGATCCACACAAAGACTTGTATGACGTAGATGACGGTTCGTATCCTTGCTTTCATGTTTAGATCGATCATTGACTAGTGTTGGCACAGAGAGCACAGTACTGACGCTTTCCGACTGGTACGAGTTGGCTTGTCAGCCTTTTGCATTACAATCTTACGAGTTTCTTCAGGTTCCACGATCCCACGACTGTGTTAAATAAGATCCTCGGCGCTGTTACCGACAACTCCACTCTCATCAATGGTCTGGGGCGCTACCCTGGTGGACCAATGTCGCCCCTCTCCGTCATTAATGTCGAGCAGGGCAAGCGTTACCGGTTTCGCATTCTTGGTCTTTCTTGTGACGCATCATATAACTTCACTATCGATGGCCATACCATGACCATCATCGAAGCTGATGGCATCGAAACTGTCCCTGAGACTGTGGATACACTTCCGGTATTCGCTGGTCAGCGCTACTCTGTCGTTGTCCATGCGAACCAGTCTGTGGGCAATTACTGGGTTCGCGCACTGCCCAACATTGGAAATCAATCATTTGCAGACGGCTTGAACCAAGCCATCCTTAGGTACGAGGGTGCGCCCGAGGAAGATCCTACGAGCTCTCCTGGGCCTTCCGTCTTGCCATTCAACGAAGCATCGCTTGCATCTTTGATGAACATTCCGGCCCCTGGTGTCCCTGAGATTGGCAAAGCGGACGTCAGCATCAACTTAGTTGCCGGTAACGTGAATGGCCTCTTCACAATCAACAACGTTTCGTACCATAGCCCCCCGACGCCGGTTCTGTTGCAAATGCTCAGCGGGGCTCAACATCCTTCGGATTTGCTGCCAATCGGAAGCGTATACGAGCTTCCACCAAACAAGGTAGTAGAGATCACCCTTCCCAACACGGGTGCAGCTCCTGGCGGTCCAGTAAGCTTATCCTAGTACTTTTCACTCCTGTTACTCATCATCGTTCTAGCATCCTATGCACCTTCACGGAGTACGTCGTGCTTTTGTTTTCTGTGTCATTCCCCGTTCTAACGCAGCTGACAGCACAAATTTGCCGTTGTTAGAGTTGCAGGCAACAGCACACCAAACTTTGTTAACCCAATCTGGAGAGACACCGTAAGTATGGGAACAGTAGGGGACAACGTTACTTTCCGTTTCGTCACGGACAACGCTGGACCATGGTTCTTCCATTGGTAAGCATTTATTCTCGTTGTATTCCATGATACGCCTCTCATGACGTGCTTACCAGCCATATCGACTTCCACTTGAACAAGTGTGTATGCAGTAGTAATATTTGAGCCATGCACTGACTTCTTTCTAGTGGTTTTGCGGCGGTGATGGCTGAAGCTCGGGATCAACTTCCCATCGTCAGCGCGAGTATTCCAGGTATGAGTGCCGTGCTAGTTATCCCAAGCAAGCTAACTGAACTTTCCAGAAACTTGGGCCTCCCTGTGTCCTACAGACAACCCATATACTAAATCTTACGGTACCTTCAATACGAGCCTCACATAATCGTGCGCTATTATCGAGCACCCTAATTCTTCTCCGACCGCTTCTGCGCGGTAGGTATATCCCTCTTTAAATTGCTACCTCTGGTCTTTAAAAGTTTACCTACACGCGTCTCTCCTTCACATCATAATGATGTGTTGTCGAGCATTTTATTTGCTTTCTTTTGATTTAATAACTTATCTGTGTAGATTATTGGGGCGGGGGGATGCAATACGTATAATCCGGCTGTACAGTATAGCTGTGCTATCTCGAGGGGGTAATGCATTAACCTATTATGGTCGTTTCCGCTCATCGTTGGACTGAGTGTTCAGACTAGTGCCCATGGCAGTGTGCTCACAGGATGCTACCAGTACGACATCACCATAGTTCGAGCAACGAGTCTAAGATTGCCATGAAAGCTGGCTTTGCTATTGGTAAGCTGTCAACTACTGACAACTGCACTGCCCCAGTACTAAGCAGTGACTCACTGTTCTGACAGCTTCACGTGTTAAAACATGAGCACTCCTTGCTTTGTGAACTGCAAACTGCGTTGCCCTTGCACTGCTTGTGTCACGGAAGTCATACGAGGGCGTGGTCCAGCCCAGGAAGTTGATTTGTGGAATCGATCATGCAGCACTTAATGACACATGGTAATTGGGGTCAGTGTCGAATACCGTGATCTCACTTACTCTCGGTAATCCAAGGATTGGGACTATTCGTTCCATGATAGTAGGACTCACTTGTCCAAAAAAAGAATAGGAGTTGTTCGTGATGCATTGAAGGTTTGAGTACAAGTAAGGCATCTGTCGGCACCCTAGTATTACAATAAAAGGACACTATCTACAATCAGCAAAATATTTTTCCATCCTTGAGATCAGAAACAGGGAATATAACTAGATACGGGAGCCATAAACATCCTCTGGTTCGACGCCAGCTTGGCCCTTGCGAGCATTAGCCTGGCCCCACCTTGAAAAAGGTGAGTGAGTAGGTTAGAATATAAGTAAGCTGGAAATATACTTTTTAATACGGATACTTTCAATTTGAATGAAACCCGTGGTATCTGTCGGCTCAAACCCACCGAGCTCGTCCATGGAAGATTGATGCTCATCATACAAACCCTAAAAAGTGGGTAAGGAAACGTGAAAGCCATGAATCAAATTCATTACCTCATCAGAGTAGCGGCCGATAACAACGACATTGCCCTTGTAGAGCTTCAAGCGCACTGTTCCGTTGACAGTACGCTGGCTCGCGGGAATAGCACTGGTGACGAACTCGCGCTCAGGGGTGAAGAAGTGACCATTGTAGAGAATGCGGCCCAGTTCGATAGTTACGAACTGGTCACGGAGAGCACGAACATTGCGGTCGAGCGTGAGACCTTCAATGTCCATATGCGCGACACGTAAAATAGTCGCTCCAGGCGACTCATAACAACCGCGAGACTTGACACCGATGAATCGGTTTTCGACGATATCGATACGGCCGACACCGTGCTTCCTCGCGACAGCATTGAGTGCAAGGAAAATATCGACGGGGTCGGTTAGAGGGGCTTGGTCAGCGATGACAACCTTTACAGGGAGACCAGCCTTGAACTCAATCGAAAGCTGCTCAGGCTCCGCTGGTGCATCCTCGAGAGACGCGGTGAGCTTCCACATATCATTTGGTGGTGTGGTGTTCGGGTCCTCGAGGATTCCTGCTTCATAGGAGATATGGAAGAGGTTCTCATCAGTTGACCATGGTTTTGCAGCAGTCTGTTGCACTGGAATTTGCTTCTCCGCCGCGTATGCAAGTAGTGCTTGACGGCCAGGGAAGCGGTTATAGAACTCTGGACATAAGATGCTTAACGAAAAGTTGTTGTGCTCGAGAAATAGAATCACCAGGAAGCCTCCAAGGGGCGATGACCTTGATATCGGGCTTCAGACCATAGAAGGCAAGTTCAAAGCGAACCTGATCATTCCCTTTGCCTGTACAGCCATGTGAGACATAACTTACAGAACGTTATTGAGCTGAAGTGTGAATAACGAAGGCGAGGCTTACTCGCAACCTTCATTGGCTGCAACGGACATCATACCGCGAGCAATAACAGGACGGGCAAGAGAAGTTCCAAGTAGATACACATTCTGATTATGACAATCAGCGCATGATTAAATGCCCAAAGACGACGATTACCTCGTAGATGCAGTTTGCCTGCACAGCAGGGTAAATCAACTGTGTGACGAATTCGCGCTTGAGGTCCTGCGGGTTGAGGAACAATGAGCGACTGCTAGCAAGACCGCCCACATTGCTGGAAGACTGTCAAACCTCCAAGAAGAATTTCTTTGCACCAACACTGAGTGCTTTCTTTCTAGCTGCTTCGAAGTCCTGACAAACAGTTGATTAATAATAACACAAGACAGTATATGTTAGTACCTCTTCCTGACCAACGTCGGCCATGAAGGCGTAAACTTCATAGCCCTGCTCAATCAGCCACGCCAGGATGCATGAGGTGTCTGCAGATCTTCACGATTATTATGATCTCCTTGCCAAGACACGCGGAGAGTTAATTTACCAAGACCGCCAGAGTATGCAAGCAAAACACGGCCTTGTGCAGGAGGTGACATGATTACAATCGTTGATAAAGCTTTAAAGGACAACAAAAGTTTTCTTTGCAAAACGGTCGATCCCCAGATCGTCGGTCTTTTAAATGTGAATCTGATTATTATCGCGACGATGATCTGCAAAGGGGTCGACAATGTGTCCACACATCGATGACCCCCTCTACCTCGATAGCCGCGGAGTAATAACTGTGACACCCGACTGTCACAAGGCGCGTGCTACTTGCGCCAACACCTTTGTACCACGCCGGCCACAGTTTCACCTACCACGTACGCCAGCAGCCGTTCCGACAATAGCTTAATCACCAGACATAGTATGGACACAAGTTTCCTCTGGGGTTGGGATAATCTCCATTAACTATCATTCTAGCTGTCGCCTCATTATGAATTCACTGGCATTCGAACGTGCACCTGGTCCATCGCGGCGTAATAACGGTTATCGTCGGCCAAATCCTACGTCAGGAGATGCACCATCTAACTCAAGGACCAGTCAGCGACGCAAGAAATCACGCTCCCCGGACGCGTGGAATCCTCAGCTCCAATTTGCCGCGCAAAGATCTGAGCCAGCTCAACCCGAAGGAGGAAAGAAAAAGAAATCGACAACTCCCCTGCCTTTCGATAGCAGGCCCTTTCTTGCACCACTTGACGATGCCAATTTTGAGAGAGGTCGCAAGCACAAGTCCAAATCACGCCAGCAAGGTCGCTCGGCAGTGGAGCACCCTGCTACCGCATCGGCTCTTGCCGCAGAGAACAAGCTCACGAAAGATAGATCCAAGTCGAGAGACTCGACCTACAGACAACCTTCGAAAGCCTCGACATCCGACTCGGAAGGTGTCCAGGCGCTCGTGGACCTTCACCTCGAGTACCAGGGTCCGTTCGCAGCTGCTGAACTTACCAAGCTTAAGCGAGAAATTGAAATGTGGAAGAAAGTGAGTAAATGCACGTAACGACCTTCATCGTCTGACCAAAGATATAGGTAGCCCATGATAATAAGAAGACAATTAAGAAGCAGAATAAGGTTCGTGTATGCGCTTTCCTTTGGCATATTCGTTTACAGTGTGATACATAGATAATTGAAGAGCTTCGCCAGAAAGCAAGTGCAAATGAGAAGGTCAGTGGCCACCACTTGTTGATCCATAAACTTATTCAGGAGAACATTCATGCAGAAACTGAAGGAGACGGAAAGTCAAGTGAGTAAGGCACAAAACAAGGTGAAGAAGTCTGAAGATGTAAGCCTTTGTGGAATCGATGCCCATGATGTTCTTGAACTTTTACCCAGGCCATCAATAATGTCGAAACGAATGTTCAATGCCAAATTTGCATGGAGTTGTTACTCAAACCATATGCGTGAGTCTACATTCCCTCACATTAATTGGGAATCGCTCATGATTCCTCTAGGTTATCACCATGTGGCCACGTTCTTTGTGTTTCATGCCTGCAGGAGTGGTTCAAGAAAGCACCCCCCGGTGACGATGAAATGTACGACGACGACGATCCTGATTACCTACTTTTCCGAAAGAAGACTTGCCCATGCTGTCGTGGTAACATTCGTAATCGGCCCATTCCCGTTTTCATCGTCAAATCCATTGCATCCACATTGTTAAAGGTTCGAGGAACATCTCCCAACATTTCATCTCCCACTGCTGGATCCCCTCCCGCTGATGCGGATCCATGGGAAGGTTTATTCCCGCCTGATGACGAAATAGAGGATTATGGGAGCGAGGATGATGACGAGGAAGACGACGATTGGCTCGATGAAGATGTCTTCAGTTACGGTACGGGTAGTGATGAAGATGCATATGGTGGCGATTACGTCTTACCTCAGTGGGAACCACCAGCAACCGTTATCGACGAAGAGGACTACCTCTTCGACCGTTTGGGCCACAATGACCTCAACGTCCTTCGGCGCGGTGCTACGCTTGCTATGCTCCATGAATGTGACATGTACTATGTACATGATGAAGGACTTGTCGCGCACGACGAACTCAACAATCGCATCTTCCTCGGGTGGAATATTTCCCTCAGCGCAGATGATGAAGATGGTTCAAGGTACATCGAATGGGTCACGCAGGACATGGATGACCGCCCTGAGCGTTGGAGGATGGTGCACCTTGACAATGGGAAGTATGAGGCTCATCGGCTTGTCCCAGAGGATGATGTGTGTGATTACAGTGACAGCGACTCTGAACACTATATGGCAGAGTCTGACGTTGACTTCTAGTGCCGTTTACAGACACTACCCTTTCAGTAAGCTATCAGCAGGCATTTTGGACTCCCTTGTATCACCCTCGTACATAGATTCTTATCCCTGTGGATGTCTTGATCGGCTTGCGGATGTTTTCAACTGTCAATCGTATATACTATACCTGTGAAATTACCTACAATATAATTGTACACTGTAGATTTATCAGACAAGTCGTGCTCTGTGACCACTGTGTCACTGGAACTGCAGAGATTCAGGCGACGCGTACAACCACCCATTCCATACAACGACTCGGACGTTTTCCAAGGTACGAGAGTATGAACCAGCCACCCTCGATGCATTGATCATATCATCATCATCACCATCATGTATTCGCTGGTAAGTAGATCTACCAACTCAAAGTTGAAAGGATCCATACTGCTACTAGTCTACTAATAACACTAACCACGGTGTAGCTCTTCGGCACAGATGCTCTTCGGCACCGGCAAATCAAAGCAGCCCTACTTAAGGCAGGCCCTCGCTTCATGCGACTAGTCTATCTGTCGACTTATATGCATTATTGCGAAACGAATGTACCCTCTTTTGTTCGACGTCTAACTCGGATACTGGAGTGACAGTGCTCGTCGGGCCTACTCTGTACAAATTCTTTTCGAAAGTATCATGCTGCACAACAACGGTACCAGCGTCGGATCCTCGCACGTGCTAGGAGGATGTTAGGCTTCTCCGAGTCTCTGCGGTCACAAGTGGTACCTGCGATGACAGATAATCACTTAGCTCGATTGCTTATTTCAACGAAAACTGCCTTCAAGTTGAAGGGACAAGGGAATACAATATCCTGGTATGTTCCCCGACCAGGTGGGGTTTATTTCTTGAAATTGTGTCTGATTACTTGCCAAGTTGCCACTGACCCTCCTAGTATTAGCCTATCGAGAACCTCTTGAATCTCTTCAATAGTTCATTCACCTGGCATCATGGTCTCAATATCACTGGGTATGTCAAAACTGCTTCTGTCTCGTCTACTGACTCGCTACTATGATCCCGGTAGGTGGCATTCGCGTGCTCTTCGAGCTGAAGTTTTTTCCCGGACCTGCAGTTGAAGACAGAGATGCTAGGACTGCTTGCTCCATTGCTATGGTCGGTCAGCTACAGTACTCGCCTAGTTGGAAGGCTGTTAGAGGGTGTGACTTTGATTCGACCGATGGTATTACAGCACCTGATCTTTGCGACTTTCTCGAGACCATGTATTCTCAATCCTCATTCAAGCCCTGGACGTCGACTTTGCTGATCGAGTAAGCAGTCCCGGGGTGACTGACGCATTGATATCTGATTTGATTCTAATCAGGTTGATGACGCTCTCCTTGCAAGCAAGTATTTATTACCCGGACCTTTGAGGCTTTGACAATGACTCATATGCCATATATGCGACCCTGCAAATGCAATATCTCAGACTCCAGCAAAGCACCCAGAAGAACGAGCCTATGGAGAGATGATGGACTGTCAACTACTACCAACCACTCAGAATCACCCGGCGCAATTCATCACCGGCACCTTTGCAACAACTTGTAATTGCAAATTGTTTGACACGTTGGTCATTTCAATTCATGATGTTCGCGGAATGGTGACCAACAGATGCTAATTCACGTGTGCTACAATGATCCTCCTCATGTCACTGTCCCTTGATATTTTTTGCAGATAACAACTGGGTCTGTGCTCGTTGCTCGTTGCTCGTTGTATTCAGCCAAAAATGGTTTACCCATTACGTTGGTATCGGGTGCCGAGTCAGCTTCATCGGCGGCTGAACCGCAGAACAGTTTGCGCGCCGTCATGTCGGTACAGGGGTCGGGACTACCAATACCGCCGAATTCACCGGTCCCGTTTATTGATCGGTTCGTCAGGTTTCATGTTCCAATTGTTTTTAAGGCTTACTATGTCAACGGACATATCTCCTTACCGCGACGACCGGAAAGATCTGTAATTGTTGAACCTTGTTAAATGCGCTATTCGCTAGGTCCGTACTGGGAACTGAGGATAGACCTCGAAACCCCAAGGCTAAACTCCGAGGATACACAAACGTGACCATGATAACCCAGAACGCACAATAGCCACTTGCTACTATCGATCTATAATTGCTGGCAACCACGAACTGGCAATACGTATGTAACCGATTAGTCAACAACAAATTTCCGCAGAAATCCTAGGCTTGAACCCTCCGTTTGTCTCAAGCTCGGACTTTCACTCTCCGGATCCGAAAGGCAGCTGGTTCCTCACAAACATTGACTAGTAGTGAGTCTACATAAATCTACATCTTCGGAGTCCTCGTTGCCTATTACATGCAGGATTACTAACAACACCATCCTTGAATGGCGTCCGCAAGGGGGGAATGGTTATAATTGTGACCTTTCTTCTTTGTGACTGTTTGGTGTTCGCGACGCGCGTTACTTGATATGATGGCTGCAACAGCATGATTGGCCTTGATCTTGAAGCTTGAGGTTTGCAAATTTTCGAATAGGAAAGTTCCTGACGTTTGCACCGGTCGAGTCGAGGGTGAAGGTAAGTCTTGGCTATGATTACGTAGTATGCTCGTTATGCAGTCTAAGATTTACTAGGATTTACTGCATCTAAGTAAGCGGTAAAATGATCGCCGCCGAGAGAGAAGTACATCTTTGTACTATGCACGTTTCCAGATATCGCCCTTCTCCATTGCAATTAAATGTGCCTTGAAAAATGTAGTGCTTTGTCGTTGATGCCAAGTTGAGTTTCTCTCGATGCGCATATGCACAGCACGCAGGCTATGTGTTTATCTTTTTTGAAGAAACAGGTTTGACTGATGCGATGTCGATGGGCTTGGACCACGGGTCACTGGCAGTTTATTCTATGGTGTGAGCACTGAGTGTCCGGGACTAATATTTGTTGGGCATACCACTTGGAACAAATCAAATTTCAATTTCATCTCTTTAACGGTTCAGAAAAATAAGAGTACTTTTGATGTTTGGGCTATTCATTCATGAGGAAAGTAAGAAGCTACGCAGCAGGCAAATCTCGGGCCAATCCAAGTTGAATCCAAGGCTTGTCCAGTACTCCGGATAAAAAATGCGTAGGCGGGTGTGTTGTGTTATACATAGAATTCTCAGCCACATTACGCTTTCAAATCACTCCCCACATGGTGTTATTCGGCCACGCCGAAGCTTAGTTTCGACTGGTAAAGTGACCTGCCAGTATTAGTGCGTTTCTTTATACTCTCCGTTCTTACTACCAGTCAGCATCATCTTTCGAGTGCTTGACATCCACATAACACCAAGGGGCGTTTGGAGTCTTCAAAAGATTCCAGAAATCAGCATTTTTGCATTGATACAACCTGTCCCGGACGCTTGTGGAGCCGCTCAGAGCTGAAACAGAGTTCGGGTCTGTCAACACAAGTCATACGCATGCAGGAGGCAGAGGAGCAAGGTATACTGCAGTTGGATCATTTTTAAGCTAGAGTTAACTTCTCACCGCTTAGACACATGTCGAATCTGCAGTGCGCCTAGCGACTCGGATCAGCCGCTCTTTTATCCCTGTAAATGCTCTGGCACCATACGGTATATACATCAAGATTGGTCAGTAGACTTCAAGGGAATGATAGTATTATCGTATAACCTCACTCCCCTTTTATCTAGTTTGACTACATGGTTATCACACAGCAAGAAGAAGACCTGCGATGTATGCAAACATCCATACTCCTTTACAAAAGGTGAATGCAGCTTCGTTCGATGTGTGGAACTGACTTACACTCTTTCCTTTAGTCTATGCAGCTGATATGCCCTCCACGCTTCCTCCACTTCTCCTGTTCCGCCGCCTAGCTCAACAGGCTTTGTTTGCCGTCCTTTTTGGTCTACGGGCTATTATGGTCGGAACTGTCTGGCTTGCCGTGCTACCGTGGATTACCATTTGGACATGGAGAGTTTATTTTACGATGGGCGAGTCAACGTGAGTTACATAACTTTTGTGCGACCCCAACTCACACCGTGTAGTGCATGGTGGATAAGTGGTCGCGGTCGACCATATGCTGATTTCTTTGGGATGAACGGTCCCACTGCTTCTTCGAATGGCTCATTTACTGGTCTCGGACTTCCTTCCAACGCTACACTATATCAACGGATTTCCAATCGCCCATTCTGGTCGATGCTATCTGCTGACATTTTCGCCGGACAAATAATCGCCTCCCTTATTGTCTTAATATTTGTTGCAATATTTCTTCTCAGGGAATGGATTTCGCAGAATGCTCGACCAGGGGTATTCGAGGATGAGGACGGCGGTGCAATACATCCTGCCCCTCAACCTGGTGACCTCCCCGCAGCTGCAGTAGAAGAGCCTGTCAACGTACATATTCCGGATGAGAATGGTTTTGCTCATAATGCCCTTCGAGAGGCAGCTCTCGATGCACGACGTCAAGGGAGAGCCATACGCGCTCGTCAAGGTGCCGGTGTCGCCCAAAGGCAAGGTCTACGCCAGCGTGACCCATTCGAGATAGACCGGCACCAGGTTCTTCGAAACCGTCCTCTTGATAGACTTCCCTTTCCTCTTGAGTCAGCCCCTCAGCTTCCTCAAGTTCCCCGAGAGCAACCACCACCGTACGAACCAAACCATCAGCCCCGGAAAGGAAAGGGCAGGGCGGAAGAAGCTGATGACACCGGAGAAGGGTCCTCAGACCTTCATTCCCAACGACGTATTCGCAGGAGGATTTACACCGAGGAAGACGAGAGTATGTCGCATGAGACGGCTGACAGTCAGGACGTTCAACCCTCCACTTCACTCGATGGAGGGGAGGTGTTGACATTCCCTTTCACCTTCAGGGCTTCTAGCTCCATCAGCTCGAATTTCCCAGAACCCTCTAGGAGTAGTGATTCCGTCGTCGGTCCTTCAACCTTCAATGAGAGGTATCCCTGGGATGGAGACTTCCACGTTGACTCGCAACCAACTTCTTCGTCTGTTTCCCGTTCAGCGACACCTGCACTTCATGTCAATATTGACACTCCGCTACGACGACCTCCCATGGCAAGCTCTACTGCTTTCGCGGAGGGTGCGATACCTAACAAGCTTCAGCCAAGTCCAGCGCTGCCACTATCTTCACCCAGTCTCGCAATGTATCTTGCGCCAGAAGAGCTGGAAGCTGGACCGTCATCATCTGGACCATCAGGGTACTTTGACAGCGAGCGCTCGAAAGAGGAACTCGAAGAAGAATTGGAAAGCTTCTTCCGTGATCCGGAGTCAGCCAGCCCTGACCTACCTCCTCCATCTGGCGCGCAGGATCAATCCTCTATCGCCACCATACCAGACACGCCCCTCGAAGAGAATGACGAAGAAGACGACGATGAGGGGGAGGATGATGATATTCCTGCACAAGCCCCTGCAGCCGAGGTTGATCCGGTGCTGGATGATGAGGACGACGAGGATGACGATGACGGCGACGGCGATGATTTGATCAATCCTCGCGATGAGAACGTCGCTGCCCCTCCTCAAGTTCAGGTTGCACTCAACCAGCCTGGTGACATAGATGATCTAGAACCGGGGGTCGAGGATGATTTGGACGGAGCTATGGAAGGTCTGACTAGCTTCCCTATCGCACGAAGTATACTGATATTCTGCAGCGATTGGATTGAGGGGACCTATTCTCGGGGTCTTTCAAAACGTTCGTCTCGAATTTTGATTATTGTTTCGTTACTCAACGGATAGAATACAGGCGGTCCTTATGGTCTTTGTCCTTGACACCGCGATTGGCTTTGGTGTATGGCTTCCATTTACCTTTGGGAAGACAACCGCTCTATTATCGGTAGGAGGTACTGGAGGTTGGTGGTCAACAGGAACTTACCCCATTTTATTCAGCTCGATCCTCCACGGGCATTGTATATTCTGGATCTCCCGATTCGAGCTATGAGAGTTATTACAGATCCCATTGTGGATTTTGTCACAGTCATTCTTGGCCTCTTCGTCTTCCCTGGCCTGTATTGGTCTATTCGCCTGGTTTTGGATATTCTGCTCCTCCTCGCCAGACAGAAAGTCAGCTCTGACAACATCATCGAGTGGACGGTAATTGAATTGTTGTTCACTGAAAGAATTCTCTCATTTATGTTTGCAGATATCGAAAATCACAACCACGTGGGAGAATATTGTCGCATCCTTGCAGACACCCCCGCCTTCGCCTGCCACTTCGTTGTCACAGCGTCTCGAAAGTTTCTTGGAAAGTGACTCGGTGATCGCACGGTACTCGGAACCATATTTTGCAACTCTGGGCCGCGAGGTCCGAACTGCCTCCGAGCAACTGCAAACTTCGTGGGTCAACCTGACCATGGGGCAAGGGACTCGCGAAAAGGTATTCGCCATTATGCTGGGCTATGGCGTAGTTGGCGTCCTTCTTGCTATTTACCTAAACGTGTTCACTGTTGGCAACGCGAGAAGTGCGGGACGAGCTATCCGGAGTGCAGTACGGCAGCAGCTCCTGGTGGTAAAAGTAATATCTCCTTCACTGCGATTTTGATCCATGCTTATCTTTCACAGGTGGCCATGTTCATTGTTATCGAGCTCGTGATATTTCCCTTGGGATGTGGCATCATGCTCGACATCTGTACAGTTTGGGTCTTTCCTGAGGCCTCCCTCGAGTCACGTGCTGCCTTCTTCACCCAAGCTCCATTGACGGCAATGTTCTATCACTGGGTTGCTGGAACTATGTTCATGTGAGTCAACAAAATGGCCTCAGTAGATTTGGCAGACTAACTTTTTCTTTAGGTACCAGTTTGCCATTCTCTTGGCTGGATGTCGAAATATCATGCGCCCCGGAGCCATGTGGTTTATCAAGGATCCTCAAGATCAAAACTTCCACCCCATCCGTGACATCCTGGATAGGCCCACATTCACTCAGTTCCGTAAACTCCTCATCAGCGCTTTTATGTATGCCATGGTGGTCGCGTGTGGAGTGGCAACTCTTGCTGTGCTACTTTTGCTTGGTAACAGGTCGATTTTCCCTCTTCGGTGGAAGACGCGGTGAGATATTTACCTAGCGAGTGATCTCAAACTTTTTCCTGACATTGCCATCCAGCGAACCGATATCCACCGTCCCCGTAGATCTCATTTTCCTACAGTTTGCTCTGCCATACACGATGCGCTACCTCAAGCCCAGGAGATTTTTCCATCGGTGGGCCGTCCGTATCTGGAAGCTAGTAGCAATAAGGCTGCGTCTGACGTCTTACATGTTTGGCGAACGCCACTCGGACGAGGAATCCACGACACAGTTTGACAGTTGGATTCCTTTCCTCCGCAGGTCATCGAGCGACATAGAGGCTGCTAGCAAAACACCCGATGGAACCTTCCGTCGTGTGCCCGCAAGCGACAACATCGCACTTCCGAAGGATATGCGTGCCACTGCAGAAGTGTTGGAGGATGGCACTCCCGCCAATCCTGTTGCAGAAGAGCTCGTAGCAGCGCAAGATGCAGAAGCTTCAAAGGCCAAGCGTGATATCAAGAACGATTACCTCATTGTATACTTCCCGCCCAACTTCCGATTGAGAATCTTCGGTTTTATTGCCTCTGTTTGGGTCATCGTTGCGGTGTTGGCTGCTATATTTATTGCAGTACCTATGCAACTCGGTCGTCACTTCTTCTGTCTGTTCACACCGAAAGAACTACATGATGGCTACTCCTTCCTTGCAGGACTCTACCTTCTTTGGGCCTGCTATCTCGTGGCCAAAACTGTGGAACGGATGGACAAACGCAGACAACGAAGAGGTGGTGATGGGCCAAGAGCTGAGTTTGCAGTCTTCTTCGTGAAGCGGAGCCTTCTTTGGCTATCCAAAATTGCCTATATGGGGATATTTTTGGGCATCATCATCCCCATTCTTTTCGCACTCGTCATCGATATGTATATCGTCATGCCTGTTCGTCTGACTCTTAACCCAACGCTGGATATTCACATCCGTATTGTTGACATGTGGGCCCTTGGTCTTGTGTATGGCAAGATCTTCATGCGCATCAACCGGCGACCTCAATTTGATGTTGGGCGCGGAGTGGTTACGGTTAGTCAAGGTCGGTCACTGGCAGAGTGAGCCTACTGACTGATCGCTATAGATCATCACCAACGGCTGGACTCATCCAGACCCCAAACAGGCAACAAAGGAAGTAATCATTCCGCTTGTTGTTGGGTTGCTTGGTATGCTAGTCCTCCCTGCTGCCGCAGTGTGGGGCCTACGAGAATTCTTCGATCTGCCGTTAAGTCCTAAATTTATGTGTAAGTTGCTGTACTCCGGTCACGCCGTAAGTGTCTTACTCGCTTTCTACAGTTATGCATGCATATCCAGGCATGTTCGCCATGGTAGGCTTCTATCGGGCATCAATGGCCACGTTGAGGTTGCTGTCCTCCTGGTCACAGGCAATTAGGGATAAAGAGTTCTTGGTGGAGATGCGATTACAAAATCTCGAGCCTGTTGCAGCAAGCGAAGGAAGTGCACAAAAAGGAGGGGCGGAAGGTGAAGGGACCGCTTAGGATCACTTAGTCTATAGACATCATGGCCTGATGTATAACAATGCTTTTTTTTCACTGTTGACCGGTCGAACCGGACGAGTACGTGGATACTCGTGGACGACAGCCAGAAGACAGAAGTGACAGGGGTCTGAATTTAGATTAGCAGACAAGGTTAGACTTTAAAGCTTAGTACATACTTTTCGGGACCTTCCAGGCCGATACAAAGAGCGTGTGATTAGTGAGTAATCTACTCACGCTGACGTGGGATGAAGAGATCCAGTAACGAGAAGGAACGCGTAGTTGTGCAAATGCACGGAGCGGCGTTGATATTCCTGACGTGTCTGTCTACGGGTGCCCACGCACCCGAGGATTGCGACCGAGCGGCAATGTTGGTTAAGGAAGGACGCAAACCCCGTCTGGATCCCGAACCAACTGACAGCAAACGCCCGGAACACAACCTGTCCCTTCGCGAAGATTCCGAAAGATATAATTTTTTTAATTCCATGGCGACCAGAGGGAGGAGTAAGCTAAAGCAAGTAATATCATGACGAGTCTACGGAAGCCCATCGAATAAGTCACCTTGATATGACCACTGGCTTTATATATACTGAAAATGTTTTTGAGAAATTACAGCCGTGACGCTCCGTTAGTATCTGTTCCAACTATCATAGCACGGCCTTTGGCCCCCTCTCACGGCATTCGATTTAAGTTTGTCCTGATATATCGTGTTCTGCGTGGGTGTCGAATTTCAACCTGTTCAAACGCTCCTTTCATTTGTTCAGCGGGACACATTACCTCAGATCGCATCGGATGTGAAAACCTTTCGGAAACTTGCAGGTGTTCTTGGAAACGTCATGGAAGTGCATTTGACATGCGAAGGGCGGTGCTAGTAAGACTTTAGTAACGTAGTACTTATCTTAAATCATGAGTAACTTTAACTACCTGGGGGGCTGAAGTCAAAGCTTGCTTCTTGATCGGTGAAGCGAGCACTGTTCGCTGTTCTTAATTTGAAGAAATACTCCACTGCCGGGAAAGACCTATTTCACCCCGCGGCCAATCGACAAAGGGTCCTATCAAAACCTATCAGCTCCTATCAGATGCAAAGGTATTAATAATTAGAAAGTCTACCCTTATATGGGCGCGGGCTTGGCATAAACGGCGAACCATCGAACGGTCTCAAGCTTAGGGGGGGGCTCGTCTATCAGCCGGCACCTATATAAAGGTTCACCAAAGCTTAACTTAATAGAGCCAACTTTATGGGCGTGTACGCAACGATGACAACGAACTAATTTATGATGACTATTATTGTGATCATCCGAGTCATAGTAGGTGGTGTACAGTCCTGTAGACCAAGCCTGTTCGTGTGATCAGAGGGCTTGGCATGTAGGGCAGAGTTCATAGCGGAGAGCGAGGACTTGCTCACATTTAGCTAGCCCTTGACGGAGCTTGTACAGTGTTTGTACGTTTGCGATGTGGTCACGAGCGGAAGTGGAAGGTGGTATTGCTTCAAACTCCGCGATTTGTTGCTGCACAGCCACACACTTCTTTCATGCGGCAGAAGGCGTAGTATTAGGACCCTGGAAAATAGTCGTGAGCGCGTGAACATTCGAACTCGGACTCACAGCATCACGGGCTGGAGAGATGACTGTCAGTCGTTCTAATGCTGAACCATTCTACAAACTGAGCTGAATGTAGGACTTGACATTTTGTTACATTCACATGACTGAGCATGATCTGAAAGTGCTCGATACCATCGACAGTCCAGAATATATCTCTGGCGAGTTATCAGATGACGGTAGGACAAACCACTCCTAAAAATCTGAACGCTTGATAGAAAACGTATGAATCGAATAGAACTTGACATACCAGCACACATGATTCCACCGAATCCGGACGATTCTGACAGTTCGCAGTGACACTCTTTCAGATAGGCTCTGGCTGATCTCCATTTGACAGTACTACCTTCTCAGGTGCATCCTTCTTATCCCTACGGGAATCCAACAAATATCAAGCATCCAGCCGCAAGACCGAGACCACCATATGACCCAACTTCTCGGGCATTATTCGAGGATATGGGGTATGGCGGGGGTGGCGTCAATGGCTCTTTACGCTGGAGAGACCTTGCATTGGACCGACTATTACCCATCAACGAAGAGAAAGAAGAGACGAAGAGAGCAGCCGAGGCAAGAAAGATGGCCAATGGTGCCACGAGCCAACCACAACAGCAGCAGCAGCAACCGCCACCTCAGGCAGGAGCTGGTGATCAAACTATCGACGAAGAGGACGAGGAAGAAGAAGACAGTGCAGATCATGATGAGAATGATGTGGACGAAGACAATGTGGAAGATGAGGATGATGATATGTAACTACAGAGATACTGCTCAACCTCTAAGACTCATCGCAGCAACAAGCGCATCGCCTGTATCACCCAATAACAAATGTTTGGCATCCCCTTCTTGTTCGATGACCCACTCGTAGGCTTCCAGTAAAAGTGTATCTGTCAAAGGAACGAAATGGTCCGCAAAGACACGGATGATGTTACTGACGCGTGAGATTGCAGCGCGAGTAGCATTGTCAATGTCCTAAACATTGAGTGAGCATCTACGATGCTCCGTGCTGATAACATTTCACCTACATCGTTTTGGTTCGAATACACCGCTTCAGCATCAAAACCCTCTTCCCCTTGGTCACTGTCCTTCACTTGTTTGCTAACCCATATGTAGCCGTTTAATCCTAGGATAAGGTCGACACCGCACGGCAAAGATATAAAATGGGACTTTAATCGCCGAACCAATATCGGGGGTACTGTTACGAGTTGGCCGTTCCGCAGCTATTACAAAGAGAGTTCAGAATAAAACCCTTGCCCAGGGGAATGATCATGCGGTACTCACCTTGCCGTACTTCAAAGACCGCGTGTGTAACGACATGGCGCCATCTGAAAAAAATGCTTGTACTTCCGCAACAAGGAGATCCCCTTCCTCGAAGAAATTTCGCATTTGGAGTTCATCACTCTCCAATTTCCGACGCTGGCATGAATCGGGTTACAAAGACCATACATAGTTGCGAGGGACAAACTCACTTGTACCCCTCCGGGTAGATTCACTGACGAAAGCATCAAAACGGCATCCTGGCGCGAATTGGCATCTACTTTCCATCTTCGAGGTTGAACCTATGTGTCAAACCTTTAATGGAATTCTCAAGCCCAGTAGCATGAGGTACACACCTCTGTTATGCGCCCAACGACAAGATCTCCCACCTCTGGATTGTATCTTGATCGGGAATAAATCCAGGAGTACCAGCAATTTGAAAACCACTCACCTGGTACGAATCGCACGAACGGTCACAAGCTTGTTCACCCGCTCTACGGTCCCCACAACGGAAGCAATGACATCCTCTTTGTCAACATATGTTCCGTGCCCACTTCAGACGCCCGATCAGACATGAAAATATCACTTTCCACAAACTGCTCACCGCATGAATGCTTGGGAAGATGTGATGGTCTCCCCTGGACAAGTCAGCCTCGGCTCAGAGCCTGAAAAATCGTCGTCATCCACATCCATAAGATCCTCAACATCTGGATGATGTCGCGCTGATCGATGATAAGTGGAATCAATAGGCTGTGATGAAAATGATGTGAAGGATAGCATTTGAGTGATTTTAGGACTGCGAGTTCTTCAAGTGCAATTGATCGCTATGAGCCTAGGAACGCAAATTGGTGATCGCCCATAGTTACACACATACGTTGCATAGCGCGTAGCACGTGGGAATATCTACATACATTAATTTGACATCACTTTTGCCTTCTTTCTCGAGCAGCGTTTACAACTGGCAATGCTTGGTCCTTCATATTAAGCAACAACAGCTCCTACGCGCGGGTCGGGTTGCCAGTGCATTTGCCTACGGTGATCATTATGCATAACGGTTCATCGAATTTTTCTGCCCACGTCGACATCACTCCACGCAACTTTCGCGCAATTTTGCACAGGCTATTGCAAGTACGCATCTATTTTATAGAGAGATACAGTTAGGGGGAAGCAGGCACTATTAATATAACAAAACAAAACACTATGAAAGCTACAGATATCGAAACAAAACGACAAACGATATATATGTGCAATAATATACGACAAGGAGTTATAGTGCTGCAATGGAAAGGTCAAATAAATTTGCGCTTTCCCCGAATGGTGTGACTCATATTCTACTTTTTAGGAACAAACCGCGTTATGCGTTTACTTGTAGGCCAAGAAATAGGCAGAGAGAGCGGGAAGATCATTCGACCCTGCATCAGAGTAGCCTTGGCGCCGAGATCCGTTGAACTTGAGGACGACGACGGTGCCACACCAAGCTTTCGCAGCGGCACCGGAAGTAATGTGGTAGATAGCACGGTTAATGGGTGCGCAACGCGACAGCGCAGTTGGGGAGTACCACAGATGAAGGGGAAATCTGAGTGGCTCTCCATTTAAGCCTTGCGTCAAGACAATGCTTTCCGCTTGACCATCCGGAAAATGACCACTGACGAGAGGTTGAGGACACATGCCCTGCGACGGGACTTGGGATGGACGGCACTTGACCGTAATGATTCTTGGGCGCTCTGCAAGTGATGAGCGTGCCGTAATAACATAAAAACGCATTCGGATTCACCTTCTTCGGGCGAGAAGAGAATAGCAGAAACCATAATCACTTGCTGCTCAGCAGGCGGTGGAGTGGCAATAATATTATAATTTTGGGCATGGGTCGCTGGAACACATTCCTTTCGATGGCGCGGCCAATCCTAGATGTCGTCATTGATAAGTCGCGTATCCATCACGCGACTGTCATTAAAGACTTACGCTTTGAAGGTGTTCGGGAGTGCAATACCACGCGGACTGGCAGCGGCTGCACCACATTGAAGTGGGCCTGCAGCATACGGTGCAAGGGTGGTTAATAAGAGGAACAGGGTTCATTTTGGATGGCCGACGTTGGGAGATTAATAACTTGATGAGTCCGTAGAAGGTCAGATGAAAAGGTGGCTGGCTGGTTATGGAGTTTATGGCGAGTGCGTTGAGCTTAAATATGGCTGGAGCGCGCTTAGGTTTCAAGGTTTAGGTCGACAGGTACCTTCACAAGGGTTTCGCGTGAGAGAGGTCAAGCCCACATTGACCGTTGAGTCGTTCGGGATCTGAGTTTAAGGATCGGAGATCTGTGAGGCGATGCTGCTTCCAGGCACTGCCAGGTTGTAGCATTCTAAGCCAGCTTTCAAGTGGCGCACGTTATGTACCTTCGCTCTGTATCCACGGTAAAGCTGAGTGAGCTAATCGGGATCAAAAGGTGACGTTGTAGCCAATCGCAGGCTTTAGGACGTCGTAAGGTGGCATCTGAGGTGGGACTCATGAAGACTTGAATAACGGAACACAAATGCCGAAAAAAATGCTTAACCTGGAGGATAAACGTCGGGAGAGCATAAATCTAAAGGCGAAAGATGGAAAATAAAAATTATGGCACAAAGCATAGCAGAGCATAGCATGTCATCCAAGTTAATTCGCTGGAAATTTAATCCCCCGCAAAATTACTTGCGAGTTTCTATTGAGCTTGCCATCCGATGCCCGGAGCACTTCGGCCATTGTATCCTGCAAATCATGTGGGAGATTGCCAATCGTACAACCTATTGATTCGGTCATTCCTGACTTACGTGAGTTGACCAGCCTTGAACACTCATCAACGCTTGTAGTGCGCGGGCGCTTGCTTTGAGACGGTCCGGAAGACATGCCATCGTCTGGTGACAACGAAGTTACGTCGAAGTCACTCCAAGTAACTTGACAACACTACTGCAGCGACAGGGACGATCTGGTTATGTTGTATTATACCGGTCCCGCCGCCATGGCTGTTGTTGCCTTGTTACATTGGTCACACGTCACACTAACCGCATCCAACAACCACCATGTCCGACGATGAAATGAATATTGACGAAGGTACTTGTTTCACGAGTTCATGCATTAAGATCGTGTTCTAACTCGGGATAAGTCGCTAACGGCGGTGCTGTGAGGCGGAGAGGCAGGGGGTTCCAAAACACGGCAGGTAATCATTATTCATACCCGCACCTATGTCCAACTAAAAATGCGGTAGGGGGAAACGATGGCACAGTCACCGCAGAGCCCACTTACGACAGGGTTGAATCTTCTCATGTCAAGGACGACACAAGAGCCGCACGATGTAAGTATGTCTTGGCTTATTCCACTGCATCGGGCTTACAAGCAATCCTTTATCATATTCGCACTCTCTTTGCACAGCCGTTGAAGGTTGGATTGTCTTGGTCACCAATGTACACGAAGAGGCAACAGAGGAAGATGTCACGGACAAGTTTGCAGAGTTTGGAGAGATAAAAAACCTCCATTTGAACTTGGACCGGCGCACGGGTTATGTCAAGGTCCGTTCATCGCATTGAGGGAACAAGAAAATTTAACATCCATTCAATTACAGGGCTATGCACTCGTGGAATACGAGACCATGGCTGAGGCTCAGGCTGCTATTGATGGCGCGTCGGGAACGCCACTACTAGAACAGGTGGTCCAATGCGACTACGCGTTCGTTCGGCCCCCTCCATCGGGCCCGAAAAAAGGCAGAGGAGGTCGGGAAGGACGCGGTCGGAGTGCTAGTCCATCACGCAGACAGAGAGACTGAGGTTACTCTTCGTTTTCCCCTTGGGTCTGCGATGTCTGATTGTATTCAGCTTTGTTTACTGTAATTTGATCAATCCCGTTCCTCCGCAATTACATCTATTCACCGATGCCGCGACGTGACACGACGCGCTTATAAAACGTCTCGGCGGGATTTGGTTGGACCTGCATATCGTTATAGATAAATAATATGTGGTGGGCGTGTACCGCAGTCGAACAGTGTGTAATTTGAAGCTGTTGTCACTTGAGGTACATTTCGACGCATGCGTGAGCATTGATACACGGTGGTTTTGGCTGTTTTTACTTCCCTGCCCGGTTACACTAAAATTTTGACTGCAGTCAACAGGCGGCCGGAATTTGCCGAGTACCCACCGACAATGTTTACCTTTGTTCCAGCCGATTACATAACGCCCGCGCCACCAAGTTTCTTGCGCAACATTGAACTCAATTTCGAATCGAACTCGCTCCAATTACTACTCCACACAAGCAGTCTGATATGCCTCGAGTGACAGATGTGACGACTTCTGACTCGGAGGTGGACAGGTCACACGCGAAACAGAAGAAAGAATACTCATCCAAGAAGAATCGCGTATCCTCTTCAGAGCCCGACCTCGCGTCGGAGAGTGAAGAGGCTCCTGGAGAGGAGGGCGACGAGCAGGACGAGGAGTATGAGATTGAGGAGGTCATAGAATCCCAAAAAGGTTATTTTGGTGATGTACGTTCACTGTCGTGTTTTAACAAGAGGGATATTGACGCGTTTTAGGGCAAATTTGGCTATTTTGTGAAATGGAAAGGTTACCCCTCTGACGATAACAGCTGGGTACACGAGGACGATGCAGCGTATTTGATTCCTTCTTGCATAAGTTGACCCAAACAAACTCGAAATCTATTCTAGCAATGCGCAGGACCTCATCAATAAGTATTGGGAAAACAAGCGTAAAGCCAGCAAGGGTGGTCCCCGCAAGTCCACAGATGCTGGAAAACCCAAAGCCGGCCGTAAATCCGCCATTGTAGAGGAGCCTCGAGAGCCCACGATCTCTGCAAAGAAACGTAGTAGGCCGAAGAAAGCGGACCAGGATGAGCAGTCGGAGAAGGAGCAGGATGCCAGCAGCGACGATGACGATGCTAGAGCAAAGAAAAAACCACGTAAGAGCCAAGGGTCATATGCGAAGAAGGTCGCGAAACAGCTGGCTGAAGATGAAGAGGTGGTCACTTTCGGTAGTATGAAGAAGCACATGACTATTGCTAGTTGGGAGAACCTTGTCGAGACCATTGACACAATCGAACGCGGAGACGAGGGTGACCTCTATGTGTACTTCAAAATGTCCGTGGATTTGTCCTATTTTAGATTCCTGGATACTAAACATGTTTGCAGAAAGCACAGCGATGTCCGAATGCGGGAAGTTTCCCGACTTTGTGCTCAAAAGTTCCCTCAGAAGGTGTGCTATGAAAACCTGGCTTCTGGACAACGTGTTACTGACTCGACCTGCCAAGCTCATCAAGTTCTACGAGTCCAATCTGCGATGGAGGATCGACGGCGAAGACGCGAATTAACACCGTACGACGCAGTGGCATCCAACCAGGGTTTCCTTATTTTGTTTTACTCATTGCTTTATCTCGTTTCATGCATACCAAACATGAAACTGAACTTGTTAATCGTGTTTTACTTCAGGTTCACATATCCAAAATTAATGGGATATACGTTATGCATTTCCAGGACACTCAGGCTCCGACCATTATGTTAATGTAGGGTCCGTGTATTTCATCCGCATGACCACTACAAACCCCTGCATCACTTGCAAATGAGTGTGTACATGGTAGTTCCGCACAGCATTGCTCAAGTACCTCCGGAAGCATTTTGAGTGGGTCGTATAATTAATGACAGTCAACGCCACTGAGGGACGCGATGGTGCAACGAAAGTCATCCATTGCGGCAAATGCACATGGCACTAGGAGTCATTACGTTATTTCGGAACCGTTCCGACGGGTACCGCCAGTTGGTCACTGAGCGTGGGTGTATGTGCAAAGTTCAATTCACTGCTCTAAAGTCTGGTGCGGCCACTCGCACTAGCGGCAGGGTTAGTGTGCCCGTTTTGTCACAGCCAGTCCCTTACGTGTGATATCTACTCGAAGTTCTGTCCGTGCGTGATGCTATGGACTCAAGAGGTAAACAGGGCCAATGACTCAGGCTGGCCTGACGTGGCACAATAAATTACCTTCAGAACCTCCCTGAAGCTCCTGAACGACGAGTTGTCAAGAAATATGAACACGTGTGAGGATATACGGTGGCCACGCGGACGAGGAGCGAACCCTGAGCGGCCATTAACTATTTACAGTGAGTCACGGTGAAGTGAACTCATCTGACTCAGGGTATGGCACGAGCACGAGGGTCTATGTAGCGTGGCTCCTGAGGATCGTAGTCATATCGGCACAAAGAAATTCCCGGCGTCAATTATTTCAAGCAACGCGGCGTGATGGTGGTACCGGTGAACGCTAATTGAACAGCTGTGAACCGTGATTGAACGGCGAATGACCTCCTTTGACCACCATGGGGGATGGTTGTGATTCAAAGCTATGCCATGAGTAAGAAGAAATAAGGAGGGATGCAAGGTAGCAAACCGTAAACATAGTAGATGTCATAAATGATCCAGACATGGTACAGTTGGAAATTCATAGTTCTGTGTGAGGAATAGTAGTGCTCTCCGAATGCTCCTCCTCCGCCTCGCGAACCAGACTCGACACAATTTCTCCTGCATCCGCATCATCGCGGGAATTGTATCCTGAACTTTCCTCTAGAGGCTCAACCTTCCCAAGTGCCTCCAGCACCTCCTCTTTGCTCCGTCCAATCGCAACAGGGGGGACATAGGCGCGCTCACCCACACCTTCCTCCGGTATTGGAAGAATCGAGACCTCCGGCTCTACATCATGCTCAGGATCAGTAGCTGTTCCTTTCCCCTCATCCTTTTGGACGCTATTGAATGCACGCTCGCCATCACGTTTGATGCGCCTCAAGCGCGTTTCAAATCCAATCACGACATCCTGGACCTCCGATTCGAGGTCCTGAAAGATAGGAATGATCGGGTTGTCCATGATCAGATTATCATGTGTGCTGTTTTGTATCGAGTTTGCTTCCTGAGCAAATTTCTCGCTGACTGTGGCGGTAAAGAGGAATTAGTTCAACAGGCTATGTGACAGGAACAATGGATAGGGGGACTCACCGTCAATCAGAGAATGGTACCGCTGCCAGTCCGAGTACGTCACTTCGTCAAGCCAAGCATAGTCAAGCCCTAGGTCGACTTGGGCTTTTTCCGCAACTTCGCGAACTTCGGCAGTCACAGCATAAACCTATGCAACAGATAAAGTACAATCAGTGACCTGTTTTTTTTAGGCAAAATGTAAATTAAAAGAACCCAGGAGGCTCAGTCGTGGGAAACCATAACATGGGCGGGGGACAGGAGATACGAAAGGGCGGGCGCAAAAACACAGAAAAAGAAATCGAAAGGGCAGTGGACCGAAACCAACGGAAATGACCAACAGACCGGCGGAAAAACGTAAAGGACAACAAGGAAAAAGAGATAACCCACCTCGCGCAGCTCCTGATCCAGGATAGCACCGTACCACGTGTTGACCACGGCCTCTACAACTCCAAGACGCTCTGAAAACTTCACGCCAACCTTCTCAATCACTCTTTCCCAGAGCGGCATCTTCTCGTCATTCTTCCGGTTCTCTGCCTTCAGATTCCTGAGATAGATCCCGGCGCCCTTAATATATTTCTCCGCGTCAGCAACAAGACTCTCAATGGCGTCTCGAATATCAGGCGCCTCTGTAAGCTCGGTGGCAGCAGCACCCCTGATTACCCTAAGCCTGTTCTTGAGTGTAGACAAACCAGTCTCCATTTGAGACCGAAGTTCGGTCTCCCACTTAGAGTGGCGGGCCTCGATGTCAGCACGTTTGCGGGCAGTCTCCTCAGCTTTAAGGCGTAGTCGTTCAGCGCGCTCTTCCTCCGACTCTGGGGGATTGACGGGCGCTTGCTCGTGAGACTGGGGTGTGATTAGGGGTTCATCTAGTCCAAGTTCGGCGTAAAACGCGCCAATGTCGATCTCATCCTTGTCACCGATATGTGCAGGGACCGAGCTGGAGGCAGCGGGGGCTGCGGAAGTGATAGATGAACTTAAACCATCGGCAACAGCAGATACGATCGATGAAGTAGCTGATGCACTTGCTGATAAGACAGACGACACGCTCTGGGGGGTTGCACTGGTGTTGGAACAGAGTTCGAGGGAAAGTGAGAAGAGGACGCGGATGCCGGTTGTGAGGTGAGGTATGCAATTGGCACGGCGTCAAATGTGGTGGGTACCTCGGTTTCTGCGGCTGTCATTGCATCCTCGTTTAAAAGTGTTCCAACGGATGTCTCCGTCGCTTTGCCGCGTGGTGGATCTGTTTCCACAGGAGGTTGATCTACAGATGTGGGTATGATCGGAGCGTAAGTTGACTCCAGCTCCAATGTCTCAGAAATAACAGGTTCTGGGCTTGGGAAGTCCGTTGTGTCGGATGGAGCAAAAGTAGACGCTGAAGTTACTGGTGACCCGCGGCTTAACTCCTTGACTTTCTCCCACAATTTAGCTACATGGGGGTCGACAAAGATCCGTCTCTGTTCCCTTAGGAACAAAAGCGCATGTTGCACCTCAGCAACGATTCTCTTTGCCACAGGCACCGCGTGGGGCTTTGCTGCATAATACGTGTCCTGAGTTTTCTGGATGGCAAGGAGGATGTAAGGTTGTGCTTTTTGCTGCCATCGCCGCAGGTTGTAAGTAGCAGTACGCACGTGCGGAACTATGCGCGTCGTGTACGTCGCTTCCGCTTGCTCGATATATGACTCTGCACGCGCAACGTAGGGTTTGAGTTGGCTTAATCGCGGCGCGACGTGCTTGTCGTACTGAGGGATGGCATGTTTCTGCCATTGCGAGATAACGTGCTTTTCCCATTGGGGGACAACATAGGTCGTGAAGGCAGGGATTACGCGGTTGATCCAAACTGGAACAATGCGCTTCTCCCATTGTGGGACAATACGTCTGGTCCACTCTACTTGCGTACGAAAGATGATGGGACTTGAAAGCTCGGTAACGCGGTCCACATATGGCGCAACATAAGGGTGCGCAAGCGCAGCCTGTATTGGTGGGATAACGTATGGGTCGAGAACAATACGTTTGTACTCAGATAGGCCGCGGCAAATGGGGGATTGGAGATGCGCCTCACGAGGGCAAACGGCAAAGACGTAGACCGTGAAGGCGAGCACAAAGAGCTTAGTGAGGAAGTCAAGAAAGGACTGGATAGTGGATTTGCGTTTCTTCTTCTGTCGGTGAGTCGGTGTCGGTGAGTCGAGACGTATCAAAGCGAGGAGAAAAGGAAACGTACTTTGCCTGATTTTTTTGGCTTGTCTTTCTTTAATTTTTTGTGTTCATCCTGTACCGCGTGATTAGCCCCTTACAATAGACTGAGCAACGACAAGCCGAAAGCAACACAGCCCCAGATAAAAGACGCGAAAGGTCCGCACATATTTCTATTGGTCCGTCTAGAAATTCATCGTAGCTACTCACTTTGTCGTTATATTGCTTGAATTTATTAGAGGCTCCGGTGATAGCTGCGGTGTGGGCGTCTTCGGATGCCAGTGGGCTCGACACACGAGGTACCGCAGATGGGTCCTGCATTACAGATGCCCTAGTTGAGCGTGGTTGACCCTGTGAAGATGGTGTACGGGAAACTGGAGGAGCAGGCACCACTGGAGTTCTGCGAGTAACAACCATTGTCGACTGCGAAGTGCCAAGTGCCTATGCTATGCAAGATTATTGTTGAAAATATAGAATTGAGCCTAGAAAGAAAGCATAGATTTTTGTAGCAGGGAAGTGTATGGCTGGTGTGGCAGACCTATAATACTCGTGAAGTACTTATGTTGATTGTGGTTTGTTTTTGAAGCCACCCGTGACGCGCGAAGGTTGTTTGCTCGTGTATGGCAAAGGCTTCGTTATGTAATCCCCTTTTCAGATCTCGTCGATCACGGCAAAGCGTTGACAGACCTATTGGGTGAAGTATTTAGTTTGACTAGACCAGGACTCAGGAATGGGACCATTTTATGTGGAAGCCTGGCAGAAGCAGCGTCAGTCCAACGTCCAACTCCCAGTATTGATTCTGCTGCGTAGTACGCTGGGAGTTCTGCTTCCAAACAGTTTTTCCCTTGAGACTAGTACTAAGCCACATATATAGCCTTCAGATATTCTTTCCTTTGTTCCGGAAGACATTTGCCTTTTATCCTTGGGTTTGCAAGGGATGTATTTCTCCGACTCCGCGACGCCTGATGTACTGATATCTTAAGTCAGATTTTCAGACATTGCTTCAAGATAAGCACTATCTTCTTTCTTCTTTAAGTATTGCCAAGGACGTGTAGTGTTTGGTCTTGTGTGGCAACAGCTTTGTTACATAATCAAGCGTGCTCCACAACGCCGCATGTTGTGATCGCGCATGCTCGGGCGCTCAACAGTCCAACTCGCAAAGACTGACGCACAATGGCTCGACGGCCAGTCAAGGTAACATATGCACACAAACGGGGACGTGCAAAGGCTGCCGTAAAGCTCGTGTCTTCTCCACTTGAGGCCCTTCCGCCTGATCGTGATGATATTACGCGTTCAGAGATGTCTAGGCGAATGCTCAAGCGCTCTCGGGGTGTCGCTAACGAAGACGATGATACAGTGCGGTTCAAGGGTCGTGGCGTGAAACGTGCCAGGCAGGCTGTCGAGTTGGATGCTCCGGAAGCAGAAGCTGGTGTCGACGCGTTCCAAACGCCATTTCCATCTGCGGAGTACGTCCATTCGTCTTCAGTTACGCGTCCATTAGTGCCAGAAGAGTTCTCTCCCGTACCAAATGTCAAACATGTTCTCTCTCGCACGAGTTCGCGAAATTTGAAGGAGAATAGTATTTCCCTTCCTCTTGCCTCACCTTTCCACAGCCGTCCCTCCTCCCCTCACACCGGCTCCGCGGCCAAAGCGAAGGCGCGATCATCTCGCATTCCACTTCACTTGAAATCCCGCACGCTTTCTGGTGCCTTCCAGAAAAATGATAGTGCATATACTCACCGCAAACTCTCGCACAAGGACTCCACCATATCCCTGAATGACAGGAAGCTTTCTCGTAAAGACTCTATGATATCCCTCAATTATAACAGGCTCTCCCGCAAGAACTCTACGCTCTCTCTCAATGAGCTAGCCAGAAACTCACCTTCGAAGCATCGATGTTGCCCCTCGAGCCCAGATCCCTCGTATACGCTATCTCATATCACGCAGCAGGATTGGATCTCCCCGTCTAAAGAACTTACAATCCATGCAGGTACCTGCGAGCCTGATTCAGATTCGATCATCCGACACAATCCGATTCAAAGTTTGTCTGCATTGCCCTTTCTTGTTGATCGTCCCCAGTTCTTCTCCACCCCGCTGCATAGCCGCTCTGGAAGCAGGACAGGCCTCCAAGCACCGAAATCCCCTTCAAACCTAGCCTTCCTTGCCCCTTCCCCGCGCCTTCCGCGCGATAAAGACTTTGAGATGGCAGATTACACCCAGCACCGCAAGATCCGCATCTCAGGCAATAGCATTATCTCTTCCTCCGGCTCGTTCACACTTAGGGCTCACCAAATTCCAAATGTCCCCGACGTTGGTGATGACCACATTGGTAGTGCACCTATGTCTATGTCTCTTGATGTACTTCCTCAGAAGATCTCAATGGGAGAACACATGATTCCTCTGGCGTCTTCTCCTCCCCCGACTTCGGACTTGGCTAATTTCGGAACACAGCACAAGGTCTCACTGGGTCAGAATATCTTAGCACTTCCTGGATCAAGCCCGCCGGTCTCCTTGGCGCCTACGGTTGTTGCAAAACGCACTGCGATCGGCCAACGATGTCTCGCATTTCCGTCTAGATCAAGCTCGCCTGCTCCAGACTGCCCAGGTTCCGCCGCGAGAAACGCGTCAGCTGATTTGCCTTATCGTGGTGCTACCTCAGGCATGGGCGCGCCAAGCGAAGCAGACCTGATCCAAGATATGCTATCGCTTGATTTAGGCGGTATGTGCATGCTCACGGTGGCTACACCTCCCTTCCAGATTGTGATGTGATTAACATCAATTCCTTCATACTTCTCACCTCTCGCGTTCACTGGTTTTTGTTGCTCTTGCGCAAATAATCCTCTCTTACGTTGCGATTTTTTTGCGTCTGCCTGGTACTAAACCACTTCTTTGTATCTACAGATAGACACGGTGATAGTACCCAGTTCCCAATTCGTACCCGTTCCCTCGAGAGCCCCGCCGGCATTAGCTCTAAGGAAACGAGCGCCACCAAACACAAGAGGAACCGCGCAGGCACCATCCGCGCATCTGACTTCGCACAGCCTGAACCCTCTGGCACTAGTGGCTCCGCGCTGACCTCCCTCGTTTCGACTATTGCCGGGCCTGCTGGTTCTCTTCCCGGCCGCACGCGCTCCGGAACAGTCGTCGGCCCCAACTCGAAACTCGCGATACGGCCACACGCGAAGGGAGCTGTGAGAAAACAGCCCGTAATGCAGCTAACGCGACGTGATACCCACAGTAGGTCAGATGATGACATGGACATTTTCAAAATGCATGAGGACGTAGGCCAGTGGAATGCTGAGGACCCCGACTACGCTGGTGTGGTGCAGAAACTGAAAGGCAGGAGAGGGAAGAAGAAGGTTGTGCATGATGAAATTACGTCAGATGATCCGTTGCTTATCATTGGTCCGTGGAAGGACGAGGATTGGTCTTAAGGTGAGAGGGTACTTTTGTCTTCGAAGTTGACTCATTCACCCTTACAAGTTCTCTTTAACTCAAGCGCTGTCAAAATGCTGTCTGTTTTCCTCATATTTTTTATTGTTGCACCTGTGCATTCGCCTCATGGACTTCGTTGGACTCAGGACAGTTTGTACATCATCTGCTTTGCACTCTCATCATCAACTTTGCATGTGATTGTATGCCAGTATACCGTGACCATTACAATATCGCTCCTGCCACGAGTTGACACTGCTAGCTCATGTATCGTGTAATTCTCATGCGATCCTATTGAACCCATTGCATTTGCCATCACCCACTGTCATTCCTTCCTTCCATGCAGGCGTCATGAGTCAGGTGAAGTTCTCGAAGGTGAATAACAAAAACACCTCCGATGACACGTTGCAGGTGATTCGATTCATTACCCGCCTGTGACATAAACCGCTCATTAAATTGCGACTTCACCGTATCTACGAGAAATTGAACGATCACTCGACCAGTACATAATGACATCCCGCTGCCACCGTGAAAAATATTCTAGGGTACCGACAAGTACCATACAACAAGGGATTGGTTGGTTTCGGCGGCGCCGTTCAACCTACGCAATTCATGACAAAATGCACTACATAGAGCTACTCATCTCAAACATCCACAACTGCTCAGTGGAGCCGGTGTTGCTCTTGGTCTCGATCTGCGACACGATATCAGGAAACATTCCATCGGGAAGAGTAGTAATAGACGGTTCGTACAGGTGAGTTCTCGTCCCATGACGTGAGTGTCCAGGCCCAGTCGTCCGTGCCTTCGATTTCAATACTGAAGGGAAACCCTCTAAGAGACGTAGTGGTTGTACTCGTGATTATAGACTCACGAAAAAAACTCGGGCGAGCTGCTTTCCCTGACCAAAAAAAGCCAAGGGTTGTTAGAACAAGTCAAAGATCGAGTCTAGAATGGACAGCAACTTCATTAGCTCACCATGTGTCAAGGTGAAAGAGGGCAACCTACATTGGGGTCGAAGTAAATGTATTCATCACATACTTCTCCGTTGCGAACCGCTTGGAATGTTGCCAATCCACCCTCAGGAAACATTGCAAACCACTGCAGGAATGCGTTTAGGGAAAGTGGCGGCAAGTTATAAAAGTTGGTCTATAGAATCGATTATACCTCAATCGTGACTCCAGGTTCCTCCGAGTCAGAGTGTCCAATGATATTGCCGTTGGCGAGAGAGACATATCGCCCTGGGCGCGCAACATTTGCCAGCTTGCAGGTATCAGTGCGCATGTTATCTGATAGTTTTGGATGTAAGAGCTGGAGATGAATAACTCAGAGGAACAGACAAGCACTTATATACCTCGAGTGCTTTGCCAAACCGAGCACGAATCAAGGTATTTTTTCGGCGAATCTAAACCCTTATTCATCACCGGTATCAGAGTTATTCGCGCAAGAGTGGAGTGCAAGTGTCGTAAATTGTGTCAATGAGGTGGAGTGGAAGGCGTTCCCTTTCAAGCAAAATGTCCTGTGACTTGGATGTAAATGGTCGTTTACATAATGAAGAACGAATAGATAGCGTTGCAAGCTAATTGATCAACCGCCTTGATATTTCACTTAGTAAAAACTAATGAAGAGAATGCTCATTAACCCTAGGACACTTACCTCTTTCAGTTGCAGTTGGACCCCATGGGGTAAGATGTTACGCTGTTCCTCAGCGTTCCTCTGCTAGCCAAGATGTTCGTACACGTGCATCACGGATATGAGATAAAATGGAAGATCTCAAATCCCTTCCGAGCACGCTTGTCCTGTGATTTGAATGGACAAGTAGTTGCACTGTCATTTACATAAAAATGAAACGAATGAGCGAGACGCAGCCTTGCACAGCAGACGTAATAAGGAGAATACCCCCAAAAAAACCATCAGGTACACGATGTTCGCACAGTGCATCGCACGGGGACGGCAGTAAGCTCGAAAGGCTAGTCGCCTTCCACCCATGTGGGCTAATGCTCAAGTTCGATAACAGGGAAAAGTCGGCGAATGCAGTTGATGGTCTTGACTTCGTCAGTCTAGGACCAACGAAGTGGCCAGACAGAGTCGATGCCGATACCAGGGCTCAGTACCTACGATGCAGGTGTGCGTTCGTGTGTTCTGGTTATTGAGTCATTGCTGACCGACTGCAACGGAACTAGAGAATGACGGTGGGCGGTTTATGGCACAGTTGGTCCCATCCTGTCAGAGCGTAAGATAATAGTAAAACATTCGGGAGGAAGTGACGAGGATTAATCTACAATTTCTCTGATTCCCACAACCAGTCCGCCGGTCAGACCTACACCAAGAGGAGTTTTTGATCCCGACTCTTTCATACTATGTTGAAACAAGTTACGCCATCCACCAGATGTGAACCCCAGATTTAAGAACCATGCGCTTCCAGCTGAAGACACATGTAAGTACGTAGCATGAAGAGGGTGCGAAAAGCAGACCTTGCGAGTTGGATCAATTAGTAGTGGCTGTAAGCGAGGCGTCATTCCGAAAAAAGGAGATAGTATTCATCTGAATCGTTTAAGAGTTGTCAACCTGCCAGTCACTAATAGACATACTAATGTTTGAGTATGGTGCACGCTAAGTGCTAAGCTGTGGGCGGTTTCCTCCTATCTCAACACTTATCCATGTCCTCAGCTGTATAGCGGGCAGAAATTTATGACAGAGATGGCATCATGGACTGAAACCAGGGACCCGAGCTGATTCGGAGAGACCAAGAACTTTGTACTAGTGTTGACGTTATTTCAAGCCAATCAAGTCGCTCGATCGACCCCACATGACGAATTTCTCTAGGTACCATAGCCTTACGGCCAATAATAGGCTTCACAGGAAAACACGCACCTTCCGCATGTCCGAGTTACGATATCTGCTTATAGCAACACCACCATCATTATCTACGACCCACCTCGCCTGAACTGCAATCAGCGAGCCCTTGCGTTGCCACAATACAGAGGACTACCATGGACTTATATGATACTTTACAGGTGCGTCTCCCCATCTTGCCACTTGTTCCGTAGTGCTGAATGCTATCGTAACTCGACCGCGAAGACTGAATTCCCTCAAATCGATACTTCCCTTCTTGCAGCTATCATTGCAGACCATGCGCAAGAAGGGGTCGACGCAACTCGCTCCTCCGACCAGGTCGAGACTATACGAGATATATTAAAGGTTCTCGCAAACCAGGCGCAGGAGGATGAGTGCGAGCTAGACGACATTATGTCCACTACGTCTCTCACCACTCCAGACCTGTGCGACAGTATAACGACCGCAAGTGAATCATCGTCATCTCAGCACTCGTTCAGCTCACCACTTGGATTCTTGCAAGAGGCTTTCTCGGACGTGCCTATGGAACGCCTCAAGCGTCTACTGAGAGAAGAGTGTGGAGAAACCCTCGAGGGAGATGGAGATATCGACATGGAAAGAGTGGTGGAGTATATCTTAAACATGGAACATATACGCGACCTTGAGGAGCGCGGAATCGATGCCCTTGAAGACACTCCTTCACCATTGCTCAGTGGGGACTGGGAAACCGTCGTGCATACGAAACCGAAAGTGACACCTAAGCTCGCCACGCCCACAAAAAAGAAGGCCAAGGGCCGCACGATTAAAATTGTGGATATGATGCAGATGCAGCACGCCCCCTCCTCTCCAACAAAGACGAAAGGGATGCAAAAGGAGGGGGTGGCTATGGGCGCGGGTGTGGACATATGGACGCAAGTTTCCTCGCTTTCTACCCAACTCGCTGCACTACTTCCTCCAGCCCCACCATCTCATTTTGCCTCCTTTTTCCACTCCCCAACGCACGCCACACCTGCGCACGCCCTCCGCGCTGCTCTCGCAGCCCTGCCCCCGACTTCTACTACCAGCGTCAAACACAAAGCAAAGCAAAAAAACCCTATTAGGAAATCTAATGAAGATGCAGAAACCAACACGCTATCCGGCCTTCTCGACCTCCTCCAAGCCTCGCCTACTTTCGCCACTCTTGATGCGGAACAACGTGATACTTTGTACGCAGACGCTCGTGTCGCACTCTCTGCCGCACAGAACAGGCCGGATGATGCTCTAGATATCGTTTGGATCTTGCGTGACCTCGAGCATCCCGCAAGTCAAGCAGGAATATACCACCTCCCACCTCCGGTTCCAGCCTCAAATTCGAATTCTACTTCTGCACGTGCAAAGTTGCCAACCGGTCCCCCCGCTTGTGCAGGCTCCACCAACGTCGAAGCGGAAATTTGCATCCTCTCCTTCCAGTCCCACCACACCCCAAATCCCGGGGTCATGGCAAGACGTGCCAATTCGATCCTCCCGAACCACACAGCCCCTGGAGAACCCTATCCCCACGAACAAGCGTAAACTCCACGGTGCGGGCAATGTACTCGGCAAGGGCGGGAAGGGGGACATTGGAGGGCTCCCCGGGAACGGGACAGGAGGGAACGTCCATGTGGCGCGACATGCACACTTTGCGCGCGGGATACTCCAGGCGCGCTTACAGCGCGGAGAGCTGCTGCGCGAGGCGAGCCGGGCATGGCGGGGGCCATTGGGCGGGGAGGTGGCACTGTACTATGCGCAGAGAGCGAGGAAGGTTACGGAGAAGGCACGGGAGGACGCGTTGGATGAGGCAAGGGGGCTAGTTGAGGCGAAGAGGTGAGTTTTTTCTGTCTTCTACCCCGCATACGTATCTTCGAATTTCCTCCAAATACTCTCAGATTTGATACTAACGCACCCTGTAGATACGCTTCCAACGACAAAAGATCTATCGACCTACACGGGACGTCTGTTCAAGAGGCGATAGTAATCACAAGTGAGATATTAGAGAGAGAGGATTGTTCACCTGGTAAGTGCATTGTCACGCTCTGGTTGTTAGTTGCTGGGCATTTTGCTGAACTCGACCGCCTGTACCATAGCATCCCCTCTTCGCCTCATTACTGGCCGCGGTACCCACTCTGCAGGGGGCGTGGGCGTATTGAAGCCCGCGGTACACCGTGCACTCGTGAACAAGGGCTGGGATGTAAGGATGTGGGACGGAGGGTTGGTCGTTCGGGGACGGGAGCGATGGCATGTACCTTGATTTTTACATGTACGCGGGCCGATGGGTATTTATGCGATTTTTCTTGGATTTGTTGTATCTTACGTTCATGTACGTCGTATATCCGTGTTTCATCTATACCTCCCTTCCCTTTCTTCTCTGTTCTCGTACGTGTGCTTTACTGACCTGACTGTGATCTTGATTCCCATTGTATATCCATGTATACTTAGAGGTGTATCATTTGTCTCGTGAGGTACCTGCCTCGTTATACACCTATTCCTATGCGTTGGCGGTTTCGTCGTTGAGTAACTGGGGCGAAGTGAAGCTTGTGTTTCACAGATAACTTGAGAAAACAAAATTCGAGATACTTTGCTCCTGCTACTCACTAGCTGCAATATTTTCTGACAGCGAATCTTTGCAACTTGGAAGACCGCAGTGGTCATCTCCCAGCGTGTTGTCATCCGGTATTAGGCTCAACACCCGGAATCGGGCTGGATGATCATCTGTCGTGAGACCAGTGACATGAAATAAGGAAAGTGCGTACCAGGCATCATGACAAAAGTGCCCAGACAGACCGCAAGATCGGAGTCGGAGATCCCAGTTCTTCGATATTCAGGGAAATTTTAAAGAGACGTGATAGTCTTCTGATGGTGAATATGGAAAGTCTGACACCCGGGGAGATGGAGAACTTCATTGCGTTACCAGAACAAAACGTTGAAAAGGCACCAGAGCCTACCAACTCACCATGGCAAAATTTATCGAAGCTTTTCCTTTGCTACCAATTAGTCTGAAAGATTAGCGCGAAATGGACTGGATCACCTTATCCAGGTCTTGCAAGCGGGCTCCAAGTTAGAATATTCATGGTCGTTGTACATGTACATAGTATACCTACCATAAATGATCTCGGCCGGAAGTGACGTTTACACCTAATTGTTCACACAGCCACATTATTACGGCACGTGGCGACCATAGGGCCTAGTAGTACTGCGCTTGTTCAACTTCAAGCTCAAGGTCTCCATCGAAGACGACAACCGACCACGCAAGCGACCTTCTCACAACATTTTTATTGTCAAACAGATTCGGGCCAAAGAAGCGGAGCACTATAAATCGCCATGTTATTCTACCTTTCGCTCCTCGCAGTCCTGGCATCACTGGTGATGGGTGAGTACCCGCAGCAACAGATAATGGGTCATAAGGCTGGATAAACTAACTTGCTCCTCCCAGTCGGCTACCGCTACCGTGCAACTCTCCCTACGAAAGTTAAGGCTTTCTTCCCAAGCCTTAACCACTACACGCCGCTTGCCTCTTTCTCTGATCAAGCACTTGCAGGGCTGAGCTCTCCAATGTTTGACATTGAGTCAGCCAACATCGCCGAGGGAGATTCGCGAGCGGGACTGGACGAACAGGGAACGCAGGAGGTGCTGGACATCATGCGTGCCCAACGGGTCAAGTAAGTGTTTCGTTTACGTGGCTAGTGTAGCTTATCAGAACTTCATTCACACAGTTTCGACCAAGCAAGATTGATTCGCCATAATCAAATCCTCGCTCGTAATGGGATCGATCCATCAGGTCAGCATTAACATAACCTTGCAGTTCTTGGGAATTCATCATGGTATCTTACAGGCATGCCCCTTGATTCAAAGGCCATTACGAGGCTGTGATCGATTTCTCTTTTGACTACTTTCATATGTTTCACGTTATCAGTACTATCATCGAGCCGACCGATATCACTCCTTCGTCTTCTCCCATTTGGCACGGACCTTGTTGGATTTATATCATATACTCTTGTGTATTTAGTGCATGAAAAATGCTGTGGTTTTCATGGTTACTGCCCTCGCTTAGGCAGATATCCGCATGTTGAACTTCAGTGGGAAGTCAGGGATGTCAGTATTACAGCAATATGACGTATCCCGCAGGCAGTGCCGGGTGAAGCATGAAGCATTACAGGGACGGTACCTGCTGGGTAAGTGTGGGCAGTGTCGCAGTGGGGCCTCTAGTCATCAGCAAAACTACTGAAATGAACGCTTAGCTTAAGCGTGTTACGGACACTTACGAACGCTTACGACTTCACTAGCGAACTCATGCGATTGGTGGAGATGTTGAATGCAAATATTACTCACCATATCTGGTTGATAAAACTCAAGCCCAGTTATCTCGGATGATAAGATGCGATATGCTCAGATATGCAATACGGTAGATGCGAATACAATTGCTACATGCTGATCAAGCTACTATCTATACAAAGTCGGTACTAAATGTGTGATAACTCTCCTTGTCTGTGAAGCTATTCAAAAAGAAATGTTCGTAGTGTTCTAAGCAAGTTGCAGAGGACACGCCATCAGCCACTGCCTCACCATAAACTGGTATCAGTTCAACCGCATGTGTTACATCTGTCACTCGTACGACAGCCCCCTCCCTATACCTGTTACCATCTTGATCCTGCGTGTATGCGTGCTCCATAGTCCACATAGCGAGTTCAGGATGATCGTCAGGGCTGGAGATGAAGTGGAAGAATTGGATGTAGAGAAGTGGGTCAGAGAGATATGATGGCAATTCCAGGTTGGAACCTCATCGAACAATCGGCTGAAAAATCAGTTGAACTTGCGCGATGTAACTTGCTGTATATGATATCAGTAGGGCTAGAATACAGGGGAATAGAATTTACATACTCATTTTGCCATTAATGCCCATGGCATCAATGAGAACAGCATCACAGTTGCCGAGGGGGAAATCGTTGCTTGGCAGGTATGCTTGAACCACCCTGCTTGGCATGATGACACGTTGCTGGAAGGCTGAGTGAAGTTGGAGCCAAAACTTGTTCCATGCCTGATAATGCCCATATTTGGGGTCCCAGCGGGTATGTTCACCACTAAACAGTGATGATCGAGCAATGAAGTTGGCGAGGGCACAATCGAAGTTGGGGAGTATATATTTTAAGCATATTTCAGCCAGTGACAGTGACCTGTAGTCTGGAGTGACATTCACTTGGAAAGCAGTCTGCGCGTCTCCAGAGAGGATGCCTTTGAGGAAATGATTGTGGACTGGTCAGGGACCATGAACTGACTTGACTTCATCAGGGAGAACTCGGGAAACCCACGAGAGTGTGGGGTTAGTAGTCGCAACCTCATCCTCTTCGGCATGCATGGCATTGACCAACGGCGCCCCACGGGAAGTCAACAGTGCGTACAGGTCGAATATCTCCATTGCTTCTTGGCGGTTAAGAATCTGCATGCACTGCTCCGTAAAATCTTTGCCCTGCTGGGCCATCCGTTGGAAAAGATCCTTGCAGTGGGTGATGAGCAAGCACTCCGTCATATCAGCTGAAAACTGCATCAAAGTGCCTAATCGCTGGACTGTACCCTTGAAGCTTTGTAGTAGTTCGAGTTTGGGGATGAAAAAATTGTCTTTGATGCCCCCCTTCCCCTTCCTTGCTTTGGCCTCAATAATAGCGCCCTTGAAAAAGTGGAAGTCAGAAAGAGCCTGCTCCATTGACTGAAGTGTTTCAGATGAATGAACTGGATTCTGTGCGAGGTAAATGAATTCTACAATGGCATGGATTGTGCGAATGAATTGGGGTGAAGTGGCACCTGCAATCAAGGCAACAATAGTGCGTTGTATGTCTCTGTACTCACGGCCCGTCATTTGCTTGACCTGCATGATACCTTTTGTGAAGTGGCGTGTACCGACTCGTTTGTGCTGGATGATGAAGCAGTTATCAAGCTCGTAAGCTCCTACAGCCTCTTTGACCCATTTGAGCGGATGGTCAGCAAAAAATTTAAAGCAGGTATGCAGAATTTCACCAGTGAGGAAGATGGATGGACATGCATAGATCCAATTGTGCCAGTATGGCATGTGAACACCAGACAGGTTGACAGCCTTGGCTGCTTTCTGGAACTTATCAAGATCCCAAGGATCAACCTTGCAGGATATTTCGATAAGCTGTCGCAATGTATGCTCCCCAGTATGAGGGGGGTGGAGTGTCCCATCGCCAAAATCCTCTTGCACCGCCATAGTCACAGGGGATGCATTTTTCGTGACTGTAGCGATCATAGAAGCCTCCAGCAGGTCACATATATGAGCTATGAGTGGTGTAAACACATAACAAATGTATCGGGAGGAGTCAGGCATGAAACACCCATCCAATGCCGTGGCCTTGAGGTTAGCAAGCACGAGGTCCATGCATTTATGCCATAGCCGCACCTGGAGAATGCTTTGATAGTCTGAGTGCACGCGGAACTTTGCAATTGGCATGTAGGCAATACATTGCCAAGCTCGTAAGGTTGCCTTGGAGCGAACTTCCGAATTGATGTTGCTGATAGTTATGAAGACTGGGTGCATTTCAAGTCCTCTGGTGATTTGTGTTACATGAGTTTTATCAGATCCCAGTATGATTGGCACTTGAGTCGCATCCACAGGGAGATGGTCCTAGAAAATTGTGATGTCAATCTGTGACAGTTAGGGATATATTAGCAGAGTAAGCAAACCTGGATTCTCCATGCCATATCAGCGCTCATGTAATCTCCGTATTCATGCTTATTTCCAACATTGACAATGTGCGGAGTATATGTCATATGATTCATGAAGATGGGATCACTAAAGAGTTGTTTGATGACCTCTAGTGCATTGCGCCAAATAAGTTCAATGGGATGGACTGTCTTGTAACCTGAAAATTCCATTTTGGAGACTTTCCACTCCATGAAACATGGGAGTGAGTCCATCCAGTCTAATAGCTGGTCCTTCGTATTGAAAGACGGCCTTGCATGAGTGTTAAACTGTCGAGGAATGGTGAGCATCATAGACCTAGCTTGTACCATCACTCACCCATTTCAGCTTCAAAAATTTAATCATTTGAGTCTGGGTGAGGTTTTCAACCAAGAACTTTCCCAACTCCCATTCACCTTCGTCATGGAAAGGGTAATAGTGGTTTATTTTCCGCTGATATGCATATGGATCATCATCCAGCCTATCAAGCATATTTCTACCGACGCCGAAGACATATCCAGCATGCGGATGGCAAGTACCAGTTGCAGGTATTTGGTCACTTCTGCATCGACAGAATACAGGAGGGACGGGTACTGCTTGCGGTTGTGCTTCAGATGGCCAACAAGTAGACTCAGAATTGAGATGCTGAATCAGTGCCTTGGTAGATGGAAAGTCTCCCAAGTTGCAGTTAGGGCATAACCTAATGTAAGTGCACATCAATATCATACATCGAGCCTGACAGAATATACTCACATTGCTGATTTTGCCCTCAGGTGTTGCAATTGGATTGACTGGCTGAGGAAACTGCGAAGTCTTTCAAAGTCTGCAGACTACACATCTCTGGTGTATCGCTTGTATCACCTGCTGTATCAACTGTTGTGTCGCTGAGACGATGATGGAATTTGCGCCTTCATCCCCCATCCCCTCTCCTCCTTGATCAAGCAGTCCTGCTCCCTGTTACGGCGAACCGTAGGTCGACTAGGATGGGCGCGGCAATAGATACTCGATAAGAGTAGCGTCTAGAGCCGGTTCGTAACCTTACAAATGTAAGGGTCTGGTAAGACAAATCAGAGAGAGTGTCTCTGATTTGAATATCGATATCAGACACTTAAGGATTGGGGGTCCTTAAGCGAAGGATGTTCTGGGTAAAACCTAGTAGATTAAAGTGAAGACTAACTAAGTACAAGACCTGCTTATATAGGTAAGGCCAGCTTTAGGGCCGGTACGTACACGTCATCGAGACGAGTCAGAGATAAGGAATGACGTCATCGAGACGAGTCAGAGATAAGGAATGACGTCATCGAGACGAGTCAGAGATAAGGAAGGTGACGTCAGCTAGCGACGGCATGAGGCGGTCGTGCTGTAATACATGAGGATGATATCGGAGTCAGTCTAATGATGGCACCGGGAAGCGCGGTCACGACGTAATACATGAGTAAGAGAAAAATGATAGGGGGCAACCGTAACTGTAACATTACCCCTCGTTTAGCGATGAAGTCACCGACTTCACATATCTTGGTTGGCCCAGTAGATAGGGTCGGCGTCGTAGTTGGAGTGAAGGAGGTCATCTTGTTCCTCCGTGATAGTAAGGGACTGCGCCATCTCTTCGGTGTGCGCGATTCCATCTTGCTCGATCTCCCAACGAGCGAGTGCTTCGTAAAAACCGGCGTCAGTCCATACCAATGGAATGACTGCTTCGCCTTTTAGGTCTTTGCAAAAGACCGACAGGTGACCGGGCGCGTATTCTCGGCAAACTCTGCAATGGTACGCGGGGCAGTTCTTGTGACGGTGGCCAGCGATGTGGCAGTTACGACATACGACATTGTCGACAGGTGACGTTTTTACAATAGTGACGGATGAGGATTGGTTTGGGGGGGATGGTGACCGTGATCTCTTGAGTGATGGCTTGGTAGGGGAGACGGATGCGGCTCGTTTGGCGGCGAGGCGGGAAGATCTGCGTTTGAGTGGGAACCGTCGTTTGGTGCGCGCGACCGGGTCAGGTGAAGGAGAAGCTGGTACGTCAAGTACGGCAATAGGAGGGATAAGATCATCCTGATGCTCCACGGGAGCTGCATCGGTAGATGGTGGGGGTACTGGGATAATGACATGAGGGGAAGGTGGTCGTGCAATGGGGTTGAGAGCAATTCGCTCAGTGACGATATGGATGGCCTCTCTAATTGCGTCTCTGGTATCTTCAGGGAGGAGGCGGATGGCAGTGTTGCGAATGCGAATATGAAGATGACGAAAGATAGTCTGATGACGTTCATCGTCAAGAAGGGCGGCGGTACGTTCGATAAGGCTAGCGTCTCTGATGATTCGAATTATGAGACCGCTAGAGATTGCTCCTCTTTCTCCAAGGAGGCGGTCAATCTCAATAGCGTACTGCTGAGAGGTGATGGCGGATTCAAATAAGGCGCTGGTTTCGACTTGGTCAATAACCGAAAAATAATCGGTCAGAGTCGAATCGTCGGTGAGAGTCAGGGTGGAATCGGAAGTGGGTGGTGAAGGTACGGGGGATGTGAAGGCGTGACGTGCGAAGTCGGCGGCGGTGGCGTTCTGATATTCCTGGAGTGTTACGGGGTGTGCTTCACGTTCACGTTCAGCAGCGATGTTCATAGCGGTAGTGATTTCTTGGATACGGAGGATGCAAAGGCGTAGTCGTTCGATGGAGGACATTCTGAGGGGAATCTATAATCCGTGGGCCTTCTTATAGGCGTTGAGGACGTCGGAGGCATTATCGAGATTTCCTTCTGGAACCCATTCGTTACTGGCTGATGAGTATCCTTTCCACGATAAGAGATAGCGTCTACGTTTACCCGTCCCTTTGTGCGATAAGATCGCATCGACTTCGTATTCTTCTTCGTTCTCAATAACGTCAGGAGGAGGGTTATGGAAGTTCGGTCCGTGGATCTCTGTCTCATGATAGGACGATAGCTCGGAAGCATGGAACGTGGGGTGGACTTTCCATTGGGGTGGTAACTGAAGTGTGAACGTGATGGGGGATAGGACGGCGGTGATTGGGAATGGACCATATCGCTTTGGAGCGAGTTTTCGTGATGGTAGCTGCGTGATCAGGTTCTTTCCGGATAACCAAACCTTATCTCCAACTTTCCACGGGTGATACTTCTGCCCGTGAGTTCTTTCTGCCATACGCTGCATTGCAAGGTTGTGGCACGAGAGCGCTTCTTCTCTAGACTTCTGGAGCGTACGGAGTCTATCTTCCGCAGCTGGGACTGTGGAATTGGGGAGGACATGCGGAAGGGCTCGTGGTTCGTATCCCATCATAAGGAAGAATGGCGAAGCGTTGCGGGAATCATGTTTGCGATGGTTGTGGACGAATTCCGCCATAGGGAGCTGTTCTACCCAGTTTTCAGGGTTATTCCGACAATAGATTCTGAGATAGGTTTCTAGCTCTTGATTGAGCCGTTCTGTCTGTCCATCGGTCTGGGGGTGGTAGGCGGTCGATGCCGCTATGTCGTACTTCAGTAGTTTGGCAAGGGCCTGGGAGAACTTGGATACGAATTGCGGACCGCGATCAGAAATGACTTTCTCGTGTAGGCCGAATCGCCTGTAGACATATTTGAAAAATTTGTTGGCGACCCCTTCGGAGGTGATGATTTTAGTACAAGGGATGAGAATTACCCCCTTCGTAAGCCCATGGTCGACCACGACCATGACCGAATCAAAGCCAGAACAAAGGGGAAGGTCCGTGATCAAATCGACGGAGACCTGGGTGAAGGGTGCTGCGGCAACGGAGGGAATAGGAGCAAGGGGAGGGGTCGTCGGATGGGTATCGGATTTCATTTGCTGACAAAGGGCGCAACCCTCAACGTATTTACGAATATAGGTGCCCATAGCGGGCCACCAAAAATCGCGTTTAACCAATTCTTCAGTCTTGAAACGGCCAGGGTGGCCGGCGGTGGGATGGTCATGACATCGTTCTAAAATGAGGTGTCGTCCGGCAGGACGAACGTAGGCACGGTCCTTATAATAAAGGATATCATCGGTGATTTTCCAATCAGAGAGGGCGGATTTCATAGGGGGAAGGGATAAACCGTCTAGTGCATCAGATGCGGCAGTGAAGATGGGGTCGGGATCGGAGGGATCAGGATTTACTAGGGTGGTCATGAGTTCGACGTCAAGAAGTCGGACAAACATAGAATCGGGGAGGAGGGTTTCATTGATGTTATCATCAGCGGAATCTGATCCATGGTCGGGGCGGCGGGATAGAGCGTCAGGGGCGACGAGTTTAGTTCCTGCAACATGGTGCAGCTCGATGTCATAGCAAGACAGAATTAACTGCCACCGTGCTTGGCGGCGAGTCAGCTTCTGTGCTGTCCTGAAGTATAGAAGGTTCTTGTGATCGGTGAATACGATGACGGGATGGGGATTTCCTTCTAAATAATGACGCCATTCAGTGAGCGCGCGGATAACCGCGAGAAGTTCGCGATCAAAGATTTGATAATTCCGTTCTGCGGGGTTCAGGGTCTGCGATAGATATGCGCATGGATGATAGACACCGTTTACATCGGTCTGGAGTAGGACTGCTCCGGTAGCGACAAGGGAAGCGTCCGTGGCAACGGCAAACTGTTTGGAGGGATCCGGGTTCCGGAGGACCGGTTGCTTTGTAAAGCATTCCTTTAGTTCATCGAAGGCGGAAGTGCATCTTTCCGTCCACGAGAACTTGACGTCCTTCTTGGTGAGGTCAATCAGCGGTCTAGCGATGTCGGAGTAATGGGAAATGAAGTTCCGGTAGAAGTTGCAAAATCCTAGGAACGACCGAACTTCTTTTACCGACGTAGGGATAGGCCAGTCTCGAATGCCGTTAGTCTTGGCGTTGTCCATAGCTACGCATCCTGGACGGATGATCATTCCGAGGTATTCCACTTCTTCTGCATCGAACGTGCATTTTTCCGGTTTAAGGAAAAGTTTCTCTTGTCGGATCCGTTCAAGGATATGTCGAGTGCGTGCATGATGAGAGGTGAGGTCGTTGGAAAATATGAGGATGTCGTCCATGTAAATGACTAGCCATCCCTCATTGATTTCTTGTTGAAACGTCCTGTTCATATATGCTTGGAAAGTAGCCGGGGAATTGCAGAGACCGAAGAACATGACATTAGGCTCGAAGAGCCCATACTCCGTAGTGAAAGCAGCCTTCCAACGATCTTCTGGATGGATACGGATATTATTATATCCTGATCTGACGTCCATTTTCGTAAAATACTTTGCACCATGTAACCGGGCGACCAGGGAGAGTGGTAGTGGGAGCGGGTAGGCGTTCTTGACAGTCCATTCGTTGATATACCGGTAGTCTTGACAAGGGCGGAGGTCTCCACTCTTCTTTCCTACGAAAAAGAAACCGCTAGCTTGCGGTGATTTCGATTCGGAGATAAACCCTTTCTGAACGTTTTCATCAATGAATGCCTTGACCGCTATCCGCTCTTTTTCAGATAGTGGGTAGACCTTAGACGTTTTGGGAATAAAACCTGGCTTGGTTTCTATTCGGTGATCTATACCGGGTCGTTCTGGTGGTAGTTGGTTTAGGCCATCCTTTGCGAAAATATCTGCGAAGTCGTGAAGGTAAGAAGGAACGAGTTCCTCGAACGACTTCTTCTTCTGTTCAAGCCCGGCGGCTAGCGCAAACTGCTGAGCCTTATTACTTGTCTTCACGTGTTCAGGTGGTGTCAGGGGAGCGATCCTTGGTCGTTGCTCTGCGATACTAGTTCCGTCCCTTGTTAGGGGAGTGTCGAGTGAAACGTTGGTGATTACCCGGAGCTCAGAAGCGTCGGCGGGATATTCGACTAGGAATTCATCATCCTCTAGATGATAGGTGGAGACTTCTCGCACAGGCGGTGCGTAGCTTGCTGTCCATACGTCCTCCTTTGTATCAAAGGAGTCATCGTCGTCTTCTGGTATAGGATCTAGGTTAGGCAACGCTGGTGAGGTTGCTTCTTCATCGACGATTTCTTCTATCGTGGCATGCGGTGGTTGTTGCTCGGTCATTTCCCTAGGAGGCGCCTTCGGCAGCACTACAGCTGGGATCGGTTCTTTCTTCGTTTTCTTCTTTCGGAAGAGGGGAGGTAGCCCGTTTTTCTTCCATTCTTGATCGACTTCTTCCTCGATCTGGTCACTCTTCTCAGTTCGAGAGAGTTCCAGCGTTTCCGCTTTCCATCTGATTACTGGATCCATGGCGCGTAACCAGGGGATTCCAAGTAAAATCTGATCACGTCGACCTAGTCGCGTGATATTAAACTTTCCGATCATTGATCGGTTATCTATCTTGACGATGAGGACGCAATATCGAGTGATAGCGCCCCCCTTCGCATAACTTCCATCCGCAGTGGTAACTCGGAATGGCTTTGAGAGTTTATGCGTTCGAATTCCGTGAGTCTTGACGAACTCTTCTGAGATAAAGGTTCCGGCGGCGCCGGAGTCAACAACGGCTGTTGTTTCGACGGTTTTCAGACGGGTTTTGGAGATGAGAGAGATGGGAACGCGGAGTTCCTTTCTTATTCCAATACTTTGTACAAGTCTGATAGGTATATCGGAAGATACGGACGTCGATCCCGTCTTCCACATCAAAAATCCTCGGCGAGGCGACGGATCGTTGTATCTTCTTCTTCACTGTCGCTTATCTCTTCTCTGCGGACAGGAATCTTCTTCTTCTTTGGGCATGCCTTAGTCATATGCCCCTTCTGGTGGCATGTGAAGCAAAGCCCCTTCCTCATGTGATCGCTTCTCTCGGCTTCAGTGAGCCGATCCACCTCCATAGCGTTTGGATCATGTCGGTCAACGGAGGGTCTGGGCACATAGCGTTGCGCAGAGGGTTTGGTGGTGATTCGATGGTTGGATCTGAATGCGACACCCCTCTGGTAATTGCTATCAAGTCTGATGACTGCGGCGATGTACTTGTCGAAGTCTGTTGGGATGGTTTCCATCTGGTAGACGGAGTTAACGATCCCTTTCTTCAATCCGTCATTGAGGAACGTGATGAGGACGGCGTCTTGCTTGACTTCTGCCTGAGCAGCGAGCGTCTTGAAACTGGCGATATAGGAAGTGATGTCGCCCGTCTGTTTCAGTGTTCTGAGCTTGTTCATGGCGGTACCGACGGCATCGGCGGGTACGAATGCTTCTTTGAACTTCGTTTCGAAGTTCGCGAAGGTTCCATAGCTCTTGGCGGTGGTGTTCTCAACTTCGGTGTAGAAGGTGAGTGCCCAACCCATAGCGCTATCTTCTGTCATGTACGCGAGGGCGGTAATGACCTTCTTTTCGTCGGTGTTGTAAATTGTAGCGTTGAGCGCAAAATACGCTTTTAGCGCATACAACCAACGTAGTGCCTTCTGCGGGCTTCCGTCATAGGTAGACGGAGCTCCGGCTTTCAGTTCTTGGTAATTGGTGGACATCCTGAGCGTTTCTGGTCAAGGGATGTTTCTGGTTCAGGGGAACGTTCTCGTTCTCTCGCTGAGTCTCTTCTTGGTTCTGTATAACCTCTTTTGATGAGAGGGTCTTCTTGGTTCTGTATAACCTCTTTGATGAGAGGGTCGATTGGTGGACTTTAATCTTTTGTTACGGCGAACCGTAGGTCGACTAGGATGGGCGCGGCAATAGATACTCGATAAGAGTAGCGTCTAGAGCCGGTTCGTAACCTTACAAATGTAAGGGTCTGGTAAGACAAATCAGAGAGAGTGTCTCTGATTTGAATATCGATATCAGACACTTAAGGATTGGGGGTCCTTAAGCGAAGGATGTTCTGGGTAAAACCTAGTAGATTAAAGTGAAGACTAACTAAGTACAAGACCTGCTTATATAGGTAAGGCCAGCTTTAGGGCCGGTACGTACACGTCATCGAGACGAGTCAGAGATAAGGAATGACGTCATCGAGACGAGTCAGAGATAAGGAATGACGTCATCGAGACGAGTCAGAGATAAGGAAGGTGACGTCAGCTAGCGACGGCATGAGGCGGTCGTGCTGTAATACATGAGGATGATATCGGAGTCAGTCTAATGATGGCACCGGGAAGCGCGGTCACGACGTAATACATGAGTAAGAGAAAAATGATAGGGGGCAACCGTAACTGTAACACTCCCACTAACTCGAGCTCTGCGACTCATGTTGAACCAACTTCCTTTGATCTTTTCAAGACAAAACAGTATCACTCTCCTCATTTAATGACCTCTGAAATAGGCTCTTCTGATGCAGGTTCTCCCCGTGTTTCCCTCTCCCCAGTGGATGAGGTGCCTAAACCTCCTGATACAAGGAAAAGTGTATTATATAAGGTACCTAAGTCTCTGAATGCAAAGTGGAACATATCATACAGGCATCTCAAATCTCCTTCACGTCATGGAAAGCCTAGCCTCAAATCTCCTTCCTGGCATGGAAATCTTCTTAAAGTCGCATCCCCTTCCTGTCGTGGACAGTACCTGCGTGAGCGAATGTCGAAGAATTACATTCCATACCCTCTCCATCAGGCTCCACTGGAACTCCGATTTGCAGCTTGTGTTTCAGGGTGAGGATGTAAGCCAGAGTTTACGGCCAAAGAAATTCGCAAGGTATGTTTCTCATTCTAAAATACTCCTCAAGAGGTTCATTCATAGGTCAAAAGTGAGAGGACACAATTTGCAAGGGCCTCTCACATTTGAGCTTGGAAACTTTGCATGCATTATTCAAATCAAAGCTTGCTGGCCACAAAGCTGCACGTCAACGTCTTGTGATGATGGCATGGGAGCTTGAGGAGTCAGAGCAGTTTACAGCATTCCTGGATAGTTCATCATGAGAACAAAGACCACCTCCTCTTGAGTGATGAAGAGTTGAAATGGATCAGAAACACTTTTTCTGACCGCTCACAAGAACAAATCAATGATGAAACAAACTACCTTCAAGCTGTCTATGATGAAGATTGCGAAATTCTTCGTGCCATTGCCACCCAAGCTGAGTTACTCTCTAGGCACTTAGGCTTAAACGTTAAGGAGGATATATTGGGTTCTATGGGAAAATCTTCTCACTCACCTTGATTCATCAGTAATTCTCATCCATCTTCCAATATAGATGATATTGTGGATGATGACGAATCCAATGATGACGACAACAACAATGACAATGACAACGACAATGATAAAGAAGCTGCCAGAACTTCCTAATTTTAGCTATTACTTCAAATCATGGTATATAATTTTCACTTTCAGGTTATTTTGCTCACACTGATCTATATCATAGTAGATAACTACGCGTTGCTCAGATCTCACCGTTCATACATCAGTTCTTGAAATGCCATGCATTTTCCCCCTGTCCATTCAATATGCTTCTTCGCCCTCTGCCCTTTCCCCATGTATTCAATTTTTTGGAAACCCTGCCTTTTACCATCACCATTCAATCCACTTCTCAATCCACTGTGACCCCTCTTTCAATTTTCCCATAGATCTCCTTATATCAATCACAATGTGTTTCATTTTTCCCAGCCTGTAAGTCGTATAGCAAGTCTGTGTCTCATTATTTCGTGTATGAAATCGAATCAAGTGGCACACATCCTTTTCGGATGTGCGATTTTGTTTACTTATCTTCTTGACCACCATCTCGATGTCAGGTGCGCGTGGCTCAAAGTGCAAGGGCAAAGCTGCCATCCCCAAGCCAGCTAGGGGATCAGGCCTGAATCCATCTGGTTTGCCAGCTGCTGATCAACTAAATCTTGATGCAGAACAACCCCAAATGGTGCCATTCAACTTTGATCCGTATGGACAATCTGTAGGAGGGTGGCAAGGTGAGTGGTTCAAGGGTTGCGTCTATTGATTCACTAATCAGTCACACAGACACACAGCAACAGCTTTATGGGAACACTGAAGGCCCATCGTTTGGTCACACGCAGGGCCAAGCGGCCACACAAGGGCAGTTGCCATACAACCACACCCAAGGCTTGTTGCCTTATGGAGACGGAGAGGGTTTGATGTCATATGGAGCAGGTCCATCGTCATTCGTTCACGCACAGGGTTTGTCTTATCAAGATGGAGAGGGTGCTTCATATGGAGATGGAGAAGGCGCTTTGTATGGAGATGGAGAGGGTGCTTTGTATGGAGATGGAGAGGGTTCAGTGTCGTATGGAGTGGGCCATCATCGTTCGGTCATGCACAGGGTTCGTCTTGTCGAGACGGTCAGAACATATCGGGTGAAGAAGGTTATGACTTCTACAACTACTTCAAGGATGTCTCATTCAACTCAGGTCCATCATTTCCCGATTTCCCCCCTGATCACCCTGGACAAACAGTACCTGTGCCTCGGTGGATTGAAGAGGCACCAGACGGAGGTACCAGTATCACAGATTGAAGCGGGGGGCTGTCACCCCCGGCTTCAAATTTGACGATGATTCAACAAGGGGAAATTCCCGCCTTGGAAGTGGTACATGTCAGTGTTTTCTTCTTTTGTTCATGAAATTTTGTTTAAAATATATGTGCACAGATGGCAGGGCCTGCAAGGACAACCCGGGCATGCAGAGATTGACATGCCAATATGCCTGCAATGCCATACCAGGCATCGCAGATCCCCGCCAACACTGCCAACACGCAGACGCACACCACTGTCACCGAACCGCACGAGACACCAAATGACCAACGACCTAAAAATGACATTATACTAACGAAAGAAGTCATCCAGCAATTGATAAAGGACGCCAAAGTGTTGATAACACAAGTTGTATTCTCAAGGAATGCGATGGTGTACTCTAGAAAGAAAAAGAAGGACATCGTTGATAAGGCCATTACTGACTCAGTCCCACAGTTTTACGGGCCAGATGGTGAGTTCATGTATTGTCTAGATTATACACTTTTTTTGTTAATTTTCGCAGCTGTATTCCAGACTTTCATCACGAATGTGCACCGTAAACAGGTCGCAAATGCCTTTTCTGCTAAACGTGGAAAAATGATCGATTTTGCGCAGGATGGCACTTGCGATGCGTTCCAACTTTTGCCCCCGCAAGGACACACCTTACCAGCAGACCAGTATCACATTGCCAGGGTCAGCCTCATTATTTGGGGTGCTGACCCTCTTCTGTTCATGCACGACTTTTATTTCGACGAGGTACGTCAAGCGATTCTCAAGTATTACTCAGAGTTTGTATTTACTCACATGTCTTTCTCAGAACAATAATATATTCGTACGCGCAAGATTCAAGAGCAGATTCGTTATGGCCAATGTGATCAGGTTCATATGGTATTGGAGCAATGCATCATTTCTTGACACGTCCTTGCTCAAGACTATCAAGAACGTCGTAGGTGTAGCTGGCGCAGCTACGTACTGTGCGTTGTATGAACAAGGAATGGCGCAGTTGGACATAGACCCGTTTGGTGGAAAAGCTCACCATGACAAGTTCAAAGAAATTGTTCGTGCATTCAATGGACTTACTGGTGCAGAGAAGACTGACTTGGAGCAGCATTTCCGGTATATATTAGAAATTGGACCTTCGCAAGCACGGGGCCAGAGCTCGTTGGCATCAGACTCAGAGATGAGTGATTCGATGTAGATAGCGTAGATTATCTAGTACTAGTAACAGATTGTACAGATTCTTATGATAATCGAGCCGATAATACAAGATCTCGCGTCGGACATCTCTTAAGTTGAGTCAGGGTCTAACTTAACCAAAAACGGACGTTACGGACGCTGACCTGAGCTAACTAAAAAGCATATGCACACGAGCATTTTATGAGCGTCGTGTGAGCGCTTTCGAATCAAGTCACATTTGCTGATGTAGGGGAGAGTTGAACTAAGATGCTCAGATTTTGGTCGAGTTTCCTTTTGAGAACAGAAAATAAACAATCAGTGCCAATTTCGTTTTTTCTATGAATTTGCCCTACAAAAGTGTATGCATGTCTCGATACTAAGTAATACTGATTTATATCCTCCATGCCACCTTTTCGGCGGGCATCTTTCAAGAATGAGGACGAGGCGTATACAGAGGTAAGTTCGTAAGGTGACGCTGGTAAATGGTTTGCCTATGACGCGACTTGCAGGGAGTCTCCCAAGCGAAACGGCAGAAAGGCAACTCGGGAAGGATCATGGTCCCCTCTCCAAAGATGCGTGTTACAAGAACATCCATGTTACTCGATGGCCTGCTAGATTTTTTTCGAACTGGAACAGAAAACCATACGTCTGATGACCCAGCAAATGACCCGGAGGAAGCCAGTTATTTTGAACGTTTTATGTGCTCCGTGCTGCCAGAGTGTTTGGAAGTACGTTGCCAGGTACAAGACAGCGATTGCGGAACGGACAACTTTGTACGGATTATATTTTGAGACGGGCAATGAAGCTAACTGAAGGCAGGGCACTCTTCTTCGACCTTTGTCTCGGTACGAGTTGTCGGCTGCGATAAAGTATGCGTCCGCGTTTGGTGCGGCGGCTCTTCCTTCACCGGCACAGGCAACTATATTGAGAAAGCTGCAACTCCGTCGGGTAAGTAGTCATCGTTTAGATGTGACTCAGAGACCAGAGGTTTATTTGTGTGGCAGGAAAGACGTAGAACAGATATCCAGGGGCTAGACTTTGTCAATTACAATTCTTTGACCTCCGCACCCCCCCAATTACCGCCTCAGCCGCCACAATCAGGCATTTTTAACTCGCTAAAATCTATCCGAACGACACCTTACGAAATTTCTTTCTTATCTCGCCTATGTGGGCATAGACCGTCTACAGACTTAGGGTTAGTTGCAGTAGACTGGGAAACCAGATCTCCTTGGATAGAATTGATGACAGATGTGCGAGAACACTACTCATATGCCCAGTAGGTCTTTTTTACCCGAATGACTACGCTTCTCACCTCAATGTTATCATTAGCCCTGCATCATCTCAATCACCTGAAGTTCCGGTTCCAATCCGTTATGTCTCCCTGCAGTCGTCCCACCTTCAACAGGTACACGAATTATTAGCTAGAGTGTTTTGGGATGGAATTGATGGTTTGTTGTATCCTCTCATGTTCATAAGTTGCTGTCTCATGTAATTCAGTCAGCGACTTGCTTCAGTCTTCCCCCGAGCGTTGCTCGGTGATTGCCATGTATGGCAAAATTGTCATTGGGGTGGCTCTTTTGAGCTCGCCTCAGGAAGCATACATCACGTACCTAGCCGTCAGAGCTGGCTGGCATAATTCTCAGATAGCAACGTACGTTGCAATTTCTCGAGTCTATAATAATAGTTTACAATCTTTCAACAGCACTATGTTATATCACCTGATCATGCTCAATCCGCACAGAGATATCACACTTCACGTAGCTGCTAATAATCCAGCGATGGTGCGCTTTTACTGGTGATTGGTGTTGGCACACATTTCTAAAACTTGTCTAGTTGCTGTACAACAGATTTGGGTTCAAGGCCGAGGAGTTCATCATAGGGTTCTACGAAGATTACCTGGACTCTCAGTCGAGGGCATCTATGAATGCCTTCAGACTGCGTCTTCGACGATGACAAAATGATCTTCAGATTGGTACCGATCTAATCACCAGAGCGACAGGGACTTGCCGATAATTTTAGTGCTCCCGGTGTACTTTGTCGGGAATAGCTATACCCGCCAAAGTCGAGGTGTTGATATACGCCCGGCGTATTAATCGCGATGTTCCATCACCAGGGGCCAGGCACAACCGCAATGTTAGGGAGTCAACCATAATATATCAATCCGAATGTCATGAATAGCAAATATGAATGTATGTTTTCATGTCCGTGCTCTGATTCTACCGGTCTCAAGCATCTCATACCACCACATGGGAAAAAATAAAAATTCATGGTTAAGAGGTATTTTTTGCAGGGAACCCGATGGCTGCTGGTTGAAACGGGTATCCATTGGGATGGTCAAACAACGTCAACTTAGTCGTTAACGCGAGGACAGTCCAGACTGCAGGGTGTGTACCCGGAGCCTGCAGCCCACAGCACAGGTCTAGTGATCTCCCACCCTTATCGCGCACAAAGCCGCTCTTCACCAACAACGTTGGTTTACCCACCTGTTGTACAGCTAAGCTGTCGTGATGTCATCAGTAAGTGAAGTCTAACTTTTAGGGTTGGGGGAGGGGTATAAGACCCTCATGTTTTGCGTATGATTTTTTGTCGGGGCTCTCAATGATGGACTCGATGGCCGGCCCTATGCTCATGATCAACGCATTTCAGGATCCTACGTCGAGGTGAATCTATAGTTGGCCGGATGACGATCTAATCGGCACCACAACAGTATATGAAATGAAAGGTGACAAACTGAACCCTGCAAGATTGATCTTTCACGTTGCTGATCGCTATCTACTTTCAGTCGCTGGTAGAAGTGGGGCACAGCAAGGATCCTCTTTTGCATTTTTGCCATCTTCCATTTGTTTACGATGCCGCTATGTGTAAGTTGGATTCATCAAACGGATGCCAATGTGCTATTCATATTTTCCTAACGCTGGTCGTGACTGAGATTGTCATGTCATTGGCATGACTTTCACTGTCAACTTACGTGTACATCAGTGATCCTCATTCTTGCGCTGACTCAAGCCAGAGTGTATTCGCAGCAAATGACTGGCGTTGCGAGTGGTTTGTTGGGGTTGCTGTATCACGATTCTATTTTTATATGGTATGCCTAGTGCGTAAGCCCTTTCACGACTGCATTCAAATGATCGCGAATAACTACCTTTGTAACACAGTCGTATCTATAACGAACATGGTGGCTATTTCAGTGAGCGATCAGATACCTCTTCTAGTATGGCGACTTAGGACCTCCAACGAAACAGTCACGCTATTGTCAATCAACTCTTTGATACATACGTCGCGTCGTTTGTTAACGTCTGTCCAAGACTGCATGTGCTGTAACGTAGATTCCCGGCAGTCATGCACTCCGTCCTTTCACATCATGTTTAATTTTAGGCAAAGTGCATATTGCGATGTTCATTCTGTGGAGTCATCTCGGACATGGACCCTCCGGACATTACACTTTGTTGTTCCGTTTTCAACCTTGGGATCAGGGGGTGATGTGAATAATAGAAGCAGTTTCCAGTCACCAGTGCTATACATGGCCTGTGTTACCACTAGCTATACTATAATCGATCACTTAGAGTACCAAGTGTGGTCAGTTGACTCAGCTGACCCCCCGAACTTTGATCCTGCCAACATAGGGGTTGATTAGGCACTGGCTGGTGTTTGTTTGTCAATTGTTCCCAGGCGTGGTGGTTGGTGGATTGTGGAACCAACAATCCTCTTTCGCAGTCATTGATTTCTACGCATACTTACGTGCAAGGACATCAGACCTGTTCCTTTCCTTTCTCTTGTACTTATCTGCTTTCTGGTTTATGATCTCTGTTACGAGTTGTTATGCCTTTCCCATTCACATTCAGTTTTCGCGTACCGGGTCTTCACAATCCGTTTACCGCTCAATCGGCAGTAAAACCGTCCCGGAATGACAGGAAAGATGCACTGCTTGATCATGCAGCTGCTATTTCTCGACGTAATTGCACCCAATTTCCTCCTCCCCGCCGTGCATCACCGTCACCATCACTATCACCGTTTGTACCACTAAACCGTAAGCGCGGTTGGGTCCCTTCTATCCCCGAACCTAGCCAAGCTGCCACAAGCGCTGCATCTACTCGCGGTTATCTTGATACACCAGCAAAGTACAGGAATATGGCGCATGAAGCGCATGAACAGGAATTTGTTGAAGAAATGTTTGCAGGTGTGTCTCAATCATCCATGATGTAGCATTACATATTTGCAAGCGATACCCGCGCCATGCGCCTGCCATGTGTTTGGTGCTTCGTGATCCACGCGTTGTCCATGCGCAGGCTACGGTTTTTATTCTGGAATCATGTCCCTTGCTTCTTTACTTTCATCTTCCAACCTACTTTCATTCATGCCTTTGGTTATCGTTATTGAAATAGATGTAGAATTACCACCCGTCAAGCGGCGTCGCACTCTCGCCGGTTCGATCGTGTCTACAGCGTTGAGCGCTGCTCTTATCGGGACTGCTGTTGGTCTCACTGTATATCGCCTGTGAGTGCAGAATTTCAGTTCGATGTTAATGTCACTTATCACTATTGAGCGCAGCTGGCGGGACCGAGGCAAGGAACAAGAAAGAATACAACCATTACCACCACCATACCACCCGGGTGACTGGGTCCCCGAACAAGTATGTACAGCCTTGTGTGTGTTACTGTGTCGTCATTGACATACTATCAGTACAAGGATATTCAAGTTACCCCTCCTACTCCGAAATCACGCAAGCCTCGCTCAACACCTTCCGTTCGTCGCTCCGGCACACGACACCGCAGGGTGCGCACTCGCGGTCGACCAGTTACCCCATCACGTAGTGTCTCCCCTGCCCTCATGGCTCATCCACCCCCAGAATTTGATTTCGTCCATGTAAACCAAGACGAAGATGAAGAGGAGGATGAACCTGAGGCTGACGAAATGGACTGGATCGGCGACAGACTATCTAGACTCATACAAGAAGGGCACAGAGCTCTGAACACGGAGGTTGTGGTCATGAGTGAAGCGAAGGAGGATGAGGTGGATGACGGTTCGGGTGACTGGGAGGAAGAGCAACCTACCGCTGGTCCATCGGTTTCCAGGCGGAGTTCCTTCCGCCGTACACATCGGCCTCGTGACATTCAACCCCCGTCCTACTCAGCCTTTACCTCTTCTTCTTCTCCGAGCCCGTCACCTAGGAAGCGCAAATTTGTTAGCGATGCTGTACACCTTTCTCCTGATCGCCAAGATTTTTCGAGGTTGTCAGTACCAAGTACACCTCGTCGGATTACTTGCGAATCTTCGATGGATATTGGCGGCTGCACTACTGTTACAAGCAGCTTCAAGGAGGATGTGAGTGCCTGGCAGAGTCCAGAGCTCAGAGAGTCAATGGAGAGGGCAAGAGCGCAATACCTCCAGAGACGGATGGGCGCACGATCATGATGGAACTTTCTGATTTACTTGTAACTTATGCTACTTCTCACTAGCACTGTCTCTTGATGAAGTATGATCTGGAATTTATTCGAGTACATGCTGTATCATTAGAATCACTTTAGCACTTTAGCTACGCTATTTCCAGAAGAACCGGAAGAGGATGGGATTATTTCTGATTATTTATGGCAACACTTGCAAAATTAGAACAAAAACTCTCTCATGCACACGCCACCCTACGCTTAGTGTGAGTGTCGAAAGCGAAAGTTGAGCGGCCATACTTAATGTAACAGCTACGCCAAAGCCACGCTGCCAGCTCCAAGGTCGACTAGGATCAGAAATCGGGTTGCAATGTTACGGGCCCGCAGTGTGCGAAACAATCAAGATGAAACGTATGATGCGCAGCATGTCCGGCATTCTGATTAAAGCCTTCCTCTATGGCCTTCCTTACGTCTTTCCCTGCCGTATATTCACATTCTCAGACGGACTAATATCTGGTTTGCAACCCTGCTGACACGTTTCTCATCCTCCCTCCTCCCTCCATCCCCATGCCATCCTATGGTCTGACGAAGCGTGGTACACGGTTTTTACTCCTTGCCATCGTATTGTGTTTCGTGCTCCCTGGAATACTTTACCACCGTGAAACTGTGCGCAACTATTTCAACGGCCACCTACCGCCATTGTACGAGGACTATCGAGGGCGGGAGCAAGATTTGGAGCATTACAAGGAGTACGAAACGAGGAAGGATGTTAAATATCTTTGGTCAGCCAATCATGCGCATAGTGGGTAGTCCTTTCTTCAATTTGATTCCTCACGCGTTGACCGTGCGCAGGCTCAGGATGGGGAAATGTAATGCAAGACTATGTGATGAATGCATTACTTGCGCATACCACAGGACGCTCGTCAGTCCCTTCCTTTACGGGCTCCCTTGCTTGGTTCTCACATTCCTGATTTTGTTTTTGGATGACGTGTAGTTTTGTTTTTGATGACTACATTTGGAAACCAGATGGTTCACTCTTTACAGATTATAATGGGCATTTAATTCCCTCTCGGATTCCCCTGACGGCACTATTGGGCGGCAAGTACAACATGGTCAATTTACGCGTATACTCCCCATTGACTGACTGTTCTAGGCGTCGTGGTGGGTGGTGAAATGCCACCTGGTGACACCACTCCTCGCGCAGTGTCTAAGAATTTCTTCAACAAAGTCTGCCCCCATCCGACAGTCGTTCAGGTGAAGGAAATCAACGATGATCGTATGCGATTCGATGAAAGCGTGCCAGCTTCGTATATATTCGAAAAGTGGCTCGAGAAAATTAACTCGATTGAGGATCCGTGTGTGGAAATCGACCCAGCAAGTGACCAAATTTTTGAGTACTGGTGAGTCATACACATCGTCTTTGGATGACTAGTGGAAGACGCCAGACCTCGCGCAGGATATTTGGACATGAGAGAATGCTGTCCATATGGCAGTACCTCAAGGATTCCCCAGTATCGACGCACTGGGGGTGGTCGCCTTTAATACACGATGCATACGGACGAAATCGCCACATCTTCGAGCTGAATACGAAATCTACTCTTTTTGGAGGGCTCTCTGCTTCGGCTGTCGCGGAAAACCACACAGCCCCGATACCTGGCCTCCTAGCGCTACACGTACGAAGGGGTGACTTCAAGGACCACTGCGTCCACCTGGGCAAATGGTCATCAAACTGGAATGCGTTCAATATGTTCCCCGAGTTCTCCGATAGGTTCCAAAGGCCCACTGATGGCGGATGGGGCGAGACATCAGAGAAGAACATGCAGATGTATATGCAGCGGTGCTTTCCCACAATTGACCAAATTGTCCAGAAAGTCACGCAAGTGCGTGCCGAGTCGGAACAGCCGCTAACTCATATCTATATCATGACCAATGGCGTTGTCGCTTGGGTTGATGAGCTAAAAGAGGCTCTTGGGAACTCTGGGAACTGGGACCAAATTAAGAGCAGCCGCGATCTCGACATTACATGGGAGCAGAAATTCGTGGTGCAGGCTTTGGATATGTTGGTGGCTCAAAGATCTGAAGTATTTATCGGAAATGGGGTAAGAGGTACTGTAGCTTCATTGCTCGTGCAAGACTGACGGGCGTCTCGTTACAGTGGTCGAGCCTAACCTCGAACGTTGTGATGTTGCGTATGGCGCAGGGCTTTCTTCCGGACAGTAACAGATTCTGGTAATAACGCTCACGACTGCTTCGTCTACGATAGAGGCACAGACAGATGAACGATCTATTATTTTTATTGTTTGGTGTTTACAGTCGTCGTGCGCCAGGGTATAGTCGCTACAGTAATACAACATTTTCTTCGTGACAGGTACATACTGCTTATGTTGCAGATATCAAACATCATTTATCTGGCGATACGAAACTTCCCTGCATCGACATCGAACGGTCCAAGGCTATGGCATGTCTCCAAATTTCGGACAGAGAATAACAATAATAGCCTTTCGACGTCTTCGCAAACCCACCAATCCATGGCACGCATACTTATATAGATCCGAGAGTCCTAATCACTAACCTGGTTACCGCTTGAAGGCTTGACAAGACTAGCAACTTGAACTCCATGTAACATTCAGTACGTAGTTTCTGGCACCATCACGAAGACTGCATGACTACACCAGCGTTTCTCGAATGCCCGTCATCACGAATTCGAAGGTTGAATCATTCTCCGGCTTATCGCAATTGGCAATTCAGTATCTTCCAACAACACCCCTGCGTCGGATCTGGACCACGTTGCTTCGCAGCTCAAGGAGATTTCAACGGGGTTGCGGTCTATTGAGTCACAAATACTAGGATCTGTGATAGGAGGCCCATATCGTAACACCTATAGTACTTTCCGATAACGTCGCCCCGATCGCACCTTCGATAACACTGCGGAATTCATCGAGTCTCGCAAATTTACTCTTTAGACGAGTCGACTATCACCGCATTAGTAGACTAGGATTTTTCCCGGAATATTTGAAATATTGTCAGACGCATTCTCCACACTGGGTAAAGCTGACACCGAAATGGCACCATGTCCTCCAGTCCGTCTTTCAAGAACAGCCTTACCAGCACATAATCAAGGCATTCCACCAGTTGACAACGATTGTCTAGCGAACGCTTCTGATATAGGTAAAGGGGAGCCAATAAAACATTGTACCGAGCCCTCCGCATCCATATCAATACGAGTACAAAGGGCAACTTGTGTGTACGAGTATTGATATTGTCAAAGTACAGAAGACAAACTACTCAATTTCTGTTTTCAGGATGCATGAGCAGCCACTCGTTGCGAGGGCAGCATTTCCGTTGGTAACATAGCGTTCCTTCCATTCTTCGTTGAGAGCTGAGGTTAACACGAGTAAGAATCGTAGCACAGTACATACTGAAAGACCGTGACTTACCGGGAATCCAAGCAAGGAAGATGGCTTTTGTAGGCTCATCACTCATGTCCATCATGTATCGATATGATTCGAGTGCTGCTCCAAATTGACCTCCCCGAATTAGTGCATAGCATCGTTGCTGGTTTGCAATTTGCCACAAGGTCTTGAGCTCCCAGCCGAAAAGCTGCACAAGCACGCAGTTGAGCATGGATAGATATGATTTTATCGAGTCATATCAACGTACCACGACAAAGCCCTCGTACATAGAATGAATGTCCGACTTAGAAAGGAAAGCGCCAGCATTGACAGCAGCAGTGAAGTGGTCAACAGCTTCTTTGTAAAGGGCGCTATCCATGGCAATGATTCCCAGCTGGACCCGCAAATATGTCTGATGTGCGAGGGACAGAAATACCAATGAGCACACGAACCTGGGCTTGGACAAGCGTAAAATGATACTTACTTCCACGACACGAGAAGCCAGAGGGTCGGCATTGGGACGGGCAGCTAGCTCTTGGACAAAGCGCATTGCCTCTTCATGATTATTTGCATTGAACAATGCGATAGCCTGAAAACCTCTAATGAGGCATCGAATATGAATCAAATATTTACCTACTTTGATCAAGAAAAGAAATTGCGTCGACTTTGGATCTCCATCGGTGGACGTGAATGCGAGGTCGAATTCTGTCATCGCTTCCCGGATCTGTTGTTTCCCGCAGAGTGCAATGGCCTTGGAGATATAGCCTGACAACGAAGGCTGAATACTAACAGACTATGTCATGATCATCGTTAACGGGGACATGGTGGGGCGGTGCCAGTGTACTCACCTTGCTTGCATCATGAAGTGCGCGGTCCCAGTCGAGTCGTCGCGCCATGATGAATGAACGGTTGGCATAGGAGGTATAGCTGTTAGCATCGACGTCGATCTCTTGTGTAAGTAATTGTTCGGCGGTAGTCAAGTCCCCCGCGATGCATGCATTACGGATGGTCGTGTCGATGGTCAGGATCTGCATGAAGGTATGCTCGACTTGTGTTATATGAGTCAAGATTAGAAACACGCCTTTAAATCAGAACATCGAGCCTTTGAATCAACAAAACGCGAGATGAGATGACGAAGGACCAGGAAATGAAGGGGATAGTACATCTGCTACCCGTTCCTTGAGAGCATCCTTCGGCAAAATATCCTTGGGTACTGCCCACTCTGAGACCTGCTTATCATCATCTCCGCTGAGGATGAGGTTGCCATCCGTCGAGAAGGTGACGCATTCCGTTGCGCTGGAGTGCAAGAAGATGGCGATGGTTTGCCGGTCCAACAACGACCAAAGGCGGACATGGTTGTCAGTAGATGCGGAGGCGATGAGTGCGCCAGTAGGATAGATGGCAATGGCCCAGACAGCGTGAGTATGACCAATCCAGGGATCACCGACCTGCTCCCAGGTCGATGCATCCCACTCTCGTATGCTGGGATCTTTATAACTTCCCGCTAAGATAAGGCGCGTACCATCGGGCGTCCACACGAGTGATATGTTGAATTGTGTGTGGCCCTTGAATTTTGCGATGTTTTGCCTGGTGTCTGGATTGTAAATTTCGATATTACTCTGTGTTGCAATCGCGAGAAGTGCACCGGACGGGGAATACCGAACGCAGCGGACTGAACTACTACACGTAATTTGGTGTCCTTGGAGCAACCGTGTTTTTGTGTTCCACAGCTTCGTCGTGGAGTCGTCTGAACCAGTTGCCAGTACGGTACCATCAGGAGAAAAGTCCAACGCATAGATCAGACTGGAGTGGGCTTTGATGGAGCCTTGGGTCACCCAGGCGAGAGATTCTCTGTGCCAGGCGATGACTTCTCCGTCGCCATCGCCGCTTGCTATCAATTGCCCATCTCGTGATACTGCCAACGCCAACACCTCACTGCGATGCCCCGCCATTTTCTTCAACACTACACCTGTCTTCAAGTCCCACAGATGGACCATTTTATCTTTTGAGCCGGTGATCATATGTTGTCTGTTGGGGAAAACTGCGACTGCAGTGACGGTGGACTCATGACCCTTAAACTGTCGATTGGGTGTGGTATAGGTTAACTGTGACATTTTACTGGAGGCTGATGGTGTCGAGCACGCCCCAACTGGACTTGGTAGAGGTATTGTGGGTAAAGCTGCAGAGGTGCGTGCACTTGGTGATTTTATCCTACTTCGTAGCTTTGATCAGACGCTTAAGACATGAGGCTTTATCATCAGTCCCTGGGTACCATAGCTTTCCAAACGAGTTGATGAGCTTTCCTTATGACATGACCAACGTTGAACAGCGCTATCGAATATGGTGGATCCGACCCTTCGACCAGAAACCCAACTCAACATCAAGATCCGAGTGTGGACAACACACTGTTTGGTGGCCGTTATGCAAGCTCACCATCGCCCACCGCCCTACCACAACAACAGCCTATCACTCCCCATGTCCCAAGGTAGGATGCTTCCTTCCTGCATGTTTATAACCTTTCTAGAACACGCTGCTATAACGACGACACGAATAACTCTTGAACACGCTCCAGAAAAGCTTATCGAGGAAGCTATTCTAGCCATTCTTCCCTATCATTTCGTGGGTCCACGCGACAGATAGAAGAAACGTGCATGGTTGACCTGATCGGCCATGCGCTGCTCCCTCGAACCTCGATTAAGCCCATGATAGCCATGGATGTGGTATTCAGTCCGGTGACATGTCGAACCTCTATTCCCTGGGACGTTCTGACTGCAGATTTGGACGGTTGCTGGGCTATTTGTATTGAAGATGATCGATAATTAGTCGTTCGGACTCTGCTTTGCACCCCTACGTCAGGCCTCATGTTCGGCAGCACGGCACGACAGTTGCGGATCGGCATATATTACTGGTTCACCACCTTTGCCTGGCTTCTGCTAGGACAATCGACCAAGACTGCCATCTGTCTGCATCCATGCTTGGTCTTCTTCGTATTGTATTCGTGAGGGCATGACAATAATGTACCTCTCTTTGGAGGTGACGTTTCGTTCATGACCTTCAAATATCTTGACCCTCGAAGGACCGGGTAGAGATTGAGAACCATACACATTAGATCTTACCGATCATTTAGATGGTTCAGTTTGAGTGGAGCTACCCAGTGCAGGTGGAAGGAACACGTGTTCTGGGCGTAGTAGCCCTCGGACGATGGCTTAAACTTTGGACTTCAACAGATCGACGGTGAAGGAAATGAGAATTATCGGCAGCGGTGGGGAGGGTCTCGGGGTCTGTAAATATTGATATTGTGATTTGTTTTCAGTCACCTACTCAGAAACAAGTACAAAAGGACACATGAAATGTCGACGTAATTGCACAAAATATCTCCGTGGACCGTATCTCAAAATGTATATGTAACAGGGCTGCCAGTGCATGTCCGTCGGTGGAATATAGCGCCTTGCATTCTTACTTGAGAGCTGAGTGAAAGGCGATCGGGGACCGTAGCATGAGTGACATTACCAAAAAGACTCACCAGAGAACCAAGCACGTAAGCTGGCCTGCGTAACTTCATTACTTGCGTCTATCATGGATCGGTATGATTCAAATGCTTCTGCAAGTCTACCTGCTCGAACGAGCGCAAGACACAGTTGTCTATTGGCGATTTGCCACAATGTCTCGAGGTCCCATCCGAATAGCTGCGAAAAACGCACAGTTGAAGGTGAAAGGGATTTGCGGTTGTATTATAGTATCCACGCACCACAACCAATTCCTCGTACATCAAATGAATTGCTGAATTGCGAAAGGCAGCGCTAGCATTGGCGGCGGCAGTGAAGTGGTCAACAGCTTCGTTGTAACGCGAGCCATTCGAGGCAATGGTTCCCAGTTGCATATGCAGATATGCCTAATTCACAAGCGGAACACCAGTATCAACACGAACCTCAGCTTGATTGAGTACATGTTACTCACCTCAACAACACGACAAGCAAGAGGATCGATAGTCGGGAAAATCGACAGCTAGCTCTTGGACGCGCTGGATTGCCTCTTCATGTTCATTTGCATTGAACAGCGCAATAGCCTGAAATCCGCAATGAAGCACGACGTATGTAACAAAACTGTAGCCTACCTTAATCAAGAAAAGGAAATGAGCCGTCTTTGAATCTCCGTTCGCACATACGAATGCGAGGTCAAAAGCTTTCTGGCATCTCGGATCTGCCTTTTTCCGCAGAGGGCGATGCTCTTGGAAATATAGCCTAATAATGAGGGCTTGATGCCGATGGACTATGTACAGTGATCAATGTTAGCCTTAAGGGGTCTATAATGAGTTAGTATATCTCGCCTTAATTGCATCTTGAAGAGCGTGGTCCCAGTCAAGTTTGCGTGCCATAATAAATGCACGATTTGCATAGGAGGTGTAATTGTTGACATCGGCATCAATCTCTTGCGTGAGCAACCCTTCAGCGGTAGACAAATCCCCTGTGACTGCATGCATTGCGGGCGGTCGTGGTGATGGCGATGATCTGCATGAAACATGTTTGAATTACATTATGTGAGTCAAGGGTCATGGTGGAAACACGCCTTTGAATCTGAGTCTCGAGCCTTGACCTCAAAAGACGCGAGATGAGATGACGAAGGGGTGGGATATCAACGAAAAAGTACCTTTGACTTAGGAGCATCCTCCGACAAAGCATCCTCAAGTATTGCCCATTCTGAGATCTTGTTATCGCGATCTCCGCTGATGATGTACTTGCCATCCTTGGAGAAGGTTACACACATCACGTGATTGGAGCTCTGGAAGATGGCGATGGTTTGTCCATCTAAGAGCCTCCAGAGGCGGACATTGTTGTCACCAGATGCGGAAGCGACGAGGGCGCCAGCAGGATGAACGGCAATGGCAAACACAGCGCTAGTGTGGCCCGTCCACGGATCACTGACCCTCCAAGTTGACGTATCCCACTCCCATATGCTGGGATCTGACTCAGAGGCTCCTGAGAGAAGGCGTGCGCTATCGAGTGTCCATGCGAGAGAGAAGTTGGATATGTATGATGTGCGACCCGCGAGGTTTGCGATGCAGTGCCTTGTGTCTGCATTATAGATTTGGATGTTCCTGTCTGTTGCAATTGCAAGAATTTCGCCATCTGGTGAATAACGAACACAGCGAACCGTGCTACTACACTGGATTGCCTTGTCTTGCATCTGCCATGTTTTTGTGTTCCAAATCTTCGTTGTCTCGTCTAATGAACCAGTAGCAAGCATTGTACCGCCAGGGGAAAAGTCCAGTGATGCAACCACACGGGAGTGGGCTTTGATAGCTTGAGTGACAGATTCACCAGTTCCTCCATGCCAGGCAATGATATCTCCCCTCTGATCACCGCTTGCTATCAATTTCCCATCTCGTGATACTGCCAATCCCCACACCGATTCGCGATGCCCTTCCATCTTCTTCAACACGACACCTGTCTTTAAATCGTACAGGCGAAGCGTCTCGTGATACGAGGCAGAGATCATGCGTCCTCCATCAGGGAAAACTGCGACCGAGTGTACGCCTTCTTCGTGATCTTCGAATGTTCGGACAGGCGTAGAGTTTGAAACGAGGAGCACCATTTTACTGAAGGCCGAGGTGGGCTTGGTAGAGGGATCGTGGGTATCTTGCTCTAATACTGCATTAACTTGCCTCGTGTGTTTATAGACGCCCAGGACATGAGGCTGTTATCATAAGCGTTTTCTTGACATGCAAGCGCCTGGACATATGCGTCCAACTTACGTCGCCGCAGCTCTCTAGAGGTGACCCAAAGAGCTCTTCTTACCTTAGTAGTGACAGTAGCTCACGTAGTATCTGTAGTGAGGATCTGCTTGAAACATACTCAAATCATGTTATACGAATCGAGGGTTGAAACATGCCTTTAAACTCGAACTTTGGACATCGGGGGTTGATGTAGAAGAAGACTAAGGTGGTAATCAATGCCAACTTACATTGATTTCCACCTTATTATCTCGAGCACTCTCGAGCACCCTTCTGCAAAGCGTCCTTTCGCGAAATAAGATGATGAAGGGGCCAGGAGTCAGCAGGAAAGTATATACAGGAAAGTGCTTTTATGGCAGTACCTGTGGAGTATTTCCCGGCAAAGCGTCCTTTGGTAGTGGTCATTAAGACTATCTTATCAGAAGCTCAAAAGCTCAGTTGAGGATGTGCTTGTCATTCGTGTAGAAGATTACACAAGTCATGGAAACAGAGTGAGGGAAGATGACGACGGTTCGTCGATCTGAGAGCCACCTCGTGAGGCGTCGTGAGATGCAGAAGCGACCTAGGGTTCCAGTAGGGTACACATATGGCTACGACCTGGGCGATATCACCGACCTGCTTCCAGGTCAATGGCTTCCACCGTGACTCCTGTATGGCAGAATCATATCCATTGCCTGATGACAGCCTGAGAATGATCGTGTGCAATCGGGCGTCCGTGACGATTCGTACGCAGCGGCAGGCAGTGTATTCTAGTGTAACCCGGCGCATTCCCTGGTGCATAGGTCAAGCTTGGGTTATGAATTTGATATCACTATCCGGACCCTGTTGCAATTGCAAGACGCTCACCAGATGGCGAATATCGAACGACTTCAACGCAGCGGACGTCACTACTGCACTGGATTAGATTTCCTTGCCACGGAAATTAAATCGAGTGTAGTAGTGGCATCAGCTATGCCTCCTTAGTCCACAGCTTCGTATTTCGATCCAATGAACAAGTGACGAAACTCCGTCTGATCCTGGAGAAAATTCAAATGTGTAAGTTCAATTGGAGTGGGCTTACATGGCTTCGCTGGGCGAGTCCCCAAATTCTCCATGCCAAGTGACAATTTCCACACTCCCATCTCCACTCCTCATGCCTCATTGCAATTCCCTACCATGTTCTTCAAAAACTACATCCATCTTCCAGTCCCCGAAGACATAGGATCCATCTTGTTGTACAAACCTGTGACCCATACGTCGTCTATCGGGGAATACTGAGACTGCGAGTACCGCGCCATTTTTCTGGAAGTCGAGGTGGACAAAGGGAGAAGGATAGTGGGTGGAGCTACAGACGTGCACCTGGGCGTTCGTTTATACTTCACGGCATGATCAAACGCCCGAGACATAAGGCTCTTATCATAAGTACCTGAGTACATGGGTCCAACTTGCGTCGCCGCAGCTTAAAGATGACTCAACAAGCTCTGCTGGTGCTATGATAGTCACGGCAGGTGTTGAATAATATTAGTATCGAATGGACCCTAATACTTCGAATATCAAGAAACTAATTCAATACTGGTACGCAAGCGCTAGCCAGCCCTGGATGACGAGTTGTGAACCGGTAGTAGATTGACCAAGCAGCCGAAAAAAGTGACCTTGCATTGTCTCATTTATCAAATTTTTGAATCAAGGGTCCGAAATCGGGTAGAAAAGAGCACAAGCTGCGGCACATCTGCATACTGTCTTGGTTGCTGATGAACAAACACTTGGAACCATGTGTATCAGAAACGAACGCGGTGGAGCGAGTTTAGTCTGATGGATATGTTATAGGCAGAGAAAGTCATAAGTAGGGTAGTATCCGGAATAAACAGCAATAAGAAAGATATTATCCGCACCGTCACAGCTCATAGCACTCCGCGTGCAAAATACCATACATAGTGGACGTCTAATCCATAACCCACCACCTTACAGACTGACATGCACCAATCTCGGGGTGGAGGAGAACTGCGGAGAGCCAGTACTGTAGTTGTCTCCTGCGACGATCGACGAAAGCTGCTCGGTAGCGTGAGAAGGGAGATTTCGGTGGGAGGGCTGGGATGAAATGGTGTTGATGTTTCTGATGGAGTTACTGAGTACTGAGATTTTATTAAAATAGAGCGAGGGGTAGACGCACAGGTAATGAATGTTTCAGCGCATCGTGCAACAGCACGAAATCACTATACCGCTTATGTGCGTGGATAGTAGTACCCTATTTACGGTCACCTCGGATCTGAGCTGCAACATAGAAGGCATGCGAACCTCTTTTGTGTGAATCACACAATCATACACGACATAAGCCCCACCCAGCTTATCACCTACGCTCGTCCACCCCGCGATATGCACATTTCGGGCAAAAGCAAGACTCGTGCCTGAGTTATCGTTTAACCAGATGTCGCGAGAGAAAATCGAGGGTGGTCCCTGAGGGGATTTGGGCCGCGTGGATGGGTGAATGGATACTTGATCCTGGATGGCGGTCAGTTAAGTATTTTGCACGACATTTGGAACAGCGGAGAAACAAACGTCACACAATTCATCGTACAATCGTGCTTCTGCTTCGACGTCAATTCCATCGTCTGGAATGACAACAAGAAGGCTTTCTGTATTTCGGAAAGGATGACTAGGCGCGGGCATATAGTGTCGACAACGAGCTTGATGGGGACGAGAGCGACCAATTGGAATTTCCCCGGATGACAAATCGAGCCGACCCGAGCATAGAGCGCGCTAAGCACTAGTTCACTGGCTCAGCTCAAGCGGATTACATTGTCATTCATGATTTATTGTGATGCGTTAAGTCAATACTAAAATCGCTGATTTGCGTCTTCTTAAGAATACTGCCACCATGCACAGATCTGGCAGCAAGTCTTCTCCAAGCTGCAATTATCATATCAATCGATCCGATGATAAAAGTCAATTAGTATGACACAAGTACTATGGAGCTCTCCATGGTCAATTTCAAGTTATGACTCGCCAAATAAGATATCCGGAATATATTGTGTGCCCTGATGTCCATTCATACATATTCTCACTGATGGGATCATATCAGTTGCCAATCATACTCTAGAGGAGATATCTAAAACCCTTAGGTAGCCCTAGAACGTTCTCTTCGGCTTCAGCAGCTTCATTACACCGTGAAAGGTGCCCCCTAAATACCCAGCACATCACAATGCACAAAACGCTTGTCGAGATGCAAATGAGATATGAGTTCACGTATGAAGGTCCCCAATTGGACGGCCAGAAGTATCTGCGACGACGTCAGTAGCAGCTAGAGCACAAGGTCACTGAACTGACGATGAATCAATGAAACCAGCTGTTGCCATGGAGTTTATGAGTGCGATGGCGGCAGCGCGTTTCGACTGTGATTGGGAAAACGTATTTATGGCCCAGGTCAAACAGACAACATAGGCAGCAGGGCTCTGAGCCATGAAGAATCTGCGTGGAGCACGTAAGCCCTGTGGAATCACAGAACGAGGAATGGAATTCGAATGTTCGTACAGAGATAGATATCGCACGGCCGTATTCATCGTAGAAATTGCCATTGTAAATCCAACGATGCAGACAAGTAGAGGACCGACAATATGCCAGAAGCGATCACCAGTTACATCGGAGTGCCTTAATTCAGTAATGTAAGTTCACCTATCGGACCTGTGAAATAAATTCAGACCTGGCCACAACAAATGAGGTTGCAGTTCCCAAAATCCACGGGGGTGCGCAGAGCAAAAGGCTAGCAGTCGCGCTGTAACCCATTGTAGCGGATAGGGTGGGGAAAAAAATGCTGAACGACGCCGAGCAAACCAACAAATGAACAGCAACACCAAGCCACCATACCCTCCAATCCATAAAAGCCTCAGCAAGACCAGAGAAGTTCTCTTCAGACTTGTTCTCGTGTCCAATGGCCGCAGCTTCTTCCTCCATCCGTCGTTTGGCCAGTGTTTGTTCATCAGGTGAAAGCCAGACGCATGGCGTTGAAGGAAAATCAGGTAAAATCCAGATTGCAGACACTGCGACAACGATGGTCAAAGCGCCCTCCACAAAGAAAAGCCACCTGCAGCAGTGAAATCAGAACAATTGACTTTTTGAAAGCACACGCATTTCAGGCTCAGACCTCCAAGCTGAAAAGCCTAGTGTACCATCTAGGCTTCCTAAAATTCCCGACGCGATAAGAGGACCGAAAGCATTACTGACAGAGTTGCCGCAAAGAAGAACTGCTATGCGTAGCCCTAGTTCATTGCGCTTGTACCTAGAGGAAATTCAGTATATGCTGTTAGGAAGTATTGGACAATGATACCATCGTGAAAGAAGGAATACAACTCCAGGAAAGAATGTCGCCTCCACGAATCCAAGCAAAAAGCGCAAGATAAGAGCGGCATGATACCTAGATAAGGGTTAACAGTGGACAGGATTAAAAGATCTAGATACCAACGTTCGTACTGCACCTTTTATAACCTCTCGTTAACCAATGTCGATCAAGTGAACGTCGTACGTACCCATGAACACTGGTGATAGCAGCCCATGCTATCACGCAGCTCGAGAGGTATAATGATGGCCTTTTCATGCGGCGTAAGATCATATTGCTTTCAAATTATTAGATATGCTGCAGAATGATAAGGTGTCAGTACATACGAAGGAGCCTGCGTCAAAAAATATCCAACATAAAGGATACTGATGAGTGTGTTAAACTGGTTCCCTGTCATGCCAAGGTCCTCCTCGAAACCTCGTAGCCTGGCTGCACTTGCGAGCGGGTGGTTAAGCGACATTACCCCAAATGTGTTCGAAGGGCCACTTACGCTATATTATAACGGTCCATCTACACAGGGGATTTAGGTAGCGGAGACACTAGGTGCAATGACTCACGATGTTCATAATGTAAATCAGAACTAAGAAGGCCATTCGAAGGTCCAACTTGCGGAGAAGCCTCTTCTCCACGATTGGTCTGTCAATGTCGTCTAGAGGATAGTTGGACCGTCATCACTTCTTCTGCTAGAAGTGGCATCGTAGCGGGAACCGCAGTCGACTGAACCAAGCAGGGGACGAACTGACATTCTTCTGGACGAAAGATTCCCCTGGAGTCCCTGGACGTAGCTCGCACTTTTGTATTTCGGTAACCGAGTAATATAACTCAGGTGCGGTTAGATTATAATAGTTCGGAGCCTTATCGCTCCCAAGTCGATATGAAAACAAACTCTGCTTATTCCTTCATCAGTAAACGCGAGTTCGCACGAGGTTGTCCGAAAGCGTCCACAAAACGCTCGTGTGGGTATACTTTTTACACCTGAGATGCGGCCGACGAAGTATTATGTATTGGCAGATGTTCTTTCGACGCTCTCAAATCCTGAGCGAAAAAAAGTCCAGATACTCTCACGTCATTCACAATGAAAAGACCCCAGACTCTGTTCAACATCTTCGCTTCAGCTTAATGTCGTAGCCGTCACCGAGAAGCATGCGGGGAAGTTGAGACCCGTTATCATAACGGGTCTCAACTTCCCTGCATGCTTCCCTCCCCAACTTTTTATTTCAGCCTTGTCACCTAGATGGTACACTAGGCTTTTCAGCTTGGAGGCCTGTACGCTAGAAGTTCGACCTGGAATATACTGCCAATCTTGAGTGCGGCGTTTGGGTTCACAGACCTATTGGCATGGACGGAACTCTATCCAGTCACATCAGCAGTTTCCAACCTTCACCGAGCAACAGCTGTGTACCAATCCACCACTGCATCCGGCCAAAAACCTTCTATGAGAGTTTAGCAAACGGGCAGTCACTTGAAACTTATTGGAGAATACGTGCCGGTGGTTGTTTATCATGGTCACACCTTCTGGGATGCTGTACCTCTTCCATGCCATGTTCGCAGTGATGATGGATTATCTTGTATGAGTACAATTCAGGCTCCATACTTCTCCCGCTGTCTTCCCAGCAGTGGAATACAGACGAGGAAGTGTGTAGTTTGAATGTTTGTCGATGATGTAGTTCCAATGTTACTGGTTTCCCCAAAATAACCATCATATCGTATGGCCTAGTTCCTTGCCCTCAAAATAGCTACTTAACATAGTTAGTACAGGTAGTAGTTGCTCGAATAAACCAAACTGTGAAACATCTTACTCCGCACTGCTCAATGCTGCGATTCTTGCAGAGAAATGGGTCCGTGAATCCTGGTCATGCTTACGGGCTGCAGTATTGCGTTGATATTCTATTCATAAGACATCGAATGCGGAGACAACTAACTTAACCGGGCGCACCAATTTATCCTGTACGAAAGGAACGCCGACGACAGGCAACGCCGCATGATTTATATGTGACCGCCAAGTTAATAGGTATTGTAGGCCCGCATTCACCGCAGCGAGGATGATTGAATGAGAGGCGCTCGCAAAAGCGATGAGTCTCTTGAGGAGCTTTGTGCGCTACTGTGGTCGTAGGGATGGAATGGTGTGAGTGATAAATGAAGTATGTGCTGTTGCACGCGCGTCACGTACCCCCCGGAAGGAATCAGGCGCTGTATCTGTGAAGCCATGTTCCTCCATCTGGAGGACTGTCAGTAGCGAATAATAGTATGAAAAGGAGTAAATACACGAAGAACACAGCCATCGAGTGACTATAGGTGGTCATGAGTAAGGGTGTTCGACAAAGATAGAGAAACATACTTTCGCACTACTCTAAACAAAACATGAGATGGAACAAGGTCAAGAAATCAATGAGAAAATGCATCCTTAGGGATCGCTCACTTCTGATCCAAGATTGTGACCTCCACTTAGGATGTACTTGCCATCCGCGGAAAAGGTGATACGGCGCAACCCGTTAGACCGGTGGAATATGGAAATGGTGCAGCATCCGGAGAGCCACAGAGGCGGCCACTGAGTGGTTATTAGAAGTGGATGCAACGAGAGTACCAGTAGGGTTCACCGTGACAGTGAATAACGGGACTCTACATGTGAATGAACGTTGAAGCTAAGTTGAAGTGAGCTTGAACTTTCGCGAGTAGATTCCATATTTGGTGGCATTTGGTTGTCGCGATGAGTTCGCCAGCCACAGCGAAGTACCGAACGCAAAATTTAGGTACCTTGACTTGGTTCTCTCTGCATCTACCATGTTCTTGTATTCTACGGCCCACCAGTTGCCAGCATGGAGCTATTTGGGGTGATTTGATACAAGGGTTGAGGACTTTGGTGTTTGGTTCAGAATGGAAAGGCCTGTATCTTCCGTTCCAAGCACCGAGGTCTCCGTAGTGATCATCACTTGCTATCAACTGCCTGTCCAGTGGTGATGCCACCACTAGTAGTGCCTTCACCTCACCGCGTTGCTGCTTCGTTTTCTTCAACACAGGACCGTTCTCCCACAGATGAGGTGTCCTGCATTCCGTTGCTACCGTATGTTTTCAGATTTTACGGTCCTTTCAAGTGATTTAACAGGCATTTTGATTGGAACGATGAACTGCTCTGCCATCCTGGTCATCTTGAGCAGTGAGCATGGAGGTGGTCTTGGTGGAGGACTTGCTGCTGTGGAGGTCTGTGTGCTTTTATGCTGCTTCGTTGTCTTTCACATGGCTTGTGTTTCATAGGCGCTCGTGACAATTACCGTCACCCCCAACATCACTACAGGTAGGAAAACGTGCAACTCTTCAACCCACCACCACTTCCGCTGCAGTACCGAAGGAGACAAACAACTATACCTCGGAGGGAACTACGTAAAGTCCAGCCTTCTCCAAATGAACTTTCATACTGGGACCGGCGAATGTGAGAAGGGATACTTTGTTCTATTTGGCGGTCAGTTATCATTCGCTTCCCCGAGTGATAAATTGCGTTAATCCTCACTATGACCATTAAGTTACTCAAACCATCGGGCGTTCAAAGTCCAACATTCAATACTACAGTCAATGGTCGCAGAAACGGGTATCTCAGCCCTTTCCCAATGCTCTACGCAAGTGACTATGGATATTTTTGAATCTGTTCTCACTCACTCAAGTACTGCCTGAGTGGATATGTGTGCCATACCAATTCAACCCGGAACAGAAATCGATTGAGCCTTGATGTAAAAAGACTCATGGTTGGGATACTGTAAGACCATGTGTCCTGATCAATAGTCAATGTGGATCGTAAATGCAAGTTGAAGGGTCAAGGTGAGTTTTGGCTACTGTAACGAGTGAGAATGAAAGTGACAGCCATGTTGATGGTCGCATTTAAGAAGGCATAAGAGCTTGAGTAGGTTGCCCATTGGTATCAGGTAAGTGAGAATTATCAACCTATATCATAGTGTCGTTACCCAATTGTTATCGATTTACAGCTATTTTCATATCGATAGACCAGAATCCAGACAATTCGCTTAGTCGCTTTTGTTTATTATTGGAGCGACAGCAAACGTTTAACAGAAGCGCTCATGCTAGCTACTTCCCACGGTAAGTCGAACATTAACCTTGTGCCACGGGACACTACAAACGCCGTGACGAGACCTTGGAATCACGGCACGCAGCCGCACATGGCGATGTGGTATTATGCTTCTAGTACGTAGGTGACCTTCATGGTCAGGTAATGAAGCTCTCGCCGTGCAAGACGCTGCAATGTTTGTCAAATGTAAGTCATGCTTGTCATCAGATAGGGCTCCACTTAGTTTCTCTGCCACTTTAGCGAGAGATCATCTCTTCGTCTCCGTCAAAAATGTATATATATGTCGATGATTTCCGTGCATGATGACTTACGCGACTCACAAAAGTCGCTAGCATGAGCGCCTCTTTTGGGTATTGCTCCAATAATAAATAAAAGCGGCTAAGTGAATTCTATCGATATGAAAATAGCTGTAAGCGAGCGAGTCATTGAGGCGTGCCAATTTATGTCTACCCTGGGTAAAATGTCACTGAGCTATGTGAATGCTGATCATGCCATGCTTACTCACACCCCCTCTGTGGATGTCCGATGCTCATGTGTTTATGTAAGTAACGAAAAATCCACCGTTGCCTGACATATTTTTGGCATTGACTCTGCCTTTAACGCTCAAGCTGGGACGTAGGTGTTCAACATCAAGATGCTCTGCTAGTTACGCACGCTACTCTTACGAATGCACAGTCTATGGCACAGGTGTGACTGTATCATACATCTTTGATCTTCAACTGACATGCATTTATTTTGGTGTAATCGTGCCAAGGCCAAGGAAGGTAAAGGGTCACAAGTGTGAAGACATGGGTATCCTGAGTATATTGTTATGATTGGCTACCGCAGGGGCTCCACAGGGTTGAAAACGTTGATGTGGGAGACTTGTATGTATGTACATACTCCGCACGCCGTACTGATAAGCTGGGGATTTTCTAGTCAACCGGGTGTCATTCCCGCAACACCCTTAACGTATATCCACCATTTCCACCCAATTGTCACTATGGTGGACTGGAACGATCCTGACCTCGAAGCGAAATTGGGGGTGCTTTTAGAACAGTTGTTGTATGCCATCCTTGGCTTATACGGGTGAGTGCTGCGCGTTGTGATGCTCTTGAATATGGTACAATTAACCTGCGTCTGCGTCTGTAGCTGGGAATATATACGCTCCTCGCACGTGGAGATAGCACTAATTCGGAGGCAGCTTCCATTTCGATGGCCTTTGGTGCGCATTCTCGAGGAAGCTGTAGACGCTTGCCACTTACACATGTCCAGCTCTCGTACATTACCGCCAGACTCAGCTTCTTGATTGTGACAATTTTACAGTGAGCCAACAGATAGAAAGCAATAAGCGTACTGATATCCCTTGTCAGTGCGACGCAATCTTCTCCCTTCTACACAAACGTTGATTGTCCGAGTAAGTATGTTGTAGATTTGATCTTCGTCGATGAGGCTTACCTCGATTTAGGCATGAATTTTGTGATTCTAGTGAGCACGGAAGTACCTATTATGCTACTGATTTACTTCCATATCACCCAGTTCTGGACAAACATCGCGATCGGCTGCTCCACAACAAACCTGATGATCAGAACGCACGCCTATAATTATCTCATACCATACTCGATCTCATGATATATATATGCAGGTGGCTTATTTGGAAGACCAGTTACCTGCTGCGCCTTTTACTAGTCCTCTTATCACTAGGCCATTGGACATTGCTCACTCTCTGTGCGTATTTGCTGTCCTTTAGTGTGATTAACTTGACTATTTTTAGTCCTGGCAACCGTTCGTGCATATACCATAAACGGGGTGTGTGTGATTAATTTTGTCAATCCTGCATATGCTAGTGCGCTGGTCTTATATGGTACGCATGTCGCATTTATGAATACTGGATACGTGATGATGAGTACCTCGGGTGTAGCCATGTCGTATGATTTGGCGCTTTTGATCTTTACCATTATTGGACTTTTGAGGATGCCATCGTCTTCTGCGCTATGGAAGACGCTCGTGAAACAAGGCGTGATATACTTCGTCCTCAATTTTTTAGCGAACCTTATCCTATTGGTGTGTTCCTTACTGCTCTACAGGTTGTCGCAGACTGAACTTTGTAGGTCCTGAATCGTTTGAACCTGAATCGTAAGACTGTCACTGCATTGTCAACGCTTACTCAGTGTATATCGTCAGCTATCATGAATGTTATTTTCGGAATGCCTGGTATGTTCCCGTGGTTTGACTGAGTTCATGTCGCTGACCTTTCGAAAGCGGCATGCATCTGGTCAGGACTCGTTACGACTTCCGGTTTCGACGCATGACTGACTTTCATCTGCAGCACGGTTGCATCTAACAGAGTGGTCCTCTCGCTTCTCCGCCCTTCGCCCAATTGTGAAAGGTCTTTCCTGTTTTTCATCTGTATGTGTCACTAGTCTCATTCGTGACAAATAGTGGCGGCGCCTCGTCGGCTGAAGTGCCCCCTCTGACGACTGACTTCACCGTCACAATGCTATGGTAATTTTTTTTTTGCTTGAGACACATGTATGGTAGTTCATCGTGCGCGTTCAGGTCCCCGTCTGTAGCTGAAGTCTAAGGTTAGAATTACCTCAAGTACTTCATCATCCCAAGTTTCACGGGGATTCGTATTTCGGCTTCGACGTGTGGTGGTGCACCCTAAACTTGTCTATCTTGTCTCCATAATGCAAGACATGCCCGCGCTCGCAAGTTTGATGGAGCCTTCATATATGATTAGATCTTGTGGAGGCATAAATGATAGCGTATGCAGACTGGACATCCAACTTGAAGTGAACATTTACCAATCCTTTTAAGCCAGCAAAAGCACCCAGCCTTTTGTCCCTCTACGATTACCGCTACGTTTTCATTTATAAGCGTAACAGTCACCTGAAAAATGTAGCACGCATATACCCGTGTTGTTCACACATGAAGGGACTCTGAGACAATGGGACAACAGAGACGTTCTCGGGGGTCCTGAGTCTCGAGGGTGGAAGGCCATTTCCATTATAGAACACCGGTACATTTCCCCCGATCATTTTTACACAGGAAGGTGAGTGGAGAACGTAGTTTTGTAAATAACACGCTAGTCACTGATTTTTATATGCAACATGACTATCGCCTCAAAATCCGAGTATGTGTGGATGTACAATCGGGCTGTCAGAAATCCAAATTGGAACACCCGGAATGTCTCAGCGACGATGTAGAAACAGACACGACCGGCCACTTCCATGTTAGCCTGACCTGCTACGGAAGCGGACTGCTGCTGTAATCAGGCTCCTGATCGAGGTGTTCATCAGGTGTCAGGGCCAGGAGCATCCGCTGCAGCGGTGCGCTGTAAATTTACACATGAAACATAGAACAGCGATAAATGAACCGGGCGCACGTCTTTATCCTTCGTCCAAGCAATATCGATGATATGCGACGCTACATGGAGAACGTGCCGCCGGGGTAGTATGCATTGTAGGCGGGCATTGAGGTGATTGGAGCACTGGTAGAGGTTCTCATAGGGTAGTGGGCTGCGCAGATGGAGCACTTGAACGAGCGGAATCCACGACAGCGAGCCCAGGTCTTTTAAGAAACTGCCGGGGTTGTGGTTGGGAAATATGGTGAGACTGCAACGAATGATGTGAGTAAGATATGAAGCGCATGTTATTGCACGTACCTCATTCACTGCCCGGAAGAAATCAGTATCTTGCATGTAGTCACGATCCTGGCCAGGAATCTCTGCCTGTATAACCGTCAGTGGTGAAAAGGATAAAGAGAGGGATTACATATATGAAGTACCTGGTCATTGGATGACTATGCGATACAATGCTAGTGAGGAAGGGGGCCTGAAGGAGGAAGAGTGTACATTCGGGATATTGTGCGCACTGTCCTAGCACGGGATGGGAGGTTGCATCGGACTTGGATGAGGATGAAGTTTTCAGAAGGGAGACCATTCGACTTTGCAGAACTGCAGCGCGTTGACGAGGGATTAGTGCCTGCGGCAATAGAAGATGAGATTGTAGTCACATATCACAATATACAGTCTGAACGACGGTAGACGCATAAGTTGTACTACATACGATCAGGTACCACCGGCACCTGCTAAATTTCAAACTCCTCGCTTCGCCCTCTCCGAGATCGACCAGCCTGGCTACACCACTCGAGTATCCTTGGTAGTATATGCCAGGCTGGTCACGAGCCTACGTGACTCTGCCATCTGCCACGTTGGCAGAACATGGTTCTGCCAAGTTCTGCCCACAACAGTGCCATCGCCGACTCGCTCCGACAGAGGGACTCGAAAACGAACACGAACTTACTTGTTCCCTCAGCGCGTCATCAGGTACTTCCCACTCTAAGAACTGCTTATCCGGACCTCCACTGAGAATGTGCTTGTCATCCGTAGGGAAGGTGGCACAATATACCCAGTTAGAGTGCTGGAAGACGGTGATAGTTCGTCGATCCGAGAGTCGCCAGAGGCGCACATGATTATCACTACATGCAGATGCGACAAGAGTGTCAGCGGAATTGACAACAATTGCGTTGATGATGCTAGTGTGGCCGGTCCAGGGATGACCGACTTGCTTCCCTTTTGATGGATCTCATTCCTGTATGGTGTGGTCATCTATATCGCCTGCTAGGGGGGGGGGGGGGGGGGGGCATGTGCTATCTGGCATCCACGCAAGTGAAATGTTCCTTGGTAAACTGTTTGGTAGACTGATCGATTTCCCGCAAGGATTAACAGGATAATGCCACGTGAGTTAGCCGAACGCCCGGGCCAAATTTGGAAGGTGGCACTTGGAGCCTTGCTCCATCTTTTTGTAAATCAGACTCATCTGTGAGTAATAGGGAGCTGGTCATTTGTGTCAGCGAAGGAATAACTGTTGTAACAGACATTAGTAATGAAGATGGGCTCCTCGGGGTCTTGCATAGGCTTGAAGGAGCAATTGATCATACCTTGAAGTGATGCAACTTCTGCGAATCGGTCGAATAACAGGGGACTGGTCACTCGAACTGCGGTCTCAGTGCGCTAAACGCCTGATTTGGTTCCTACTTAGGTGGCCGTGTCCCAAAACACCGTCTGGATTCCCTCCTTTCCTTAGCTTTCCCATTGAGCGCGTCATCTATAGCCGTCCTTTCGATACTCACTTTCCTCATTCAAAATGTCATCTTCTGCTCATTTCAATGCCCCTTCGACCGTTTCCGACATCTCTAAAATTCGCGGGTCGAGTGTGGGTATAACCCGGGTCAACCCCCTCCGTAAATAACTAGTGAGTCTTATGATGCTGTGAGTCGTTCTGAGAATACTCGGTACTTCGGGGATCCATGGTTATCGCACTCCTCCTCTCTGATGCCAACAAGCCATTGCGCTACACAGACCTTAGTCGGGTAGCCCTTCAGTGTCTTTATGGAGCGCACTCGATGTGGAAAGCCCTTTCTACCCTCCAATCCGCAATACTATGTAGGGAACTAGAAACACCCACCACCACGTCGTCCGCACTACCATCTCGGCTTCTATCTGCCTTTGACGCGCACGTTGGTGACTGTTCATGCCAAACGCGAGCGCAGATGCTCTTGGAGCTTGTTCAATTCTACAGCATACCAGAGAAGAAAGACGCCCTTGATCGCGCAATCACAATGCTACAGGAACTCAGGATTCAGGCTGCATTGCTGCTTCAGGAGGTCGAGCGAAGTCACGGGAAACCGCGCATTCCCACTCTTGACGCACTCCGAACTCATTTGAGTGTATGGCAACGCATCGGCTTCACACGTTTTTTAAATCTTTTCTCTGGACCCTCTGACTCTCCGCCTGGAACTGGCGCCCTGCAGAGTATCACTGCTGGAGATGTGCTGGTTGGTAAGTATATCTTGCCAGTCAGAATAATGTATCATAATCTGCTCATGCCTTGTTCCCAGCTAGACCAGAATGGAGCACTGACAATCTTTTCCTCGTCGCGCGTTTCTTGACGCTCTGTCTTCTTCTGTCTGAATGCAAGATAGCTAAGATAAAATCCGGTCCCCCTATCCGCGTGATTGTTCGCGTCGATCTTCAATTAATGTATGCGAACATTGGACGAGAGCTTGAAGCTCTGGGCCTGATGCCAGCACAGAGGAACGCGAAGCCTTGTGGTGGCAAGATGAAGTTGAACGCGCAATGCGATGCTATGCAGGGCTACGTATCCATTGTTACGACGGACTGGGTGAAGAAAGCGGTTCTTAGACTGGGGCTTCTCGACTTTCACCAGAGGTATGTGATATTGGCATGGTTTCAGGGACTTGCATTCAGACACCGTGTATTTAGTTTGTCCGAGGGACTGATAGTCGCAAATAGTCGCCGCATTTCGTGCGTTGCGACGTATGCATCCACGTTGCTTATACGCGCGTTGTGGTTGACACTGAACACACCTTTATTGGTCGTGATTCAGCGCTTCTGTTTGCATGGCGGTAAGTAATCCGTGCGAATGTAAACGAAATTTTGTTAATAATATCATTACCTTGCTTCATAACAGAATTTCACAATATCTATTGCCGTATTACCAGAAACCCCGCGTCCCCAGCCCCTTCTTTCTGCGAGATGGGAGAGCCCAACTGGTTCGATGTTACACTTGTTTCCGATGAAGATATTACTGCGTCACCGTGGGCCATACTGCCGCACATCATCATGATATGCATGTCAGGGGAAGGCACGATTGACGACTTCCGCCGTCTTCTCCTTGATAGCAATCAAGGGAACACACGTCCTAGTCGACCTCATAAAGGGACATGCCGAGAGATTGTCGACTATGTCAGCAAACTCAAAGAGCTCAACTTCGCTCGCTTTATGGCGCACTGTTCTGCGCACCATGATCAGTTTCCGTTTACTTTGCCGGATGATGAGGACGCGTTCGAGAGGGTATCTGACCTGATCCAGAAAGGGCTGGGCAGGAGAGCTAGTGACACCTTCAAGGGGGCCAGAGACGGGGCTGATGACTTTGGAACAGGGAGATCTATGAAAATGTTCACGATCGAACATTTGGTTGTGGAGTTTCCGGTTATGATATTGAAAGAGCTGCAGGGAAAGCCTACCGTTTATGGTTGTAAACTTGAATCTTGATACTCGCATCAGCAAAATGTACTAGGATCTTGACTTGAACATCTCAACTTAACATTGGTAGTGGTCATCCGGTAATTATCGGTTGCTTGTAGACATTACTGTCCCGAACTCTGAGTCTGCCACCATCCCTTCTGCTTGAATCACGATAGAGCGAATGTAGCAATTCAATGAAATTAAGTACGTGTAATCTCAGTAGAAGTCCAGTGAATATTTCAGCATCAACACTGATTCCAATGATTTTCATTGGAACCAGTATCCACAGTGTTACACTAGTTCTCTGTTGTAAGACTCTTCCGTCGACGTTCTACGTTCGCCACGTCAAGCGTCACCACGTGTCCTCATCAAAGACACCAGGTTGACCAAAATGTAGTAATCTTGGGCTGGATGACAGTGATATCGACTTAAGTCCTGTGATCAACCCCATCAGTAGCTTCTCGCCACATCTGATCCTGCAGGTCATAACTCTTGCCACATCATGATCATGGACATTTAGTTCTCACACCATGCTTCTCGAACCTCGACCTGCCCGGTCCTGGCCGGCACCATCATGATCATTCGAAGCAACTCTCTAGTCGGGTCCAAATGACAAAGTTGATTTATTGTCTGAATCCTTAAAACGGGCTGCGGACTAATGATGCAAACTGTGAGACTGATCCACTTGGTTTCCAAGATCATTCCTTGACCATCTAACACTGCTATGTCGAGTCATCCAATCCCCATTATTGATTTCGCTCCGTTCTTAGACGGATCTGCGAAACAGCAGGTTGCAGATCAGCTCCTCGGGTCGTTCAAATCGGCTGGATTCGTCTACCTCACGAATTTCGGTCTATCAAACGAAGAGGTCCAAGAGATGTTTGATTGGGTGGGTTAACAGCCGCCTCTTTGGCTAGGACTTCTAACCTATCGCGCAACAGTCGAAGCGCTTTTTTGCCCTTCCGCATGAAAGCAAAATGCTCGCGCCTCACCCAGGCTCTGGAATGCATCATCGAGGTTAGAAAATTCCATTGCCGAATAGGATTACGGGTTTAGTCACCACTTATGTCGTCTCAGGTTACTCCTTCCCCGGCCAGGAGAAAGAAACCCAACTCCCAGATTCGGGGGATTCTGCCGCTGAGGCTGAAGTACCAATCCCAAGCGTGAAAGAGTCGTTCGACATCGGGCGTGAGGAGGATGACTTGATGCCAAACATCTGGCCGCCCGATCACATCCTCCCCGGCTTCAAGGAATCGTGTTTGGCGTTCTATTGGGTCAGTGTGTCCACTTGTGCCTGAAGTCTTGTACCTTGATTCTGACGGAGAAGAAGAAATGCTATGAGGTTGAGAAGAACATCCTCCGCGCGCTCGCACTGGGTTTCGGCTTGGAGGAGGAGTGGTTTGTGAGGTATCATGGGATGCCAGATAATGGGCTAAGACTCCAACACTATCCGAGGTAAGCTTCCATTGTCGATCGACTAATATGAGCTTGAATCACTATACTAGCATCGCCCTCGAATCGGTCCTTACAAACAAGGTTGCACGGATCGCGACTCATACGGATTTCGATACGCTTACAGTCAGTCTCCCCTTTCTTTTTTTCCCTTTCACATCATACATTGAGGCTAACCCAAGGCAGGTCCTCTTTCCAGACAGTGTAGGAAGCCTTGAAATAGAGGATCCAAATGAGTCTGGGAGGTTTTTGGTGCGTAACCGTGAGGCCACCTCTATACTAAAGTCCAAACTAATTTATGGTTGAAGGCGGTATCGCCAATTCCCAACTCAATCATCGTTAACGCAGGGGATTTCTTGCGGCGATGTGAGGGTTCCTTTGGTCTTGCTGGGACCATATATAGCTACCAATGTGTTGATTTGACTTCTGTAGGGTCGAACGACATAATACGGAGCACGATGCATCGCGTCCGCGCACCGCCGAATCCGGTGACGAAGGATGGCATGCTTCCAGATCGATATTCTATCCCCTACGTGAGTCTATGCCCTCTATTCCTCCGTCCTTTAACTGACAATTCGACATATATATCAGTTCTGTGCTGCCGTGGGCCATCTTTCCACTTTTCATGCCAGATTTGTCGATTGATGGTTGGCATGTACAGGACTTTTCCACAGTCGTCGATCCGATCCCTGGTACGTGGTCAGCGGATTATCCCAAGAAGTACGAGCCCGTATCGGTGAGTTGGTATGCCTTCCAGGTGACAAATGGAAACTACATATTGATGTCAATGGTGGCGGAATAGGTGAAAGAGTATGTAATGAAACGGTTTGCCGCGGATTATTAAAGTCGGTCGAAAGGTGCTATGGGTTGACATGAATATCAAGTGTGATGAATATCCGTTTGTCCGAATGCTCCAAAGGTTTTGTAGGATTTATGCCGATGAAACACGGTCAATTTCATGTATGTTGGTCTCGGCTTAACGACATAAGCAAATTACTATACAGTAGAATGCGAATGACAATGCTGGTAAAAGGTACGATCAAGACTGAAAACAAACATAAAGAAAAGGAGAGAAGGGTCCTGGGATGCCCGGCGGGGTATTGTATTTCATTAGAGGCTCACAACGTTTGGATCGGCAGAGCGGTACCTAGCTCGTTGTGTCGCCTCCCTGGTCATCGTATAGGGCGCTCTGCTTGTATAAGCTTTACGCCGCAAGGACTTCATTCTTCGTTCGCCTCGTACCTCGGCTATCTGATAATACCAATACTCTTGAATACAATCTATATACATAGCATAACAAATGCATAAACATATTTCACTCCTTTCACAAGTATCCCGACCCTCGACGCGCCTGGGAAAATAGATGATCACCGTTATATCTGTGTCCTTCACCTTGGTTCAACTCAATAATTCGCGGCAAACCGCTTCATCGCATACTCCTTCACCTACACCAATCTCAGTATCCAAGCACTTCGACTTTGATGAGCCAACCTACCGAAACAGGCTCATACTTTTTGGGCTGATCTGCCGACCACGTGCCCGGTATGGCGTCGATAATCATAGACATGTCCTGTAGCCACCCATGAATAGACTTAGGTACAACGGAAGGTACGACGGAAAAGTGGAAAGACATACGGGAGCACAGAACTGTAGACATTGTATGAGACCAATCTAGTCACAATATCTAGATCAAGGGGAGAACTTACGTAGGGTATAGAATACCGGGACGGAAGCAGGCCATCCTTTGCCACCACGCCCGGCGGCGCTACAACGCGGTGCATTGTACTCCGTATCGTGTCATTCGACCCTACAATTCACAAGTCAACACAATGGTATCAGTCCACCAGTTGTAGAGCAGAAGGGCCCTACATCGCCGCAAAAAGTCGCCCGCATTGAGAACGATCGAGTTGGGGATGGGAGGCACCGCCTACAGATAATTCACACATCCATATTAGTTACTATGACATTGGTGTAGAAGTCGGCTTGAACAAGAGTACGGACCGCATACTTCCCAGGCTCATTCGGGTCCTCGACTTCGAGTCCTCCTATCTCACCTTGAAAGAGGAACTGCCTTGGGTTAGCTTCGCTTCCTTGAACAGACGACACGGAGGGGAAAACTGACTGTAAGCGTGTCGAAATCCGTGTGAGCCGATATCCTTGTCAGCTTGTTCGTCTCGAGCAATTCAGAAGATATGCTGCGCCATACAGCATTATTCGATCTCGTACCAGTCGTGAGTGAGCGAAAACCCTACCTAGGATAGTGATGTAACCTCAGCTGACTATTTGCTGTCTCGTGATACCTCAAGAACCACTCCTCCTCCAAGCCAAAACCCAGTGCAAGGGCGCGGAGGATATTCTGTTCGACTTCGTGACATTTCTGTATACTCCATCAGAATTTACGTACATGGGATTTAATCACGAGGAAACACACTCACCCAAAAGAAGGACAAACACGCTTCTTTGAACCCTGGGAAGACACCCTCGGGCGGCCAGATATTTGGCATAAAGTCATTATCCTCGCTCCCGCATTCAAAGGACTCCTTCATGCTTGGTGGTGCAATGGTAAATTCATCCCCAGAATCCGAGTATTGGATTTCTTTTTCCTGGCAAGGGTAGGAGTATCCTGAGAGACGACATGTGTGAAGGCGAGTGAACTTGTGGTCAATAATGAAAATTCTAACCTCGATGATGGCTTCCAGAATCCGGATGAGGCGCAAGCATTTTGGTTTCGTGAGAAAGAGCAAAAAAGTGTTTCAGCTTTCGTGGTGTAAGTTAGAAATTCCAAGTGAAGAGGCGGCTGACCCACCCAGCCAAACATCTCTGAAACCTCTCCCTCTGGAATACCAAAATTCGTAAGATAGACAAATCCAGCTGATTTGAACGACTCGAGGAGCTGATCTGCAGCCTGCTGTTTCGCAGACCCGTCTAAGAACGGAGTGAAATCAACAATCGGGATTGGATGACTCGACATAGCAGTGTTAGATGGTCAAGACTCAAGTGATGGTCCACAAGTAGATCAGCCTCGTCAGTAGTAAACTCGCATATTGAGTCCTTAAGTTCCTTTTTCGTTACTTGTCTCGAAAATGTTCACCATGTTGCCGCTTCAAGATTCTTGTCCTATATAGATTAGCCATTGTCCCATCTGTGATAATCATTGTACCCAGTATCCTGCCCTTCTATCTCACTGCCAGCACCACTCAGTAGAAACAGTAACACAATGGATTCCACATCTTTGTTCTCCCTCCTCCTCACCAGTGGTATAATATGGACAGTTACCAAGTTATTAAACATCGGAAGGCGCGAGCAACACTTGCCTCCTGGTCCTCCGACTGTCCCCATACTCGGAAATGCCCTTATGGTCCCGCCCAAGTTCGTCCAACTTAAGTAGGGTGTCACATTTGCCTTGCATTTATAACGCTATAGACCTTATTCGTTCTAGATTTACTGAATGGGCTCGACAATATGGTGGCATTTTTTCCGTAAGAAACGTTCATTACAAAAACATTTCTGCGGTTGCCTCTGACAGTGTTCCTAGTTGAAGATTGGTCACGGCACTGTTGTTGTGGTATCGGATGCCACAGCTCTGAAAGAATTCATGGATACGCGAAGCAATGAAACCTCTGGTCGTCCGTCATTTTACACTGGAAGTCTCATAACGGATGGGTATTTTATCGCGGAAGCAGATTCGAGTACGTTATTTTTCCCTCACCATCCTTTCGATTTTTTACCAGTCATCAGCGACGGATATCTGGCGTATGGGCCGAAAGGCGTTACAGACACTGCTTTCCCCACAAAGTGTGAATAAACACCTGCCAGTTGCGGTAGCAGAGAGTTCGCAACTTTTATTTGATTTACTCTGTTCGCCTCAAGTGTGGCTCCTTTCTTTCCATAATCTATTAAGCATTCTCATCTCTTCATAGGACTTCGAAAAGCACATCGATCGTTACACATTTTCAATACTGCTGTCTATAGCTTTTGGGAAACGTTGCGTGCGCCCTGACACGGAGGAAGAAAGACTTTTTTATGAAGGTGTGAGACTCACCGTGCAGGTGGTGTCTGCTGAGGGGCCTCCCGTTGATCTCCTCCCTATTCTAAAATATGTCCCGGAACGGTGGGCGCCATGGAAAAGGATATGCAGGGAGGCGAGGACGCTGCAACGTCGATTATATTTTGGGTTATTGGAAGAGGCAGAAGCAAGGCTCGCCAGAGGAGAAAGTACTGGTTGTTTTATGGAAGAAGTCATTCAGCGTCAAGAAGAGCTCGGGATGTCAAAGGACGCTGCCGCGTGAGTGCGAACTCTGAATCAGATCTCCAGGAACTCTCATCTTGCGCTGTAGCTGGTTAGGTGCGATCGTGCTCGAAGCATCCCATTCTTCGGGATCCTTCATTTCTTCCCTCATTCTATGTTTTATTGCCTTCCCCGAGACACTGCGAAAGGCTCAAAATGAGATCGACTCCGTTCTACCGGACGGGCGACCACCCACAATGGATGATATTGCATCGCTTCCATATGTCCGTGCCATCTTAAGAGAGGTGAATTCTTATCTAGGTTAGCAATGATAAATTAGGCTGACAGTCTGTTAGGTACATAGATTGAAACCTATGGCACCGCTTGGAATGCCTCACGCGTTGCTAGAGACTCAAGAAGTAAGTCGCGATCTACCAGCCACATTTTTTGCCCACGTTGACCAATGTATTATGCCAGTATCGAAGCTATGTTATCCCTAAAGGTACAACCGTTTTCGTAAATGCTTGTATGTGTAACATTCGCATTCTCCGACCTGTCAAACTGACCATCGAATAGGGGGCATCTTGCATGATCCGGGTGAATTTGTCGTAATCTCATGTAATGGAGGCCTGCTCAAATATTATCAGAGGTCTTTGACGAACCTGAGGTCTTTCGACCAGAGAGATTCCTCCTCTCCGAACACGGGACAAAACCTGGTGTGGATAGCAAAGACTGGCGCGCAAGTATACCCTTTGGGAGTGGAAGAGTAAGTCTTTTGGGCTAGAGGGACACGATATGTATCTCATGATATCCTGCAGAGACTCTGCCCTGGGATGAATTTAGTCAACACAAACCTGGTATGTGACGCTCTAACACCCGATTTCTGGGCTGAACAGTCAAGCAGGCATTCACCATTGCCACGCTGGTCTGGGCGTTTGATTTTGCTCCTGCCATTGATCCAGTCACGAAGGCACCGATCCCCGTCGATATCGATGCGTATGAGGAGGTGTGTGCCATGGCTACATCGACGTTGTTAAGGATCAGCTCAAACAAATTCTTTAGGGTCTTGTCCTCAGGCCTCGTTCGTTTGCTTGTTCGATCTCACCAAGAAGTGAAGCAAAGGCCAGATTGATCAGGCAAAGGTTTACCGATGCGACTCCTGCTTTCTCGAAATACGAATCATTCCTGACAAAGGAGGAGAAATGAATGCTTGCGGAAGAGCAACTGAGCCTATAGTGTAGTATACAATATTTAAATAGAAGACAGGCAATTTCGACCAACCTTACGTGATGTGACTGACGCTCTGAGGATGAGTTAAGCCAAATGTCCGGCACAGACTCGGAGGATCTACGGCAGTACTTCCCAAAACCTCTTTTCTTGCAAGGACTACAGTCAAGTTATCATAGCACGTGTCTTACTCGACCATCCGACGTCGCCATGCACCTCTGCACAAGGTTCCAACTTGTGTCGCCGCAGCTTTCCGCGCTGAATCAGATCAGGTGCGCTCGTTACTTATCAACCACCTTCAATGTGTCTGCCTGACAATCTCGGTCGGATGGCATCGGCACCTCAATTGTTAGACTAGACCCAGCGCGGGCCTAGGTTGATCATGTCCTGCTTTTCATGTGGAAGTGCTACTTCAACACATCACCATGAAACCTGAACGATCTGGCGGACGTTCTTCCTCTGCTCGTTTCTCGCCTCTCTGTCATGACGTTGGGATGCATTGCTCACTGTACCATCGCCTGGTTCATCCTCTAGACTTCCAAGGTCGGATGGGTGTCAGACTTAGTTCAATAGTTTTACTTCTCCTGCTACCTTATGTGCAAAGCGCACAAACACCCCTCACCCAAGCGGTCGCAGCATTTTGAGATCCTTAACGGCCTTTGAGCATGCTAGCTGAAAGTTCAGATATAATCAGTACGACTATCCGGTATTTGCGCATTTTCCTGTCCCCGAACATTAATATTGTGTATGAGTTGGTTTGGTGGAACCCCAGAACCCTCGTGACTGCTGCTTATTTGACCTAGTGTTTTCAGTGAGGGAATATTAGTGCTCGCTTTACACGTCTTTCAATTTGTCCTCAAGACACAGGAACGGGTCTAAATTTACCAGTAGTAAAAGCTAGTCTCCCCAAAAGTAGGTCATCTCCAGTTATCAGCAGTTGATAAAGTAAATGTTGAGCTTCAGCTACATGAGGTTTCCCGTCAGCGTATGCTTCATAAATCAACCATCTGCAACATATCCTGAGTCACATAAGTAGACCACTCAACATACGATCTACGGGTTACCCTCACCAGGCGGTAGTGACTCGAATACTGCACGAAAAAACCTTAGTGTGACGAACTTCACTGGGCTATGTCGAACGCACCGAAGGCCGTTGAGAAATCAGGTTGCTGTCTTCATTCTCTTTTTCGACACTATTCAGCTTCCGAGTTATCCCGTCAACCTTGTGCCTGTACAGAGTGCGTCAGCTCCTCCAATGAGAGAGACAAGTGTCACCCACCGTATGTAAGAGAGTAGATCATAATACGAAGCCTTAGGATTGCGTTCTACGAAGAATAAGTTACGGGCAATCGTTTCTCTAAATAGGCTTCTTACCGAGGTAGTCAATGAAAAACTGGACCACCTTCGGTCAGACCAGAAATGTCATGTTCAGAATATTGTATTGTACCTTCGTTACAGTTTCACCTGTGACGTTGTCGTCACATGCCAGCTCATCATCCCTGCACGCGGACAACGAAACCTTAGGATGATCCAGTTCAAATTTCGATGAAGATATCAATAAGAGAAACACGCACGACGTGGGCCTTGACCCACTCCCCTGGGAGTGTCAGAGGACAGTCAAGAGTGCATTTAGGCAGGTAAGTATCAGGGGAGGATGCTCTGGGCCCAAGGCCAATGTTGTCAGTTGTCAACGACCCAAATCTTGCCTGAGAGTCATCGTTTATTGAAGACTGATCCTCGGAGCTGTCCTTCAAAAATCTGGCGCTAGGGCTTTCGCCTGTACGGCAAACATTCAGGTAATACTTAACGGAGTGATCGGAAACACTTACCGAAGCTTTTCGTTTTTCTTCCCAAACCTAGAGTCAACATTAGAGCGAGCACACGATCAAGAATAACCCTCACCTGACAGGACTTTGAAGGGCGCCGACCATAACTCGTTACACTTATAATGCTCCAAATCTTTGACAATCGGATGAGTGCGGAAACGAACCCAAACCATAGATCTACATACCCAACATGGTGTGAGAGTGGCAACAATCCCATAATGCCTGTTCACAGAACGATATCGTTAGGACTAGGTAGGACTTCGATGACAATAATTATGATCATAATAAATCAAATCAGAACACGCACGAAAAGCTTGGCGCCTTGAGGTAATGGATCAACGAGGCGTTCCTTCAACACCTTGAGGGTTGTTCAGGGTCATGAACTGGTCGACAACGTACGGCCGGAGCTTACATTATCTATGATGCGCTTGCCAGTGTAGGTGAGTATAGCTACATCCAAGAAATTAATACGCATTCAAGAAACGAGGGTTTCACACTACCTTCATCTTCACCATCGCTTTCGGTGTTGTGCTTGCAAGTAACCTGGTCTCCATATCCAAAGTCTGAAGGAAAGTTAGCGCTCGAAATGATAGACACCGGTGTCACACCATCACAAGGCCTTACTTACAGTGGAAGAATAAGTAGTCATGTGGTGATGTACGTCGGACCATGGAGCCAATCTCACGCAGCTACGTTCTATGATTAGAGATGCTACAGAACATATTAATATCAAATTTAGGATGCTTACTATATTCGCTCTACTGGGATAAAGTTCTGGAAGAATATTCTTGTGATGCATCATAATTGTGATGTTTTCAGGTGGGTAGCCACGAGCTGCAGTGAAGTATTGATAAACCAAGAAATATCAATCGTAAAATGTACATGCAGTTGACAAGGAAGTCTCTCATTCTGAGAGCATCCACGTGTGCTTGGGGGAGACTGGGGAAACCAGCTGCTTTCTCCACGGCAACAATAAGTGCCCTGCGTACTTCTACCTTCCACTCTGATATCTTCTTATCATCACCACCACCGGGAATGTGCCTGGCATCCATAGAGAAGGTGACACAGTTCACGCTCTCGGAGTGCTTAAATATGGCTATGGTTCGCCGGTCAGAGAGCTAATAGACGTTGAACTAAGGAGAGAGTCTCAGCGTTCAGGAAGAAACAACTATCATTGATAATACCTAAGGAGAGAGTCTAGAGACGAAACTAAAGTAAGACAAAGCCGGCGTGCAACAAGGAACATACCTCAGCGTTCAGGAAGAAACAACTGAGCTATAAACAAACATAGACGGAGAGATTATAAGGCGAAGTACGTATAGCGTCCGTGATGACCAAGATATAAAAATAGGTGACAATGTTGCACATCCAACAGGAGCTGCCAGAGGCGGACATGGTTGTCACGGGATGCGGAGGCAATCATAGTGCCACCAAAGTTAACAGCAATGGCAGTGATACCCTCTGTATGGCCCGTCCAGGGATTCCCAACCTGTGTCCAGGTTGATGCATCCCACTCTCATATGGTAGGATCGCGATGACCGCCCGCTGAGAGAAGACAGGTACTATCAGGCATCCACGCAAGTGAGATATTGGATGATATGGGACCCTTCAATTTGCAACGGATTTCCTCGTGCTTGAATCATAAATTGCGATATTGAGGTCTGTCGCAATTGCAAGAAATTCTCCAGACGGCTAATACCGAACGCAGCAGACCAAGTCACCACATTGGATTGGATCTCCTTGTACATGCCATGTTGTCGTGCTCCATAGTTTTATCGTTTGGTCGAACGAGCCGGCCGCTTGCCATCATTGTACAATCTGGAGAAAAGTCCAGGGAGCAAATACATTTTGAGTGGGCATCGATGCATTCATGGGATGGAGTAAGAGGTTCGCCTGTTTTTCCGTGCCAGGCGATGAGCTTTCCCTCCTGATCACCGCTGGCTATCAACCGTCCGTCTCGTGATACCGCAACTGCGTGCACGTCGCTGCGATGCCCTTCCATTTCCTTCAACACAATGATGTCTCTCAAGTCCCACAGACACAGCGTTGTGCCCGATCCCGTCACCATGCATCGTCTATGGGGGAAGACTGCGACAGTCTTTATTATTCCTTCAGGATCTTCTTGATATACTCGAACGGGTGTGGTGATTGGAACGACTTCCGACATTTTTCTGGAGCTTGATCGTGTGTTCCTTCAACTTGAAGCAGCTGGTGGTGGTCCGAAGTAGATTGGCTCCCAACAGGTGGGAAACTGTACTGACGTTATTTGGTACGAGTCACGCGAATTGCTTCCACTTCGTCTGAAAGGTACTACCGAGTCCTTTTTTTGTATCTTCATTGTCGAACTACACGACGTCCTACCAAGTCAAAACCAAGCCCTCATTAACATTCCGCCCACGACTGAACCCACTTTCAATCCTCCTTATTACTTTGCTTCATTACATCATTATCCTGGATAGCTGGAAGGCTAATATTCCATCAGACTTGAGGCTTGAAGGAAGGTCCTTCCATATCACCTTGGAATGTAATTCGTGATCCTCACCCTATCTTAACTCATCAGCGCAAAAAAATTTGATGTCCCTTTCGAGCACATTGCCGCAAGGTGTTTACACATCCACCAACGTCAATTCCAGGAGCCGCTGGAAATAAGCCATCAGAGTCTTATTATCCAATGAACCTGTGCGGGACGATGCTGTGGCCTTGTAAAGTCCATGGAGACTTTCGGATCCCGTTGGAGAATGAAACTTCGTGGCATGACCTACTTGATCATGGAGATAACCTTTCGGCGAGTAACCCGCTTCTCATTCATGCAGATGTATGAAAACTCCGTGAATCCAGAGGCCGCTGTTGTACATACTTGCTACAATCAGGACGGCGCACTGTTTGATGTAGGTGACACCAGCCTGTCTGATTTCCTTTGCTGACAGAACGCCAATTGTAGTCTATCGTTGAATGTGAGGTCGCTTAAGACACAGGTGCAGGTTACGCATGATTTGCGGAATACATGATATGTAAGAGGGCCCCTGACATGAACGACGCTGTGGAGCATTTTCAGTGCTGGATTAGTGTCAGGTCGACTATCATGCAGCGGATCTCACCAACTTCGCGTGCACACGCTTGAGGGCTATATTCGCAAGGATCTTCCCGCTAATGCATCGATCTTACGACTTCTCTCTTTCGCAATACCCCTGCGTTGCAATGCCACCTCAGTCACGCATCACTTCTATCATCTCGCCGAAGCACTGGTCTGGCGCTACACCACGGATCATACCTCCGACGAATCCGCGCAGCTGTGTTGCAAATTACTGTTTTTCCCTGTCCAGACGCCTCCTACCTTAGGAGCATCGGCGTAGACAGTGCTGTCGAATATGTGATCAGCGGATGCAACCATCTTCTAATAGACGCATTCGATGAAGGCACCGGATTCTCACATGAATCCACATCCTTCATGAGCACATCAGAACACGACATCTCGTGTCAATCTCACGGTTGTCCGATGAAGACTCCTAACCTGCGATATTCCTAGTTTTCGCAAGCGCTGAAGCGAGTCACAAGTTCTTCCATTAAGTGGATGGAATATCTAAAATCAATTAATAGGCGTGGAAAGGGGACTGCAGAATCTGCATTTGGGGGAGAGCATGAGTGATCTTTGAGGTGATCCTAGCACTATCGGACAATTGACTTGAATCGCTGCTCAAATCGATCCAGAGAATGGGGTCATGGACGTAATGTCCACGATTATGTAGTATGCACTGATCAGTCTTCTGACATGTGTTGCTTTCGTCCTTATGTTTCTTGCGATGCTGTAATTTGTTGTAATCAATATTCGTCTTGGGTTCTTGTGGGTTAGGAGTGCAGCCTCAACCCGTGCTGAGGTATTTAATAGCCAACGATTGGTGAATAGGAAGAATAATGCTGTTTGTGTACTAGCACGGCCTTGATCCTATAGATTATAAACGTTGCATGAGCAGAACATTGGCGGGCGTCTGCATGTGACACGGGAGTGATGGCTCTATTTGTAATTGTACTGCAACTTCAGGGACTTATAACATCGCCACCACAACGTGGGCCTCCGAGTTAGCACAATCCATCCTCCGAGTTAGCACAGTCCATCCAACGAAGCTAAGCTTTCACAGTGTCGGACATCTTCTCTTTCTTTCACCGTCCAAGTAGTCCACATCGGGCACTGCTCCTGGTCTCATTGAAAGCGTTCCAAGAGCGTGCACGAGCGTCGATAGAGTGTCTGACATGTCCACAATATCCACTCAGCTGCGCAACTTCAAGGAACCTACTAAGGATCAGCTGACTCATGTTTTCTTCTCAATACCGGAGGTGCCTCCTGTGCCTTCCAAGGACACGGAGAAACAAGTTTCTGGAGATATAGAGAAGATGGAGATCAACGCCATTCTCAGCTTCGGTGCGCAAGAAGTGGAGGACTCATATGTGAGTGGCATGTTCTCGTCCACGTACGATATCTCATCGTTGGATTGGACTCAGGCAGGAAAGTTACACTTGCTTCCACCATATCTCGCATTTTCCTCCCTGGATCGCAAGTCCGTCAGGTTCACATTGCCCCTCTCCACAGTACGACGCGTCGAACGCCTCAATGCGCGTGCTGGAGTTTACGCCTTGAGTCTCTCCACTTGGCACGGCATGAAGATAGTAAGTGACGATGTCGTCGTTTGATGCCTTCATTAACACCTGTATAGATTGTGCAGTTAACCTCCCTTCGACCCACCGCCGACCTATTTTGCAGCCTCTTGCGGGAAGCACTCAAAGCGGAGCTGCAGCGTGGTCACATGAAAGCTGTGAAAGGCTTTGTGAAGACTTGTTACTCTGAAGGGCTTGTGTCGCTATCGGGTGTCTCAGACAACGAGCGGGAGGATGGAAGTCTTATTACGGAGACAAAAGAAGGATGTCCGTCTCCAGAAACGGAATTCCATGGTGGTCTAGGACTGCAGTTTAAATTCCCTGGTGACCCAAAAAAGTTGATCTTTTCATGCGTGCTTCATGCCTTGCACTAACGCGTTTCAGGTTGCGCGAGGCTTCAAAAATCAAGCTATGGACGACATATTTAAAGAGTACGCCTTATAGTTGTGTTGCATATGAAATGATTGACCATGATGTAGATCACGGCCGCAATCTTACATTACTAAGATACCCACAGTGTACTCGACTAGTTCAGGTCGGCCTCCCTAATCGTCTTCGTGGTGAGATGTGGGAGACATTGTCCGGATCTATATATCTTCGTTACTCCAATCCTGGAGTATACGATCAATTACTGTTGGATATTCAAGGGACGAATAGTACAAGTTTTGAGGATATCGAGAAGGACTTGCACAGGAGTCTTCCGGAATATGCAGGCTACCAAGCTGACGAGGGCATCAGCGCTCTTCGGAGAGTACTACAAGCCTACTCGCACAGGAACCCAGAAGTTGGCTATTGTCAGGTACGTTTTTCTCGTGTTTTGCCATTCATTGATTCTGATTCGTGTCTAGGCGATGAATATACTGGCAGCTGCGATTCTAATGTAAGTGTTTCGCTTTCACGGAATGCTTATCTCATGTTGGTGAAGTTACATGTCAGAAGAGCAAACCTTCTGGCTTCTCGAAGTTCTGTGCGATAGACTTCTGCCTGGCTACTACAGGTATGTCCTGCCTACCAATATGCTGTTGCTACCACTAAACGCACCTAGCCCAACCATGCATGGAACACTTCTAGATCAACGAGTTTTCGAGTCTCTTGTGACACGGTGCTTGCCAATGATAAGCGATCACTTCCAGGCGGTAGATGTACAGCTCTCGGTTGCGTCTTTGCCATGGTTCTTGAGTTTGTCAGTGTTCATGACAACCTGTGCTCTACGTCGGACATGACTCGCTCTTCCCAGGTACATAAATAGTATGCCTATGGTTTTTGCCTTTCGCATTGCGGACTGCTTCTTCTGCATGGGTCCGAAGGTGCTTTTCCAAGTAGGGTGAGTCTTTTCTTGTCATTCCGACCTTTTGCATGACTCAAAGTCTTGTCAGACTGGGTCAGTGCACCTCGCTTATAATTCAATATATCCGCCTGACTTGTAGAGTAAAGCCATTCTCAAGATTAATGGTGAAAAGTTATTGCAAATTCAAGATGATGGGGGATTCTTAAGGTGGGTTAATTCCAACCCTTGACGGCTTATACTCACTATGATTAGCTTGATGCGCGAATACTTCGCCTCGCTTGGTGACTCTGCTCATCCAGAGTCCGCAGATCCTCGAACAAGGGCGATAACACGCTTCCAAGAGCTACTTCTCGTCTCGTTCCGGGAGTTCGCTGTGATTTCCGACGAGACAATTCTCTCCGAACGTAGAAAGTACAGAAACGAAATCGTCAACAGCATCGAATCCTTCTCTAAGCGCTCGGCGATCAGAAACTTGAAGACGCTCGGAAGATTTACCAAGGAGCAAGCTGGGTTCATATACGATGCTTTGTACAAGGCCATGTGTGAGGTTCCGCCACCACCGGCTGTTGCTCCACCGCCATCGCTCTTGACCACGAATGATGGGAACCAAGAACGAGCAGAGACTAGGATTGGTATACCGACTTTCCAAGTTTTTCTCAGTGAAATCTTGACCTGGGCACGGAGCGAGAAGATTGTGATCAATGGTTTCCAGGTAGTCCTATAATCTTTATGTCTTGATTACTGACCTTGACGCGAATAAAGCAACGCATCGACCGCGAGGTTGCAGAACACGAGCTCATCGACCGTCTCTTTTATTTTTGGGACACCTCGTGCAACGGCTCTTTGTCGTTCCAGGCATGCTTCTTGATGAACGAACAAAAAATTAATGCTCACGAATACCCCCAGGATCTCGTGTCTGGTCTAGATGGTGTAATGCTCAATGATTTGATGGAGAACATTGAATGGTTCTTTAATCTGCACGACAATAATAAAGATGGGTATTTAACCAAGGATGAAGTCCTGACTCTCTCCGAGTCGTTTCTTGTCAGTCTATCCACTTTTTCTGACGTTCGTGACTGACTAGCCATAGTTCATTTTCCGTCATGAGATCGGCGACGCCTACCTAGGAGCCGTCAGCAAATTTATGACCAACGCTTTCGAGTATGGTGATAGTCTTCTGCCACAGCATACCGATAGCAAGACCGGAGCAACAGGACCTCAAACCATTGGGCACAACCAGCCATACCTCAACCTTGCTACGTGTGTTACCCCGTATGACCCCACAGAATCAATCTTACGTTTCCTATAGGTTCCGGATGGTCGTTCTGGCTGACGAGGTCTTGGAGTCGTTCTTCGAAACCGATCTTTCTGCCTCATTCAGGCTGGAGCCCGTTCCTGACCTTGAGTTACCTCCGGCATCAAGCGGCTTCTTGGGTGACCTGTGGTCTAACATCGCTACCCAGGACAACAAGAAAATGTTCAACAGACTGAGCGACGAGCTTGGTAAGACCATAGGCAAGCATCAGGTATGACAGTTAGTATAATTATCACTCGACAAAGTTAACATTTTGCTTGCAGGTTATCTATCGTCCTACAATCGGACGATTCACAAAACTCGAAGAACCGACGGCCCGGGAGTCGCTCATTTCTCCACCGACCAAGACCACCTCGGGAAGTTCTTTGGATACTGTTTTAGTATCAAGCTCGTCTTCAACTCTCGACGCGTCATCTATCCACGACAGTGGTCCGTCGTCCGCATCAGTGTTTTCTCCGATGCCCCACTTCAAAGCGGTCAATGCGGCATTCATGGAGCGCACGCCGTTTGCCATCGACGACGCAGGTGATGATGACGACGATAGTGATTTAGACATGGTCCATGGTGAAGATGATGATCAAGTTTTGGACGAGGTGAGTGATTTTCTTCATGCAAGTATATTCGATGATGCTCAATGCCGTAGGTGGATGCCTTTTTGGAGGCGCATGATTCAGGGCTTACTGAAGCGGACAAGGAGGTTGCAAAGGGTAAGATATCAGTTTTCGTCTGCATGCATAACCTCTGATCATGTTCAATCAAACTCAGATCTTCTTCATGCTGAACCTGTCAAGTAAACGGGTGTTTCGTGTTAAAACTCTCACGTTTATGCTATTGTTCAGCTTTTCATGCATTTGCGAGTTATATATCAAGTGTAGGATAGTGTACAAGACAAATAAACCGATACTAGGACTAGGTATGCAGTACCAGCACACAATGCACATCTGTCACGGTCGATCAGCATGTCGACCCACGATCAGACCATATGCGAACTGTAAGGTCTGGCTCGATGGAGCCAGACGCAATCATGTTTTGCTGTGGGTGAGTAGCCACAGCGACAACAACACCTGGACACCCAATTAAGTTGTCAAACCCGGCAAGGAGATATGATCCTTACCTTCATGTCCTTCAAGAATCTGCACTACCTCACGGCTTTGAAGATCCCATATATAAACCTTTTGGTCTTCGCTCCCAGAAACAATCCATTTCCCCCCAGTAACACTGAAACAGGCCGCTATACAGAACTTCTCATTGCGATGACCTGTGTATGTTTTCAAGCAGCGCGACGTGTGATAGTCCCATAATCTGATTGCACTGTCATGAGCAGTTGAGAGAATGTACTTGGAGTTGGGTGAGAACTGTACGTGTTGGCTGAAGATCCATAAGAGATTAGAGAACCAGATGAGCAGTGGCAGCTGATGGACATACCATACAGCATCGTGTCCTTCAGCGAGGGTTTTCAAACATTGACCCGTCGTGGTGTTCCATATCCGGCTGTAGTTGCGTCAGACAGGTAAAGAAGTAATAATTTGGACTCACATTAGCCCATCAAGAGCACACGAGACAATCAGGGTGGCGTCTCTGTTGAAGTGTACGGCAGTAACATAGTCAAGATGCGCATGCAAAGTCTTCATGCATTTTCCTTGGCTTGATGTGAGAGACTGGACAGCTGAATGCAAGCAACCTTTGCGCACCTCTTGCGACATTCCATATTCGAACATCACCATCACAACCTCCAGAAACAAGGAGGTTGGATGCAGTGTTGTAATTTACACAAAACACGAAACTCGAGTGCCCTTTGAGATGTTTCGTTGTTAACCCCTGACTTGCGGTATGAGTCGACCGGAGGATAATTCCGCCATTGATGACTTACAGAATCAACGTTCCATATCCGTACACTGGTGTCATCAGACGCTGATGCGAGATATACACCGTCCGTTGACCACGCGATATCTGATAGTCCTTTGGTATGGCCACTCAAATTTCTGATTAAATCCCCTGTGAATGGAGACCATATTTTTACCAGATTATCTGCAGCTACACAAACAAGAACTAATTCAAACACAACCAGTCCTAGTGAGCTGCATACGAACCGCAAGATGCAAGTAGCGTTCCATCAGGACTGAATTTGACGGCAGATATAGATTGCGTGTGTCCCCTCAGTGTGTGACGAAGTTCATAATTTGGTCTTTCTCTGCCTGATGTTGCTGGCGGAGGCGCTTGAGGGACTGGCTGCGGTGCTGGCTGGGGAGGTTGTGGTGCAGGAGGATGATTGTCTGGTACCTGAGGGTCGTCCTCAGTTGTTTGAGAAGCATTATCATCATCAGTTGTAGAATCGTCCATTCCGGCGAGTGGATCCATGACGATTTATACCAGATGTGGAACTTCAAAAAGGTGTGTACCATAATTCCGCCGTTGATGGCGTTTGCGTATATTTGTCAGAGCCTTGTGATTTCAACAAACCACAACAACATTCAGTGGTCATTTTTCTTTCTTCATGAAGTTGGGACGTTGCAGGCTCCATGCTGGCATCTACTCCTAATGTAGCTGCGATCTCAAGAGCACTTCACGTACTTCCTACGTTACGGGCAGGTGGCAGTGGCAGTTCGAGGTGTATATCGTCCAGAGCCAATGTTATTTTCAAGGATGCGAAGTCCGTAGAATTTCTTGCTGCTGTTGGTGATAAAGAATCTCTTTCTTTGCTAGATGGGCTTCCTGAGGTAAGTCACTTATATATCGAGCACTCCACATGGTGCAGGCTTGTGAAGGTAGTTGTAACAGGTCGAGCAAATGTTGGAAAATCATCCTTGCTTAATTCTGTGATCGGGCGTAGAGATCTTCTTTTCACCAGCAAAAAAGCTGTGAGTCGTTATGGACTTAGCGCTGTATTCCACTACATGCGGGTTTTGCGCAGGGCCGAACACAAACACTCAACTTTTTCCGTGTTGGATCTCCCCCTGGTCGCTTGGTCGTCGTCGACTCTCCGGGATATGGTGCCAGGGGCCGACCCGAGTGGGGTGCCCTTTTCAACCATTATCTAGAAACTCGGAAGCAGTAAGTTTCTCATGCCATTTTATGTGCATTTAACACCGTGTTACAGGTTATGCCGCGTCTTTATCTTGATATCCGCTGCCCATGGTATGAGTGCTACGGACGAGGCAATGCTTTCTTCGTTGAATGCTCAAATCCAGTCGCTCGACGGCACCTGCTGGACACTTCAAGCAATCATTACTAGGGCCGACGCACTGAAAACAAACGGTCGCGCTCAAATGAATCAGATCGAGCAAGATATCTTTCGCATTGCCCCAACATGCTTACCCCCTATCATCACCTCATGTCCGTCCAAGGGAATTGCTTTTGGCATCGATGAAGTTAGGAAGTCGATTTCTCATGCATGTGGAATTCTCCCATAGAGACCTTACTCCCAGTAACTGCCGTTCGAATCGATTATATGTTCCGGTAGACTAGAGGGAAGGGCCGAACTTCGTTGGCAGGACCTTGTCTACCTTTCATCGTACTATTTACTTGTCAAATGATAGATTGGTATTTGCTTTGGCAAGATCTTTGCCCTAATTTGTGTGGTGACCATGTAATTTCTTATACACGAAACATCACGATAGAAATGCAGAGTTGAACCAGGAAACACAATTTGTACAGTATGATTCGAGTCAGCGGGGGCACATGTCGTCGGACAAATGTTGCACGGGCGACAAGCCACAATACTGCTGGATTCTGGGTTCGAACAGTACCGTGCCACAATTACTGTGCAACGTTAAAGAGCTGATCTTGATTGTAAGACTGAGCACGTACAAGTCAGCCTCTGATTGGGGTTTTCCTTTTCTTTCCGTTGTTTGGTGGAAGGGCCCACAATGATTGAAGCGGTGACATTTGAACAGGTTGGTTGATATAGTAGCTGTGGGCGGAGCGAGGACAATGACTTCTCACAAGACCACATTGAAGATGTCATGACTTGATACGATGAATCGTCGATGATGATAAATAGTCATATGCGCTTCGACAAGTGCACCTTCGAGTTTCGATTGAATCAAAACTCGGAAGTCGCACTTGACTCAGTGGGATGAGATCATAGTTTCCATCATATGCAGGCACAGGTAAAGGACATGCGTTAGTGGGAGGAGGCTCTGTCGAACACGAAATTCCCATCACTGAAACAATGTGCGAAGCTGTGCTGATTTTTTCCACAGCTCGATACTTTCATCGACTTCCGACTCATAGAAACAATATAGACAAGTCTAGCCACAAGTCGAATCCGAAATCCGAATCCTCATGAAACTAGGGATGATGCAGTACTTGAGGTGATTCTAAAGAAACACTCTCTTGGGCTTCAGCCACGGACAGGGACCTGAACGCACAATGAACCACCGTACACGCATCTCAAACAAAGAACTTTTACCATGGTACCTGCAACGTCAGTTGTCAGAGGTTGCACTTTACCCGACGAGGTGCTTTCACTATTTGTTACGAATGAGACTGGTGACACATACAAATGAAAAAAAAGGAAAAACCTTTCATAATTGGATGAAGGACGGAGAAGCGAGAGGACCACTTGGCTAGATGAAATCGTGCTGCAAATGAAAGTAGGTCATGCGTCTAAACCGGAAACCGTGACGAGAGTCCTGACCAGATGCATGCCGCTTTCGAAAGGTCAGCGATATGAACTCAGTCAAACCACAGGAACATACCAGGCATTCCCAAAATAGCATCCATAATAGCTGACGATACAGACTGAGTGGACGTTATTACAATATAACGAAACAGTCTTACGATTCAGGTTCAAACGATTCAGGACCTACAAAGTTTAGTCTGCGACAACCCTGTAGGGTAACAAGGAACACACCAGTAGGATAAGGTTCACTACGAAATTGAGGACAAAATATATCACCCCTTGTTTCACGAGCGTCTTCCATAGCGTAGAAGACGATGGCATCTTCAAAAGTCCAATAACGGTAAAGACCAAAAGTACCAGATCATACGACATGGCTGCAGTCCGAGGTACTCATCATCACATATCCATTGATCATGAATGCGTCATACGTACTATATATGACCACCGCACTGGCATATGCGGGATTGACAAAATGAACCACGCATATCCCGTTTATGGTGGATGCACGAGCGGTTGTCGGGACTAAAAATAGTCAAATCAATCACACTAACGGACAGCAAATACGCACAGAGAGTGAGCAATGTCCAATGACCTAGTGATAAGAGGACTAGCAAAAGGCGCAGCAAGCAACTGGTCTTCCAAATCAGCCATCTGCATATATATATCATGAGATCGAGTATGGTACGAGAGATAAATATGAGCGTGCGTTCTGATCATCAGGTTTGTTGTGGAGCAGCCGATGGCGATGTTTGTCAAGAACTAGATGATATGAAGGTAAATCAGCAACATAGTAGGTGCTCCCGTGCTCACCATGATCGCAAAATCCATGCCTAAATTGAGGTAAATCTCATCAACGAAGATAAAAATCTACAAAACAGTGAACACTCACTCTGACAACTCATGCTTGTGTGGAAGGGACTAGATCGCATCGCACTGACAGGGGATGTCAGTACACTTGTCGCTTTCTCTCTGTTGGCTCACAGTAAAATGGTCGCAATCAGGAAGCTGAATCTGGCAGTAATGTACGAGAGCTGGGCATGTGTAAGTGACAAACGTCCACCATTTCCTCGAGAACGCGTACCAAAGCCCATCGAAATGAAAGCTGCCTCCGGAGTAATGCTATCTCCACATGTGAGGAGCGTATATATTCCCAGCTACAAACGCAGACGCAGGCCAATTGGTACCACATCTAAGAGCATTACAACGCGCAGCACTTACCTATATAAGCCAAAAATAGCATACAACAACTGTACTGAAAGCATCTCCAATTTCACTTCAAAGCCAGGATCGTTCCAGTCCACCATAGTGGTAATTGGGTAGAAATGGTAGGTACGTTGAGGGTGTTGCGGGAGTGGCCCTGTTGACTGGAAAATCTCCTGTTTATTAAGACGATATGCGGAGTTGGTACATACAAACAAGTCTCCCACATCAACGTTTTCAACCCTGCGGGGCCTCTGCGGTAGCCAATCATAAACGACACCAAGGATACCCGTGTCCTCGCACTTACGACCCTTTACCTACCATGACCTTGGCGCCATTACACTACCACAATAAATCCGTGTCAGTTAAAGGTTAAAGATGTATAATACAGATCACACCTGGATTTGCCTCTGTAAGTGCCATAGAACGTGGATTCATAGGAGTGGCGTGTGCAACTAACAGAGCATCTTGGTGGCAACACCCACATCCCAGCTTGATCGTCAAAGGCAGGGTCAATGCAAATGATAACACAAGTTCGTTAAATTGTCAGGCAATTTTCATTACTCAAAGGCAAGCACTGGGGCTTGCATCCCTGAGGGGGTTCTTAACAATGGGAGTAGAGATGGTATACGGCATTCACACGGATAGTTGGCGACTTGACATTTTACCCAGGCTAGACATGGATTAGCACGCCTCAATGACTCACTCACTTCAATCGATAAAAATTAAGTAACGACACATGTGGGATGATAATTCTCACGTACCTGATACTAATGGGCAACCTACTCAAGCTCTTATGCCTTCTTCCTAGATGTGACTATCAACATGGCCGTCACTTTCGTTACAGTAGCCAAAACTCACCTTGACCCTTCAGCTCGCATCTAAAATCCACATTATTGACCAGGAGACCTGGTTTTGCAGCCCTCCCAAACATAAGCCTCTGTACATCAAGACGCAATCGATTCCTGTTTCGGGTTGAATTAGTATAATACACACCTCCACTCAAACGCTACTTGAGCAAGAACAAATTCAGAAATCTTTTGGAGAAGGCTGGATTTTTCGTAACTGCCTCCGAGATATAATTGCTTGTCTCCTTCGGTGCTGCAGCAGAAGTGGAGTTGCATATTTTCCCATCTGTACTTGTGACGTCGAGGGTGAGTACTTGAGTAATTGACCTGAGCGTCTATGAAACACAAGTCACGTGAAATACAACGAAGCAGTATAAAAGTGGTCGCTCCACAACGGATCGCGAGCTCGCGAGCGTTGACGGGTGAAGCCGGGCCTTCGTAGCGTTGCCATGTGGAGATTCTCCTGCGCAGTGCTTCCTCCTTAGTGAAGCACTGTGGCCCGTGCACTCCTCTTAAGACGGGACTTCGAAGATTCTCTCTTGCCTCATTTTCTCTTCTCAACCACATCTTCCTGTGTGACGTGCATTCGATTTTTTCGATTCACTTACCATACAATGTCTTCTTCTAATGTTAACATATCTACTGCATCCTCCTCGGCAAATCCCACATCTGCCATATCTACCTTGTCTTATGATCAGACTGTTGTGGAAAATGTGCGTTGGGTTGCTGATAACCTCTTGCTCCAAAATTGTTGCAATGCAGGGGATCTTAATGTTCCTGCAGATGAGCCTATCCTTGCTCTTCCTCCCAACCCTAATGTTCCAGCTAACAAGCTTCATCATTGGGTCGCAGCCTTTGCACAGCTCTCTCTGGCTTCTCAAGTACAAGGATCAGCACTTCTAAACTCTATCATGCCCACTCAAGCTCCATCTTCCTTGCGCCCTAATGTTGTTCCTGTGGCCAAAGTTCTATTTGACAGTTCCAAGGAGGCTGTCTCTTCTGGCACCATCGACTCTACTTACAACTTTAGTATTCACTCCTTCATTCAGGATCTCGCTGACACTGGACAATATTGTCCTCTAATTCTGTTTTCTGCTGAGAACACTGAATGTTTACACCATGAGGGCCATTCCCTCAAGTGTAGCAAAATCCACATCAACGGAGTGTCACACCACCTTCTCAATCTCTCACAGTTCGAGAGTGAACTCAGTCTTGACACCCTTACCTGGCAAGAAGCGTACCAGCAGTATCTCACCTGGATCACTGATGTGGGCGACCAAGCTTCGCTCAAATGCTGGACCAACCATTTTTCACTCCTTTCGAAAGATGAAGCTGTTCACAAGAATTTTCGGGCTATTCTCGAATTTGACATTGAAACTCATCAGAACTATGCTCTTCGCCCACACCAGCATAACCAAGCTGAGTGGGAAGCTCGTCTACAGTGCAAAAAGTACTTGACACTTCAAGATGCCTTCTTCACGGATCATTTGTTTCCTGATCGCCACCCTACCCTGCATGCTAATCATTTTGAGCCTTATGATCGCAATTCTGCTACCAAACAAGGTGGGAAGAGACCATCAGAGACTCCTTCCTCTTCCTTTCGAGACTCTAACAAACCTTCCCAGTCCACCAACCCTCTCTGCATCATCTGTGGGAGACTCGGACATTGTTTCTTGCTCTGCAGTGAAGAGACATCGGCGAAAGGAACACAAAATTTTGTGAAATATGCTTCCAGAAACTTGTGTTGTTGGTCCAATGGCACCCAGATCTGCATCAGTTTCAATCTCAATAATCCCTGTCGTATCTGCAAATGAGACCATCCTGATCAACACTTGTGTTCCTTCTGCGGAAAACCAGAACACGGTGCTCTCTTGTGCCAGTGTACCTGAGGTCTCACGTGAAGACGACTTCTTGATATGGACGCCAGACGTCCACATTTCTTGCTCAGTCCCTCCTCGTCACATTTATTTCAACTCCTTGCAGCATGAGACCTCTTTGCACGACTCTGATTCTGATTATTCCTGCATCAACATGCCTTACTCTGCGGATGGTTTTGATAATCTACTTCAATGCACGAATCTTGTTGATCAATATCCGGAGCTCACTTGGAAGCTTTGTAATGGCTTTCCCATTGGCAATCTCGAACCTCTATCATCTACCTACACTCCCAATAATCTCCCCAGTGCTGACATCTTCAAAACTGTCTGCAATGAGCACATCACAGACAAGCTCACTAAAAAGTGTTTATCTGGGCCTTATACTCACAAGGAACTCTTCACAAAGATCGGACACTTTCATTCTTCGCCTCTCCAGGTTGTTGTCAAAGCAGGCATCAACGGGGAGCCAGACAAATACAGAGTTTGTCGTAATCTATCCTATCAAGGCTCAATGGGTCAATCCATCAATGACAAAATCGATTCGAGTGAATATCCCACAATGTGGGGTACAGCTGTCAAATTCACTGATATTGTATGTCATTCTACCATATATCACCCTTCTTCGCACCATCTCTGTTGTTCATCCTACATCTGGACGCACTTTGTGGATCTAGTCTCAGGTATATCCCCTGATTCTTTTTCTGTTCGAAGGCACAGACAAGGGATCTTACGTTGTTGTGCACATCTTTTGGGTATTCTACCACCATCTCATGCATCTCATACCAGATTTGCAACGCACCTCCAGGAGCCCAGTTTGCTACCTTAGACATTGAGGCAGTGTATCATGGCATCCCTTGCCTCCCAAAACATAAAGCTTACCTCATAGTTTATCACAATGGTAAACTTTACATTGATCATAACATCCCTTTTGGACTCTCATCTGCTACTGGTTTGCAAGGCAAAGTCGCAGATGCAACAGTCGATATCTTGTGTGCTCTCAACATCAAACCCACCAACAAGTGGGTCAATGACGTCTATATCTGGTGTTTCCCAACTCCGCATGGCTTCTATTATGGCCTATCTGATGGTCAAATTCAGTTCTATGACTATGATCTATCCAGCGTCAAGTCTCTCATCGCCAAGGCCAAAGTACCTTGGCATGAGACCAAGGGGCAACCTTTTAGTGATGACAGTGAATATGTTGGTTTCTTCTGGAGTGTGTCCAATAGGACCATCGTTCTTGTTGAGTGGAAATGCTACAAATACATCTCACATCTATCAGATTTCATTGCCTCATTTGAACATGCTCATGTCTCTCTCCACGAGCTCCAGCATGTTGCAGGTTGCCTCACCCATGCAACATTCATATATCCTCAGGGATGTTCTTATCTCTCCAGCATCTACAAAGCCATTGCTTCTTACTCAGATGATCACACACCTCACTGGCTTTGCAAATCTGCCATCTTGGATCTCAAGTGGTGGTTAGAGCTGTTATGTGCTGACACCACGCCCGTTCCTCTCTCTCCATGTCCTCCCACATGCTGATTATGGAATCTGGGTTGATGCCTCCACGGGGATGGGCATTAGGATACTTTGGAACAAATACTGGGCTGCATGGTCCACCATGCCAAAATGGTGTGGCCCATCTTATGACATTGGGTGGCTCAAGGCAGTAGCCATCGAGCTAGCAATCTGCCTGATTCACTCGAAGGGAATCAGGGACACTGACATCCTCATCCAAAGTGACAATCAAGGCGTCATCGTGGCCTTTCAGAAAGGCAGGAGCGCTAATTTCCAAATCAATCTGTGCATCAGACAGGTCTGAGGAGCTACTACGTGAATCCCGTGTGTCTCTCTCTTTCATTTATGTAAACACTTCAATCAACCTGGCAGATCCATGTCTCACGAGGTATATATCCCCCTGCACATCTGCAGTTATCCTCTCCTCCCACCATTCCTAAGCCCATACACTGTTTCTTCTGTATGCAAGAGAACGACCTCTATCGTGAATTCATGAGGGGAGTGGACGTCCAAGCCACCACAGATGAATTCTGGGCAGGTGTTGCCTCCACCCCCTCAGCATTACATGAATCTGTTGCACAATCACTCCAAGTATCTCGTCCTCATACCTCTTGTTTCTGGCCTGGCTCCTTCATCATTCCTTCACATCACTGTCCACCCGTCATCGCTAGCGATAGACTGCTCATGTGGTCAACTCCGGCAGGTCTGGGCTGGCAATCTGACCTCGAACAAAATTTTCCTGACAGCTCCTTATTTCGCCTATTTCAAGTATGCCATCTCACATCTATCTATCTTCACATTCTGATCTTTATGCAGGTCATGATTTGGTCACTAGATCAGGATACTCGTAGCAATTATGGAGCAGGCCTTCTGTGTTTCATGCAATTTTGTGATTCTATCAACATTCCAGAACATGATCATAGGCCTGCTTCAGAAGTTCTCGTTGTGCAATTTGCAGCAGCGCATGCGGGCTCTGCCTCTGCAAAGACTCTTAACAACTGGTTATGTGGTTTACAGTTTTGGCACATCGTTAACGGTGCTCCTTGGTCCTCAGCCTCCTTGCTCCATCACACTCGTAGAGGCTTCTCAAAGATGGTTCCCCATCCACACATCAAGCAAAATGTCCTCCAGTGACCATAGAAGCTTTGTCCATCTTATTCAACAATCTTGACCATACTTCCCACCTAGATTGCACTGTTAGTGCTGTGGCTATGATCGCTTTTTGGTCTTGCTGTTGTTTGGGCAAACTTATCATTCCCAGCTTGGGACTTTTCAACCCTCTCAAACATGTCGTTCGCTCAATTCTCCCACTTCGCATCAACACCTTAACAAACTCTACATGTCTGTTTCCATCCACATCCCCTGGACAAAGACCACCAAAGAGGTTGGTGCAGACATCTCCATCACTGCATGTCCACATCAAACATGTCCACTCACCGCTTTGGAGCATCATCTAGCTGTCAACACCTCCATTCTCAACATCTCCCCCCTCTTCTCCTACAAAGACACATCCACAGACGGCTGGGTCCCTCTGTCCAGACCCTGTCTTTCTCAGGCATTGTAGTGAGGTTTGGGAAGCACAAGGATCTCTTGCCTTGCCAGGGCATGCATTTTGTATAGGCGGTGCTACTGAGCTTCTGCTAGAGGGTATACATCCGGACATTGTTGCTACGCAAGGCCGCTGGAATTCCCGTTCCTTTCTGGAGTACTGGCGTCGCATTGAGACCATTTTGCCACTCTTTTTGTCATCCTCTTTCAACACACAGCGTATCACTGATTTAGATTCAGTCATGAATTCTTTTGCTCAACATCATCATCTTCCACATTCGGCCACATCCTCTTAATCGTCTCTGTCCTCTTCCACTTACCTTAGGCCTTATCACTGTTTTTTGCTAGCAATCTCTTCTGTGCAATGTATCTCGTCTTCGACCTTTTTCACTTGCTCTATGTGTGTGGTCGGTCTCTGAAGGAGACTTGTCTGGTTGTGAGCTGTGCTCTAGTTTGGTTTGGACTTGTGTCTCCTTCAGGCCCAAGGGCTGCTCATGTCCTAGATCAAAACGCACTCAGAAGGTCTGTCTTTTGTTCTCAGATCCCAATTCTCAATTTTAGTCTTCAATCATTCTCCTCTTGGGATTCTTGCTCCGAGCACAAACCTGACACTTCCTTGCATCGGTCTGGCAAAGCCAGACCTTCCCACACAAAAACCGAATCTATAGCATCTCAACTTGCTGTCGATTCATTATTGTCCCCTTCGTGCTATCAGCACAAAAAGTCATTCTCTTAAGCACTGAAGAACTGTATTCCTTACCACATCTCCATACTTAGCATTAGTGAGCTTGTTTGTACAGAGCTCACTCTCCTGGTTCTCCATGCCTCACAATGCAATATACAAAGGCACCCTCACAGCAGCAAGACATCCACAATCCTCCACCTGTTACAGTTACAGTTGCCCCCTATCATTTTCTCTACTATCTTCCTTTGTATTACGTCATGACCGCACTTACATCGTGCCATCACTAGACTATTCCCTTTCTTCGCTCATCCTCATGTATTACAGCACGACCGCCTCATGCCGTCGCTAGCTGACGTCACCTTTCTTATCTCTGACATGACGTCATTTCCCTTATCTCTGACTCGTCTCGATGACGTCATTCCTTATCTCTGACTCGTCTCGATGACGTCATTCCTTATCTCTGACTCGTCTCGATGACGTCATTCCTTATCTCTGACTCGTCTCGATGACGTGTACGTACCGGCCCTAAAGCTGGCCTTACCTATATAAGCAGGTCTTGTACTTAGTTAGACTTCACTTTAATCTACTAGGTTTTACCCAGAACATCCTTCGCTTAAGGACCCCCAATCCTTAAGTGTCTGATATCGATATTCAAATCAGAGACACTCTCTCTGATTTGTCTTAACCAGACCCTTGCATTTGTGAGGCCCCAGACCCTCCACTTTCAACTGTTCAAGATGATTAGCCTCCACCAGGATAACGGGGCAGCTCATCATTCCAATCAAAACACCTATTAAAGAATTTGATCATGAAGGAACCGTAAAATCTGGTAACATACCGTGACAGCACAGAATGCAGGGCACTTCATCTAGAGGAGAGCAGTCATGTGTTGAATTAAAGTTATTGTGGCGTTCATTCTCACGGTGGAAACCAATCTGGACAGCCAACAGAGCATCAGTCACCAACAGCTCCGATTGTCGAACTGAATACGCGCTAGTATATATTTTCGTCAAGATGAATCACATACAGGTAGTTCAACTCGAAGGATCAGTCTTACCGCCAGCTCCGCTAGAACGCATGTTTACAAGAAAAGGCCAAACAGCCGTGATCAGGCAGCTATCTCCTTTGTGATGTCGTGACAATACCAGAGAAGGAGACAGCTGCCTGTCACGGGCCTCACGGCACCAGCATATTCATTGTTACAAGGTCGGAAGATCAGTAGCTCCATCATAGATATCGCAACACCTCAATGCCTCATAGTGATGGACTCATCATTCGAGTCGACGTCTATGTTGCCCTATCACGCTGTGACAATATTCAACTGTTGCAAGATTTCGATGAAAAGTTGCTGATGACACATTCCTACGAACACTTGCGAAATTGCGAATCGAAGACTTGGATGAGTGGTTGTCAAGGTTGGATGTGGAGACGGGTATGATAAGATCCGTACATCCGAGTCAGGATCCGAAGAAGAGCGTATTAGCAACAGCAGTGCATGCGCACCGAGCCCCCGACTCCGACAACTTCTCTTACGCCCATGCTTGGTTCCCAACTTAAACATTTCGCTTCGCGTTTTTCACATTGTTGTTAGCTTTTTGAACTGCAGGATGACGGAGCTACTCGGGTTGCCGCGGACTAGTGACTATCTTTGAATAGGATAATGTTTCTCGAACATTCCCCTTATCCATCTTGTCAAATATTTCTGTACCCATCGACGATGTTCCACAACGTACTAGCAAGCTCTTTCGTATCATCACGCTCTCCAGGCCCATGCTCATAAGCACACCATCACTCCTTTGTGTTCTTGCAGTTTATTCTACAAACCTACATCGACGTTGGTTTAGTATGCCAGAATATGGATGGAAAAGATGTCAGCACGAGATAATACCGACCCCGTGACATGAATGAGTTCAAATACACGCCATACGATTGGACGGGTTATTACATATCTGGAGATCACATGTTCCTGTAGTTACACCACGCATCGAACACTGCCGGGTCTTGATCCAGTAACCCTCGAGTTACGGTTCGCCTCGAAAAAAAAAATGCTTATCCTAGAATCACATATAGCTTCGTCATGATTCGTGCGATCGCCGAGAAGTTGCAGTATAGATCAGTGAGCGTTGCCTCTGTTGCTGGAAAGGGTAGGGAGACTATGCTTCCCAGTTGTCCCAATCAAGTGGACGTATGATACAAGTTGTTTTTCTGCAATGTTCCATCATAAAACAATATGTAGAGTTTTGCAGGAGACAAACATCATAGGCATACCATCGACATGGCGGCGCCTGCATTCAGATTATCGATGCCAGAATGATTCGGGTCCACGCCCGAAAGGAAGCTGAAGTGCAGTGTAGAAGTCCTGAGAATCCGCCACGGAAGCATGTGAGGAAAGCATGTGAGCGGGTGTATCGCGTATCATTTGCAATCCCCACAGTGGGGGACGATTCAACAGATGACTGTAAATGATATGAAATAAGGCTTACCTGGATGTTATCGCAGTTCTCGACGAGCAGACAATGCACCCCTTCGATGAGCTCTGTCTCCTGGAGAAGTATTATAGATACTACGAGACGGTCAGCAAGTATCTCATTCTATCACCGGAAGAGATCCTAAGTCCAAACAAGCCAGCAAAAACAATGTTACATAACGGCGCTCGCAGGATCGGTCCCGAAAGAAATACGGAGTACGGAATAGATTTTCCACGGATTGGGGAAAACTCTGGGGATTGGTGACGAGGCGGAATAGGCTGACCCGAATCATTCAAGATAAGCTGGTTGGACCTGAATTGCGCCTTCAACGGCCTCACTGACACGGAAATGAAGATTACGCCATAATACATTTCGCTGGCCCTTGCTAATACCGTTCTGCAAGGTCCGGCGCCTGATCCTAAATTAGTAACCGGGATGATCAAAGCTTTCCAATAACAAATAAAAAGTGATTTTTTCAAATTCTGGTCCAAGATAGCTGTAAGGGAAACAATTGTACCCACATCAACAACGATGCTCACGAGGCAAGTCTCCTTAGACTATGTTGCCAGTCTACTGGGTGTTACTTGATACAACTGAGAATATTCTCGCAATCTAACGAACACTGAATTTCAACTTATCCTTCATCTCCAGAACCTAGACTGATACACTAATTTACTCTTTGTGAGTAGACACGTCATGATAGGCATCTTAGGCTTACTGTCTGACGACCCTGTTGACCCACGGCATATCTTCTTCTCCACAGTCCACAACCTTGTGTTTAGTCCCTCGCACGCGTTTGACCAATAACACGTTTGCAGTGACACCAGCTGTGTTCGACGTCATTCATACAATCTCACGAATCAAAGCATTTGGTAGCGCGTGTATCAATGGATGTTTTCGAAAGAACGTGCACTCTAGTGCTGCCCACGGGAATGTTCGTAATGAGATTGTACATTTTACGAAGCCGTCCTGTAGGTGAGACAAAGAGATCTGGTCCAAGCTAATTACGCAGTGAGTCACTTGGAGTTGCGGGATGGTGGTTACTGTCTCCACGCCGTCCCGGATTGGGACTAATACAGTGTGTGGAGTTATCGCGCTACTGAGGGACATATTGCAGTGAGTGGCGACAAAGACGGCAATGCGATGTAGGCGCAATCACAGAATCGGGGCAGATGTTGTTATAACCTGGCCAAAAATTTATTCGGTCGAAAGTATTACTGAGGCGACATTGACGAGGCAGGGGACCAACAAGGAGCGAGGAAAGGTTGCCGTTCGAAGAGCGTAAGGAGAGAAATCAATGGACAGGATTGTGCGATGGCAAGAAGTAGAGCAAGAGAGGAATGACGGGGATCTAGAAGGATCTAGACTGGCAAGCGGTACTACCCGAGAACCTATACAGCAAGGAGGTATAAAGTTAAGGTTGCAAGAGCCGATAGTGAGAAGTTAGACGTAAGGAACTGACAAAAGTCTCCATCTCCATCTCCACAACCGTGGGAGTCAGGAAGAACATGTAAATAATTGACATATGCATGCAAGTTCAATTGGGTGAGAAACGTCTCCTCCCCTTCGGGGATTCAGAATTGGTTATTACTTCCCACGGCTGCATAACGTTATCCTTCAGCCACAATTACAAGGCAACTGTTCTTCCTCGAGTTTCAAGATCAAGACGATTCACCGCCTTGTTCTGCAAAGACACGCCGGTATCTCTGTCGCACCGACACTCCGATCCCGCATTCTAAATTCCATCTCTGGTGTAACGGATCTTGGTTCGTGATGCGTTATCTCGCTGAAGGTATCGGGTTTACTGCATAGTTGATATGCGGATTCAAATGCTCAGATTTGCATGTGTAATATGTATTCGGTCGTTCAAAATCCGCTACTGCCTCCACTCCGGTAATTCGACCACTGTATATGCGCTTAGGCGACATGTGATGACCATCCTGAGGTAATACCAAGAGACACATGATCCTTCTAAGACGTATTCGTCGGCAGGTATACGCGACATGACTTCGTAAGTTTTGCGTTCTATTAGTTATACCAATATTGGCAAAGATAGGCTGACCCATATATCTTTTGACAATTGGTTTACTTAAATCGTCACTCCACAAGTGCCCATATATTGTTGTACGCCCTCCGGCCAACATCTTCCTCCACATTTCTCCTCCTTGACGTCACCCACCATCCCTAGCTCCCCACTCTAAGCTACGTAGCTCTCACTTCAACGAGCAATTCACCATGCCCTCACCTTTCAGTCTTGGAGCTTATACTGCTATATTTTCCTCTGTTCTTATGTCGTTATCACTACCACTGCGCTTGCCGTCTAGCCCACCGCCATATAACCACACACAGTCATCACATCATGACCACTCCCTACGCAAAAGTAGGCCGTGTCAGGATATACTGATCCCTGTGACACCTTCTGTCATGATCCACATCCCAAATTCTGCCTCGTATAGCCCGCGTAGCGCACATCGCAGGAAGCGGAATACGCAGAGCATTCCTATGGTGGAGATTGTACATCATAAAGCAGTAAGACAATCGACAGTGAGTCAATGACCTGTAGCACTAAACATTTCACACTCTTTTTACGAAAAGAGTGCCCAACTAATGCAATGCTGTTATTCCTAGTTCAGCGCATAACATGCAAGGATGGCATGAGGAATTGGTAAAAAATCTCATTGAGGTGAGGGTGGACTTAGAGATCGTCGGTTCTAGCTGATCAAATTCTGATCTAGATCATGATGCGGTTTGACGCCGTTCGTAATGGAACCCTGCCCCTTTCTGCACTTTACGAAATTTTTGACTCCTGCGATATCGTTGATGATTGGATAGCCGAGCTTTTCTTCCCATTGCATTTTCTCATCTTCAGACACATGTATTTGTATTGCTAAAACGTCTTCACATCGCTTCAGAATAGTCATACAAAATCAAGGCTTATGGTGCTCCGATTCTAAGGCCGTCCCTCAATTCGTTTCAAACCAGCTGTGGAATACATTTTCTCCAGTCCCTTGTAAGACGACATTCCGCGTAATTCATATGCCTTGCCGTCGCACCAAACGGGTAGATTCAAACCGACCGGTAGGCGCAGTGGGAGACACCGCGTTCGACAAGACCCCGTTTGTCACTTGGACTCGCCGAGACTCTTCATATACAAGGCTGGAGCTCCTGCCACAGATAGCCAGTAAGTTGCATTCTGATGGGGTGTCCCCCTTTCCTAGTTAGTAGCGCCTACATAGGGCATTTCACCCCGAATGACCAGAAATTTTTAAAGTTGCATTCTACGTGCCACACTGGTCCCGGTTACGCCGGAACTCACACTTGTCGAGACTCGACTATGGTATTGATTTTGTTTGCCGTCTCATTCACTATGTTTGAGAGTCCCACTAGAAGCAAGGCAATGAATAGCACCCTGTGTCACTATAAACGTAATAATGATCTTATCAGATGCTTTGTTACTAACGGGAACCTGTACTTCAGGGTACTACTTCGGGAGTGATGCATTGACTCATGAGTACCCTGTTACAAGGTACGCGCGTATTACACGTAAAAACGTCATTAGTGACAAGACCTCGAAAACCTCCTCAGCTGCGAATTTAATACTTACCTGAGTAGTATACTAGGAGCAGCAGCAAAAACCTCTTGAGCACGAACAAGACAAAAAGTTTCTGGCGCTCGTCAACGCCAATGATGATTCGTCTACACAACAGACGCCATCTAGACCTCAATCGACCCAACCTACAACTCGGGTTGTCCATTACCCATTGTCTAGAATACCCACTATTCGTGCTCATCTAGCTCCCAAGTCAAATTCCATCAGTGCGTGCGCCTTCTATTGCACCAAACTCCACTTGTCCAATAATCCACCACCTTCGTCCTTCTGATCGAAGGTGCGCTTTTGGCACCCACGCCCTTGCATCGCCACTATTGTCATCGCCAGATATTCCGAAGCACAATGTAAGTAGTTAAGACTGTCGTCTCTTAACAGCCAGTGATAATCAAAGATTATCGCGGATAGTATTTATGCTGAATATGGGAGCTCAGGTAAGCCAACGGGCTTACACACGAGTACTGCCCCTATCAGCCATCATCTAGCACTCACGAACAGCAATATCATGATGACTTGGACATGTTGTCCGTTTCGAGATCCTTTCTTGAAGTTGAACGAGCTTTAATATGTTTCCTTTATATATTTTTTGCTTGGAAATGATTTTTCTCTTATGTTGTGTGTTAGTTAGAGAGTGTCTTATGCTATTTATTAAGTAGGATAAGGCTGAATAAACACTGTCGTTTTTCCTGATGTTGACTGGGCGAAAGCAGGAAGTGGCAAGAGGGCCTCGCGAAGGTCGGAGCCAGCGTGAGGTTTCGAGACTTCGAGGCAGCGTCGGGCTTCATGAGGTCGCAGTTGGCCTAGCGCATGACGCGGGAGGGTGCAGGTTGGAGGTCACCAGCTAGGTGCAGTAGACGGTAGAAGACCGCAGGTCGGGGGGCAGAAGCACACGGGCGATAACAAGGTGCCCCAAGTTAACCATGAAAATACCTTACCAAGCGGTGCTGGAGGTCTTGACCTCTGCTGTAAGTAGGATAACGCACGTACCTCGTTTTCGGGAGCTTTGGGGAGCCGAAGTACTTCGGTAACAGGGTCCTACAGCTCGTACTTCAACGGGCTTGGCGAGGAAAATATATATAACATAATGAAGCTTAGATATATTTAGCGTGTTATCTATTTATGGGGCCTCGGGACGAGACATGATAAGCCAGAAAATGGTCAGACCATTACTCACAAATGTACGTATAGCACGCAATGCGTATAGATTAGATACGAGCACCTTCGGACGTTTACCGTGAATTACAATAAGAGGTGTCTGTACGATACGTGGCTCCAAAGTAGTGTTTTGGATACCGAAAGTGCTGTGGAAAGAGCAAGCAGAAGCCACGGGTAAAAGAACAGGAGTATAGTTAGGAGAAAAATCAAAGGATCTAGACACATTGGAAAAGGTGGAGCACCGACAGACTTGGAGATAAGCACACAGCGCGCTGAAACAGGAGACTGCCGAGCATAGGGAGTCAAATAGTTAGGAGAAAAATCAGCGATCGAATGGTGAAAACACGCATTGGAAAGAGTGGAGTGTAGACGAGATAAGCGCACAGCGTAGGCAAAACAGGAGACTGCCGAGCGCACACCGACTCGGACTGCGTGTGGAGCTCAGGTGGAGTACGGAGTCTCGCGAATTGCTTCCGCGGGATCAGCCGTTCTGTCCTTCAGATGAGAGATGAGAGATGTTAGATGAGAGATGAGTTAGATGTTAGATGTTAGATAGTCAGATAGCTGAGCATGCTAGATCAGCTCCAGCCTAATGTGCTAGTTTCCAGAACTCCAGGGCCCAGAAGTGACCCCTGCGGACGATTGGTGGATGTTTTAAGTTCTGACTCTAATCAAACAGACGTGAATTGACAGTCGAATTGCCTAGGATGGTGGCCATGAAGCATCTATAGTTGCTTTTACTCCATATCAAATAATAAAAACTCAACCGCATCTTCCCCTGCATTCTCAACCTTTAGTCCAGCATCCTTTCCCACAAATAGATATAAACCATCTCCCTCTCTGAGCTCGACTATCGGCCCCTCGATTTGAGCGCCAACGCGCAATTTGACCCCCTTGGCGTTACCAGGATTGTATCCAGATTTTTGAACGACATGAATGTATGCTTTACGCCCCTCAGGGCTGCGGCTTGGGTGAAATGCATGCACGAAGGATATACCAGGGTCCATGAGCGATGCATATACGCGAAGCTGCGAGCGAATTGGAGCAGGACCTTCAGCATCCCTGTCAAGCGAGACTTCGGACGAATTGGAAGGCGCAACGATAAGCCTGAATTGGTTTCGCTTGTCTTCGTCGGTGAAATGCCTGCAAGAACCAAATAGTCATCTAATATATATAAGTAGGATCGTCAGAGATGTCTTACCTGGTAAAATATGCAGGTTTGCCTCTGTCTTCTCCGGGACGAGGAGATGCCCATATCTGACAGAAATGTACCTCTTGAGAGCCATGGGCTTTCTCAGAGTGAGAGATGCCGGTTCCAGTGGAGGTCATCTGAACGGCACCGCGAGATAGTATTTCGGTGTTGCCCATAGAATCTTGGCTACACGATGATGACGTCAGTCAAACATTCTTTAGCTATAAATAATTGGCAGAATGCTCACTGCTCGAGCGAACCACTGATCACATAAGAAAAAATTTCATATTCTCGATGGCTGTGGGTGCCAAAACCAGTGTGAGGTGCCACGCGGTCCTCGTTCAACACACGGAGAGAACCAAAAGACTCGTGTTCTGAGTCATGGTAACTGCAACGTGGTCACGTGATCAGGCAATGAAGATGAAGGTTAAAAGTCCATACTTGGCGAACGAAAATGTAAGAAAACTTTTGAGCCAACCATGATCTGTGTGAGCTCGTTCAGTGTTCCGTCGGGGAATCATCTCGATGGATCTGCTGGAAGACATCTTTCTTGCAGTATGATATGGAGCCACAAAGGTTTTCAGCAACAATGGCTTGGTTTGGGCTGCAGTGTTCCGGAGTAAAGCTGTGGTTCGAAAAGTTGGAGACACTTTGAACGATGAGATTGAGAGAGAAGGAAGTGTTGAGTAAAAGCGAGCTCCTAGCCTCGAATTTATAATCAGCGGCAACATTGATCGGCCATGTCTCAGGGGTTACCAATGGCTCCCTTTCCTGGTCTTCCTTACCCACACATTCTCACTCGCCCTCTTGCTTACTACGGGTCGGGGAAGGTCGGGGGTCATGGTGTGATTCAATTGACGATGAATATGACCTAACGTGCCACATGATTGTTCGATCCCAGAAACGCCTGGCATCGGTTATCAATCAGAATCGATAATGCTGTAGTAATCATCCAAAAGCGAGTGTCTTATTCTGTCAGCATCGTACCAGCAAGCTGCTGTGTCGGTCTACATCTTCCTTTGAAAGTCTAGTCGCATGGATTCGTAGCTTCGACTTCCGCAACTTGGTCAGGATCAAACTCACGACACCAAAGCCCTGAAGAACGAAGCACCGCATTCAGTTCATGAAGAAGACAGAAGTGACGGGCTCTGTCTTCATATGAGCTGGTATTAATTCATTTATGACCACATCTGGGATGGTTAAAATAATTGTTATCACTCACTGTCAGCAACGGTAGCCACGACTGCCTTCTATCTATAATATCGAGGTGCCCTGCCGTTGTAGTTGGTCCAAGTTCTGTCAAGAAAACTGATTATTTCGTCAGGTAAAGAACCTCTTTCCTACATGAACGGAGGGTTATTTATTGGTAATGAGATCGAGAAACCGGTCTACCCACCAATCTCTAATGTTTTGTTCAAGTTAAGATACTAGCACCAATTTTTGTCATGGGGCTCTAGCATGCTGTTGAAGCCGACGAAACGCCACTTCGCCTCCGCATATGTTGTACTTGGCCTGTACGGACACAGATAAGTGATGAAATACCGGTATATGTAGTACCCACCAACGACTCTCGCAATGACTGAAATGCGATTTCCCGATTTTGGTACTTAGCTAGCAATCCTACAACCACCGCAGAACTTTCTATATCCTAACGGCTGCCTAGCGTAGGTGTAACTGCAAGTAAGCCGCTACTAACAAAAGACGGTGTCAGAGGAACGTGTGATACATCGAGGACTTAGCATACGTCAGAGGACTGTACCTATAGAATCGAATCCCAAATTTCCGTAGACAAGGGAACAGTATTAACAGAAAGAATAAGTTTGAGAGGTACGTGAGATCCTGGAATATCAACTGATTCACTCAACGTTCCTCTACAGGGCATTGTAAAACACTTCGTAAATAGTTGGTTTGATCCACCCATTTCTCTTGGCAATTGTCACTATCTTTGCCACCTGTTCCAGAACTAAATTAGACAAGTTCAGTATTAGTGGCGGCGCAGCTCACTGGCCTCCCAACAGGCTAAATTCGTCGCTGGTGTGTTCCGCTGATCGAGCTAGGGACACCGTTTAAAATTAGAGGCACATACAAAAGGCATGCCTGATACAGTTCATTTACACTTCGAAGCATTTCGTCATAAGACATGCTCCGGTCGGGCACATGCAAAAAATGCGCGGATCTTATGCGGAGCAAGGGCTGTCAAAGAGGCTTGCAGCTGCATTCCGAGTCTCTGGGGAGAATGATCACTCGGCTTATAAAATGCAGCCCTGTGAGACCACCAGTGTGAACATCCACCCCGAAATTAAACAAGGGCGACTAACTGACTGGTGTCTATTGCGGCGCCCTTCATATCCAGTTGACCAAGGTACTGCATCTCTCAGACAAGTGCCTCGTGAATAGATAAGAACATAGAACATACCTCCTCCGAGACGCCATCGCTGTAGATCCGTGCAGTATCTATTATACGTATCCCTTTGCCAATGAAGCAGTCTATTGATTTCTGGCACTCCGATAAGTCATGGGTGCGAACTGCGAGTGTTCCCTCGGCACCGAATGCACATGCACTCTATAAAACTTTCAGTTGGATTCCGTGAAAACCGCTGGACGTACATGGATCAAGGGGATCAGGGTGGTCCGATTCAGTAGTCATGATTCATTGGGAAGGTCCCAAGCATTCATACACTGTCGATATAACTTGACTGGTCATATAGTACCATGACAACATTCTGGCACCTATGAATCATTCGGATGTTTGAGAAACACCAGGAAACATCATGCCCAATAGGTTCCAGTCGCCTGAGAGAATTGGATGGACAGAACAAATACCGGCACGCAGGGAGTCTCCAGGTATAAATCTGTTAGCTGGGATAAGCTGGGGTCTGTCCGAACTTGAGCTGGGACCGGTACCGGGGATGTGGTGGCAGTGCCTGACAAGGCTTACCCCAAGGCTTTTTTTCTCCTAATCATTGAATGACAGTTCAAGTGTGCCTGTCCATAAGTTAGACTAATGGAAAATAACAGATCCCTGTCCTGATAATGTTAATCGTACTGATATCGCGGCTGCCGGATCATTTACTTTCTGAATTTCACTCAACGATTTTGACGTACCACTCTTTGATCATCTCTGTTTTCCCTATCTCGTTTGCAATGTCACTTTGGCTGCCGCATGCAATCGCCCCTTTCCTCCCAGGGATTGCCCTTTGAGTTTATTCTGTCCAGTATCTTGCATGTGTCCAGACTAACGATTAATGAGAGACGGATGCAAACACATGCATCACAAATAATCAAGGGGCGAGAACAATCTAGAGACACACGTGCAAGAAAGGAAAGGTTTTCCCGCTGTGCGAAAGCGACATACAGGAGCCAGGTGCCTGAATATTCGAGTCGATCATCTCTACTTCGATCGTAAGTCGTGAACTTGCGAGTACCCATCACAGCACCGGAATGGGGAGATAGGTGTTTCCGCAGATCATTATCGAGGGTATATGAGAAGGGGTATAACTGAGTAATAATACAAAAATAAACATTCCGCAATGAAAGGGTTGGTAGCGACGTGCAGAGGCCAGACGAATAGATAAAATAATTCATGTATACCGACTCCGGAACATTCGCCAAGTGACCCCAAAGGTTGAGAAAAGCCGTCAGTGACCCAATAAGATAGGGGATCTACGCTACATCACTCCAATAAACGGGAAACCATCCTCACCAGAACCGAGTATCTTCCGAGGGAACATCCCCCAACGTGCGTAACATCACAATGTTGGATGTTAGGCTAGAAAACTGCAACACCAGTTAGTCTAACTGGTTATGGAAAGCGATTCGCGACGTACCCCATTACCTATTAACACCTGAGCACGCTGACCGATCAGCATGTCCACGGCCTGTGCGACAGGCCTTGCCTCCCAACTCAACTTCAAATCCCTGCTGGTAGCAACAGCATCCCATTTTTTTACCTGCATAAGAGCCTCCCTAAGCTGCTGCAGCCACTCCACGTCTCCATTCGTCATAATGTATATGCTCCTCAACTCCTTTGCGGATCCATATAGACGCCTTTGATCAGCAAGCACGGCCTGGACTTTCTCGATAATCTGTTCAATCGTTGGGAAACACGCTTTGAAGTACATGTTCGTGTTTGCCTCTGTGGTCTCGCCCCAGCCGCCGTCTGTAGGGACCCTGAACTTATCAGGGAGGGCAGAGAACTTGTTGAACCCGTTCCAATCTGAGGACCAGTTAGCAAGATGTGAACAATGACCTGCGAAGTCGCCTCGGCGAATATGAAGAGCCAGTAATCCGGCTACAGTATCCATTTCCTTTGCTTTGACAATAGGATGGACGTCGTGTAATGTTGTAGGAGTTGGACTGGAAGGGCGCATGAACGAGGGGAAAAATCGGAACGAGGAAGAAGTCGGCGTAAACAAATGAGCATTATCCGCGTATGCTTGAAGAATAAGCGGAGACCAAGAAAAATCTGTGAGGGCAGGCGACTTGGATAGGATGGGCCAGATTGAAAGTATGCGTTTTGATCCAAATAGCCTATTGAAAGTTGAGAACAGACAGCAGCACAGCCAGGTGACTTACCAAATCTCAAATAGTTGGTATGATTCCTGTTTTATCTCAACGCATGGGTCGTCGATGGAATTCAATTTCTCCACCCATTTCTCAAATATTTCCAGAGCAAGTACGTTATTGTCCAACCTAAGATGCTCGTTCACATCCCAGCTGTCGATGATAGTGGGGTTTGGGCAAACTTTCTTGAAGTACTCCTGTGAGACAGCACGAGGAGCAGCATCCCCGGGAGGGAATGACGACCCTATTATGGGGCCTGCACAAGAGAACGGCTTTGGCATGGACGGAGACCATGTGCGTTAATAACGTACCACTGATAATAGCTGACAAGGGTATACGCGAAGGTATGAGTTTTCCATTGAACGTTGAGTAATCGATAGCATTTCGTTCCCAAGTGAAATTATCAAACACAAAGCTAGCGGGCAATATTGAGGGTGAATTAAGTTCATGGAAATGTGGACATACGCTCGTCTAGTTGCATGAGCCAATACTGCATTCATCACGAGCTCCTGCATGGCATTTCCCCATCCCGAACCTGGCAGATGTCAGCCCTAGCCTGAATGTAAGAATAACCGATATTCATACTAGTGACATGGTTGGCGGCCCAAAAGAACTTCGCATCACGTCCCTCTGGGAAAGGTAATGAAAGATTATGCTGAGGCAAGTGTCGTTCATAATCATGATATTCCTCGTACAACGGCGGTAGCGAGTGCTGTTCCGCGAGAGATTGCTCCTGCGCCCGAGATGGACCGGTCGCTTTGATGCTTGAGAAGAATAGAAATAGGCAGACCAAAATTAATCCCGTTAGAAGACGGGTACATCGCCTCGTCAGTGAAAATCGCGATGGAAGTGACCTCGTGTCGGAGTTGCTGAGAGGTAAAGTCGAGCCATCTGATAGTCTGGAGTGCGTCAAGTTATTTCCTTTGAACGTGAACTTGAACGATTCCATGGTCGTGGCAGTGTGCGTGGAACACTCAATGATACGTTGAAATCGGCGCGCTTCGGCATGCCTGACTAGTAGAGTGTAAACCTATCCATTTCACACTCCGTTGTGAGAGTTCACACTCCGCTGGTCTAGTACCGTACGACTTTGCACGATATTGGTGATTGGCATGAACCAGGCGCCGGTGAGTACCTTCATTAATATACAATCACAATGTTGGCTAAATGACAACGTATTTGAAGGAGATTCTAGGGGCCCGCTAACAGCACGTGCAGCACTTGTTCAAGCTCGTAAATACGCTCTCTGATGCGGCAGGCCGTGACAGGCTACTGCTGCACGTGAAGAGTGCCAACACCCTGTATGCTATCGCAAAGTAAAGCCTTCGTCACAATATCACTGAAACATCGGAAATCACTTCCATTTCAGGCAGCAGACTTTCATCATCACTGCTTGGATACCGCTAGCAGGCACAGCAAACCTTCACACGTTGGACAATCTTAAACCTCCCGAAAGTGGCAATGACATTCTGTTAAAGGGGAAAGCTTCCAGATGATGGGGACTTGATCCTAGTGATAACTTGATCAACGTGAGCTGGTTCTGGAAGTATGAATACCTAGTAGGTCGATAAGAGCGATTCCTAATGTTCTTGTCCAATATACGAATCCACTTCTGATCGGTCTTCTTCAGACTAGCCATCGTCACAGAGGTGTAGTAGCGATACTGTGTTCCGAAGAAAGACAAGACAATAACACATGCTAGCTTCTGAGACTCCTCTGTGACACCCGAACTGTTTGACTCGTTTATAGAATCCGACCATCATTAAAGCTTCAAGCGCCGCGAAGATCAACGTACGTCTGTTCTCTATAATCTTCACAGGCGCTTCACAGATGGGGGACGATACGAGAAACCGTGGGTGAACCAATTCCCCGAGGTCGTGCCCGACCGAATATTAACCAAATTGTCTCTGGTTCTGATCGGGAACCAAGTTCCGGTCATCCTCTGAGATAGAGACACATTGCAGACAATTGTGTTCTGTACTGGGTGGCGCACAGGGTCAGCTCCATGGTAATGACAATGATAGGCTACTTGGAAGTACACTATCTAATAAGAAACCCCGAGTATTTGTGGTGCCCCCCTGGATTAATGGCTTTTTCATATTCGAACGATCGCGATGTGCACATAACAAGAAACTGCGCACGGTGGTATGAAATTAAACCCAGGAAAGGTTTGATATAGGGCTCATGCTCGCCGCTCACACCCACAGTTATATGCAATGAATGAACGATTATCAACAGAAAGTCCAGGCATCGTGTGAATTGGTATTCGGCTCGACATGCCGTAGGACGGATGGAAAAGGTGAAGCTTAAAATGTATCACATCATTATCAGTGCCATCACAGATTCATACCCTTCGCAATGATGCAAACAGCATGAAACAAAGTGACCTGTACACGTGAGGCGGGAGAGTCCGTCGAGGAATATGCTCCACCGTTCTGAAGCAAGCCCGTGTTCTGATAGGTGAATTTAGCCCGAGGGAATCATCCTTTAGAAGGGTTTGTTGAGTGCCAGACGCGGCCACGGTCTTGAAATAGACATAGAGTTTCTAGGTCGATGCTCAGTGGGTAGGTGGACCTCCAGCCGATCACCTCGATGTATCATATAGCTACTCTCTACAAGGATATAGGCGCTCTCAGGCTCGAATAGCTCAAGAATGCTCCCATGCAATATTACAATGGAATGCGTGAGTGCGACCAGCACTACGTCCTTCCATTTTAACGCATGTTCCTTGTTATTAGCGTCACGAATGACCTGGCTAGTACGTGTTTAGAGTGTTCGCCTGCGGTACCGTACCCAAGAATAAGTAGGCACCCTAGAAAGTGCAAGGATTGCTTGAGAAAGCCGCATTGCAACGTAGCCTCGACCTGCAGGCCCGACCGACCGTACGTCAGTGTGAAATGGGGTCTGGTCGAGAAATCATGAGCTTCCTGTTTCCTGATTTTGCAATATAAGAGTGGTCATGCTGCACAGCGGCGAGTCACAGAACGAGGAAGAACGTATGAGAAGAGATGAAAAAAGGTACCTAAAGGGTCGGACGACCGCGGTCGATGATCCGAGCGTATTGCATGCGCACCGCCTGAAAGTAACACAAAGGCGCGAGAAGCTCAGCCTCAGCCTCGAGGCCTGCAGCCACTATCATCGATACCACCTCGTACACACGAGTAGTCTACGTTTGTAACGTTTCGGTGGTGTTCCATGAGGCATCATCTCCGTAGATGTGGAACGTCATTTATGAGCTGTCCACTCACGCTCAGTCCCGCGTTGTGAGACCTGACAGCCCTATTGGTGGTGATGACGCTGATGATGACGATATGCTCCACGGGCATAGAGGTATAGCGCCATGTAAGTCCACGACGACCTCGGATCGATCCACAGCAAGCTTTCTTTCTTGTAACAAAATTAGACCAAGAGATCATACAAGCCAACAAGACGCTCACAGTTCCCACCGTCGTCCGTTCCTGCGCTGATGACGATGACATGCTGATGTGTCTTCACGCAAGAGATGTAGCACGGTTATTTGTGCCGATGAAGTACACAATCATTGGCCTCGGACCGTCCCTCGGCAAGTTTTGTTTCTGCAACAAAATTAGCAAAGCCAAGAAGACATATGTACAAGCAAAAGAGAAACTCGCATGCCTTCCCACCGTAACACGTTCCTGCATTGAAGCGTTGCGACGTCCGGACCGATGTGTACATCCACGAAACAATTCGGCACACTCACGTTCATCATGATACGATGGAACCCCGTCGAATTCATGATGAGTCGGACAACAGCGGATCGATGAAAACGATGATCGATGGACTCGCGTAGATTGGCAAGCTGTATGCGGTTCTTTTATTGGAGAGCTAAACATAGTATTCCAGGGTGTTTGTCGGATCTGTTTCCTGATTGAAAGTTCTCTCGAGAACAAGAATTTGTTGTCGAGGTTCAATTTAGACTTAAGAATGTGTAAGCGCCCGTGGATCGAGGGCCAACGGCAACCCGAGGGCGGACTTGAGCTCAATGGAGAATGATGTGGTTCTTGACGTGAGTGCGAAGCTAAAGTGCCGTGTCGTTGCACGTAGTTCGGTAGGCCATGGGAATGCCTTTTGAGAGCTCTCGTGACTTTGTCCGGGGCAGGGTAGAAGTTCTAATCGCGCGGGAGAAGCCACGACCCACACCACATTGACGGCCTTTTGCTGTCAAAGGGCTTTCTAGTGTGTACTTCTCCTGATAGTCGTGATCAAGTTGCTAGCTCTTGCCTTTACGTTTACGTGAGCATTCGAGCAAGTACTCTAGGGTTCGGCTATCATGTTAGACCGAGATATCCCAGAACGATGAGCTGGTCAAATGAGCGACCAAGGCCAGGTATATACATAGGCTAAAACCATTCTCACAACAGCGGTGCACTGCAGCTAGAGGGTACTTCTCACACTGGACGGGGATTACTATACTGATTCGGAACGATCCATTGTCTAGGCCAATCAACCAGATGTTCATGTTTTGGGATTTTGACAGGTACCTTGCTGCGTTCATAATGCATTGCTTCACGGGAAAGTATCTGTGATCGGACAATGGATCCAGTGAGGTACGCCAGAGACACAACTGTCAGCCAGCAGAGTGCGGGGTTACGCGCCTGAGTAAAAATGGACTCGTCGTCTACGGGCAAGTAGGATGAGAAAATCCAAATCCGATCTCCTTGATCGTCGTGGGTACTCGCATCAGGTGCGGAGATCATCGTGACCTTCCAAGCTCTGCTCTGCCGCTCTCAGTCACGTTAGAGGCATTGGAAGGTCTTTTTGAAGCATGTGAACGAAGCTTCGAAAGGCCTACTGCCGCACGTCGTTGTCACAATAGTACGATATGTACGGCAGGCCTTCCTCGACTTTTCGGGGAGTAAAGTTTAAGGAAGCTTCACCAGTTAGGAAGACTTTGGAAGACTTCCGGACTCGGATGGTGAATTACCGGTCGAGCGTCAAACTGCGGGGTATCATCGACTCCGATCAATAACAGGAACCTTTGAGGGATTGTGCTGAACTGTGCAGCCTACTAGCAAGTGGCCCACTGCCACGTCGGTCCCGTATCTTGGAGAGAAAAACTATCTATATTTGCTTGCGTCACAGGCACTCCCCGGAGTTGATCACAAGGGGAGACACGGTTGCACCCTGTTGCACCCAACAGACCGAAACCTGTCCGTCCTCTACGTGGGAGCGGGAGTGGCCAGGAGCGGTCAAAGAGTGATAGTGATGCTCCGGCGCTGCGGAAGATGTAGAATACGAGATCATGATCCATCATGACTCGTACAGCCAATTCCCATGCTTGCATCTTGCGTGCCTGCTTGCTCCCCAGAACGAGATGACCGTCAAATGCAAAGTTCATTGTAAAACAGATAGCAAGTCTGCTGACACGAAGTACTAGTGAACTAATATGGTATAATTAACAGGGCAGGTGTGTAGTGATCAATAATGTACAGAAACAAACATCGCTTCAACTTCATCCGTTGGTGGTACACAGTATGGGTAAATGAGTGTGTACGATACCGAAGATGAATAAAAAATAATTGTGGGTTATCGTACAACAATGCAAATGCTGGGGTCATAATCGTCATAAGAGTGAACAGCCAAGCATAACTTGCAAAAAGTAGGCGGTCATTCGAAATTGTATTCGACCGCTATCCGACATGCATCAGATATATAAGGGGTGCGACCATGCTGTCGCAGGCCTTGTCTCGATGAGAAGGGGGTATCGCACGCAGTACATGAATGCCCGAACAATCTGGATGCGTTATGAGGATCCCGCGAGCGTGATCTTTTTGGGGTGTGCGAGACCTGATGAGTGTGAGCTTAATACGAAGTCCGAGGGGTACTGCAATGAAGACTCACAAGATCATCATCAATCTGATTTTGATTCAACTTTCGTTTTAATGATGACGAACGGGGCTCTATAGATGTGTTAGTCAAGAGCGCAGCAAACTATGGGAGAAAAGAACATACCAGCTGAGGCGCTCATTACTTTTATCGAATTATCTCTCCAATTCTGTACCCGCTTCATGCGAACATCATATGTATCATCTGTCCAAGCCACGGGTTCTCTGTCCTGGGAAGGATGGGGAGGGGTAACAAAAGAGGAGCAATACGATGAGCAATCCTCCTCGTCTTCTGAGTCCGATGTAGAGGGATATGAGGATCCAGAGGAGAAGCCGTATGAGCTGGACTCGATGTCACGACGTGGAGGAGGTGAAGCCTCTACGAGCTGGATGATCTGGATGGCGTCGTGTGGTTGACGGACATAGAGATGGCCTGGGTTGACCTTTTCCTTGTAAGGATCAAACATATGAGGTGTGTGTAGCATGATAGGACTGGTGTATTGGTCGAACATTTGTGACAGAAGTGGGGGGTGTCAAGTGCAAAGATTGAGAATCAGGTGGGCCTTAAATTTGAAGGGAGAGGCGCCACGCGAGCGACATGCATATTCGATTGTAGATTTGTGTGGCAGCTGTTCAAAAAAAAAGCGAAGCAGAGCCCTGAGAAGGTCAGAAACCTGGGGATCGGGCGATAAACAGCGAGATGGCCACTTACCACTTTCGGACATCCTGTTCTTGGCGTCAGTCCCAATTAGGTATCATTGAGCATCTCAGATCCCAGATGGTTTCAGTATCATCCCACCATCTCAGCAGTATCTTAATTTCCTTTTTAAGCTATTCTACTTCCCATGTCCATGTTCCATTCCTTTGTTAACTTTTCCCATCGTCTCCTCCGTCACTCTCCTTGTATCCTTTCTAACGGCCATTGTAATTGATCGCTTCCTTACTTCCGAATAAATCGCACCCTATATTCTATTCAACACACAGAGCGATCGAAAAATATTTTCAAGTGTCAATCAAGTGCCTATCAAGCCTAGAGTCTCTCTGTTCCGAACTAATCTCATGGCCGCATCGGCGCAAGCCACGCCTCCGCTGCTTCAAACTGGTCAATCAACTCGCGAAGGACAGCACCCTCTGAGTGAAGTTGCCTCATGGCAGAAAGCGCCTGTGAACCACAACACATGTTAGCCAACGGGTGATTCTACAATGGAACAAAGACACCAACAATGTCCCAGAACCGGAATCCTCGTTCCACTTCTTGTTTGGGGTTTTTCACTCCCGGAAACGTGTCTTCACATATCTCAAGGGCCATCGCCTTCGACTCTCTAACGCCTTCTGCGTTAGGGTCAAGTACTCGCGTTTGATTATTGAGGTGCGTCAGGGCATCCAGGTACACCTTGGCAAGCACTCCGAATCCAGTGTTTACCTCCGATTGGAAAGGCAGGGAGATAGTAATGTCCAAAAGATCTTCCCGTGCCCGGCGTGCGTCAGAACGCAATAACATATTTAATGTCGTCACCTCAAGTAGCGTTCGGAGCGCCCGAGTCAATGAACGCACAAATGAGTTGAACACCAGCAATTCACGTGACAATGGTGCCGACCAAGGTTGTGGCTAGATTAGGAAATAGCCTCAATGCGATTGGCTTGATATAGAAAAAATTTACCTTGAAATTCAAAGGCACGATGCTAAGCACTCTCATGACCAGCAGCATGCAAGATTTTTCATCATCTGCGTGGGATAATCATTTATCAATCCAAAGAAAACCCGTATGTGAATTCCGCTCACCGGTCCCGAAACTTGGTCCCCCACTAAACGCTCGGCCTGACCATAAGTGACCGTGCATTACCCCAGCCCTTACCAGCTCCAGAAACAGATACAGAGGATCTTGGAATTTGTCATTCAAACGGGCTTGTTTAATTGCGGTGTACATGGCGCGTGCTAGTGGCGAGTGAGTGTGGGAGTTGAGTAGGAATCTATAGTGGCAGTGTCACAAGAGTGCTAGGCTGGCAAGGCAGCGCTTACCCTCTGAGTTCCAGGAACCGCCATACCACATTAGCGACGACCTCATCCTTTTTGTCCAGTTGCCCGTTCGGGACACTTGTCTTTCCCTTGGTACGCGATGCAAGTTTCTCCGTTGCTGTCGCTCCAAGGCAAAGTGCGAAATCAATGGTGGAAGACTGGACCAATCAACCGAGATTGTCAGGTGACTTGACTGATAAGCGACTTCGGAAACTCACGTTCTGTCTCCGTAGCTCTTCCTCCACAGTGGCATAGCTAACGTTCCAGCCCGCCACGCGTTCGGCAAGCTGCACAGTTTGTGGTGAGTTATGTTGGACAAACTTTTGACCGTGAGGCGCGGGGCTCTCAAACCAAAAGTTGCCCGCAACTTTCCGATTGTTCCAAAATTGATGGGAAACGCTGCTAATGAGCGCGAGAGCGGTCGCGCGCGGTCCTGTCTGGCCATCGGTAATAACCTCCTTGACGAACCGCTTGTACTCAGTCGTCTCACCGTTATCAAGCGGTGGGGGTTCAACGATCTGACCACTAGTCAACCAAACGAGTGCTTGGGGCCCCAAGAGTCCACGTGAGAGATAGAAATAGATTTCGTCAGGAAGACGGTGCGTGAATATTTCATGAAGATCTGAAGGGATATCTGCAGCTGTCGGATGGTGGGGGTGATTAGGACCGTGTGCTGACGTGGTGATTGCAAGGGGAAGCGGCGTGACACTTCCCTCAGACGAGAATATGAGAGAGTATTTGATCATCGAGCGCGTGCGCGCGTACTGATCGGGATACTGCATACTCTTGACCGCAGGATGTTCCGCGAATGCGGAAACGGCAGCATGGCCAGACTTGTAGTATTTGACCATGTCAACCGTGGCCTTCAATGCTTGTTCATGCACAGTTGGTGGAAATGGTGGCGAGTGCTCAAAACCAACAAGGATGCCAACATCAAGGAACTGGTCCTCGCTGAGGCCCAAGTCACCCAAGATAGTGCGTTTGGATACGAAGGAAAAAGATGGTGTCGCAGAGGTGAGATCCAGCGAAGTAATCAATTTGTCTACACCTGGATAGAGTAGGGTGTCTGTCGGTCCAAAGATTGCATGAATATATGATTTCGGGTGTCGTTGCATATAAATCAACTGTTCAGGATGAATCAGCAGAGTATCCAGCAAGAGATGGTTTCGGCCTACCTGAGCCCAAGCGACGTACGGAGCAACCAAGAACTCCACATTTCTATGTCTGAATATCCTCAAGACCATGCGCCATAAGTCCCACTGCTGGAGCCCACTTCTGCCCTCAAATAATTTTACGGCGGATTCTTCCTGGCCAGCCTCGTATTTTGCCCAAGCATCCCTTCGGTCCCTGCATGCATCATTGTGCTCCACGTGATGTTGGTATTGCTTCCAACGCTTGCTTGGCAAAAGACCAGGAAAAACGAATACAGGTTTTATTCGTAGTTTTTCGAGCGTACGCAAATCAGACTCGATGCGTGTCGTTAGCGCCAAGGGTAAGCCACCAGTTGCAGCGAGAAGAGGTTCGCGCGAGGGTGGGTTGTCCGTCAATATTTTGAGGTAGTAAGATGCATCAATTCCCAGCCGGGAGTCGGATAACACAGACAGAGCAAATGACTGTGTGTGCTTCCGCTCGGAGAGGTAGTCTGTTTCGTTTTCAAGTTACACGTCAATTTTAACTGCAGCTCCTCTACTCCCACATTCGATGGGAATAAAACGTACTTTCCAGGTGCTTGATGGGCATCGCAGTCTTTGAACGAGCTCACTGTGTTCGTCGTACCAACTTGAGTACTTGAACAACGTGCAACAAGGCAACCAACTTTCAGATTATGTAAGCGCGCGAGTTTCCTTCTGCTTCTTACTCAGGGACAATCCAGGGAGTACTTACAATTAACATCTTGCTCAATACCACGTCCAAATTGTCAGCTCGGGACTGAAGGCTGCATCCCCATCCAAGAACTTCCGCCCAGTTACACGTCTTGTCAATATTTACACCAATGTGGCGCCGATAATGAATGTCATTAGCCCTAAATCGACTTCTACACAGAAACTTTGGTTCGTCCTAGTCCATCTGAGAATTCTTGGTCAGGGCTCTCACTGCTTTGCCAGATTGCCAACATGTAGGTTCATTGCTAAATCCGCAGCTTACGGGGTCTCAGTGCAGATTTACTGTCTCGTTGAGATGTCAAGGCCGAGCGCTGCCAGTTGTTGCTCATGACGCGTCACGCATTTGGTCAAATGTTGTTAAGTTACTACGCAAGGCCAGTAACTTCGTGGAGAGGCTCCTGTGAAGGGGGGTGTGGTGACAGTCTAGTGGGGCATGCCGCTACTGCGGTAATTGCGGCTATGCATTATACCACGCCGATGTTTTTTTTGCCGACTCAAAGGGCGTTCAATGTTTATCTGACAAGTCAAGAAGCCCCTTTGTTTTTCTTCTTACACTTTAATTTCCGGATCCTGTGCGAAACAGACACCAGTGCCTGTGAACAATCTCAGCTGGATCTGGCTAGCTTGTTCTCGTGACGAGTTCAAGGGTCCTTGAAGCGCGGCAGTGCAATCATAGTCAGTTTCCAACAAGCGCCACAGGTCTAATGCAGATGAAGTTGGCCACCTTGAAGCATGGTTTCAATCTGTCTCCGAATTGATGTCTTCTACCCTACTGATGATGACGTTTCCTGTGGGTATGAACGATCAAATTGTGTGCGCCTAAAAGGTTGCTCAGCCAGACGGGGACGTCGCACCTTCTGTTACAACAGGTTACTACTCGGGAAAGTACCATTTTAACATCGTGTGAGCGTTTAATCTGATAACGTTCATTCACACACATAGAGTTTTATCCGATAACTACTAAGAAACGGTCACACCCAGGCCCCATGACTACACAGCAAAGTCGACCCAATGATCTTAATGGAACCTCATCAGGCCTTTGCTTCAGGATGTCTCAAGTCTAGTTCTTCCACACAGGATTGTATTTGTTGCAACCCGGCACCTGCTGAGAGGCAGCTACTACGTTGGCCCCACGACTGCACAACAATCGATGCGATGATCGTATTGGAGCCTTGGTGGGAATTTGCTCCGAAATGATGCACGAATCTCGAGCCGTATTTCAGGTTTCGATCTCTCGCCAGTGATTTCATGCTGTGCTCTACCCATGTGCAACGGCTGTGGCTTCATGGCAGGTATCTCCGCAATGAGCAGGCGAGCTAGCAAGGAGCCATCTCTCGGCCGTTAACGTTTCCTTGGATCTTGCCTCCCACAGTGTTGTCTTCGACTGTACGCGAACATTAGCGGATGCGTAATATTGTACGGAGAACTTGGGTTTATTTGCCCCACAGTTGGATATGCTCTGGGCACTTGGTTTACTCATCAAAATGTTTCGTTATTGTGGTGAGCTGATGGACCATATATACTTGTTTCGTTAGAGTTACTGCTAGCCCAGAGAAAGCAAAAACAGAGCCTGGAGAGTCCACTGTGAGCAGTGTGAGGTGCTGTTGGTCAGCAAGGAAGATCTCGAGTCTCAGGCCCATCACTAGACCAGTAGCGCAGATCCCGTCTACGTTCGAGTATCTGATCGGACTGGGGCCATGCCTGCCATGCAACCCGGTAGTTGGCGCTCGGCGATCTCCAGATACGAAAGCCGTGTGCTATGTATGCGAGCTCGCTGGGATCACGATCAGGAAATCTTGCACAATGCCTGTGAGTTTAATTAGTCTTTCCCATCAACTCTCGTCAACCGAAGCGCAATGAAGCATCACTCACGGCGTCGTGACGATATTCGCGTGTTGCTCGCTGCCGGCATTCTGCGAGAAACCTTCGTGATGCCCATTCATTCGCTTGTCAAGCGAGTGGTTCTATTTTTTTTAACCTCAGCCTTTGCACTTTCCGAAGGAACGCAATTCACTCACGAATGACAGCTGTTGTAAGTTTGGATACTACTTTGGAATCCTGTTTCTTTCTGGTGTCGAGAACTTTTCGGCAAGTCTTCGCTTAAATCGCTTAGACGGCCTCAATCAGATGCATAGTCCGTCCGTTGTCTTCGTGTTCGCGGAATAGGTTAAAACGCCCGGGCATGCCAGCAAACAGAATAAGAAATGGCATTGTCAAGTAGCGTACCGTCGGTATCTATCCGTTTGTGTCAAGAAGCGTGCTCACTAGAACCTCCCGCAGAAGCTCTCTTCGAGGCGCTAAGAGCTTATGTATGTACATGTCACAGGGATCAGGTGCGATACGAAGGTCACTGAATGTGCTCTCACAGACTGAATAGGCAAACAAGGTATGTGTACTTTACCTCACCCTCACCGTTCGACAAATCTCGCTGATGTCGTGCTCCTTTTCCATTTTGGCACCAGAAGATTAACAGCGGATCGATAGCCGTGAACACTTAGCGCTGCAGTAGGTCGCCCGTTATCATTTCTAAGTGACAAGTAACTTACTCTCTCTGGATTCTATACTGCGACTGCACCTGCTTAACTTTGGCATTGGACCATAGGACGTCTGCAAACATGACTGGGTACCATAACCAGTAGTTCCTGGCGTGATTTAGCGCTGACCGTGTGAATAAACACTCCGCGAGTGTAGTTCCGGGACTTTCATTCATATTTGCAGTGGGTGTCATGGTCTTAGAAGTCTCTGATTAACCGTAATCATATGTACAAGCAGCAAGCGCGAGTGGAATGTGTGTTGTCTCGTAGGAGTGCAACTTAAAACTCCTGGTGCTCATAGCAGTCTCAAAACTTATTTCCTGTCCATCCTGCCTTCCCGCCATCATACATCCGGACAAGTTAACACTCGCACAACCAAACGTAAAATACCAGTACCAGCTACATTTGGTGAGCATGTGTATTTTTTTTTTGAGAAAAGTGATTTGACTGGGATGTTGCACCCACTGTCCAAATTGTGTTCCTCTCCACCATATTGCCAGTCAATCTTTAGATTGGAATCATAATAGACATTGTTGCTACACCACTCAGTTGTGCTGTGTAGGCTGTCTTCTGAGGCTCTGTGCTGTCTGCACCAAATAATCAGTGCCAACTAACTGTGCTTGATGCATTACTGTGCAATGCCCACCATCAAGGTTGTTCTTCCTGTCAAGCTGCCACCTCCATGTGGACCATCAGCAATCAGAATTGGATGATACATAGATACTTGATAGAAACACACCCCTATGCATAATTGACTCATTGACATTCTCCATAGAAGGGAACAATGAAGGACAAAGTTTGTCTCTAATACCAAACAAATGCTATGTCCCTCAATTGGGTACCAGTGACCAGTCTCTTTGCTCATGATTTTTGCCTAGTACCTTGAGCTAGGGTCTTTTGATCCACATGCAATAATTCACATAGATTGGAATACTCAAACTCAAGAGATAACATATGCAAGGTAAGCAAACCAAACAGCTCTAAAATTATGAGCCCATCCAGAGCAAGCAACAGAAGAAAGGAAGATGATGATGAGAGGAGACTAGTACAAGGTTTAAATCATTTTTTCAAGGTTCACATGTACATCAGGAAAGGAAAAGAAAACCCACAAACTCTCTAGGACTCATGGGTGTTAACAGTTAACAAACAAAAGCCTCATCCCAGGGATGTATGAAGCGGTGCTGGAATTAGGAATCAGGATTGAGCGGCAGAGACTTGATAGAAACGTACCTCAATGATCTCATTGACGTCCTAGAGGGAGATCCCAGTCTCATCGTGTTTTTTTTTACCTAGATATACTAGTAATAGTACTTTGAGCTCGAGTCTTCCGGTCAACGTGTGATTCCACATTGACTGGAATACTCGAATTCAAGAGACGACATACATAGGATAAGCAAACGTCTCAGCTTTGAAATCGCGAGCTTGTCGTGAGCAAGCGACGGAAGAAAGGATGATGACGATGTTGAAAGGAGACTAGTACAAGCTTTGAAACATGTTCCAAGGTTTACATCCACGTCAGAAAAGGAAAAGAAAACTCACAAACTTCCTGCAAGAGCCTCATGATCCAATCTCCAACGGTTAACAAACAAAAGCCTCCTCCGAGTCCCGGGGCCGTATGGAAAGGTGCTCGAGAACCACGTTATCGGCTGACTGTTACCGCCAGTAGGTCATAAGGTTCGCTCTGCACCTTCATTCACAACCATCCACGTTTCGCATCAACACCTGACGCATTTCCAATCTGGGGTTCGGGAAGTATATCGGGTGTATGACGTCCGCTCTTCGGCTATAGATGCAGGGTACGATAGACCCGGATGATCTCCTTAGACTTCTTGCCCTGCCAGGTTACCCGGATTTCCAACGACCGAGTTTTGGGCGGTGTGCATCCTCGTCGGAATTCCGAGTCCGGGCCTCTCGATCCAAGATCCTGAACTCAAGTCGGTGACCTTGCGAGTTCATGGCCGTATAGCAGGCATCAATACCATAACCATCGTATTATTAGCCGGCTATCGTTGTTATCGTTGTTACACGATGATCCTTCGGAAATAGGAATAGGAATGGGATAATAGATAGGTTAGGTTTCAGCATGCCAGGTTCAAGTTTAGACAAAACCCACTTGGAAGTTCCGACCTGGATATGAATATTTCATTACCGACATTGCTCCTTTCAAGTCACCAAAGTCTACATCAGTAAGCGAATCCTAAGTTACTCAGCTGGGAATGACATACGCTGCGATGTTGCACGGTTTCTCCATTCACCACTACCACATGGTCGTTCACATTATTTCGCATCACATCTGAGGTCTCCAATCTGGGCTATCCGATCCTGGGAAGTATACCGGATGTAAGTAGGACGTCCGGACTCTCCTCTTAGGCTGCAGACGTGCGGGGTATGTTAGATCTGGACGATCTCCTTCCAGCCCTGCCAGGTGATTTCCTGATTGACCGAGTATTGGTTATACGTGCTCGTCGGCGTTGAATTCGGAGTCCAAGCTTCAATCCGACTCTGTGGCAAAGGTTTTTTTCATCTTGGTGAGTTTCCGAGTCGATAGTCGGAGATCGATGACCGTCATATTATTAGCAGCTATCGTCATTGTCGTCGCTGTTTTTTTTTGGCTCTTTCATAAATAGGATAAATCCCAGCTGCAGCTGCGGCATGCCGTGCCATGGCCAGAAAAGACCAAAGACACGATCAACTTCCGACCTAGATATGAAATCGAAGCTACTTGATACAAACACCAGCATGTACGTCCGAGTAAGCGGACTTACTCAGCTGTTCCTCGCTATTCCAAGTACCGGTGATAGGTATGTGTTGTCGCACAGGCGTTTCGTATCGCTGTTGCTGTGCGCTGCGTTCGAGCTTCGATATTAACCCTAGTTATGCATTCTTCAGGTCCATTGAATAATATCAGTGTTACGTCAGGGTCGGTCATTGACGTGGACGTTCCATCGTATCGATAATAAGCCCATCAGGGGTTTCCCTGGCTTTCAGATCTGGGAAAGTATGGCTAATGATAGTGGATGAAACGTATACGAGTGAGTTGCTTACGGAAAGTATGAGTAAATCTCTAATGGGAGAAGAATGGAACGTTCACAAGTATATGAAGACAAACAAATCGGGTCAAACACTGGTAGAAGTATGAGACACCACCATTATAGCAGTATGGAACGCCACCCCGGCAGATGCTATGACGCGCGAAGTGTGGGATCCTCGTCCGAGTAAATCGGGACCACAAACGTGATCGTGGGTGGCTCTAAGCTGAGAGTCTCAACTGAGAGATGTGTTTGTGATCCACAGTAAATTATTGGGATTGACACGGTCGACGAGCTGTGTCGTCCAAGAATGGATGGCGCTTGGATACTCACTAGAACCAGCACGTACCAGTAAATCCTACTGCCTGCGCAATGGGCCAAAGCGGTACCGAGAAGCACCATTGTTACAGCCTACGATGGCAGAAGCCACGCAGGTTATTCGAAGCCATGGTCTAATTCTATTTTTGAATGAATAAAGCGGAATGAAACCTCCAGTGAGAAGGTTCGGATTCGGTCGTGTTCTGGAGTAGGCGACTCCTTGGCCATGGGTGGTAGTGGTGCACATGGAGTGATCCTGGAATAGGAACCAATGGCAAAAGCATGGAGAGGGATATATGTGGTAGTAGTTGGCTGGCAGTGGCCTGGCCTGGCCTCGGATCAGATCACGGGATCATCCGTTTCCGTGCATGCCCGATAGGCTTGAAAGAAGAAGGTCCTAGCTTTGTGCAAGTTCAAATATTTTACTATGAGCGACGTCGACGAGCCATTACAACATTGCGACGATCCGTCAACTTGTAGACCTTCTCTACCAAGAATGAAGTCTTGTTTAAAGTCTCCTTCTCATTCTGGCTCTACTACTCCGTGCATAGACCCTGACACAGACGATGGCACTTGCAAGAAACATGTGGCATTTTGCGAGGAAGGAACTGAACAAGTTTTTCAAGCTGATGAATGGGATCGAACACCTATGGAAATCGCACAACGCCTATCATACGAGTCAGTCACACGACTTGATCCATTTCTATATACTGACCTGACTTTGACCAGCGACGTACTCGAGCTGAAAATGATTCAACGTTCTCTGCCTCGTGCTCAGCAGAGCCACGACCCTCTTTCATCCAAGCCATATTCTGGCGTTTTCCTTCGCAACGTCCCAATTCCACTCCTCCCACTAAATCCAACAACAGTGTCAGCTTCGCCATCAATGTCACCACCGCCACCACACAGAACAGGCTATGCGGCACTCGACCTTCACCCAAATTCCATCTTATTCGCGTCACCACCCAGGCAATGCCATAAACCGACAGAGCTTAGACCGCATAACATTGCGGTCCCACCACCACCCCTCCCTCCACAACGCACGACACCCGCTTCTCTCCCCCCAATACAAAGCAACCTCCCTCCCCCAAAACGCTTCGCTTTTATCCCTCTTCTGGACAACACCACAGCTAGTCCAACCAATCCATCCCAAGGCTACCCCTTCTCAGAAGACACAGACTGCTCCCTATTCGCATCCGATACCGAATTCTCCACGCCCTCTCTAACAACCGCATCCCTCGCCTCAAGCAGTCCACCAGAATCTCCTGGAAATACCAGTCCCGGACTGGAATACAGCCATTCGCGCGAGTATCCAGAAGATGGCTTTATTCTAAACTTGGACGTCGATCCAGATGTAGATGATTCTCGCGTTGAGGATTCCTATTTCCCGCGTATGCATAGGTCTATGCGCGATCAGATGTCGAGCCCAATATCAATTTTCTACGCACGCTGCGCATCATCCTCAGAACTAACCCTACCTGCTGCGCCTCCTCCGCTAGAGGTGGGGACGATGCAGATGAAGTCGTTGGATGGGCCCATGAAGCCCGTAGGTGCACCAAGGAAGAAATTCACGATGCCCATATTAGCACTCGCCGACTCTTCATCGTCTTCACAACCTTTAGGAATGGGCTGTGAATATGCCCACTTGCGAGCTGGGAGCGATGGACTAGGACAGGGAAATGGACAGAGACAAAAGAGCCCTTCGGGCTGTCTGTGAGTCGAATTTTATCTCCCCGGCTAGGAGGTAGAGCGGAGCGAGCTCGGATCGTCCCCCACATGATCATTCTCAGGGCTGTCGTGCCTCATCACTTGGACTAGGACTATTTCGCCTTTACCTTTTTTCCTTTCTCCCTCATTACAGACTGGATATTGGATTCCTGTGCTTGTTATCTTATTCGATTACGACGACGCTCCTTTTTCGTTTATTCCTTCTACTATAGACAGCGGACATTCATTCCAGTAGGTGCTTCATTCTCTCTCCTCACCGCCACCGCCTCATTCCTTCTACCACCCGTCATATATTTATAACTCGGACCCCAAGTTCTAACTCATCCCCAGCATAGCACGCGCATCACTCCGTCGATGCATGTATCATATCATACCTCACGTCAACTCGTCTAATCAGTTACGGTTGGCTACATATATATTTATATACATACATCGTATTTGCTTAGGCTTTCCTTACTTTTAATTTATTTGAAGGTGGAATGTCGGTATTGGTTTTTGGGATGCTCCTGCAACAAGGTGTCGTGATAAGAACGCCGTTTTCGAAGGCTAGGTGCAATGCGGTGGGTACTACAACACCCCACTCGAGCGAGTCGTCTCAATCAAATCACACCGCCGTGTTCGAATTCACTCGGACAAAGTGGTAATTCGCACGTTCGGTTTTCCTCCGTCATGGGGGTCGTGTTCAAAGGCTAGACTCGGTTGGTACAAGACTTGCAACGCAATAAGTACTCCACCCGAGCGAATCCAACGCCATCATCTCAACCAAATCGAAAAACTGCATCGCCATATTCGAATTCACTGAGACAAATCGACGCGAGCCGCGATCGGTACGTTCGGTTTCTCGTCTGTCGTACGGGTACCTTCTAGCGGACCTCTCACGGGAGTTCTGATGAGCACCGCATGAGACCGTGCGAGGATAGAATGCAATGAATGGTTTACCTGTGGCATGTGGGAGGCGTAGTGAATGTTGGAATCACCGCATAGCTTGATGCTATCAACCTGTGCAAAAGTATGAGCGTGAGTGAGTGTGGGAGAGGAAGGGAGTCATACATGATACAAGTCGCTACAAGTCCCCTCAATAAGCACACCAAAGAAAAAGAACGAATATTGACAGGGACATACCAGGCCAAGTAAAAAACACATTCATGACATCTTATATCATCCCATCAACCAATCAATCGACACTACTTCGTACACGTGGTCGCCACTCACAATTAAGATTCAGCCGCGAGAAGATCTACACACACATCTCAGCACGAACACGAACACGAACACAACAAAGAAAAGAACGCACAAACGGAACGACACTAGTGAGAAACACGATGAAATAGAAGATGATGCCTTGGGTACGGATGATTGTGAAGAGAGACGACGACGACGAGCGCCAATGGCCAAAGATTGCTAGTTTGAGAAGTATAAAGTCGAATATCATAGCTAAACACCAATGATCATTTAAGCACCGCGCTTTGAGACGGGACAACAGGACTCACTGTACATGGCCGAAGCAGCTGAATATGTAGGATTCACTATTACGAAACCGCATAGTTCAGAAGAGGGAGATGATGGTGAGATTTGTGTTTCTTTTGAGCCTGTTTTTTCGAGGAGACGTCAGGTCAGGTCAGGTTATTGGAGTGTGTATGGAATATGGGGTGCGTACTGAGCATCAATGTGAACCAGTGCCCTAGAGTAGCGAGCGCCATGAACACACAAACAAACCGATTAGTCTTCCAAATGGTCCATCTTGAGTGTCATATGGGTTAGAATCTCCAACAAAAACAGGAGGGAGGCTCACGTTCGGACCACGAGGTTCGTAGATGTACAAGCCATAGCGATATTATTCGAGAACTGAAGAAATAAGTATCAAAAGAAGCTAGATGGCAGGCAAACGGAACGCCCTACCGCCAAGAATTTCAACACGTCTGCAATATTTGAAAAGGGTGATTAAAGGGAACCGAAACGCAGTGGTTACTCTGATGCTTACAATAGCAGTCGATATACGGCGGGATGGCGATGCTTGTCACGGCACTCAAACTTGTTATGAGTACAAGTACGAAGTATGTTGTAGGCGGTCACTGACGATAGTATAACAGTCACAAGAAAGAACGTCCGACCGGTCAAATAAGAAACCTGAAGAAAGATAAAGATGCACGTCAAAACTCGATCTTAAACGATATCGTACATGCTCACTATTTGCCATCGAAATGTAAGTTGACGACGAAGGAGAGCACTTTCGATCTGGCAGGAATGTATATAGCTCCATCTTTCGATATATCGAAGTCTGTGAGGTTCAGTGGAGGTACGTATGTAGGAGAAACGCACCCAAATAATCCTAGAATGACAAAGGTGATATTGACGAGAACCTCCGTCCAGTTCTCAATCACTTGCGGGTCTTGCCAGTTGACCATAATCCGAGTAATGGTGTAGCGAACGGGAGAACTTGGTTGTCACTTATGTAAGGCTCCAAACGAACCTGACCGTTAAGGGTGGAAGGTGGTGTGAGATGAGGATGATTGAAGAGCACATGAAAGCTTGATGTCTTGACACGATCCGGTATTATCCATTGAAACAGTTTTCCAATCGCAAGGTCATGGGAAGGGACGACGACGAGTGGGAGAGGGCTAAGTTGCAAAGTTCCTCCCGCTTGAAAAAACACCAGTTTAGATAAACAGTCACACAGTACTAGGTGTGAACTTTGCTATCGCCGGGAAATCGAAAGGGATTAAAGTCATAAACTGACGATGGAGAGCTCGATATTATGATCATGTCGTTGATCTTTTCAGTGAAAGGATTCGAGAAACATGAAAGCAAAAGACTTGTTGTGAAGTTGGTGATTTGTGTCCGATAATTCAACGCATGTAAGCTTGACTATACCGAGGACAAATCAGCAACCTCAAAATACGGGTAACTACATAATTGCAATTGTGGACGTTGGAGGCTGCGAGAGAGAAACGAGCAGGTGGAAAAGACTGGTCGGGGTGGAAAGACGCGAGTAACTTGAGTCTAGCGAATGCTTAGTCAACACACGCGGTCGCCTTTGCACCAACGTAGCAATGATACAGACTCTGGGAGATTCGAACTCCCTTTTGTCGCAGTTTTGCAGTAGGCAGACCCTGTAAAAGGTCCTTTTGTGTAACGTTCATTCAGGTGTCTGCACTATGCAGAGTGCCATCTAATAATAAGTGCGTCGGACTTTCCGTGATTGACGCTCACAACTCACCTTGCCTAGCTTGTCAAAGGGCCATTTAATTCCAGGGTTATCACGATCCTGACACTCGCCTGACGCGAATTGGTGGCCGAACATCATATCAACTTGGGAGCGATTAGGCTCCGAACCATGATAATCTAACCGCAAGAGGGGCCTGAGTTACATTACTCGGTTACCGAAATGCTAAAGTGCGAGCTACATACGTCTAGAAGGAGTCTCTCTCGTCCACAGGAATGTCAGCTAGTCCCCTGCTTGGTTCAGTCGACTGCAGTTCTCGCTATGATACCACGTCCACCAGAAGGATTGATAGTGGTCCAATTCTTCCTCTAGATGACATTGACAGAGAAATTATGGAGAAGAGGCTTCTCCGTAAGTTGGACCTTCGAGTAGCCTTCCTAGTTCTGATTTACATTATGAACGTCGTGAGTCGTTACACCTAGTGATTCCATAACTACCTAAAACCCCTGCGCAGATGGACCGTACTAATGTAGCGTAAGTGGTCCTTGAAAAAAAATGGGAGTAAAGTGGCTCAATCACTTGCTTGTAAGTGCAGCGAGGTTGCGTGGTTTCGAGGAGGACCTTGGCATGACGAGGAACCAATTTAACACACTCACCAGCATCCTTTATGTGGGGTATTTGTTGACGCAGGCACCTTCGTATGTACCGGCATCTTATCATTCTGCGGCATATCTAATAATTTGAAAGCAACATGATCTTACACCGCATGAAAAGGCCATCACTATACCTCTCGAGCTGCATGATGGCATGGGCTGCTATCACGGTGTTCATGGGTATGTACAACGTTTACTGGATTAACATTGCTTAACGAGGGGTCATGAAAGGTGCGGTACAAACGTTAGTATCTAGATCTTTTAATGCTATCCACTGTTAACCCTGCCCTAGATATCATACTGCTCTTAGTTTGCGCTTTTTTATTGGATTCGTGGAGGGGACATTCTTTCCCGGAGCTGTATTCCTTCTTTCACGATGGTATCAATGCCCAATACCTCCTAACAGCATATACTGAAATTCCTCTAGGTACAAGCGTAATGAACTAGGGTTACGCACAGCACTTCTTTTTTGCGGCAACTCCATCAGTAATGCTTTTGGTGCTCTTATCGCTTCGGGAATTTTAGGAAGCCTAGACGGTACACTAGGTTTTACGGCTTGGAGGTTTGAGCCGAAATGCGCGTACTTCCAAAATTTCAAATTTTCTGATTTTACTGCTACAGGTGGCTCTTCTTTGTGGAGGGCGCTTTGACCTTCTTGATCGCTGTGTCTGCAATCTGGATTTTGCCCGATTTTCCTTCAACACCGAGCGTCTGGCTTTCGCCTGATGAACAGACACTGGCCAAACGACGGATGGAGGAAGAAGTCGCGACCGTCGAGCGCGAAGGCAAGCCCGAAGAGAACTTCTCTGGTCTTGCCCAAGCTCTTATGGATTGGAGGGTGTGGTGGCTTGGTGTTACTCTTCATTTGCTGGTCAGCTCGCAGTCATTCACCAATTTTTTCCCGACCCTATCCGCCACAATGGGTTACAACACGACTACGAGCCTTTTGCTCTGCGTACCTCCATGGATTTTGGGAACTTCAACCTCATTTGTTGTGGCCAGGTCAATATTTACTTCACAGGTCCGATAAATGAATTAACAATACTGAATTAAGGCACTCCGATGTAACTGGTGATCGCTTCTGGCACGTTGTCTGTCCTCTAGTTGTCGGCATCGCTGGGTTCATGATCGCAATTTCTACAATGAATACGGCTATGCGATATCTATCCCTGTACGAATATTCTCTTCCTCGTTGTGTGATCCCACAAGCTAACGTGCTCCACGCAGATTCTTTATGGCACAGAGCCCAGCCGCCTTTGTTGTCTGTTTGACCTGGGTCTTGAATACGTTTTCCCAATCACAGTCTAAACGCGCTGCAGCCATCGCACTAATAAACCTTATGTCATCAACTGGCTTCATCAGTTCATCGTCAGTTCACAGTGATATTATGCTCTAGCTGCTATTGACACCGTCGCAGATACTTTTGGCCATCCAGTTGGGGACCTTCATACGTGAACTCGTATCTCATTTGCATCTTGACAAGCGTCTTGTGCATTGTGATGTGCTGGGTATTTAGGGGCACCTTTCCCGGTGCAATGAAGCTGCTGAAGCCGAAGAGAAAGTTCTAGGGCTACCCAAGGGTTTTAGATATATCCTCTAGAGCGCGGTTTGTAACTAATAGGATTCCGTCAGTGAGAATATATATGAATGGATACCAGGGTACACAAGATATCTTATTCGGCGAGTCATAAATTGACGATGGAGAGCTCCATAGACTATAGTACTTGTATTATACTAATCGACTTTTATCGTCGGATCGATCGATGTGATAATTGCAGCTTGCAAAAGACTTGCTGCCAGATCTGTGCATGATGGCAGTATTCTTAAGAGGACACCAAACTCTAGACACAAATCAGCAATTTTTGTTTTGACTTGATGCATCACAATGAATCCTGAATAACAAAGTAATCCGCTTAGTTCCCGGGGCCGTGTCATTAACCGGTAAGTTAATAACCGATTTTATTAAGCATCCGTAATTCTCACCAAGCCCTGAAATTGGCGCTTGCACAAATGTAGCAGTGTTAAGTGAACTGCACGCATCGGAGGAGTCTCTCTTGTCCACAGGAATGTCAGTTCGTCCCCTGCTTGGTTCAGTTGACCGCAGTTCTCGCTATGATGCCACTTCTAGCAGAAGAAGTGATGACGATCCAACTCTTCCTCTAGATGACATTGGCAGAGCAATTACGGAGAAGAGGCTTCTCCGTAAGTTGGACCTTCGAGTGGCTTTCTTAGTTCTGGTTTACATTATGAACATTGTGAGTCGTTCCACCAGGTGTTTCCGTGACTGCTTAAAACCCCTGCGTAGATGGACCGTTATAATATAGCGTAAGTGGCCCTTCGAATACATTTGGAGTAAAGTGGCTTAACCACGCACTTGCAAGTGCAGCGAGGCTGCATGGTTTCGAGGAGGACCTTGGCATGACAGGGAACCAATTCAACACACTCATTAGCATTCTTTATGTGGGGTATTTGTTGACGCAGGCACCTTCGTATGTACCGACACCTTATCATTCTGCGGCATATCTGAGGATTTCAAAGTAACATGATCTTACACCGCACGAAAAGGCCATCACTTTACCTTTCGAGCTGCATGATAGCATGGGCTGCTATCACCATGTGCATGAGTATGTCACACAGCTTTTACTTGAGCAACATTGACCAACGAGAGTCATGATTGAAAGGTGCGGTGCCAACGTGAGTATCTCACACTCTTGCCTCCCTCGAGTTAATTGTTCATTAGATACCATGCTGCTCTTACCTTGCGCTTTTTTCTTGGGTTCGTGGAGGCGACATTCTTTCCCGGAGCTGTATTCCTTCTTTCACGATGGTATCGTTACCCGATACCTCCTAACAGCATATACTGAAATTACTTTAGGTATAAGCAAAATGAACTAGGGTTACGCATAGCAGTTCTTCTTTGCGGCAGCTCTGTCAGTAATGCTTTTGGTGCTCTCGTTGCGTCGGGAATTTTGGGAAGCCTAGACGGTACACTAGGTTTTACGGCTTGGAGGTCTGAGCCGAAACGCACGTGCTTATAAAAAGTCAAATTGTTCTAATTTTGCTGCTGCAGGTGGCTCTTCTTTGTGGAGGGCGCTTTGACCTTCTTGATCGCAGTGTCTGCAATCTGGATTTTACCCGATTTTCCTTCAGCGCCAGGCATCTGGCTTTCGCCTGATGAACAGACACTGGCCAAACGACGGATGGAGGAAGAAGTCGCGGCCATTGGACACGAAAGCAAGTCCGAAGAGAACTTCTCTGGCCTCGCCCAGGCTCTTATGGATTGGAGGGTATGGTGGCTCGGTGTTGCTCTTCATTTGATAGCTTGTTCGCAGTCATTCACCATGTTTTTCCCAACCCTATCCGCTACAATGGGTTACAACGCAACTATGAGCCTCTTGCTCTGCGCACCTCCATGGATTTTGGGAACTGCAACTTCGTTTGTCGTGGCCAGGTCAGTATTTACTTCACATGTACAATAGGTGAATTAATATAACTGAACTAAGGCACTCCGATGTAACTGGTGATCGCTTCTGGCACATTGTCGGTCCTCTACTTGTCGGCATCGCTGGGTTTATGATCGCAATCTCAACAATGAATACGGCTATGCGATATCTGTCACTGTACGAACCTTCCCCTCCTCGTTGTGCGATTTCACGGGCTTACGTGCTCCGCGCAGATTCTTCATGGCTCAGAACGCAGTTGCCTTTGTTGTCTCTTTGACCTGGGTCATGGATACATTTTCCCAATCACAGTCTAAATGCGCTGCAGCTATCGCACTGATAAACACTATGTCATCAGCTGGCTTCATTAGTTCATCGTCAGTTCACAGCGACTTTGAGCTCTAGCTGCTACTGACGCCGTCGCAGATACTTTTGGCCTTACAGTTGGGGACCTTCATACGTGAACTCATATCTCATTTGCATCTTGGCGAGCGTCTTGTGTATCGCGATGTGCTGGGTGTTTAGGGAGCACCTTTCCCGATGTAATAAAGCTGCTGAAGCTGAAGAGAACGTTCTAGGGCTACCTAATGGTTTTAGATATATCCTCTAGAACGTGGTTTGTAACTAATAGGATCCCGTCAGTGAGAATCCAGATATGAATGGATACCCCATATTCACGGACCAGTGGACATCAGGAATAGGAAGGCGCGGTGGATCCTTCATTCTCATAGCACTAACGAGACTCGGATGATCATTAATAATCGATTGATCCACCGCCAGAGGAACGCTCGATTATCCGATAGCACTTGACCATAGCAGTGAGGCTGAGTGCATGTAATATATTTTGGTTTGTTTACACCCATGTACAAATTGGATAGTATTGTAAACTGGTAATGATGCGATTTCCTCAAGGAGAGGGTTTTCCTGATGCCAAACCACAAGCACAGCCGGGTACCATCACCATCATGCAACCATCATGCCGATTTTGATGATACGAGCGCTGAGCGCTGAACCGCGCCGAATGGTGACATCTAGCTCGAACAATAGATCATTATACACCCCCAACATCCTCCACTCGCTCACATCCATCTCTCGAATATGACCGTAGTCTCAAATGATCCCAGCTGGTGGCCGACAATCAATTCGAATATTTTTATGAGCTATTGGATAGGTTCGTCGCATCAAGGCGTCTCGATTCAACGTTGACTTACAATTTCACAGTTGCCGCCGGTATCGTGGTGATATATGATTGGGGTGAGCAGGGCAGTATTCGAAAATCATTGATATCTCATGATGTTTCCAGTGCTAACATTTGGACAAGAGGTAGGTTGATGTTATCGCCGGAGCAACCAACTCGCTAAGAATATGGTGTTATAGATTGAACTGATCTGGGTGAGTGACAGAGTCCCGTATCAGAAGTAAGCAACAGAATAGTATGAATTCGAGACAGAGGCAACGCTGGTCTTTCATGACTGTGCTGTATCTCGTTGTACGTACCTCATGTTATACTATAGTATGGTTGGCAAGTTGTGCTGACTGCAAAATGTTCTAGATACGCTATACTGGAATACCATATTATGTGTATGTTTTCGAGGCCAACAAGTTGGCGCTATGCTAATCACCCATCTCTCACGAATAGCATCATGGTTCTGAGTATGTACGTCTCATATGCCCTATGTTCGATTCTTCTGACCGGTGGCACACAGCAAGTATGCCATTGGCCTCAATGACAGATGCAGTTAGTATTTCGCAATCGTCTCATTCCCATTCATTGAATACACTTATTGAGCTATTTGTAGGAGTGAGTAAGATTCGGAACGTTGAAAATGGCTCCACATAATGGCTCAATAGGTGTGAGTCGGAGTGTTGGATCCTAGTATGAGGGTGATCGCTAATTGGGTATTTCAGGCAATGTTATGAACTACGCAATCAATGGGACAAATGTGGTTGTAGTTGCCGTGTTGGGCGGTGAGTTACTCAGCTGCAATACCTCTGTGATATTGACTCGACTGAAACGTGATGCAAGTCATCATGATAGCTCGGTTATATGCCATGTATCAGAGATCTGGGACGATGCTTATCTTCCTTGTTATTATCTTCCTGGCTGTAAACATCGCCTGCGGAGTGATCGCGGCAATGGTGCTCAAGGATGCTGTAGCGGGTAAGCTTCACTTGTTGACTTGAAGAACATGGCTCATTGGACGAACACCAGAGGAGTTGATACTCTCTGGCACATATATGTGCGCTCCTGAATATGAGGGGGATGTCCAGCTTCTGACCTCGATGATTTGAATGCTTAACACTGTTTGGGAGGCCCTCGCACTGTGCCTTTCAGTTTGGATTGCTGTGAAATACTTCCGTGACTTGCGACGACTCAGGTTCATCGACAGGATCGACCATCGGGGACTGTTTCAGAGTGCTAATAAAATCTCACGTGCTTTATTTTGCAAGGTGAGCTTGTAATGTGAATGCGGTGATCTTTTTCTGCTAACGTTCCGTGCGTACTAGCTTCGTTTGTGTCTCTTGCCTCCAGCTTGGTCTTCTCTCTCCAGAGTCCGTGGTGCGCCAACCTGTCGCTGATATCTGCGTGTAACCACTGCTCATCGTTTCTGTAGAATTCAAATTCTATGGGAACTCAGATACTATATGGTGCTTGTGAGATTCTATTGGGTGTGCAGATGTTTGTGCTGGGACCACGCCTCATCCTTAGTGTTCGAGAATATCACGCTAAGCTCGTGGCCGACTCCGACGCAGAAACTAGCATGACTTCAATTGTCTTCCAAGAGCGCGTTCATGTATCAACTAGCAGTACTGTGTAGGGACTTGGAAATGCTTGCCGAGTGGTCTGCAGGGAGAAATTTGGTCGAGGATCTGTCGCAGTATTTATTTAACATATGGTGTTTCAAAGTGTATTTGAAAGGTCTAAGCAAACCTATTTCTTGTTGTATCACTACTGGAATGAAGTAGCAACTCACCTGCGCTTGCACCAAGCGTACCGCGGCAGCGCCTACCAATGCGACCGCAAAACACGCGTTAGATTCATATCAGGGTCCCTGTGATGGTCTGCTCGGTATTCATCCTGCTGGGCACGACCGTCAAAATAAAGCGTTGAACGAGATACTACAGACATGCATACATACATACACCCGTTGGTGTCAGTCGCTCTTAGGGCAAGTAGATGACCACTCGAAAGTTTTTGCGTCACTTCGGGTGGTGATCGATGATCTGTCACAGTTGTCCCAGGTAGGCTGACCACAAGGCAGGAGGAAGAAAAAGTGACCTTTATTTATGGAAGCCCAGATGGCTGATAGCACATGATCGCACCTGAGCGCGAGGGGAAAACTCTGCAGACCCAGCTGACCTCATACTAAGTATTCTTGTCGCACAGAAAGAAAACATCAATGCCCAGACACAAATCAGCAACTTCGAGTTTAGTATTGACAACGCATCGCAATTAAGACGCTGCTAAGGACGCCGCGGCTAAATCACTTCGGACTATGGACAAAGGGAAGCCTTTGTCTCTTGAGGTTGCAAAGCAGAGTCATGTTGATGCAATTCAAGTCACCGAGTACTATGCAAGGTACATAGATTGTGGTCTAAAGGTGTAAAGTGGTTTCAGGGTCTGACTCGCACGCATCGGAAGCAAATATCGGAACGCACTTTTATTCAAACTATTGCAGTTTCTCCTACTAGGCAAACCATGTAGTAGTAGAGACAATTGATTCTTCTAAATGTCCCACCGGTTATCTGCACCTCGCACAGTACTACATCTGATAAGTGCGTCAAACTTTGCCTGTAATGAGACTCACAACCAACTGACAGCATAACCATGCAGACCTGTTAGTCAAGTCGAGGACCGTTAGTAAAGTCTTAATTTCAAGTTGCAGCTGCGACATGATCAAACCATGACTACGGAGTCCAGACACTTGCCTAACGTAGATGGTACGTAACGCCGTCCTACTTAACTCCCGTAAGTAATGATGTGGTTAAGTTATTTTCCCTTCAACTTGGTAGTCTCCGACTTGATATTACTATCATGATTGAACCCGGAAGACTCTATGCATATATTGGCACTCGGTTGCCGAAATGGAAGCCACTGATTCTTTCATCCTCAGGAATATCATATCGTCCCCTGCTTGCTACCGTCGACTACAGTTCCGAATACGAAATTCCTGGCAGAAGCAGTGATGACAGTCCAACGCTTGCTTTGGACTACATCGACAGATCAACTGTGGAGAAGAGGCTTCTCCGTAAGTTGGATCTTCGGGTAGCCTTCCTAGTTCTGGTTTACATTATGAACTATGTGAGTTGGGGCACCTAACGTTCCCTCGACTGCCTAAAATCTGTTCACAGATGGACCGCACTAATGCAGCGTACGTGGCCTTCGAAATTACTTGGAGTAAGAGTTGCTTAACCGTCCACTTGCAAGTGCAGCGAGGCTGCGTGGTTACGAGGAGGACCTTGGCATGACGGGGAACCAATTCAACACACTTACCAGCATCCTTTATGTGGGATATTTGTTGACGCAAGCTCCTTCGTATGTTCTAGCACCTGATCCTTTTGCAGCATATCTAATAATTGAAAAGTAACATGATCTTACACCACATGAAGAGGCCATCACTATATCTCTCGAGCTGCATGGCAATATGGGGTGTTCTCACCGTGTTGATGGGTACGTACAACGTTTACTTGATCGATATTGCTTAATGAGGGGTCATGAAAGGTGCGGTTCAAACGTTGGTATCTAGACTTTTTAGTGCTGTTCACTGTTAACCCTGCTCTAGATATCATGCCGCTCTTATTTTGCGCTTCTTCATTGGATTTGTGGAGGCAGCATTCTTTCCCGGAGCTGTATTCCTTATTTCACGATGGTATCATTGTCCAATAACTCCAAACAGCATGTACTGAAATTCCTCTAGGTACAAGGGCAATGAACTAGGATTACGCACAGCACTTCTTTCTTGCGGTGCCTCGATCAGTAATGCTTTTGGTGCTCTTTTCGCATCAGGTATCTTGGGAAGCCTAGATGGTACACTAGGTTTTACGGCTTGGAGGTCTGAGCCTAAATGCGCGTGCTTTTAAGAAGTCAAGCTGTTCTGATTTTGCTGCTGCAGGTGGCTCTTTTTTGTGGAGGGCGCTTTGACCATCGTGGTCGCGGTGTCTGCAGGCTGGATTTTACCTGATTTTCCTTCAACGCCGAACCTCTGGCTTTTGCCTAACGAACAGATCCTGGCCAAACAACGGATGGAGGAGGAGGTCGCGGGCGACAATGAGCACAAAAGTAAACCCGAAGAATATTATTCTGGTCTTGTCGAGGCTCTTATGGATTGGAGGGTATGGTGGGTTGGTGCTTCCCTTAACTTGATGAGTTCCTCGATGTCATTTGGTATTTTCTTCCCGACTCTATCCGCTACAATGGGTTACAACGCTACTACGAGCCTCTTGCTCTGCGCACCTCCGTGGATTTTGGGAACTGCAACTTCGTTTCTCGTAGCCAGGTCAGTATTTACTTCACATGTCCGTTAGGTGAATTAATATAACTGAATTAAGGCACTCCGATGTAACTGGTGATCGCTTCTGGCATATTGTTGGTCCTATGCTCCTCGGCATCGCTGGATTTATACTCGCAATTTCTACTATGAATACGACTATGCGATATATATCCCTGTACGAACTCTCCCATCCTCGTTCTGCGATTCCAATGACTTACGTGCACCGTTAAGATTCTTGATGACTCAGAGCCCAGTCGCCTATGTTGTCTGTTTGACTTGGATCATGAATACGTTTTCCCAATCACAATCGAAACGCGCTGCAGCCATCGCACTCATAAATTCCATGGCGTCAGCTGGCGCGATCAGTTCATCGTCAGTTTACAGTGACCTCGTGCTACGTGCTACTACTAACGCCGTCACAGGTACTTCTGGCCATCCAGTTGGGGACCTTCATACGTGAACTCGTACCTCATTTGCATCTTGGCAAGCGTCGTATGCATTGCGATGTTATGGGTGTTTAGGAGGCACCTTTCCCGGTGTAATGAAGCTGCTGAAGCCGAAGAGCAATCTCTAGGGCTACCCAAGGGTTTGAGATATCTCCTCTAGTATTCCGAGTTGCTGCTCAGCTGTCTTCAGGATTGCAGCCATGTTCAGCAGCGGAAACTATGGGAGGGGGTCTGGCTATTAACATATATACTGTACATGCAGCACTAAAATACATTAATGCACTGTTCGAGTCACGCTCTTCCAGGTCATCAACTACGTCGCGTGTAGTGGGAGATGTATGCAATCACCCGCACTGCATTGTGATATGAAAATGCATGACTTCTACGGCATCCATCATTATACAAGTGGCGGCATTGTGTGCGGTAAGACTTCTTTACCCTTATTTCCTTCATACTAGACAATATTATGTGCTACCAGAACCTGCACCCTCGGGATCTCCAACAGCGACCTCATTTTGTGAATGTTTTCCTCCGCGACTTCTTTGTACTGGTGGGCACATGTCACCGCGCCCGTTTTCGCATCGACACGGGACGAAATTTGGTTCCTCCCAGTGATCAGATCAGGGTGATGAACTGAATCTGCGCCTAGCAGAATTCAAGCAACGTCTAGGGAAGTGCATGCAAGGATGTTGATATGCCCGTCAGCGTGCCCCGGATGCATCAACGATATACATGCTGCCATCCCTGAAAATGTCCATTGCGCACGGGTAGGGACCGATTTCCACGTTTAGATCAGAAGCTGTAACGAAGCGCCAATAGTCTTCCGGTGGACGAATGGATGAAAAGGCTATAGGGCTGTGGCGGGAACCAGGGTCTAAAAAGCTTGCTTCGATCCTTCCCCGAGGACAAACTCGGCCGTCTTAAACGTCGTTGGTTTGTCCATGATCAACGCGGTCATTGAAACGTCGACGTCCACATCCGAGTAAACGGTCACTTACCCAGCCGTTTATAGTATGTGATGTTGTACCGGCGGTTCGTTGCTACTGCGTGCTGTTCCTTCGTATTGGCACCTGATGGGTATCCAGTCTGGGGAAGTATACGGATGTATGACGCCCGGAAGCTAACCGACAAAGTACTGGACAGCGTTTCCTGCAGTGAGGCACAATGCTTATGACCTACATGCCGGAAAGACCGTCATGAATCAGGATTGAAAGGTACATTGATACTCGATAGAAACGCACCTCAATGATCGACTCATTGACGTCCTCGATGGACAAAATTTGTCTTTAATAGTCAAATTAATTGTCCCTCATTTGAGTATCAGTGGCCAGTCTTTCGTCACCTAGCTAAACTAGTATTGGTACCTTGAGCTCGAGTCTTCCAGTTCGCATGCAATATCTTCCATGTGGACTGGAATACTCGAACTCAAGAGACGACATGCGTAAGATAAGCAAACCCGAAAGCTCTGAAATTGCGAGCTTGTCTTGAGTGAGCGACGGAAGGATGGAAAATGACGACGTTGGAAGGAGATAACTCCAGGTGCCGTTCGGAGCTTGAAGTGAGCCTGCGAACAACAGGCAAGATTAAAAAAAAGGTCATTGGCCCATCAAGAAAACCCTCCCGAGCTTAAATTTGCAAAATTTGTGTAATTCTAGACGAAGTTGCACAATGGGCTCAAACAATCTGCTTACAGTATAGGACCGGCATTTGAGCCAGTGAATTTTGTTGACCGTCTCAAGTAAACACCTGTACATAAATTAAAATTTTGATTTGGCAGTCATGTTTGAATATATGATGACCATGCTAATGCAACGCTACAGAGCAATCGAATGAGTGATGCGTGCACAGTGCGTGGATCAGTAGAATGTCTTGATATCTGTTTTTTTCACCACCAGCCCTAATATAGATTTATAGAGTGCGAGAGTACCATCTAAGCGATTGTCGTACCGTAACGATCCTCAGGCTAGTTACTACTCCTCTTCATCCTCGTCACTGGCATTCTCGCGCTCATCCTCGTCGACATCAAGCTCGTCACCTGCAGTGCCCTCCGCAACTACTGGTTTAGGTAACGGCGCTTCCAACTTACCTCGTGTCGGCTTTTTCCATGCTAGCCAACGCTTCTCTATCTTCGCGCGTTCTTTTTCCTCCTTCCACCGCTCCAATTTTTTCTCTGCTCGGTACGGTACTCATTGATGGCTCGAGTGATGGCAATCTCTTGCTCTTGCTTAGCAAGTTGTTTTTTCCTTGTGACCGACTTTGGACGTCCAACCATGACTGAGACGCGCAGGATACGAGCCAAGGGTGACTGCAGGACAGTGTTTTTTGAATCCGGAAATGAAAGTCCAAATTGGGTTAGTTTCACTATCTTGCCCTGATAAACACTTTGATAACATATTTTGAGACCCTCGTCCGGAATCCCAGTGGCAGCACATCGTTGTGTGTTGGACTTATGTTATTGTACCAAAACTGTACTATGGATATAAATCTTTCATTTGGCAGGATTTCTGACATTGATAATCGAACAATTCCTTCTCGCTGCATTGATTGATGCTGAGAGAGGGCATGTTTCTGACCTGTAGCATGCATGCATTATTTTTTTTTCATTTCTACTCGACAGTATACAAGATTTATGTATTTCCGATACATCTGTGCTATTCGATGGGTCGATAAGCAAATATCGAGTGTGTGGTAGCTGTTTGGCTCAAATGCCGGTCCTATACTGTACTAAGACGCTCATTCTTCGCCACTTGGCTACGACGAAGTTTCCGTGGCTCTTCACAGTGCACATCATGTGGAAATATTAGATTCACTGGAAAGTCAAAAGCAGAAGGCGACGAAAACGGCGCGAAAATGCTACTGCAAACGTACCTAGTACTAGAGTAATACATATTAACTAGTGCACTCTGCAGCAGTTGGACAACCATAAATTCAGGCTCGGTGCTAGGTATAGAAATTGACAAAGAATCAAAGAATCGAACGGCACACTCGATATTGCAGCAATAGAATGATTGTTACGTAGAGCTAGAAGTCCTAATGTTAGCAACTGCAAGGACAGATGTCAAAGGCTAAGGACTCACGCATCGTGACAATTCGACCAGTGCGTCCCATGTGCCATGCGTCTCAAATCAAGTTCGGGATATCCTCTTGGTATCACCAATGAAGTCCAAGGGGTATAGAATGCATGTCTGGAAGCGGGAGGTACCCAGAAAAGGAGCCGATGGTTGGGTCCCATGATCCATCCATCAGCCTGTAGCAAGAAAGGGGTTGACTTAGAATTATGATGCGAAATGGGTGCTAGCAAGTCAGCGGGGTTGGGTAGAGCGTGTTCTTTGTTGGACGAGAAGGAAATGAGGTGATCGTTACAAGTGCTGGTGAGCATGGTACGGCTTTCTTGGGTGGGAGGTGCGGCGCTTCGATGCAGTGAAGATGAGGAAGAATCTGGCTCTCTGAACATGGGGGATGGCTGCACTTTCACTGCATCCCACAGCCGTACAGTGTGATCAAAAGAACCAGACGCGATGCGAGTACCATCTGGTGAGAACGGGACTGACCAAACCTCTCCAGTGTGCCCCTCCAATGGCTCGCCCAATGCCTGTCCCGTCGCTGCATCCCACAGTCGTACCATCTTATCCTCCGAACCAGACACGATGCGAGTACCATCAGGTGAGAACGCAACTGATCGAACCGGACCAGTGTGCCCCTCCAAGGGCTCACCCAACGGCTGTCCCGTCACTACATCCCACAGCCGCACAGTGGTATCCAAAGAACCAGATGCGATGCGATTACCATCCGGTGAGAATGAGACTGACCAGACCAAACTAGTGTGCCCCTTCAAGGGCTCACCCAATGCTTGTCCTGTTGCTGCATCCCACAGCCGCACAGTGGTATCCAAAGAACCAGACGCGATGCGAGTACCATCCGGTGAGAACGAGACTGACAAAACCAAATTAGTGTGCCCCTCCAGGGGCTCACCCAATGGCCGACCCGTTGCAGCATCCCACACCCGCACAGTGTGATCAAAAGAACCAGACGCGATGCGAGTACCATCCGGTGAGAACGAGACTGACGAAACCGAATTAGTGTGCCCCTCCAAGGGCTCACCCAATGCCTGTCCTGTCGTTGCATCCCACAGCCGCATAGTGTTATCCACTGAACCAGACGCGATGCGAGCACCATCCGGTGAGAACGAGACTGACGAAACCGAATTAGTGTGCCCCTCCAAGGGCTCACCCAATGCCTGTCCCGTCACTGTATCCCACAATCGCACAGTGTTATCCCTTGAACCAGACGCAATGCGAGTGCCATCCGGTGAGAACGAGACTGACAAAACACAACTAGTGTGCCCCTCCAAGGGCTCACCCAATGGCTGTCCCGTCGCTGCATCCCATGGTCGTATCATCTTATCCTCCGAACCAGACGCGATGCGAGTACCATCAGGTGAGAATGCAACTGATCGAACCGGACCAGTGTGTCCACTCAGCACAATCTGAACAACCGTCCAGTTTAAATCACGGCCGGATGCCAGACGAAGGTTATTTGGAAACTTTGCCATGAATCTGGTAGCCATGGTGGAGTTGACCGGCGAGAATGGGAGCCCTGATACATACAGATGTGGCGTGCTGTGCAAAATCATGCCGCCAAACACTTGGATGAATCTTTGTACATCCATCACGGTGGTCCGCAAATCTTCGTATCCAGGATGGCCCTATCTTTATGTATGAGCTGCTCATCCGACACTGCCTCATAGGCATGTGCTCACCTTCAACCACTTGGCAATGAGTGGAAGCACAATAATTGCACCCCTGATTGCATTGAGAAGTCCGAGTGCTTCGATCCAGAAGAGCAGTCGCTCGTCGCCGAAGAATGACCTCATCGCCTTTGCGAGCTCATCGTCGAAGTCCGTTGCTTGAACATGAGTAGCCCAGAATCGATAGGAATAAGAAATATGTGGGGGAATGGATGTTTTGACTCGTTGAGCCAGTCCGGTATCTTCGCGATTAGGGAGGTATGATGACTTTAAATCACATATATTGAAGCGAAGGCCACGTTCCATCACTCGAAGTGATGCCAATGCCAAGTCGTAGTGTTGCGCCTTCGTCAACTTGATGAAAAAGTCCCTGCTGGATGGTTCGTGTGTGAGGAACTCTTGGAAGGATGCGTGAAGGGGTTTGACGGGGATGCGTGAGTCCGTTGTGCCGCTGAGGAGGGATCCCATATGTTGTATGATGTTCATTTTGTAATGTTTACTGTGGTTTGGAAAACAGTTCCGCATGGCGTTGAGGGAATCGAAAGGGAGGGGTTCAGCTGTGCTGAGTATTTGTCCCATCACGGAACGAAACCCCTCTAGTGCTTCCTGGTACTCGTCATCGTTACACTGATCTCGTGGCCTTGGACCAATGAAAGCACATCAAACGAAATTCGCAAAGCAATAATGTAATGAACAAGTATATACCTGTATGTGTTGTCTACCATAGGGCATCGCCCCAACGGACAATAAACAATGATCAAAAAAAAAAAAAATCTCGTGGCCAGATATCTGCCAAAATAAGCCGATACATATCATACAACTTGTTTGTCCATGCCCCAGGATCGCGGTTTACGACAGTTTCAAAGCGAGACCTCGGATTTATACCGGGAAGGCTTCCTTTAATGTATTCGCATGCAAGACGTGCCCATTCGAAAAGTCCATCGGCTTTCGTAGCGAGGTTTACAAACTCTTTGTCCCCAAAATGCGGCAGCCCTTCTAGCTTGTCAGAAACAAAAGCGCAGATGTCGCGCTCCGCCACTGCTGCTGGAATCTCGTCCATGGATAACTGTAGAATATGCTGAGCGCCGTGAAATGCATCTTCGATGTCATGAAGTGGGCGAGAGGTGACGAGAATCCGAAAGTTGGATGGGAGTTCTGTGATGTGGGGAAGACCTTTGTTCCGAAGTTTACCGGCAAGCATGCGAAGAAGGTCTCGCCGTGTCTCCACTCCGCCGCTCTCGTCCAGTGCTTCGATCACGATCAAGACAGGTCCTACACTTGGCCTAGAAGATTTCTTCAGTGGTTCCATGAGAAGCTTCTCCCACTGCTGGAAAATGTCCTTCGAGTTCTTGAGTGAAGTGGAATTTTTGACTGCGTCCGCTAATGCCCGTCTCATCTCCGGATCACGATCAGCTAGGTCACGAGCGATGGTGGAGAAAACTGTTTCATGGCGTTTCTCGGTCTTGTCGAAACAAAAACATGAACCGAGCACCCCCATGTCGCTGAACCACTTCGCAATCGTGTGAGCGATGGCCGATTTGCCCGTCCCTGCAGGACCAGATAGCCACAGCACACGTTCAGCAGCATCCTCGCTGCCGTTGATCCAATCCGTAATCTGGGAGAGAATCTCCGTGCGCGTCCCTGGTAGGCACTGTTTCATGGTATTTAGTCCTGCGCCTTTTGCATATGCGATATCCCCAAGATCCAGGGTATCGCCTGAAACGGTGTGAGTGAACGTAAAGACAGAAGCGTGTCTGAATCCTTACTCGTTCGTTGGACGAATACGGCGACGTCCCGATCAACTTGGTCCCGGAATTGTTGTAGAAGGTCGTCCAAAGTGTTGCTGTACTGTTTGATGATGCCATCGGTTTCCGAGAGAACATTTTTCCCAAGTCTCTTCCCTACGATAATAGTATAAGGTTCATGTACGAAGTGCGATAGCTTGGTGACTCACAAAAGCTCTTTGTCTCTGAGTAGTCCCTGATGAAACGGGCACACTCAAGGGTCTGCTGAACGATATTTCCAACGATACCGCGCATCGATTCGATTTTGACAAGGCTGTCATCTTGAGTCATGAAGCAGTAAACTTCAGCCAATTTCTTGAGAAGACTACAGATTGATTTGTCGCGCTCTGCCTGAGCGATTATAATCTGCATGGAATTACGACTTCTGAATAGGAGATTGTACTTCGGGAGAAACCAGACATACTTTGGATGCAGCAGATAGCACACCCAGCGCCATCTTTGCGTACGGGTGTACCTATACCACTTGATTAGTTCATTTCCCATCAACAAGAATGGCCCATACATCCGCGATCTTCTCAAGGACGGCATCGATAATCTTTAGGGGTTGAAGATACGTTGTCTCAAAATCATCCGCAGCGGCGAGACCCGCTGGGGCATTGTTGGCAGCGGATGTCATAGAAGCCCCATGTCCCCCGAGTAGTCTCATAGTTTCTGTACCATCACAGGCATCCTGAAGTTCAGTATCAACTAATTGGGAATCAGGCTCTTCCTCCTCGCCAGAAGGGGCAGCCTGAACCTGTGGGACCGTCAAAATTAGAGATGAGAGTCAAAGTATTTGACGAAAATACCTGTGAAGTAGGCTCTCCGAACAGCCCTTGGTTCATAGAGTCGCTAGGAATCTCAGATGTGGTGGGATGCTTGCTGTCGTTCGAAGCATGAAGATGCATCGTGTCCTAGGCGCCTCTGAGAAAACTGAAGGACCAGGATAGCAAGTTCAAGCACTTACCTCGACTTTCTGACTCGACGAAGCCCCTTCAATTTCAACGTTCTCGACTGCAGTGGTATGATTGCTTGTTCGCTTGAAGCGTTTCTGTACAATCTCAGCCATATTCAGGACAATCAGTATTCACATTTACGCACAGGAAGTTTTTTGGTTAACGCATTCTTCAATTTCCACAGGGACTGACAGATTCTTCTACGAGGTTGGTTCTGGACGAAGAATGCATAAGGGCAGCGATGAATTTCAGAGATCACATACCTGAGCTTTCAGCAACATTTGCCCGGCTGGATCTGGAGGCTCCTGGCGGAGAATCTGGCCTACGGTCTTCACTCACTGCGAGTGGTCGTAGATCAGTGTAAATAAAATGATGGAGGAAAACGAGAAGAGTGTGAGAAGGGGATGAGCGTCTTATCCTTTGGCAGAGGCTGGGGCCGAACGTTAGAAGCATGGCCAACACGTTGACTTCAAGCGCCAACCATTTCGAGCCGCGCAATTTGCGTCGGTTCATAGTGGCAGGTTATTGTGTACACATCCGGCATCAAGGAAGCATTTATCTATCCGTGGATTTCCATGCGCCGAGGCATCATCGCATTTCATACCAGGCTTGCGCAAAACCTGCAGTAAGTAGTGAGGAGAAAGTGGATGCATCAATAACACCCATTGTAGTGGTGAAGGCTCTGTCGTTTTGGCTATCCGGTGTAGTACCTACCATGGAGTGTTGATGCGAGGATTTGGAAGCAGTTGCGGTTGGTAAAGGAAAAAACGATGTGGGTGCCGAGTGTCAAAGCGCTCTTGTCATGATACCTCACTCCCTGTAATGATAACAGCAGCGAGGACCTGAACTCTTTCATCACCACCGAAAAGTTAAGCCTTGTCTTCGTCGAGAAGCAGCTGCTGGATAGACTCCGGTACATTCTAATCAGAATATTTCAGCCTACGGAAACTTGTCATCCATTGTATACTCGAGTTTAATCTTCCTTTACACAAGTCTAATTGGTCAATACTTTCGACCGATTTCCACATTTAAATCAGAAGCTGTAACGAAGCGTAAACGGTCTTGCGGTGGACGAATGTATGAAAAGGCTATAGCACTGTGGCAGGAACCAGGGTCTGAAAAAGCTTGCTTCGATCCTTCCCCGAGGATGAACTCGGCAGTCGTTAACGGGGAGGGATCTCCGACGCTGAGGGAAGACAGGTTAGGCAATTCATACCACCTCGAATGCTGACTTGGAACGGCTCACTGATCCCAATGGAGGTGACTTAAGACTACCAGGTCAACTGATGAAAGGGGAGTTCCACTACCCTCCAAAGACTTTGCCGCAGTCTGCTTCACATCAGGCACTACTGGTATTGCAGCACGTGCAAACTCTTTGATATTTCTAGGTCGAACACAATCCGCTTATTGCTTTCGAATGACGCAGTAAAAATGTGAGTGAGGGAAAAATTATGGGATCGTCCGATCGATCGGCCGCCATTAGACTCAAAGAAACATTGAGGTGTCCAGCTTCAAGGGCAGATACATACATATACGCCTGTTCATCAAATGGAGGAGGAAGTGAATGCGCATCTGTCGATATTGGTATCAAGTTCAACGATGAATCAAAACCAGGATTCAAACGTGCCTATATATGCCGAGGAAAGCAGACGGTGGCACCCTCAGTGACTTCACAAAGTTCAAATCTTGACAACAGAGTCACGCTAGCCAGACCCGTTGTACACTGACAAATCAACGAATCAACGAAGTAGATTACACCTTGGCCGTGAATGACTGTGAAGGCGATGTCGAACAAAAGATAGTTGATTTTAACAGTCAATCAAGATATCGATGATCGATGAGAAACGTGAGGGTAGAACTTCTGGAAGACTTTGCCAGTACTGAGTTGGATGATGTGGTGTTGAACTAGCCACAACACGCCATACACAAATCATCAGTTACATATCCCCAGCGCGTTCAACGTTGATCTAGTGACATGTCCGACGAGTCCATCCGTCTAGAAACCCCATGTGGAAGGAAGACAGAGTCATTGACTCATTCATACTACCAGTTTAAGTGTAACGTGGGGTTAGAAAAACGGTCGACCGCTCGTTTTGCCAAAGAAAGTGTTAGTTGACTCCTTGTTCGGCTCGGCCGGTCCCTTCCATAACCGATCTTCCCGACTGCAGGATTATTTTCGTTAATACGGCATATGATATATATGTAGTAGCTTGGGAGTCGCATAGGCTCCGAAGTATGAATCGGAACCTGAGGGCATCCGATATAAACCCATATATCGGTATGCTGACAGGCTAGCGGGAATCTGCTGCTCAGCGTCTCTTTCGTCCATACCCCATAGGAATGTCAGATCACCCCTTGCTCGGTGCAGGCAAACATTCCCACTATGGTGCCTCTGACAGAAGCAGTGGTAGTCCAGTGCTTCCTGAATACGATGAACAGAACAGACAGATGGTGGAGAAGAGGCTTCTCCGTAAGTTAGACCTTCGAGTTGCCTTCCTAGTTCTGATCTACATTATGAGCTGTGTGAGTTGGTATATTTAGTGTTTCCGCTATTGCATTAATTTGTGCTTAGATGGACCGGACTAATGCAGCGTATGTGGCCCTTGGAACTAACGATTGTAGTGTGGCTTAATTACCTCTCGGTCAAGATAGTGCGGCAAGGCTGCGTGGTCTTGAGGAAGACCTCGGTATGACGGGGAATCAGTTTAACACACTCATGAGCATCTTTTACGTGGGGTATTTGTTGACGCAGACTCCTTCGTATGTTCCAGCACGCTATCCTTCTGTAGCCCATCCGAGAATTCAAAAGCAACATGTTCTTAGATCGCATGACGAGGCCATCGCTGTACCTCTCAAGCTGCATGGCAATATGGGGTGCTATCACTATGTTCATGGGTACGTACATCATTCACTTGATCGATATTGCCTGACGAGGGTCATGAGAAGGCGTAGCACAAACGTTAGTATGTATTACTTTTGCTGCTCTTGAGTTAACGCTACTTTAATCAGGTATCATACCATTCTTATCTTGCGCCTCATGCTTGGGTTTGTCGAGGCGGCGTTTTTCCCTGGGGCTATTTTCCTTCTTTCACGATGGTATAGTTGCCCAATACCTCCGAACAGTGTATTCTGAAATTCCTCTAGGTACAAGCGCAATGAGCTAGGGTTCCGCACAGCGCTTCTTGCTTGCGGCAGCTCAATCAGTAATGCTTTCAGTGCTCTTATAGCGTCAGGAATTTTGGCAGGCCTAGATGGTACACTAGGTTTTACGGGTTGGAGGTCAGAGGCGAAATAAGCATGCTCTCAAAGTAGAACCGCTCTGACGGTGCTGCCACAGGTGGCTCTTCTTTATCGAGGGGATCTTGACAATTGTGGTTGCAGTGTCTGCAATCTGGATTTTGCCAGATTTCCCATCATCGCCGAGTGTTTGGCTTTTACCTGATGAACGGACCCTGGCTAAGCGACGGATGGAGGAGGAAGTTGTGGTCGGAAATGAGCATGAAGGCACGTCTGTGGAGGGTTGGTCTGGCCTTGTTGAGGCACTTACAGATTGGAGGGTATGGTGGCTTGGTGGTGCTCTTATTTTGATGGACGCTTCTTTGTCGTTCCGCATTTTTTTCCCGACACTATCTGCTACAATGGGTTACAATTCGACCATAACCCTCTTGCTCTGTGCACCTCCGTGGATTTTGGGAACTGCAACATCGTTCCTTGTAGCTAGGTCAGTATCTACTCGACAGTCTCGATTGGTGAATTAACAATAATCAAGGCACTCCGATGCTACTGGCGATCGCTTCTGGCATACCGCTGGTCCTCTATTTGTCGCCATCCTTGGGTTCATGATTGCATTTTCTACCATGAATACGGCCGTTCGATATTTGTCCCTGTACGAAACTTCTCCTCGTCCTGCAATTCCACAACCTTAATGTTCTCTGTGAAGATTCTTTATGGCTCAGGCCCCAGTTGCACACATTGTGTCTTTGACCTGGGTTATGAACACATTTTCCCGATCACAGTCGAAACGCGCTGCAGCCATCGCATTAGTCAATGCCATGTCATCACTTGGCTACATCGGTTCATCGTCAGTTCACAGCTTCCTCTCACTCTGGTGCCGCTAAAGCCTCGCAGGTACTTTTGGCCGTCCCGTTGGGGGCCTTCATACGCGAACTCATACGCCATGTGCACCTTGACGAGCACCATGTCTATTGTGATGTTTTGGGTATTTAGGAGGCACCTTTCCCAGTGCAATGAAGCTGCTGAAGCCGAAGAGCAGGCTCTGGGGCTGCTCAAAGGCTTTAGATATCTCTTGTAGCACTCGTTGGTCAAGGTGGCGGTGTTCGGTTAAGATTTTATCACGTTGGGTAAAGCTGTAGTAGTGGGTTAAATGTGTAGTATGTCGTACATATAGTGAAGTCTGCAATCACTCGTCCTGTCCTGTAATAAATGCATGACAGCTATCCTGGCACGACTCCCCTCCGCGACTTCCTTGTAGTCATGGACACATCTCACCACGCCACCCACGTCGGCATGGTACACAACTTACATCTTTCCAGCGATTGGATAAGGGTGATGAGCTGAATCTTCACCTAGTAAGATCCAAGCACCGTCTGTGGATGTACGCGCAAGGATATTGATATGCCCATCAACGTGCCCTGCAATGAAGAAGAAGCCTAACCATTCCTTCCAATCTCATGCACGAAGCAGAGAAGAATCTGGTGCATCAATGATATACATGCTGCCATCCCCGAAAAAGTCCATTGCGCGGGTGGGGACCGATTGCTACGTTTAGGTCAGAAACTGTGATGAAGTGTAGATGGTCTTCCAGTAGACGAGTGGATGAAAAGAATATAGGACTGAGGGAGGAACCAGCCTCTAGACCCAAAGCTTTCTTCGATCCTTCCCCGAGGACAAACTCGGCACTCGTAAATGAGGAGGGATCTCCGACACTGAGACAAGACAGATTAGGTTATTTTAGTCACATCAGACGCTGAACGGCTCAATGATCCCGATGGAGGTGACTTAGACACCAAGTCGACCGATGAAGAAGCAACTCCACCAGACTCCAAAGACTCCAAAGACTCTGCCACCGTCCGCGTCACGTCAGGCAATAATTACTCCGTTGCAGCAGGCGCAAATTCTTTTATGTCTCTGAGGATTCCTAGGTCGAAAATGACTCGCTTATTGCTCTTCGAGTGACGCAGGAAGAATGCAAGTGGGGCCAAATTATTGATTCGTCTGGTTGATCATCGCCCGCGATTAAACCCCAAGAGACTCAAGTGTCAAGCTTCAAGGGCAGATACGTACATGTGCGCTTGTTCATTAGACGGAAAGGGGAATGAAGGCGCCTCAAACATTGATATCAAGTTCAAGTTGGATTTCTTACGAATGAAGAGGCTCGCACTAGGAACGGTGGACCAGGGGTCCCAAGGGCAGGAGCTATGCACCGAAGGGCCTATCGGCCCTTTCCACAGCTTAGTCAGCGCGTAGACTAGGTTCCGCTATGTTCGTAGCTAGCATCTATCGTCATCATCGCAGCTTGTCTGCCTTGCTCCAGGTTTAGGCCGCTGGCCCTGCTCCAACGGGAAAGGGGGAAAGTGGACGTGGAATCGTAAATAAGAGAGCTCACTTTGATTTTGGCTGAAAAGACTGAGAGACGTTATTCAAGAGGAATTAATACACTGATTGAGACTGAGAATCAAAGGTGAATTTGTATGAGGCATGTAACAAGTAATCGAGTACATAAAAGAAAAGGGTGAGTACGTACGAGAGTAACAGCAAAAGTCATATCTGCGCACCTATATATAAGCAAGGACAGCAGATAGCGGAAGCCGATGGTCACCTGAATGTTCACGTCTCCATGAAGTTCAATTCTTGATAACAACATAGTACGTCGTGCTGGATGCCTGTTTCACACCATACCAAGGAATCCTTATGATAGGTTGAAATTTCCGAATAGTAGAGTTGCGAACAGTTTTCCAAGACTCTACGAGTGATCAAGTGATCGATGGTATCAATGATCACCCCTGGGCCGGGGTTGAAGTTTGTATCGGACAACAGGTAACGGATGGACAAGAACAAAGACCAACATATTTTGGCAACCTGAAGACTTTATAAACGAGTTGTTGAACGTCGCACTCCGCTGAATTTCAACAACTTGCAAGAACTCACCTCAAATTTTTACACTATGGTTTGCTTAAGCATCTGCACTCTGAGTCAGCATTTGCATATTCGCGCCATCAATGCAGCCTGGAAAGCGAAGGTGAACGGAGATGAACGAACACATAGTTCCAAACTGACCACGAGAGCTTCATTCATTCATTTTTCCTCTCAGCATAATAGTTCATATCAGCGACTCTCGAGCCAGTCAAAACCAGATCGTCATGTCATCGTTCCAGCGGATTGAGAGTCCCGGCGACCGATGTCGACTTCCCGAACCACAGCCTCGATGACTCAATGCCCACACAGACCATCATCCCACCCCCTTCGGCCAAACGCCTGGGGATCGGAACGGGCAGCTACTGCCTTGGCTGTGAGCTACGTTGACACTACGTGAGAACATACCAGGACATACCTCGTCAAAAGCATAGCTATGTACGTTCTCAACTATAGCAACGACTAGATATAACACCAACGCGGCAAAGTCTGCACACGGAAGCTCGAGCGCCGGCCAGATATGATTACCTCTACAAGGAAGCTTTAATCAGAAGACGACACGTGTATAGCAATATGATGATATGCTTTGATATGCTTGGGCAATGATTTTCAAACACCGACAGTCACGTTGCTTCTTGACACCGGGTGATGGCAAATATGGCTCTGCTCATAGATCTCATTCATGAATCACTAATCTACGCAGAGAAATGGAACTCAGTTAAAGCCTATTGTGGGACAAGTCGGTATGGCTGTCTAGGGCGCTGCCGCACTGCCCGTGCTACCTAAACCAAACTGGGTGTGTGCCACACTTACTAAGTAGATGGGACTTGTCAACTAACGCTGTGTTTTTAAATTTAGTCACGTAGTGCAGTATGAGACCGCAAGGGCTTCGGTTTGGCTCTCGGGGATTCCTTATCTAGAGAGCTATCATTAGTATTGCGCCGAGTCCGGTTTCTACTGGATCTCCTAGTCACAATGGTATCTTGAAACCACCTGAAGGCGTGCGCTGTGAATAAGCCTCCAGTGGAAGCCTAGGTGAAACGTGTCAGTTTGCATGTAAGCGCCAATCAGTAAGTTCTCACTTGCGATTATGCTGATCGCGGTGCTTTTACATGGTCATATTTTCAACTGATCGGCACCTAATAAGCACCATTTTCATCTGACGAGGTCCTGAACAACGCACAGGATCGGGTTGACTGGCCCGGCATCAGTGATTTTTTCCTTTCTCATATCTCCTATGCAATGTGCCAATGATGCATCGGCATGTCAACGGCATCAGTGCTTGGCGTCTAACGGTCATGCTCATAAGGTAGACATGACAGCTTCTCGATGCCCACGATAATGATGATGAGCAACTCTGCTGGGACACCATTTCAGCTCGTTGATGATATGAGTGCATTCCAGAGTGCTCATTATCTAGAAATAGCATGCTTCACACTTCTGGTTTACGACCTACTGACTACCTTCGGAGAAGAGGTGTGTAGCGGCTCATAGTATTGTCAAGACTTACCCTCCATCATGTTTGCGTCTCAGGTTGAATACTTCTGGTCGGGTCCATGGAGCATATCGCGTGTTCTGTTTTTCTTGGTGGGCGCGGCTTTATTGTCTCTCTGGAGTGAGCCCTTATCTAACGAAGCTGCTTTAGAATCGATATCTTCCATTTGTCGTCATGATGTAGGTCCAATCAACTGCCGCTCAGGGGTTGTTCTGACATTTACCTGGTCCCTAAAATCCAAGACCAACGAATGCTGGTGAGTATCGTAATTATTGGCTTCAATCATTCAATGAAACAATCGAATTCCTTAGCGCTGTTTGGAGCCGAAATATCAGCTCAGGTTTGGTAGTTCGTTTTCTATTATTGAATGCGCTCACTAAGTCGTATCACAATCAATGATTCTTAGTCGTAAGGCTGAATGTATCCTTGTCAATGGCACATATGAACTAATCATTGTTTAAGATGCACTCATTGGATTCGCGCTGCATTTGAACTTTCTATCATCGTAATCTGCATCAATCAAGGTCTCGGTGATCTCATACAAACTATTGTAAATTGGCTGAAACATCACAATAACAGGAATTCTCTTCCTCCGCGTGTGGTATATGTACTCTCATAGTGCCATTGCACGGGCGGTTGCATGTTTCAGCTACGCGGGATGCGCTTTATCATCCCTCATAACGATGGGCTTGAGTCTCTCGTTCCTGAAGTCAACCACGGAGTCTCTGCAGCTTCAGCGGAAGATAACAGCCATTCCAGGATGTTCTGCACCTGCCCCATCGATGATATGGACAGTTTTCGTTCCAAGTACTATCATTCACACAATTTTGTTTGGATTCACGATCGCACGAGTCGTGAAGGTCTCTCGTGACTTACAGATGGATCAATTGATGCAACGTCTGATACGAGAGTGAGTCCCATTCTGTGAGCGGTATCCCTCAGCACGCTTACCAATTATTCAGTGGTGGTCTTGTCTTCTTCGTCTCGATGGGTAAATGATGAGTATTCCATGCACCAATCAGCGCGCTAATTAATACACAGCCTCGGCCACATTTTCCGTAGTCGGTGCTCGTTTAACCACAGATCCTGTCGTATGTTAACTACCTTTCTCTTCGCTTGCATGGCGCCTAATACCCGGAGCTTACAGATAAACGGGCCAGCAACTTGGTCAAAGTGAATTTTTCTACTCGCATATTTCATCAATGTTTGCTGAGCAACGTATTTATTTAGCTCACAGTTAGCGATCAGTGCAGTTGCAGTGTCTCGGCTTATGCTCAGCATTCGCTCCCTCGCTGGGAAGTTGAAAATTAATCAAGATTGGTTATTTAACCCGTCTGAGCTCAGTAGGGTAAGGTGGAGAGCTGTCTCTGGTGATTATAGCCGCATTATCATAGTCGAGATGGACACACATGAACCAGTAGCATGATATTAACTGTGACATAATAGGTAGTGTGCTCGAGACTACCCTTGCTAATGTCAACGAAATATTAAATCGTTTTTTAGCAGGATTAAGTGTCACACGGTATTGAGGAAGACTAAGCAGGGAGTTAATACTTGGCGACGTCACCATACATGCTTGAAAGTGTTCTGGAGGAACAGGGGACCAATAAACTAGGGCCCTCAGGCTGAGGCATCGCAAATTCAAGTCAGAATATCAAAAGCAAAATTTGCTGTCGAAACCTGTACTTACAAATCGGTAGCGGTGCGTGCGCATCAAGTCCCCAACTCCTGCTTCCGATCATTTTCTTATGGCCTGTCTACTTGTCGCTCCTGTATACGCTTATACGCTGTGAGGTTTTTACCTCAAATTCTACTATGACCTTCCTCCCTCAGTCCAATTCCTGTACTAGCACTGGTTGACGGTGGTCGAACGGTGGTAATACCGTAAGATAGTCATCCCATTGATAAACAATTGATAAAGTCAGTCCACAGCGAGCTATATATTGAATAACCTCACACCCAATCGTAGTTACCATCAATTATCTTAGATCTTCATCAACATGTCCTCTCTACTCTCCAAGTCGTTTGATGCACTAAGGGTAGTTCTACTCTCATAATATATCTATTCTCTAATGGTCCTACTAGATCTCGACCCCGGATTCAATCAGGCAACGACCAATTAAACTTGTTCGTCCGAAGAAGCAGCTTCATGTCCAGTTTTACGGATACGCGATCTCTCATGAATGGCTTGTCCGGTCTGGGGAGCAATACTGCCCAGAAGCATTGCCCGATCGCTGTGACAGGGGCTATGAAGACACTGCCATCTCACGAGCATACGAATAAGTTGTTGATCTAACGGGCATCAACAATTTAGACCCTGTCACTTGCTTGAATCCCAAGGGTGGCTCGGTGCCTGCCGAGTGAATCGCTGTGTATGATGACGACTATGATGACATGCTTTCTGACGAAGAACTTCTGGCCATTCGAATTGATACAGTCTACGTGCTCGCTGTGTGCTCAGATGTAGAAAACTCCTTTGGAGAGCGTCCTATTCAGGAACAGATGGACTACATCGCCAAGATGGTTAGGCATGGGCCGCAGTGGTGGATGGGTTATAAGAGTGTATATTAAGGGCGAGTCCGGCGAAGAGTTAGAAAGAGATATATTCTCGAGCTGTCATTTGTAAGTTGTATGTGGTATTTGTAAACATGCCAATAGTATACCGCTACGTACGCGACTTCGATCATTAGCGCTGAAGTGTTATCGTCAATGGCATTGCACCAGCAACAAGCAGACACCCGGGGATGGAATACGTTTGTAGGTCCCTTGCCTTCGGTGTCTCGCCTTCCGTCTCATTCTTATCACTGCTAGAACTCATGCTTGATACATCGCCTGTATCAGTAGAGCTAGTAGAGCTCCTTCGAGTGGAAGCCATCAAGACTAAAGGTGTAGCATCAGCTGCTGTTAACCCCTTGTCCTTCCTGTTGTGGGCGTATCATTAGCCCTGTTTGCGAATTCAGAAGTGTTTTGACCAACTTGATCATAGTCTGCGATCTGGTACACATCTTCACCGGGTGTTGTTCGCCCCTCTGCAGTCGTTGAGTTGTTATACCGATGAATCGCGGACATCTACATAGGCACCCCAGCTGTATGGTAAAATCGCTTCGATATCAGTTCATTCACTTGAAACAGTTGTTGTTCACTCACTGTAGTACAGCGCTTACGGTCGGGCCTTTGGTCGGCTTGCAAGCATTTTGCGCATTTCAAGGCTGTGCATGGCTTTTGTTGATTGGAAAGCTTCTTGATGGCGGTGGTCTGTATCCGTTTATTTGTGCATGCACAATTCATATTGATGAGATTGCTTACTTTTGTTCTGCACATCCAGATGGTGAAAGAAGACCTAGTACCGTAGAGTGCCCAAGCACTGCAGTCACCACCATGAAGCTAGACCACGTGCACGTGCATGTGGTAATGATGACTTGATCGGCTAACTACCAGTTCTCCATGACTCGAAGTGATCATAAACGATATGCCTCACCGGACTTTGAGGCAAAATAATAGCTGCTATTATTTTCGGAAAATATCATGCAATCAGCAAATAAACGTAACGTAGCGTGTCCTTCCCGTTTTCTGCGAATGATATACAACGTTAACGCTTAACACGTTAACCGTTGACATTCATTTAAACGCTAAGTCTGGATCTTGTTCGAGGAGCTCATGCTACTGCTGCTGCGCGCTCGCAATATGCCGTGGGCGCTCATCGTCTTATCTCACGACGATGGCGGACACGACACATTGCTGCGCACTCAAACCACTCACTGCGCGGACACTTCTACGATGGCAAGAGCCCTTGTTTGGTGCGCCTGTAGCCATTGCTCTTTAACTGACCGTGGTCAACTCCAACAGTCAAGAACGACTTGCCAAAGGCATCTAGATGCTGATCGGCACGAACACGAGCATTTGCGCATGCGAGAGACAGATGAGCAGTGGGGCTCCCCCATCCCTGCACCACACAGGAACACACCATCCCCCGAATTAGCTGGATTGCACCCAGACCCAGCTATCAATGACTTTGTGCAAGAACCTCAGCATGATGTCGGACAACTTCGTGGGGGAGTAATGCATTACCCGTTGTAGTTACAAGTTATACGTATTGCATCAACCCTTGTAACTACAAGACATTCAAATGCATTATCTCACGATAACTACAAGAGCCAGATGATGACAAACACACCAGAGTTACAGCACATTCAAGAAGGGCAATCTCGATTGATACAAGCTGGCAGCGGTGCATAGATACTACAATGTTGCATACAAGATGGGATATTAAGGGAGTGGCAATTCTGGGAGGTACAGATCTAACTCGGCTTCACTAGCCGCCATACTCTCAGGAGCACTATCCACTGAACGCATATTATTACAGCGGGTGTCTGCTACTGTCAGTGGGTGATGCGCTGCCCACTTCTTCTCGAAACAGTCGGTGAGATCATCCCTAAACTGAGCCTGACGACAGGCATAGGCGCCCAGACCCTCATTGTCAGCAGCAGTACCAAGCATGCGTTCCACGATCTTCGTGCTCCACCAGCTTGCGTGCCACCTAAGAAAGCAGGACACCCGGTGCATCTCCTCCTGGAGCAGCCCAACTTCTTCTGCCCATCGCATGGACCTCGCACAAGCTTTGCACCATTCGACTCTGAGACCTGCCAGCAATGTGAGTGTCTATCTGCCATGGCTCACGCTTTAACTTACTATATTGTATTACTTCGTCCTCATCATCCCTGACTCCTTCCACTAGCCAGATCCACGATAACTGTCTTCGACCTTCACTTTCCCCTCGCTTGGGAACTGACATCCCACGTATATCATTCTTCCTATCAAGGACCTGATATTTGTGATCCCAGCCAACCTTTCTGAGCACGTGTGCAAGAGACGAGAGAGCCATATGCGCTGCATGATACTTCTCAGCTGCAGCTGTTGCCCTGGCTTCAACGCGACTGACGGCATTCTGGGCTCGGGTGTTTGCACTTTGACCGTGCAACCAGTCTCTTTTGAAGGTATACATGTAGTCCCGCAGGCGAAGGTACTGTCTTATTTCTTCGAGGGCGTCTCCCACCTGAGCATATCATAGTTCCCATTCGGTCTTGAGGAGTCATGCATTGCAAGGTATGGGCTTGCTGCACAGAGTGGATGGGAGCCAGAGTTGGGAATCTTCAGGTTTGATCATGTCTGAGGTACTGTGGGAAGGCTGCTTGGCCCTGGATTCTAAGAGCTGTACTGCAGGGGTGTAGAGAGTTTGAATGTGCTTCCAAGTATCAATTTTGCATTGCAGCGTGTTCCACTGTCGTTGGACTGTGCCCATCTGCGTATCTGTGGTGTGCAGACCCTGCTTCCCAATATCTACTTTCAGACAGCACCTGTTTACAATACATGAACAAATTAGAATGAAATCAATGTATTCCTACGTACTGCTCATTCTCCAAGTCAATCCCTGATGCAATAAATATACTTGAAGACACATCAGCGTGCATAGAGACATCTGTCCCTTGTCGTAGTTCAGCTGCCTCCAGTTGGGCAAGTTTGAGTCAAACTGCAGCTTGCGTGATGGCTTCTAAATCATGTACTCAGTTTTGCGATCAGATTGAAAATTGTGCTACTCACGAATGACCTTTGCTTTGAAGGGGTTGGTGACCGATGAGTCATTCAGATTGTCCTCCCAGTGTTCGATTGCGATTGTCCACAGCCCCGTTGTCTCCAGCCTCAAAGCTCCATTGAGCTCTTCAAATGCGATCCGATGCACCTCACTTTCCTCCTTGGCCTCCTTGATCTTGCGAAGGAGTGTTGAACCTATGATAGATTAGATATGCGGATGTACATTATACTTGCTGAAAAATACTCACCGAGTCCTACAACCTTCTTCCAACTCCAATCACCGAAGTGATTGTCAAGTGTGTCTCTCCGCAAGCCTGGCCCCATTTCTTTCATGCTGGAGGCAACCGGATTAATATTTGACCAGCCCCGTTCAGGGGCTTCACCATCCGTGCATCCGACGTTCTTCGAGAAATTAAACGAGAACATGGTCTGACACTTGAGAATGTGTGCTGGCAAGTGGAATTTGGGCATGAAGAACCTTACAGACTTCATAGCATGGTCAAGATGAAGTTCGGAAGGCATGGCTGACATCCTCTCCCAGAGATTTTTGTGCCATTGGCACGCTATGTTGTATGAAATATTGAGAGTGTCGATACCACGTCCATGGAGAGTTGAAAAGAAGAGAAAATCCATGTTAGTGTATCTATGATAAAACTAGTCAGTGCCAATTGTCTCTCGCAAGCTGTAATACATACCTTTCACCTTTCTGGAGGTCACCAACCCCGTTTGGTAATTTCATGTTATGTCACGCACAGTTGATGGTGCCGACTCCAGTTGCAGCAAGACCCTGAGATACCTTCATGTCTGCCATGTTTACGGCGTTGTGCGACGAACACGTGCTTTTCTAACAAAACAGCTCATCAGATCAATGTATGGTAGACTCGCGTGATCAAAACTTACCTGCTGTAGCGTGCCGCCATGAGATTGTATAAATTTCTTGTATGTGGTTTCCTCAACGAAATATGCCCACCCGTGACTAAGGCCGGGGTCTACACTGTCTTTTGACACCATTCGTCGTTTAAGTCGGAAATTGGCGTCGATGGCTAAAAAAAGACCATATAGCCAGCTAAATGATCATCAGCTACACAGATGAATGTAAATAGAAGCTGGTTGTACTGTATTTCTTTTGGCGCCTCTTCCCAATTGTCAGGAAGGTTTCTACCGGGCTGCGGACATGCTGGGCAAAGTACAGCACATTCACCACTCTTGGTATTCTTCACACTGCTGGGATCATAACCTCGGCCCACTCGCTTGAGCATTTTCAAGTGTTGCCATTCCTGGATAATCCGCAAAAATGCCTCGTAATGATCCTAGTGAGGTGGGTAAGATAAATACTCTACAAGTTAATATAGTAAACACACCTTTCGAGGTTGAAGTCCTGTATTATCGGTCAGACGAGCAAGGGAGTGATAAAACTCGTACCCTGAAGCTTTGGATTTGAACGATAGTAGGTGGTATTGTTCGAGAATTCGGAAAGTAGCTGCACTGCGTGGATCTGTGGATGTTGCTGGAAACCAAGCTGTGCGAAGCAGCTGCTTGGTATGTCTCTCGGCAACCTCGCAGCCGCAGAAATCAAGCCCAATCTCATGGATCCCATTGGTGTCGATGAGAGTAAAATCATCGTTAAATGCCCTTTGAGGCAGCAAGCAGTGTTCGCCTACTGGATGACCCAATTGCATGCGCAACCCTAGTTTCTTCAGTGAGATGGTCACAAAGTAAAGGCCTATCCACTCCTGTAACGAGAGGTCTAAGTAACTGCTGTATCATTCTGTAAGGGGCTCGTACCTGTATCCGATGTGTTGGATGTTTGGCGTGCAATGTAACAACACAGTTGTGGCAGCACAACTCGGTGCCAAAGCAATCCCTACAGCAAAAACGTGGAGCGCCAGAGCCACAATTCCTGCAGACAGTGTTGTGAATATAGTCTTCGTGGCCCTTGTTTTGTAGCAATTCCTGTAGATAAATGTCCTGGTCCTCCATCCATTGTGACAGTGGATTATCCTGATTGATAGAAGGGTGATTTACTTGACATGTAAATACATCAAAAATACGTACACTTGCTGTACGATCCCGTTGGTTCGCATTAGCAGCTCCAGCATCAACTTCAAAGTCAGTGTCCTGTACTTCCAAAGAGTAATCACCATAATCTAAGGCTGGACCTTCTTCCACCCTGGTATCAACTGATAAGGGCTGTGAACTGAGAATTTGCGAACTTCATGTGGTCAATCCTTGAGTGCATGAAATAAATGTGTATGATGGGTGAAGGCTCAGGGCGTCAGGGTTGGGAGGCACATATACATTGAGCTTGACTCGTTTGCAATTTCCATGCAACATGCCACTACACACTATGACCTTAACCCTTCTCTGCTCAATGTGATCGCTTTCGGTCATGTTCCCACAGTTCAGTTCCATGCTAGCATCAGTAGTGGGTCGATGGTCCGCAAGGCTTTACAACCGACTTTCCTTTCCTTGTACGGGGTGAGGTCCCTCACATCAGCATGCCAGGTAGACAAGTTCGCTGCGAGCATAATGCATAAAAAATGCATTACCCGAAATGCATACAAAATGCATTACCTGAAATGCATCACACATTTGTAAGTATGTATCTAATTCACAGCTTTCAACCATAACTGGACATCAAATGCATTAGGTCTCTTGTAGTATGCATTACGCTCTAAGACCCACTTCAAGCAGCTGATCTTGCTCCCTCATTTAAAGGCCAAGAGATGGTCACATACCACATGCCTTGCTTTGTAGCCCCAGCTCCGCAATCACCACCAGTGTCTCTGTGCATGGTTCAGACCCTCTCTGAGTCATCCTTGGTACCTGCACCTCCTGCCATGGGTGCGTGCTTTCTCCATAGTTGATGTTGTGCCTGTCATCACTTTTTCAGGTGTATTTGCGCCACCCGCTGTCACTCAGGAGAATTTAGGTGCGTGCTCTCCTCACAATTGAAGCGCCTTGTTGATGGTCACCACTGTTTTAGTGTGTGCGCCAACTGCCTACAAGGCTGACTTCATTCAGGAGGATGATCTGGGGCATTTGAATTTGATCTCTATATACTTGATGCCAATTTTTGCGCCTTATGCAGATGTGCAATATGTTGACGTCTATGAGGATGAGCCACTATACCCAAAACTTGCCTATACAATGGCGGATGAATGTCTGCTGTACCATCATCGCGGTATGTTGTATAATGTGCCATGCAACAGTATTAAGGGTGGAGTTCAACCCCCATTCTTCACCGTGACCTGTGGGCGCTACATTGGGGTTTTCAGTGGATGGCAAGTTTAATATTTATCAATGTCTCAGCATCAATTATCTGTCTCTTTTCAGGTGTAATGTACAACCCATGGTTGATGGAATCCACTATGCTGTATATGCTGAGGTCAAATCACTCGAGGATGGGGAGAGGGCAGTCAGGAGGGCAATTGAAAGAGGGCAAATAATCTGATTCCCATTGCCACTAGAGCTGTGATTTGTTTTTTTTTTTTTTTAATTCCAATTTCTGTCCATTGGGGTAAAATACCCTATGTCAGACAGTACTAACTAGCCTAAAGGGCCCCTGCCCTATCTACATCTCTGAATTTGCGAATGCCCTGATGTGAGGCCTTGCCCCCATCAGTCCACTGTTCCTGCCGGCCATTTTAGACGCACAATTCAGTCGAAGATGAGTTGACTGCTCTCTCCGTTACGTGTTGTTGTTCATTCTGTCATGGGTTTTTTATGTTCTGAAGCGTGTACTCGGCTGTCCCGGGGGACAGACTTGTACATGAAGCTATGAAAGAAGTGCGTTAGTGATGCAGGTTGGTGGTGTTGATGAGTAGGATGGGTGGCATTGGAGGTGGTAATGTGTCTGTCTTTGGGATGAGGGAGTCTCCGTCTTCTTCTTTTCTGTATCTCTTTTCTCCTCGTGATGTTCATACATTCCTCTTTGAATTTCCTCTGCTGGGTGTCCTAATTCCAATCCCATCTCTCGTCTTATCTTCTTATGGCTTGCTGTGGGCTGAGCCTGCATCTTCATGTGGAGGTGAGTTTAGAATATTGAATATATGAATAAATGTTGATTCGGGTCATGGGTCATGTCATGATAGTCGTGCGGGGTCATCTATTTTGATATTATACTTGTTCTTGTTCTGCTTGGCTAGTGTCATCAGCGGTCAGGTTGAGAGGGGAGATTCACATCACCAAATGTGGGTTTCAGTCTTCCAGTGCTGTTCACGTAGCATAGGAACTGCTTCATGGCCGAGGGGTTTGTTAGTAGGAAGGGGAGGGAGGTGGCTCTTCATCTGAGTGTCTGATGAAGGATGAAGTGTTCATGGTTGTATTGAGGACAGTTGAATAGAAAGTGTTGGATGGTCTCTTCTGTGTTCTGACATATTGGGCAGTTGGGAGTGTCGCTGCGATTGATGTGGAAGAGATGGAGGTTGAGGGCTATGTGTCAGGTGCGAAAGTACATGTAAAGGCTTATTAGGCGTTTCAGGAGGTCTGCTACTAATTTGATGAATGAGCATGATAGAATGTCTGGGTCTAGTTGCTGCATGCGGTCGTATCTTGGAGATTTTTCCCAGAGGTGAGTCCATCTACCTTTGGTATCCTTCTTGAACACTTGCTTGATCACGGATAGACTGTGGGGGAGTTGACCCAATGAGAGGTATCGGGGCATCTGATTGGCTGCACTGTTATTCCTTTTTCCCTCTGCTGCTTTCTTGGCTTCCACATCTGCTAATTTGTTGCCGATCACTTCACTGTGACCCACTATCCATCATACTGTTACTTTGTATCTGTGTCTGCGATTGGCCTTCTGGAGTGCTTTCATCATTTGTCTAAAGTGCTTGACTAAGTAGTGTCCAGCTTTCAGAGTCATACTCTCACTGAATTTCAGGACTGCTTGGTTGTCTGCTAGTATGGAGGCGGGGAATGACAGATGTCATTTGGTAGAGAGGAGATGAGCTGCCAAAGTGAGTCCAACCGCTTTGGCTTCGTACATGGTGTGCTCCTCATTGGTTCCTAGATAGAATCTAAGGATGCGGGGTTCACAGCCTTCTTGCATTAGTACCACAGCTGCTCCAATATTACCGTTGTGACCTGAACCATCACTGAAGATCTGGATTCTGTCAGTGAGTTGAGCTTGCTCCTTGATAGAGTCTTCCTTGGTGTTGGTGATGTGTATTGTGTAAGGTCGTTGGTATGAGGGGTGTTGGATGGTGCCTGTGAGAGTTTCTATTTCTTCTGGATCGATTTTGAAGGAATGTGCTAGTCGATGAAGGGATGTGTGGTGTTGTTGGACATAGCGTGAGGTGGTTCGCTTGACATGTTTGTGGAGAGGGTGGGTTGGAGGGTGGGCGGTGAGTTGGATGATGGTATGATGGCATGTGTTCTGTAGGAGGAGGGTTACAGGAAGGAGGTTGGTGTGGGCCTCAAGCAGGTCTGTTGCAATGGTTTGCATGGCACCTGTGATCGCGATGGCGGATATCCTCTGTACTGTGGACATTTTCCTTGTGATACCTATTGATCCTCTTTGCATTGTGTCTGAGCCTGTGTGGTAGGTCGGGGTGAACCATACATCCACTGCATATAACATCTTCAGGACTGCGACTGCTTGGTAGAGTTGTCTTGTCAGTTTCATGGGCATGCCAGATGCAGTGGAGGAGAGATGGCATAGTTGTAGTGCGTATGCAGAACCTTTGGCAATGGCATAGGCAATGTGGGCTTTCCAACAGAGTTCTTGATCTAATATTACACCTAGAAATTTGTGAGTAGCAGATGGATGGATGGTGTTACCTCTGATGATCATGGGTGGGCATGTCTTGGTTCTGTTCATGGAGAAGTCAATTAATGCGAATTTACTTGTTTTAAACTTAGAATTATGGGCTCATGACCAGTCATAACCACTGTTGACTCTTTCTAGCATGTTCATTAGTGTTCAATGCATTTCATGGAAGGATGAGCCAATGGCTATGAAGGCCGTGTCATCGATGAAGGCTAGGGTGGACTCTTTCTTGCTGCAGTTCTTGGCTACATCTACTAAGTCAGCATTGTATATGATATATAAGATCATTGAGAGGGGATCGCCTTGGCCTATACCATTTGTTATTGGGAACCATTCTGATTTGAAGTCGTCAAATTGAAGGCAAGTTTGGCATCCTGAGAGTACTTGTTGCGTGAAGTCGATCATTGCTTGGGGGATGCGGCAGGTCCTCATGTTGTGTAGTAGTCTATCAGTAACCGCATTGGGGAAGGCTCCTTCGATGTCTAGGAATAATACTGATGCTACCTTCTTCATCCTCCATGCGTTCTTGATGGTTTCCTCCAGTAGGTGGAGGGAGTTGGTAGTTGATCTTCCAGGTCAGCCGCCAAAGTGTGTTGGGGGAAGGAGTTGGTGGTGTTCAAGGTAGTACATCATCTGATCTGCTATAACTGCTGTTAGTAACTTGCATGTTGTGTTGAGTAGGGCGACGGGACAATACACTTTGGTTATGGTATAGTTAGGTTTCCCAGGTTTTTGTAGTATGACTGTTGTGAATTGACACCATGGTTGGTAGTATGTACAGAGGTTAATAGATGTGTTGAAGAGTGGTAGGAGGTATGGGACAAGTAGAGCAGCGCACTGCTTAAATATGACATTGCAGATTCCATCGGGTCCTGGGGCTTTAAAGGGGCTGAGTTTCTTGATATTGTGGTGGATTTCATCGGAGGTTATTGGGACCATTGAGGCAACAGGATCAGGGTATTCGTAGTCCTCAGGAACTGAAGATGTTACAGGGCATTGTGGGAAGAAGGACTTAGCTAGGGTGGTACTTTTTTCAGCATTACTGGTGGCTTCCTGGTTGGAGCCGTCTTCTTGGCGAACTGAGAGAGTGGGGATCCTGGTTTTACTGCCATCAGTCAGTTCAGAGGAGATATATTTGTTGGTGATCCATATATCATTACTGGAGATTTCTTCTAGCCAGTCAGTCCAGTGTTGTTTTTTAGATTTGAAGATTTCTTCGGCATAGTGGTTGCAAAGTCATTTGAATTCCCTGTGGCATGGGTGCAATGGGAGGGCTCTCATCTTGTAGGCAACATGGGTGGCCTTGTTGACTTGGCAGCATAGGAGTGTGAGTTTGTGGGTCCACCAATGCTTTGAGTGAGGGTTTGGCTTGGATATTGGGACTGTTTCAGAGATGACCTCATCAAGTGTAAGGGCCAGGTTTCGTGCTGTGGATTGGAATTTGTCATCAGAGAGGAGGATTGATGGGGCTGGTCTGGTGTCAAGTCAGGCAGTTAAAACCTCTTTGAATTTGTCCCAGTCAGTTTCCCAGAAGTTGCATGTGTGTTCCTGTGTGTTTCTGGGGACTGTTAGTTCAAGAATGCTAAGGATAGGGATGTGATCTGTTTTTGGGCCTTGTAGTGCTGGGTTGGTTCTGCAAGAAATGAATATCTCCATGGAGTGGTCCGTGCATAGTATGTTGTCCGGTCAGGTCCAATTGCCACTGCTTGATGACTGGAGGGTAGGTTGTCCTTTCGGCAGAGGTTGGTTCATTCCGTAGTCCGCGATGAGATCAATAAGGGGTTGTGCGGCATTGTAGTCAATTAGGTGCTCATTTCATTCCTCTTCCCAGAGTGGGTGATGACAGTTGAAATCTCCAAGCCATATCATGTGGTCATTGGCTGATGGGTGCACTGTAGCAATGTTGGCAGAGAGGTAGGTTTCTATGGCTTGGAGGGTCTCTTGTCTTCTGCCGTCGTTGTAGATATTGAATATTGTACATTTGCCAAAAGGACCAGAGAGTTGGATTACTACTACATCTGATTAGGGGAGTGGTAGTTGTTTCCAGTCATTGGTATTAAGTGCGGTGCTAATGAGTATGATGGCTTGGGTTTTTTGTTCTGGATGGGTATAATGTTGCATCGGGTATAGAGTATGCCATTGTCAGTTGGATTTCATGTTTTGCAGGTGGTCTTTGCATGCTTCTTGAAAGGTGAGGATGTCCCAGTTCAGTGCCGTTGGACTGTTGAGAATGGATTCCTGTGTGGCGTGGGAGTTGTTGAGATTCTGCTGCCAGATTCGTAGTCTAACAGGTATAGGGTCCAGTTGCTCAGACATAGGCCATAGATATTGTAGGTGGTTCCATAGTCGGTGGGGGAGAAGGTGTTGGTGTTGGCATTGGGAATCGGAGAGGCATGTATGGCATGGCTGGAGTTGCAGTTGGTGATGCAGAGGAGGAAGTTGAGGGTGTGGAGGGAGGGTCTCTCCTGGTGTTCAGCTCATTCTCATTATTGTTATTGTTCTTGTTGTCATTGTTGTCATTGGTGCTTTCCTCTTGGAGTGGAGTGAATCTGTTGGTGGATGTGCTGGTTGGCGGTGGGGTGTTTCATGCTTGGTGGTTTCTTGTGGTCTGGGTTGTTAGGTGTTGTCCAGTCTTGGGGATGATGGAGGTGAGTGTGGTTTGGCGGAGTCGGGGGGGTGGTGCATTCACATTGCTTGGGGGCATTATCATGCCTGCTTTCTTGTAGGGTGCTGCTCTGGGGGGGAGTAGTGCGTGAGTCCAAGCATTGCTGGTGGGGAAGTAGGGTAGCATGTTTTCTGGGCATTTGGTGCTGAGTTCAGTGTGTCTTCTTTCGAATTCTGGACACAGTCTGCTCCAGCTAGCATGATCATTTTTGTGGCAGCTGACACATCGGATGGTTTTGTAGGCATGGCAGTCAGTCATTCGGTGGTTGTCCATGCATGTCCCACAGATATCCCTTGTGGCATTACAGTTGCGGGTGATGTGGCCAAATTGTTGGCATTTGGTGCATCTAATGGGTTCCTTCTGGTCCTTCTTGACACAGATCAGGTGTTGGTCAATATAAAGTCCTTCCTTGATTAGTTTGTTAGCTGTGTTCACATTGTTTACCTGTAGTAGGGCAAAGGCCATCGTTTGACTAGGTGGCCGTTTGTGCAGGGGCTTAATCCAGCGCATGGAGGCGAGCAAGTTGTCGTCCAGTCGGTTTTTCCCCTCTACTAGATGAAGGAGGCTGGGTTGTTCGATGAGTAGGTTGATTGGTATAAATTGTGCTACAAGGGTGTAAGTTCTGTCTTTAAAGGTTACCGAGAATTCTAGGGCTTGAATGAGTTTCTTCCTGGTGGTGCTATCTTGCAGTCTGAGCACCGTCTCTTCACTATCTAGCTCCATGATGAGTCCCCCATTACAGAGCTGCAGTAGGGCTATGATGTTCTCATTGTGGTCGTTTGGTGTGAGGGCAGTTTTGATAGTGAGGCGGATTTTGTGTATGGCATCGTCGTGGCTGATACCAGGAGGGAACATTGGGTTACCAGGTATAGGGTCTAGTAGGATCTGCCTAGCATGGGTTGCGGATCTGGCCAAGGCTTCATCAACCAGTGGAATCTGGAGTGGTGTGTAGCTGGGTGGGTTTTGGGCTGTTTGGGTGTTGTGGGTGTATACTTGAGTGTTTTGGGGGGAGCCTCGTGAGGTGTACAGATGTGCTTCCATTCCTGGGACATGTGCTGTCACTATGTCGCTGAAACATGTCGTCCTTGGGAGGGTGGGTGGTGGGGGATCTGGTTGGGTTGTGAGTTGTAGGGAGAGTGTGTGGATGTAGTCCTGTATGGTCTCAAGCGAGGGGGAGAGTGCATTGATAGAGTTGTGGCAGTCTTCTATCACACTGTAGATCGTGTCCATGGCATTTGTGATTCAATCCGCTGCAGCATTAATATCCTGGTCTAGGTCTATCTGTTTGTTGATACTCTCTTTCATTTTGATGGCTTCTTCAAGTGAGTGTGTCAGTAGGTTGGATGTTGAGGAGAGTTGTTCTATTTGTGGAGCGATGGCAGATTTGATATGATCTAGGATTTTGGGAGTTAGTTGGGTTATTAAGGCAGGGGTCATTTCGTCCAGTTCCATCTGATTCAAAGGGGTTCTGGGCTTGTTTGTCCTTTGAATCGTGCTTTCTAGTGTTTCAGAGGCTGTTAGTATGTGGGCTACTTGCGGTGCGATTGCTGCAATGACATGGCCCACTAGGTTTGCGGTGATGGATTCTGTTATCTGCTGAGCTGTTTCTTTTGCGATTTGTCAGGCTACTATCTCTGTCATTTCATCTACTGCGTGTTGCTTGAGTAGGAAGATGACCAATCTGATAGCCATGACTACTGGCAAGGGTGTTGTGCTGGATATCTGCGTGATCTGTAAGAGGACCAATATTATGTGATTTAGAGTATAAGGTTCAGTAGTGAGGCAAAGACTCTTTTTTTTGAGGTATAGGTGAGCGCTGGCAGCATCGGTGATGGTGCTGGGTAGCGCTTCGATTTCTGATGGGGTCAAAGTTACATTTGTAGATCTCGTTATTCTTTTTGGCCCTCCTGGCATCATTGGAGAGAGGTTTCAGGAATTAGGCAATTTGGAGCCAAAGCTCATGCTATGCAGTTTTTCCAGTGCCATTTTTCTAGTTTTTGGTATCAAATATAGGGTTTTTGGGGGTACTCAATGGGTTCTAGGTTGATGATGAGTCTTGCTTTGATGCCATTGGGTGTCGTTAGCGCCGTTGGGCACTGTGTGACGAGGAGTTTTTCGGGGTCCCGGTTGGGGTGCCAGTTGGTGTGGGACCAAGAAGCATTTTGCTGTGATTTGTTTCACAGTGGTGAGCTACTTGCTCTCATGGACCCATCACATCTTATGTACCCTATCTAATGTATATAATCTCATGGGTCGTAGACAATGCAGAACATCCCAAGTTGCCCAAGTTGTACTGTTATTACTGCGCTGGGACAAATACCTGGTTAATAAATACCAGGTTAATACAAGTACAAATGAGTGCACTCGCACGAGAAATCAGTCTGCTAGTGCAAATGGAGTGATGATGACACAACTCCATAAAATCATCCCGCATAGACCTGGGGAAATGTTTGATGATATGGCAAACACTGGAGCATATATTAGCAGAAGTAAACTGCACCCATGATACTGATACTCCATGATTCTCAAAAAGCCATCACAGGAGACAGGTGGACACAACTGACACCGTCATCGATGAGTTGGTGGTCAGATGTAACAAGCGAAATGAGTGATATTGAAGAGCAGATTTGAAGATGTGGAGGCAGCCATGATGATGAGCTCACATTCAAGGGTAGGAATACAGGGAGCAATGATACCATGAAGAAATTGGGGATTGTGTGATTTTGAAGCCATTCGAAGACCTTGATCCTCCTGCAGTAGATGCAGCATGGCATGAAAAGTTTGGGGATTGCATGATTTCTCTAGCGAGGGTTCTTGATATTTCTCCCACCACTGGAGATCACTATATGTATGTGTTAGACGCCAACATTGGCCACCGGGGTACAAGCACTCACAAACTACTGTATAAAGTTCAACTGCTGCATCATTAAAGCATCATCCTGCTTGAGGACATCAACAGTTGTGTCATTCAAGTCATTGTCCACATCTAGGCAAAGTCAGCTCATATTTATACAATGCAAGTTTTAACATGCACAAGCAATGATTTCAGCAACACCTGTCAGGGAGGTCCTGGAGATTACCTGCGATCCGAATACAACATGGGGTGAGTACTCAGCATGGTGACCACAGCTTATAGTTCAAAAAGGTCACAGGCAAATCAGAATTATGAAGAGCTTTGACAAGCAGGGAAATGGGTTTGCAGCTCACTTTGGGGTTGATCTTCATTGAGACTCAGAGAGTTGAATGTAGATTGATCGATGTATTCTGGTGTGCATTCATCAAGGGTATTGACAACAAATGTCAAAGGCAGCCACTCACAGAGTCTGAATTGATGGTTCCACAAGAGGTTGGTGAAAATCACCAGTCATGCAGTGTTTCATGTGCTTGTGCAGTGAGCAAAAGAATGTTCCTGTGAGTCAACACCAAAGACGGTGTTATTGATAGGAGGGACTATGAAGTAGGAAGGTCATAATAGGTTTTAGAATACTTATAAATGATGGGACATACCAATCATGCATTGAAGTTCAGTCAGAGTTATATAGATTGAAGTATAGTAGCATGTGTGCACTGTGTCATATAGTTACCATATGCGTACATACAAGTCATAGTGCAAACAACCACATATTCCCTCAATGATCCGTTGTTTTCATCCTACCTCAGTCACAACCTGCCAGTATGTCCTAAAAGTCGGTTTGTTAACACTTCTGCGTATCCTCTACCCTACCCCAACTTTCAGGGTCAATGTACACGCCCATGGCCTCTGTAGTGGTAAAGTGAGTGGTTATGACCCTTGTCCCCATGTTTTCATAGTAGCTTGTCCCATTCCTCATCATGGCTCTTCTAACTTAGTATAATCACTCTGTAGGGTGACCTTTGTTCTTTTGTGACCTCACTAGGTTTGGTGTTTCTACTGGGCACCACTCTGCTGGCATGGTAAGTCTCATGGTTCGCTTTTTTGACCCTATGTGTTTCTAACTTGTTCTCTTCCTCATACACATCCTCCCAACTATCAGTGTTTTTGGGACATGCTATGCACTGTTCTGCACATTTGATCATGCTCCAGTCTCCCATGTAAGTCTCTACTGAGCTGTTTTCAGATCATCTACCACCTGAATCATGTATCCCACCTAACCATTGTATTGTCAGGCGTACTTCCCTGGACATCACATGTGCCCTCCTCTGGTGGGTGACTAGTTATCTTGATTTCAGTCTGACCTCCAGCACTTGCTTGTCCCACATCAAGCCCTGGCTCACCTTCACAAGAAGTATGGCAAGTACTTCCTGTTTGGTCAATATCATCCATTTCAAAGTTATGTCTGCAGGTGATATCACGCATGTCAAGGTTCCGGGCCACCACCGTGACATCACATTTGCAGACTCGATCTAGCAAATGCAAGCAACTCATCTGTTGCTGAGGTGGAAATTTCTGTTCACAGTGTGTATCTACCTCAACAAAGCACTAACCATTTGCTCCCATTTTCACCCACCAGACCCAGGTGATACGAATGATCTTCATCTTCCCCAGCTCACCAGCGAAGGCAGGTCTGTCACTGCAGACGACAAGATGGAGGAACAACCTGACAGCGAAGACGATGATTGAGAACTCGACCCAGTGAATGCAAGGAATTGGACCATTACTTGTCCTGGTTGGGCCCAGGCCCTGGCTTTGGGCCGGGTTGGATTCATGGCCTAGGCTTGAATTATTGGTGAGCCTACTTAGAGCCGTGTTCAAACCTCAATTAATATTGATTATTAGGAAGTCTGCTAATGACTTAGCCTCTTCACCATGGTTGCATGCTGATGGCTGAAATAGATCTTCATTGCGCAAACTCAGCCCATAGGTTCCCATAGGGTGATTGAAGTCAGGAAGAGTTGAGCTAAGACACGTTGCATGGGTTGGGATGCGCCCCTCAAACATGTTTGTTTATAGGTGCGAAATCGAGAAAGAATTATACGTTGCTCAAGAGTACAACACATGTAATTGGTATGAACCTTAGGATGCTACCGAGTTGTGTCAGCGGCATCCAGATCGTGTGCAGCCATATTCACACCCGCATCTGACAGTCTGGATGGGGCTTATTATAATATATAAAGGGGACAGCAAGTTTATTTTCTTTATTTTCCTATCGATTCACTCCCACTCAGTATACCATGGCTCATCGTGGTCCAAAGTCATGGATGACCATAGAGGAGGAAGTATTCCTCAGAGAACAACTACCTGAATATAACAGATGTTGGCATCAGAAACTGTATGGGAAATTTTGGATTGACACCTTCCATCAATTTTTCAAAATATGGCCCAAGTCTACACGTCTACACCAAAACATCGACCCTGCAGAAGGAGACCTTACCCCTGATCAAAAGCAGATTGTTGGTCTGGCCATCATCAAACACAAGGAGGTGAGTCACATCAGGATGTGCATTAATGAATACTTAGTAACAACATAATAATAATATAGGTCATTAAGTGTTGGTTTAGATGGCAGACAAGTACAGTGCATCTCGCACATTCAGGAAACTCCCATAGTGTACTCAACCTCGATGACACATTTGGTGGGGGGGTGGTCTCGGAGGGTGTTGGGCCCCACAGGAAGTTGAAGTGTATTCACAATACCACTACAATACACACGTGAAGGCCACCACTGACACTGCAATTGAGGCAGGGGGGATTTCTTCATGTTGTGAGAAGCTGTCAAAATGGAAGGAGGTCACTCACATCATGTATGCAACAGAGGATGATGCCATATGCACTGAAGTTAAGCAAAAGCACACAGAGATGCTCACAAAGTGGAAAAATGATCGAGAGCTGTTCAAATCAGGGTTCATCATGGAAGTTGATAATGATGCGAAAATACAGTATGTACCGCGGCCCACCTCATGACTTGTTTTTTTTCATTCTAATTGAAGCCACAGGGCTTTCGATGAACTGGGGTCGCATCTGGATCATGTCTTTTGTCATCTGTCCCACAAGATGGGGGGACTAAAATTCACTTGCATTGCTGGTGGACGCAACCCTAGCACAGGAGAAGTTGTGGTAGTCGAGTGAGTCTCATAATTCTCACGATCATGAACTGTAATAATGATGAGTACAGTTTTCACTTGGGAGAAACAGACACAGGCGCAGAATTCTCATCCTGTTATTCTGGGTTCTTGGACGTCCAGGTTGCCTATGCAGACTTCATGAAGGAAGCTGTTGGTATGTATTTGCATAAGCCTCACTGACAAGAGTATTACTCACTGTCTGCTAGCTCATGACGACAAGATGTGGTTGTTGGTAAACGAAGAAGGATTAACACGGGCCCTAACTGTCAGCAAGGATGTAGACGAGCAGACCTTTGAAGATGAAGACATGAATATTGGTGATGAGCAGACCTATGAAGACAAAGACAGGAACATTGGTAATGATTATATACCCCAGGAGGTCAGTACACTGTTCGTGAAATGCATTAAGTGTATTTGCTAACGGATGAGATCTCTCCATTTGTAATGCATTTAGCTGCTCCCATTCATTCGGGACTTTCCAGCAGGGCTGCAAGGTGTACCTCATGTTGACCTGGATACAGGTACTCCAGCAACTGCTGGAGAATGGTCTGACATCAACCAACTTCACACCAAAGGTCATGCGCTCCTTTTGGAGGAGTTAGACGCCTCCCTTGTTCAGATGGACGAAATTACAAACACCCTGTCAGTCCTGAATGTCACTGATTATGGTGGTGATGCCTACTTCTCTCCTCCATTTGATATACCAAATGAATACCCTGCTGCTGTGTCTGCTCCTGGCAATTTTTGGCCTGTACAAGGCCTTGACCTCTATGATCTTGATTATTTGTTGTGAGATCTAGACTTCTCATGCAACAACAAAGCACTCCCAGAGGCTACCGTTCTGCCTATATTCCCATCTCCTGCAGTCCACGATAAACTGCCTCATCTACCAGCATTCCATGATGAACCACCTTGTCTACCAGCAGAAATGCAATCAGCTACCCCATTGCTGCAACCACCTATGCTACTGCCATCACTTCCACACGGAACAGCTGGTGGCGCTACCACTGGAACTGCAACTGACACATCTGCTGATCTCGATCCTTTAACTGCCAAGCAGCCAAAAGGACCCCGCCACACATCATGCCAACACATCCCATCAAAACATGAACAGGCACTCAACATCATCAGGTCATCAAACGCACGTATCCATGCTGCGGTGGGAGGTACAGAGGGTAAAGAAAATGATGAATCCACTTTCTTGCCTATGAAGTGCAAGGTCAAGCCCACCAATCAACAAGCCAGCAAGTAAGTTCAAAACTCACCAGTTGTCAAGTTAAGGCTCACAGCTCATAGAAAACAGAAGCACGGTTAGCACCAATTTTGTCAGGTTTATCTGCTTGTATATTTCTGTAGTGGTGAGGTTTTATTTTCAGACATGGTGACTCACTTTGTATCTCATCCAATACTCACCCTCACTTGTCACTACAGTTATATACCACCCTAGTCTGTCTTTACATCATTCAAATGCCTATATCTGCTGAAGACTCACTTGTGATTGTTTAGATTGTAAATCAAAATATGGGTGATTGTCTATGTGGGTGAGATTTAGGCCCACAAAACAATGCTGACCGTTATGCCAATACCGGAATTGTTTTGTGAGCTTTTGACTTGGGGGAGGGGCTCGGATGCATCATTCTGCGACAGCTGAGACACGTCAATTGTGAGGTAGATGGGGGTAAGGGAGACAAGGACACTACACTACCCAAATCCACTAAGACATTTAAATAGGGACGTGGTGGGAGCATAAGAACTATATCAAGTGTGCGTGTCAGAAGGTGAGAAGGCATGACACAGCACACGGCACAATCCCCGGGTTCACTCGATTACTATTAAGCAGTTGTCAGAATTCATAGCATATACAACAACAGCACCAAAGGAAGTGTCATAGAAAGTTCTGTCATGATATAAGCACATGGAAATGAGAAGTGTGAATGAGGGGAAATGTTGCGAGAGTAGTAAGTGGAAACGGAAAGTGTCTATGGGGAAAATTGGTGTTGACATGATAATGCATGTTGTTGGGTTTGAAATTTGAAAGTGGAGGTGAAAGGTAGTATATTCTGCTTGGTGTGGATCAGGGTGTTGATCTAGTACATCATCTGGCCTGTTCTGTACAGCAGAAAGGTGGGCATGCACGGTGTCAGTTAAGTAAATGGTGAATAAGATAAGTTACTCACTACAGTTGTTGCGTGCATTGTTCAAGCTGGTACTGATTCAAGTCGCAGTAAGTAAGTACCAATGTCAGTGATGACTTGTGTCATGTCCCCAGCTTTTGGAAGGTATTAATGAAGGCAACAAGGAGAAGCCAGTGAGCAACAACATACTGTACATCCTGTTCCACGTGGATAGCTGAGGGGACCTAACTTTTTCAAGTGCAGGCATGTACAAAGGCATGAAGACATGGTGGGGAAGGCATCATTGAGTAGCCTGGAAGCTGGCTATATAGTATTTGGCAGTGGAGCAGGTGCCACCTGTTCAAGACTGCCGGCAGTGCACAGCAAAATGCATTACATAGTCTATCATTGGCAATGCAATATAAATGTCTTGTAACTATCATATAATAATGCATTATAATGACATGGTAGCCCGGATGTTGAGTTCAGGTACTGGATGGAAGTAGATGATCAATATGACAGCCACAACAATGACAACAACAACAATTGGGAAGGTGGCAATTATGATTATGAAAGGGAAGGTGACATGCACATCAGCTCAGATGATGAAGACAACACTTATCAGGTATACCTGCCCCAAGAAGGTGCTGTTGAGGAGGAAAATGGTGATGAAAATAATGAACATTCTGATGAGGAGCGAGATCTTGATGAGGGTGCGGACATTGTCAATGACCCTACATTTAATGCAGGCAATGGTTTTGATGACAACAAGGATTGCCTACAACAAGATGACAAAGAAGACCTATTGTTTGATGAAGCACCTGCTTTTAGCGAGCACTCCACTATCAGGAATGCATATGTGCATGCATACATTGCATCTGCATTCAAAGGTGCCTCACATGATGTTTCATGCATCATTCTTGATGGGGTTGTGCATGCATTGTGGTATGCTCGTGATCACACACGGGATATTGAGTATGAAGGTCTGGATGACATGGCGAGAACTTTGCCTACAGCTGAGAGGTGTCTGGGGGTCAATCTCGACTCTATTATTACTTACCTCTTCATATGTCCAACATGCTGGCAGGTCCATGATCCACTCATGCTGTATGACAAAGATCTTTGGGAACAGTGCTGTGAAGAAGATTGTGAAGGTATTCTCTACACAACAAAGGTTCTGCCATATGTCACACCTCGTCGGGCAATACAACATTGGCTCCTCCACCCAGGAAAATATCAAGAGTTACAGCAATGGAGATGAGATGGAGATGAGCCACACCAAGTACCAGCTACCGATGTGGGGGGTGACAATGCTTTTGCAGATCCTTCTAATCCAATGCATGATATGCATGATGCCTGGGGTTGGTGTGCAATCTGAGCTGGTTTGCAATGTGTATATTATGACAATGGACAACTTTGTGTTGTAGACAATGGTGTTCATAACCTCCAACAACACTTTGTCTCACTGCCTTGCAGACTCATATGGCAAATCAATCTTGACTGGTACATAATCCACCCACTGCCAGACATCAAAGGCTCTCATCAGTATCTGTATGTCAGGTTCCAGGCTGTCAAATGAGGCAATCACTCCATGGGGACACTCTACATGACCTGCTGCAATAATCCTCATGGCGTTCGCTACCTTACTGAAGAGACATTTCTAATCATGGTCCTCCCTGGACCAAATGAACCAAACCTAGAGCAGCTCAACAAGATTATGGTGAAGTTTGTGTCTGATATGATTGAACTTTATGGTGGTGCATATTTATATGTTTCAATATAAATCTACTGACTACTGGGACAGGACAAGAGTTTCAAATATATGGACATGAGGATAAGCGCCCTGTTCATTCAGTTCTCAACAGCGAGGTCTCCAATCTTCCAGCAAGTTGCAAAATTGAAGGACTTGCCTCTTTCTCATCAAAGTTATTTATGTGTCCACAATGCAACACACCTTCATATTATCTTGCAGATCCATGTGGTTTCAATCCAACAGGTAAGTCAGGATTAATAGGGCATTATTGGGTCATCTCTAATGTGTCCGCAGACTTCAGACTACGTGATGCTTGGCACAACGTCAAATATGCCTTTCGTTCACATTATCTTGATGACGATGATCAAAAGGAGATCTTTGAGCATTGTGGAGTGCACTGGTTAGTGTTTAACCTCATCCCAGGTTGGTTGACAGCCATCAACTCAGTTGTGGAGTTCATGCACTGTGTGTATCTCTGTGAGTAATCTCTGCCGTTGTATGAATAAGTATTGATGAACCATTGCAGGTATGGTTAGGCATGTGACAAAGGTCATAATCCTTCAGTCCGGGATGCTCAATCCCGTTCCTTGAGAAGACTGGTACCCTCTGGAACGACTGGATGAATTCTTCTCTCAGATCATATGGCCAGTATCAGTTGGTCGCTTACCCCCATCCGTACATCTGCTGTCACACCTATCATGATTCATCTGATCAATACTTTACATTTACAGGTCACTTCTTCCTTGTCAAAGGCAGACCAATGGCAACTCCATATTAGTGTGTTGTTTGTCGGGCTTTTCATTGCATGGGAAATTGACAGCATTATCCCCAATGTCAACGCACCAAAATTGAGAGCCAACACCAAACATGCAGCCACACATGTGAAGAATGAGAAGGTCATGTGTCAGCATCATCTTGAAATACTGCTCTCTGAAACAGCAGCACAACCCACTGATGAGCAGCTTGATGAGAATGATGCCCTCACAATGGATTGTTCAATCAGACATCATTATACAACCATTCTCGAGTTCTCAGCTGCTATCTGGATCTTGTCATCATGTTCAATCAGCCCAGATGAGGTCAAATGGGGCTGTGCGGCACTATCTAGAGCATGCCAGAATTGGGCGCATATGGGGTGTCACCTGACCCCTTATTTTCATCTCGCCCAACATCTTCAGTGTCAGTTTCTCCAGTTCGGGCCTTGCTATGCTACATGGGTGTTTCCATATGAATGAAACAATGGCTTTCTCGGTAGGACTAACCATAATAATCACAAGGGCAGTGAACTTGAATGTATAATGATGTGCAAATGGTGGAAATGGGTTCTAGTCCATGATCTAGTATATCCTCAGGCTCTTTGTCTCTTTGTGCTAGGAGTCTGACTAATTTCTGTTACAGTTGAACACTTTTCAAAGACTTCCGGAGCCTGACAAAAATGACCACGACTCAATCGAACTTCTTGAATCATTGTCTTAATAACCAAGGGTCTTATATAAATGTGTGTAAAATGTAATGACATCACAATTACACTAGGATAAGACTTCTTGCCAGTCCTCGATTAACACGGTCTACGACTTTTCTTCTTTCATGGTAGATAACGTGTGAATTCTTGGGAGGCTCGCTAAACCAATCTATGTGATTAACTTAGCCAGAGCTTTTGTGTTATATCCCAACTTATAAACTTGTCTAGGATAAACTGTCTAGACACTGGAATGTGGTTCCTTGTTAAGATAATCCTCTGTAGAGACTACAGTCTCAAATATGAATACATTGACCAAAGACTGGTTGGTCAAATAGGCACAAAGTGGTGAGAAACTGGTCTCACAAATGAACAGATTGACCAAAGCTTGTGTTGGTCAATATCAGATAACTAGGTGAGAAGCAGGTCTCACAAATGAACAGATTGACCAAAGCTCATGTTGGTCAATATCAGAAACTAGGTGAGAAGCTGGTCTCAAATAAACTAAGTTTCTATCATAAGAAACTTATGTAATCTCAAGGGAATGTCTTTTCCCTGCACTTGGTACTTCAAAGGGGCTTTCTTTGTAAGCAACAATCTTCACAGTGAGTAGCTCAAACTGAGATTCAAATGATTGCAAGTGGGAGATCCTATTTTTTTGGGGGGAGAATGGGCCCTCCTTATATACATATTGTGTGGGAATATTATGTAAGTAAAAAAGCGGAGCAATGACATCAGAAGTGGAGCAGAACATTCCAGAATATTCCATAGGTGGAGTAATGACATCAGAGGTGAGTCATTGTGGAGCAGAACATTCTAACAAGTGGAGCAGAACATTCCAGAACAAATGACATCATAACTTTCAACAGAATACTTGCAGGAGTATCTGTGGAGCCATATGACATCATTATGACATCATACCCTGTAGGTACAATTTTGTGAAGTATCTGATGGGTCAGAGCATCCCAATAGAAAAATAAATCAAGGAAATACTAGAGAAAACAACTCAGAAATAATAATACAATAATAAGACACAAAACACAGGCTTGTTAGATAGGTTTTTGTTAGGCTTTGAACTTTTCTCTATGGTTTTCTCTAGCCAAAGTGAATAAGCCAAAGGCAAGGCAATACCTTAACCTTCTTGCTTCACAATATCAACTAGGTCATTATGTGATTCCCATCTCACAAATGACTTTTCTTCAAGATATAATAAATTCATGAATCACAGAGGGGAAACTGAACTATATGACCAAGGTTTGAAACCAAGGTATGGGTTGACTAGCCTGATGCCTAAGCTCACAGACTTTGTCTTTTAGGGGGGCTACCTAGTAGTCATGTCCATGCATGATTCCCAAATCATGCAGGACATCATGTTTGAAAGGTGGAACTTGCCCACATCGCAGAACATTGCAAGAGTATTTAGCATCTTTTGGAGAGGAAGGGAATGCATGTAAGTCATGTATTTTTTTGTACATCGTGCAGTTCAACTGACAAAGGCAGGACATGTAACATATCCCCAACATTCCAAGGATGTCAAGCTTCAGACACTCGACCCCATGCTATATGGTCTTGTCCTGCAGTTCCTGCAGGACGAGTGGGGTGAGTTGGGCTTTGTAATTCATGCTGATGTTGTTCTCGCAGATCATGGTACCTGCTTTATGGGCCATGTGAAATCTTACTCGCATGTGTTTGTTGAAGCCCTCCACTACAGAGTGGCAACACAAACTAGGGGGAAATCTGCTCACTATGCCTACTTCAATGGTCGAGTTGCTGTCGAAATTCAATGGATCTTCAAAATTGACATAGAGTATGAAGATCAGGGTGAAATTTCCAAGACGGTTGCTGTTGTTCATCCCTTTGTTACAGATGATAACATGCCAGCATTCCCATGGGATTTACAGTCTGTCTTGTACCTCTCAACACTAATTTTGTGTCTTACTGCATGTTGCTAGGGCAATTGATCTTGGCATGCAGGTCTGGTACAGAGATGCCCTTGGTGACATGGAGGTCGTTGAGATTGAACTTGTGTTGGGACAACTCATACTCATCCCCATCACCGTTTCTGGTGTTGAATATTGGGTGACAGTAGCCCACAATCATGTATGTCTGGTGTGATTTTGATTTCTGCTACTCACAACATCTCAGGATGGGACAGAAGTGGACATGGACGTCAATCTTGAGCTTGACGACGTTGAATAGTACAGCAGCAGGAATAGAAATACATGGTCTGATGTTCAATTCTGCAGGCTAATATTACAGGATTTTGAGTCCATACCATTCTCCCATGCAAAGCAGACTCGAACACTGGCACTTAATCTTTGTGCATTTCTGTATTGACATGGTTCGAATCAGAATTGGATCTTTGAAGGAGATAAAACTTTACCCTCAAACCCAGTATCTATAGTATCATTGTGGTGAGTTCATGGTCTGCCGCTGTGACAACGAGGCGAGAGCTGACTGTTTGTTCCTTCAGGTGGGTGACCTGTTCTTCCACATCTTCTTCATCTCCCCCTTCATACAATGTATCTTCATCTCTGCAAATCTCAGGGTCACAAGACTGCACTGGAATGTCATCATCAATTTGGGAGGGTACGTCCATTTTTGGATTCTCAGCAAGCCAGTTAGCATCAACAAATTGCTGTGGGATCTTGTGTTTCTTGTTTGCTAGCTTTGGAAGATCTTTGTTGTGTTTTTTGCCCACAGTGATTGGAACGACTAAGTTTCTCCCCCCTCAATCTGCTCTTCTCTTACTAACAGCATCATTTAGCAGGACAACCTTCTCATTAACCTTGGGACATGCATCAGATCAGTTATGACCATGCATGGTTTGTTTCACCTGTTCATCTCGATAAAGTGGAGGTCAAGAAGTCCACACTGTGTCCATGTTCTTTGACTTGAAGAAATTCTTTGTTGCTGGTCCTTGACCTACCTCACTGTCTGATGCAAATTTGACCATAGGTTTACTGCTGTTAGTCCCACCACCATCGGATTCATCAGTCGATTAATAGCCAACTTGGAAGAACCAGTCCCACTCAGGTCCATGCATTTCTGTCTCTTTTCAGATGTCAATTGCTGATCTCTCGATGTTTTTCTAGTGCACAATGTTGTTAAAAAGGCATGTAGAGTATGGTATCATGTGAATATACTCACACAATTCTTCTGAGCAGTCTGCCATTGCTTACAGTTCCTCACCTCCTGTGCATCTTGCCCCTTGCTCCCTTTCTTGATGGATTCCCTGGTGTTCTCAAAGACCTCCTTCAGTTGCTTGATGATGTTGGTATCAGTTTTTTGCTTGAGATGCTCGACAGGAAGCTGAGTAAAGACTTTGCAGGCTTTTTGTTGGACATAGCGGACTATATCCTCACACCATTCTGCATTCTCTGACCATGATCCAGCAAAGTTTGGTTGTAGAAGGTTGGTGTCATGTGTTGGGCACTTGAACCAGAATGAACCACCATCAAGGACACCCAACAACATTGCTTGTTTGGAATCAGAAATACCCATTGCATGTAAGAATGTGTGCCAGATCACATTCTGGGAAACAGTAAGTGCATATATTGATGAAATGTTGCATGCTCACATTAAACACATTGTCATGCATCACTTTGGTTGCTTTGTTGACAGACTTGACTGTTGGCAGCACAGTTCCTGAAGACCTAAGTTCGTTGATCAACACAAGTAGTTCCTCCAGGGATGTGCTCTGTGCATCGATGGTTGTTTGAAGCTTGTGTATCACAGTGTGGTGATCTTCAACAGTCACTCGTAGTGTATGGTTCTCCTGGGTGAGTTCTTCAATTTGTGACTTGAATTCAACTGAGTCTCTACTCTGCAGTGCCAAGCAATCAAATTTATCAGCAAGCTGCGCAACAATCATATCGAGGTTTGCTAGTTTGTCCACAAATGCAGTGCTAGGAACTCGTGAGGTGGATAGCGATGTTACAGCTGAGCGTTGCAAAGGGGCAGTGCCAGTTGAGAAGCCTGGGCAACAGTCAGAAGGCAGGTCAGGTGTTTGGAACTGATTGAAGGGCACTGACAAGTCCCTCCCAGCAGGTGGAACTGGTTTTGGAGGTACAGCTCCTAGGTGACGTGCAGTAGGTTGAAACACAGTGCTTGCTACTGGAGTTACTGAACAGGCTCGATTCACAGCCACTACATTGGGGGTGGGCCCTCGCATTGTTGAAACAGGTTGAGAATGGGCTGAAACAGGTACATGTGAAGCCGACACACTCCCATTCATGGCCATCATGGAGTCCATAGTATCCCAGAGCCTTGGATCAATGGCTGCATCACTGTCATCTGCCGCTGCTTGCTCGATCTCGCCCATTCCTTCACTTGAACCCTGACACACCCACTGCTGGATCCTTCAGGTTAACTCTTCAGATTCAGCAACACTCATTCCTCGGTCAAATGGTTCTGCTGCAGGTTTCTGATGATGCAAGGAGAATGGATTGAGAAAAGATGATGGTGTCCTCCCTCTGCCCTCTCCCACAGGTCATGCTCATTTCGAGGCAGATATGTTTGCTGTTGTTTCCAGTGCTCTCTTCTTTGCTGATGGACCTGGTTTAGCAGTGCCTAAGGGCTTCAAGCCTAAGGGTGCACCAGAGGATGATTTGTTGGGTATGTTCTGGTGTGGCCCTGCCATCCTTGCGACTCCAAAAGGCCACTGGAGGTTGAACATTGATATTGATGCGGTAGAAGCTGGTGGAAGGTCAGAATTGATGTAATTGGCAGTACCTAGCTGGTGGATCTGTACTATTGCTTCGAATGCCAAATATAAATGGTATTGAATATTTCAGGAAAATCAGAGACTTTATTTGGAGGATATGTCTTGTAAGGGCCTGGACAGCTGCCGTTTGTTTCTCAGTTTGTTTCTCAGTTAGTTTCATTTACCACAATATATACAAACAGCAGTGACATAGGGTTTAGTCACACATACTAAGGACTCAATGCCGCCTCCACTGGCAGCAAGAGAGCAAATTCACCGGTTCTATGTCCTCCGAATGGCAGCAGCAATGGTTATCCAGCTCATAATAGGTGCTATAATTGTTTACATGACCCCATTTCTCAATAAAGAGCCTTACCATACCTCGATCCTCTCTGGGCATGCATGGGTGCAAGAGCTTGTCAACGGACATCCCAACCAGATCAAAAATGAGCTTGGGATGAGAAAGGTCGTATTTCATGCACTTGTACAGGAACTTCAGGCTTGTGGACTTTGTGATTCAAAGTATATTTCACTTGATGAACAGATTGCTATATTTCTCTACACCTGTGTGACTGGGTTATCAAGCCGTCATGTTGCAGAACGCTTCCAGCACTCTCACACAACAATACAAAAGTATGTTCACCTTGCAAAGATATTTGTACTACCAATAGCCTCACACAGGCCTTATCAGATATTTCAAGAAAGTCCTACTTGCCATATCTTTGGCTCCATTCTACAACAAATTTGTATCCCTTCCACATGACAATGCACCCATACCAAAGGAAATATTGGAAAATTCTAAATTCTTCCCATACTTTTCAGGTGCACTCGGGGCAATTGATGGTACCCACATTGCATGCTGCCCATCTGCAGCAGAACGGCAACTATCACAAAACCGCAAAGGTGGTGTCAGCCAAAATTGTCTCGCTTGCTGTTCCTTCGATCTCCAGTTCCAGTATGTCCTCAGTGGTTGGGACGGATCAACATCAGACTCGACACTCTACAATAATGCCCAGCTCACAGACCTATATATTCCAGAAGGGAGATATTATCTCGCAGATGCTGGGTTTGGGATATGCAACTCACTCCTTGTCCCGTACCGAGGTGTTCGGTACCATCTGGCTGAATGGGGGTGAGCTGCAGTTCGGTGAGTGATATACGACTCACTGTAGTGTCTTCTCAACGCTGTGACAGGCCAAAAACATCAAAAGAAATTTATAATCTCCAGCATGCTCAAGCTCGTAATGCTATTGAGAGAATATTCGGGGTGCTCAAGAGGCGGTTCATGATACTGGTACACCCACCAGAGTATAGTATGTCAATGCAAGCTCACATCCCCCCAGCCCTATGTGCGATCCATAATTTTATTCGCATTCACGATCCAACAGAAATAGAAGAATTTGCCGATGAAGACATTGTTGACTGCGATCCAGGCGAGTCTAGAGGCGACCTTGCAGAGGGACCAGCTGACCATGAAGAGAGGCAGCGGGCGACTGAAGACAGAGATCATATCGTGGTCGCCATGTGGGAGGACTACCATAGGATTTGTTGCGCTCATCAGAATACGTGAATAGAGACCTACAATACTAGTATTTGAATCTACAGAACCTGCTGGTTAATATGTTTGATTTTTCTATCAACAAAAGACTTCCTTGGACCGTCATCTGTCATGACCATATATGCATCAGCAGCGCTGATGTCCATCTGAAATGCTTCAATGAGCGCTGCCATACTATCATCATCAAGATGCTTTTCTAGCTCCTGTGCACGTCGCATGGCCACCTGTTTGCGCTGAGGTGACAGTATAATAGATGGGCTTGAAGTGTGTGATTGCGACGAGGCTCGGAAGATGTCGCTGAATGCTGAAAATTGGTCATTGATTGTGTAGAGTGCCCCTGCTGATCCGCTAAACTGATGGCGTTTCGATGGTGGACCAGAGCCTGTAGTACCAGATCCAGAGGCAGTGAGGGAGGGTGTTGAAGACCAGGTAGATACGAACTTGCGCTTGACCGTGGTTCTGACAGGAGTCACCTCCCAAGGAATAATATCGACTTCATTGTCGTCCTCAGCCACTACCTCTCTCTCAGCAACCGTTTTCCCTTTGTCACTGACCATTCCTGCTACTCGCTCCTGGTCCTTGACATACTCATCAACTAACCGCTCTACCTCATCTCATCTTCCACAACAGGTTGAGTATCATTTCCGTTGGCCTGGTCATTGTCAGGGGGTGCTTGTTCAGACTTGAACGTCTCATGTCCAGCATGGAAGGCGTTGGTACCGCGAGGGCATTGTGTGCACATGAGTTCGTCCATCTCGTGGAAGTGTTCCCAGCCCTTGTTGCGAAATGGTTTGGTATCAGGACGTGTCTGCAAACTCATAATCATATCAGTACCCCTCTCATATCATAACTGAAGCGCACCTTTGCAAATGCCATCCAACGAGCGGCGTCAGCAGGACCAATATTCGCACCGAGTTCATCATCCCATGAAAAGCCTGATTGAGATTTGATATCGATAATAGCGGCATATTTTTTTTTGCACTGTGCAAATTACAATCAGAATATAATCTAGCATGAGCAGAGAACGTACATTTAACCACTTGTTCTTGCATGATTGCCAGTCCCTGCCAGATCCCCCTACATGGTTTTCCTTCGAAACGCCATCTGGCGGCTCCTGCAAATGAGTTGATGCGCCAGTAAAAGTAGACTGTTTGAATCCTGTCCCATCTCCACCTTCAGCACGGTGAGCTATGAGGTATTTGAGAAGGCGGGATGTCTCTTCGACAGTCCAGCGAGCAACTGCTAAAGTCCCGGCATTGTTTGCTGAAGGTACAGTAGTCTTTTTCTTTGCCATAGCAGCAGTAAAGGGAGGTATGAGTGGGCATTTGAGACCGTCACACAAAGGTCACTGTTGGTCACTGTTATGTCACAAGTGCCACGCCACATACAGAAACAAACTGAGAAACAAACTGAGAAACAAACGGCAGCTGTCCAGGCCCTAAACTGGGACTAAACGTAAGATAATCGTGTTGTTATTATCATATGTTTATCTTATGGTTATCTGCTGATAATTTGGAATTTCCCCTACATATTCCTCTCCCTTTATTCCGCTTCAAAGTGCGGTGCTCCAGTGATTGACGATCAGGGCTAAGTTTATAAGTAGTGCTAATTCGTAGCGAGCACTGTCAATGGATTAACAAGACTGCCTTCTCCTGCTGCCACCGCGCCTGCACACAACCCAGGTATTAAGTGTATTCCATCGGATCATGGTCGTTTAGCGGTGTGTTTATGATGACTGATGGAGTCCCATTTCCTGTCCGTTTTACACACGAGACTCTGTTGCTAAGATTCAACATACAGATACTGTATTTGGGGCTGGACGACGTCCGGCGTGCTTATTATACACAGACAGTGTTAGCTGCGGCCGCCAGAGTTAAAAGCCATGGCTACGGGCCGGAAATTCTCCTTGTTGCGGTTCAGCTGCCTTTTGAGCTTACATCAGGCCTCCCCTACGTACTATTAACCAGTCCACGTGCAGCTACGTGGTTGTCGCAGAGCACCAAAGCATTTACGGGTAGCCCTGCCCATTGGTTGCCTATGTGTGTATGTGGGTTTGACGTACTGAGAAGTCAGAGTAACCCTCCTCAAATTACAGGTTTGTAGCTAATTCTTCCATCTACAAAGTAACGTCAACACCGAAATGCATCAAGACGGTGCATCAACTTACATTTTCACAGTCCGATCGCGGCCTCCGCTGACAACTTTGTCAGCAACGAAATCCACGCAGTAGACCTCGTCTGTATGACCAGGAAGGTCCGACTTAATTTTGTACGTTTTGAGGTCCCAAATCTGATGCAACAGCACATCCATCAAACGAATGCCTCGCTCTCGTGCACGTCAAACTTACTTTGACAGTTGCGTCCTTGCTGGCGCTTACTAGCATTCGCGAATCTGCACTCCACGCAAGTCTGTAAACGGGGCCAACATGACCGCGCAGTGTAGCTACAAACTTGCCCAGCTGCCCAGCACCTGCGAGGTGACGGAAAATTTTGAACCAAGTTGTCATCAGACATACAGCAACCATCTAACGTACCTGAGCAATCCCATAGTCGCACTGCACTATCCCACCCAGCACTAGCTGCCCACCGACCATCGGGGGAGAAAGCGACGTGAGATACTTGCCGTTGGTGACCGGTTAAACGGGTCAAGGGCTTAGTCTTACCCCCTCCCGGCTCCGCGTTCGACGATGCGAATAAAGACCAAAGGAAGAGTGTGTGATCGTCTGAACCTGAGATCAGTAGTTCTGGCGTTCGTGATACCAGTGCGGTGTATCTTTTGAGAGCAAGTGCTTGAGCTGATATTTGATATTAACTGAGAATCTAACGGAAGATAACTCGCGCAGTTGAGGATTTACCTTCCTCGTCCGATGATGGACGCTTCCCGGTGTGATCGAATGGTCCAGTACGAAGTACGAAATCCGTATTGAGAGCAAGAGTGGTGACCCAATGTGCATGGTTTTTCAGAATATGAAGTTGTTTTCCCTGGAAAAACAGCATTAAATTATTGCGCGGTGGAGATGAAAGGATATACCTACCCCTCGTGCGTCCCATACTCTGACTGTACGGTCACTACTAGCTGTGTAGAGTACTCCATGACCATTTAAACCACCGCCTCCCCACTTGATAACGTTTACGCTGGCAGTGTGACCCCCAAGTGCGTATTCTAGTTTTCGTGTGGCTGTCGACCATACTCGGACAGTTCCGTCCTTAGACGAGGATGCCAACCGTGGGGTAGATAGATTTCTGGTAGGCCAGAAGTAAATCACTTTGAGAGATACCATAGACAATAACGCACAAGTGGAGGGGCTCCCATGCCAAGGACGTCACCCATTTTGAATGACCTTTCATTGCATCGCCCATCGGTTTTCCAGTCTTAGGATCCCATAGCCTTACATGGCCATCGTGTCCACCACTTGCCAATTTGCGTTCTAGTGGATCCCACTCCACGCACAGTACCCACCCAGTATGGCCGGTCAACATGTGCGACGGTGTTTCAGTATAAAGATCCCATAGGCGCACATGCGTGTCACCCGAACCAGTTGCAAGTAAATTGCCGGTAGGGGAGAATGAAGCGCATAATATCGGTGAGGAATGTCCTGATTCCGCAATTACATTAACAATTATTGATGCGACGCAGTGAGCAATTAACAGACCTGAAAGTGTGGCAGAACATCTAGTAGCTGGGCGAACTTTGAATACAGACTGTGGAGCGCAGCTTACTACCAGGACGTCTTCTTCTGAGAATGCATGTGATGCATGTGCTAGAACGTCCACTTCTATTGATTTTGATATCACGATTCGCGTTGGGGCATTTGGTTTCGTTGCCTCCTCAGGTAGAACAACATGAAAACCAAATGGTACATGCTCATCATCGTCCTGGATCACCAAAATCATTAGTAGACCGAAGACAGAGCGCGAGTGCCTAACCTTTGTGCGCAATTGATTGACGAGTACTTCAAGCCCTTCGCGTGCAACGTTTGCTGGGAGGTTCACAGCAGGTGCTATCGGTGTGCCGTCATGTTCGTTCACAAATTGAACTACGACATTGGGCGATGCTTTCTGAGGCTCAGGCTCGGGCTCTGCGACACCGTGATATAATTTTGGTCTTTTCGGAGGAGGAAGAAGTGTTGCCATTATTATTATCAAACTACTGTCAGACAGAGACCTAGTATACGAAAATTTGAGCTAGATCAATCGCGGGAATATCTCTCTTGGTAAGGATGAGTTTAAGTTTCTAACCTAAAACTTACATAATACAATTTACCCCTGCAGGAGACGCGTGCAGGTTTCACACAAGTGGCGAGTCGTCTGTTCGTCGTCGTCGTAGGGTTTATATACTTGTTCCAAGAACCAACTACAGAATGGCAGTAACAAAAATCATTTTCCTGGACATTTTAACCGTTCTTCCAGTGCCTACTTCGCCAAACACATGGAAAGTTAGGTCAGTCATACCAGTAGTCAACCACTCTCACTACTGCTTCATCTTTAGCACTTCGCACAGACTCACGCTCAACTACAAGGAACTCACCTACGAAACAAAATGGGTTGAAACGATTGACATCGAATCCGTTTGCAAATCGCTCGGAATACCACCTACAAGCGTGTCCCCAGACGGGACACCAAAATACACTCTCCCAGCACTAATTGATAATACCTTCACCCCTCCTGCTTTCCTCTCAGATTCGACTCCCATAATCGAGTACCTAGAGCGCACATACCCAGACCCCGATTCTTCCCGTGCACTCTGTCCGCCTGCCAGCCGCGCCCTCCGTGCCCTCTTCGAGTATCACGTTGCTCAGTCCATCACAACACAGTTGCTACCCGTTATGGTCATGCACATGTACGACAAGAAGACCCCACGAGATCGCATCCACTTCCGTCAGCGTACCGAAGCGGCATTTGGGAAGAAACTTGAAGATATAGAGCTCAAGGGCAAAGAACGCGAGGAACACTGGAAGAAAATTGAACGCGCGCTTGACCTGCTTGCAACATTTATGCGAACAAGAAGTGGCGCAGGTGAATTATTCACGGGATCGAATCTATCTTTGTCAGACTGTACATTGGGAGGTCTTTTGCTAGCTTTACGCTACGACAGCCCGGATGAAGCTTGGATGAAGGTATCGTCTTGGAGCAATGGTAAATGGACGCGTTACATGGCTGCATTGTCGAAATGGACAACTGTAGAATAGCTACTTACATTATCCATAACGGATGTTTCTTAGCTCTCTTTCCGTTATGAGTCTGCTACACGGTTCAACACCTGTACATAGAGTTCAAATGGGAGCATGAAACTCGAGAGAGATGAATTGATAGACTTCGGGCCAGATATTCTGAGTCAAAACGAGGTAAACTATGGTCTTCCCTAGGCAGACCAAATAGAAAGAAGACAGTCGTCTTTATTATAGGCTAATTCTGATCCTGTACGAGACTTGCATGCTCTCTTATATACGAAAACGAACGGGTAGGAAATGAGTGGAATGTGTAAGTGAGAGGCAAGATACAAATGAAGCAGCAATGACTGTAAGTGCTGTGCTAATGCTCGTGCCCTGCACGAGCTGAAACGGAGTCACATAGCGAGGCGATGAAGGTAGGATTTGAAGAATTGAAGAATAAAGCCGGATGTCTCTGAGTCCCAGCGACACACCAAGCGGAAGAGGAGAAGCTCTTACACCAGTAACACGTATGCCACAATATTAATGTTTTCGATGGTAGTCGGATATAGAAAAGTTATGGGCCTCATACCATGTGCCGCACCGGGCGCACGCGAGGTGATTTTAGTTGATGGTCAAGCTGTAAGCGGACCTGCAGATAACATACATTCAGCCCACTCAGAGAGTGCCGATCTAAGTATCACTTACGTAGTGAATTTCGCCGTTCCAGACGTAGCTTCTGTGCCCGCCTGAGCAGTGGTGAGGTACTGTGACGAGCTCATGCCCTCGTTATCAATCAGGTACTACAAATGAAAAAAAAAAAAAACACCGTTTACACGTGTTCACGACCACACAGCGACTGGAAAGACTTACGGAAAGGAATGGGTAAATGTCGCCCTTGAATGATTTGACCGTACCACTAGTCAGGAGAAAGGAGTAAACCTGGTTGTATCCGTTGGATCCAGAGTACAAGTTCCTAAAACAATCATTAATACGGCGTAAATAATTGTGCAGATACAAATCAGCACCAGGTGTGACCTTCGATCGAGATGTTTTCCAAAATCGGGACAGCTTGACCCGTAGCGTTGTACTGCGCAGAGATTGGACCAGAGTTGACGTTTGCAAGCCAGATCATGATTTCGTTTACATTCGAGCCGCCAGCTGTGTCAGATGTGAACAAGTCATAGGCGACGTCAGCTACGACCGCTCCGGTGTTCGACTGAGACCAGTGCCAAGTAGACTATAGTGCCAGAAAAATTAGCCCCATGCAGTCTGCGGTTTCGAAGAACTCACAGGCATGTTGGAAATGGCACTCAGCTGTTGATTGATGCCAGTATTAAGCTGGATATTGGCAAAGCTCTTGACCTCCTTTCCGCCAGTCCAAGTCCAGTTCGTTTTCCAGGCAATAGTACTGCCCTCCATCGACGTAATCTGAGAGGTTTGGGAGCCAGAGGTAGCATCATGTTCGCCCCAAAGATTATTAAGCAGGGAGTACTGTCCTACATTGACAGAACCGTATTGCCCGCTAAACGGCGTTGTGTCGACGGTTCTTACATGTTGCTTGTGCATGCGGGGCATGCTAGAGACGAGAGGCACACATAACAGGAGCAGAGAAAGAGAGAACATGTCGATGAAGATTAAGCGAGAGTATGCAGGTCACAATTTGTACGCTGCTCGATACCCAAATGCCAGCAAATGAATGGCCATGGTTTCCCCGCCATTCGGCAATGCATATTGACATGATCGAACACGTATATGCAGCGCCCATTTTCAAAGGTCATATTTTGTTTTATACTCCGGTAGTTATGCTGGCAGAAGCGAGGAGCGAATGCTATCTGACGGAGCTTACCCTTGTAGATATTAGGGTGTCTGCCACCGCCCGTCCGCGGCTGAGATGTTCCCTGACGTTGAACGTGCCTGTCTACCGTTCCCTAGTGGTCATTTTATTTTGCCGACGCAACTGTCCATGAGTACCTATGAGTACTCGATCGAGCTGCATGATAAATTTTATTTTAGTCGTGTTTTAGTATGCAACGTGCTGCTGCTACGAACTTCCTGTTGAGATAAGCCGCGGGAGTACCTAAAAACACCAAAGTTTTAGGTCGACAAGTATGGCGCGAAGTCTATAAAATGGTTGTGACAGGTTTGTGATGCCCCGACGCTTGGTTTCGGGACTAGCGGACTTTCAACATATGATTACCACTCGGTAGTTTTATTCCTTGCTTGTCTTCTACCACCGCAGTATAATCTACTTGGTTCTTTTCTTCTGAAACTTTGCCAGAACTCTCGGATTTAGGGTGTTGCTGACACAAATAGTCACGAATTTCAATTCCACACGGTGAGCAGCTTACTCATGTTCTTGCCCTAACTAGTCCTAGTGGGAGGAGGGCTTTAGAGTGTTGGAGTCGGGGATCATCACCCAGAATCACCCGTTTTCACATCCAGCTCCTCCCAGGATCCATCACTGTATCGAGAGAGATGGACGACATACCAGGGCTGATCGATATCACGGACTCAATAGAGTCGTAGCTGGTCGCTGGCCAGCTCACGTGTTTTCTGTCAACGCAATGAGCTCGACTTGGTCTGCTCTGCAGAGCAAGGAACACGGGCGACTGGAAACAAAGATCTGAGACGAAAGCCACTGTCCAGCTACCAGTTGCACCATGTTCCGAATTTGAACGGATTATTGCTCTACTCGCCTTCAATGGTCCCACATTTGTTCTAGGGAGCTGGTGTGGTGTATCCGCGACTGTGTTCCTGCGTGTCGCGAGCAAGGCAAGAAGTGGTGAAGAACACTACGCTACGACGAAACCCGAAGGACACTGAGTGGCCGACTAAGCTACGGTACTACATGGGTGTTACTCCGCTCCTCGCCTAGGGATCCCCTACTCCAGAGCGAAGATGATTTGCTGCAGCAACCGGTCCCAACCTGACGCTTGCTGTTATTCCATCAGAGCCCTTTTTTGACAATAACAAGGTTGGATTTCCGATATGTCAGGTAGCCTGAGGCACGCTAATTTTTATGTTTATATTTTCAGCTTACATCAGTAGCATAAACGCCAAGTTAGACTCATAGAAGTCACAGAATCCAAATAGGATGATCAAGATAGCGCGGATAGCCTGAGCATACAAACTTGTTTGTGAGAACAATAATGGTCAGTCTCAATATACCGAAGACGCGCGCTGCGCAATTTTGATTCTGACAACACGTGTTGCGCGGCTTGCGACAGCTCTAAGACAGACGCGCGCCATGCAAACCACGGGGTGCGTAAGTAAATAAAAAAATACTGGTTCAATGTCACCGATAACAGATATGGCGTTTGGCCCTGAGCTGCGAAGTCTTAGGTCACCCACGAAATCGGTAAGCTGCATTCAGTCATGGACAGCCGGGTCTCAATGTATCGTTATGTTTTCATCGCCCTGTCGGCCTCTGATTCAAACAACAGTTGTCAGGAACTCTCTGTATTAGACCGATAGTATCACTGCTGCGTCCTGCTACCACAAATGCGGTACATCAATCTTTACACCGTAAACTTGTGTGATCGGGAGTACCTGGTGGATTACGGGCCTTGCCAAGTGCCGCCGTGCCGTACGGGTGTCTGTGATGCTCGGTGAATTTTCTCCTTGTTGCACGGTCTATGTCATTTTGCGGTACCTTCATATATATGAATGTCCAGAAGCACCAGCCTTCCTGCGCAGCAGAAGTCACTTCAAGCACTGCCAAGTGAACGGTGTGCAGTATACCGTAGTTGCCGGTGAGTTTTGAAGCTATAAGTTGACAGAAGACTTGGTGGCAGTGCATACCGGACAAGACATACGCACTCCCGACCGGGATTTTGCACAGCATGTGCTCGCAAGGCAGTACCCCGTATTTCATTGCGAAGGTCCAATGGTATGCTGTGAGTCGTAATTCTGCTGCGGACAATCACTCACATGGCCTAGAGAAAATATATTGCATGACCGCAATCACTGTCAAGTGGTTTCAGTTAGCGCCAGCGAGGTATTTTTGTTCCTCTCAAAATACTAATTTTTCTAATTCTCCTTTGAATATGGATCAATGCTAATACCCATCATCGGGGTGCTCTAAAGATGGGGTTCGTCTTTGATGTGACGCTTTGATCAGCGGTGCCCGGACTGACGCTTGCGCGCGTCTAATGGTATAGCTCTGCATAAATGCTGTGCTGTTTTTCAACTTTACTGGCATTCTTCGACTATTTTGGTTCTGATGGTTTGCTATACGCCAATCAGCTGATCAGCTGTGAGGTTATCAATTCAGTTAGTATTCATTGAATGAATTTCGTCTTCTAATAGGCCCCTGTGGGTTCCGCTGAGCCACATTACGCCCACCGCCCCGCCCACCGGCTGATCGGTGACCTCAAATCTGAGAGGAACAGATACTCCAGGTGACTAAAATAGGTTGATGGCGTCTCTGGACGGTCATGCCCCGCATAGTATAAGTATAGGACCAGCCACAGGGCTGAGAAACGCTGCATCCACTCACTCTGCCAAGCATGTCTTCCGTGAATAATGACGGGAGTGACACCCTGCACATCGGCAAGAGTCGCAAAAAGCTCTCACAACGACTCTACCGTTCAACCGAGGCAGAAGATTTTGAACAACTGCGACAGATCATTCAAGAAATAACTAAAGAGAGTCCCCCCACAAGACACGATGTTCTGATAAAAGGTTTGTGTGCTTAGGAACCTCGGGATTGAAGAATTCACTGACTTAAGTGCAGCTATTGAGATCATTAGGCGGCTTGATAGAGAGTACCGTGCTCTTCTTACAGAACATGTTGCGGCTTTGACTTCTCCTTGTCCCTCTGGCTCCTCCACGCAACACTCCGATTTCTATCCTGCAGGTGAGTTTGTCGCCTACCAAATATCAGAAGATGTTGCTGATGACTAGGCCAGTATCACAATTTCCAGCTGAGAGTTGGTTAGTGAACCATGGCGTACAAACGATGCCGATGCATCCACATATGCTGTCTCCTGAATCATCAAACAACATCGCATACAGCACGTATAATACACAAAGCATGGATCCTATGGATAATTACTACGGTTTACCTACCAATCATTGACTTCGCTATCTTTCCTTACAGTACCTAATAGACTTGATAGACAACAATGTAGACTGCGGCTCGTACCATCATATATGTAATACAGTGTTTCCAATATGGAATTATGAGTTCCATTTTCAAGTACCAACTCTAGTTTTGGCACTAGTCATTATAGGAACACCGGCCCGGGAAGCATCCGCACGGGTGCAAAGTTCTGTGCTTCTCAGACTTGAGCTTGAACGCTTGGTTTCAACTTTCGAGACTATTGACTCTGTTCATTTTCCTGACAGCCTAGCATTCCTCCTTTCCTTCTTACCTGCGCAATACCCAGGCTCTCCTCCGCTGTTATACAATATTGCTGTGACTTGAGAGGAGGGAATTAGGAGAGTAAATCACATAAGACTACTACACTCCTGGTACACTAACTTGAGGTCCTGAATAACAGATCCATTTGAAGTGAACCAACTTCTTAACTGGTTATAACTGACAAGTTAAGTTATAATTGGGTTGGGTTAGTAACAACACCATCGCGAGTCTACCTAGAGTGATGCTATAGATCTCACGAGAGCATGGTCTGACTTCACCTGTTGCATCCATATAACTAGCCATCCACAACGAACGTCGATAACGCTCCTCGAAAAACTTACAGATGACAACGACAGACATCATATTCCTGGACATCCCAGCTGTCCTCCCAGTGCCTTTCTCACCAAACACATGGAAAGTCAGGTCAGCAGTGACAACAGTCAACACCTCTCACCACTACCTCATCTTCGCTTCCCACAGACTCGCACTGAACTACAAGAAGCTCACCTATGTCACAAGATGGGTCGAGACGACTGACATCGCATCTGTGTGCACATCGCTCGGAATACCGCCTACAAGCACATTACCAGATGGAACACCGAAATACACACTTCCCGCGTTGATAGATAACACCACATCCCCCCCTGCCCTTCTCTCAGACTCAACGCCCATAATTGAGTACTTAGAGCGCACATACCGAGACCCCGATTCCTCCCGCGCACTCTGTGTACCTGCCAGCCGCGCCCTCCACGCTCTCTTCGAATACCACGTCGCGCACTCCATAACAGCACAACTACTACCCGTCATGGTCATGCACATGCACGACAAGAAGACCCCACGAGATCGCGTCCACTTCCGTAAACGCACCGAAGCGGCATTTGGGAAGAAACTCGAGGATATAGAACTTAGGGGAAAGGAGCGCGAGGAACAATGGAAGAAGATCGAAGGCGCGTTTGACCTCCTTGCAAGGTTGATGAAGGCTGGGGGTACTACAGGAGAGTTATTCACGGGATCGAATCTATCTCTGGCGGATTGTATACTAGGAGGTCTTTTGTTAGCTTTCCGCTACATAAGCCCGGACGAAGCCTGGATTAAGGTTTCGGCTTGGAACGATGGGAAATGGATGCGTTGCATGGCCGTCTTGGAGGAATGGACGGCTGTAGTATAAATAGCTTAGCAAGCCTTTCTCATAAGGCCCCCTTTCCATTATAGGTTTGCAACAGACTGTACGAGCTCGAATAGGAAGAATGAAAGTCGTGAGAGATAGGAGTTGCCCACTTCCGAACGTTGAACATTGATCAGTAGTTATCAATGACATTGACGACGATGATTTATAGACTGACTCCGGGGTTCATTCTAGTCTCCCCTATCCAGATTCGGGCCTGATCTTTGAAATACGGGGTGAATTCCGTTACTGTATGCACTAGGCTACGTGGCTTATATGTCATCTATGACATACGGCTATCAAAGCGAACGAGGGGAATGAGTAAACGAATGGCCAAAGGGATTAGCAATAGGATGCTGTTCGACACTTCAAATTGATAGATACCGTCTTGTATACCGAAACCGGCTTTTAAAGCGAACGGGTAGGAAACGAGTGGGATGTCTGAGCGAATGGCAAGTCAAAAGAGTGGGATGTCCACAAGACCAAGTACTGTGCTAGTGCTCATGCACAGCACGAGGTGAGACAGTTGGGATGGGATTGATAAAATCAGGAGAATAAAAAGGTATCTCCGATGACGCACCGAGTGTAAGAGGACAAGCTCCTACACTAGCGATACATATTAGTATTTTCGATGGCGGTCGGAGTGTAGAGGAATAATATCCTTACATCATGTACATCGAAACCAGTACAACGAGCACATCAAATCATTTTAGTTGACAGCCAAGTTGTAGTTATACCTGCAGACGAAACACATTCAGTCCCTTCACAGGGCGCCGATATATGCCACTTACGTAACGAATTGTGCTGTTCCAGTTAAGGCCTCTGTGCCCGCCTGAACAGCGGTGAGGTACTGCGACGAGCCTATGCTCTTGTTGTTAATCAGGTACTAGAAACAGAAAAAAATCGGTCCACATGCGTTCATGAAGACACAACGACTGGGAGATATACCGAAAGGAATTGGTAAATATCACCGCTGAACGATTCGACGGTACCACTGGTCAGGAGAAACGAGTAAACTTGGTTGACTCCGTTATATCCAGAGTACAAGTCCCTGAAATCAAACAAAAAACATTGATGCGGCGCAAATGATCGTGCAAACGCAAAGCTAACCAGGTATAACCTTCCAATGAGAGGTTGGTCGCGATAGGGACAGCTTGGCCCTCGGCGTTGTACTCCTTAGAGATTGGTCCGGAGTTGACGTTTGCAAGCCAGATCATGATTTCGTTCACATTCGAGCCACCAGCGTTGTAAGATGTGAATAGGTCGTAGGCCACATCACCCGAGACTAGTCCGCTGGTCGACAGACCCCACTGCCAGGTAGTCTATGGTGTCAGAAAAATTAGCCTTCAAATTGTGCAGTCCGCGGTTTCGACAAACTTACAGGTATGCTGGAAATAGCACTCAGCTGTTGATTGACGCCGGTATTAAGCTGGATATTGGCGAAGCTCTTGACTTGGCCGGGTTCGCCAACCCAGGTGTATGTGGTTATCCAGGCAATACTACTACCGCTCAATGACGTGATCTGAGATGTTTGGGAGCCCCAGGTAGCATTTTGCTGATTCCATAGATCATTGAACAGCGAATACTGTCCTGCATTAACAGTGTCCCATTTGCCAGCGATCAATGTGGTGTCGACAGATCTAGCATGCACCTTGTGCATACGGGACGTACTGTGGCGGGACGTGCTGGAGACGAGAGGAACCAACAAGAGGAGGAAGGAGAGAAAAAACATATTGAAAGTAGTGTGCGTTAACTAGGAGTAGAGCATGCAAGTCACATAATTTATAGGCTGTTTGAGTATGCCAGCAAATTGGTGACTACCATTAATCCCCCACTCCCGCCGCAGTGTGGCGCATAACGACACGGACGACAACTTGAGGACATATCATTGTCGTTACAATGCCACACCGGTACGCTGGTCCATGATCATCTATGATCATTCATGGACTCGAGGTGGCCTGCGACGCAAGAGTTGTGCGAATCCTACATATTGCAATTATATTTGGATAAACGATGATTAGGAAGTACTCACACTTGATTTCAAGATACTGGTACGCCCAAAGTTCAGAGAGATTCTGGCGAATTTCGGGCTTGGCTACCGTTCCCGTGGTAAGCAAACAACTGTTGTCCGAACAGACGGATAATATTGCCTGGCGCGACCAATCGGCGCTACGTAGCGTCCTGCCCTACTCCATGACAGTTTATTTGCTACTTGGACGACGAGCTCTTATAAGAAAGGTAAACTGTCAGAGTTATTGGATGACTTTCCGTAGGTAAAAATAATGCAGGATAGAACAGAATTTCAGCTTTAGGAAGGTGTGCCACGATGCCAGGTATCATTTAATTATCCGTTTGAAATTCAACAAGGGTTCTGCCCACCCAATATTATCTTTAAATCTGTAGGGAGGGGGGACAGACTATTTTGACTCACTTTGCTGGACCACTCGCAATATCCGCTGACATAATCTCAGGCCGTGCGGGTATCTGCGTATGCTTCGACGTTCGACATTACCGCCCCTGCACTTCACGGATCCCTCACATCCTTGTTTCTATGGACCAGTACTTGTTTGGATGCTTTATGATGAGCTGAATCTCTAAGCCTGTCACTAGCGCCGGCCACGAGGACAGCAGTACCTGCTTTTATTTCAACGTCATGGCAGCGTACAACGGACAACTGGCGTCCAAATTGTAATACGAGAGTCCCTTGAAGAAATTTTCATTCTCCAATTCTACCTTCCATGCTTGTGCCACACAGGGCACATCCGTAGATTTGGAAGGAGCTGCGCTATCATAGTTGTCGTGGATGACTCGTCTGTCGATGTCTTCTTGTTGAGTCAGCTTGATTCCCACCAGTGCAGCAGAGTGCAATTTCTTCTTCGTCAATTCTTCCATCTCTATCTCGTTTTGCAGCGCTTGATACTGATATAATATTCATCCGTCAACCTACGGCTTGGTTTTTCATATAGAAGATGTCATTGGGTAATTTGGAAAATGTTTTTCAAAGTCCGGAACATGATGGTCCGCATTATTTTGCCTACAAGAAGTCATCCGTTGAGTAGGGTGATGTCTACCGATATCATGGTTGGGTCGCCTGGGTTGCGGTCCCGTGTGATGTGTAGAACTCTATAACGCTAGCATGAAACGCGGACTTTACGGTTGTAAATTATTAATTGAAGCCGCGGGAACAAACCAAGTTTAGGTTTCAGTAGGGCTGCTCAATTCTTGGGCTCAGTTCGCTGGCGGAGTTCACTCCCAGTAAGAATCGGTCAGATGCCCTCGGACGGAGATTGATGGATTTGTAGGTTCGGAGTAGTCAGTAGACCTAGATTGATGGAAATCTAACTTGTGTAAACAAACGTTGAACAACGTGTTTGATTTGAGCTGACAAGGCCAATATTCTCTTGCACGCTGCGCAGCTCAACGTACGTTCAACGAGTCTTGAGCAACATTGATTTTGTACTTTGTCGTGTCACTGAGGCTACTCGAAACCAATCTGAAGGCTCCCAAAGGTGTGTTCTTTCATTTACTATGTGGCTACTAAGCACATGTCATTGTAGTTAGCCTATGAACGCAGAACACTGGTGTTGCTGTCGGAAATATTGTCATGGACAGCGGAAGTGTCTGAAGTCCCTCAGGACATGGCAAAGACACCTGCAAGAGGCTGATGAGGATGAGAAGCCTCGAGTGCGAGCTGCACGGCTCTCTCGGTCATTTCAAAACTTTGTTGCTACTACTATGAACAATGCACCAGCTGCAGGACCATCTCTCATGCAACCTCCCATTGCCTCCGGTTCGGGACGTACACCCTCTTCCACTACATCTTCCAGTAGCAGTGATGACGACAGGCCTTCACGCAAGCGCAGATGTGGATCAGGAGAACTGTTTGTTAATGTAAGGCAATTGTACAATCTAAGTTACCTCGCTAATATTATGATGTAGGATGTCAATCTTCCGCATCCCCCAGGCAGTCCAGACAATGATCAATACATACCAGAGCCAGACTTTGATGCCTTGCCCCGAGATCTTGAAGGTCGTGATGATGACGAGCAGCATTGAGAGCCTGATGGACCGCCTGACGATCTTGACAATAATGAGATGCATGCAGCCGATCAAGATCAGCGTGACGAGACACCACCTGCAGCACATTGGCATAATCCATTGAAAGATCTTGACCTAGATCAGTTGGGTCGTGATGTGAAACGTTTTGAACTTCAGCGAGATATGCAATTTATTCTCGCGCTGCATAATGCTACTCTCGACGACGGTGCTGGACTTATCGGAGATGCATTGGAGCGTTTGCGAAACCCACCACAAGCACAAGCACGGCTAGATGATTCTGACATTGAACATTGGTAAGTACTGATCCTATTCCTATTATACACTTATTCGTGTGTTCTATCTAGGTTGCTGGCTGTGTTTGGACCGCGAACACAGTCGATGTTCTTGCAAAGTTCTCTGGTGGTACGCTGCATTAGCTAGGTGCTAGGTATCGTCAGCAGGGGTGGGTAGTAGGACGGAGGAGCTGGTGCGAATGAGCGGGCGGGTAGCCCATTTTTAGCTTTTTTTTGTTGCTTTTGTAGCTTTCAAATGCATTGTTTTCCGTCAATTTGCGTCGATATGATGTGAGAACCAATGGATGCGAGCCATCTATTCAAATCTACGGAAATCTAACTACTCGATGTTTTATAGACTGGCGTCAATCAGCGTTGCTACCAGTCGTCTGTGCATCGACGTAACGCGCCATTTGTCGACGCTCGTCGACTGACATCATACTTTTCACAGTTGGTCGATTTCCGTCGTTCTCCGTCGGCTGGCGTCTGACCGACTTTCACTGGGGTTCACTTGTCACCTAATGACATCGCTTAACGTTCAGCAGGCACCCGGCATCCATCAACATTCGCAAATAACACGCACTCCGTTCCGTTGATCATCGAAAGAGCGCTCCATGCAGGAGCAATCATCACGAGCGGCCTAGGTAAGTAATGTTTGGCTAGCAGAAACGTGAGCTGACATGCCTCCCCAGCTTATACCCGTAATAGCTGCTTTCTGATGGCTTGTGAATCTAATGAGTATGCACAGGCTCTCCTTGCAGTAAGTCTAGCTCGTTTGTGAGGATCAGACTGATTTACACTAATACTAGCTTGCATGTTCACAGCCGTCCGTCTCACCAACTCTGCATATGACCAGCGCCTCATTCATGCCACCACCACATGCCTATAGCAGGCAGCACATGTGGGGAGATCTGTCATATGCTACTCCACAACACCAGCCACTGGCACACTCTGTGACCGTCAACAGCGCTACAGGAGCCAGTGTTTGGGGTAGGGATGACCATAATGTAGGTCTGGCAAAAGAAGTCTTTGGACCGAGGAATCTGATTGTATGGGCCTTGGGAACCATCACCAGTGATAGATGCTGCAGACGATTGATATTCAAGAGCTGCCATGAACAATGCATCAGAATCAGAAAGAAAATCATCATCAAGGTCATCATCATTGGCAAATTTGACATTGTTGTTGTCATAATCATTGAGCACAGCTGCAAGCCCCATGAGGAGTTGGGCTTGCCCTGCGAGATGTGCTTGAAGTTCGGCCAGTGTTGGTTGCACCATGCAGCAATCCTTGAATTTATTCCTGCATCACGGCTGGGCCATTGGCATGCTGTTGGCAGTGTTGCGGACCTTTTAAAAACATCGATTTTTGACAAATGAACTCTGCCAGCAAACCAAGCCCAAGAATTGAGCAGCCCTAGTGATCCCCAACTGTATGAAGTATAGTTGGGTTTTGTCCGATCTGAAAATTCAGGCACCTGTATCTTGAATAACAGAGTGGGAAAAAAATTCCTTTCTTGGTAGTGGGGAGCAGCAACTCAGCCAAAGAAAGTGTGGCATTATGTAAGCAAGAAATGCGGTCAACGACATGACCTTGAATGCTATAACTTATATATCGAACTACAACACTCATGCAACACCAAAATACACAGTACAGCTGTAGAATTATAGTAAGTCAAAGTAATTAGTGAAATTATTACACTCAAAAATTCAAGGCTCCTCATCTTCACTCTCACCTGTCTCCAAAGGAATCTCCTGTGTGGTTTCTCTGTGATAACACCACCTTCCTTCAGCTTCAAGGTTGGCTCAGACATGGTGTGTGAAACAACAAATTTGTTGACTGCATTCTCAACCGCATGAACCTTTTGTCCAGGGACAGCTGGTAGAGGTTGGGACATGATGGAGGTACCAGGGGTGTGAGGACTTGGAGGGATGTTTTCATTTCTGGCATGTTTTTTTGCATGAAGCTGAGCTAACTGATCATTCTGGGCAATAGAACATCTCTTGGTAGATTTCCAATGGTCCCCTGGGTGGTATGGGGAGGGCATTGAGAGTTCTACAGTGGTCTCTGAGGATTTGTGACACGACGCGACGCGTTTATTATGCTTATGTAATGCCATATCAGTCTGCTACCTGTGACTTCCCTGTTGTGACTGAACACGATATGCTGGGAGGTTGAGTGAAGCCTTCCAAGGCCTTTTTTTCATGGTTTAGTTGTAATGGCCATGGAAAATTTTGAAAAAGTTGGTCGCATGAGCTTTTACCAAACATTACAGCCTTACGATTCGCATATTTTTCCTTTTTTGCATGGAGAATACAATAAGCTTGATATTTCGCAACAAAGTCTCCATATGATGTAGTCTTCATAATGTTGTGCTCAATGTCCAGTGGTCAACAGTTTCATTAACTACCATTTCAGCCACACACCCCTTTAGCGGGAGCACACGCTGAGTTTGAAATTGGCAGAGAGTTGCCTCTCCCCATTGGTTGACCTTCTATGAGTTTCTATATCCTTCCTTTTCCTGGGCCTCTGATTGCAGAACACCTTTGTCTCATCTTTCTTTGTTCAATTTCCATTCTTACAATATTCAGCCTGTACTCTGGTGCCTTTGGACCATATCTGATTGGTATGCCTTGCCCTCTGCTTTGTTAATCCATCTTTCTGAACCCTCCCTCAGGATTGCATAGGCAAATCACACCCTATTTCTCCTTCTGAATGGCAGCATTTATGAATAAATCTCCCTTATTGAAACCTCATGCACTTGACATCAGTGATTGTCCCCCTCACAGTGTCTTACATGATGTTGCCAAATATGTGTTTTATTATGACCCTCTCTATCATCCCAAGTTTCATCCTGCAGTGTTTGCTATGGCACTTGGATTTTGTACTTGGTTACATACCATGCTCATCAGCCATGTTGAGTCATGTTTAAAATGTTGGATATATCCTCATGTGGACTCAGTCACTTTCAATGGTATGCACATCAACATCAGTATCTGTGGCACACCCATGCTTTTCACTTGTTCTCACTTTGAACATGCTTGTTATGTCCATTGTTCTGTTTTTCAGCAGTATGAACATTGTCAAGGAGACCTGAGCATGGAAAATACCCTTCTCACCAAGCTTTGGTGTGATCCCGCTTGGCTTTCATATCCTGACCACATCTACAGGGAAAATCTATCTGAATTGCCTGCTAAGCTACTTCATGATGTTGCTTGCACCCTCAGTTATGGTCTCTATCAGACTCAAATCAAAGACCTTAGTATCAATGTTATCCTTCAACATTTTGCTTGTTGGTGTTGTGATGGTTCTCTGTCACTTAATGCAAGCATCATGTGTCCTGCTGCTCCTCCAAACTACATGAAGGTTCATTAGGTAAATGACCTGAAAATGATAAATCATTAGAAGGCTTTATCTGATCTAAAATATGCACAATAATCATCAAATTTGTACCCCTCATGAGCAAGCTTTGAATACTTGGACTTAGTTGGATAGAAACCATCAGATGCACAACTGTGACAGCTTAGTCACAATCACTTGCCAGCTTGTCACCAAAATTGCACATATTGCAACACCCATCAGACATTGCAATACAATATTAAGTTGTTGAGACCAACTGCCATTGCCTACTTGAGGACCAGCTGCAATATACTACAATTCTGCCCTACCCTGGTGGTGGCATGTAGCCTTTGACTGCTTTTACTTCCTCCACAATCTCTGAACTAATGACAGTGTCAGATAATCTTTTATATGGTTGGACTGTGTTGGACCATAACTGCCAATGGTCCAATGGTGCCAAGCATATTCAACACAGTATCGAGCTCTGCTGACGAGGTTGCCTTATGCAAGCAGAGCTTGTCATTGTACTCTTGACAAGAACCCCCTTGGTGTCGACCCTAGGTATGCAGTTGCAATTCCTGCTTGCATTGCTCCAACCTACCAAGTGCACAATCTGGGCAATGAACGGCAGTGGATTACCATCTTCCCCAACCTCGATGAGGTCTGATAAGTGTATGCACGATGAGATTTGAATTTTATACTCCCCAATATATAAATTAATGACAGTGTGAGTTAAACATTTATATGGTTGGATTGTGTTGGACTATAATGGACGATAGTCCAATGGTGCTGGGTGTATCCAACACAGTATCGAGCTCTGCCAATGTGGTTGCCTTATGCAGGCAGAGCTTATCATTGTATTCTCAACAAGAACCCCCTTGGCGTCGACCTTAGGTATGTGGTTGTGATCCCCGCTTGAGATATGACAAACGTACAATAAAATAGTTCCTTGTTGCATGTTCCCCATTCTCTCTCTAAATGCTGCAATCTTCCAAGGTCAGACATTTTTGGATGGGGACTGCTTTTATTCCCATGGTGCGGAAACATGGCAGGGTAGTGCTATCCGTCAGATAGCTGCTGAGCTATGGTTATCATATGCAATGCAATCGAGTCTATTTTTCTCCGCAAACACACTCTCAAGGGCGCTTCTAGATAAAATCTTACAACATGTTGCATTGTGCTGGTGCATTTATATTGGTCAGGCGATTTCTTCTGTCGGCATTTCGTGGAAGAATGGTCCTTATTGATGCAAAGCAAAAGCAGACCATCATTAGATTGCAATACTATTTACTACAGACAGACGAGTATATTAAATCTACAAAGAGATATTATGGAGGTTTGTAGCTTGTCTGAGGGCCATTCATTTTTGTTGTATCTTGGATAAGGTACTGTTGGCGCTGATAGGTCTCTTGGCAGCAGAGGAAGTAGGAAAAACTTGGCTGAGGAGGTGATAATGTATCAGCCTTGGCGACATGGTGAAGGATGTTAAACATACTGATTCCACCAAGTAAGCAGCTCATCAACTTCCTTAGATTCCTCAGGGTCTTCTAAGAGGTCAAGGAGGCTATGGTAGAAAGTCTCAGAGTCCATGGTTGTGTCAGTTTGCGAGAACACCAAAGATGAGCTTAAGGTGAATCGCACCTTCACTCGTACATCAACACTATGCACAAAAATATCATCATCAATGAACCTGAGTTGCGATATAGGCTATGGAGGCCATGGTGACACAATTCATGCCATGGAGGCAAGCATTGCTGGATTGCGTGGCTTTGGGCTCCCTGTCAACTGAGCTTGGAGAGGTGAAAATGTGCTTGTAGGCCTGTTGGAACACGATGAAGTAAATGGGCGAGGTGATCTCACAAGTGTGCACTCACACATACAAGCAAGTGGCTCCTAAGAAGACTGGACCATGGGTCCTCATGATCATAAACATAGTGGGCATACAAAAATATGGGCCACTGATCCCCACAGACTGACATTTCACCACTGTGAAGATCCTCTTTAATCCTGTTAAATAAGAATAAGTGCAATATTCAAGGGCAGCAAACCAGAGCATACTGAGGATCACTCCAATCCAGCCCAGCAGGACAGAGGAGAGATCCAGTGAGCTTGTGGTTGAATCTGTGGTCAATGTTGGAGTTTCTGTGTAAAGGAGGCTGTATCACTTCTCCTTTCGGGGAAATCCAATCTAGCACCACAGACTTCAATGTTTTTGTGTCATCGCCTCTGGCACCTGCGGCTCCCTTACCAATCTGCAAATTATGAGTGCAAAATCTGGCCACATAGGTAGTGATGTACCAGCTCCCCAATGTGAAGGATTTCCTCATCGGATCCATCCTTCAATTGGTCCAGAAGGCTGGGGTAGGAGTCCAAGAGTTGCTCAAAGATGTGATGTTCTCGCCACTCTCTATTAAGTACATCAGCCAACAAGTGAATACAAATTGCATATGTCTCTTACTCGGCAGAGAAGTCTTCCAATGGAGTATCTTCCATTTGCTCCAGTCTTAATATACCATTGGTGAGCAAGGAAGGATAGTTGCAGAGTGTGAACACCATTCGACCAAAGTGGCATCTGTGGGATACGAGCAGATCGGATAGGGAGCTGGTGGACAGGATGAGCATACAAAAATTGTGGTCAATATGGACAACTTATGTTCTTTTGCAAGGCCCCATTTGGAGGGTGGACAAGCCACTGTGACAGTCAAGTTTTCCTTGGGCTTAGATTTACTTACTTTACTTACCTTTACCTACCCTCACTTTCTTTAGCTTATGTTTGCATTTTTGCTGCTTACTTAAGCATGTATCTCTTTCACTAGTGTCAGTACCAGCCTGAATGACAGTCCCTTTTGATGATAATTTCTACTCTCTGAGCACCAAGCCAAGTCAGAATCCCATGGGCTGAACATACTGCTCTCCACTCAGCAGCTTGGCCAGCTGAAATATGATTCCCACACTGCATTTGGCCAGAATATTGGAAGTGGTGTCATGGGTGGTCATGGAAGTTGGGAAGAAAGGGTAGCACTGGCGTCGCAGATACTGTAAGTTGCTTTTATCCCTAGCATTATGCTATATGATATCTCAGGGAAACTTGGTAGCCAGAGTGGGCACTGAACTTAACTGGTGGGCAGGGCAGTAGGCATGGTATGTAACTGGTGGCCAGAGCCGTGGGTCAAACGGTGGCCAAGGTGAATATCTGTCAACCTTGAGCTACAATTCGATGGCTAGATTAAAGTGTGACATAAGTACCACCATAGGCATATAGCTCCACTGACCTTGCATCATCTCATGGCAGCTCGCCATTTTACATCTGCCTAGGTCCAATATGCTGTGTCCCTCATGTCAGACCTTCGAGCTACAAGGACATAGTATCAACTTAAACCTGCGGTAAACTTATCGTGCCTACCCGGAGGTGGGACATGCTGATGCCTTTGCTTAGGATCGAGTTAGTGGGCCACACTAATGAAGGTGACCAGGAACTCACCAGGTAAAATCAGTCAATATCATCAATTGTTCTTAAAGTTTATAATAGGTTAGCGACGATGTTGATGATAACAAATCAGCAAGGAACAATAAGGCTTCCCTTCTACTTCTGCCAACACAAAAACACGAAGATGGTGAGGTGGACTCCATTGTCAGGCTGAAAGAGCACCTGCAGATGGCAGAGATGGGCTGCAAAAGGCTGCAAAATCTGTACCAAATGTACAGACTTCACTGGTTAGAGGAAAATTACCAGGCAAGGATGATGGAGAAATATGCACCGAGTGGAATCAGTACTTGTTCTCCTCATCAGATTGCATGGGACACCCCTTCTCCAACTCAAAGTATGTCGGACATGGGTGGCCTTGGGAATAAACTGACTGTATCACCCAGGTGAATACAAACTTGAGGTTGATGGCTGAGATCTAGAGTAAATGTATGTATCAATGTGGTGGAATTGATGACAAACCTATTTTCTCATGGTCTACTGTTGGATGATGCAGGTTTAGCATTGACTTACCTTGCAAGCTCTAAGGCTTCAAGAAGGCCATGATCGCATATGGGCGTCAAGATACATGTGGTCAAGAATATATACCAAACATCTAGCAGCTAGAATACAGAAACATGACATGAATTGATCAAGAAATAATTGAGATGTGTGAACTTGCTGCAGAGTAATAACATCGAGGAAGAAGATACTAAGGGGTGTCATATTGCCTAGGGAATTGGGTATGCTTAATAGGTACTACTAGCTAGCTCGTAAGATGTATGTGTGGGCCGAGGAAAGAAAGAACTGAAATATTCTGAGTTGGTGAAGCACAATGTGATCCGTGGCAGCAATACGAATTTGATTTTCAAGCTTTGCCACTCTTAGAAACTGGAGTGAACGTGAAGTCTATTATGATTACACCAAAATAACACTGTTCTACATGATCAATACAGTAGCTAGTAATGTTTGATACAAAGGCAATAAATGAAGAAGGTTAGGGTCCAGCAGGATGGCCAAAAATATTGTCATGCACTAAAGATGTTGATCTCAGCCTGGTCTAACTCATGGCACCCAAATGTCAATATCATCATAGTCTTTGCTGCCCGAGCCATCACCGTCGTCATCCTCATCTTCATCATCCTCATGATCCTGGATAAGGTCTACTTCCTCAGGTAGACATCGTGGAACAATCAGATCTGGGGATGTTGAGAAACCTACAAGGACATCAATGATTGAAGGGAGCACAATCAGCCTATGCTTACTATTGTCACAGAAGCTGCACACATGAGAATTTTCAATGGCCATCATGTAGAGCTCCATCTCAGCTTGGGCACAGCATAGCTTTGCCCACAAGATGAGCAAATCCAGACCAAGGTTATGCAGATGAGCATTATTACACCTAGTGGCAAGGGATGTCACCATCAACTCTGCCTGCATGGTCAGTTCTGCTTGGAATGCCTGGAAATTTTTTTCTTGGATGTCGGAAGTGACCCATGTACTTGACAGGGAAAATGGGGAGCCAATACACTGTAGAAAGGCAGTGGGAGCAGCCAAGTGGACTATCACAGTACTGACCTTCAAACTGACAGATATTGGTCTTCCTGTGTGTGAGGCCAATTGACCAAAGACTGAAAGGGTAGAGCCATCTGAACTTGAATGTAACATTTTCTCAATCAAAGGTTCTGAACATGGAATGAGGCAGTGGGTATTGTTCCTCCTTAGCCAAGCTACACACATCTCTCGTGTTGCGATTGAACAGGCTAAAGGCACGCAAGGTAAAGGTATGTAGTTCGCAGGTGTAACTGTTTCCATCATGCTTGGCCTGATGGGATGCTTGGTTTGAGCTCCAAATCATGCTACAAATAGCAAGTGGGTTCAGACCACACAGCCGCACTTAAATTTGAATAAGCTCACACATCCAGTGTTGTTCCAAGAGCTCAATCGCCTGACTATACAAAGACACCTCCATTTGACACTGTCTCCTCCTCTTGTCTATGAGAACTTGCTCTACATGGGCATGCCTTCCACCATCCCCACCAGTACAGACATGCTGGTGCCTGCACAATGTTTCTTCTTGCCTGGCCTCTATACTGCACTCATCGATTATTTCCCAAAGATCACCAGGATAGACTCGATCTTTGAGCAGAAATGACAGAACATATAATTCAGTTTGAAGCTATGTGGCAAGAAAATGATCAGTGTGCACAAAGATGTGATATTACCAAACTGACCTTCTGACTTGCTATCAGTCCTATATAGGCATCCAGCATTTCAGAGCCCAGAGAATTCGAGAGTTGAAAAATGCTTGTGCAAGCACTTGAGTAATCAAACAGATCCGAAGAAAGACAGGTTGGCATATTGAATCAATGGCTGCACATGAGGTAGTGCAATATGTTGTAATAAGCAGTATTTACAGTGGCTCAAAAAACTGTCCGCATGTTTTGACATTTTTCACTATCTATGATATTGTGTGAGAATGAACAAATGGCTCAAGGACATGCTTATACCACATTGTAGTATGGCTTCAGGGCTTTCATTTGAGCGCTACACCGTGGGAATCTGTGGAGATATGGTGGAGACATAAGGCTTACAAAATCATGACTCATGCAGACAGTTTTTTGAGCACATATTAAAACTATATAAATCATCATTTATGACACCATAACAATCATGCCACCATTAAATAAATTATAAAGTGGTGTCATTATGTCATTTTAAAACCATATCTAACTATACAAACCAAAAATTTCCATATGTCATGGTTATATTCACCATGAAAGCCACCCCCCCTGCTCAAAGGGATAATATCCTCTCTCTTTCCTATTCTGGCCTCTCTGCTTGTCAAATTTCCTCTAGAACTGGAGTATCCAAGTCCACTGTGGCCAAGTTCATCAAAGAAAGTCACACAGACAAGGAAAACTTCTGTGAAGGGCATCCATCCAAGCTCACCTCTACTGATAGGAGGGCTATTATTCAATATATCACTACAGGAAAGGCTGATAATGCTGTCCAGGTCACCTATTACATCAATTCCACCATCACATTCCCTGTCTCTTCACACACTGTGAGAAACATTCTCAAGACAGCTCATCTCAGGTCAGTAACAAGGAAGAAAAGGCTGTCCTCTCTATCACACATAAACAGAGATGACTAACCTTTGCCTTAGCCCATCAGAATTGGATTACATGGACTGGAAGCATGTTATATGATCATATAAGACCATAGTAAATAGGATTGGGTCAGATGGCAAGGTATATATGTGAAAAAAGAAGGGTGCTAGTCCTCTCTGCATATGTGTGATAGAGAGGACAGCCTTTTCTTCCTTGTTACTGACCTGAGATGAGCTGTCTTGAGAATGTTTCTCACAGTGTGTGAAGAGACAGGGAATGTGATGGTGGAATTGATGTAATAGGTGACCTGGACAGCATTATCAGCCTTTCCTGTAGTGATATATTGAATAATAGCCCTCCTATCAGTAGAGGTGAGCTTGGATGGATGCCCTTCACAGAAGTTTTCCTTGTCTGTGTGACTTTCTTTGATGAACTTGGCCACAGTGGACTTGGATACTCCAGTTCTAGAGGAAATTTGACAAGCAGAGAGGCCAGAATAGGAAAGAGAGAGGATATTATCCCTTTGAGCAGGGGGGGTGGCTTTCATGGTGAATATAACCATGACATATGGAAATTTTTGGTTTGTATAGTTAGATATGGTTTTAAAATGACATAATGACACCACTTTATAATTTATTTAATGGTGGCATGATTGTTATGGTGTCATAAATGATGATTTATATAGTTTTAATATGTGCTCAAAAAACTGTCTGCATGAGTCATGATTTTGTAAGCCTTATGTCTCCACCATATCTCCACAGATTCCCACGGTGTAGCGCTCAAATGAAAGCCCTGAAGCCATACTACAATGTGGTATAAGCATGTCCTTGAGCCATTTGTTCATTCTCACACAATATCATAGATAGTGAAAAATGTCAAAACATGCGGACAGTTTTTTGAGCCACTGTATATGTATACAGTGGTGGTTCAATATTGAATTGTTGAGTGCCTACAGCCTTCATGGAGTTGAGATTGTGGGGCCTGGGTGGGCAAGCCAGTAGGCATCAAAAGATATAAATAACTCACCCCTACTGCCTTGGTATCACCCCTTCCTGGGGGGGGGTGCTGAGGAAATCTTTGGTCACACATCTCTCATAGGTCACTGTATGTGCTGGTGTGTCCTGCCTGCAAAGGATTTGATGTGCAGGGTGTCAATGCTGGCAGGGATGAAGTTGTCCTTCTAGACTCTATCTTTCTTGTTGGCCAAATGTGGCAGTTACGGTTGAAAGTGCAGTATCTCATTTCCTTACATGTCTCACTGAGTGTCTGAATGTAGATCACTTGGAATATGATGTTATGCGTAAACAATTATTCAAGTGATATGGTAGGTAGACTAGAGTACCAATTGCAGTGTGCACATAGGTAATCAGAAAATATAAGCTAGTGGTGTGACTCGATTAAAGTGTGCCATGACCATGGTTCATGCTTTGTCACACCTGAACAGATATGATGGCTCATCATTGGCCTTGCTCCTACCCACATGCATTTTTTGCAGTGTCTAAACAGAATTTGGAACTCCTTTGCAGGAATCCCATTACCAATAGACGAGTTGAGTCTTTTCAACAGTTCTGTTTGCTCCCTGTGGGTCCATTCAAATCGAATAGCCTTAGGCAAGACTTCCTGTTCTTTATCGTCCGTCATGAACCTGCAGTGCTGCAATGAAGCAAACATACCTCTTTGAGGGTACCAGAAGGCAGCTGAGGATGGTAGATGGAAGTATTTGTCTATTTTCACTAGGTGATATTGAGTCTGAGATCTTCTTGAGTATGAAGAATACTGAACCTTGATATCTGCATCTATTGGTTGTACACCTTGCAGTCCAATCAGTCTTTTTGGTACCCTCATCCCACCAAGAATACATGGCAGACTCTACATATGCTCCTCTTCCACTGCCATCAGCGCATAAGCAGCATGGGAATCTATAATCATATCCATCACAGTGCATCTCTAGATGGGATGGCAGAATTTTTTTCCCATCACAACTGATAGGCCTGTGTTTTTGTGGAGTGGTATTAGCTCAACATTGGCATAGGATCCAATGCCATCTCACCAATACCATTCAATCATGGACTCCAAGGCACTGTTGTAGTGCATGATGGCGAAGTCGCATGTCATAGCCTCTGCAATCATTCTGGCTAACTGTCGAGCAGCTTCATGGAAGTCGGGGGGGCAGTAATGGTTGAAGAAGGTGAAGATGGAGCTTCCATTTCCAGTGAGTGATCTGACATAGGACATGTTTTACCCTACTTTTATGGGGCATGAATTTAGCCTATGTCATCATATCATCATCAAGTGCACCAGCCTGCCGTGTGGCCCACCATCACAGCACCAAGGCTATTCTGAAGTAACCGTACTGACCTACCATCATTAGTGACTGACCCACCATCATTAGTGCCCAACCTTATTGCCACCAAATCGTAAGTCATTCCACACGGTGTCCTGCATGATTTGGGAATCATGCATGGACATGACTACTAGGTAGCCCCCTAAAAGACAAAGTCTGTTAGCTTAGGCATCAGGCTAGTCAACCCATACCTTGGTTTCAAACCTTGGTCAAATAGTTCAGTTTCCCCTCTGCGATTCATGAATTTATTATATCTTGAAGAAAAGTCATTTGTGAGATGGGAATCACATAATGACCTAGTTGATATTGTGAAGCAAGAAGGTTAAGGTATTGCCTTGCCTTTGGCTTATTCACTTTGGCTAGAGAAAACCATAGAGAAAAGTTCAAAGCCTAACAAAAACCTATCTAAGGTTAAGGTATTGCCTTGCCTTTGGACTGTGAAGATTGTTGCTTACAAAGAAAGCCCCTTTGAAGTACCAAGTCCAGGGAAAAGACATTCCCTTGAGATTACATAAGTTTCTTATGATAGAAACTTAGTTTATTTGAGACCAGCTTCTCACCTAGTTTCTGATATTGACCAACATGAGCTTTGGTCAATCTGTTTGTTTGTGAGACCAGTTTCTCACCACTTTGTGCCTATTTGACCAACCAGTCTTTGGTCAACATATTCATATTTGAGACTGTAGTCTCTACAGAGGACTATCTTAACAAGGAACCATGTTCCAGTGTCTAGATGGTTTATCCTAGACAAGTTTATAAGTTGGGATATAACACAAAAGCTCTGGCTAAGTTAATCACATAGATTGGTTTAGTGAGCCTCCCAAGAACTCACACGTTATCTACCACGAAAGAAGAAAAGTCATAGACCATGTTAATCGAGGACTGGCAAGAAGTCTTATCCTAGTGTAATTGTGGTGTCATTACATTTTACATGCATTTATATAAGACCCTCAGTTATTAAGACAGTGGCGACCTTTTATCATTGGGCTCAACTACAGTTTTTAGCTCCTCACACTTTCCACTCCTCATTGTCATGGATCAGGATGACTCATTGTGGGTTCCAATCACTTTCAGATACACCTGTACGCATGAATTCACACATGAGAATGCCTACAGTAAACATCAATGCTCATGCACAAAGGGCAAGAAGCGATTGTTTTCTGCTTTATCTAAAGCAAGAGTCATTTTGGGCTCTGTAAAATGGTCACAAGTCGACAGGTATACCCACCTTAGCACTACATCTTCAGGTGAGCACCCCCACCATCCACGGGGATCGTTCCTGTCCACTGAACAGGCTAATGAGCCATTCAATGCAGAACCTGAGCCTTCACATGTCTGCTCAACTCTGTTGGGAATGCACCACCCACATGAGGTTTCAGGTGCAGGGCCTTAATTGCAGGACCATCCACTCGCCACTGCATCTACCGCCAGCATTGGCACCACACCTATGGAAATAGATGAGGATGAAAGTTTATCACTGGTGCAGTGGAGGAGCTGATGTATTGGCATTCCTATGCCGCTACGATATAGGCAGCATGAGGATGTGCTCCCACAACCTCTTCCAAGCACCCCCCCTGGCCATACTACCCCAGCACTGGAGGTTAACCCACCAGAACCAACTGATGTGTCTACTGGTGATCGTGCATCTCTGCCAGTTCCCCCCTTTCGCACTGCTAGAAATGTCTTTGGATTGATTCACCAGTTCTTCTCATCCACCCCCCCATCTCATGACCTGGAAGAAGCAGTGATGCTCCAAGATATCAGTTATGTGCCAGCTGTTACTTCAGCAGAGCTAGATGTCCTTGCTGACACTCATGACATTTTATTTCACGCCTATCCCAATCAATCGTCTTTTGAGCTCGGTCATTGGTACTGGAATGGCAGTGTGCAGAAGTCCCATCAAAGCTTCAAAGAGCTCATTGATATTGTTGGTCACCCAAATTTTGATCCCGATAATGTCTGGAGTATGCCATGGGACAAAATCAACTTGAAACTAGGTGTGAGTATTGATGACGATGAGAGGGAGGAATGGGAGGATGAGGATGTGGGTTGGCGCAAAACTCAAGTAACTATTCAAGTTCCCTTTTCTTGGACCACAGCTCAGCCAGGTGTTTGACTGTACATCGCAGCAGACCTTTACCATCAATCTCTCATCTCCATCATTCATGAAAAGCTCTCAAATCCTCAGGACGATGAGCTTTTCCATTATGAACCTTACCAACTGCGATGGAGTGCTCCTCATCTTCCTTGTGAGGTTGACATTCAAGGTGAACTATATACCTCTCTGGCTTTCATGGATGCGCACCGTGAACTTCAGGAGTCTCCTCAGGAGGAGGGGTGCAATTTACCACGTGTGGTTGTCACACTTATGTTTTGGTCAGATGCCATGCACCTGACAACATTTGGCAATGCGAAGCTATGGCCGTTGTACATGTACTTTGGAAATGAATCCAAATACCACCATTGCAAACCATCCTGCAATTTGGCTAATCATGTGGCCTATTTTCAAAAGGTGCAATTACCCTTTTGAAGTTTCCTCTTCAGCATTCAAAACTCACATCTTGGCAGCTACCAGACTCTTTCAAAGATTTCACTGGCACTTACACTGGAGGCAAGGGGGTTGGCCATGAGTACACAACACATTTCCAGTGTGAACTGTTTCAGGCTCAATGGAAAGTCTTGCTCGATCACGAGTTTTTAGAGGCTTACGAGCATGGGATTGTCATTTTGTGCTGTGATGAGATAAAACACAGGTTTTATCCACAATTATTTACCTACTCTGCAGATTATCCTGAGAAGTGAGTCCCTAATGTTCTCAAATGAAATCTAAGCTCACAGAAGCCAGAGTTCTCATTGCAACCATTTGACAGCTGGGAGGTTGCCCCTGTACGTGATGTCTAATACTGACCGCTCACCTTCATCATTTGGGAATGAGCTGCAATTGGCAACAACATTCAATGATGGCATGGTCCCATGCCTCGAGGAGTCAGCCTGTTGCTACCGCACACAGGTTCATATATGAGAAGAACTACAGCATTGACAGTGTAGCAGTCGAGTCACTTCTCAAGCCTGATTCATGGGTACCAAACTCAGTGAGTACGATCATCCATCTCCCTTGTTGCCTTCACTCACCCTTGATTAGAACTTGCTGTCAGACAGCCTTAGTGCATTTGGATTCAACGTGTTTGCTGTGCTTGTCATTGATCTCCTTCATGAGTTCGAACTAGGGGTTTGGCATATGCTTCTAGTTCATTTACTTCACATCATTTTTGCCTTGAATAAGGACCTGGTCCACGAGCTTGATAAAAGGTTGCTAATACATATCCAATGAAGGCCCACCACACTCATCCCCTCCTCTGACAGATACAGACAAGTTCCCTCATTTGGGCCCACAACGATTAGGCAATTCTCTGCCAACACCTCTGAATTGTCGAACTTGGCTGCACGAAACTTCGAAGATCTTCTTCAGGTATGCATTTGGGATAATTCTCATATTGCTTTGTGAACTAATTTGGTACCAGTGTTCTATCCTGGTCTTCAAAGGCCTGCTCCCCGAAGCTTACAACAAAATTATCATGGACCTACTTTTTATCATGGCACACTGGCATGGACTTGCCAAACTGCACATGCATTCTGACCTGACCTTAGCAATCCTTGACCAACAAACAACCGATCTTGGTGAACAATTTCATAAGTTTAAGGCAACAGTGTGTGCTGCATACAGCACCCAGGAGCTCGATCATGAGGTTGATGCACGGTCTCGTTGGCAGGCAAAGGATGTGGCTAAGCAGGTGGAGACAGGCAAGGCGGATGGTGTTGGGCAAGGAACTGCAGCGAGTACCAACACTAAAGGGAAACAGAAGGCCAGTGCAGAGCACTTGCAGGATACCCCCTTACCAAAGCAACTGAGGAGGAAGAAATCATTCAATCTTCAGACCTACAAGTTTCATGTGCTGGGGGACTATGTGACTTCCATCCATCACTTTGGAACCACTGATTCATACAGCACAGAGCCAGTAAGTCATGATCTGCTGCCCATCACTTTAGCTTAACTGCTATTTAGGGGGAGTTGGAGCACCACACGCTGAAGGGTAGATACTGTCGAACTGATTGCAGATCCTTTGTTCAACAGCTAACTCAGATTGAGCACCATCAAATGTGCTTGGGCTGCATTAAACAATGACATCAACAATGGGCTTCTCATATGGAGTCAAACGAAACCGTGAGTGATCCCCGGCTACACCACCACATCGGCCAAAGCGAGAAGCTTTACGATGAAGTTGGTCATTACCTTCACAGTAATGCAGGAGATCCTGCTATGAAGGTAGCTGACCTTGGAATTTATTAATCATCATTCTGACATGAGCATCAGGACTTCCTGCCGCAGTTAAAAGATTATATTTTGGACCATATTGTCACAGGGGCGCCTGGATCTTCTATGGAGAAAATCACCCATACCGACAAAGAATGTGCTTCCATTCTCTTTAAACGTAATAGAATCTATCACCACAACCTGGTGAGGTTCAATTATACAACTTACGATGTTAGAAGGGCTCAAGATGTCATCAATCCGAGAACCCCACATTGCAACATCATGTTGCTCCAACATGATGATGGGCACAATGGCCACTACCATTATGCCAAGGTCCTTGGTATACACCACATCAATGTTGTTCATACTGGGAATGTGTACAAATCTCATTGAACAGAGTTCCTTTTTGTGCAGTGGTATGAGTCTGTACAGGAACATGTCTGGGAAATGCATACTTTGTGCCGCATTCATTTCCTACCTCTAGTGAATCCGGGTGCATTCAGCTTCATAGACCTGGGCACTGTGCTGAGGGCATGTCACATTATTCCAGCTTTCTCTCGAGGCCAGCATAACTCAAATGATGGGATTTCTCCCATAGCGGGAGATAAACACGATTGGCAAGAGTACTACATTAATAGGTGAGTTATCCTGTCCTCTTTTGGCCATGTCTACTGACTTTACAACTCTATTAGTTCTGCCGATCATGATGCCCTCATGAGGTTTCATTTTGGCCTCAGGGTAGGGCACATTTACTCGCATAGTGTGGGGGTCTCAGAACCTCATAACTCCGCACCACAGCATGCTGGTCAGACAAGTGCACAAGTGCAAGATGAATGTATCAAAGACAATCCAACAGGAATCGCCCAACCACCTGACAGGGAGTGGGATGAACAGGATGAAGATGGTGATTACCTTGGTGTCGAGGAGCCATGCTTTTTGGGGCCAGAAAGGAATGCGAGCATGGAATTGATTATTGAGGTGCTAGATGAGATGTTCATGGACTGCACCCTTGATTTTGATTATGAAAATTAATGTTACATCACAGCAACTGATGCCAGTCGATGGGCGCGATCTGAATTCCTCATCAGCCTTAATGTGAAGTAGTATGTGTTACCTTACTCAATGGCACAATTTTCATTACTCATGACTGCCCATCACATCTGCCCACCATTCCTGCCCACCGCCTCGCCCACCGCCCCTGCCCACCATGTATTCTTAGCTATTCGCTTGTGACCATCTTTGATTTCTGGCCATTGATAATGCATGGCCAGTCTTTATAATACATGGTTGGTCTTCATTTGTTGCCAATTTGCTTGCCTGCTACCCTAATCATGGACAGTGTTCCATCAATGTCCAATGTGTGGCTATACATGCCACAACGGAATTCCATTCTTCGCCTCATACAACTCACTGTAAGTAAGCTCTATACTACAAATCATCCACTGAATCTTTCCCTCTAGAATGAAGTGGTTCATCACCATCCATCAGTGCTGCAGCCGTTGTTTCCTTTTAACCTGCAATTTTAGCATCTGTTTGTCACTTTTATGAGGGCAGAATTCATTCTCATTGGATACTTGGCCGACTACACTCACATCTACCCCATCTATGTGAGTTTGTCTCCTCAAATCAAATAATTATCTCATCGTATTGATCTGTTCATAGTGTGACAAAGTATTTGAGAATGATCAGCCTTGGATTCATGTACTTCAACAGGTTGGAACGCTAGTTGTCCCTGGCGCGGGGAATATGCACCATATCCACAATTTATTCGCAACAATGGTGAGAGCTTCACCTCCCCAGACAGTTCACTTATTCAATTGCAAAATCAGTTGGAGAGCAGTGCCTATGTTTGATCAATCGATTCTACCTGTTGCAGACCAGGTGTCAGAGGCTTAGTGCTTCCTTCGTGGTTGGTGAGTTTTGTTATTTAGTTGTAGTTGTACATGTCTTCATCGTCACATTGATAGCTTCCAGAGTTGAACACATCAGTACAATTCCATCATGCTCTGTTTCCATTTGGATATCCACCTCCCAAGCATCTCGTTGTCCCTGATTCGTGTGCTGTGGAGACACCCTCCTTTAGCACATCTATGCCATTTTCATCAGGACATCCACCCCTCAAGCACTTCAGTCTCGCTGATCCAGTCCTTCAACATGCTGCTGAGATGCCTGTCATTGGCACATCTGTGCCATGTTTGGATTACATTGATCTTGCATACAGTGACTTCAACTTCTATGACCACTCCACTGGCTATTCTGCAAGCGCTGTTGACAAGTATCTCATTCCAGAGGACACAAATGAAACACAACTCAAGCTAGCCTTTGGTGAGCAGCAACAGATCATGCATCCCAACCTGGAATGGAGAGACTCCACCAATACTGGTGTGGACAAAAACATCTGCTCACAAATACTTCATTACATGAGGAGGTCGCCCTGGAATTGAATAATCATGCTAACAAGGTGCTTGCTCATAGGTGGGTTGTGGACTGGAGCTTCTGGAAACCCATTTCGAATTTCTGCGACAAGAACGTGATGTCTGATAAGATTTGTTTTCTCACTAGTTTAGACATGACTCACAAGACCTATGAGGACATGGAGTCCCACCCAGGTCGGTGTCTTGCATTTTGGGCATTTCATTATGAGTCACTATCTTACAGTTTGATCAGTGATCACAAGGATTTCAGAGACCAAAACCGTGTCTGCCAGATGGCCTGTGCTTCGCTTAAGTGTATGTTTTCCCTCATCCTTGCTTTTGCTTCCTCCTAGGAACTAATTTGAGCAGCTTGTTAAGTCATTCTCCAGTGCCAAATTGGACTTAGGAAAAATCCTGAAAGGTGCGATGTCAGCGCACCCCAACTTTCCCAGTACCAAGACGATTGAGAAGGCTATCTCCTTCGTTCTGGCTCTTAACTTGGGCCAATCCTCTCAGGTAAGAGACTGGAGACCAACTAGCATAATTCGACCTCAAGCATTTTTGTTTTCCAGGTCCAGCAAGCAAATTCAGACCTCATAAGTCACCAGGTATTTTGAGAAGTTCTGTGGGGGTCCCTTTTGTACCCTGTCGACGGGTTATCAGATAGAAATTCCAATGGAAGAATTGGCGACCTTTTTCCAGAAGAGGTTCTGTCAAGGTTCAATTGTTTAGCCCAATGCCTGGCCAGAAATTTAATGACTTTTGCAAGTCTTTCTTCCCCTTACCCTTTTGTATTGAACTAATGAAATTTGCATCAATATGTCAGGTTTACCATATTCTACTTCTCATGGTGAAGGATGAATTAAAGAAGAGGAAGACCATGGTCATGAGTGAAGCCAAGGTTGGGAATGAAGCTGAGGCTGAGGTAGAGGTGAATATCAATATCAACACCAGCGCTAATATCCTGGAACCAGCACCAATGAATGCCATTATCATGGCAGCTCTAGACCATATGTATGAGCACCTACACATGTTTACAACATTCTCAGAGGCTGTGAGGAGTCTCCCCTTCATAACATAAATTTCATCTGTGCACTGTTTTACCTAGCTCATCATGATCTACATTTAGGAGTTCTAATGTTCTTCAGATCTCTGCAAAGTCACAACTTGCGAAAAGCACTATCTCTGACACTACCAGTGACAGGTGAATGGTCCTGGAAGACATTTGGCCTATCATTGTTCAGCCAATCCCCTCTGCTCAGTTTGGCACGCTTCCCAATAGCAACGGCTTTAGTTCCCCAAAGTCTCTGAGAGTCGTGTGGGACTTGCCCATGTCATCATTCTTGTGCAAGTAAATAGGACGTATGGTGCCACTTTCTTCATGTGCCATCTTGCACTAAATCCATGCATGTATAACAATCTTTGGAGCTGTCCTATATGCCCAGAAAGCCGCAATCCCATCCATTTTGGCTTGTCTTCTGGAAACAAATTTAAACATTTATTTGCCGACTATGAAGCTTGAAGAGCACACATCACACAGAGCTCGAAATTGACAGCACAGTCAAACACTGCATGGTATTGAGATACGGTCACAAGAGGTTCAAATTCACATCATGCCATGGGTGAGTGTGCTCCAGCACTTAAACGATAAATGTAATTTTGATTGGCACTGGGCAGAATTGAAGTTATGTAATTTTGATCATCGGCGTTGGGCAGAATTGAAGTTCTGCTTATAGATAATTGATCACCCGCCTTACTCACGCCAATACATGACTTGCATTACTTATGGCAAATAGCCCCTATCGAGCTGTCAAACCCTGCATCATAACATATCATAACACAGATGTCTCGCACAAACCATGTGGCCTGTAGGGGATTGCTGCCAATGAAAGGCAGGAAAGTTTTGGTAAGTAACGACTGTAATCAGCGACAGTAACTAACAATTTCTATCAGACACAAGTTGATCTGTGGTTCAATTCAGTGAGTCTGTCAGGAACTTCTCACTGATGGCTTACCCGAGATATACAGTGTCCCGTTCAATCGGTCGCCATCCCACCCATGCATCGTCCAGTCATGACGATAAAGACAACATTCATCTATGCTGTGAATAAAGCAAGAGCAATGCTTTGGGTACATCATGTGAATTTCATTAGCACAACCATGATTCACACATGCCCTCTGTGTAGCTATAATGATTTGGACTCAGGGATGATTGTCACACCTTAGGCATTCACACATATAGCAGAGCCTGACACATCCCATATATCCATCATCCATCATGAGATATCCAGCTTGTAGCATAGATTTCCAAATCTCCCCACATTTCAGCGCTACAACAATTGTACAGTAATTTAGCACATGTCATATTCTGCACAAGATCACAATCGGTCTGATTTTTCCATAGGCCTGCATATGTACATACTAGTGCAGTACCATAATGATCTTACTATATATCACCTACTATATCCTATATCCCTCATGATCACTCCAACTGCCTTCACTAATTATATCCCTGGTTTCAGGGTTGTTCCCAGTGGAGGTATTATGATCAGAATCGTGCATGGCATGAAATATAAAAATATCAACACCTCACTATCATTGTGTGAATGTTGAATGATGGCTACAATGGTGACGGTATGTACTTTGTTCAGCTGCAAGCTCTAAAGCTTTTTGTAGAGACCCCAGCTAAAAGAATTGTTTGATAGATGTTGCAGCTGCTTGATTGCAGTATTCCTATCTGGCCTACACAACTCGGGTGGTACACTGAAATGGCATGGTCACTGTGAGTGTCGTCAATATTACAGGACAAACACGGAGTACTCACACAATGACATAGGGATTCTCCACAGTGCAACTATGACATCGATGTGATGCAGATCGAATTGCCTCAGTTGGTGTCCTTTGTTACTGATGATGTTGATCTAACCATGGCATCAACAGGTCTGAGGTGCATGGGGGTTGGACCAAGCTGGTTCACCCATCAGGAGCCATATATAACTACAATGTGGGAATGGTGAGTGCAGGCTAGTATTTGGAGTTACATGCTCACTTTGTTCTAATAAAGAAAACATTCGCCAAAATGAACTTGAGGACTTGTTCAGAGGAACGGCTCTGGAGGCTTGAGTCCTGGGTCAGAGTGTCAAGAGCCAAGCTAAACAGAAAGGGATATCTGCTAGTCGTGGAGCCAATCGTAGTGCAAGAGAAGGAAGTCTATCCATACTATTACGTTGTCCCAGAGAATTATATGATTACCTGGGTGGAGCCAGTGAATGGCTACCTTCTTTCCAGGAATCTATGGCATTGCACTGGAATCATAAAAGTACGTCCTTTTTTGTCCATTGATTCTTAAACTTGATTGTATAGGACTCGAACTGGAGGCTCAATTTTGGTGAGCGATTGTTATACTGACATGGAACATTTCTTACTGATTGAGTAGGAAACATGCCAAATATTTTCCTCATGAAATCACAATATCCCTCTCGGAAGTAAGAGCTTTGCGAATTCAGCTGAACTGGTATCACATAGGTGAGTTATTTAGTGTTATAGAGCCTGATCAAAAGTACCTGAACAACAAACAGAAGCATTGGCCATTGAACAGTCAACAGCAGCTTCAATATTCTGGACTCTGGACCAGATGAAGGAAATGACCGATGAGCTGATCATTACTGGCATGTACCTTTATCTTCACCATTCAATCCACATTAATCAAATTGATGACTGACACAGAGGAACTTGCAGAACCTGATGGGACCATGAAGGGACCAGGTGTTGCAATATGTGGTGCATGAGCTTGAGTGTAGCTGGCAATCAGAAAACTCATCTTTCGTGAGGCAAAATATTGCATATGCTCCATACAATGCCATTTTCTCATACCATACATCATTGAATCAAGCAATAAAAACAGGTCATCATGAATACCTGAACCATTATGGCCAACCCGAAGCTCGCCTGATATGAATGCACTCACTGGCCAAAAAATGCAGAGACCTTGAAGATTCTCCCTTGATCGCTGGCGCTGCAGTTGCCATGCTTTGGATTCCATTGATGATGCTTAGACGCCTTAAAATGATTTACATTGATGGTCTTGTGAATGTGATGGACATTAGGAGTTTTACTGACAATTTCAGCGCCCAGGCTAAAGCTCAAACTACCATGGTAAGTGCTCTGTCGTGGACCTAAATGAACATGCTTACTATGACTTCATCTGCTCTGACAGGCAAGTGTCATCATGGCCGTCAATGCCAGCATCCTTGCTGTCCCAGGTTTGGGCATGCAACTTACCATGAAAATGATGTGCTCTATCTCCTTCAGTCTCAGTTTCTACTGTATTATTGGGTGTGCAATAGCACAACACTTTGGTCACAGGTTAAGATCCCTTGACTTTGCAGTTCAAACAATTTCATTTTCTGTAACACAGGCCTGACGTTATCAACTTGACAGGTGTATTATTTACAGGAGAAGATGGCCAGTCTTGCTATCATCGCAAGTATACCAAGTTTTTTGTACCTGACAAGGTAATTAAAACTTGGGTTGAAATGTTTCATTACTCACGGGGACCACTGCAGTTTGGGATTTTCCATCCTCAGATTTCTGGCAGGTGTATTTACTGCTGAATTTGGACTATCTTTGTCTGCAAGGATTGGATGTATTCTGGCACTCATTGTTGGAGTGGGCCTCATACTTCCGTTGACAATAGCCAGTTTCGGTCCTGGCCTGATTTGGTGATGAGGAATGACTCCTGTATTGGAGAAACGCATTAATGGCTAATGGACCACGAACGATGCATATTAGCCTTCTGTACATTGTAGGGAGATTTTAATTGTTCCTTCATATCTGTTCATATTCATTATAAAAACTTTGTTGCTTCTCAGTGCTTCTCCCGTGTGACAACGAGTCACGGTTGGTGATCTCAACTACTGATAGATAGACAGTAAATCAATCAGAGTTTGAAAGACTTGCCAGTGGATGTTGAGTTCAAGTTCTCAATGCAGCGACCAACACCCTTTCTTCCCACCATCAATCATGGAAACATCCTTCTTGGTGCTGCACTACAATCAACCCAAACATTGACCTATCAGCACCCTGGACCCAAATCAATAAAAATATCTTATTGATTCCACCAGTTATGTGTTCTATGTGGGTTCCCTCACTCAAGAAGAGGTTATCAAAGGTGAGTGATGCTTGAACGAGCAAGTTGACTTATCATTGCGCCACATCTGATTGGGCAGGTCGCTACCCACCCCCATGGATGCTGCATTGACCACACTTTGGACCACCAGTGCATCCAGCTTGTGAGCAAAATCACTTATAACATGTTGGCGCTCGTTCAAGACCCTTATGGCAACTATGTTCAAGTGCCCTGTTGCTCATCTGATACAAGACACTGATAGTTGGGGTTACCAGGTTGTTCAATATATCTTGGATCTCAACAATCGTTTTAGTGATGTTGTCATTTGTCAGTTCACAGGCAATGTTTATGTGCCTTCTGTCCAGAAGTTTAACTCGAATGTCATTGAGAAAGTGAGCATTTTTTTAAATCTTGATGGACGTTTTCATGCCGAGTGGGACTAGTGCATCTTGTGTGGCCGAACACAGTACCAGGAAAATTTTGATTGAAGAGCTACTCAACTGCTCCCACTTGGAGAAACTACTTTGCGACTCATATGGCAACTATTGTATGCAGGTACCATTTTTCTTTTGTCCATTTGTCGCTTGGGCTGGACATTCCTGTAGACCACACTAGACTATCCTGATCCTGCACAGCATATGCTCCTCCTCAAAAGCATTTGCCCAGTCCTTCCCTTAATCTGCAACACTCCTTGTGATCCAAACCAAGTTGCAGTGGGAGCAGGCCAACATTGAGAACCTCAGCTTTCATGCCCCTTATGGCATGATGCTCATGGGTAACTCTGGCCATTGTGGTGGGAACCCCAGTTATCATGGTCACGGTCACCACAATGCAGGGGCCTGGCACATCCCCCAGGGAATGCACCCTACCAGTGTTGCTGATGTCTATGCCCAGGGAGGCTTGTATGGTATCCAAGTACAAGGCTCCTACAGCCATTCTCACCTTGGTCCCAAAATGCACGGTCTTCAGGCGTGTTTGATCAATGGACATTTCTTGCAAGGCACCTCTCCTCATAGTGCGAGCCTGATGCCCCCCCCCCCCCCCATACCCAAGCCACTGGCTATACAGGCATTGCTGGATATGCTAATGTGAGCCCTTTTGGCACAGTCAGTGTTGCCAGGGTCATTGAATGATCCTTATTAGAGCTACGCCTATGGCATGTAGAATGGGGTACATTGTATGCTGATTTGGACATTTCTGCTCTTTCGATCCTTGCACACCTGCGCAGTTGCTTTTCAATGGTTTTAATGTATATTTTATGTACTTGTGTTCAACACTCATACCTCAATGGTTTTAATGTATATTCTATGTCCTTGTGTTCAATGCTCAATACCTCACAAGCATGTCACTCAGCTGCAGATCTCATCTTCCAGGAGATTTTTTTCAATCATGAGTAAGGGCTGACTTTTATCATACTGTGGCGCTTTTTTTTCTTAGGTGAAAAATTCGCTTTTGTAAGTCTTGTTTTCACTGGCCCAGGTTCAAACATTCAGTACAACGTAAATTTTGCAAGGATATTGTGAGGATATTGCAAAGCATTTGCATAGATACTCCACAATGGTGAGGGATGACGATAATGCATAACTATTATAAGGATACTGTAGCTCTTGTCTGCCGACTGCATCTGATTACAAACAGCCACCACGAAGTCAAGCTCATACAGTGGGTGACCATCATTTTGGAGAGATGCAGGTCTTCCTTCAAGTGTTTATCTGCTGACTGTCACAGTTGTGAGACCTATGATGCTTCATCAGAATTAAAGTTCTCTTGCAATGTATTGTTGTTTGATGTTATAATGCTGATGCTTTTACAATACTTTGTCTTTGGATATAATCTGCGCATTTTTTATTTGATTTTGGCATAAATATCTATTTAAAGCATCTCCAGCCCGATTCTGTGATGTTCATGCAACCATTGTGGCTGCTGAGGTCATCAACTTGTATGGCATGGAAGTGGCTGCAGCATGGCATCAATACCCTGCTCACACTTTGTGTCTTCACAATGCTCTCAATAGATCTTCTGCTACTCACCTTGCTCAGTGGCTTTCAGTACCTGTTGAAGATCTAACTCATTGCCTTGAATGACTTACCTGTGGCAAAATTCACTTGTCCTTTTAACAATTACCTTGCAATCTCCATTTGCAGTACAATTCCCATTCTCTTTGCAAGTCATGCAATGTGCTGGCAAACCATGCATGCCAACATGCCATTTGTCTTGCTGAGTTAGACATGGATTCCCTTGGCGGTGTGTACCTTGCATCTTTGCCATTCCTCTCTTCTGTGACTCTGTCACAAGCAGTTGTCTTCATGTCCATCCTGGTCTGTGAGTTTGGCCCTCAAATCATTGACCATTTGGTGGAGCTGATACTGTCCCATTCAGATGCTGGCAAGAAACAATGTGTGGAGCAAAGGCAGCTAGCATTGACAGTGGCCAAGGATCTCTGTACCACTTGTGAAGAACAGTGGCCCTCAATGGTCCAACCACAGATAGTTTTGGATCACCTACATGCCTATCTAGACAGCTCAAAGTGGTCTGAATCTCCAGTTTGTGCTGTATGCTTGCAATGTGAATCAGATGGTGTGGATGTGAATTTGTCTGCTGATTTGGGCAGACTCAATCTGGAACTTCTTTACCTAACTGATGAATATTTGATTCATAAATGCATAGTCCAGGGCATGTCAACATGCTTCACATTTGGTTCTGACCTAATAGATGGTCTGGTTCTCAATGCTGCCAGTGTCTTTCACCAGGACTCCAAACCTGTTGCACTACATATATGTTCCCCCTGTCACTCCTCTTTGTCCCATGACAGAATTCCTCCCCTCATGCTGGCTAATGGTTTGTATTGTGGATGTTTGCCTGAACAATTTCGTGACTTGATGTGGGTGGAGGAAAAAGTTTGTGCTATCTATTGCATCACTGCCCATGTTACTCATCTCTTTCAATCCACTGATCCATCACAGCCTAAGGTGTTCCATGGTAATACCTGCACCCATGACATGAATGTGATGTCAACTGTGACAATTCTACCTTGCACTCCTTCGGACATCAATGGTTTCATCAGTGTAGTATTTATTGGACCCAATAAGTTTGATCCCAAGTGCATGGGCTCCTTATTTCAGGTGCAGAAAGAGAAGATCTGGGCATTTCTGAACTGGTTGAAATTCCACAATCATCTCTATGTGGATCTACCCTTGGACTCTTCCATCATGGATATATACCCTGTGGATGGATTACTGCCTGGCTTGCACTTATGTGTTGTGGAAGATCATGAGCTTGACACTGATTTCATTTTCAACACAGAAACTGCAGGCTTTTGCCCCCATCCTGCAAACTTGCTGCATCATTCTGATGCCCCTGTTGCTGCTGATGCCCATGTAACTATGATAGAGAAAATGGGTATCTCTGACCCAGAAAGTGTCAAAATCAGCAGCCAACATTTCACTGCCTCTGCCCTCCACAATCTCATTCCTGACTGCAATGCATCTTCCCATCCTGATCTGGTCCTTCATCACAGCAGCAATGCTATTCCTGAGTACAATAACACTTGTTTGTTTCCTGGCATGTATCCAACATTGTACCCCTATGGAGTTGGTGGATTCAATGACAATTTGCAGTGTTCCCTGTTGTTGTTTGAACATCAAGCCAAATACTGTTACAGTGCCCCACTCTTTTTCCCATCATCACTGCAGACACCTTATGGCTGTACTTCTGACACTTCCTTTTCACTGTGCTGTTTCCTCAAGGTCTCTCTTATCTCTGACTCATACTCTGTTTTCCCATGAACCTTCCTTTCCTAGTACTCATTACCCTTCACCCAGCTTGGTCTGTGCATGATTCCCTTATGTATATAAACTCTAATTACTGCTTGTATTTTCTCTAACTTGAATTTACTTGGTTCTCTTTCATACTTGAACTCTAGCTCCTTGGGAAGGAGGCTAGCTATTGTCTCATTTGAACTCTAGATCCTGCAGGAGTCTAGGTAATCGCTCCTGAGGGAGGTGTTGACTCGATAAGGCTTAGTCCTTGATCAACCTTGATCCTGATTCCTTTATTGGAATGATGCTCTATCTGAGTTCATAACAAAAGATTCAAGTTACTTCTGAACCCCTCCATCTGTAGGGGCTTTACCTTTTGAACCCATGAAACTGATTGATTGCCAAAGTGGCACCTTCCAAGAAAAGCAAGAAAGCCTTCTCTGAACAATCTGGACTTCCTTACAGTCCTTATCCACCCAGCACTCCTAGACAAACTTCTTTGTCACAAGGATCCTTTGACATCCCCTGCACCCCTGTTCTCCCTACTCTTGCTGTCCCAGGCCCTTCATTCATTACACACTGCACTATTGTTTCTCATTTTGAAACAAGTGCACCAGCACCTGTAGAAGACAGAGACAAAGAAATCCCTGACACTCTGCCCATTGAACTGGTAGCACCACCCAGATTCCCCTCCCCTGAACCAGAACCATCAGATGCCAACTCAGACTCAGACTCTGACTCAGACTCTGACTCCAACATGCTGAAACCAATTGAAAGAAAGATTTGCTCACCACCTGACTTTGATGGAAATCAAGATGGAACTGCAAGGTTCCTTTGTCTCATCACACTCTATCTAGATGTGAACAAAGAAATTTATGATACCAACACCAGAAAGATCACCTTTGCTCTTTCATTTATGAAAGAAGGTACAGCTGCAGCATAGATGGAAGACTTCATTGAACATGCCCAGCAACCTGACCCTACTTCCACTACTGGAGAAAAGAACGGATATGGAACTTGGGACAAATTCACCTCCCAATTTGAAGAAACATTTAACCTGATTGACTCAGCTGGTACTGCACTTCACAAGCTCCATGCCCTTAAACAAGGCAATGACTTAAGCAAGTACATAGCCACATTCCGACAGCTCTGTAACTGAGATGAGATCTATAGCTTCAATACTCAGAAAGATTATTTCCTCCGAGGCCTTAAACAGCTGCTCATCATGAAACTCTGCAATTCCGGAGAAATCCCTGACACCCTTGACAGAATAGTCAAGAAGGTGATATCCATTGAGAACTCCTATCAGCTTCTCCTTTCCCATAGACCCTAGAACAATAACAGAAACACCTGATTCAACAATCAACGATCCACTCCATGTTTCACCCCTAGAAACAATGACCCTAATGCTATGGATGTCAATCGCCTCTCTGAGGCTGAGAAAAAGGAATACATGAAGCAAGGAAAATGCTTCTTCTGCAGAAAGGTTGGTCACACATCTAATGACCAAGAATTCCATCCTTGAAACAGAGATGCCAGAAAGAATAACTATAAAGGAAAGCAGATGGTAAGGTGTACAGCGCCTAAAGAAGAAGATACCAGCAAGATTGAAGATCTTGATGACAAAGATGATCTTAATGCTAGAAGAATGGATTTTTGAACCAGGAGCCTACCACAATGTTAGCCACTCATTGTATTGATGTACATATTGCACATAATGTAGGAAAAACTAAAGAATTAAGGGTCCTGGCGACTGTCTTTTCCTCCATACACCCCAATAAATCATTGCAAACCACCACTGTTGTTGACTGCAGTGCAGCTGCCACATTCATCCACTGGATATTTATAAGGAAGCACAGAATCAAGACACACCACTTTGAAACACCATTCTCTATCTGAACTGCAGATGGAAAGATCTCCAAAGACCCCATCACCCATTATTGTCATCTTGCAATCAAGATTGATGATTGACTCATGACCGGAAAATTCAACATCATGAACATAAGTGACAATGATATGATCCTCCTTGGGAAACCTTGGCTCTCCGCCATGAACCCTGATATCAACTGGGCTAAAGACACCCTCCGACTTCCTTCTACTCCTAGCTCACTTTGACTAGAAGAAGTATTCAAGAAGAAATGGGGCTTCATTCCTTCACCTTGCAAAAAGGTCACAATTGAAGAAGAAGAAGACCTAGAGCAATTTAAACCCGTCTATGCTCCACTTCCTGTAAATGGGAAAAGAACCCTTGAATGCCAAAAAGAAAAGAAGAAAGAAGAAGAACCACTTCCACCTCTTTGGCCAGATCCTGACGAAGACCCATTACCCTAATATGACACCAAAGATGATGTCTGGGATGATATCCCCACTGAACCAGCTTTCCTTTGAAAAATTGATGACCCTGTCACTTACCCCATCAATGATGATGAAGTATTAATAGAATATGCCAAAGACGGCTCTTCTATAACTCTTTTCAAAAACCTTTCCTTTGACACACCCCTCACATGTGATGGTACTTCTGTCACAGAAATCAGACAAGCTGCAGCTCTATCTCCTCTAAGGAACTCCTGGATTTATGCACAAAAGACCAAAAAAGATGAAGAATACCTGAAAACTAGCAATAAAGCTCAAGAATTTGCTCTGAAAGATGCTCAAGAAAAGAAGAAAACCTTTGAAGAGCTTGTCCCTGACTACCTCCATGACTTCACCGATGTTTTTGCCAAAGACAGCTTAAACAAACTTCCCCCATCTCAACCAGGTGTTGATCATTAAATTGAAACCAAACCTGGATATATTCCAAAATCTGCGAAAACCTATCCTTTATCTCTGAAAGAAACTGATGCTGTGAAAGCTTTTCTTGACGAACATATTGCTAAAGACTTCATCCAACCATCAAAATCTCCACAAGCCAGAGGATTCTTCTTCATAGGAAAAAAAGATGGATCCCTATGCCCTTGCCAAGACTATCATTACATCAATGAATGAACGATAAAGAATGCCTATCCCCTTCCTTTGATTCCCCCTCTCATCACCAAGCTAAGGGACACCAAGTATTTTACCAAAATGGACATCTGATCCGGATATAATAATATCTTGATCCACCCTGATGATCACTGGAAAGCAGCATTCACCACCTCCTTTGGACTCTTTGAACTGAAAGTCATGTTCTTCAGCTTATGCAACTCTCCTGCAATGTTCCAAGCCTATATGAATCAGACCTTCCAGAAAGAGATCACTGAAGGCTGGATGATCGTTTATATGGATGACATCCTCATTTTCTCGAAAACCTTAGAAGAACACCAGAAATGAACACACCATATCCTCAATATCATCCAAAAAGAAACCCTCTTCCTGAAACCCAAAAAATGCACCTTTGATGCCCAAGAAGTTGATTATCTTGGAATGATCATCCATCCTGGACAAGTTGTGATGGACCCAGCCAAGCTATCTGGCATTAGTCAATGGACTATTCCAACTTCAGTAAAAGAAGTCTGATCATTCCTTGGATTCTGCAACTTCTATCGTCACTTCATTTCCCATTACTCTGATCTCACCTGACCCTTGATAGATCTGACCAAGAAAGATGCTGTTTTCACATGGTCACAATCATGCACTGATTCCTTTGAGAAGTTAAAACAATGCTTCTTATCTGAACCTGTCCTCCAAAACCCTGACCCCTCTCGGCAATTTGCCCTTGCCACTAATGCATCACTCATTGCCACTGGTGCAGTTCTCTTTCAGACTGACAAGAATGGCGCATATCATCCATGCAGCTACCTTTCCCAATCCTTTAACCCCACTGAAAGAAACTATCAGATCTATGATCGTGAACTCCTTGCCATCATCCGTGCTTTGAAAGCATGGTGACACTACCTTGAAGGGAACCCTCACCCTGTCATTGTATTCACAGATCACAAAAACCTCCTCTATTTCCACTCTGCACAGAACCTCACTCACTGACAAGCACATTGGCAGTTAACCCTGAATGAATTTGATCTCAAACTCCACTATGTCCCAGGAAGCAAAATAGCTGCTCCTGATTCTCTCTCATGCCACCCTGATCACTCTTCTGACCCCTTGGATAACTCCAATGTCACACTTCTCTCTGATACCATGTTTTCTTGTCTTATTGACAGTGACCTCGTCAACACCCTGAAAGCCATGGACCCTCTCTCTGACCCTGTCATTCTGGCTGCACAACAAGCCCTTGATGGGTTAAACGCACCCCCTATGAAATCTGCCCTCTCTGATTGGAAGTTTGATGATGGCACTTTGTTTTATAAAAACTGTGCTTATGTTCCCATTCATCTCCGACACTGCATTCTACACCTTCACCATGATCACCCCACTGCCAGCCACCCTGGGCACTTCAAGACTGAAAAACTAGTCAAATGTGACTATTGGTGGCCCAGAATGGGCACTTTCATCCACAAATATGTTGAAGGTTGCACCCTATGTCAGCAAATGAAATCTGATACTCATCCTTCCACACCACCCTTGAACCCTATTCCTTCCTCTACACTTCATCCCTTCTTGCAGATCTCCATTGACCTGATCACTGACTTGCCTGAATCAGGTGGTTTTGATTTGGTTATGGTCATGGTAGACCATGGCCTTATGAAGGGGGTAATTCTCTCATCATGCAAGAAAACTATTACATCAGAAGGAGTCACCCAACTCTTTTTCAAGAAAGTTTTTCTTAGATTCAGACTCTATGACAAGATCATCTCTGATAGAGGACCCCAGTTCACCTCTAAATTCACCAAAGAACTTGGAAGACTCCTTGACTATGAAGTCACACTTTCCACTGCCTACCACCCACAAACTGATGGACAGACTGAACATCTGAATCAGGAACTCAAAACCTATCTCCACATTTACTGCCGCCTGCCACTCCACTCCTCTCAATTGGGTAAAGCATCTACCCATGACCAAATTTGTCCACAACTACCAAAAGCATGATGCCCACAATGTCTTCCCTTTCTACCTCATAATGGGTTATGAACCCCAAAGAATCCCCTATATTCTCCCAAATTCCACTGTCCCTGCAGCAGAAGATTGAGTCAAATACCTTCAGAAGATCTGAGAAGAAGCAATCTCTGGAAACAGAAGTCCATGGCCTGAACCACACTGAACCACCCCCTGACATCATCAATGGACAGGAAGAATATGAGATAGAAGCTGTTCTTGCTCATAAGGGAAATGTAAAGGGAAAATGACACTTCCTTGTATCATGGAAGGGTTACCCTTCTTCAGATAACTCCTGGCTCCCTGAAAAGGAATTAGACAATGCCCAGGAAATCCTGAAAACCTATAAAGACCACCTTTAACTTTATTGACTCTTTACCTAGAAACCTGATCCCAGAATATGCCTTCTTCACAATCCTCGAACTCTTCTCTTGAAATCCATCGCTCCCAGCTCAAACTTCACCACAAGTGAGCTCTTGTTGAATCAACCCTTTCTTCCCTTCCTTGTGTTTTACCTTTAGATCTTTTCTTTTCTGAAGATATCATTTCTCTTTCTTTGATGACCATTCACCGCAGTCCAGACCTGGCATCTAGCTACGCCCATACCATTGCAGCTCCTGCCAAAGAAACCACCAAGCATTCCATCATCTATCATATGACCAAGATCAAGTCCCTCACCACTGAACGACTCTTAGATTGAGGGTTCAAGCAAGCACTCACCCCAGAAATGATCTCTGAAATCATGAAACTAGAACACTCTATCTCTGTCAAACCCCTTCACTTCTCCACCCAAGAAGTCCCTAGATCTCCATCAGAATCTTCTGATGATGACACCCCTGTCCCCACTCCCTCTCAGCTCACGGTTTGTTCTGCAGGAAACCCATGCTGCACTCATGGTAAGGAAAGAAACACCATCACCTTCAGAATAGGCCTCTCATGTCCTATCACACCATGTCCTGCTCTGCCCATCATCATTGATGAAGACAAACCTGTGTCCTCCTCCGACTCTCATGCCCCATCTGGAGCCCCTTCAGTGAATTTACCTGTATTAGATGGACAGCTAAGGGTGACAATGTACCAATAGAGGTGGGCTAGCCCATGTGGGCCCATGGCAATAAGTGTACCATGATAGATGAGTAGGCCGGTGTGTGGTGTGTACCTGTTCCAAACGGATGGGCCAGTGGTATATAATGTAGATGGTAGTATAGGAATGTAGTGTATTGTCTATTATGAAAAGCAGTGAATGCAGTGTCTGATGAAGACAAGTGGGCCGGATGAATGCAGTGCAATGTAAATGAGTGGGCCAGGGAGATGGGTGTGATGGAGATGGGTGGGCCGAGGCACATATTGCAGTGACCTATCTCCATATTATATGAGTGAATGGACGTGCATAATATCCCATATAATACGGGCCAGCGGACCATGGGCCAAAGGTAAAAATATCCCCGACTATGATGGATGGGCCGGGAGGGATATTATTTCCGATGGGGACAGGTGGGCCCATCTATGCCCATGTTATAAATATCCTCGATGATGGCAGATGGGCCGGGAGAAATATTATTACTGATGGAGATGGGTGGGCCCATCTGGGCAATATGTAGAGTAGGATAGACATATATGATACACAGCTGGGCTGAAGAGAGATGTATGGCAGATATTATTATATAGACAGGTGGGCCAATGTATTAGTATTATTTTGTAGATGGGTGGGCCGATGGGGTGGTGAAATACTTATTATATGTATATACAGGTGGGCCGAGGTGGGGGTATATGAGATAGACAGGTAGGCCGATGGGGTGGTGAAATATGTATTATATAGATGGGTGGGCTGATGTAGGGGTATATTACATGGATGGGTGGGCCAACATAGGGTATATTACATAGATGGGTGGGCCCAGATACATATCATTTAGACATATGGGCCAAGGTATTGGTATACTATATGGACATATGAGCAATGCTGTTGCACTAGTTTTGATCCAAGTCATCAATGACATTCAGACTCAGATCCTGTCAATGTTGATCAAAGTCAACACAGCCAAGTGCCCTGTTGACTCGGAATCCAGCAATACCTTGGAAGACGGTCCATAGATGTAAGGGCCAAGGTATTTGTATACTAAATGGATGTATGGACATATAGGCTGAGGTAGTGATATATATTATATTGATGGGTGGGGTGAGGGAGTTGTTATCACACATAAACATAAACCCAACACCCAAAACTCGAATCACCGAGTACTGAGTCCTGAAGCCCAAACATCAAACCCCAAACATTGAAACCTGAAACCTGAAACTCGAAAGTTGTAAAAATGTATGAGTTTTGTAGGTAGTTGTATATCATCCAAATCAAAGGAGGTAATAATTCAAAGTCATCTAATGATGAAGGTCACAAGTGCCAGAAAATCAAGCACCCATTACAGACGTGAACATGCAGCACCAACTACTGAGTAGCTAATGCACACAGCATGCATTGCCCTATGAGAAGCCAAGTTCCAACTACCAAGATCTGAGGCCCAGGTCTCAACAAACAAATATCTGATATCCAGCACACTTCCAATCATCTGGTATTTCATTGAGCAATGGATGATAACACATCTTTGGAAAATAACATCATGTGAGGCTCCCCTATCTGATCCTCACTATCTCCACCCCCTTTAACTCCAAAGTGTGGACATGCAGGGTTCAGCATCTGATTTCCCAAGATCAATTCCATCATGACTGTTTCTTCCACTTCCGATATTGAAATAACCCTCTGGTGCACTTGGGCCCTGACTGTCACTCATGAGGCATGTGAATATACTGAATGGAAATTCAATGCAGAGAAGACAGGAGGAGACCCAGTTATACCTTCTCCGAACCTAGACACTGATCTGGTGATGGCTTGCGATTGATTGGTTGATCGCCTGATAAAGGCACATAAAAATCCCAGTGGGTCTTCTTGCAGATTCAGAAAATTGGTTTTATCAGTCAAATTGCTTTATCACAGTTCAGATGCAGATTGATGTTGCAAGATATAGCAAAGTGATCTCCCTGAAGGACACTGGGCATAATGAAGAGAGAGAGGAGAAGTTGCTTGAGAGGTGTCCTCCTGGCCATGAGGGCACAAAGTTGGTTGAGATACCCGCCACAATTCTTGATGCATCTGGTGCCATCATTGCATGGTACATCCCAGATGCTCTGACCGATGCCACCCAGGTGTGTAATATATATTGTTACTCAATGGATATTGAACATCAAATGGTGCCCACAGAAGGAAATTTGGGCAGCCTCTGATTTGCTCACTCCAATCCTCAAAAAAAGCATCAAGCTTGATGGCAATTTGTGAACTAATCAAGAGTGGTTCAAACCAATGTCTTAACTCCTGGATGCATCAATTTGTCTCTGGCATGGTTTCAACAGGGGCACAAGGTAGGATGTGATGCGATGGTGATTTTGGTAGTCAAACTCACGAATCCCCTAGAATCAGTCAGATCTGGAGGTATCTGCATCATTGAAGGGGGAATCCTCTGAGAAGATCCTCAAAGCCATTGTGAGGCCAGCAGCCATTGCAACAGTGGCACTCAGGGTGATGCATCCTGAGCAGTACTGGGCAGGTTTGTGAGCCTTTTCAAGCCTCAGAGAAAAGGCAGAAAGCAAGGAACTGCCAAAGATGTCAGAGACTCTCCAGTACTGGGCATCCGTGTTTAACAGCCTGTCTGTCATTTCCAATCGGGAAACCCCCAATCATTGAGACCATTTATCTATTCCAGAATGCTTCAACATTCTCACTACCATGGGGAATTATTCTAATGCTCGGATGAGCATGGCAAGCCTTCAGCTGGAGTTCAGGTACGATCCGGGTTGCATGATTGCGTTTTCCAGAAGGATCATGAGACATGGGGTTCATGCAGTAGAAGGGGATCAGATTGCTTGGGCATGGTATATGAGGGATTCCGTTCATGTTTATGCTGGGGTTCCATCATGTGGATGGGCTAGGGTGGATTACAAACAGTGAAAGATGAAACAAGAGGAAAGTGTAGTTACCCATGTTAGCACATACTGTCAAATACCAGATATTAGATATCAGGATCTTGAATATTTGGGCCTCAATATCCAGAACTCAAGACTCGATGGTCAATATTCAATACTCAATACTCGATAGTGGACATTTGGAACTTGATATTTGGAATTCAACATTCCATAGTTGGGTCTCAAATATCAACACCCAAATACCAAATACCAAATACCAAATACCAAATACCAAATACCAAATACCAAATACCAAATACCAAATACCAAATACCAAATACCAAATACCAAGTCCCTAATATCACAATAGTGGACATTTGGAACTCGATATTTGGAATTCAACATTCCATAGTTGGGTCTCAAATATCAACACCTGAATACTGAATACTGAATACTGAATACCAAATACCAAATATTGAGTTGGGTTTCGATATTTGATACTCACTAGTCAGGACTTGATATTTGATATTAGGGACTCGGTATTTGGTATTTGGTATTTGGTATTTGGTAGTTGGTATTTGGTATTTGGTATTTGGGTGTTGATATTCAGGGGTTGATATTTGGGACTCAGTATTTGGTATTTGGTATTTGGTATTTGGTATTTGGTATTTGGTATTCAATAGTTGGGACTTGATATTTGGTAGTCCATGTTCAGGACTCGGTATTGGGGACTCAATATTCGATAGTTGGGTCTTGATATCTGAATCTCAATACTCAATACTCAATATTCACCATTCAGGTCTTGATATTCGGGAGTCCACATTCACAACACAATATATGATTGTCTGTACTTGATACTCGATATTCAGTATTCAGGACTCAGCACATAATGTTAGGTTAGATATTTGGAAGACAGTATGTCATTTTCATGGAGTTTGGACATCAACATTCTGAACTCAAGGACTAGCACTACTCTCCTCTGCCTCTCTTCAATCTGGTCAGGATGCCGGTGTACACTTCAATCTCTGCCATCTTTTCACTGATGCCCTCTTCTTGCTCCTCAACCAATGTCCAGAGGTGTTCTCTAAGCCACCTCAGTCCCATCAGTGATGGAACCAAGGTGTTATCCACCTGCTCAGGAAGAATCAGACCATCATCCTCAATGCCACCCTAGAACAGATTAATCATCACTCGAGGAAATTGTTCATAGTTCTTACTAGCCAATGCTGGTAGTGAAAGATACAGCAACCCATTACCCAAACCCATTGCCATAATTCATCTGGGATTGCAGTGCATCCAATCCACCATGCAGTATCATAGCCAGATATAATCCTGGAGGGATCTCCTGGATCTGCAACATCATGAAAGAGACATAAGTGGGATGAAAAGACATGGTCCGGAACTGTGTTCCAGGTGAGCTGGGGAAACAACTGAAGAATATGGGCGACCAGGTTTGGAATAACCAAGATGATGTGCCTTGCAGCCAAGTACTGCAGGATGGGTGTCACAAAAGTCTGTTGGAAATCTCAGCATTGACCACCACAGTCATCAGTCTCTTACAGCGATCTCCCATTGCAGCCCAGCTTTAAAGTGCATGATCTGAGCAGTGGAAGGCTCCTTGGTGTTGGCAGCCTCTGTCTGATATTGGGAGATAGATGCTTGGATGCACGATGCAGCCATTGACATTGTGGCTGCAACATCTGCAAGACTGAGTGTGAGGGGTCGGTATTCATTGCCAGAATCCATGGCATCAGAAGGAGATGCAGGAGGAGTTTGCAGTACAGGCATGGCTAATGCAGGAGTATGAAGCTGGAAATCACAATCACAATGCCAGTTGGTTTAGATGTGAAGATATGAGCCACCGGTTGATGGATTAAAATTTTCAAACTCCAACATTTGTTCATCTGGGCATTTCCTGAGACTAAAATGTTTGGGTTGAAGTAGCTGTTTCATATCATTGGCAAAAAAGTTCATTCATCTCAAGCATCTATGAACCCACTCTGCAGGTCTTGAAATGCTGCCTGGGCATCCTGTGCCAGTAATGAATACATTTGGGATTGCCTTCCCAAGTAGCATGAATGACCCAGAAGGTGTTTCACCAATGATTCCCACATCCTGTCACCCCATTGGGTTGCTTTCCACAAGAAAAAGTTGCATGTCCAATCCATCTCCAATTGGACCAATGTCATTTCTTTCTTCCATCAATCCCATAGGGCCTTTGCCTGAAGCCAATGAACTCAGTAAACTTTGGATGGGTCTCATCAGCTGAGCATGGGATACATCAAGCATGCCTGAACTCACATTCCTCATTCCATGAGTGATCTGGGCCCCCCAGGTCCACATCGATGGACCAGAACCAAGCAAGGGACTCATTCCGCTGACCTTGGGCATTTGGATCACTGATGGCAGTGCTGATTTTGAGCTGCTCCCAAAGCAGTGGTTTGTATGTCTGAAGCTGGTCTTGCCCCAGCTCAAGTTGCATCATTTGCTTCCAGGTCTTTGTATATATACTGGCATGGAGGGACACTGCCTGCTGCACTGATGTCACCTGGGACCAAGCTCGAGTTTTCAGGGCTGAGATTTGGCCTGCCTGACCATTGTTCAGAACAGGATCACCTTGTTGCACAAGTGAATCCAGAGGTTGTGAAGGGCATCATTGGCCTGCCCTTCATGAAGCAACATCTCCAGCAGAATCAGATCCTCTGCCATACAGCATCTGCTTAAATCTACCCTGAGGTTTGATGGCAATGGGATGACAGTGAGCTCAGGGGAGTTTGCCCATGTATCAGATGTGTTGGTGAAATCTGCCAGGTCATCATTGAGATCATCAAGAATGTCTATGTTCAAGTCATCAGGATTGTTGTCTGCATCAAATCCCTCTCCCAGATGCGCAAGAGCAGACTGAGTGAATCCATCTATCTGGCCTTGGAGACAATCATGTTGCCAGGTGATGTCTAATCTCTGTGTCTCTGTAGTTCTTCTTCCAATTCTTCGGAGCTCGATGACCAATGCAATTTGAGCCTCTTCAATTGCCAACCCCATTGATATCCATGTTGCCACTGATCTGCGAGCAGGTGCTGCATTACAGGCATTACCCTCCTCTAGCAGTCTAAGCTCAATCTCCTTTTTTCTCAGTGCTGAGTGCAACAATTAATTCTGACTTTGATGTAGCCAAAGTCAACTTACCCTTCTTGATATTAATCTCATATACATCCATCGCCGCAGGATCATTTATTCTGCTGGACTGAGCAATCCTCTCACTGGATAACCATTCTTTCTTTGAAGCTGTGGGCACTGCTTCATCAACTCTGTCGAAAGCCTTTTCACTTTCGGTGATGCCATTCTTTGCCTGCTTGTATTTATGGCAAAGAGTCCTTTTCATGTGGATCATCTTGCAGAAATTGGAATCATTCATCTGATAATCAAGACATTCCTTTTGATGTGGGGATGACATTCCCTGAGCAGCAGGGGAAATCAGGTTGAGACATGACCATAGGGTCTCCATGATCTCACCATTGATCCAACCGATGCCTTCAATAAAATTCAACACATATCAGACATAGCAGCTGTCCTGATGTCCATGGACATGCCACAACCTGATTCCAGGAATGATGGTCAATTCTGGAACCATTTCGAGAAATTGGCTTCAATCCACCCGAACCCAAAAGTGCTTGTTGTATTGACAGTTGATGTCATAGAAGGTGACAGCCCTGGTTATGCCTTCCATGTTGTGCTGGGCAGCCTCACAAAGGGCATAATCCATGTTCATTTGTCTGCAAATGATGCATCATTAACTCATGAATGTAGAATGGCATGGTTGACTTGCCTTTCTCCTTTCTGAAAATCTACCATCAAGTGAGGGACAAAGCAACTGTGTCAGGCACAGGCAACTCCCCCGATTCACATGGACTCCAGCTTGTGCTGAGTCACATTTGCTTGATTCACCACCCAGTGATTGTTGTAGCTTGATTTTTCCAATGTGTCAGCAGCCTCCACAAGATGGGTTTTATACCTGTCCTTTCCCACCATGAATCCCAACCCATCGGAAAGCCACACTTCATCAAATGGCTTGATGGGATGCAGGTATTCAGCTTTGACATTTCCATCCATAACAAATGACCAGGTGTATTTCCAGCTTGGAGTTGTTATTATAGCTGAGGTGACTTCAGTATCAAACTAGACTCACCCATCAAGTGATTCATCCCCTGACAAGGATATGTTAATCCCAGGCTGAGGACATGCAGGGCAAAACAATGTGAGATCTCCTGCATTCAGGTTGTCAGAATGATGGCCAAATCCATGCCATTTCATGGCCTTCAACTGCCTCCACTGTCAAGTGACTCTCATGAGCTCTCTGTATCAGTCCTTGCCACATGCTTTGTTAATATAATGTCCTTTAGATGTCAGAGATTTGGCATTACTGGAACAAGATGTGTGCTTGAGGTCGTTTGCCAGAGCTTGCTGTAATAGTTCATCACCGAGGTGCTGGATTCCAGGTTGTCCAATATAAAATCATTGAGCACCCTGAAGGTGAACAAAGTCTTAGGCTTGTTAAATGATGTGGGGAAAAATCCATGTTGAAACATTTGAATGTCTGGACTCATGGCATTTGGACAATCACAGCATTGAACCTCAAGGCAATGAACTCCAGACTTGTCAATGATGACCATGGTGTTTTCCTTCAGCTGGAACTCGGGTCCCGACACAGATGGTCAATCTTCAGGCTCAAGCTGGTCTTCATGCTTGTCTTCTTTGAACAAATCCCACCTATCTGTGAGGACTGGACATTGTTTGCCATCATGACTGAGGTGTATGACAAGTCTGACATGGGCGAGACAACTCTGCTCGAAGAATTGACGATTCCATTGACTGATCCAGTGGAAAATATTGCAACAATGTTGACTCATGCAACAGCCAGTGCAATATAGTGGCTCCCCAAGACAATCTTGACATTTGTAGACCCCATGCTGGTCGCAGATGACACATCTCCTATCTTCTGGTAGAGCTTCTCGATCCAGAAGGTGATGCAGATATGATTCCTGCCTTGGCAGCCATTGCCTGAGGTAGTCATTCTGACTCTGCATTTTGTATGCTTAGCTATCGTTTGAATGACAATCCAACATTTTACATGAACTTGCCATGGTTTTTGGGAGTTGCAAAGGTTCAAATGAGCCTTGGTCATGCTTGTAAGCATTGTCAGGAATGTCTTCCCAAGGAGGTGGTGCCTCAACAGGCTGAAGTGTTGGTGATTCTGGGGGAGAGTCAGGCATGGACCTGTAGGCATGTCGTTTTGTGCTCACAAGTGGGACCTTGACCCAAGTTTTCCTATCCTTGCTGCCCCTTGCTTCTACCCTGTGGGATTTTTGCAGTGGGGTGCATCTACCTATCTTCATCTTATTTTCTGATGTTGCAAGCAAAGCATTAGCTCAGGAAGGTTGAATGAATCATTGTTGCAATATGATGTTATGCAGTCTTGATGCATCATTACAAATTCATTTCCACTAATGGCATTGCATCCAATATGGGTCGATTAACCAACTGTTAGGCTTTGCTCAAAGTTCAACTTGTCACCATTATTACTTCCACCTTGCTTATCCTCAGCCCATTCTGCAATCTCATTCACCATGGCAAGATCAGGTCACTCCACTCAGTTGACTTCTGGAAGACATAGGGCACATCAACCACAGACACAGAAGCTCACGGAAAATGAAATTTTGGAGTTGAAGAACTACCTTCTTGAGTGGACTTTGGCAAAACAGAAAGAGAAGCAAGCAGTTTTCACTGCCATAGCTAGGGCTGCCAGGTTACTTGCTCCTAAGGTCAACCAAGCACAATGGAAGAAGAGGAAGCAGGTGATTCATCCTCCCTGTGTTGAAAAACTAAAATTTTAATATCTTATTCTTCCATCAACCCTCAGATATACAAGACTTGGTTGTTCAACAACAGGAAAAAGAAGGAAAGGAAGGACATGATAAAGTATGGGAGGAAATGGACGCCTAGGATGGTGATCTACCAGCGGAACTGGGAAGAGGTGCTAAAGAGGATTGAGGATGAGTCCAGGGCAAAGCCAGGAGGTCCTGGTATGTTCAAGCATTATCAGGTGGCTGTGAAGAGAGTCATGAATTGTCTGATGATGAGTTGGAGAAGGTGAAGGAAACAGCTGAAGAATGGTCCAACAACTTTCCTCCTCCTGAGATACAGGCACAAGTTGCTCATAAGAAGGGACCTGCATATATGGAGCACTTTTCAAAGGAGATGTGGAGGCAATGCAGGATGAGAGTGTTTGTGATGTCAGCTTGGAAGAATGAACAGGGAGAGGTGCTGTTTTGGATGTAAGTGAATTGTGTCAGTCATCACAGATCTTTGATCTCAATAGATGTCATGCAGGCATGATGATAATGAGGCATTAGGAGATGGGGACAGCTTCATGAAGACAAAGGACTGGGAGGACATCAAGCTGGTTTGGCAGGAGTACACACAGGAACAGTTCAGTGAGTGTTTGAACTCTGGCTACTAGAAGGAATTTGTTGATCATTGTGATGATAGGTGCCAGGGCATGGGATGGAGGATGACAGATGAAGGGAGGTCGAAAAAGAATCAGAAAGCCTGCTTTCAAACTGGAAACTGATGGAGATGGGATGCTGTTGCTTCCAGACATCACCGAAATGAAACTCAAGGAGAAGAAGGCCATAGTGAGGGCATTTCTTACATCACACTATCATAAGTCTATCATTGCAACACCCAAGGATTTGTTGAATGCATAGACACAGGGATCTGTTCCAGGAGCGACAAGGCAGTCATGCCATGGAGCGCCATCATATAAAGTCAGGATGACTTTGTGGCAAGGAAGTATGTTCCAGCAGATGTGGACTTGAAGGAGCCTTCCAAGTTGCAAAATTGGGACACTATGGCCTTACTCAATTTCTGGCATGCTCAGCAGGAGAAAGGCGAAGGACCAACATTCCTGTTCAAAGCATGGAAGAACAAAGATGGAGACATGGTAGCATCAGTTGTGTCCGGGAATTTGCCTTCTCATCAGACTTGTAAAGTCAGAAAGCAGATGATCTGAAGGCCTCGGAATTTGTCAACTGACACTGAGAGTGATCCTGGGAGTAATCCCAAGAGTGACTCTCATCACATGGAGGATGATGCTGATGATGATGCGGCTGATGGTAGATCCCCACAAAAGAGACCCAGAAGAGAGCCAGGTCCTTCAACAGCACATGAAGGGACAGCAGTCCCACATGCAATTCCAAAGCCTCACCCAGTCAAGCCAGCGAAAACTGGTGCACTGCTGACATCATGAATGGGCAACCTCCTGGCTGGGATGACTGACGAAGTCACCAGCAATGTTGAGGAAGATGTTGGAATGGAAGGAGGGCACATGTCTCTGGTGCCAAAAAACATGCGGGGAAAAAAACCAGCAATTGAGCCATCAGCGAGGACAACCTGGAGTAAATCAACTCATCAGCCATCAGACAATACCCCTCTAGTGACAAGAGCAAGGGGAAAGAAGTAATGGACTGATACTACACTTCCTGCCTTTATGCACATGTCAATGTTATTCAATCTTCATGGCTCAGGAGTTCCTGGGTGTCAATCAAACTTGGGACTCAGTGATCCTCTGTACAGTGAGAATTGAACTCTGGTGTTCAACACTTGGGACTCAGTGAGCCAAAGCAAGACTTAAACTTCCGTGTTTGACACCTGGGAACTCCTGAGCCTCTGGAACTCAATTGGAAATGGAAGAGGAATGTGTCGCAAATTCAGTTGTTTACATGACGTGGGTATGTTAATGAAAATTTGGAAGTTTACATGTGATTTGACTACTATCAAACATTTGGTACTTTACATTTGAATCTGATCTTCAAACTGATTGATCAGTGAATCTACTACCTTGAGCATTTTAATGCTCATCCATTGGGCTCTTTGCAACCTCTGGAGGTCTGCATCAGCTCTTCTGAGTTTGTCGGAAGTTTCTGCCCAAGCCATCCAGAAGGGTCACTTGGCCTCAAGTAGCAGTGGAATGGAAGGATCAGGAAGATCCCCAGTACGGTGTTTGTAATCACCAAGTCAATCTTGAACAGATTGCACTTGCAGAAAAATTAGCACAAAGATAAATGATCTGCTTTGTCAGATACTCACACCCGGTGTGTTCATATGACCCAAATGGTCGGAACTCCTGGGCCATCGAACGTAAATCTTCGTTAGAGGTGTCATCTACTTGGGAGATACAATAAGTATCTATAATCCCCTGGAATGAATGGACTCACATGACATAGACGCTTCTGATGCAGCTGGAACATCAATCTTAGGATTGGCAGAATCTGGCAACTCATCCACATTGATGATATCATCCTCAGGCCCAAGGTACAAGTCTAGATCAATGAGAAAACCTGGATGATCAGCTTGAGCCAGAGGTGATTGATCTGCAAGGGTTTAATGAGCATGCATGGTGATCCTCAATCCTAATGAATGGATAAACTCACTGGGTATTGCAGCCAAGACATCCAGTGATCCAGATGATGGAGAATCATATTCTATGTCATCATCCGGCCCTAGGTATAGATCATCTAGGGGATACCCAGCAAATAGATAAGGCATGATAAAAATACAACACACCTAGTGATGCCCGGGACACAGTGGACTCATCCACATCCATTGAATTGTAGTCGGTCACCAGAGGGTCATTGAACCGAATGGCTGACTGTGGACTCATGTTGTGTGGGGAACTTACTGATTTGTTGACTGATAATTGAAAAAACTTCAAAGTTCAACACAAAACCAGTGATTGCCAGAAGTTGAACTGGGACCAAACAAAGACAAACAATCAACAATTTTATCAATTGTCCATCAAATGTGTTGTTTCTTTTGAAACTTCATCCTCGTGATAACTGATTTCATCCCAATTTCAAGATCTTTAAATCTCTCAACTCAATCATCATGTCCACTCCAGTTGACAACTCTTTGACCGGTCTCAAGGCATCCACTGCCCAGATCATGGCCATCATCAGTGGTGCCCAGCAGATTCTCCCAGGTAACAGCTACTTTTCTCTGACAACACAGGTCAGTTCACTTGTGGTATGTAGCTTTCTTTTTTTTTCTTTTTTTCTCTCTAACATTCAGGCAGGCTCAAGTGATCAAGGACTATGGGTCTGGACCCCTGCCCAGCATTGTGCTTTTGTGCTCCAAGGAGCTATTGCACATCCAGGGCATGACTCCCCAGGTCTGGCCCAACTGGCACAACATTGGGTACAACAATCCCTGTCTCTTGACGCATGTCTGGCACCCCAAGCTCCTCGCCTGGGAGGCCTTAGGTGAACTCAAAACTCAAAACTCATACATTTTGACAAGTTTTGAGTTTCGGGGTTTGATATAAGGGGTTTGATGTTTGGGTTTTGGGACTTGGGACTCGGTGATTTGAGACTCAAAACTTGAAACTCATACATTGTTATGACTGTCAGGTTTTGAGTTTCAATGTTTGTTTCTAACTTTCAGGTTTTGGTACTCAGTTTTTTGAGACTCAGTGATGGAACTCAGTGGTGGTGCCAGTGGAGGGACCAGTGACATTGCTGGTGCGGATGGGTGGGGAGGAAAGGTCCACTGGAATCAGACCTGTGGAGGGAGGAGCAGCAACTGGGAGATCAAAGGTATGGTCACCTAAGGCCTCCCAGGCAAGGAGCTTAGGGCACCATTCAATCACTGAGTCTCAAAAAACTGAGTACCAAAACCTGAAAGTTAGAAACAAACATTGAAACTCAAAACCTGACAGTCATAACAATGTATGAGTTTCAAGTTTTGAGTCTCAAATCACCGAGTCCCAAGTCCCAAAACCCAAACATCAAACCCCTTATATCAAACCCCGAAACTCAAAACTTGTCAAAATGTATGAGTTTTGAGTTTTGAGTTCACCTAAGGCCTCCCAGGCGAGGAGCTTGGGGTGCCAGACATGCGTCAAGAGACAGGGATTGTTGTACCCAATGTTGTGCCAGTTGGGCCAGACCTGGGGAGTCATGCCCTGGATGTGCAATAGCTCCTTGGAGCACAAAAGCACAATGCTGGGCAGGGGTCCAGACCCATAGTCCTTGATCACTTGAGCCTGCCTGAATGTTAGAGAGAAAAAAAGAAAAAAAAAGAAAGCTACATACCACAAGTGAACTGACCTGTGTTGTCAGAGAAAAGTAGCTGTTACCTGGGAGAATCTGCTGGGCACCACTGATGATGGCCATGATCTGGGCAGTGGATGCCTTGAGACCGGTCAAAGAGTTGTCAACTGGAGTGGACATGATGATTGAGTTGAGAGATTTAAAGATCTTGAAATTGGGATGAAATCAGTTATCACGAGGATGAAGTTTCAAAAGAAACAACACATTTGATGGACAATTGATAAAATTGTTGATTGTTTGTCTTTGTTTGGTCCCAGTTCAACTTCTGGCAATCACTGGTTTTGTGTTGAACTTTGAAGTTTTTTCAATTATCAGTCAACAAATCAGTAAGTTCCCCACACAACATGAGTCCACAGTCAGCCATTCGGTTCAATGACCCTCTGGTGACCGACTACAATTCAATGGATGTGGATGAGTCCACTGTGTCCCGGGCATCACTAGGTGTGTTGTATTTTTATCATGCCTTATCTATTTGCTGGGTATCCCCTAGATGATCTATACCTAGGGCCGGATGATGACATAGAATATGATTCTCCATCATCTGGATCACTGGATGTCTTGGCTGCAATACCCAGTGAGTTTATCCATTCATTAGGATTGAGGATCACCATGCATGCTCATTAAACCCTTGCAGATCAATCACCTCTGGCTCAAGCTGATCATCCAGGTTTTCTCATTGATCTAGACTTGTACCTTGGGCCTGAGGATGATATCATCAATGTGGATGAGTTGCCAGATTCTGCCAATCCTAAGATTGATGTTCCAGCTGCATCAGAAGCGTCTATGTCATGTGAGTCCATTCATTCCAGGGGATTATAGATACTTATTGTATCTCCCAAGTAGATGACACCTCTAACGAAGATTTACGTTCGATGGCCCAGGAGTTCCGACCATTTGGGTCATATGAACACACCGGGTGTGAGTATCTGACAAAGCAGATCATTTATCTTTGTGCTAATTTTTCTGCAAGTGCAATCTGTTCAAGATTGACTTGGTGATTACAAACACCGTACTGGGGATCTTCCTGATCCTTCCATTCCACTGCTACTTGAGGCCAAGTGACCCTTCTGGATGGCTTGGGCAGAAACTTCCGACAAACTCAGAAGAGCTGATGCAGACCTCCAGAGGTTGCAAAGAGCCCAATGGATGAGCATTAAAATGCTCAAGGTAGTAGATTCACTGATCAATCAGTTTGAAGATCAGATTCAAATGTAAAGTACCAAATGTTTGATAGTAGTCAAATCACATGTAAACTTCCAAATTTTCATTAACATACCCACGTCATGTAAACAACTGAATTTGCGACACATTCCTCTTCCATTTCCAATTGAGTTCCAGAGGCTCAGGAGTTCCCAGGTGTCAAACACGGAAGTTTAAGTCTTGCTTTGGCTCACTGAGTCCCAAGTGTTGAACACCAGAGTTCAATTCTCACTGTACAGAGGATCACTGAGTCCCAAGTTTGATTGACACCCAGGAACTCCTGAGCCATGAAGATTGAATAACATTGACATGTGCATAAAGGCAGGAAGTGTAGTATCAGTCCATTACTTCTTTCCCCTTGCTCTTGTCACTAGAGGGGTATTGTCTGATGGCTGATGAGTTGATTTACTCCAGGTTGTCCTCGCTGATGGCTCAATTGCTGGTTTTTTTCCCCGCATGTTTTTTGGCACCAGAGACATGTGCCCTCCTTCCATTCCAACATCTTCCTCAACATTGCTGGTGACTTCGTCAGTCATCCCAGCCAGGAGGTTGCCCATTCATGATGTCAGCAGTGCACCAGTTTTCGCTGGCTTGACTGGGTGAGGCTTTGGAATTGCATGTGGGACTGCTGTCCCTTCATGTGCTGTTGAAGGACCTGGCTCTCTTCTGGGTCTCTTTTGTGGGGATCTACCATCAGCCGCATCATCATCAGCATCATCCTCCATGTGATGAGAGTCACTCTTGGGATTACTCCCAGGATCACTCTCAGTGTCAGTTGACAAATTCCGAGGCCTTCAGATCATCTGCTTTCTGACTTTACAAGTCTGATGAGAAGGCAAATTCCCGGACACAACTGATGCTACCATGTCTCCATCTTTGTTCTTCCATGCTTTGAACAGGAATGTTGGTCCTTCGCCTTTCTCCTGCTGAGCATGCCAGAAATTGAGTAAGGCCATAGTGTCCCAATTTTGCAACTTGGAAGGCTCCTTCAAGTCCACATCTGCTGGAACATACTTCCTTGCCACAAAGTCATCCTGACTTTATATGATGGCGCTCCATGGCATGACTGCCTTGTCGCTCCTGGAACAGATCCCTGTGTCTATGCATTCAACAAATCCTTGGGTGTTGCAATGATAGACTTATGATAGTGTGATGTAAGAAATGCCCTCACTATGGCCTTCTTCTCCTTGAGTTTCATTTCGGTGATGTCTGGAAGCAACAGCATCCCATCTCCATCAGTTTCCAGTTTGAAAGCAGGCTTTCTGATTCTTTTTCGACCTCCCTTCATCTGTCATCCTCCATCCCATGCCCTGGCACCTATCATCACAATGATCAACAAATTCCTTCTAGTAGCCAGAGTTCAAACACTCACTGAACTGTTCCTGTGTGTACTCCTGCCAAACCAGCTTGATGTCCTCCCAGTCCTTTGTCTTCATGAAGCTGTCCCCATCTCCTAATGCCTCATTATCATCATGCCTGCATGACATCTATTGAGATCAAAGATCTGTGATGACTGACACAATTCACTTACATCCAAAACAGCACCTCTCCCTGTTCATTCTTCCAAGCTGACATCACAAACACTCTCATCCTGCATTGCCTCCACATCTCCTTTGAAAAGTGCTCCATATATGCAGGTCCCTTCTTATGAGCAACTTGTGCCTGTATCTCAGGAGGAGGAAAGTTGTTGGACCATTCTTCAGCTGTTTCCTTCACCTTCTCCAACTCATCATCAGACAATTCATGACTCTCTTCACAGCCACCTGATAATGCTTGAACATACCAGGACCTCCTGGCTTTGCCCTGGACTCATCCTCAATCCTCTTTAGCACCTCTTCCCAGTTCCGCTGGTAGATCACCATCCTAGGCGTCCATTTCCTCCCATACTTTATCATGTCCTTCCTTTCCTTCTTTTTCCTGTTGTTGAACAACCAAGTCTTGTATATCTGAGGGTTGATGGAAGAATAAGATATTAAAATTTTAGTTTTTCAACACAGGGAGGATGAATCACCTGCTTCCTCTTCTTCCATTGTGCTTGGTTGACCTTAGGAGCAAGTAACCTGGCAGCCCTAGCTATGGCAGTGAAAACTGCTTGCTTCTCTTTCTGTTTTGCCAAAGTCCACTCAAGAAGGTAGTTCTTCAACTCCAAAATTTCATTTTCCGTGAGCTTCTGTGTCTGTGGTTGATGTGCCCTATGTCTTCCAGAAGTCAACTGAGTGGAGTGACCTGATCTTGCCATGGTGAATGAGATTGCAGAATGGGCTGAGGATAAGCAAGGTGGAAGTAATAATGGTGACAAGTTGAACTTTGAGCAAAGCCTAACAGTTGGTTAATCGACCCATATTGGATGCAATGCCATTAGTGGAAATGAATTTGTAATGATGCATCAAGACTGCATAACATCATATTGCAACAATGATTCATTCAACCTTCCTGAGCTAATGCTTTGCTTGCAACATCAGAAAATAAGATGAAGATAGGTAGATGCACCCCACTGCAAAAATCCCACAGGGTAGAAGCAAGGGGCAGCAAGGATAGGAAAACTTGGGTCAAGGTCCCACTTGTGAGCACAAAACGACATGCCTACAGGTCCATGCCTGACTCTCCCCCAGAATCACCAACACTTCAGCCTGTTGAGGCACCACCTCCTTGGGAAGACATTCCTGACAATGCTTACAAGCATGACCAAGGCTCATTTGAACCTTTGCAACTCCCAAAAACCATGGCAAGTTCATGTAAAATGTTGGATTGTCATTCAAACGATAGCTAAGCATACAAAATGCAGAGTCAGAATGACTACCTCAGGCAATGGCTGCCAAGGCAGGAATCATATCTGCATCACCTTCTGGATCGAGAAGCTCTACCAGAAGATAGGAGATGTGTCATCTGCGACCAGCATGGGGTCTACAAATGTCAAGATTGTCTTGGGGAGCCACTATATTGCACTGGCTGTTGCATGAGTCAACATTGTTGCAATATTTTCCACTGGATCAGTCAATGGAATCGTCAATTCTTCGAGCAGAGTTGTCTCGCCCATGTCAGACTTGTCATACACCTCAGTCATGATGGCAAACAATGTCCAGTCCTCACAGATAGGTGGGATTTGTTCAAAGAAGACAAGCATGAAGACCAGCTTGAGCCTGAAGATTGACCATCTGTGTCGGGACCCGAGTTCCAGCTGAAGGAAAACACCATGGTCATCATTGACAAGTCTGGAGTTCATTGCCTTGAGGTTCAATGCTGTGATTGTCCAAATGCCATGAGTCCAGACATTCAAATGTTTCAACATGGATTTTTCCCCACATCATTTAACAAGCCTAAGACTTTGTTCACCTTCAGGGTGCTCAATGATTTTATATTGGACAACCTGGAATCCAGCACCTCGGTGATGAACTATTACAGCAAGCTCTGGCAAACGACCTCAAGCACACATCTTGTTCCAGTAATGCCAAATCTCTGACATCTAAAGGACATTATATTAACAAAGCATGTGGCAAGGACTGATACAGAGAGCTCATGAGAGTCACTTGACAGTGGAGGCAGTTGAAGGCCATGAAATGGCATGGATTTGGCCATCATTCTGACAACCTGAATGCAGGAGATCTCACATTGTTTTGCCCTGCATGTCCTCAGCCTGGGATTAACATATCCTTGTCAGGGGATGAAT